AACTTTAATTAAAACTAATAGTATACACTTAGTTATTATAAATAAAAAAACAAAAAGTTAGCTCGCTTATGACACTGGCGCTTTCACCAGGAACTTGGATGAACTGCACAGAGTCATCCACTGGTCTAACCTGTTCATACTATCCACCACTGCCGATGTTAACTAGTAAATCGGTTATCATTCCACTTGATGATGGTTTTCTGAAGTTGAAATAACCATCCAAATTGGTCACTCTTTGGTTCTCCAATCTCAGTTCCTACACATATCCAAGGTCAAATCAATGCTACGTAACAGCATATTCCGGCTGTACTCTCATACCTTTCCCATCAACCACAAGCGCACTGATCATGTCTGTGAGTTCTGTGGAGAAACCTTCGCTGAACTCTGCAACCCACTTGAGCATTCTTCAAATGCAGGAATGTAGTTTCACAGCTGTTCCTTTCTCTTATCAACATATATACCTCAAGTACTGTAACTATAGACTTGGCAATTGGAATCACTCGAATATAAAATTCAACGGTCCTGTTCGTACTATTCTATCCTAATACTACTCAACTTAATAATAAATAATAACTATAAACAATAATAATAATAAAATTTTATTGGCTATTTCTCACCGCCGTGAGAATGAAAACTAGCATGTTAATATCAATTTGTTGACTGATCACGAGTATAAAAATAAAATTTTACTCAATAAGCAAACACAGAAAAATAGACAACCATCAATAAAAAATAAAAATGTGTAAATCAATTTAAACTTTATTTATTTAAATTTATATCTAATCAATTTGATTTAAATGAATATACTTGTCTGTACTAACATAATACTCTTGATCCAAAGATTCTTCTACAACTACACACATAACAAATAATGATAATAATGAAAAAAAACAGACAAAATTGTTAACAAAATTAAATAAAATAAAAAATTACTTCTTTAAAAAAAATTCTTGTCATTATTTAACTTCTTATAACTTACCATTTTCATTGTATAAAAATATTCGCGAAATAATATTTATATTGAAATTAAAAGTTATTTATTACATTTTTTCTTGAGTTCTCATTAAAATACTCTTACTACGTTTTACAAGTAATCTCTTTCGATACAAAATGAAAAACGTAAGTGACAGAGCCACAACAACTACAGATCCAATAACTATAAGTGATATCCACCAGAGAGATGGTTTCTTTGAACATTCACCTTCTTTCGCAGAGTTATCAACTAAAACAGCAAAACTTGGATCTAAGAAAGCTTCTGTAAAAGTAGGTATCACCATTGCAACAACCAGCTGATTCTTGTCATCATCTGATTTGTCTTTGTAGTATGGTTGTGAAAAGATACTGTCTGATGTTGAAAGTAGAATTGTATTACTCTCGACTGTACGGTTATCAATATACATTCGATTGGAAAATTTGGTCAAGAATACTTTGTTTCCAAGTTGAATTTCAATCCATGCAATGTCTGTAGCATCATTATAGCTATTTGATGATTCTGAGCAACTCTGTTCTTTTGGTGATTGAATTTCATAGATCAATTGAAGTGAATTCAATTGATTCTGGAATTGATAGTTGGAAAGTTCGATTTGATATTTAAAACTATTCTTTTCCATTGTAAGTGGCTGACCTGCAAACCAAAGAGTTGTTTGTTCCAAGAATATAATGGATGTTACATTGATTGTGAAATCGGTGAGATTGTTGATTGATCCAATCGCAGTTGTAACGGTTGTTGTATTGACGGTTGTATTCCATTGAACAAGTGTGATTGGATAGATTGCAACATCACTACCAATCTCATCAATCTCTCTGATATGTGTAAAGAATACAGAGAATTGTCCGATCGATCCAGTATTGTTTCCAATTTCAGGTTTTGTTGTGTTGTCAATTGTAACCGTTTTATCACAGATTGCACCACCATATCCAGAAGTACAATTACAATTGCCATTGATACAAACTCCATTTCCAGAACAATATGGTTTTGTTCCACATGCCGAATTATCAATATAAAAGAATATTGATTCTGTATCATAAGCAAATCCACAATCAACTTTAACTGGTAAACCTGCTTTTAATTGTGGAGATGGAGCACTTCCATCAAAGAAACATGTTATTGTTTGACTGTCTATTAAATCTAAACTTGTGCAATTCACACCTCCAATCGTAACATTTACTGGATTTGCAAATCCATCTCCTTTAATAGTAACAATTCCTCCAATATCTTTTTCGATTGATGTAGCATTCAATAAATCTAAAATATTTGAATATTAATTAATAAAAGTCAATTTGATTCATATTCAAATATCTTACTTATTAATTTTGGTGTAAACCCTCTAGCACTTGAAAGTTGTCCATCAACATTGATTGAAATCCTCAAATACAACGAATCATAATTAAAATATGCTATCATTGATTCTTGGGGTATAAGCCACGTATTTAGAGTTGATTGCGATCCACCAGCATTCACTTGGATCTTATTGATATCACTTCCAAATTGTTCTCCAAAAATATTGACTGAGCCACTAGTACGGTTGAATCTGACTTGTCGAATTCCAGTGATAGCTGGAGGATAGTATGCCAATGTATTTAAAGGTGTTGATCCGGTTGGCTTACCATCTAGAATAAGTGTTAGATTTCTCTTTGCACCTGATCCTGCGCCAACGAAAACACCAATCGATGAATTCTCTGTATATGGAACGATTCGACAATCTAACTTTACACCATCTGCCAATAGCGTGTAATTACTACTTGTCAAAATCATGTTATTCACACCAACATTAATATATCCACCGGTAGTAGGTATTACAAAATCTTTGGATTTTGTGAAACTGGGAGGTCCAATATCAGATAAATCAAGTCTTACATAAACATAATGTGAAGCAGAAACATTAAAACTAAAATACATTGGATCTACAGACAACTGTGTTTGAACTAAACAAACAAAGATTAATATCAAATAATAATTAGAATTATTATGTAAAATGTACATACTGTTACCAAGAGATGATGATACTTGAGGATCGATATATGTGATTCCATTAATAATATTAGTGTTTATACCACCTGTACTAAGAATTAGACTATTATTATAGGAACCAGAATTAAAGTAATAATTCGCTTTAGAAGAAATGAATTAATAAACTATATCATCTATAAATATAGATCATTGATTACAACTTACTTGATATATGGTTTGATGGGTAAGTAGTGTTAATATACATTAGATTTCTGATGAAATAAATGTCTTCCAATGAGGTTGGTGCATAAGGATAGGTAGGTCTTCCCTCAGCAAGATAATATGAATTAAAGTAATCAAAATTTGTTGCAGTAAATATTGTTAAACTATTTGTATTGCTATCATCTATATGAATATTTAATAGTAAGTATAAATCATGATTTTTAAATATATTATTACTATATACATACAAACTGGAACTCTACTAAGATCTGTTATTTCAACACCACCAACTATCATATTGATTAATGAGTATCTTGTACTAATATTTAGTTTAGAGACATCGGGTATAATTGTCTCTGTGAGTCTACATGTAATAGATCTATCCGAAACCAACATCTCTAAGGGAATACAAGGAACTCTAAGTATTGATATTCTAACATCATTAACATATTCTAAAGATTCACCAAAATTACCACCATTAATTGTGATAATCGAATCTTTGACATATCCTGGTATCATTGATTTTATATAAGGTACTATTATCAAAAACAAAAAAAGTATTATTAATTTTTTGTTTACTATAATATAATAGAAACACTTACAATTTGGATGATATCTCTTTGAACTAAATGATTTAACACCATCGCTAATTAAAATATCATATTCACCGACTGTATATTGAGTTTGGCAGGAAACTGAGCCTGTAGTGTATGTAAGGATGGTGCAATTGAAATCCGGTCTACCAACTGAACTGTTGGTGAATGTCACCCTGAGTTTACTCGAGTCAAATGAGTTCAAATTCAGTCTAGTGATTGTCATTATGCTGGGCGCCATGTCGGTTGGGATTACCAGCGGATCTATTTCTCCACCCTTTTCCATCAATATAAAATCTGGACTAATAATATCTCCCAGATCATCCCATTTCAAATCCTTCCAAATATAGATGTAATTTTGATCATTTACATCTGGTTCATCGACTAGGAATCGGCAGAATCCAAAACACTTTGATTGCGTACGGTCATAAAGAACCATATCTATCTCAGGCCCTCCAGACCAAGTGAAAATTGAATTGTCTGGAGAATTCACAGAATTGGCACCAATCCAAGTGTAATTCTTTAGAGTTGTAAAAAACGTATCAAGGATGAAATTATTTTCATTCTGCGTTGTTATCGTTGCTAAGTAACTATATTTTATATACATATTTAAATAAATTAACAATCAAAATTATTATTATTTATTTTTTATCACTTACTAATTTTGGGAAGTTGCATATCTATCTGCCTCTGTCCAAACTACTTGATAATTAACTAAAACATATTCATGTCCGTTTATCGGATTTATACTTTGTTTTATAATTGATTGTGCTAATAATACAGAGATAAAAATTTGTAAAATATTAAATATTAATAAATATTTCATTCGTTTATAGTTAAGAAAAAGTAAAACTGTTCAATGATTGACAGGCGAAATCTTATACTAACTTTATCTTGAGCAACCATTAAAGTTGTAAAAATCGGAGCATCTGTTGTAAACAAGATATTTACAACCAAAAGATTTTTTGTAAAAATCATGATTTCATAATATCTTTTTTTTTTTTTTTGTTAAATTGCTGTATAATTTTGAATATTGTGGTGATCTAAAAACCTAATTTTGAAAACTGTAACAAAAAACTAAAAAAAATTAATTAAAAATTTTAGAGATTAAAATATCTTTATGGAACAGTAATTTAACATAAGTTTTAAGTTTTTCATTTTTTTGTGTGGGTAAAAAAAATAAACTTTTTTAAAAAAAAGTTCTGTACGTTTTCTTTTTTTGTTATATTAACCTTATCACATAAATATGAATATTATACAAATGAGCTTACAAGTTGAACCTAGTAAACATACTTCTGAAAGCATTGAAGATCTTATGAAATTGATTAAAGAAAGAATAATCAGTGCTCTTCCGAAATGTTTATTTTGTGATCATAAAATGGATCCACTCGGTGAAATTGATCATTTGAATCGGTGTATAAACGCTTCTCGAAATGTAATTTCAAGTTTTAGCAATGAATTTAAGTCAAAGCTACCAATTAGAGTGTGATAACCGGAAATATAGTTCAGGGTGGAAACGCAGTTTGTCAATCACCAGCCACTCTAAAGTAAATAGTTGTGAAAAAAAATGGGGTTTAATAAAATAAAAAAAGATTTTTTTTAAGTGAGTTTTGGCGCCTTTTCTGATTTTTTAAATATTATTTGTACAAAAGAAAAAAGAATATTTGATATATATATTTGTATTGATGATGATTTGTACCATTATCAATTTATTTATTTATACATATGATAAATAGTAGAATATTAAAATAATTTCACAATTAACTACAAAGTACATTGATAGAGGAGCTATTAAATAGTGATTTCAAAGTTTAGTGAGCAGTTACTCTAGCATGTGCTTCGGCGTGAGCATCTAAATTAACTGGTCCTCTGATTCTAGCTCTCAAACAGAGATTCAACTTGATTAAGGCATCCGGATCATTATGGTCGAAAACACACTCTCTTGGAAGTGGATCGCACTCATGACACTCGACTGGAGTTGGCTCACATTCGTGACATTCATCACCGGTGGTAGTAGCTGGTTGTCCAGTTGTTGGTGGAGCTGCTGGCTCACCAGTTGTAGTTGCCCATCTCGAAGAACCGGCAGTCGAACTAGCCATCTAAAGAAAGAATATAAGAGAGAAAAAGAAAATCAAAATTAATGTTAATTTTTGATATAAACAAATTTGGTAATTATAAATTTATTCACTTACAGAGATTGAGATTACAACAGATAATAAGAATACAAATAATACAATTTTAATATTCATTTTGTTTTTTTTTTTGGTAAATTATAATAAATTCTAAATCTAAATTTACTTTAGTATTAGTTTTATTTGGATTATTTAGTATTGATTAATTTGGAATGAATGCTTTAAAATTGATCAAATTTATAGTTAGTGTAGTAAAGGACAGGTTTGGATTCCACCAAAATATTCAACTACAATAAATAGTAGATTGCATCACAGAGAATGCAGGGTATAGTAAAGGACACTTTGCTAACTGAAACCCACACATTTATTATTCATCATTAAATCAATCAATCAATCATATATGCTTTCAATCAATCTCATATTATTCACAAAGGGTGTTAGGTGTGTGTGGATTCAAATCCATAAATCATAATCACATATTGATCTATAATACTTTCTTAACAAAAATCCAACAAAAATCTCTATTCTATTCAATTTTATATTAATCATTCGATTGTGTGTAACCTCATAATCAAATTCTCTCTCCTTCCCCTTTAACAGTCTAAACTTTAACACAGTACTCAATACACAATTCTCATATTAATAAATTCTGTCGTCGATTACAATGTACAAAAGACTTCCCTCATATCACTCAAATACCACCTCCCCCATATTCTCTCTAACTAGTCACAGGTTTTTACACTTTTATTACTCTTCAAATTGTTATCTACAACTAATATTAAGTTATTATTGCACCAGACACACACACTACCAGCACCACCATTATTATTGTTATTCTAATCTAACTGACCCTCTCATATCCTATCCTAATCTCAATCTTAAGTTTCACATATTCATATTTTCAAATTCCTCCACTTTTATTCTTTCTTGGACATCTTTTTTTTTAATCTGCCGTTTTTTATTTTATTTTTATTTCTATTTTCTATTTGCTTGTTATTAAAGAGTAGAATCATTATGGCATACATATATCATACGTGATAGTAATATACTAGCTTTGATTCAAATTAATTAAATTTTTAGAATAGAATTTATTTCTGTTTGTTTTTTGGGGGTATTTACTCTCCTCTCCATTCGAGAGTTTTATATGTTTTTTGGTGGAAAAAAACATAGAGTATTGTACACAAGAAGTATGGGTAGAGAGTTTCTTGTGGTGTCGGAGTTGTTAGAGTAGATCTAACTAAATAAATAGCCAACGATGATATGTAATATAATCTTCGATAAAAGAAAAGAAAGAAAACAATTTAATATATCCTCCAACCAATTAATATTAATATTTTTTTTTTATACCTGACCCCTGGTGTAAAATACTTTTGAAACGGCACAGGTTTCTACCAATCCAATCAAAAAAAGATATCTACCACATCTTTTTTAGATTTATCACCCGCACGGGGTATCACTACATATCGTCAACACTTTCAACTCACACACATTGTTAATACCACCAAAAAAAAAAAAAAAAAAAACCATTACAACCCACACTTTTATTTAAAACATATAAATAAATAAATAAAAATGAAATCCCCACTCTCACCAGTCACCTCATCAAAAGTATTGATGAAAAAGACTGAAAATGCGTATTATTTTGACGAGAATATATAAAAAAAAAAAAAAAAAGTAAAATAAATATTTGTTTTTGATTCTCTATCAATAGTTTTGTGTGATAAATAATTTATTGACCAATTGAAATATTTATATTTGATAACTTTATTTTATTACCTTATTTGATAAATATTAAGTTGGTGATTTTAATAAAAAGATAGATTTCGATTGATATCTTTTTTTTGTTTTTGTTTATTTATTAAATATATAAATAAAACATCTCAACCTAATTCGTAAATTCATCCAATAGCTATTTGAATTTCGTAAAATGAAAATTATTTCTTATTATTTTGTGACCAACTATTAATTTGTAAGAATTTGATGAAGTTAATTAATACATAATTTTGTTTTAAGTGGTACATTATGAATGGTTTTTAAAGATTTTAAATATCTATTAAATTCAAAGGAAATCTGATACATATAGCAACTGAATGAGTTTTATAAACCATTTTTTGACTGCAACTTAACTACTTCTTAGGTAGTTGAATTAATTTTCAATGAAATTACATGCATTTGATGACTACATAATCCTCTGTTTTTGAACATACAATTCATTGCAAATACTACTTGTATCTTTCCAAATCCTAAAAGACTTTTAAGACCAATTCAAAAATACTAAAAACAAAAATTATTATTACACCACTAAAAGATATCTAAATAAATAGATATCTATCTACATTTCTAAAACCAAAAAAAAAAAAAAAAAAAAAACATAAAAGAAAAAATATCATCAAAGTATCACTAAAAAAAAACAAAGTAAGTTTACACTGTTATTATTTTAAAATAATAAAAATTGAAATAATGATTATCTCTATTAAAATAAATAATGATTGCTCGGTGTAACATTGGATTGATTTAATTTGTACATGTACATAAAATCATCTATTTTTACAATAGAAATATAGATTTTTTTACAAGTCAAAATACCAACCCAATTATTGTATTGTGTGTATAAATAATATTGTATTAAAAATGATTTCTCTCTATTCTAAATATATATAATAATATCGATAATTTCCCTCCCTACCATTTACTTTATAAATTAAATTCATCCTACCTATATTTGGCTATTGACTATACCAATGACATCAAATATTTTTAATCCCACACCACACATGTTTTATTTCACACCCTTCTATACCACCACACTGTTTATACCCACAACATTTCACTTTCTATCCCATCCTCTAATGAAAATAAATTGATTTAAGTGTTGTCAATACCAATCAACAAGGTGAATGATAGTTTGCCTGCATACTCATTCAACTTTTGAAAATAAAATATCTACCGCTACTCTATTTATTTTTTAAATATCTTAAATTTATTTAGAATCACCATCATATAATGACACGAAACTCTACTCTATTTTCTCAACCAACTCTTTTATAACCACAATGTTTCGAACATAATAATTAAAATACCAATCTAATAAACACCAAACCCTCCATATTATTTTTATTTATTATTTCCATAAAGATAAATAAATGTGTATCTTATTAGAATTGAACTGACAATATTTCTAAATCTTTCAAACAGCAATTTAATATAGAAAAGTTGGTTGTTGTTTGGATCAATCAGATTTCCAATAAACCAATAGACAGTCAATTATTATTTAAGAGTAAACATTACAAGATTTTTAACTGTTTAAAACTCACTCCAACAGATAGGAGTACAACTAAACAGAATTCTACAAGGATAAAGGAAAATAGATCAACAGATATCTCTCCAGACCAGTAAAAGTGAAATAATTAAAAACAAAACAACTCAATAGCCACTCACACATTTAACATATCTATTCCAATTTTCAAACAATTTAAATTATAACAAAAATTATTGTGCAATTTTTGTTTGAAAAATTTTTATCAGATTTCTCAACAATACCAATATATCATACCAATTTAAAACATTACCAATAGTACTACAAAAAAAATGTTAAAAATCCACTCAACCAACTACTCGCATCCCCTCCCACATGATCAAGATAAACAAAAATCGACATGTCCTCTTAAAGGTATGTATTTATTATGGAATTAATTATCTTTATATTGTAAAGAAATCTCACTTTAAAGAAATGATAATTTATTTTCAACACTCAAATTTCCACCAACTCATCCAAACCCATCCTCTATCATTTATCTCTTTGGAATTTCCATATGAAATGATATCACTTTTTCACCATTTGTTTGTTTAATTTTGAAATTCATTGTTTTGCTAATATACCTTGCTTTTTATCTTTCCAAACCAAACAATCGATTCACAATCTTCTAAATATTTATCTTACTATTGTCATTAACTTTTTTTTATTTAAAGTTACCATGTCATCATACTATATGACAATGTTAATTAACAATAATTTTGGTTTTAAAAAAAATATGTAATATTGCCTTTTGTGTTAATGTTAGTGTTTATTTTTAAAGTTGATGATAAAGAATATCCACCAACACAATCAAACACGCCATCAAAAAGTTAAACACACCCAATATAAACCAAATTAAATCGAGTGAAAAAGTTTGTCAAAATTAAAAAAATAATCGCTGTGTGAACGACCAAGATGTAATAAATAGAGTGACAAAATGACAAGTGTGAGAGGTGTCATATGACAATGATAAAATTTTTTAAATAGATTAAAACTTTTATAAATAGAATTTATAATAATTATTATAAACAAAATCATCATACAAGTCTAAATATTGTTAACAACCTGTTGCCACAACTTTACTTTAAAAAAAAAATATTTTTTATTTCTAATTAATGACAACAAGAGGTGAAGAGACACAGCAGGAGGAATTAAACTATAGTTGATTTAATATAGTTATTTTTTTTAGTCGTAGAATTCTTTCTATACTATTTTTTTAATCGTTGTAGTGCAAAGAACAAATTTATTTATCAAAATCATATGTTCATACCACACACTCTTTAGTATTATAATAATAGATAACTATAGCTATAGTAGAATAGAATTTATATTTACATATATATATTGAAATTTCAATAATAATAATAACTACTATTTTTTATAATAAAAAAAAATTCTAATATATTTAACTATACCCTTTTTTTTACAAATAAAAATAATATTTGTTTCTTATGGAACCAAAACAAGAAGGAGATGCACCCAAAAATGACAAACTAATTGAAATGAAGGTGTTTGAAAAGTCAGCCATCGGTGACAATAACAGTGATGACGGTCAAGGAAGCAGTAACCTATCTGGTTCTAATGGATCGTTGGAAGTACCAGCCACTGACATTTGGGGAACTCCCATGGTCACAAACACTGACTCCACTCATCACAACAACCAGTTGTATGAGATAATAGATCAACCCGAAAACCTACTTACCACTCCTACTAACAGCTCACTAACTACATCGAGTTACACACCAAATGGAGATAGAACTCTATCACCAAAAAAGTCTAAAAGTTGGAAGAGATTCTTCCAACCCAAAGAAGAAGAAATCGTAAGTAACAAAAATGCTGACACTTCACTATCACTATCAATCTCCACTACTTGCTTCGAATATATTGTATTCAGTGATTTTGTTATAATTAGAAAAAAGATAGTAACAAAAGAGATAGATTATGAAGAATTCATTCTTTAATACCTATAACTTTTAAAATTAACTGCGAAATACTTCGATTTACATCGAAAACTTGAAGAACTTTGATCAAAGTTCTGAAAACTAAATATTATCTGTAAAACCCTAATTCTATTTCTGACTTTTAAAATCAAAAACTCTTTGTTCAAAAATATCATTTACAAAAATAGCGATATTTATTTTTTTGTTAAAAATTATTTTTTTTAAAATTAAATTTTTATAAAAAAAATCAAATTCCATCAACTTTCAGACCTTAAGGTCTGAATTCCAAAAAACAACACAATTGAAAATCATGGGTCTAATGAATCACATCTTCATTCTTCACAATAGCCATCATCAATCACTCTACAAATATTATTATTTTATTTTTTCAGTATAACAATGAAATCCCGAAACAACAAACTTCATATTCGAAAAAAAAAACAATAAAATCACCAAAAAAAGAATTTTAGAGAAGAGACCCACACCCAATAATAATATCTTGTAGGATCTTGAATGATTTGCAACACCACTAAATTTCAAGTCACATCAAAGTCACTCGAAACAAATCACAACATTGGTTTGTTTGCATCAGTGTGATGACTTTGAATTTTTCATTGCTTTTCGTGAACACCTTTTGTTTTTTACATCTAAACAACACCCACTGTTCTCATATCAATATATTTGGAAATCAATGATTTCGTTGACGTTCGTTGGATTTTGCAAAATAATAATATTTTTTTTTGTTTTTACATTTGCGAATTTTGCAAACACACACTCATTAAATTAACTTATTAAATGAGTCTGAAAAGCACAAATTAAAAACAAAAAAAAAATATGAAAATAATGATAATTTTGCAAAAAAAAACAACCAACTTGTTTCATATTAAAATTTAATAACAGTGCAATACCAGTAACACCGAGTAAAACAGTAGCATATAGTATGGTGAAGAAAGAGTCTTTATTAACTAGATTCCTTCCCGGGTTATCGACAACAACCCCACCATCATCATCATCACCAAATAATAAAATAAAAAACAATATAAATGTCAATAATAATAATTTTACCGATGAATTAAACCATGAGGAAGAGGTGGAAACACCAGAACAAGAAACTGACTCACTAATAACTGACAATAGTACACCTAATAATAATAAAAACAACAACAACAGCAATAATAATTATTTCGTTTATATTGTTGATGATAATCATTCGATTACATCTTTGTCCGAAAAATCTAAAGACTTTTATACGGGTTCCATTGTTGTCGATCCCCCCATTAATAGCATTAAATCATTTTTGTTATCTCCTACACCACCACCACCGCTCAAAGACGACAGCACCACCAGCGTCGATCAGAGTGATTCACATCGACGACAAACTAATTGCAATAGCATTGAGATTCATCCATACACCACCACCACTGACACCACGCACGATTACAATTTAAACTCAAACTACTTTGAAACAATGTCAGTGTCGAATAACACCAGCATTGCTAACAATTGTAGAGATAACAGTAGTGGTAGTAGTATCATAAGATCTATTACAAATAATCTCTTAGAAATACAACGTGAAAACACATCGCTATCATCTTCACAACCACCATTAGACAACAGTCAAACTACATATTTACTAATGCACGATAAAACTGAACCACAGCAAGAAGATACCTTCTTCCAAAGAGGTAAAAAGATTCTCATTGCAGGAACTGGTAAGTTTGCTATTAAAATAGTAATAATAGCAGAGTTGTTCTAATAATATATATATATAGGTTTCTTATGTGATGCATATGATCTGTTTGTTATAAATAATGTTCTTGTAATTCTAAAGATGTTGTATCAAGAGGAACAAAACTCAGCACCTGTCGTTGCCACTGCTGCACTCTGGGGTGCGGTCGCAGGTCAACTGCTTTTTGGATTCTTTGCGGATCGTGTAGGTCGTCGTATTGGTTTCATTATCACTTTGTCGTTCATCACTCTTGGTGCACTTGGCTCTACTCTCTCGTTCAACACTGCACGAGTCAATATCTTTGTGATGCTAGCGATCTGGCGTACCGTGCTCGGTTTTGGTGTCGGTGGTGAGTATCCACTGTCGGCCACTATCAGCTCGGAGTCGGCATCGACCGACGCCAAGCGTGGCGCTCAAATTGCATCGGTGTTCTCCATGCAGGGTGTCGGTATCATCATGTCGCCAATCATCGTTTTGATTCTCCTGAGAATCTGCGGAGCCGACCATCTCGATGTGGTGTGGCGTGTCGCTCTCGCATTCGGTGGTATCCCGGGTTTGATTATGATCTACTTTAGAATTCGTATGAAGGAGACCAAAGCGTTTGAGAAGCGAAAGAACACCATCTCCAAGCGTGAGATCGCTCGCTACATTGCCAAGTATCACTGGAAGACGCTGTTGGGTACCGCCGGTAACTGGTTCATCTTTGACATTGTGTTCTACGCCAACGGTCTCTTCTCGTCGACCATCATCAGTGTGCTGGGTTTCGACGGTCCCAACTCTGATTACGACAAGCTCTTCAACACTGTATTGACCGCGCTCTACTTGGCGCTGTTGGGTCTGCCAGGTTACTTTGTCGGTGTCGCGCTCATTGATCGTGTCGGTCGTCGTAACCTCCAGCTGATTGGTTTCGCACTGCTCGGTCTCACCTACATTATCATGGGTGCCACCTTTGAGTATATCAAGAAAATCAAAGCGCTCTTTATCATTCTCTACGGCCTGACGTTCTTCTTTTCGAATGCCGGTCCAAACACTACCACCTACGTACTACCGAGCGAGTCATTCCCAACCAGAGTTCGTGCCACCTGTCACGGTATCTCTGCTGCGTGCGGTAAGCTCGGTGCCGTTCTCGGTGGTTATGCCATCCAACCGTTCTTCCTTTCCAACGGTCTCGGCAAGACGCTCTTGGTTTGCGGTGGTATCTCGTTTGCCGGTTTCATTCTCACTTTCCTCTGCACCAAGGAGACAATGGGACGTCCACCCATCGAAGACGACATTGAGCTCTCAGAGTCCAACGACATGGCCACCCCAGGTGAACCAGTCGACAAACTCTCCACTTCACAAAAGCATTTGGTTGACTCGGAAAAGCAAGAGGTTTAAAACAACGGCTCTGCTTCATTTGGTGTTGAAATTTGTTACAAGAAGTCTTGTATTTTTCACCACTTGCATTGGTCACATCAATTCAACCTATTTTATTTTATTAAATTTTTAATTTAATTATTTCAACACCAAACCCAAAATACTTCAACAACTTCAGCTTCATTCAACAAATAACAATCAACATACAACAATCAACTTCAACGCCAACCAAAAGGAAAATGTAAAAAAAAAAAAAAGAAAAGAAAATCAATACCAAAAAAGATAACTAGGGAATCATAGAGGGGGAAACAAACAACCAAACAACCAAACAATCAAACAACCAAACAACAAAAAAATAGTATTTAATCAACAACCAACATTACAACAGGGTACTTTTAAATATCTACCAATTTCACAGACGACTGTAAATAGAAGTAAAAGAATATTTTTTTTCCAATTCTTCTTTTTTTATTTATATTGCTTTCTATATGTTTAATTCTCATGATTGAAAAACATATGAAGACACCAAATTTATAATTTAAGATTTCAAAAAATTATAAATCATTGATTAATTTTGCTTTTATTTTCTGATATAGATAAAAATTCGATATAAATATAGTGATTTACTAACCTTTGTCATTATTACCAAATAAAAGTTGGTTTTAAATAAAAAAATAAAAAATATTAAGTTATGAACATTTAAAAAATCTATTTACTTTTATTATTATTATTATTTTTTTAAAATTATACAAATAAACTGTTCATTTTCTACTACTTTTATATATAGAGATTTTTTAAAAAAAACAAATAAAAACTAACATCACTTTAGTAAATTCAATGATTGTTGTTTTTTTCTCTTAGAGAGTTGATTTATTTTAAAACGAATCAATAGCTGTATAAAAGGGTATAGAAGGAATGATAATAATTATTTTTTATCTTTAATTTTTTAAATTTATTTATTTTAAAATTTAGAATATAAAGAGAACGATGACGATGAATTTGGTGTATTCATAACGTTGCTATTGAGATTGAAACTTGGTGGATAAGGTGAACTAAATGAATCTCTTCTTGAATCTGGTGAATTGTTGTTATTACTAGTTGGTGTATTGTTAATGGTATTGTTATTACAATTGTTTGTTCCTGAAGATACACTCTTTTGACGTAGACGTTTAATAAAGTTATCTTTCTTCTCGGGCTGCTGTTGTTCTTTTCCAAGATCAAATGCATTGGAGTTGGGATCAAAGGTGACTTCCATTCCATTGAGCGAAGCGGGCGATGAAGAGTAGGGAGATGGATAACCGTCACTCTCAGAGAATGAATTGGTTGCTGTTGTATTGTTGGTTGTGGTTGTAGTATTATTAGGTAACAATGGAGATTTACTGAGATTGGTTGCTGCACGCTCGAATTCACCGACCCATTCATTGGCTTCAAGGGATCGAAAAGATCAAAAAGGAAAAAGTACCAATAAACAAAAGTCAAATCAAGAGAAGAAGAATTATGATATTTTAGTTATCGATCTTTCAAAAACTGAAACAACAATAACAACTATTAATAGTAATAATAATAGAGTCTTGAATAAATCATTTTTTTATATAAAATAAAAATTTTGAAGGTTTATCTTTAATGATGTTTGAATAAAATAGATGGGTGACATAAATCTTTATTTTATTTATTATATTTAATATTTTAATTTAAATCACATCCTAGATAACAACTATAAATATGGGAAACTTATTATCACTCTTCAGATCTTCATATTTCAATCAAGACGATTTTACAATGACTGGTTTAGAATCATTCCCATCCAATGTAGTCAGCAAGAGTATCGCCAACCATGCCTATCTAATGATATATACTTCAGCATCAGACTCTGATACAACATTAGTTGGACACTTTGCCGTGGTTTTAGATATCAATGGAGAGACCACCGATACCGACAACCCCAAAGGTCTAATGATCCACATGGTGCTAGTGGAGAAAGGAATATCTCAAAATGTGTGCTGTGTAGCAAATAGATATAACAAGCAACAACCATCCTCTACCCTCAATAGAGTAGTTCATCTTGGAAAGGTATCAAGAGAAATGGAAAATCCATTTGAATGGAGAGTTTGGGCATTGAACGTCTTTTCGAGTTTCATCAAGGACAATTGCAATGGTAACTATACCTGGGGATCATCCACAAACTGTCACAATTTTGCGCGACACTTGGTTCACCAGTTGAAGCTCGAATGGCCAAAAGAAATTCCTGTTGCGTCTGACTATTCTCCAATGGCAATCGATTTTGTTTCTTTCTATCGTGACATTGAGATCTTATCCAACACTCAGTCGAAATAATTGTCTTGGTTATGTTAATTTACCTTTTTTTTATTTATTTTTGCTTTTAAATAATATATAAAATAAAATATCAAATCTTGATTTTTTTTAATAAAAATAAGATAAAGATAGTCATTTTATAGTATTTTAGGAATATATCGTTTATTTTATGATTATTTATGATTACACATACAAATGAAAGAGTTTCTCATTGTTTCTGCTAGGGTAAAATGGTTATTTTAATAAAGTTTGTGCACAAAGATCATAGTAATATTATGAAAAATGTTCAAATCAAATTGAATTAAGTTCTGTTGTTTAGTAATAGGGTATAATTATTTGTATGTTTGTAAAATGTATACAATTAATTAACTTTTTTTTTTTTTTTTTTTTTTTAAAAAAAGATTTTTTTTTTTTTTCAATTTTTGCACATTTTGGACAACTATCCCACCCAATAAAAAAATACATTTTAATTTAAAAATAAGCAGATAAGTTATAAGATTGGATGATGGAAACAGAACATCTGCAATTGAATACACCTGCTGTTGTATTACCACTCACTAGTAACAATAGTAATAATAGTAATAGTACAGTTGATAATAATGAATCATTTGTTGTAATAAAAGCAAAGAATAATGCTGAAAATAAAGAAGTAAAGATTACACAGATATTGAGTAGTAATAGTAATAGTAATAGTAATAATAATGATAGTACTACTACAATTGCATCACCTTCACCTTCTTCAACTTCACCTAATATCATTAGCAGTAGTACAGAATTTCAACAATTATTAGATGCCATCAAATTCGATAGAATCGACGCGCTCGATCGTCTCATTCAAAAGAATCGTGATCTTCTTGTGCAAACCGATGACGTTGGTCGTACTCCACTCTACATAGCGATAGAGGATCACTGTTCTCTAGAGATAAAGAGCATTCTAATACAATACTCTGATATAGATAAACTTAATACATTGTTAACTATCAATAGTCCAACAACTGTTGTCAACAACAACAACAACAATACAACACCTGCAGCTACAACAACACCAGCTACAGCAACATCAACAACAACAACAACAGTAGTTAGTTTAGAAAGTTATCAATTCCCAGCAAGCCAAGAGAATGTATTACATTGTGCTGTTAGAAACGGTGATTCGGAGTTGGTTACATTGCTACTGGCAAAGTCACCAGATTTGAAAGATTCGGTGGATTCACTGAAGCGATCTCCGGTGATATTAGCAGCGGCCAACGGAAGGATGGAGTGTATCCGACTGCTCATTCTGAATAGTGCCGATGTCAACAAAGTCGATTACAACAACAAGACAGCGCTGCACTTGGCCATCGATTTGAATCACTCTGACATTGCAAGTACCATTGTAAACAACAACGGTGACCACACCGTTCTCTTTCATTACCGTCCGCACCGCGCCCAAGTCAACGACATCATCGAGATCGGTCACGGCAAGGAGAATGTCATGGATATCATCCCGAAGCTCGACCGATACGGCAGGATCATCGACAATGAGAATCCCAACCAATTCGACGTACACGAGAGGAAGCGTGTCGAGTTGGAGTTGTCGCGTGCTCAGAAGTGGTGTATCATGATGAAGCGATGGCTACCCGATGGCAAGCGACCGAGCAAAGTCAAGGAGAGAACTATCAAGGGAATACCAGACCGTGTTCGTTCGCAGGCTTGGCGACTGCTCTCACAGTCGGATATACAACTCCAGAAACAACCGAAACTCTTCAAAGACCTGATAGAGACACCTTCCAAGTCGGAACAATGTATCTATCTCGATGTGAATCGTGCGTCGCGTGACTACATCTTCTTCCGTGAGAAATATGGATATGGTCAAGTGGCGTTGTTCGACGTTCTCAAAGCGTACTCACTCTTTGACCAAGACATTGGATACACACAAGGAATGAGTTCAATCGCTGCACTTCTTGTTATGTATTTACCAGAAGAAGTAAGATGTTATTATCAGTTTATATATTTCCGACATAAATTCTAATCTCTTTTGTTAATTATTATTGTATTATTAGGAAGCATTCTGGACATTTGAAAGATTGATGAATAAAGAGGAGTATGCAATGAGAAATCTATTCGTTCCAGGTTTGATAAAGTTACACGAAATGATATATGTATTTGATAATCTAATAGCAAAGTATTATCCTGCACTTTCAAAGCATTTTGTAAGTTATATATATTATCAAAGTTATTATAATATAGTCATCCATTAATATTGATAATTGTTTATTACAAACTACAGAATGAAATCAATTTAGGATCAGTGTTATTCGCAACAAAATGGTTTATAACAGGATTTTTAGATTCATTACCATTTTATTTGATATTGAGAATTTGGGATTTGATATTTAGTTTAGGTTTTAATATAGTATATTCAGTCGCTCTTACTTTACTTAGAATTCTTGAGAGTAAGTAGTTAATAATAATAATAATAATAATAAATTCATTATTTTAATATTTAAATATCTATCAATAATTAATAGAACAACTAGTTGGTAAAACATTGGAAGAATGTTTCAATACTTTCCAACATATGTCGGAAATGAATATCAATGATGATTTGTTTGTTACCAATGTCATGAAGTATAGAGTAAAGAATAAAAGGATCGAAGAATTGGTACAGAAATATAGAAAAGAACAAGTATCAACTGCAACAACACCCAACAGCGTCACCTCAAAGGACACTAAGAGGAAATCCAGATTTAGCTTAAGAAGAAAATAAATAATAATAGTATGATAATATGTGTATTAATTTCTATTAAAGACAATATTGATGATATTTATTTATTTTTGTTTATATTTCAGCTGAGCTCTACTTTAAACGGCCGTGTTACTTTTAACGTGGCCACATCCTGAAGTTGAACATCTGTGTGTTTCCATGAAAGTTTCTACATTTACTTCTTCCGATGACGAGTTTTTGAGACCTATTCAGATGAGTCAATGAAAGATCATCTATAGTATTTTCATCTCCACCTGTTCGTTTACATCAATCTTTTTAATATATATGTTATAAATTATTCTTAACTTGTTTTTTATTAAATTTTTGAGTATTTGTTTTTATTTTCCAATGTCAATCAATAAAAAAAAATTAATTAAAAACAAAAAAGAAGAAGGTCAATAATTTAAACTTTATATATTAATAAATTAAATCAACGTTCAAAAAAAAGTGTATCTAATTTTTTAAAGTAAATATATATTTTATGAAAGTATTACTTAAACAATTATTAATTCATTATCCTTAATTAGTAGAATATACCAAATGAATAACCCAATAGAACAAGCTCTGAAATCAAAGAAAGAATACTTGGATGGTACACCAGAGGATCGTATCAAAATGATTGCCAAGGTGAATGACTCACCAAAGTTGTTCACTCTCAACTACTTAGCATCAAAAGGTTTGCCTTTCGATGAATTACTTTTAGAAGTGTTGACAGAACCATCTATTGAAAAAACAAATAGTAAGTGAAATTTTAATTCAAATTGATATTAAATAGTTTCTCAAACTCTTTTTTTTTCTTTCAATTATTTTACCATATATACAGTTGATGTGGAACGAGGTAAGTCATTTATTTTAAACACAAATATATTTAAATCAAAATAATCTAATTTTTTGTTTTTTTCTTTGAATACTATCATAGTTAACACAACACCTTAAAAGAGTTTTGCACTCTTGATTTATTCTCATCTTCATATCATGACCCGGTGAAAATTTAAAGCAACCCCATCTTAATCTTTGATTTCAGAGCTTGTTCTATTTGGTATTTTCAACTAATTAAGTAAAATGAAATAATAATGTTTTCTATTGTTGTGATACTAAATAAATTGAAAAATAAACAACCCTCTCTTTAAAAAAATTCAATTTTCTTTTAAGTGATGATTTGTGTGTTTAAATCAAATCATCAGAAATCAAAAATTATTTGTTTAGTTTATTTAATTTATATTATTTATAGAAAGAAAATGGATAGAAAAGATCTTAAAAGAAAAAGTACATCTTCAAAACTTAGATCTCATTCAGATGAGAAACACCAAATAGAAAAGAAACAAAAGTCAAACCATGATGAAGAGATTGTCGATAATGTGGTTAGTGAACATACAAAAACCATTTATAATGTAGTAGAGAGCAATTTGTAATATCATTGGTTTTAGACAGAGATATCTGCTACGTTAAATCATGGAGAAAGTCAAGGAGTTTCCGAATATCAGAGGTTTGGCACCGGTTAACTTTTACACTATATCACTTAGTGAATCCAATGGTATCGCTCTTGAAACTCCTGAGGAGTACAAACTATCTGGAATAACTAAAGTAAAGAATCGTGCTGAACCAACCTATGATATACTACCGAAAACACTGAGATACATGGATATTGATAATGTTAGTTGGATGTGTCGCAATAACTACACTGCACGACTTCGTTACAAACTGGCGAGGAACGAATATTTAAAACTTACCAATATTAGCCCACCTTTAAAGCAATGGTCACCGACAAACACCTGTTCATTCAAATGTTCTAACGTTTTCTATGCATTTCACTCATGCACTTCCAGATTTCATCCAGGCATCAGAGATATGTTAGAGTTCCTTTTGAATTACCCTAAACAACCCCTAGCCATACAATCCAGATACTACTCATATTCATTGAAAGCAACAAGTTGGATATGGTAAAATTGATGCTTGCTTTTCGCACTCCAAAACCAAATAGCTATCAAGAATATTTTATGGTTCAGTGGAGTATCAATGCGGGATTGGCAATGGTGAAACTACTTACTCCACGCTTCGAAGCTTTACTTAGAGATAAATCTGGAGAAAAGGACTTCATTATGAAGATAATGAAAACACAGGATTTGGAATGACTACCGATTCAAAATGTTTTCAACTTTGAAAGGATTCCAGAACAACCGTTCAATATTAAAATGAACATTTAAACTACAAACAACAAAACCAACAAAGAAGAAGAAGAATAAATAATTAAATTTCTCTCACTACTTTTGAATCATATTCATTTCTAATTATTTATTTACAAAATTGTACATTTTGAGCTATTTTTCTTTGAGTATTGTGGATACAAGACAGTTTGTATTACTTTGTCAAAGATTGGTTGCAATCCATAATTTATAAGTGCTGAGCATTCAAAGTATTCAATCGCACCAAGATGTTCAGTAACATATTCTATTTGCTCTGGGGTGACAACTGTTTGTTCTCTCGATGCAAGAATCTCCAATGTTTCGCTGTCCGTTGTCAAATCCGATTTAGTACCGACCAAAATGAATGGTGTATCTGGACAATGTTGTCTTATCTCTGGATACCACCTACCACTGACGTTTGCAAATGATTCTTGGTTGACAACCGAGAAACATATCAGAAATAGATCGGTCGATGGATAACATAGCACTCTTATTCTATCGTATTCAGCACGACCTACAGTAGTATCCCAATAGCCAAGTGAAACTCTGAAACCATCGACCGTAATAACACTCGAAGAATCAGTATAGTTATCGAAAACCACTGGAATATATTCTGTTGGAAATGACTTTGAACAATGAGTTATCAACATGCATGTCTTGCCAACACCTGAATCACCTACAATCACCAATTTGATTGGTCTATAATTTTGAACTAAAACCATCTGATCGTTTATTAAAAATAAAAATAAAAAAAACAAATTAATCTATTTTTTATTTTTACAAAAAAAGATGATGTTTGTTTTTAAACATTTTACATTTTAGTTTTGATTTTCTAGTATACAATTTAAAATAATAAAGACCTATTTTTTTTATTTTTTTTCGTAAATCTGTAGTGTTTCTCCACTCAATATAAATTTGTTTAATCCCAACTAATTATAACTGCATTTATGAAATATTAATTATAGTAGTTAAAAATCATTTAAAACTTTTTTTCACGCAAAAAAAAAAAAAAAAACTGTTCACTCCAACATTTTGTGTCGGTTTTTTTCTCGTAAAAACGAGAATGTTGGAGTTTAGAAAACATTATTTATATATTTAATCAGAAAATGGTTAGAAAAAGTACATCTTCTATACCTAAATCTCGTTCAGATGAGAAATATCAAACAGATAAGAAAGAAAAGTCAAATCATGACGAAGAGATTGAAGATAATTCAGTTAGTGATAATTTATTTTGTGAAGATACAACATCAATAATAATTAATAATGAAAGTAGTAGAGAACAGTTTGTAATATCATTGGTTTTTAGACAGAGATATCTGCTGCGTTTGATCATGGAGAAAGTCAAGGAGTTATCGAGTATAAGAGGTTTGACACCGGCCAACTTTATCATAAGGAAACTGATTGAACTCAACACTCCAGCCATTCCAGAAGACTACAAACTGTCTGGAATCGCTCAAGTACCGGATCGTCACTTCTGGAATTACACTTGTCGTGTCTCACCAAATACACTGAGATACATGGAGATCGACAACGTCAGTTGGATGTGTAGCAATAACTACATCTCACTACTTCGTTACAAACTGGCGAGGAACGAACCTCTCAGACTCTCCAATGTTCGATGCACCTATAAAACAATAGTAACCGACAAACAGCTGTTCAAACAACTGTACGAGCGATTTCCAAAGAATTTTACCAATTCACTTATACATCTTGTAAATCAAGATATTACCAAAGATATGTTGGAGTTAATAATGAATGATTTGGTGCCTACCAATGACAATATTATCCATATACTACTCACCTTAATAAAAGCGAATAACATCGAGGTGGTCGAACTGATGCTTACTTTCCATATTCCAGTACTAAAGAGCGACCAAGAATTGGATTTTGTTCAGTCGAGTATCAAGTCAGGATTGGCAATGGTGAAACTACTCACTCCACGATTCCGGGATTATTTAGATCACTCTCCAACGACGCCCTTATCTTTTTGAAGCTCATAGAAACTCAAGATTTGGAATTGATCGAATACTATCAAACAAACTTTGGACTGGCTTTCAATCGAAATATCTACGACAAATACCTCTTCAATGGTGCCAGCTATAAAGAGACCAGCAACGCGGAAGCAATAGAGAGAAACGAACAAACCATTGCCAAAGTCATGGAGATTCTCAACAAGAAGAAATCGATTATTCTAAATACTACTCAAAGATTAGCAGAGTTGGAAAAATCGAAATATGGAAATGGAGGTGTACCCATCACTGAATCAGATGTTATCAATATGAATGGATACATGATTCGATACTATCCTTTTGTTATGTTGAATCAAGAACCTTTCTTGCCAGAAACCGACCAACAACTTGGTATTGTCCAATTCTTGTTTGAGGAAATGAAAGATCCAATCAACACACAGGCAATGGCGACACTCTTTTATGCAATCTCCAATGGATTGACACGAATCACCAATTATATCATCAATAATCTAGATGTCTCACACTATAACTTTCGCTTTTGTTATGAAACATTCAAATGTATCTATGCCGCCATTCAAACGAAACAATTTGACGTTGTCGATTTGATATTCGAAAAGTGGGGAAAGATTTTCAAAGAGAATGAAGTTCTCAATACTATCAGATCGTCCGATTCATTCCGAGCACTCCAATTGTATATCAAACACTTCCCAAGTGCTACGTTAGGATCTACATTCCATTGTGCCAATGTCGGCTACATGTTGGACAATCTTCAGGCTGAGGAATTTGGAATCAAATGTGACAACATTGACAAGAATCTCGACTTTTCAAGTTGTGGACAATACGGTCTTATTTCAATCATCACTGCCTATCTCAACTACAAAAAAGATCGATTCAATACCAATAACTTGGAAGCTGCTTTGTATGGTGCTGCTCGTTATAACCAATTGGCATTCCTCCAAGAAGTTCACAAACTTTTGCCCGACTACCGATTCAAAATGACTACCCACATTCGTGTTGCTAAACATTACACAAACAAAACAACCGTTCGATATTTCAAAGAAACATTTAAATTACAAACAACAAAAAACAACAAAAAAAAGAAGAAATAAATAATTTTTATTAAGAATAAAAATTCAATAACCAAAATCATAATCAATACAATTACAACACCTTAAAGTAATAGCAATAGCCCAAATTGATTGTTTTTTTTAACCCAACAATTCTTCGAAAAAAAAAATAAATTTTTGATCAAAAATCATTCACACACAAGATCTTATTTTTTTATTTTATTTGTATTATATTAATGAACATAAGAAAGAGAATATTATGGCAGGAAAAGAATTAAGAAAAAGTGCATCAAATAAATCAATAGTAAAGAAACAAAAATTAATTAGTGAAGATACTGCAACAGAAATAGCAACAACTACATCAACAGATAATAATAATAATAATCATAATGATGATGAAAGTAGTAGAGAACAGTTTTTAATATCTTTGGTTTTTAAACAGAGATATCTGTTGCGTCTGATCATGGAGAAAGTCAAGGAGTTATCGAATATCAGAGGTTTGACACCGGTTAACTTTTTCGTCAAGAAACTGATTGCACCCAACACTACACCTATTACTCTTCCTGAAGACTACAAACTGTCTGGAATCGCTCAAGTACCGGATCGTCCCACTCCAAACTACGATATCCCACCAAATGCACTGAGATACATGGAGATCGACGACGTCAGTTGGATGTGTCGCAACAAATACATCTCACTACTTCGTTACAAACTTGCGAGGAACGAACCTCTCAGACTCACCGATGTCAACTCCACCTATAAAACAATAGTAACCGACAAACAGCTGTTCAAGCAACTGTACGAGCGATTCCCAAAGAATTTTACCAATTCACTTATACATCTTGTAAAACAAGATATGACCAAAGATATGTTGGAGTTAATAATGAATGATTTGGTGCCGACCTATGACAATATTATCCAGATATTGCTCATCTTAATCAAAGCGAATAACATCGAGTTGGTCGAACTGATGCTTACTTTCCACATTCCAGTACCAAGTAACTACCAGGAATTGGATTTCGTTCAGTCGAGTATCAAGTCAGGATTGGCAATGGTGAAACTACTCACTCCACGATTCCGAGGATTATTTAGATCTCGCTCCAACGACGCCCTTATCTTTTTGAAGCTCATAGAAACTCAAGATTTGGAATTGATCGAATACTATCAAACAAACTTTGGACTGGCTTTCAATCGAAATATCTACGACAAATACCTCTTCAATGATACCAACAATAAAAAGACAAGCAACGCAGAAGCAATAGAGAGAAACGAACAAACCATTGCCAAAGTCATGGAGATTCTCAACAAGAAGAAATCGATTATTGAGAATAATCAACGATTGGCAGAGTTGGAAAGATCGAAATATGGAAATGGAGGTGTACCCATCACTGAATCAGATGTTATCAATATGAATGGATATATGATTCGATACTATCCTTTTGTTATGTTGAATCAAGAACCTTTCTTGCCAGAAACCGACCAACAACTTGGTATTGTCCAATTCTTGTTCGAGGAAATGAAGGACCCAATCAACAGACAGGCAATGACGACACTCTTTTATGCAATCTCCAATGGATTGAAACAAATCACCAATTATATCATCAATAACCTGGATGTCTCAAATTATAGCTATTCCTATAGTTATGAAACACTCAAATGTAAATGTATGTGTGCGGCCATTCAAACGAAACAATTTGACGTTGTCGATTTGATATTCGAAAAGTGGGGAAAGATTTTCAAAGAGAATGAAGTTCTCAATATTATCAGAACATCCGATTCATTCGCAGCACTTCAATTATATATCAAACACTTTCCAAGTGTCACATTGGGATCTAAATTCAATTGTACCAAGGTTGGCTACATGTTGGACAATCTTCAGGCTGAGGAATTTGGAATCAAATGTGACAACATTGACAAGAATCTCGACTTTTCAAGATGTGGACAATACGGTCTTATTTCAATCATCACTGCCTATCTCAACTACAAGAAAGATAAATTCAACACTAGTAACTTGGAAGCTGCTTTGTATGGTGCCGCAAACAGCAACCAATTGAATTTCCTCCAAGAAGTTCACAAGCTGATGCCCGACTACCGATTCAAAATGACTACTCACATCCGTGGTGTCAAAGGAAGAAACAAAACAACCGTCCAATATTTCAATGAAACATTTAAATTACAAACAGAAAAACCAACAAAAAAGAAGAAATAAATCTAATAAATCATTCCATATTGTATTTTTAAAGAATAATTTGTTTTTAGTTTACAAATTGATGTTTTTTTTTATTTAGATTTTACAATATTTTTTGAAGTGTAAGAAAAGTGAGTATCCAATTGTTTTATTTTACATTTACAACTGCTGCTTTTGGTTTAAACTCTTTGTTGTAGTAATTGAAACATTCTCTTGTTTGGAACCTGTTCAATGATCTCTCTGATTTCTTATCGATTTCAAAGACGAAATCTGGCAATAACTTTTTGATTTCCTTGAGAAAAGCTAGGTGAGCACCCTCCATTGCACCAAGACATGACGATGCAATCTTATCGGCGTCATAGTCATCCTCGCTGAACTCAAGGTAGAGCTTAACAAGTGAAAACTTTCCATCTTTTCCAACCTTATAGAAATTCATGTAGTTCTCCACATTGTCGTAGTCCAGTCCTGCTTCCTTTGCCTTTTGGTTCTCAATGATGTAACTGGTATTGCTTGGAAGTACATTTTCTTTAAACTGCACCTGTGATCCAAAATAGTTGAAATATATTTGGAGCGCTGGATACAACGATCTAGATCTAATGGCCGAGAGAACGTATTTCGCCAACGCTTTGGTTTTCGATGTTTCACCTTCGACCTCGGCAATGGCAACCTTGAGAATCTGCTCAAAGATATCGAGATGGTGGCAATTCAGTGCGATCTTCATGCAGTTTTTATAGCTGGCAGTACGGCTTGATAGATTCTCGAGTAGATACTCCAAGATCGCTGTTAAATGGTTGCCAATTGCATAGTGAAGAGTGGGTACAAGTAATGCTTCTTTCATATTCTTGTGGAGATACTGTACTATTGGAAGTTGACTATCGTTCTCTGGATAGAACGATTCAATCTGTTGCATTAGAACAAATGGATAATGACGAATCATGTAGGCATCCATGTCTTCTTTCTCGCCGATCGCCACACCACCATTGCCATACTTTGCCATCTCTAACTCCATGAATCTCTGATTGGTCTCTACATACGGTATGTCCAATATCTTCTTTAGCTTCTCTTTGATCTCTGCCGATTTTACTGTAGATTGTAAATCTGAAACTCTGTACTTATCCAATACATCCTGGTGAATGCTCAATGAATACTCCTGGTGGAACCAACTCAGCAGGTCCAAATCACCGATCTCCAACAATTTGGCAAGTACTTGTTTGTCTTGTGCATACGATCTAATGACATTTGGATGTTTAGAGGCGATGGCTGCGAGTGTACTCTTTCCCATTTCAATAGCAGCCAACACAATCGCCAAACCATCGTTCGCGTCCATATTGTTTAGATTCAAACTAGGAAGGAAATCGAATCTTCTGTACTTTAACACTGATTTGATGTTTGAGTAATGATTCGAATTGGTACTGAGGATCTTCTTGATAATTGACTGGTCTACGCCCATTTCAAAGCACAGATCCAAAGAGATGTAATTGAGTCGGTAATTAAACTTGGAACAGAGCAAATCAAAAAGTTCAGGTTGGCCGGCAAGTTTTCTGATGAATTGTCTGGCATCGGTCACCGATTTGAAATTGAGGTTTCGGTTTCTCTTGAGTTTGTCTCGTAACACACCAAAATTACCGTTGATAACCATCTGGTAGGCATCCACAATTTCATCGTAACCGAGATACTGCACGGTGTAACTCTTGATTATCGATGAAGGATGATAGTAATAACCGTGACCATCTAACTTGTATTTCGGTGGAAACACAGGTTCTGAGAAGGTTTCCTCCGCCGATGATTGAGTATCATTATTTGGTTCTCCTCCTCCTTCTTTCTCTTCTTCCAAAACTTCTGATTTTCTCTTTTTCGATTGATCTTCATTCTCTTCCTCCTGCTGCTCCTCTTCATTTTCTTCTTCCTCTTTCTCTTCATTACCTTCTTCTTCTTCTTCTTCATCTAACATTTCAACATCTTCTTGAATATCTTTCTCTTTGATATCATATTTATTCTTTCTCGTAAAGCTTACAGGCACCAATGATCGTTGGTAACCTCTGTAATCCTTAACTTTTGATAATATAAATAATAATAGTTTTTCATCTTTTAAAACTGTTGATATGATACTGCTATCTCTATTTTCTTTGTTTGCACTCATTCTCTATTTATAAATAACAAATAATTTTTAAAAAAAATGAAATTGATCAATGAAAAAAAAAAAAAAACAAGGATTTATTCTTCTAAAGGAAATATATCAATTCTTAGAAAAATAATCACATGCCTCATTTTGGAAATCAAAACATTTTAATTTTTCTCAGTCTATCATCAAACCACCCTAAAAATTAATAACATACTTTTATTATATGATACATTTTAAATGTTAATAGTTTAAAAATGAAAGTTGAACGAAAAAGAAAAAGTACAACCAACATACCAATATCTAGTTTAGTAAAGGATGATGATAATCAAACAGATAAAACACCATTAAAGAAACAAAAGTCGAATCATGATGAAAAGAAAATAGTAGATAATACAGTTTGTGAAGATACAATAACAGAAACAACAACAACAACCACAACAATTAATAATGAAATTAGTAGAGAACAGTTTGTAATAAAATCAGTTTTTAGACAGAGATATCTGCTGCGTTTGATCATGGAGAAAGTCAAGGAGTTATCGAATATCAGAGGTTTGGCACCGGTTACTTTTATCACCAAAATACTTATCCCACACAATATTACTGCTATTGCTCTGCCCTCAGAATACAGACTAACTGGAATCACTAAAGTACCGAATCGTGTCAATCCACTATACGATTTACCAGCGAACTCAATGAGATACATGGAGATCGATAATATTAGTTGGATGTGTCGCAATAAATACACCGCACTACTTCGTTACAAACTGGAGAGGAATGAACCTCTCAGACTCACCGATGTTCGATCGATCTATAAAACGATGGTCACCGACAAACAGCTGTTCAAACAACTGTACGAGCGATACCCAAAGCATTTCACCAATTTAATTCCAAATCTCATTGGAAAAGATATCACCAGAGACATGTTGGAGTTCATAATGAATGATCTGGCACCTACTCCTGACAATATTATCCAGATCCTGCTCAACTTTATCAGAGCGAATAATCTCGAGTTGGTTGAACTGATGCTTACTTTTCGTGCTTTAACAGCACTACCGAACCAAGAATTTGCATTGGTTCAGTCGAGTATCAAGTCAGGATTGGCAATGGTGAAACTTCTCACTCCACGATTCCGATCATGTTATATAGTCCACTCTGACAACAAAGAAATCTTTATTAATTTACTAGAAACCCAAGATTTGGAATTGATTGAATACTACAAATCAAACTTTGGATTGGTTATCGATCGAAATGTTTTTGAAGATTACCTCTTCAATGCCAATGTCACCATTAAAGAGACAAGCAACCCGGAAACAATTGAAAGAAACGAACAAACCATTGCCAAAGTCGTAGAGATTCTAAATAGCAAGACATCAAGTGTTGATATTAATGAACGATTGGAAGAGTTGGAACGATCTAAATATGGAAATGGAGGTGTACCCATCACTGAATCCGATGTTATCAATATGCGTGAATATATGATTCGATACTATCCGTTTGTTTTGTTGAACCAAGAACCTTTCTTGCCAGAATCCGACCAACAACTTCCGATTGTCGAATACCTACATGGGGAATTGCAGGATAGCTCCATAAGACAGGCATCAAATATAATGACTTCACTCTTTTATGCAATCTCCAATGGATTGAAACAAATCACCTATTACATAATCAATAACCTGGATTTAACAAAAAACATCACTTTCTTTCGTTTTGAAACAGCTAAAAACAAATCTATCAATGCCGCCATTCAAACGAAACAATTTGACATTGTCGATTTGATATTCAGCAAGTGGAGAACAATACTCAAAGAACAAGAACTACTCAATTTTATCAGATCATCCGATTCATTCGCAGCACTCCAATTGTTAATCAAACACTTCCCAAGTGTTACATTGAACTCTAAATTCCATTGTACCAAGGTTGGCTACATGTTGGACAATCTTCAAGCCGAGGAATTTGAAATCGAATGTGACAACATTGACAAGAATCTAGACTTTACAAGATGTGGACAAGTCGGACTGACAACTATCATCACCGCCTATCTCAACTACAAAAAAGATCGATTCAATACCAAAAACTTGGAAGCTGCTTTGTATGGTGCCGCTCATTATAACCATTTGGCATTCCTCCAAGAAGTTCACAAATTGTTGCCCGACTATCGATTCAAAATGACTTCTCTCATTCGTGGTTCCCAAAGTAACAGAACAACCGTTCAATATTTCAATGAAACATTTAAATTACAAACAGCAAAACCAACAAAGAAAAAGAAGAAATAAATCGAATCGATCATTCCATTTTGTATTTTTAATTATAATTTGTTTTGATAGTTTACAATTGTTTTTTTTTTTATTATTAAGATTTCCAATTATTGAGGTGTAGACTGGTAGATATCTTTAAATTGTCTCTTTACAGGTGATATTGAACACACCATTTATCGAGACCAATCAGAGATACGTAGATTTAGAGATGGCAAAGTATGGCATTGGCAAAATACGTTCTCTCGGCCATTAGATTTAAATCGTTGTATCCAGCGCTCCAAATATATATCAAACACTTTGGAACCTAATTGGAGTTTAAAGAAAGGGTACTTCCGAGCATTACGAGATACATCATTGAGAACCAAAAGGCAAAGGATACAGGACTGGACTACGACAATGTGGAGAACTACATGAATTTCTAAAAGGTTGGAAAAGATGGAGAGATTTCACTTGTTAAACTCTACCTGGAGTTAAACAAAGATGATTATGACGCAGATAAGATTGCATCATCATGTCTTGGTGCTATGGAGGGTTCAAATATTACATTTCTCAAGGAAATCAAAAAGTTTTTGCCAGATTTCGTCTTTGAAATCTATAAGTAATCAAAATTTAATATTTCTATTAAATAGAAAATTTAACAGATGCGATAATTTCCACATAATAGCATGTTATAATTACTACCTCAAAGAATTTAATGACCAGATGAAAATGTATAAATAAACATATGTGATACTGCAATCTCTATTTAACTGCTTGCACTAATTTTTTTTTCAAAAAAAAATCAGTAGAAAAGCTTTTTATCTTTCCAAGAAAATTTAGAAAATATTTTTTTTCAGATCAACGATCAAAATATTTATTTGATTTCCATACATTCATAAATGTTAAAGAACTTTTCATTCTAAATACATATTAAATTATAGAAAATGGAAGGAAAAGATCTAAAAAGAAAAAGTACAACAGATCGACCAATATCTTTTTTAATGAAGGATGATAATCAAACAGATAAAGATCAAGCAGTAAAGAAACAAAAGTCGAATCATCATGAGAATAAGAATGTAGATAATATAGTTTGTGAAGGTACAATAACAACAACAGAAGAAACATCAGAAACAACCACAACAATTAAAAATGAAAGTAGTAGAGAACAGATTGTAATAAGATCTGTTTTTAGACAGAGATATCTGCTGCGTTTGATCATGGAGAAAGTCAAGGAGTTATCGAATATCAGAGGTTTGACACCGGTTTTCTTTTTCACCAAGAAACTGATTTCACCCCATACTCCATCTGTTGTTCTTCCTGAAGACTACAAACTGTCTGGAATAACTAATATACCGAATCGTGCCTCTCCCGTCTTCGATATACCACCAAATCCAAAGAGATACATGGATATTGATGATATTAGTTGGATGTGTCGCAATAAATACACTGCACTACTTCGTTACAAACTGGAGAGGAATGAACCTCTCAGACTCACCGATATTCGATCCACCTATAAAACAATTGGTACCGACAAACAGCTGTTCAAGCAATTGTACGAGCGACACCCAAATAGTTTCGCCGGTTCACTTCCAAATCTTATCCAACAAGATATCACCAGAGATATGTTGGAGTTCATAATGAATGATCTGATGCCTTCCTCAAACAATATTATCCAGATATTGCACAACTTTATCAAATCGAATAATCTGGAGTTCGTCGAACTGATGCTTACTTTTCAAACTCCTACACCAAATAGCTACCAAGAGTTGCCATTGGTTCAGTCAAGTATCAAGTCAGGATTGGCAATGGTGAAATTACTCACTCCACGATTCCGACCATTGTATATAGCGTACTCTAACAACGACGAAATCTTTATGAATTTATTGGAGACTCGAGATTTGGAATTGATCGATTATTTCCAATCAAACTTTGGATTGGTTTTCAAACAAAATATTTACGACAATTACAACTTCAATGGTGTCAGTAAAGTAGTTAGTAAAGAGACAAACAACCAGGAATCAATTGAAAGAAACGAACATACTATTACCAAAATCGTAGAGATTCTTAATAGCAAGACATCAGGTGTTGAGATTACACGACGATTGGCAGAGTTGGAACGATCGAAATATGGAAATGGAGGTGTACCCATCACTGAATCCGATGCTATCAATATGCGTGAATACATGATTCGATACTATCCATTGGTTATGTTGGGTGAAGAACCTTTCTTTCCAGAGTCCGATCAACAACTTCCCATTGTTCAATACATTGTGGAAGAAAAGAAGGATACAATCGGTGCGAACGCATTGACTTCACTCTTTTATGCAATCTCCAATGGATTGAAACAAATCACCAATTACTTAATCAATAACGTGGATATCTCAAACCTCATCATGAACAACGTTCCCTATCATTCCGGATCAGTCAAAACCAAATGTATCTCGTCAGCAATTCAAACCAAACAATTTGACATTGTCGATTTGCTATTCAGCAAGTGGAGAACGATGCTCGAAGAACGCCAAGTACTCAATATTATCAGAAAAGCAGGTTCATTCGCAGCACTCCAATTGTTTTTCAAACACTTCTCACGTGCCGCATTGGGTACAAGATTCCATTGTACCAATATCGGTTATATGTTAGACAATCTTCAAGCCGAGGAATTTGAAATCGAATGTGACAACATTGATAATAATCTCGACTTTACAGTATGTGGACAAGTCGGACTGCCAGCTATCATCATCGCCTATCTCAAATTCAAAAAAGATCGATTCAATACCAATAACTTGGAAGCTGCTTTGTATGCCGCTGCTAAACATAACCAATTGAATTTCCTCCTAGAAGTCCACAAGCTGATGCCCGACTACCGATTCAAAATGACTACTAACATGCGTGGAACCCAAGGAATAAACAAATCGACTGTCGAATATTTCAATGAAACATTTAAACTACAAACAGCAAAACCAACAACAAAGAAGAAGAAGAAATAAATAAATATACTTTCTCCAACTACTTTTGAAATATATTCATTTCTATTTATTTACTACTGATTTCATATTGGCATCATACACATCTTTTACTCTAGGTAGATCTTAACAAGTGAGGTCTTTCCTCTATTTATTTTTTGATTCTCTCTCTTTCTCTTTATTTTCATCGTCTACTTCTACTTCATCAGCAAAGATTGTCAACAATCTGACTTTCATATGATTGATCATTTTGATAAAGTTTTTTTTCATACATACAATTTTGTTTTTTTATTATATTTTTTTTTTTGGAAAAGTTCAATGAAAATGATTTGGTTCCACAACTTAACGATAAGAATAAATCAATGTTTAATAACTTTTCAATATAGATACATATTAAACTTTGATAGTAAATGGATGGAAAAGATCTAAAAAGAAAAAGTACAACTGATCTACCAATATCTAGTTTAATGAAGGATGATAATCAAACAGATACAACAGCAGTAAAGAAACAAAAGTCGAATCATCATGATGAAAATGATGTAGTTGATTTATCTTGTGAAGATCCGACAACAACAGCAATAACAACAACAAATAATAATAATGAAAGTAATAGAGAACAATTTGTAAAAACATTGGTTTTTAGACAGAGATATCTGATGCGTTTGATCATGGAGAAAGTCAAGGAGTTGCCCAATATCAGAGGTTTGGCACCGGTTAGATTTAACACCAAAATGCTTAGTGGACTCAACACTCCATATGTTACACCTGTTGTTATTCCTGAAGACTACAAACTGTCTGGTTTCACTAAATTACCGAATCGACCCATTCCAAAATATGATATCGCTCAAAATTCAATGAGATACATGGAGATTGATGATATTAGTTGGATGTGTCGCAATAACTACACCGCACTACTTCGTTACAAACTGGAGAGGAATGAACCTCTCAGACTCACCGATGTTCGGTCAACCTATAAAACGATGGTCACCGACAAACGACTATTCCAACTAATGTATGAGAGGTTCCCAAAGGATTTAAGACGTTCACTTCCATATCTTGTAGTACAAAATATCACCCGAGATATGTTGGAGTTCATAATGAATTATTTGGAGCATTACCCTTACGATTATATCCGGGCACTCCTCACCTTTATCGAGCACAACAATCTTGAGTTGGTCGAACAGATGCTTACTTTTCAAACTCCAGCGCTCGGCTACCAAGAGTTGGAATTGGTTCAGTCAAGTATCAAGTCAGGATTAGCAATGGTGAAACTAATTACACCACGTTTTCGATCTTTGTATATAGAGTACTCTAGCAAAGACGTAATCTTTGTGAATTTATTGGAGACTCGAGATTTGGAATTGATCGATTATTTCCAATCAAACTTTGGGCTGGTTTTCAATCAAAATATATATAACCATTACTTCTTCAATGTTGCCAAAATAGCCAATAAAGAGGCAAGCAACCCGGAAACAATTGAAAGAAACGAACAAACCATTGCCAAAGTCATGGAGATTCTTAAGAGCAACAAATCAATTGTTGAGACTAATCAACGATTGGCAGAGTTGGAACGATCGAAATATGGAAATGGAGGTGTACCCATCACGGAATCCGATGTTATCAATATGCGTGGATACATGATTCGATACTATCCTTTTGTTATGTTGAATAAAGAATGTTTCTTGCCAGAATCGGACGAACAACTTCGCATTGTTGAATTCCTGTTAAGTGAAATGAAGGAAACCATCGGTAGAAAAACAATGACTACACTCTTTTATGCAATCTCCAATGGATTGAAACAAATCACCTATTTTATAATCAATAAATTGGAATTCAAAAACATCTACCATTTCTTAAATTTAGAATCAGTTACAAACAAATGTATTTCTGCAGCAATTCAAACGAAACAATTTGACATTGTCGAATTGATATTCGAAAAGTGGGGAAAAATACTCAAAGACAATGAAGTTCTCAAAAGTATTAGAGAATCCAATTCATTCGCAGCACTCCAATTGTTTTTAAAACATTTCCCAAGTGCTATATTGGACTCTAAATTCCATTGTACCGAAGTTGGCTACGTGTTGGACAATCTTCAAGCCGAGGAACTTGGAATCAAATGTGACAACATCGATAACAATCTCGACTTTGCAAGATGTGGAGAGAACGGACTTGCAGTTATCATCATCGCCTATCTCAATTTCAGAAAAGATAAATTCAATTCCAATAATTTAGAAATTGCACTTTATACTGCTGCTCAGTTTAACCAACTGGCATTCCTCCAAGAGGTTCACAAGCTGATGCCCGACTACCGATTCAAAATGACTAAACACATGCGTGGTGTCCAAGGAAAGAATAAATCAGCCGTCGAATATTTCAATGACACATTTAAATTAAAAACAACAAAGCCAACAAAGAAGAAGAAATAAATAAAATCAATCATTCCATTGCATTCTATTTTGCAATTTTATATTACAATTTATTAAATATAGTTTACAATTTATTTTATAGATTTACTCCTCCTATGTTTCTTGTTTTAAATCTGCTTTTGGTTTTAATTCTTTAACGTAGTAATTGTAGCACTCTCTTGTGCTGTAGCTATTCAATGATTTCTCTGATCTCTTATCGATTTCAAAGACGAAATCTGGCAACAGCTTTTTGATTTCCATGAGAAAATCCAATTGACGACCCTTTATTGCACCATGACACGACGATGCTATCATGTTGCCATCGTATTCATCTTCGTAGTACTCAAGGTAGAGCTTAACAAGTGAAATCTTTCCAGTTCCTCCAACTTCAAAGAAATCCATGTAGTTCTCTATACTGTCGTAGTCCAATCCTGCTTCCTTTGCCTTTTGGTTCTCAACGATATAACTTATTTTCGAGGGAACAATGTGATCTTTAAACTTTAACTGCGGTCCAAAATGTTTGAGATATATTTTGAGAGCTGGATACAAAGATTTCGTTCTAATCGCAGAGAGCATGTATTTCGCCAACGCTTTGACTTTCGATGCTTCTCCTTTCGCCTCTGCAATAGTAAACTTTACAATCTGTTCAAAGATATCGAGATGATGACAATCCAATGCTATCTTTACGCAGTTTTTATAGCTGGCAGTACGGCTTGTTAGATTCTCGAGGAGAAACGCCAAGATCGCTGGTAAACGGTTGCCAATTGCATAGCGAAGAGTGGGGATAAGCAATGTTTCTTTCATATGCTTGTGGAGATATTGCACAATTGGAAGTTGACTATCGTTCTCTGGATAGAACGATTCCTGTTGTATTAGAACAAATGGATAATGACGAATCATGTAGGCATCCATGTCTTCTTTCTCGTTGATTGCCACACCACCATTGCCATATTTCGCCATCTCTAATTCCATGAATCTCTGATTGGTCTCTACATAAGGTCTGTTCATTATCCCCTTTAACTTCTCTTTGAATTCCTCTGGCTTTACAGTGGATTGTCCACCTGAAACTCTGTATTTATCCAATACATCCTGGTGAATGTTCAATGAAAACTCCTGGTGGAACCAACTCAGCAGGTCCAAATCTCCGATCTCCAACAACTTTGCCAGCACTTCTTTGTCTTGTGAAAACGATCTTACGACATTTGAATATCTAGCGGCAATGTCAACGAGTGTACTCTTTCCCATTTCGATGGCGACCAACAGAGCAGCCAAAGCATCGTTAGAATCCATATGGTTGAAGTGTAAACTAGAAAGAAGCTCTAGTCTTCGGTATTTTAACACGGATTTGGTGTGTGAGTAATGAGTGGTACTCGCTAGTACCCTATTGATAATTGCAGGGTGTGCACCGATTTCAAAGCATAGATCCAAAGTGATGGAACCACGTTGATCGAAAGTGTGACCAAACTTGGTATAGAGCAAATCAAAGAGTTCCGGTTGGTTGGAAAGTACTCTGATGAATTGTCTGGCATTGCGCACTGGGCTGAATGTGAGATTTCCGCCTCTCTTGAGTTTGTCAAGTAACACACCCAAATTACCGTTGATAACCATCTGGTAGGCATCCACCATTTCATCGTAACCGAGATATTGAACATTGTAACTCTTGATCATCGATAAAGGATGATAATAATAACCGTGACCATCTAACTTGTATTTCGGTGGAAACACAGGTTTTGAGAAGATTTCCTCGGAAGATTGGACATCATTGTTTGTTTCTCCTCCTTCTTCTTCTGCTTGTTCTTGTTCTTGTTCCTCTTCCAAAACTTCTGATTTTCTTTTTTTCGAACTTGGTTGATCTTCATCCTCTTCTTCTACTTCTTTTTCTTTTCCTTCTTCTTCATTTTCTTCATTGTCTACTTGATCTTCTTCATCTAACATTTCAACATCTTCTTGATGATCTTTCTCTTTGATATCATATTTATTCTTTCTTGTAAAGTTTACAGGCACCAAAGATCGTTGGTAACCTCTGTAATCCTTAACTTTTGATAATATAAATAATAATAGTTTTTCATCTTTTAAAACTGTTGATATGATACTGCTATCTCTATTTTCATTTTTTGCACTCATTCTATATTTATTAATAATAAATAACAAATAAATATTAATTATTAACACACAAATAAAAAAACAAAATTCACAAAGAGATTAGATTATTTAGGAGTAAGATTGGTGCTGTGTCTCTATCTATGGTTCACAGCCCACTCTGATTACTTAGAAAAAAAAAAAAAGAAATTAAAAAAAAAATCAATTTTTTTTTTTAAATAACCGACGTCACAATAATAATTGTTATTCTTGTGACATTATTATCTGTTTTAGATAAATAGTGCTATGCTATTAATCAAAATAATAGTTATACTTATACAGAAAACAAAAAAAAATGAAATTAAAAAAAAAAAATGATTTGAATTTTATTTGATTAATGATTTAAATAATAAAAATATATATATTTTTTCATTGTTATACATTAGACCCAATAAGAAACCCAATCGCTAATTTAGGAAAAAGGAAATTTTAAGATTGATTTTGAATCGGTTGCAAAAAACCAAAAATAATCAGAAATTAGGGGAGTAATGACCAACAGTTTTAAAAAAAAAAAAAAAAAAAAATTAATTTCAAAAAACCAAATAATCGAAAGATCAAATCGAGATCCTCTTTTGGAACTAAAAAAAAAAAAAGCAAAAACCAATGAATGATGATATTAAACAATCACCCCAAAACAATAACGCCACCAGGTTATTCAAATAGTTTTTAAAATGTGTTTAACTTTTTAATTTTGTTGGCTCGGTCACCTCACAACCATTATATCTATCTATTTTTTACATTTATCGTTTCATCTTACAGCTGTGGCTTACAGATGATTATATCAAAAGAAGTTTCTTTTTAATTTTATTTTATAATTATTATTCAACAACAAAAAACAACCTCCAACAACCAATCAAACCAACGACAAATTAGAACTAAACTCTCTTTTTACTAATTTTATTTTATTGTTTTTTCACACAAACTAAATATATAACAACAAAACAAAACAAACACATCATCATCACCATTCATCTACCTCATAATCAAACCAACGCCTACACACAGATTTACTTCTCCCGCTTTTTCTCATCATACCACAACTCAATTAATCAACTCAGAAAAAAGCAAAGCTACAACTAAATTTTGTTTTGGAAAAAAAAAAGAGAAAGATAAAGCAATATTTTCGTCCTTTGTAAAAATAATAATAAGGAAAATTAAAAACAGTTAACCAATAGCCTTTGTATTAGTAGTAGTAATAATAAATAATAATATTAGTAACAATAATTTTATTAGTAAAAGTCGAAAATTTATATAATTATATATATTAACCAACCAACCAACCAAAAGATTAGTAAATTTGATTTGGAATAAGCATCACATAGCAAGCAGCATCGCAAGCAGCAATCATTGTATTATATCATCATATTATAAAAAAATCGATAGCAAAAGTGGAATATTTAGCAATCAGCATTTGCAATAAAAATAACACGCACAAACATCAATATAGTCCTCAAACACAGATTTATCTATTTAACCAATAAACCAAAAAAAAAAAACAACAAAAATCAAATCAATCTCTTTTCGACAAATAGCAAAGAAAACAACAGCAGCTACAGCAACAACAGAAAAAACTTTGAATTGGATAGCAACGCAACAACTCATATATAAATATCATATAAATGTAAGTGGTCTTATTAAAGTGACCAAACCAACCAACCAACCTATAGTTACCTACCACCACACCATACACACACACTCTCACTATCACACCAATTTATATTTTCGTATTTATTATTTGTGATGTATGATCTTGTGTGAATTTGATTACATATGAATTGGATATGGATAGTACTATATACATAAATAAATATGTTATCAACCATGATCATTCGATAATTTTTATATTTTTTCCAAATATGTCCAATCAGAAAAAAAAAAGTTACTAAAAATGACATTGTGGAAATTGGAAATCTTTGTTTTTTTTTAGTTAGGGTAGGGTGGATAATAACCACTAAAATTGATGTACAATCACATCTTTAGTTAACACCAGCACCAACAGTATCATAACCACCATTTTCATACAACCACAAAATATATATATAAAATGGTGGATGTCTGTCCGAAAATAGAATAGATTAATATTTAAGAGTGAACAGTGAAACAAAACAACATTTATATATATATATGTTCAACTGCTTTGAATTTAATCAATTATTCATCAATCTTTTAACTATCATAGTATAGTAGTGTATTTGTTTGGTTTCCTTTTTGTTTGTTTGTTTGTTTGTTGATTAATAAAATATTTCACTATTTTGTTTGAAACAATAGAGATATTATATATATTTATTATCTTCATAGAATCAGAAAGTTCACATAAAGTATACTTTTTCATACTTTGTTTGTTTTTGTTACCAAATAAAAACTTGGCTCATTAGAATTCCAATCTAAACACCAACCAATACAAGATTACAAATTTCAATCAAATAAAAAACAACTAAAAACGATTGCTCAGTACTTACTTCACCACACTTTACTTTTCAACAAATAAATATCAACCATCATCAGCTCAACTGTTAACCAACCATCATTCTCAACATCATCATCACACTATCAATCATATTTAAAACAACAACAATAACAATAACAACTTATCTTGGTTCAGCTCAGCTCACTACATCACAAACACAACTTAAAGTAGTTGACAATTCATTGTTTTAAATTATATAAATCAACTTGACTCCAATATTGTTAAACCTTTTCTCATTATATATAAATATTTTCATCTATTGGCTCACTAAGAAGAAAATCAATAACAACAACAATATATGATCATTACAATTTTAATTTCCAGCATTTACAGTTCATTCATTTACAACTAAATTTTATATTGTCCAATGTTTATAATTTTTATCATTCTAAATCTTAAAAAATTATAAACCATTTATTTTATTACCAATAAAGTAATAAAAAACTTACACTCCCACTAACACACAACCAAAATAAATATAAATAAAAAACACACAAACACAACATCACACAATCACAAATATCAAAAATAATTTTATACATATATATACAAAAAGAAAGAAAGAAATAACCATCAACTCAACTAAACACAACACAAACACGAGTACAAACACACAAACACAAAACAAAACAAATATTATAACTATAACTATCAATTGATTATAAATCTTAATTAAATATCAAATATTTTAAATCAGTAACAACACAACACAACAATAATAACAACACGATCAACAGTCAACTACAGAATCTGATTCAAATTTGGAGCAATAATAATAATAAACGATAAACAATAACAATTTCAACAACAATATTCTAACCTCACTCCATTATATTCTCGCCCACATTCACATGTTACATACATAAAATACCAAAACCAAACCATCCACTTTATTTCTTTAATTGATTTTCATTTTTTTTAAAATTAATCAAAGGAAATATTTTTTATATTTCCATTTCCATTTCCATTTCCAATTTCCAAATTTAATAAATAGTATATTGTTATTATTATTATTATTATCATCATCCAAACATTTTTTATAAATAATTATAGTACAACATTTATATCTTTACCCATTATATTTCAATATTTTTAAATAATTACTTTATTTGATCAATTAACAATTATAATAATAATAATAATTAATATTAATTAATCATTTTCTATTTTTTAAAAATTGTTTGTGTGTGTAATTAATTACATTACACCCACTGTCTTTTGCCGATCGAAAATGAAATTACATAAAAGAGCAGTCTCCACTCCATATAATTATAGTCAGCATAATTATCAATACAATATGTCACCACCTCCAACACACTCCAACAGTAGTTTGGAACTACTCGAAGGCATAAAGGCACAAATCAACAAGCGAAACAGTTTGAATTCAAGTCTGACATCGATACCCAATCCACTGTTGTCTGGCAGCACCTCAATGCATCCTCTTTCACACTCTGCAGAATTGCTAAAACCACAACAATCGACAACACCCAACAGTCATAGTCATCTCAGCAATAGCAGCACTGGCAATAGTCCATATACATCACCACCACCTTCACCACCAAAGACAGAACACCACAAGAGAAAATCAATACTTTTATCACTACCTCAACTGGGCAGTGGTAGCAATAGTAATAATAGTAATAATAGTAGCGACTCAAAATCAAAAAGTAAATCATCATTATCAATCTCATCATCATCATCATCACACTCCTCCTCATCATCGAATAATAGCGCACCCACTCTCACAGTCAAATCTGATGACTTGAACAATGCAAGAAAAAACCTTAGAAAGAGTGTAATTGTTACAAAGAAAGCATTAGTTGTCAAACCATCCAATGAAGGTAATTATAAATCATTCCAATCATCATTCATTCAATTTATCTGTTTATCTTTTCTCTATCTCTTTATCTTTTAATTTAATTTTTATCCAATATTATTTTATAATTTTCCAAAATTTCCAAAATCTTTTTTTCTCTCTCTTTCTTTATTTTCTGTACTATAATCATTTCCATATCAATTCTATTATCAATCAATCAATCAATCTATCTTTAATTAATATTTTTATTTATAATTTTATTAATGTAATTTTATTTTTAATATAATAATAAAAAATAAAATAAAATAATAATTTAAAAATCATGATTCAATATCCAGATGTTGGAATTTCAATGGAAGCACCAGAGAAACGTGGAAATCTATATATTTTGAAATCAGACGTCGCATATGCACCGTTGGCATCGAATCCCGAACTTTGGAATCAACGTTATTGTTTGTTGCGCGAAGGTTGTTTATATATTTATACGAGTTATACCGACGACAAGGAAATCGAAATACTCTCACTGGACAAGGGTATCGTCAGAGAGAAAGATGTAAAAGATAGCTGCTTCCAATTGATTGCCAAACTGGTAGTTCAACCTCCACTCACTGAAAACACTCAGGTCTGCCGATATCTATCGACCACAAACACCGAAGAATTCGATTATTTCTCATGGATTGTATCTCTGAGAGGTAGTATATTCTTTTTACGTTCACTAAATAGTTCTTCAACTTTGGTAAGCAAAGATTATTAAAATTGAATCAAGTCAACAATAACTAACTAACTAACTATAATATATCATTCATATTAATAGAAAATACCAAAAGTTAAGAAACAACCAATTCCACCACCATTATTATCGAAATCCAGTACACCAAATACAAGTATGGATAGATTGCCAATTCCAAATATTACAACCAGTCCATCTTCATCACCCAATACAACGACGACAACCACTGTAATAACATCCAATTTAAATTCAATGTCATTGAATAGTTCGAATGGAATGAGTCGTCCAACTTCACCAATAGGTAGTGCCGACGCTTCAATTACAATCAGTTCGACAGCAGTGGAATCATCGAAAGTTTCAGAAACTAAAGTGTCATCGTCGAAAGAGAATAGAAAATCCAGTAAATTGACTACTCCACCTCTGGCAATCTTTGCTTCGACTCCACTCGATGAGGAATTCAATGGAGTGAAGCGTGGCACCTTGAATGTCCAGGGTGGCAAACTGATTTCCAAGTGGAAGTCGAGATGGGTCGTCTTGAGTTCCGACCAACTCTCGATCTACAAATCGGCCGAGTCCGAAGCAAAGAAGGAGCAACCGCGTCGCTCCCTCTCGATTATCTTTTGCTCGGCGAAAGTCATCAAGTCGACGAACGACAAATACACGTTCCAGGTGGTCAGCACCAACAAGACACTCCACTTTTCCTGTCCATCCGGAAGTGCAATGCTCAGTTGGATAACAGCGATCCAATCGGCACAATCACTAGCAATGGATGTCTATCTACAATATGAATTGGCAGGTAGAAATGGCAGCAGCAACAACAACAACAAGCTGAATAAGAACGACGATGTTGAAGATGAAGTTCAAGAGAAATTGGATAGGAATCGTGAGTATCTCGGAAAGCTGCTGTCGGATTGCCACAATCAGTCGTGCGCAGACTGCGGTGCTGCCGACCCGATTTGGGCATCGATCAATCTCGGCATCTTCATATGTATCAATTGCTCGGGAATTCACAGACAGATGGGAGTGCACATCTCCAAGGTGCGTTCCGTGACGATGGATCGTTGGGAACCGTCGGTACTGGAGTTCTTTGATTTCGAAATGGGCAACTTTAGAGCGAACGCCATATGGGAACACCACATCCCTGCGGACTGCCACAAAATCACATCCAACGTCACCATGGAGGCACGAGAGAGATTCATCCGTGACAAATATGAACATAAATTATTTATCGACACAACAACTTCTGCGACTGTCATTGTATAAAACAAACCTATATAAAATAAACTGAAAAAAAAAAAGATAATAGTAATAATAATATATTTTCATCATAACATAACATAACAATACATAAACATGACTAAATGAAATTTTTATTGTCTTTTTCAAATTGTAAACACAATGTTGAAATCCAACATGTTGAAGATGAAGTTGTCTTTGCTTTTGTTGCTATGGAGTATAATATTTAATCAAGTGAAAATTTATAGATTTTAAATGATCAATCTTAAAAATAAATGTAGAAATAAATATTTGATTTCAATCAATAATAAAGAAGATAATTAAATAACTCTGTAGCTGTTAAATATAATTAGTCACATACATACATACTTGGGATAAAACAATTTAAAAACACCAAAAAAAAAAAAATTAAAAAAATCTTTGTAAACTTTTTTATTTTTTTTTAAAAAATTATTATTTTTTAATAGTTCAACATCATCATTTAATAAATATATTGTTTAACCTTTCAAAACAAATAATACAATATTCTTTTTGTATATTTGTAAATATTCTAGTTAGTTAATAAGTTTAGTTAGTTTTGTTGTTTGTTTGTGTATGTTTCAGATGGAAGGTATCGTTGGTGGTGGACCTTCTACAGATGACAACACCAATAATATCAACATCAATAACATAACCAATAATAGTAGTAGTAATAGTAATAGTAGTACTATTATCAATAATAATAATAATAATAATAACATTAATAATAATGAAAATAATAACATAACCAATACTACTTTAACAAATAGTAGTAGTAGTAGTAGTAGTAGCAGCATTGACAATGAAAATAATAATAATAACAACAACAACAACAATAATATAGTGATATTAAATAAAAATACACTTACTAGCTCAACATCTTCAATAGCTACAACAACAACTACTACTTCATCCAATACTACACCGATCGTTATAAGTAGTTTAAAGAAAGAACTATCACCATATTCAGTGCCTTATATTCCACAACCACAACCTATTCATATTAATAGCAGCAGCAATAACAACAACAGTCTTAGTAGTAGTAGTAGTACTCTAAATGTTAATTCATTACCTTATAAACCATCGAGTTCAACAATAAGTAGTTTACAACAACAACAACAACAACAACAGCAACCAAAGATATTGACAAATACCAACAATCTCAGTATTATAAATAATATTAATAATAGTAACTATATTGGTACAAATAGTAGTACATCCAACATTCAGATATTAAATGACAGATTGACCAAAGAGAATATCGAACAACTATTTGCCAATAGATTTCATTCAAAGAATAATATTAGAGAAGCCGTTACATCAACTTTCAACTCTCTATTATATACATTAGAGAATTTAACAACCATCAACAACAACAATAATAATAATAATAGTAATGTTAATGTAGTAGGTGGTATTGGTGTTGGTTTAGGTGGTATTGGTAGTGGAAGTATAAGTGTTACTGGTGTTATTGGTAATGTTGGTAGTAGTGGTAGTGGTAGTGGTGGTAGTGGTGGTATTGCCACCGGTGTTAGTCAATTTCAATATCTCTTAGATCTTGTAGGTGATATGATCGATATGATAAGATTGGAGAATGATTATATCATCAAGTTGTTTAAGACATCCACTGAGAAAAGACCAAATGTAAATAATATTACTACACGTACAACTTTGTTATTCATAAACAAACCAGCAACAACTGCAACAACTACTACCTCATCAAGTGGTCAGTTGTCAGACGGCACTACCAAGCCAACAACTCTTCCCTACGACGACAACGATTCATTCTACATCAGTGTATTAACACATAATTTGAATCTATCAACAAAGATTGCTAAAACAATATATTCATTACAAAACAATCAACAACAACCACAAAGTAATCAACAACAAAGTAATCAACAACAACAACAAATTAATGATATGTCATTATCAATTGAAACATTGCTATTAAAAGTATATCAACAATCGAATGGTAGTCTGTCGTTGGGTTGTATGGTTGGATCTGCTCTGACCAGTCTGACTGCGCTGATACCGCTGCTGAGGCTGTCCGCCAGTACAAAGGAACATCTTCAGAATATTGTGATGAACGAACTACGATTGAATCCCGAGGAAGCGATACTACTGCTACACGCAACACTACTGCCCAATTCACTGAACGCACTGATACCGCTGCAGGTCAAAGAGATATTCCGTCGACTCTCCTCACTGGTCTACTACACAAAGTCATCAATCGTTCAATCGACACTACCCAAAGTATTTAAACAACTGATCGTACCACAACAACAATTGGATACACAACAAATTCGTAAATTACAAACCATTGCATTATTTAAGTAGGTTTAATATCTAAAAGAACAGAATCAACTGTACTGTATTTACTTATAATCTTGTTGTGTTATTATTATTATTATTATCTATAGATTATCAGATACAGATATTAATGTACAAAAGAATTATTTATGTTTATTATCTAAAACGGTTTCACAAATTGAATATATCAATCAGAAGAATCAGATATTGAAAGTTAATGATATATCACTACCATATAAAGTATGTTATTATCATCATCGTCATCGTCAAACATAGAATCAATCAATGCTAACACACTTTAACTTAAACTCAGTTATTATTGATGAGATCACAAGGTGTAGCAAGTCTATCATTTACGGATTTCTTTAAATTGATATTCGATACTCTATACAATAGTTCACTGTCAATGGAGCCTGTCACAAAGATAATAATGAATCAATTCTTTGATATCAATTTCTTGGCTACTTTTCAATTGGATCATAATAATAGAGTTGATTTAAGTAAGCTTTAAAAATTTTAGATCTAAAAATGAAACAAAGATATATATATTAATAATTTATAATAATAATAGGGAGAGTAGAACAATTGTTAGTGACTTCGGATGAATTGATGTGGTTCTGGACGATGTGGGAATGCGCAAGATATTGTATTACCTACAAGTTGAAGACACCGTTTGGTACGGGTGTCCAGACGTTTGGAATATTCGAGAGTATCATTCTGCAGTTGAATAAGGAGCGTACCGATTTCAAGAAGATCAAAATCATGTTGACCTTTATGGAGAGTCTCGAGAAGCAGATCTTCTCTGCTGCGTATGGCTCGGTGATATTGCCCTCGCCACAGGCCAAGGAAGTCTACTTTTTCAAGATCAATTGGCGTGTCAGTGAAGATTGGTTCAGTCGCATTCGTATCAATCTACTGAAAGCCAGTATTCTCTGTTGTTCTGCACCGGACATCATCAGACATGCATCGCTTCGAATTGCCGATATTCGCGCCAATCGATTCATCGATCCTGCCAACGCTCAATTCGAATTGGAATTCTGCGTACTTCATCTTACCAACGCACTTTCAATCATGAATGAAACAGAGATGCTACAAGGTTTATCGAAATGGATTGACATAAATTATCCAAAAGTAAATCAACAGCAACTACAACAACAAGTTCATCAACAACATCAACAACATAATTCAAATGTAAAGTTATCAACTCCATGGATAAATGGTATTATTTTAGCAAGTCAACAGAGATATGAAGAAGCAATTCAATCGCTATCAAACTTGGTTGAAACAACTGAACCAAATGTATTGTCATTTCCATTCGTTGTTGAACACTCTATCAAGTGTTATTTGGAGTTGTCAGACTACACTGAGCTCGATCACTTCCTCCACAAACATGGTAGTAGAATCAAGTCTACCAACATTGCCTATAGAGAACGATATCTCAGTGCGCTAGCATCGTTTTCACGATCCGATATGGAGACATCACGTGCTTTCGTCAGTGAATTGATCGCGCAACCAACTTCACCTGTTCAAGGTGGCCTTGCAGCTAATTCCATTGCGACCGAAGAGTTGATTCTAGCGATGATGATTATTCAACGTGATGATAATCAACATTCATCATCGTCGTCCACCGCTGCCAACTTTCAATCGTTTGCAAGTCGTGCTCATTCCTATGTCCACGAAGCACTGGCTGTTGTTGGACACGAGTCGAATGTCCAGACATTCCAGTATCTCGCACAACTAAAGATAATCGATGAGCTCGAGAATGGCGTTGCTATCAATGCCAACCACGAGATCACTGGCGAATCAAACAATGAGCTATCACATCCACTTGGATTCCTCGAGCGTCTCAGACGTACACGTAATCATCTCTCTGCCATCCAACATCGTCACGATCTCCTGTTCCACAATATTCCGCTTACCGAGACACTGATAAAGCTATCGAGAAAGTCTGGTAACTTGAAATTCACAAATCGTCTTTTGAATTCGATATTGGAATCACATTGTCCATCGTATCATTTGGAGCGATCCAAGCTAAAGTACAAACAAGATCGTCGGTTGGAATCTTTCACCGATCTGATAAAGTATACCTCTCAGTTTGGTGAGAGTAGCAATAGCACTTCTGTGGCGATACAGGCGAAATCCTATAGACAGATCATCAAGGAGTTACTTGCCAACTGCCAGAGTGCACCGTTCCAAGAGTATCTACAGACACAGCCAGCTGAATACTCTGATCCAGAGTACTTCTTTAGGAAGGCGACAACTGTCACACCCAGAAATCCAAAGCTGCTGCTTAGCTATGCAAATTGGGCATTGGAATCGGCAGAGCAATCTCGTGATGAACAAGTACGTAATCGCTTGTATCAATGTGCAGTTGAACGTTACTTTGAATACCTGGAGTGCGACGTTGAGAGTGGAACTACCATTGAAACAACTCTTCGTCTCTTGAATATTCTTGTTAATCACGGACATCAAATCATTGAGACATTTGAGAACTGTCTGGCGATGAATCGCTCATCGAAATACTTTGCCAATATTGTTCCGCAACTGTTTGCTCGTCTCAATCACAACGATCGATTGATTCAACAACTGATTGTCGATATTATCAATGAGATTGGTCGTGACAATCCTCATGCCATTGTCTTCCCAACGTTGGTAAGTGGCGGACATCCTTCAATACACAAAGAACTCTCGCGTCATTCGCCCGTGTTAGTACGCGAGACCGAAGAGTTTATCAAAGGATTGGAGCAACTCACCATTCTCTGGGAGGATCGCTGGCAACAGCTGATGGAGGAGATTCACGCGTGGATTTATCACGTGCGTCCTCGATGGCTCGACGAGTATCAGGCGATGAAGAAAGCAAAGCTTTCTCATACAACTTCGCGTATCAAGCGAAAGAATCTTCAGTTGTTCATGCCGATTCTCGAGAAGATAAGAAAGTTATTGTCGGCAACACTGCTCGGTCAGTGTACGACCGCCTACGAACGTTGGTTCATCAGTGTTCACTATGAGATGGTGAACAAAGTCATTCGTAACGTTGAGAAACAAACGAAACCATCGAATCCATTCCTCTCACTGCAAGAGTTGATTCAACATTTCGCTGTCAATCGTTTGCAAGTCATCGATATCACTGCGGTCAATCCTTCGCTCCACGAATTCCGACCAACTTCCATCAAGATGCCGGGAATCACAGAAGGAGAAGTCATGGTGCAATCGATACACTCACAGGTTCTTGTACTTCCAACCACCAAAACCAAGCCGAAAAAGCTAACCATTCTCGGAAACGATGGTGTAGCCTATGCCTTTTTGTTAAAGGGTCGTGAAGATCTACATTTGGATGCACGTGTAATGCAGCTGCTGAATGTAATCGATCAACTGATGAAGACCAACAAGCAGAGACAGTTCAAACTCCTGAGAACTAGAAACTATGCAGTCGTTCCACTGAGTAGAGCGGCCGGTTTGATCCAGTGGGTTGAGAATGCCGTGCCGATGTTCTCGATCTTTAAGAATTGGTATCGCAATGAACTCTCCTACAAGGGTGTGAATCCATCGGCTCTCACCACCCCGCCATTGCCAAGACAATCGGTGCGTCCCGTCGATATCTTTTACTCGAAACTCGATCCACTCTTTGCTGAACACGGACTCACCAGAGGTATGCTTCACCGAAACGAATGGCCAAAAGATATCCTCAGAAAGGTATTCATTGAACTGACTGCCGAAACACCGAAATGGTTGCTTTCACGTGAACTCTGGTATTCATCTTGTTCCACATCCGAGCTATTCTTAAAGACTCAATCTTTTACTCGCTCCATTGCAGTCATGTCGATGATTGGTTATCTGATTGGACTTGGTGATCGTCATTTAGATAATATTTTACTTGATATGAAAACAGGTGAAATTATTCATATAGATTATAGTAAGTTTTATTTTTTTTCTTTAACAATCTAATCTAACTAATTTTATTTTTAAAAACAATAGATATTTGTTTTGAAAAGGGATTACAACTTAAAGTTCCTGAAAAAGTACCTTTCAGAATGACACAAATGATTGAACATGCATTAGGTTTAACTGGTATTCATGGAACTTTCTCAGAGACTTGCAATATAGTTTTGGATTTACTTAGAAAGTAAGATGATTATTTATTTCAAACAATTAAAGATATTAATTATTTTGTCATTAATTTAATTTTAGGAATAAACAAACACTTTTGAATATCTTGGAGACATTTATATATGAACCATTAACAGATTGGAAGATTAAACAGATAAATGAAACAATGAAAGATAATAATGTAAGTTGGTTAAAAGTAAAAAGTTTAAAATATAAATATAGAATGATTAATGATTGTTTTTTTTTATCAATTTAGGATGATAATGATCAAGAAGAAGATAACAAGAATAAGGAAGAGGAATTTGAGAATAATGATAGTGATAATGAACATTCCAGTGAGGAAGAATCAACTACAGAACAATTCGATTTGGAGGATGGACCACAAATGGATAACGATGCCAAGGAGATGGCAAAGGCCAAAGAGGATATCAAGTGTCTTCAAGGTCTTACCATCTTTAATCAAGTAAAGAACAAACTGGAAGGTACCGAACAAAAACTTTCAGTCGAAGCTCAAGTCGAGATGATTATCAAGGAATCACTACGTATTGATAATCTGGCTGTAATGTACGAGGGTTGGACACCATGGATTTAAATTCATTGCAAGTCAAAGCAAGTTATAACTGAAACACGTTATCTGCTTTGATTAGTATTGTTTAATTAAATATCCAACAATCAAAGAAGAAAGTTGGTCTCAAATCATCATCAACAAAAAAATGGGAATCCAAATTATTATCCATCATTTAATAGATTCTCTATTTTTCTTTCTTTCTTTATTATCTATCAATCTATCTTATCTACCAACAACACCAAGTTTGAAATTTGTCTGTGGATCTGCAGAGTAATTTTGAACTATAGCTATAAAATAGATAATAATAATAAAATAATAATTAAATATATGTTAGAAAATAAAATACATATATTGAATTTGTCCTACAACAAACATGTGTTGAATATTATAATATTAACAATAGACATACCTAAAACTTGATTAATCTTTGATTGAATTTCTCTTAGATCTGAAACGTAGAGTAATCTCAAGATGGTAGCTACTGAATTCATCTTTTCATTTTGTAGATCGAAACCAAGTGGATAGATATTATTGTTTACAATTTCAGTGTTGATCGTTTTGATATATTCTTTATCTTCGGTTGTAGCTTTCGTTGTGTTTGTGATAGTTGTGGTTGTAGTGGTGGTTGTGGTGGTTTTAGTTGTAGGTACACCTGAAGTCGATGATTTTAGATTACCAACAATGTTTGATGTGAATTTTCTCTCTGCAATTCTTACAATAGCCTATATTATATTTATAAATAAACAGTTATTCATCAAAGAAAGAAAGAATATTAAATATAGGCATAATCTTACATGTAACATTTGAGTTAAACTATCACTGATTGGTATATTAAAAAGAGTTGCTAATTTAATGATTGCTGCTTTTAGATCCTCTGGTGTACTATCGAAACTCAATAACTGTAACTTTAACTTTTGTAGACATTTATATTTAGTTTCGTGTATCTGATCGGCTGTTAATAAGTATAATCAGTCAGATTAGTATTTGAATGAATGAAATCAATTAGAAATGTCAAAGACTTACAATTATCTTTGTAGGAAGATTTGATTGCCAATGTAGTTAGCCATTCTAATGCTTGTTGTTTTTGTTCTAAAATTAATAAATTATCTATTTTAAGTGTACAATGATTCTCATTCAAGTACTATAATCAGGTATAATAGAAACTGTTAGTTCATCATATCATCAATACAACCACTAATTGAATTGTAAATGAAAGATTATTTTACTTTTTTAAATGAATCTTCCCAAGTATCGGTAACAGATACTAATTGTAGATCTAAAGTAGATTCCTCTCCAACTGATGATGATGATTTAGATAGATATGTTTCTAATAGATAAATTACTACATTGATAAATTCTTCTCTCTCTTCTAAATTGATATATTGTGGCTTTGGGTACTTTAGAATAGTTAATCGCTTCGACAATAAATCTGGTAATGTAGTAGACATTGCTATTATTATTATTGTTTATCTATCTAATTTAAAATTTAAGATGTATTAAAAATGAACTTAGAATTTAAACTAGTTTTGTTCAACAAAAAAAAATGAAAAAGGTAAGAATTAGAAAAAAATCAGATTTATTTTTAATTATACAGATTTAATCATATTTTATCAATTCTTTCTCACTCGATTGTATAATTTTTAATCATTGCATACGAAGATGATCATGGATTTCTAAATGTATCTCTTGTTCCACAAGATCTTGTAGCTAGAATAGTAGAAATAGAATATTCCTAACAAACCTAAAGAGATAATAAGTTCACCATTTTTCAATAACAGTTAAGATTACTCACAATTGTCAACAATATATATTTATCACTTTGGTTTTGCAAAATTGTACTTTTAATATTCAATTTTGAAAGGAAGAGAGTTCACATATATGGAAAATAAATATTCAATGCATAGTTTCTCAAACATATTGAACTAATTCTTTAATAATTATATAATCCATGGTTGTTTTCGTTATGCAATGAAGATATACGAAGAAATAAAATTGTATTAAATAAAACATTAAACTTATTTTTTAAAAAATATTAAACTTTAGTATATTTATTTCTTTTAATTATTAATTTTCTTTTTATTAATGTTTATTAAATCATCATATCACTCAACAAAATGACAATAATACATAGAGCTTTTCATATGTCGGTATTGTTAAATACTTTACAAGTCAATAGTTACATTAATAATATAGTTAGTGGTACATTCGATGTTGAAGTGAAAGTTCATGAATCATCTATATCAGAAGAATTTACAATGGATGTGTGGATGAGAAGAGATCAATTGACCAAGCCTGAAAAGCTTTTGAATAAAGAATTTAAACTGACTAAAGAACAATTATCTCAGATCATCAGAGTGCCTTTTACTTTGCCTGTTAGCGATGAAGCTGTGCTGCGAGTAGTTGTCATTCGTCATTCTTCATTCAGACTAGTAGATGTTGGACTGTATCTAATAGATGATCGACTCTATTTGGAAAGTCATAGCGGTCGAGTGAAACGTTTAAAATCACTTGGGTATGGAGACTACAGTTTTTCCGATGATCAATTGTATTTTAGTGATTGGCCTGCTTTCGATAGTTATTCAGTCGATACAATAACTGATAGTTTCTTTGGTTATGGATATCAAACATTGGTGGATAAAGGATACATTAACACCTTGGTTTTCGACTCAGAGTTCTATTCCGTGCCGACTGTTGAACAGTTCGTAGCGATTGTGTGTAATAAAGCGTTGAGAGAACATGCCGATTCCATTGATATCTACTACTCTAATACTTACTTTAAGAATTTTCGTCGTATCAATGTACCTGGCAATGATATTGGCCAATTTGACGCACATGAACTACTAGATTTACTAAGATTAGGTTTCCAACATTGGATCGATTTGTCACCAGCGATTAATAATGAATCACATGATGAAACCGATTTGTATGTTTTGAATACCACAAGATATGCAATCATTACTTCTCATTTATAATAGATAAAATTGCTTTGTTTTGTTATATTTTTATGCATTACAATAAATTTAAATAGTTGTTTTATTTGTGACTTAAAATCTTTGGAGTTGTACCACTTGGTTTGATGAATACATTGATCAATACTGGCATTTCCAAAGTGTTATTTTTGATCTGTTGGAGTGTGGACGAGACAATGCTGTCGAGTTGTGTGATTGTCGATACACCGTAACCCTTGCCACCGAATGCATCGATGATCAATTCGTAGTGGGTCTTTGGTGATAATGATGTTGGTGGCATTGTAATCGGTGAGAATCCTTCGGCTGGTGCTTCCTCTAGACCTTCGTAGATACCATTGTTATTGATAATGATGAAAAGAATTGGCATATGGAAACGACAGGCTACCTCTATCTCCATTCCACTGAATCCAAATGCACTGTCACCTTGAATACATACGACCGGTCTACTATTTCCATAGATTCCACTGGCAGCAATTGCATATCCAACACCAACACCCATAGTTGCCAGAGTACCTGAATCCAATCTAGATCTTGGTTCATATTGTGGTAAACAAACTCTTCCACTATGATTTAATAGAGTTGGTTAATAACTATTTTATATTCTTTCAACCAAATAACTAAATTACTTACATATCCATTGTGTTTGCACCTTCATTAATTAATAATGTATTCCTTGGTAAATGGTTACGTAATACATTGAATACTTGATGATAAGTTAGATATTCATTTTCTTTTTGTGGTTGACTTAGTAGTTCGTTCAATGATTTATGATTTTCTTGCATTTTTTGAGTGAGTTCACTCCACCATTCGGTAATCGATGGCTTAATAGAGAGACTTGGAAGCAGTGCATTCATGTCTGTTAGAATCTGCTGGGCGTCACCGACCAACGACAGTGCATTATCTACATTCTTTGAAGATTGTTCGGCAGAGACATCGATGATGATAAATTTAACGTTTGGTGAGAATGTTGGTGCTTGTCCAAAGGAGAACATCCAGTTCAATCTGGCACCAATAATCAGAACAACGTCGGCACCCTTCAAAGCAACGGAACGGGCTGGCGAAACAACATGCTCATCATCATCCGGTAGCAAACCCTTACCCATTGGCGAAGACAAGAAAGGAATACCAGTGGTTTTTATGAATTTCGCTAGTTCACCTTCACAACGAGCATAGGCAGCACCCTTTCCACCGATGACAACCGGCTTCTTGGCATTCATCAACAGTTGGAGCGCCTGCATAACAGTCTCACGCGGACTGGTAGTTACAGCACCGCATCCCGGTTGGAATTCTCTGAGTGGCGACAGTGACTTTAGTTGTCGCTGGCTGGTGCTAATCATAACGTTTGCCGGAATCTGGATGTAGACTGGTCCCGGGCGACCGGTAACACTCTCCTTGACGGCAGACTCCAAGATGCTTGGGAACGACTCGATGTTGGGCACCGAGTAGACACGCTTACAATAGAGTTGAGCGGCTTCGATCTGTGGAGTCTCTTGGAATCCACCACGCTCGACGTCGGCGATACTGGTGGACGACGCCATCAGAATCATTGGCCAGCAATTGGCGAGAGCATTCATTGCGCCCGGCACGGCATGCACCATTCCTGGACCGGAAACAGTGAAACAGATCGCTGGACGACGTGTCAAGTAACCGACGACACTTGCAGCATAGCCGGCGGCCTGTTCATTTCTGAAACCATAGAATGGCAGACCCAACTTTTGCATCTCCACAACGACATTGGTAATGGGTACACCTACAATACCAAAGATCTGTTCAATTCCGATTTCCTTTACTGCTTTTGCAATAATGAATGATCCCGATAAATCTGTCATTTGTTTTTAGTAATAATAATATTTTATTAAAAATAAATATATATATAATATTTTACAAGATTATTATTATAATTAAAATATTAATATTTTATTTTATTTGTTATATAATTATAACTGTGTGATGTGTGTTTAGTTTCTTAAACAAAATAAAACAATAATTGCAATCGATTATTAGTATTTATAAAAAATAAAGAGACAACAGGGTGTTATTGAGATCATCTATTAATAATATGACAACATTATCTGCAAAGTCTGAAAATAATTAATTTAATAAAAAATCCAAATTTAAAGTTTTGGGGGTGGTGGGAATGGGAATGAAAAAGCTGATGAAAAAACACCACAACTTCTTTGCTCTTTTGGTGATGTAGCATACACGTGGTTTTGTGATCTTTTAATAACATAGATTATATAATTGCAGCAACAAAGTATGAATTTATAAATTATTAAATATTATAAGCTCGTCTTTTTAATAAAAAAAGTTATTGTGTGATCAAAAAGTCATATGATCTTTATTGTTGTTGTTGTATTGTATTAAGATGATTAATCAATAGTTGTTTGATAGCTTCGTTAGTTACCAATTGAAGGTTTATCTGTTTGAGTGGTTCAGTAGTAGTGTTGTTTGTGTTTTCTAGTAGGTATCTAACGGTATCTAAGTGCCCGTTGATCGATGCATTCTTGATTGTTTCAGAGGTGCAAACCTCATATCGATTGGTGTTATGAAAGCATGTTAAAATATCAAGATATCCTTTTGATGCAGCTTCCTCTATGACGTCGTTTGAGAATCTATCATTCGGTCTATTCTCAGTGATCCATTGTATCATCTCTAAATTCCCATTATAAGGTAATCGATAGTAGGTTTGTTGCTGTTTGACCATGTCATGACAATGATCAGTTAGATATCTAACCACTTCCAATCGACCTTCCAACACCGCTTTTATAAATGAACTGTTTGAACATGGTAGTATTTTGTTTTTGTTGACTCTGGTCGTCGCTGGCAAGTTATTATGAATTGGTACAACGCACTCATTCAGCCATCTCAAGAGTTCGAGGTTACCGATCTCCACTGCGGTGTTCAAGATGTACGGTGGAAATAGTCTGGAATAGCCATTCTCGTAGAACCATTTGATGAGATCGGTGTTTGAAGTACGACCCGCTGCATACGATATCACTGTCGGTGTAACGGTGCCGATGTTATTCTGTAGGAGCCACATCATTGCTTGAGAACAACCTTTGATTGCAGCTAGCTGCAAGAGTTGATCACTCGATTTAACAGAGTATTTAGCTTGTTGACTCTTCAGGTATTCCAGTAGCTCTAGGTTGTCATTCGACACGGCAGCCATATACATATCACTGCCCAATCTAAACTCTGGTCGATGTTCAGCGAGCCATTCGATCATATCGATTCTTCCCATTGTCGCAGCATTATTGTAAACCACTGAATTTTCATCTTTCACATTGAAATAGGTTAAGAGTTGATTTTGGGGTTTATCTGGTTGTTGTCGTCGCTGTTGTTTTTGTTGTTGTTGTTCTTTGTCTATAACATTGGCAATATACTTTAACACTTCAATATCATTGGAGAGTGGTGCAACTCTGAAAGCAGCAGGTCTATCCCATTTGTATGGAATGATATCAGTTGTTTGGTCATCTAGATATCTAAGAATATCTAATCTTCCGAATTTCGATGCAAAATAATAGATATCTTTACCTTTATCTACAAGAGGTAGTGATGTGAATTTACCAGTTAGAACTAATTCATCGACTTTCAAAACTCTAATGAAATAACAGAGTATTTCCAAGCCATTGTGCTTTGAATAGATTGAATTCCTCAGACTTTTGAACTGTCTGTATTGATCTAATGTTTCGATAGGGTTGACTTTGAAGTACGATACCAATTGCTCTAGTAAACCATTACCTGCCATCACCTCTGGACTAGTGATAACATCACACCACCTGTAGTATTTCATATTGATATACTCATCAAAGTTTCTCTTTGTAATTCTATTAAAATAACAAACATAACTTAACACAATATTACTGACAAATTTGTTTTTATATATAGATAAAAAAATAGTTTTGTTCATATCGATAAAGATTATAAATCAGTTATAAAAATAAATAGTTGTAAATTTCTCTTTTGGTTAGATCGATGACCGTGATTGTTTGGTTTTTTCAAATTTGGGTGAGTTCAAGTTAGTTAGTGGCACGTTTACTAACTTACCCCTTCAGTGAGTTCGTTACTTTTCAGTGAGCAAAAAAATGCAAATAATTGCAAATATTTTCATTTTATTGAGATTTTAGAAAAAAATTGAGTTAATTAATAAAATTATTTAATAAATATGGATAATTTATTACTATTATCTAAATTAAATAGTATAAAAGATAAAGATAAAGTACCTATTTTTGTTTTTTTTCGCTCTTTTTTGTAAAAAACTGTTTAAATCACTATAAAGTGTGTTTTGCTTCAAATCCTCACCTGATTTATCTAAATTGCAATTGTCTTGCCGTTATTATTCTCTCCATTATACAAGTCCCATTTAAAGATCATATGGGACAATACCGTAACAGTTGCCCCAGATGTTCAAAATCCAGAGACCAAACGCCGTGCTGGCCGACCAACAAAAACACCATCTATATCTACTGTACCGATCAAAGCTACCGATGATAACAAGATTGAACTAACATTAACCGATAAACAATTGAACATATTTATCAATGATATCAAGTCTAAAGTAACAGTCAATGAAACATTACCAAATACAACACCTACTACAACAACATCACCCGCTAAAGTCACACCTCAAATAGATTTATCACCAGTGTCATTTAATCCATTTTATAGATATAGTAAAGATCCACAACCAATAGAGCTTAATGTAGATATACTCAAGAAGCAATTAATGGATTTCCACAATTATCAGTATGTAACTGAAGAAGAAGAGAGACTAGGCAAATATTCTAATCCTGCAATTTTCTGGTCGCAAAATAATCACCTATTTCCATATGTTGCTCAACTTGCTCGCAAATATATGTGTGTTCCTGCTTCTTCTGTGCCTTCTGAATCTGTATTCTCTAAAGCTAATTATATATTTTCCGAAAGAAGACAATCAATGCTAAGTAGTACATTAAGAGATTGTGTCTTATTGTATTGCAACAAATCTTTATTTACAAATGCCAACAACAATAATAACAACAAATAAATTATTTACAAATGATATTAACAAATAAACTAGTCATTGTGCTTCAAATATAATTTTTTTTAATTTAAATTTTAATATGAACTAACTGAAAAAGTAACCAAAACTAACTAACGTGCAGTTTGGCTGAGAATTCGTGGGAACGAAAAATTAACTCACCAGTGAGTATTTTAACTTATTTTTCAAAAAACCATAATTTTTACATTGTATCTCAATTCATGAGAATAGTACAGGTTAATGAAGAGATATTTATTGAAAATATTAATAAATATATTTTTAACTCTATAATTTAAAATCTTTAATTTAAGCTAAATCTTGGCTCAATGAATAAGGAACTTCAATTTGTTTGACAATGAATTAATGAAATAAGTAAAGAATTAAAAGTTTATTGATATGGATAGTTTTGAAAATAGTTAGATTGATTGAAACACTATTCCTTCTTAAAAAGCAATAGAAACTCGTAATTGAAGCTGTTGATTCTAAAGGAGTACCAACACTTCGTGTTGCGAATAGACCATACTTGGCAGCAAATGAAAAAACCCCTGACAAACATCTTTGTGATATATTTTGGTGCGGCCAACTAACTTGTTGATGTTTGATAACATCTAGGTCCATTGCTACTTGACTCTGAAATCAACTCTATTAATAGGCTCCAGCAACATGACGAGTCAAGTGAAAGTCTACACCAACAAGATTCCAATCTTTCCTCGAGAGGATATTCCATATTGTCAATAAATGTTCCCATAGCAGATTATAGTGTTTAATAGCGGATAGCAACTATCGGAAGAAGCAAACCAGATATAATTCATTTAAGAAGGAATAGGGTTTCAATCAATCTATCTAACTAATATGTATTCAAAACTATTAATAAATATACATAGTACCAATTAAATTGTGAAATTTGGGATTCCCAAGAACTTTGTATCCCAAATCAACCAAAACAACAATTTTTTTTACAAAAAAATAAATAAAATGATTAATTTGAATTGAATATAAATGTCTTTTATTTATTATTAAGGTGAAAGAGTTGTACATTGCTATTTATAATTTACATTGATTATTTAATTAATTTAAAAGAGTATTTAAATCTAGATTATTGTTAATTTCAATGAAATAAGGATCGAATATTGTTTTTTCCAATACCACTGCTGCCTCTAGGTGAGATCGCTTAACTTTGAGTGCTTGACCTGTCTTGACAAGTCTGTTTCTGATGATACATACATATCTGTCTTGCAATGGAACAAATACAAATATATAACAATCGGTGATACCATGCATGAAATGGAACTCTTTCTTGTTGTCTACACCTGGTGAAGCTGGCTTGAAATTGGATCGCTGAGATGTTGTCTGTAATGATGTTGTTGGGTCATAGCTGGCGGTACTCCTAATCATAACGACGATTGGCATATTGATAGTATTTATAATTTGAATTCTGTCTGGTGGACCTTCTTGAATGGTATTTGGTTCTTCGGGTTCTTGTTGACCTATTTCGATAGCAATTTGAATGTGTGCATCCATTCTATATCTCTGTTTTGTTGACAACTAAAATAGAATAATGATCGCAAATCTAAAATCAACAGAAATTTAAAAAATCAGTTTATCAATTTTTAAATCAGTCAGCGCACCTTTTCAACACTCAAAAAATGAGATGAAAAAAATGAAAAAATTTATTAACATTTCAATTGATTAATTTTTCATTTTTTTAAATCAACCTTTAATTTTAAGACTCAGATTTGGTTAATATATATATGAAATATTTATTTATATTTAAACAAGAAAACAAAAAGCTAATTTAAAAAGAATTCTAAAAAATTAAATCTTCTTAATTGTTATTGATTGGTTTTACTCTTTTCTTCTTGATATGTCCGTCATCTACTTTGTGAACATTTCTTTTGTGTTCATTTAGATCAGAGAGTTGAACAAAACTACTACTCTCACAAATGTCACAGGCATGAGGTTTCAAACCACTGTGCTTGTATCGGATATGATGAACCAAGTTGTATGAACTTTTCAGTGGTCTACCTCCTCTACTACAGCCAAACCATTCACATTGAGCATAAAACTTTGTTTCCTTTTGTTGTTTGACATGAACTCCAAGGTGGTCATCCAATTCCTTTAGACTAGGAAAATCCAATTTACATGATGACCACTTACAATGGAACGGTGCATTGGCTTGGATACTACTACCTCTTCTTTTCTTTCTTGGTTTCCAAACCTTTTTAATTGGTTTTTGATATTCTTCATCGTCATCATTCACCTCCAAAACTCTCTTTTGGGAACTGATTTCTTCTTGTTCATTGTCGGATTCAACGGTACCTTTCCAAGAAGCAATTAGTTGACTTAGAAACTTTTTACTTTTATATAAGGAATCATCCAGATTGGCACCTATAAGATAAAAGAATATAATGAATAAAATTGTATCTACTATTATTTAAATTGATCTTTACTTACATTGATCATAATAAGATATTAAATGACAAAATTTTAGATGACCCATTAAAGAATAAAAATCTTTGTCTATTTGATCACAACTATCCCATTCACATTTAATACCATTGGAAGTGTCAATGTGTTTTAAATGTTGATTACGGATATGTATCCAAAACTCTGACAATGATTCAAAATGATCAATACAATTCTTCCATTTACATTGAATAAATGGATCTTTTTGTAAAATGATACTAGTTGAAGTATTAATATTATTTATATTATTATTATTTAAAGTTTGTAAGTTTGATATTAAATTTGGATTAAGATTATAATAATTTAAACTTTCAATAAATTGATTATCAATTGTATTTTCTGTTGAATTATTGTGATTTATTAAATAAAGATTTGTAAAATTTTCAAAAGGGTTTATAAAACAATTATTATTTATTTGTGTTGTATTATTCGATGAATTTATTAGGTTTGGAAATAATTTAGAGTTTGATAGACAATCAAAATCCAGATTGGACGATAATATATTTTCAATGGTGGAATTAGAGATTCCATTGAACTGGAAATTTGAATTTTCCAATATAGATGATGAAGATAACATATTTACAAACAGATAAAATAAAAAAATGATAAAACGAAAATAGATAAGATTATAAAATTGGATATTAATTTTAAAACTACAATCTTACAAACTTTTATATATAATCTTTTGTTTTTACATTTAGATATTTTTTTAACCTGTTTCACAGAGATTGGAAAATATCCATTTTATTTAAATAATGTAAATACCCACAAAATTATCTAGTTAATTTTGTAAAATCAATTAAAAATTTAACTTTAATAAGAAAAAAAAAAATCACAATTCACATCGAACTTATGCACTACGAACTTTAAGTGTAACTATCTTCATAATTTAATAATTAAAATCCTTAAAAAAAATCTTTAACTTAAAATAATTTTCGGAAGAGAGCATCCCTAACTTTATTTATTTTAAAAAATATCTGATTTCTAAATTTCAATCCGAAATTATGGTTGCCACCTGAAACTTACTACGACTTTTTCAAAAATATCAAAATTAACATTAAGATGATACGGCACCCCGACATAAATAGGTGATTTTTTTAATAAAATTTGTTTTTTAAAAAAAAAACATCAAAACGCTCCACAAAGAAAATAGTTTACAATAATTTTAAAAGATCTGATCATTTTCAAGAGGTTTCTTTGCACTATTTGCTAATATTAAAACAACCAGGGATGATTGAGGTTGATATCTCTATTGAATTGTTATGTTTACTAAATACCTCAATCAAATTGATAGTAATATGATTTATTGTTTTTAAAAAAATCAAAACACATATTACCATTAATTTTGATTTAAAATATCAATGTCAAAAACTTACATTTTCACTTGTACTTTTTATAATAATATAAATTATTTAAAGATGAGTTATATGAGTTTGAATTTATCTTTTACATGTAAAAATGTAATAACGAATTGAAAGTCAAATTCACCAAAGATAAGACCATATTGTATGTTTTTTTTGTTTTTGATTAATTTGGTTTTGTTTTTTTTATAATATAAATTTATAGGTAGGTGGAAAAAAAAATTGATTATAAACTTATGATTTTCATAATAATAATTTATGGTCTAAAGCTTTGGTCGAGTTCAACAGCTCTGATTGGTACTTCCTCCTTGTAGACGTTGGTGTAAAGTTCACGCATATCTGGCATTGGTGAGTTGATGGCAAACTCGGCGGCCTTGTCCATCTCTTCACGGGCAGCCTCTTCGATGGCGGTGAGATCATCCTCGGTGGCGAGCTTGTGCTCCAACAACAAACCACGGACATACTCGATTGGGTCACGAATCGAACGGACTTCGTTGACTTCGTCACGAGTACGGTAGGAGGTACCTGGATCGGACATGGAGTGACCGACGTAACGGTAGGTATCCATCTCCAAAACGAATGGACCCTTTCCAGAACGGCACCAATCGGCGACAAACTTACCGGCTTGCTTGACGGCCAATACGTTCATACCGTCGACCTTCATACCGGCGATGAAATGAGCACGCGAGTAAAAGTCGCTACCGGCGGCGGCACGTGCCTGTGAAGTACCCATACCAAACTTGTTGTTCTCACAGATAAAGACACATGGCAAGTCCCAGAGCTTGGCCATGTTGAAAGCCTCGAAAAGTTGACCTTGGTTGGCGGCACCGTCACCGTAGTAGGTGAGACAGATGTTACCGGTGTTATTATACTTTTGGGTGAAGGCAATACCAGCACCAACTGGACATTGGGCACCGACAATACCGTTACCACCATAGAAATTGTGAGTGAACATATGCATACTTCCACCCTTACCCTTTGAGCAACCGGTGGACTTCATCAACAACTCTGCCAAAACTGACTCTGGTGTAGCTCCACGAGCCAACATAAATGTGTGATCTCTATATGCTGTAATTACATGATCGTTCTTTGTAATTGCTGCTTCCATACCTGTACAAACAGCTTCCTAAAGTTGATCATATTAAAAAAATAATAATAACATTAATATATATGTATTATAGTTGTTTTTGTCTTGATTTGTTATTGTTATTGTTATTGTTGTTGATTATTATTATATTGTTATTGTTGATTGTTGTTGTTTGAATGATGATGATGATGAATATGATGATTCTTACTTGTCCATTGTAAAGATGACAGAAACCTCTGATCAATTTCTTTTTGTAGAGAGAATCGGCAACCATTTCAATTCTTCTCATTCTAGTCATATCAGTGAAATGAGTGATCAACTCTTCTTTGGTGGTGGTGCATTCATTTGCTGGACCATCACAAAGATAAGTTTCATACTTTCTTGGGAACTTTACTTTAATTTCACCTGACTTTGAAGCAAATCCTCTAATTGACTAAATATTTTAATAAAATAAAAATATTAATATTAATATAACGATGTTCTTGTTCTTGTCAAGATAAATCGAGCAAAACAACAATTTTTTAAAAATAAAATAAAATTCAAAACAAAACATGTCACACACAATTATTTTCCAATACCATCATTACTTATTATATATAAATGGTAAAAGAAACAAATATTTTTATAACTCAAATATCTTTTCTTTTATAATAGTTAATATGATATCATTAACTAAAAATATCATATTAACTTAACTAACAATATCATAATAAGTTGGTAGTGTGATTATATTGTGCTTTGTTTATGTTATGTTGATCTTTATTTTTATTTTATTTATTTTTTAATATTGTTGTTATTTTGTTGCTATTGCTATTGTTATTGTTATTGTTACATACGTTGAAGGTAGCAACAGTCTTGTTGACATTTCTAAGGAGACTTGAAGTGTACATTCTGATGTTGTGAATTGTGTTTTTCAATAACTAAATTTACAAAACTAAAAACAATGACAACAAACTGAACTTGAATGATTTATAAGAAATGTAAAGGTTGGTTGTTTAGTTATGATATATCACAATAATGATATGAAATGAACAAACAAACTAACTTTTAAAAAAAAATAAAAAAAAAAACTAATCAAGATGAAATTTTGGTAAGGTGTTTTGAAGTTTTGCAAAAAATGAAAAAAATAAAAAAAAAAAATACAATTGAATTTTTTGATTTTCCCAAGTCACACACAACTATTCACACAAAAAGGTTTTCGTTTTGAATTGTAGAGGCTTGTTGTTTTTAATGATGATCACCACAATACCAACTTCTCAAAACGTTACACAGAACATCTAAATTCTACACTTTTTTTTTTTTTTTTTTTTTTTTTAAAAGTTAAATTAATTAATTAAGTGGACAAGTTATAAAGATAAAAATAATTAGTTTAGTTATGTTATATGATATTTTTAGTTTATATTTGCGCAATTAAAGAATGTTTATCTTTATTATAAATATATGTATATATGGTTATATAATATCAAAATTATAAACTTTGAAGAAATTTGATGTTATGAAATTTCTATTTTTAAAATTTGAAAGTTGTGAATGAATATAGGTGTTGTCTGATTTTATAAAGTGTTTTGGTGTCCAATCGAGGTTGTTTTGTTCGATTCTCTCCTTTGCTTGAGTACGTTGTGCTTCCTCTACCAAGTGTTTCTGTGCTTGTGCTTCCTCTTCGTTGTCGGCATTGATATTCTTTATGACTGCACCCCACACTCTACGTGAAAAGTTCTCTGGTTGCTCTGCAACTGGTGGTACCACCATATCCAATGTCTTAAAACTATTGATATCAAAGAACGTTGTTGTTTTCTAAGCATAGATTAATAATAAAATAAAATTAGTCAACTGTTTCATATTATAAAATAGATTAGATTATTTGAATATTGTTATAACTTACATTTGTTTTTGAATTTAAAATATTAATTTTACCATCCCAATCGGCTTCTAATGTATAGAGTGATTTCTTACTGGATGGATGTCTGACCTTTGCAATCATGAAATTTTTGTTTTTAAATAGACCTTTGCCTTTGAATTCAATCTCTGCTGTATGGTTTGTTTTCTTGCAGGTGAGGACAGTCGATCCTGAAACTTCGGTTGTCAATGTTCCAAGTACGACACCCTTAACAGCAATCTTTGGTACATCAACCAAATATTCTTCGGAATACTTTGGTAGTTCAAATATTAATTTTCCATCCACTTTGTAAATTGAGTTAGTATAAAAGATTTTAATTAAAATTAATTCTCATTATTATTATACTTACTACAACTTTCAAATGAATTACCCCAGAATTTTGAAGTTGGTTGAAGATAGGAGTGAAAGATTGCATTGTTCTTTTTGTTGGTGTAACAGAATGCCGATGATGGTGGATGATGTGAAATCTGCTCACTGTGATAGTGTGTGGTCGATCCATCTTTGTGCTCCATATGACATGAAAATACCTCTCCAATCACTGGATTGAATGGATTTCTTACATCTTGTTGTACCAACCAACTTGATAGATAAAATTTCAAAATCTCTAAAAATCTTGCTTCCTCTGTTTCTTGTTGTGATGCACTGCGAATAAAAAGAAGAAGAAGATTAGTATTTAACAATTTAATATTATTTTATATTATATAAACACTTACTTTATAAATAATTCAAAGTATTTACCCATATCAGTGAATTTCTCGAGTAAAGATCTTGGTTCAGAAAAGCAAATAGGTAAACTCATTTTATAGAATGGTTGCTATAAAGTAAATAAGTTAATTTAATCATTTCATTTAATAATATAATTGATAATTTCTTTACTTACTTTACTAGAAACCATTTGTTTCATTAAAGATGCCATTGCACCTTTCATTTTTTTATCTTTTGGAGTGTCATTGACATTCTCGTCAGAGACACCATCCTCCTCGATATTTTCTTCTTCATTCCATTTCTGTGATTCTTCTGATGAAATCTCAACACTATTTGACATATTTATAATTTAATGTGATATGTGAAATAATTATTATAATGTGATTGATTGAAAATTAATTTAATGTGAAATGTTGAAATAATAAATAATATAATGAATATGTTTTTGCTAAATAAATAAATAAATTGTGAATTATATTGAAATCAATCTTTTTAATACAATTTTTAAGTATTTTACAAATCTAAAAAACTAAACTAAAAAAAAAATAGTCTGTTTTTTTTTTTTTTTCGATCAAGATTTTAAGAGATTGAAATTTAAAAGGAATATTCTAAAAAAATACAAAAAAACTAACTACTAATTATACTTTAGTTATTTATATATTCTAATTCTAATGTGTTTAATTTTATATATTAAAAAATAAATAAATTTGAGGTATAAATAAAATATTTGGATTGAAATGTTTACGTTTTACAAAAAAGAACAAAGCACTATGCTGGAATTCTTCCTTTTTGTTTAGATTGTTGTTGGACAGTGGTAGTTAGAATGGCACAATAAGATGAGTGCTTGTTTCAAAAAAAAAATGACGAAATAAATTAATTAAAAAAATCATATTTCAAAACAAAATGACACCATTTTGTGCCCCACAGCCATCAAAAAATTCAATCGAATTTCACAAAAAACCTAAAAACTTCAACTTATAACCAAATTTGGAATATGTGGTATAATTATAATGGTTCTATCAATCGCAACAGTAAACAAACTTTTTCTTTTTTAATTTAATTTACAGTCAGCCAAAGTGTGTGACTCTTGATCATATGAGGTCATAGTGAAAAAAGTTAACAAATTCGCGCACACGATTTTAATTAAAGCAAGCTGTAGGTAGCTGATTTTATCATAATAGACCTGGTCAAATAAAAATCTTTTAGATTCTTTTCAATATTAATTAAAAAGTGATAATATTGTATAAAAAAATAAAATAAAATAATAATAAAATAAAAGTCAACTTTAGAAAGCAAGCTACACCATCTAGTTTAATATTATATACTTGAAATTCAGATAAATTCATTGTCCAAACTAGGTTTAGAAATATAACTTTAACAAAAGCACAAAAAAGAGAAAGGAATTAAATAATAATAATAATAATAATAATAATATTAACTTAACGAATGTTAGTTAATCAAGAGTAGAGCATATTTAATATCTATGATAGCATTTTAAGATCATCTATAATACATACATGTTTGATTGAAATTTTATTAAATTGATATGTTGATGTTTTAATGTTTTCTCGTTCCAGAATAAAATGTTCTTATAAATATCTATTTGGTTGGATTACATCAAACATATTGGTTATAGGCGAAATACTGTAGATCTATGGTAAGAAGATGCAATCATTATAATACAAACCAAAAAAAATTAGAACTTTGCAAGTTTGAATTTTTTGATTGGACATGTGATTAATAGTAGTTGTTGCACAATTCTGCTGTTATTTATTTTCGAGTACACATCCTAACAATAACAACTATTATAGCAGCAAGCGAAATGAAAAAAGCGACTATATTCAGAATATCTTTTTTGGTGAGTCGTCGTTCAGACGTCTACAAAATTGGTATTAGTTAGTTAGTTTTGAGAGGGGATTATTAATATAGATAATATACATACATCAGCCACTCTTTCATAACGGTAAAGATCATAGTCACCAGCTGGAAATGGAGATGAAACAATCACATGATTGATATCACCACGTGTAGTTAGTGAAACTCTTGATAGTCCCAAGTCCTCTTCGATAAAAGACAATGATACACCTTCACGATAAACACGTTCTGGTAGCTCATCATCTCTATTGAAAAACAGCCTGACTAGACGAACTGGAGTGGTGGTAGTGGCAACATAAGCAGGAGGTAAAACCACAATGGGATTTACTTGTACATAAATGAATGGTCCAATTCCACCTGCGTGTCTAAGCGAACCATCAACATTACGAATAGTATCGGCAGGGTCAAGACGAATCATAGGAGCACCAAAGTTAATAGATGCAGCTGCATCTCGGTCAGTATGAGCATCGGTAGGTGACCAGAACAAATCAATCGGTTGTTGAGGTACATATAGGTATGGTGATTGACGAATTAAGTCCTTTAGAAAGGAGTAGGTAAAGACTGTATCACCCAAACCTATCTCATCTACATTTCCATTGTAATACACACGATAGTATTCCATGATTGCTATATTTATAATTACTATTTAACTAAATGAATAAAATACCACCTGTCATTTATTGAAGACATATTTAATAATCAAGAGGAAGTTATCTTAAAATAAGTGAAATCTGATTAAAAGTGCTAATAAATTAAGTCTTTATTAATTTAAACTCAAAATCAAGCAAAGACAACTAACGATACACAAATATGAGAAGTATGTGTTTGTTTAATAGAAATAATAAAATATAATGTTTTTTATTTATTTAATACTTTTGAAAACGATAACAAGAAAATGAACCGATAGCCTGGTAAAAAATAATTATTCTGGTTTAGTTTACTAAATTGGTATTAGTTATGAGAGGTGGTGCTGAGTATTTAAATGAGGGGATCTATTCATCACAATAACCCATAACTAATACCAATTTAATATTGACCAGCAGGGAAAGGAGATGGAACAACCACGCGATTGGTTTCACAAAGTTAAATTTGTATTGGACTCAAGAACGCGAAATACATGAGGATGACAGATTCTGGTAGACTAACATGATATATATAATAGGCCACACCAATACCATTGACAAACGATTTAACTTGACAAACAAAATCTGCAGAATGTGGGCCAATACAGAGATGGTCACTAATATAAATGAATGATTCAATGCAACCAGTGTTTGTTTGAGAACCATCATCAATTCGAATTGTATAATGGAAGTCCAGACTATTCATTGGAACCACTGTGACAATTGACAAAAGATTAGAACAAGTAAATGGTTGTCAATGTTAACCAATATCTTAAAGATTTTCATAATCCATTCGATTCTCTCTCATCAACACTTTCCCTGTGTAATGTACACTCTCTATTTTATTTTGATAAAAATTCTGAATTTAATTTTAATTATTTGATAAGTTATATAATGAATGATACAGCACTAACAAAAAGATACTTAGCTAGAAAAAAAGATTGATGATAGCTAGACAGACATTATGAAAATAATGTTAAATTTGATTCGTTAACTAAGGGTGAAACCACACTAATTTTAACAAATATCACTTTAAAATGATTTAGAAGAAAAGAGATATATTTTCTTTGGATAACAATTCATAGAGTAAATAGATAGCATATCATGTTCAAGTTATAAATGCATTTGTGTTTGTGTTTTATTTTCAATTGATGTTGAAGAGGATGGTTGTTGTTGTTGTTGTTGTAAATCCAATGACCATTTATCAATGTTCATAAGTTGTTTACCGAGTGGTGTGAGTGTCGGTAGTTGATAATCGATGGATTCTAGAGTAGCAAATTGTTTGGAGGTGTAAGTTGGATGTACACCTTTGTGATACCAGTTCAGCTGTTCCAGTGCGTATCGGTCGTTGAGTGGCACCGCTGGAAGATGTGCAGAGTACACCACCTCTCTTACGGCGGTGCCAGAGTGCACCTCGTCGTTGCAATGCGGAATTCGCCAGTCCCAGAAAATGACATCGCCTCTTTGCATCGGGATGTGTTGCAGCTGCTTCACCAGCTCGGGATCGGTCTCACTGGAGAAATCGAATGCATTGCCACGCTTCAGACGCGTCGAGGTCAATGGGATCTGAGTGATATTGTTATCGAGCGATTGGTTGATCTGCTCATAGATATCGGGATAGCGCTCACGGAAGTAGTCGACGCAGCGCGAGTGGAACGAAGGAATACACCAGAATCCACCGTTTCCAGGCTCGACCGTATCGCTCAGCGCCACGAACGCTTGGATCGGCTGCCAGAAGCGCAGAGGGATCAACTCCACAGTGTTACTCTCCTTCGAGATACGTTCGCCTCTGAACAAATGGAAAGGATTACAATCGAGATGAGTACCAGTTCCTTTCTGAACGGTCGGTTGGTTCCTAAGTAGTAGTTGTTCAGCTTCGTTGCCATTACTACTATCATCATTGTTCTCCTTAGTTTCATTGCTTGAACTATTATTAAAAGGTATTCTAAATCCACAGCGATTTACAAACATATACATATGTTTCGGATCGAAATGTTGATAGTCGTTTGGCCACTGTTTGGAGTTGGCGTCAGAGTGCGAGTAGGTGGCATCGTAGAGCTGCTCGAACGACTTGTAGAGCGATGGATGCTCTCTGATTTTGTACATTGCTTGGCCGTGGTAGAAGTTCACCATTCCACCGAACCCGGTGGATACCTTTGACATCTTGTCCTCTTGGAGTTTCAGTAGCTGTGACTCTTCGAACGATCCTATCTTTAGCGATTCATCAAAGTGGATGCCAGCCTGCTTGGCCAAGTATCGTCTGATCTCCATTTGATGTTCGGTCATCAACGACTGATCTGCGTCATTGCCAAACAGGTTACGCTTTACAACGTAACCAAACTCCTTGTAGTGAGCAATGTCTTTATCATCCAATATATTGACATTGTCATCAATTACCAATGTCTTATTACTGATATTTCTATCTAATGTCATACTTTGATGTCTATTACTATTATTATTATATTTAAAGTAATATCTTTTTTGGATGTTATTATTGTTGATGTTGTTGTGACTACCACTACTACCACTACTACTGTTGAAAAGACAACAACTACTACTTCTTTTTATATTTTCAATAAAACAATTGTTGTTGTTAATGATGATATGTTGATTTCTAGTTAAAAGTCGTCCAAACATAACTTAACTACAACAACAAATAGCTAATAAATGATGATGTGACTGTTAGACTTTAGTCTAAATTGGAAATGTAATTACATTCAATGATCTGTATTTTTTTTATGACAATGAAACGAATAAATAAAAAAATAAAAAATGTTTGCAAAACAGAAATTTGTCGTCGGAATTTATTAAAAAATAAAATTTTAAAATAATTCAGTTTTAAATCCGGAGTTAGAGTATATGACGCGTAATCTAATGTACATTTGAAGTATTAATTATTGTTTTATTACCTACTTCTCTTACTTTTTTGGATAAACTTCCATTAGAAGGTGATTAATTGTTAAAATTATTGAATTTGATCAAAGCATACGATTTTTTTTTATTTTTTTTATGAACAAAATCTGGTTGGCAAATACTTGTTAATTTTTTTAATTTTCTTTTAATTCATTTTCTGTTTCTAAATAATTTTTTATTTATATTATTATTATTATGAGCAGAAAAAACTGTAATGGATATAAAGAAGTATTCGGATTTCGAAAGCAGAAATCTTCATCTTGTCTCAATAATTAAGGAATGCGAAGATCGCAATAGAATTGAACTTGAAAGACACATACAAGATCCAGAGGAAATGGATAGTGAAAGTGAGGCAGATGAAATCAAAAGAGAGCGAGAGGAGATTGAAAAAGAAAGAGAGGAGATTGAAAGAGAAATAGAGGAGATAGAAAAAGAAAGAGAGGTGATAGAAAGAGAAACGGTACCTTCACCAAACTCTGGTTTACCAGAGATCGTCACTCGAGTGCCAACTTGAATGGCTTTACCCTCTTTCATATTATTAAAGTATTAGCTAATATATATATTTAAAACCTATCTAGAAATATCTCTTTTGTGTACAATTACAATCTAAAAAATAAATTGTAATTAATGATAAGGTAAGTGAAAGCAAACAATTTAAATAAAACTATTGTTGATGGAGTTTGGTGATCATCATTAAAAATCTGTTTCATGGTATTTTCAATCATGATATTAAAAGAGACGTAAAAGATCTTTATTCATTTTAAAATTACAAAATTACCATATTTTAATCTCAAAACCCGAATATTTTTTTTTCTTTTTCATCATTGGCTCCATAGTTGAATGGTACAATACTACCTTTGGGTGGTAGTGGTCTGGGTTCGATTCCCGGTGGAGCCCCAAAATATTTAATACTTAAAATACCGCCTGCGGTATTTGAAAAAAAAAAATAATAAAAAATAAATTCTCTCATGAAATCCTTATAGAATCCTTCCAACTACGTGCCACCACTTTATACTGTTGTTCATCAACACGCAACTACTGTTAGATCTATTTTATCCTAATACTACTCAACTTATTAATTAATAATTTATAACAATAATAATAACATTTTATTGGCTATATTTCTCACGGCCTGTGTGAGAATGTAAATATAACATAAAACACGAACTAGCAGGTTAATATCAATACCTGCAATTTGTTGACTGATCATGAGTCAACAAATCTTTTTTGCAAAACAAAAAAAAAAAAAAAAAAATCCTTATATCTAAATGATGGCCATCTCAGTTCCCTGGACGGATTGTAGTCTCACAGCAGTTCCTTTCCTTTATCAAACGTATATACCACAAGTACTGTAACTATAGACTTCGTAATTGGAAGCACTCGTGCATCAAGTTCGACGGTCCTATTTGTACTACTGTCCACTTCACCCACCTTACTGCTGCTATCGTACATTCGTTATGGCAGGCGCTGTCCTGTGAAATGTTTGGTGATGGTACCCATTACAAGCTGGAAAATACCGTCAAGAGAGCAGTCACCCATTACACCAAATTAATCGATGCCAATTACCACAAGCTTAACTTCACGATCGCTAATTCAATCTCCCAAGGAGTCACTGTCGATTGCTCTGCATTAACGCGTAAATTTAAATCTGATTGGAATCTTAATCCTTCCAACTACGTGCCACCACTTTATACTGTTGTTCATCAACACTCAACTACTGTTAGATCTATTCTATCCTAATACTACTCAACTTATTAATTAATAATTTATAATAATAATAATAATAATAATAATAATAATAATAATAATAATAATAATAATAATAATAATAATAACATTTTATTGGCTATATTTCTCACGGCCTGTGTGAGAATGTAAATATAATATAAAACACGAACTAGCAGGTTAATATCAATACCTGCAATTTGTTGACTGATCATGAGTCAACAAATCTTTTTTGCAAAAAAAAAAAAAAAAAAAAAAGTTCCTGGATATATCCAAGTCAAAGCGCCTATACTGCGTAACAGCATATTCCAGCTGTACTCTCACACCTTCCCCATCAACCACAAGCGCACTGGTCATGTCTGTGAGTTCTGTGGTTACACCTTCACTGAACTCTGCAACCCACATGAGCATTTCTTCTTCAAATGCAGGAATGTAGTTTCACAGCAGTTCCTTTCCTTTATCAAACATATACCACAAGTACTGTAACTATAGACTTCGCAATTGGAAGCACTCGTGCATCAAATTCGACGGTCTTATTCGTACTACTGTCCACTTCACCCACCTTACTGCTGCTATCGTACATTCGTTATGGCAGGCGCTGTCCTGTGAAATGTTTGGTGATGGTACCCAATACAAGCTGGAAAATACCGTCAACCCATTAAACTAAATTAATCGATGCCAATTACCATAAGCTTAACTTCACAATCGCTAATTCTATCTCCCAAGGAATCACTGTCGATTGCTCTGCAATAACGCGTAAATTTAAATCTGATTGGAATCTAAATCCTTCCAACTACATGCCACCACTTTATACTGTTGTTCATCAACACTCAACTACTGTTAGATCATTCTATCCTAATAATACTCAACTTATTAATTAATAATAACTATAAACAATAATAATAATAATAATAATAATAATATTTTATTGGCTATTTCTCACGGCCTGTGTGAGGATGTATATATAATATAAAACACGAACAAGCAGGTTAATATCAATACTGATCATGATGAGATCGATTCCTTTTTTTGAGTCATCTTCTGATTGGATGTATTCTATCACTTTCTTCTTGAAATGGTAATCATAAGTAGAGTCTGATATCGCAACGACTGCTTCATATATAAGACCATGGTTGTGATAATATAAATTAAATAATGGTATAATAGTAGGAATGATAATAAATAATAAAGGGATTGGTTGTTGTACTAGTTAGTTCTAAAGAAAACAAATGATGATCAGTTTTTATTTTATCATTTATCAAAATTTAATTCATTGGCTTATGCACAATTGTTCATAGTTTATAACAATAATCGAACATCATTGGAATATAAATAATCAGGTGCTGAACAATTTAACAAAAATGATCAAAAAAAAAAGTTCTTAGATTTTTGGAAAATTCACATGACCAAACACAAATGATCATTGATATTCCAATTATTTTTTTTTATTTGATCAAGATGTTTCAGTTGAAGGTTACAAGTAAAGCAAATTATTTATATCAATAAATGTTCAATTCAAATATCATCAAAGTAAAAATTTAATGAAAGAAAAAGAATATTTAATAAAATTCTAAAAATTCTATTACTCTTATAAATTTGCTTTTTACTTTATTTGCAGAGATACTGCTCTTGAAGTTTAGGCACCAGATTTTATAGTTTGGGATAAAAAAAGTAATAAATTAATTTGCACTATGTCACCCAATCAATGTTGATTATAATTAATTAATAAAATGCATTTTCAAATTAATAAAATCAAAAAAAAAAAAAAAAAAAAAAGTAAAAAAAAATTGAAGATCATAATTTGCTTAATTTTATTTAGTTGATCAACACTATTTTTTTTAATTTATTTAATGTTAGTTTAATTTGGAGCTATCTATGTCTAAAACTTATTATTCATTCGACTCGTTACTAAAATGTAACGTTGAATCACAAAAAGCAGAACAATCAGGTTTAGTAATCAAGAATGGAGGTATCAATGACTTGTTTGTTATTATATCGAAATACGGTGGCGATACAGGTGTCGGTTGCCCAAATTTTATAAAATTGAAACACATTCCAACAGGTCAAAAAAGAAAATTGGAACCTCTGGAAGTGACAGGTGCTTTGTGTGTCACAATCTCCAAAATGTCTAACAATCAATACCTTTTCAAAACAATCGAGCTTCCAAGTCAAAACCATGTATTACAGATCTTACCCTTCCCCACCGACCAAAAGAAAATAGAGGATCTAGCAAGCACTACTGAATTTTTCACACACTCAAAAGTAGGCTTTTATAAAGTAGTCAAATTACCAGAACGAAACAAACATATAAAGAAATATATAGTATTAAATTCAGATACCATGTTGTTAGTATGTACTATAAAATAAACACATTGTAAAATACATATGTACTAACAAATAATAATAATTAGAATGTATATACCGAATATCGGTGTGAACATCCATCTCTTCAAAATAGAGCAACCAATGAAATTCAAGTTTTGAAAACAATGTCCCGCAGTAATACTCAAATATTAAAACTGTTATTCGATTACCACAGCAATGACAAATCAGTCTATTCAACAATAACAGAGTTTGGTAACATGGATATCCATCAACTGTGTGATTTATATCAAAGGTAAGTTATAAATTTTAGCTAGTATATTTGCCTAAAAACATTCTAACATAGTCATCACTATAAAAAGTAACTATATATCCGAGCCAAAGAAAAGTAAATATATATCCGAGCCAGAGAAAATTAAATATATACCCGAGCAAGAGATATGGCTTTGTCTCAAACAACTCTTAGTTCTTCGGAAAGAAATGGAGATTAACCAAATTGTACATTGCGAAATAAATGGATCCAGTGTATTTGTTAAGCAACAGTATACAAATAGTTTACAGCTTTCTTTGGGCAACTTTCATAAGTCTATCTTCATTGCCAAGAACAATGGAGCTGAATCATCATTGAGTAATGGCTGTGAAAGCGAGAATGGTGAAGCTGAAGGTGGCAATAGCAATAATGTAAGTTATATTTGGATTAGAAAGAATCATTTTTAATAAATACTAAAATCAAACATTAATAGAATGTTTTAGATAAAGAAAATATATCTAGAATGAAAGGTCATGATGGAGAGAGTGATATTGTGGGAATTGGAAAGGTTATTCAATTGTTATTGTCATGGTAAGTTCAATTTAAAAATAGTGACCAGTATTGATGTAAATTGTTAACTAACAACAATTTTTTTAATTCATTATCCAGTAACATAGATGATGAAATTAATTTTAATAAATTATTCAATGACAAGAATACTACTAGAATTTCACACGAGGGATATTCACAGGAGTTAATTTTATTCGTCAAAGATTATCTGCTGGGCGCCAAACGAGAGGATATTGACACTCTTCTCTCGATCTTGGATGAACACCTTCGAAAAAAACAATTTACAATATTCTATAATAGCTCATCTCCTTTTACATTCCAAAGTGATATGTATATAACAGTTTTGGTACTCGGTGATCACTTTGACCAAGAATTAGGAGTACTACCGATAACACTCCAATCTATCAAATTAGGAAATAGATTCAACCGACCTATTCGATCAGGTTTACCACACACTTTAAAACAAATAGAATTTGGTGATCAGTTCAACCAGCGATTGGAAGTTAATGTTATACCGGAATCAGTCACCACCATCATATTTGGAAAGGAGTTCAATCAGAGTTTGCAAGCGGGTGTCTTATCAAGCCAATTGAAAGTATTGATTTTCGGTGATAGATTCAATCAGGTATTGAAGCCAGGTGATCTTCCACCAAATTTGGAGAAATTGAAATTCGGTAACGATTTCAATCAACCATTGGGACCAGGTGTAATTCCATCAAGTCTACAGAAGTTGCAATTAGGATACAGTTTCAATCAAAAGATCCAAGCCGATACACTGTCAGACAATATTCATACTCTTACATTTGGAGAGTGTTTCCAAGGGGAGATCGAAAATCTACCAAAGGGAATAGCTACACTTGAGGTCCCAAGTAGTTACAGTCAGAATCTTCCAATGGAAGAGTTACCAAACCTTACAACATTGAAAGGAGTTAGTCAATGGATTAAAATTCCAGAATCTGTCACGAGCTTGACATTTGGAAGACATTTCAACCAACCTATATTGGTAGGAATGCTACCAAGGAGCCTTGTTTGTCTGGAGTTTGGTTCGGATTTCAATAGTAAAATATATCGACGTGCAATACCTAATAGTTTACGCACCTTGATATTTGGTTATTCTTTCAACCAACCGATTAAGAAGTTACCATCCGGCATTGAAGTATTGACATTTGGCGATTCTTTCAACCAACCAATCGATGGCAGAGTACTTACGAAAACAATGAAATCATTATCATTAGGATTGCAGTATAAACAACTACTTCCTACACTTCCATCATCTACACAGACAGTTCAGCTTAGTGATGGATATCCTCACCATATTCATTCATCAACAACTACACCAAATCTTACTTCTTTCAAAATTGGAGAAAAAGAGTACATCAACTATATCCGAGCATTAAACCAAAACAAAATCGAATATCATTTCCCAGACAATTCAGATAAAAAATTTACAATATTACAATTACAATATCACAAAACCAATCCAAGTAGTAAGGTATTCACCATCGTCAACAATACCTGTACCGATTTTATAGTTTATATTCGATACAAGAACAATACCAAACAACTAGATTCCGTAAATCATTATTTATCCAATCACCTTCATAACAAAGTAACATTACACCCACAACAATATAGTTCCATCGACCAAATCATAATCATGAAATTCACCAACAAAATATTGATTTCCAATATTTTTAATATTCAAGAGTCAGAACCATGCGAAATTACTCTTTCAGTTAAACATTCATTCTCATTCAACATTTACAATCAAACTCCTTTAATGTTTCCAGTGCATTATATCTTGAGTCCCGAAGAACTCGAACATATAAAAGAAAAGTATCTTGTAAACAACAAGGAATATAATATAGTATTCACATTTCGAAATGGGGCCAATACCTCACATCTGTTGATAGATAAAGAAACTCATCAATTGGTAATGTATTTTATTTACAATCAATATCAATATACTATACTTACTAATATGTCAATTATCATACTTTAGTACGTTTGTAAAACTATGACTAAACATTTAGGTCAAGCATTTGAAGAAATCAAAGCTCTAAAATCAGTGATCGGTAACAGTCATTTCGTTCAATATGTAACTCATGAGTATGATTCGGGGAAAGAAATACGTTTGCTTACCAAGTATTGCAATGGAGGTGACCTTTCGCTTATTCAGAAATCAATTGTCAATTGGTAAGAGTAAAAACAATATAAATTTTCTTTTATTTATTTACTCTTATTTAATCTTTAGGAATGAGAATAATGAGAATAATAAATATCAATTCTCAGAGAAAAAGATTTGGTCATATGCATCACAGATGGTAACCTTTGTTCAAGAGTTGGATGCCAAGGGAATCTTGCACGGTGATATCAAACCTGGTAATATCCTTTTAGAAAATAACAAATTAGTGTTAGGTGACTTGGGTAGCAATATAATAACCAATAAAATCCAAGATGGTGCCAATTTAAATAATGATCCTGCTTTGGTGAATGCTCTAAAACTTGCACCAAGAGGAACTCAAGGTTTCAAAGCACCAGTAAGTACCACTCTTGTTATCTTTTTGGAACCAATCATGCTTGATTTCTAATCTTTATTTTATTTCACTAACAACCATAAATTTAATAAGGAAACCAATAATGTAGATATAGGAAATAGAATCTATACAATTGCAAGTGATTTTTATTCAATTGGTTCATCTTTACACTTACTTATGACAACGTAAGTAAAGTTTTTTGATTTTGGATCAACAAAACAACAATATAGAAATACTAATTTTAAAAACAATTCTTCAGCTTCGGCATAGATGACAAACAATATCGCATTGCATTTTTGAAAGATCCTAACAAGGTTCAAATATCAAGTAGATACTCTACTGACCTGATTATTTTTATTCGAAAATTACTTTCAATTGATCCTGAAGTAAGGGGTGACATTGAAACTTTTCAAAAAGCCATACCAAGTCACGCTAAAATCGGATCTAATAAATAAAGAAAAAAACTTAATAAATTTATTAAAACTTTGATACAATAAAAGAAGGTCTCTGATTCTATCACCATTTATCTTTAACAAACATATCATTCAGGCATTTTATGCGTATGCGCAATAAAGCCGTTATTTAAATAGATATATCTATTCTTTACCGTTTAATCATCCTCAACTTTACCAAAACAGGATGTCATTTCGTTCTCCTAATCAATAGGTGTCGATATAAAGTTACCTTCGATGGTAGCAATATTTACTCATGGTTAATAAGACTAATTCGAATGAAGTAATTTGTTGCCCAATTTGAATTTTAAATGAATTATCCTGAATTTTATCTGATCAAATTAAAAAAGACTAAATAAATGTATTGTGTTGCATTGTAAAAAATAATTTAAGTTTAAAAAATTCTAACCCCAAAAAATAAAATTTACTTTTTTTTTTTGATCATTGATCGAGAAAAGATATCCAAATAATAGAAATAATAATAATTTAAATTATCACACAAATATTTAACGTTAACAATGACAAAATGTTTAATTCATCAAAGATCACACGAAATCATTTGTTATCAATGTAATAGTTTATTGTGTTCCCAATGTTATAAAGATCATTCTGATCATACCGATCATGTGGAACATATTTCAGATATCAAACATGCATTCAGTACATTAAGATTAGATGATATTAAAGGCGATACCACCACAACAACCAATAATGATTTTAATAATGTTAATAACCATGGTAATATTTTTCATTCACAAATCAATGATATATGGGAATCATTAAGATCATCGACATCCAGATATCAAGCATTATCAAAAACAGAGAATGAAATCAAACAATTCTTTGAAGAAATGCATCAATTTCTAACCATTAAAGAACATAAACTACAAAGAGATATTATCAATGATAAACAAACAATCACAAAACAAATCGATAAAAAAATCATGAATTTGAAATATTTAGTTAATATTATAAATATCTCTAATAAGTTAAATAATAACGATATTAGTAATAGTGAACTTAATAATGATATTTGTGATGATCAGTCAAAGATAACAGATACCACAACATTATATTCAACAACAACAATAATGGAATCAATAACAACAAGTTCATCATTACAATCATTCATCAATCATAATAATCAAACATTATTCAATGAATATCTTGATCTATTCGATACTGATGAACTTCTCAAACAACACACCAATGATACGTCATCATTATTATTAGATATCATTCATAAATACAACAATCAATTCAATGAATCAACAACAATCACAGACAATAATAACTTAGCATTATCATCATATAAATTATCAATAAAACAACCTGATTTCAATCAATTGAATTCAATCATTGAACAATCAATCAAACTTGATAAAATAGAATCAATAAATACAACAACAAACAATCACAATAAACAATCATATATTTCCACAACACATTTACAAAGTGATCAGCAAGTAAATGTTGACAACGCAGATTTGGACACAGGCCACATAACATGTAAATTTACCGATCATTGCAATACTATTGATGACTTGCTTATTGCTTTGAAAAATGTGGATATAGTTCCATTATCATACCCTTTAATGCTTGGTCCTTTGGCGATAATCGAATTGGAATCTAGATTGATATATTCAGTTCTTCAAAGAGATTGGCCATTTGATAAGATATTAACTGACATCAAAGGCACAGAAGTAAGTGTAATATTGATTTATCAAAATTATTGAATTATAATAACTAATTAAAATTTTATAGATCGAAATAAAACCTTTTGATGGTGATTTGCCAAATTGGTGCGTGTATCTCCTCCCATTGAAACCAATCTATGACACTTCGATGTTGAATACTATCATCTATTTCAAACATTCCAAGTGTGTGCTTCATGGTGATTTTTGTAAAGTGTCAATGCCTACCTCTGACGAGAGAGATACACTACTGGATTTGAAATTTATAAGTACAGATAGCAACAAGTACTGGGTATATGACAACTCTATACTTCGTCAGATACAGTCTCTCCGAAAGGAAATCCCAAAGGTTCAATTCGAATTCTTGATGAAAATTAAAAGTGACCTCGACTCTATACTCGCTAGAAATCAAATTGTATTTCAAATGATTGACGATTCACAAACATTGGTATTTCTCTCGCCAAATCCAATGAATTCTAGTTTGATAGAGTTCAACGAACTTATAGATTCTAAATACAAGCTAGGACAAGAGGAAATCACATGTACAAAATCGAAACTTGTTATGGATGTCATTAAGGATATGTTCTATGGAAAACAATCAACATTTCACTTTACTAAGCTTGGCAATGGTGTTTATGAGAAATCAGTGATTATTTACATGTATGGTCCAATCAGCGAAATCGATTCAATCTCCAAAGAAATTTCCAAATCGTCCTATCAGTCATTCCAATTGAGCACAAATATCAACATGGAGAGACAAATTCTCAAAGATAATGAGAAGGAGCTGCACCAATTCAAAGTTAGATTTGCATTTGTAGGAAACCACATTGCTGCATATGGTAATTCCGATTCAATAGTGAAGCTTTTCAAATTTATCGTGAAAATGTTGAATCGCCCCATAGGTGCTGAAATGACTTATGGTATGGATGCAAACGTTAAAGCAGAAATAGAATTAGGTGAGCAAGGTACATTATAATATTGTTTAACACTGTACCTTATATTCTCACACAGGCCGTGAGAAATAGCCAATAAAATTTATTATTATTATAAATATTATTATTTAGTAGTTATTATTATTAATTAATAAGTTGGTTAGTATTAGATTAGAATAGATCTATTCTACTCTAACAGTAGTGAATGTTGAACAACATTATAAAGCGGTGGCACTTGTTGGAAGGATTTAGATTCCAATCAGATTTAAATTTACGCATCATTGTAGAGCAATCAACAGCAACTTTTTTTTTTTTTTTTTTTTTTTGCCAAAATAGATTTGGTGGCTCATGATCAGTCAACAAATTGCAGGTATTGATATTAACCTGCTTGTTCGTGTTTTATATTACAATTACATTCTCACACAGGCCGTGAGAAATAGCCAATAAAATATTATTATTATTATTATTATTGTTATTAATTCATAAGTTGAGTAGTATTAGGATAGAATAGATCTAACAATAGTTGAGTGTTGATGAACAACAGTATAAAGTGGAGGCACGTAGTTGGAAGAATTTAGATTCCAATCAGATTTGAATTTATGCGTTATTGCAGAGCAATCGACAGTGACTCCTTGGGAGATAGAGTTAGCGATCGTGAAGTTAAGCTTATGGTAATTGGCATCGATTAATTTAGTGGAATGGGTGACTCCTCTCTTGACGGTATGTTCCAGCTTGTATTGGGTACCACCACCAAACATTTCACAGGACAGCGCCTGCCATAACGAATGTACGATAGCAGCAGTAAGGTGGGTGAAGTGGACAGTAGTACAAATAGGACCGTCGAATTTGATGCACGAGTGCTTCCAATTACGAAGTCTATAGTTACAGTACTTGTGGTATATATGCTTGATAAGAGAAAGGAACTGTTGTGAAACTACATTCCTGCATTTGAAGAAGTAGTGCTCATGTGGGTTGCAGAGTTCAGTGAAGGTGTAACCACAGAACTCACAGACATGACCAGTGCGCTTGTGGTTGATGGGGAAGGTGTGAGAGTACAGCCGGAATATGCTGTTACGCAGCATAGGCGCTTTGACTTGGATATATGCAGGAACTGAGATTGGAGAACCAAAGAGTGACCAATCTGGATGGTTAGTTGACCTTCAGTACGGCGGACACGGGGGTACTTGTGGTTGAATAGTACAGAATAGATTTCCTTCAGAGTTAGGAGACTACCATCATCAGCAAGGATGGGATTGCCCGGTATGACTCTGGAGAAGTGATTGTTTCTAAAATCCACCCAAGACGAATGGAATAGTTTGAAGGAAGGTGAAGAAGTTGGATTAGTAAATTTTTTGGCACAATCAAGCATGGATGGCCAAGTTTTTAAAAAACCAAATGAGTTGCTTCTACTTAACAACAGGAATCTATTAAAGACCCATATCTTATAAGCAGCAGAGCGAAGAGATAGATCTCACAAATTCAGACCACCATCATTCCAGTGAAAGCAAGACCTGTCGAAAGACATCAAAGCGGTGAACTTTGGCATCAGGTGAACTGGTGAAGAACCAAGAAATAAGTCTGTTGACAATCTTGATTTGATCAGGTGTGGGTGATTCAAGATAGAAGTGATAGAAGAGCATGGGAATATATAAGATTTAATTATGGTTGATTCCCCCTAAGAGTATAAACATTATATTTATATAGAGCTAGGTTAGCTTTAATGAGATTGATTATACTTGCCAGTTTGGAGCAGTGACTATCCGGGTTGAAGTTGACACCTAAGGATCTATCAGGGATGATGGAGAAAGGGAACGGAAGGTTAGCAGAGGAAGTGTTACCGAGCGGAATGATAAACGATTTACTAGAGTTAACGTCCGCAGTGGTGGATAGTTTGAACAGGTTAAACCAGTAGATGACTCAGTTCATCCAAGTTCCGAGTGAAAGCACAAGTGTCATCAGCGAACATGAGCAACTTGATTCTTTCGAGCAGTAGATACTTCAATACAAATCTCTTTTGTTCAAGTTTGATTGGAGCAGAACAAGGTAGTCCAACTATATGAGAATCGGCGATGATCGCTTTCGCCAAACACTCTATCGTGAGGACAAAGAGAGCAGGAGAAAGGGGATCACCTTGCTTGGTGCCTCTATTGATGAAAAAAGATTTGGTTTTGAAACCGTTCACCAGAACAGAAGAGTGAGAGTTAGTTAGCAATGACATGATTAAAACCATAAATAGGAGCGGAACACCGATATGTAGCAGTGTACGTTTGATACTATTATGTGAGATTGAGTCGAAAGCTTTCATGATATCAATCAGTGTGATCAATCCATCAAGATTTCCAGCTTTTGCAGCGTCAATAATTTCCTTGAAGAGTATGGTGTTGTCATGAATGAATCTACTTGGTACGAACCCATTTTGAAATTTATTGATAATCTCATCCAATACTTTGGTGAGTACAGCAAAAATCTGAGAAACATAGGTATCAATAGTATCAGACTGATATACATTTATTTGTTATAGAAAGTAATAAAAAAAATATTTTTTATCATAGTACTTTTAAATTTATTTTGAAGAATGATACAAAGTAAAATGTTAACAGAAAGATAAAAGATTTTTGGAAAACTTGATTTAGATTACTGAATGGCACAAGTTATTGGTTTAAAATACAATTCCAATTGTTAACAGTTTCAAGACTAAAGAAAAACTAAGCAAAAACAAAAAACTCACATAACACAAATACTATTTGTATAAAAAGAGTATATTTTTAAAAGATTACTATAAAATTTTAAATCATTCAAAAAAAAGAGACGATTTTTGGTTTTTTTTGTAAAGTCCACCACAAAAATTTTTTTAAATGACTGTCATTATTTGTTTAATTCCATGGAAATTAAAAAATTTGAGTGGTTGACCCCCAAATTTTAATTTTTTCTATCTGTCTTTGAATGGAATGAAACAAATGAAAGTGGCATAATACAAATTTATCTCTAGTTGAGATTAAATAACATAAATAAAATTAAAAACTAATTAAATTAATTTATAAAATAAGCCTGGAGTAGTTCAATTAACATAAATAAATTAAATACAAATAAATTTAATATCCTTTTCTGTCATTAACTGAAGATAAAAGTCACTATAGTTTTGCAAAAACTAAAAAAAATTTGGATCTATTAATAGAAATGGTTAGATTACAAAAAAAAAAGTATCAAATATATTCTTAAAGTAACTGTCAAACATTTAACTGCCAAAGGTGGTGCAGGTATTTGTTGTTGTTATCATCGTCATCATTACCCCTACCACCACTACTAACATTTGTTATTCTTGCCGAACTTTGTTTTTTAGTAATCTTACTTCCAACTGTTCGAATACCAGATTTAGTTGTAGTGGTTGAAGTAGTTGTTGTTTTGGTTTCATGAACTTCTCCACCATCACTGGTTCTATAGTGATGTGTAATAGCTTTACCGCTACCACTGAGAGCCATGTCAGAATGAAGGATACTTTGATGTGGGGAATCAATTTTGTTGTCATCTTGGGAAGTAATAGTTTTTAGTGTAGTGGTAGTCTTTGAACCCCTTCCACTCTTTTTCTTTCCTTTACGTGTTACAAAAGTTCCAAAACTTTTTTAATGTTATTTTATGAAATTGTTTTTGTGTTAATTCGTCACGATTAATGATGAGTCCACAAACCAAATTCAATTCATATTAATTCAATTGTCAGATTACAAATTAAATCTCCAAACTAATATTTAAATGTTTCTGTGTAATGATGAACAACAACACATATTCCCACAATACTCAAAAATAGATCCATTTCAAATCTAGACAAATAACTTCAAAAAAAATAAATTTTTTGTTGATATACCAACAAATAAATAAAATAAAAATGGGTGAATTTTATTTGCTTCATCAATAATGGGCAAAAAACAACTGATGTTTGAAGTTAAACTCAAAATTGGTAGACCTTTTTAATATGAGAACAATTAGGGTACGTTTTCTCTTGCTTTTGAAAGAAATTTAATTTCAACTTTCCTTGTGGACAATTTACAAAAATAAATCATTAGATTTTTGATTTTATTTTATTTTATATTAAAAAAGTTTTTGAAAATTGATTATAAATTCAGACATTTTTTAAATTTAAAATATAAAATTATTTTATTATAATTATTATTAAATGGATAAAGATACCAATACAAATAATTCGGAAAGTTCCGATTATAAATCAAAACTAAATCAATTTATTGCAAAGCAGAATGAACAACTTAAACAATTGTTCCCAGATTTCAAAGGTTTTTCAGAGGAAGAAACCAAAACGTTAGAAGATTCATTCAAGAAATCATATGATAATCCAGAAATTGAATCTATCTTTGATGATTGGCCACTCATTGATATGGCATTAATCCTTGGAAATGTATTTTCATTTCATCCAGCTGGAGGTCCATTCACTGCTGCTTTCAACATTCTATTTGGCGCTTTAGGTTTATTCAACAATGGTCAAGATAAGTAAGTATTTAAATATATAATTTGAATTTTGTAAAAATATTAATAGATTAGATTTCAATAAATTTTATACATTTAGAATGAAACAAATAATGGAGGAAGTCGAAAAGTTGGTTAATCAAAAGATTGGAGAATTTGCTAGAAACCAAGCTCTATTAAGATTCCAAGCATTACAAACCACTGGCGATAGATACTTTAGATTATCGCAACAATGGTATGATAATAACTCTGTTCAAACAACACTCGATCCATCAAAGAAAGTAATTTTTGAAGATGATGGATTCAATATGCCATTGAGTGCTCTTGAAATGGTATATTTTGATTATGTAAGAGATCTTGAAACTGCTTTAGTATTCTTTGGTGGAGAAGAATATCTTGTAAGTTCAAATTATTTTGATTTTGTATTTGTTTTCAAAAACAATTATATTAATTTAATTATTAAACAGGCATATACAATTCCTTTTTACTACCTAACTGGTGGACTCTACGTTGCACTTCAAAGAGATGTTATCCTTAAAGGAAAAGAAATGGGTTTTGATGCAAGCTATATCGATGGTACTCCCAATACCAAATCATTAAAGGTCCTTTTGCATGAGAAAATTGAGGAAATGATGTCAATTTCTCTCAAAGGTGTTTATCCATTTCAAGAATTGAAGGGTTGGGGAGGACTTTTTAATTTTCCACCGTATGTATACAAATACTTCTTTTCAAGATGAACATTATTTGAGTATTAATCAATCTTATTTCGTATAGATATTTCGATACAGCAATGGGATTTATTAATGGAGATCTTGTTCTTTATCCAAATGGTGTAACTGTCTTACATCCAAATTCTAATCATGAAATTGAGTTCCCAGATGCAAAAGGTGTTTACAAGTTTGGAGGATTTCCTGATGATTTTAGATACGGTTTAGTCTACCATCCTAATAGATCTCTGAGATCAGGAGTTTGGGGTTTATCGTGTAATATTAATATATTAGGGGATATCTCAATTCCCTTTAAACTAAATTGTAAAACAAGCCATTCAAGAAAGTTCAAAATTAGAGTATACCATATGATTAAAGGTCAAGCAAGTTTTTCATTAATCAATTCAAATGGTGGTCAAGAAGTACAATTGATGGAATGGACAACACCTTCTACCAGAGCTTATCTCTACCAGTACAATGCAGGAGAAAATGAAGGTTACAATGAATCCCAAGTATTTAATGTTCCAAACTTCAAAAACATGATAATTCGACTTAATCGTAAACAAAATGTCGGATATACAAATTTGTCTTTTTTTGGAGGAATTGAATTCATTGATGAATAGACCATCTGCTATATACTCGTGAAGAATTTCATTTTTATATACATGGTGAACCATTATTTCAGCTTAATATTTAAAAATATTAAATAAAAATCTAATCTTGATCATTCTTTATAAAAATTACATATATTGATCTCTATTCTGAATATTTAGAATATACTGTTTCTTAAGTTTGTTTTTAAAAATTCTTATTCTTATATAATCAAGTAGTATAAGTTCAATTTAACTTTCAAGGAATAATTTTTTTAAAATTTAATTCAATTTAATAAACCATTTTTAGATTTATTACTATTATTTAATTTAGTTAGTTGTTTCTCTATTAACACAAAGAGAAAAAGAATGATTTAATTTATTAGTTTATTGTTATTTATTAATCAAGAAATGATATCAGTAAAATGTGTCGTTATTGGTGATAAAAGTGTAGGAAAGACATCAATACTTAGTGCTTATACAAATAACTTCTTCCCTTACAGGTGAAGACTTAACACATCAAAATTTTCAATACTTTACAAATACTATTGTTGATGGCCGTCCGTATCATTTCGATTTGTGGGATTTCTGAAGTGAAGAGGGGTGTGACCGAACATTCTCTCGATAAGAAGATGTTGGTGATAAAAGTGAAGATGATTTTTAGAAATGGTCTATTTGAAATTTCACAAGATGACTTTGAACTTATTCATTCTAAAATGACAAGTTAATTAAATTATAATAATAATAATAAATAGAATATTTTTTATATATTGACTTAAGATATTAAATTAACAGCTAATTATTTTATTGAAATTAATTTAACATGATCATGTTTGTTTGTTTCATATCAGAGTTTAATAGTGGCATTGAACAGTGTATATTTTACCGGTATCATAAGATTTGTTCATAGCGTCCTTAACCTTACGAATGACGTTTTTTCTTTCGTTTTCAATTTGTTGTTGCTCTGATTTGTCTCTGTTTGGTTGACAGGTTGGACTGACCAAGACTGCGGAAACAGTGGAGGCACCATTGATACCGTTGATTTGTGCTTGGAGATTGAAGAATCCAGTACTGGTAGTACCTTGGTTATCGATTCTAATTGGCGTACGTCTTCCAGCGCTGTTGGTGATATCAGTAAGTCTATTTCTAAAGATCAAGTTAAATTGCAAAAGAGCAACTTCATTGGTGACAGCATTTCTATTGGTAAATGATCCCTTGTTTCTAATGGGACCTCCTTCTACCAAGCTAATTTGTAATGGTCCTTTCTTAGCTTCTTCAAGCGATTGCACAAGTGTGACAGCTAACACTAAAACAGAGAGAATAGCAAATACCTTTGAATATTGCATTGTTTGTTAGATATATACTAATATATTTCTTGAGAGGAATGATATGACTATCAGTGAATTAACAACTTCTTATTTATAGCTATTATTTTTAAAATATTTTTAATTAAATTTATTTTAACCTCATTGCTATAAATTATAATCATCAAATACTAAATTAAATGATGATTCATAACATTTTCAATTTGTCCAACGAACTTGACAATAATATTGAGAATCATTGATATGAGAGGTTATTTACAATCTTTGCAAATAAATCTTACTGAACAACACCTAACTAATTTCATCCATTTGTTTTAAAAAAGTATGATACTTAAAATTTTATATTTATTACAATATGCCAAACATTGTTTTTATCTGCAATGAATGTCATTTCTCTGTTTATTGTTTAAAATAAACACCACATTAATTTCACAGTATTAAAAGAATCGATTCACTTTCATTCTTATCTATATACCCCTCACTTTTGCAAATTACAAATATTAAATTAGACTTTTTGATTTGTTCTTTGATAGGATTAAATTAAAATCAACTCAAAAAGTTAAAATTATTTTTGTTTAAAAGTTGGATTATGTTTAATTCCATGGAAAAACAGAAGCAAATTAAAAAAATTTGAGTGGTTGACCCCAAATTTTAATTTTTTCCATTTGTCATCGAATTGAATTAAACTTATTTATTAAAATAGAGCTACTGATAATTAAAAAAAAAAAATAAAAACACAGAATGCTTCAAAACTAAATATTTTTGAAAAAAAAAAAGAGTACTTAATTATTATTCTTTTAAACAAACTTTGGCTACGAATTCTCTGTGCAATATTCTTTAGAAGTTTGTTAGCTTATATTAATCTTAAAGAACCATTTTTGATTTAAATCCTACCTTTATTATGGTGGCGCCATATATGGAGTGAACATGACCATTGATGTTTAAGCTTCAAAGGTAATCAAACTTTGAATGGTGGAGTAGGAGGACCTGTTTTTGTAGCTGGTGAAAATCCAGGACAAATAGCCATTTCCAACACAACCTTCAATCAAAACAATGCCGACGGTTCTGGTGGTGTCGTATGTAGGGTTAAACTCTATTATCTTTATAATATTAATATGTCAATTATATCTCTTTTTATATATAATAGACTCTACTTGATAAACTGTTTTCAAAAACAACTATGCCAGTGATGGTGGTGTATTTATGTATCTTATAGATATCATAAGACTATACCGAAGTTAACATTATAACTATAGTTCAATACTAACAGATAATACCGCTGTTTCAAATGGAGGTGCAATTGTAAGTAGAGCAGAAGTTAAGTAACTATATATCTACCTTTGATTGTTTACTTTAATATTATACTTTTTTATTCAAGTATATGTTCGAATCAAGCTACGGTCCATTATTAGTTAATTTTATAAATCTGTCTTTGATAGATACACTGTGGTAACTATGTTGGTAGTGCTTATTTCTTGCAGTATCCCAAACAATTGTAGGGAGGTGTATTCACCAACTCTGTTTCCAATCAAACAGATTCATATACTTTCAAAAATCTAAGCAAAAACAAACTCATCACTGAACACAAATACTATTTGTATAAAAAGTGTATATTTTTAACCTCAATAATTTATTTTAAATGAAAGTGGCATATTACAATTTTATCTCTAGTTGAGATTGGAAATTAAATAACATAAATAAATTAAAAACAAATAAAATTTATTATCCTTTTCAGTCATTAACTGAAGATAAAAGTCACTCTAGTTTTGCAAAAACTAAAAAAATTTGGATCTATTAATAGAAATGGTTAGAATACCAAAAAAAACCGTATCGAATATGTTCTTAAAGTAACTGTCAAATCATTGAACTGCCCAAAGGTGGTGGAGGTATTTGTTGTTGTTTTTCAATAGATTGATGTAAAGCTTCTCCTGAAATAATCCAATCTTCGGGTTGTTGTGATCCTTCCATTTCATATTCATACTCCTCTTCATAATTTGGATCATGAACATCCATTTCAACTTGATCATTATTATTATTATTATTGTTGTTTTTGTTATTATTATTGCTGTTGTTATAATCGTCATCATCATCACCACTACCCCACTATAACATTTGTTATTCTTGCCGAACTTTGTTTTTAGTAATCTTACTTCCCTTGTTCGAATACGAGATCTAGTTGAAGTGGTTGAAGTAGTTGTTGTTTTGGTTTCATGAACTTCTCCACAATCACTGGTGCTATAGTGATGTGTAATAGTTTCACCACTACCACTCAGAGCCAAGTCAGAATGAAGGATACTTTGATGTGGGCAATTACAAATTACAAATTTTTTTTGTGATTCAATTTGTTTGTCATCTTGGGAAGTAATAGTTTTTAGTGTAGTGGTAGTATTTGAACCACTTCCACTTTTGCTTTCCTTTACGTGTTACAAAAGTTCCAAACTCTTTTTAATATAATTGTTAGATATTGTTTTTGTGTGTTAAATAGTCACCATGAATGATGAGTCCACAAACAAAATTCAATTCATATTAAATCAATTGTCAGATTACAAAATAAACCTCCAAACTAACATAATAATAAATAAAATAAAAATGGGTGAATTTTATTTGCTTTATCAATAATGGCAAAAAACAACTGATGTTTGAAGTTAAACTCAAAATTGGTAGACCATTTTAATATGCGAACAATTAGGGTACGTTTTCTCTTTTTGTTGAAAGAAATTTAATTTCAACTTTCCTTGTGGACAATTTACAAAAATAAATCATTAGATTTTTGATTTTATTTTATTTTATATTAAAAAAGTTTTTGAAAATTGATTATAAATTCAGACACTTTTTTAAATTTAAAATATAAAATTATTTTATTCTAATTATTATTAAATGGATAAAGATATAGATACAAATAATTCGGAATGCTCCGAGTATAAATCAAAACTAAATCAATTTATTGCAAAGCAAAGTGAACAACTTAAACAATTGTTCCCAGATTTCAAAGGTTTTTCAGAGGAAGAAACCAAAACGTTAGAAGATTCATTCAAGAAATCATATGATAATCCAGAAATTGAATCTATCTTTGATGATTGGCCACTCATTGATATGGCATTAATCCTTGGAAATGTATTTTCATTTCATCCAGCTGGAGGTCCATTCACTGCTGCTTTCAACATTCTATTTGGCGCTTTAGGTTTATTCAACAATGGTCAAGATAAGTAAGTATTTAAATATATAATTTGAATTTTGTAAAAATATTAATAGATTAGATTTCAATAAATTTTATACATTTAGAATGAAACAAATAATGGAGGAAGTCGAAAAGTTGGTTAATCAAAAGATTGGAGAATTTGCTAGAAACCAAGCTCTATTAAGATTCCAAGCATTACAAACCACTGGTGATAGATACTTTAGATTATCGCAACAATGGTATGATAATAACTCTGTTCAAACAACACTCGATCCATCAAAGAAAGTAATTTTTGAAGATGATGGATTCAATATGCCATTGAGTGCTCTTGAAATGGTATATCTTGATTATTTAAGAGATCTTGAAACTGCTTTAGTATTCTTTGGTGGAGAAGAATATCTTGTAAGTTCAAATTAATTTGATTTTGTATTTGTTTTCAAAAACAATTATATTAATTTAATTATTAAACAGGCATATACAATTCCGTTTTACTACCTAACTGGTGGACTCTACGTTGCACTTCAAAGAGATGTTATCCTTAAAGGAAAAGAAATGGGTTTTGATGCAAGCTATATCGATGGTACTCCCAATACCAAATCATTAAAGGTCCTTTTGCATGAGAAAATTGAGGAAATGATGTCAATTTCTCTCAAAGGTGTTTATCCATTTCAACGATTGAAGAATTGGGGAGGACTTTTTAATTTTCCACCGTATGTATTCAAATACTTCTTTTCAAGATGAATATTATTTGAGTATTAATCAATCTTATTTCGTATAGATATTTCGGTGCAGCAATGAAATTTATTAATGGAGATCTTGTTCTTTATCCAAATGGTGTAACTGTCTTACATCCAAATTATTTTCATGAAATTGAGTTCCCAGAAGCAAAAGGTGTTTACAAGTTTGGAGGACTTCCTGATGCAGATAGATACGGTTTAGTCTACCATCCTAATAGATCTCTGAGATCAGGAGTTTGGGGTTTAACATGTCATAATAAAATATTATGGGATTTCTCAATTAACTATAAACTAAATTGTAAAACAAGCCATTCAAGAAGGTTCAAAATTAGAGTATACCATATGATTAAAGGTCAAGCAAGTTTTTCATTAATCAATTTACTTGGTGGTCAAGAAGTACAACTGATGGAATGGACAACACCTTCTACCAGAGCTTATCTCTACCAGTACAATGCAGGAGAAAATGAAGGTTACAATGAATCCCAAGTATTTAATGTTCCAAACTTCAAAAACATGATAATTCGACTTAATCGTAAACAAGATGTCGGATATACCCATATGGCTTTTTTTGGAGGAATTGAATTCATTGATGAATAGACAATCTGTTATATACTCGTGAAGAATTTCAATTTTATATACATGGTTAACCATTATTTCAGCTTAATATTTAAAATATTAAATAAAAATCATTCTTAATAAAAATTACATAAATTGATCTCTATTCTGAATATTTAGAATATACTTTTTCGACTTTTTTTTGACCTCAATTTCCAACAAAATTATGATAAAAAACCTTTGATCATAGATTTTTCACACCACTTAACGATTTTTAATTTTTTTACTTCTATGTTTGCTTAGTTTGTTTTTAAAAATTCTTATTCTTATATAATCGAGTAGTATAATGATTAATATGTACATTTGAATATTATATTTTCAAATCTTTCTTTTATTTGTTTTATTACTGTTGTTATTTACATGATTATACAGGTATTTTTCTTTATTGGTGGATGTACAACCGAGCGAACTGCTTCATCAAAAACATTTTTTAAACCTTCTTGAGTTAGGGCTGAACATTCCATATATTTATGTGCACGTATTTCCTTCAATTTAACTAGACCCTGTTGATAAGTGATAGGCACCACGCCCTTTTCTTTCAAACAGTCAAGCAATTCTGTATCGTCTCTAGTATCTATTTTCGTTCCAACCAATATGATTGGTACTTTTGGTGCATGACGTTTAAGTTCTTTGATCCACTTGGTAGAAACACTCTCAAATGTTGGAGGTGATATCGTTGAAAAACAAACCAAGAATACAGCTGTACCAGGATAACACAAGGGTCTTAGACGATCATACGTTTCGTTACCAGTGTATATAGTATCCCAAAAATCGAAGTGATACGGACGGCCATCAACAATAGTATTTGTAAAGTATTGAAAATCTTGATGTGTTAAGTCTTCACCTGTAGGGAAGAAGTTATTTGTATAAGAACTTAGTATTGATGTCTTTCCTACACTTTTATCACCAATAACTACACATTTTACTGATATCATTTCTTAATTAATAAATAACAATAAACTAATAAATTAAATCATTATTTTTCTCATTGTGCTAATAGAGAAACAACTAACTAAATTAAATAATAGTAATAAATCTAAAAATGGTTTATTAAATTGAATTAAATTTTAAAAAAATTATTCCTTGAAAGTTAAATTGAACTTTCCCAACTTTTTTTTTGTTTTTTTTTTTGATCACATTAAAACGTTACAACTTTAAAGATATATTACATATTTGTTATTTGTTAAATTTTGATAATTATTAATATTATTGTACACAACTATTTTCATTCTACTTAGACTATGAGTAGTGCTGCATTTTTGATTTATTAAGATTAAATGCAAATTTCAAATCTTTGTTCTGGCTTGCTTGCTGGAGCATACACGTGGAGGAGGTTGAAGCTATTGTTGTATATTCTTATAGTACACAGAATGAATCTTCCATTAGGATCGATGAAAGAGGGTATAGATTGATATGTTTGGAGTGAGAGATGATTGCAACTCCAGTTCCTTGACCGTTTGAGGTAGCTAATATTTATTATTATTATTTTTGTTGAAAAATGAATTGAGTGAGGTGGCTGTGACGTGATTAGTTTCTGTAAGTAGGGTGATGTGTGGTGAAGTAGATGAAATTAAAGAGGCTATGTCTTCCATTGATTTTTGTAGAACCACGCGTATTACCTGCTTGAGCCTGAGTTCTCTTGTTTTGATTTGTATCTTCTGAATCTTTACCTTCTCCTTGTCTAACTATTGCAATGTCGTTCTTCTTCTTATTTCTCTTCTTCTCGATTGAAGTTGTTGTTGTTGTTGTTGTTGTTGTTGTTGTTGTTGTTGTAGAAGAAGTTCTTTGTACAGGTTCGACGTATTTGATTAAAGTTGAAGTATAACCAGATTCTTCATCTTAGTAGTCGGCATCAGTGATGTTGACATCTTTCTCGTAGAGTACCCATGTAGATGCTTTGTATAGTTTAGTTGTATTGTCTTTGGTGGGTACAGCTGAGAGGGACATGTGAAAAAAGAGAATGATTCATTTGTATATTTTCTTGAATTCATCCTCTTTAATTGATTTGGAACTGTCTGATGTTGTTATTGCTGATACTTTTAGAAAGTTGAAAGAAGGGAAATAGGCACAATCTTTCTATAGGTTTATTTATCGAAAGGTTCTCACTACAGTAAACGTGTAGATCATTGAGACGTGCACTGTCAATCCTTCCGTTAAATAATATTCCTTTGTATTCTATAATATATATTTATATACATTTAAATAACAATAACAATAAGAGTAATTAATTAGTAAAATGAGTACTCTATTTTAATTCGATAAAAAGAATCTAAAGCTTGGCAACAATGCGACCTTCATGGGCATTCAAGTACGTTTATTCTTTCTTAAATCAAATTACGTTAGTAATAAGATCTTAGAAAAACTATATGAACTCTTTATCATGAGCACTGTATCAGATCTCGAAGCTTTAGATTCTTTTTATAGAATTCGAATAGAGTACTCATTTAAATAGTTGATATAAAAATATAATAATTATAAATAGTAAACTTTTTTTTTTTTTTTTTTTTTCATCTGCAAAAAAAGATTTGTTGACTCATGATCAGTATTGATATTAACATGCTAGTTCGTGTTTTATATTATATACATTCTCACACCGGTCGTGAGAAATAGCCAATAAAATATTATTACTATTATTATTATTATTATTATTGTTTATAATTAATAAGTTGAGTATTATTAGGATAGAATAGATCTAACAATAGTTGAGTGTTGATGAACAACAGTATATAGTGGAGGCACGTAGTTGGAAGGATTTAATTCCAATCAAATTTAAATTTACGCGTTATTGCAAAGCAATCGACAGTGGCTCCTTGGGAGATAGAATTAGCGATTGTGAAGTTAAGCTTGTGGTAATTAGCATAGATCAAATTAGTGTAATGGGTGACTGCTCTCTTGACGGTATTTTCCAGCTTGTATTGGGTACCATCACCAAACATTTTACAGGACAGCGCCTGCCATAACGAATGTACGATAGCAGCAGTAAGGTGGTGAAGTGGACAGTAGTACAAATAGGACCGTCGAATTTGATGCACGAGTGCTCCAATTACGAAGTCTATAGTTACAGTACTTGTGGTATATATGTTTGAAATTTATTGATAATCTCATCCAATACTATGGTGAGCTTGTTGTTGATGATTTTACTCAGTAGATTATAATCAACATTCAACAGTGATATTTGACGCCTATTAGCGATGTCATTGGGATCACCTTTTTTAAAGAGAGTTTGAACAACTCCTTCTTTAAACTCAGGGGGAGAAGAGAGATAGGAGTGTCATCAATGGACGACTTGATATGATATATTTCATTTGCTACGAGCTGTACGATGTTTGCAAAGTCTTGAACATCTTCTCTTGGGATACGGTGTTGAATGTCATTATAATACTTTAGTTCAATCTGTTGCTGAATGGTAAGAAAGCAATAGAGAACATATTGATGATGTATTGCGTGACACAAGGTAAACCGAGAGTAGCAAGGTTTAATATCCAACACTTACTTACTTGAAACTTACTTGAGAGATTAATGTCGACAGAGATTGGGCAGTGATCACTCTTATTATGGAAATAGGTGGCGACAGCGGAGTTACTACCTAGCATTGTGAATGCGACGTAGATACGATCCAACCGTTTTGGAGAGAGGGAAATGGGGAGCGGGTGATTGGTACCGGTTTGTAAGCTGAAAGAGGGATTGTCAGCTGACAAACCGGTATCTACAAGTGAGTTTACGGAAGCAAGACTTTCTAGTGTGTGCAGATGTTGAGCTCAGTAATAACTATAAAGTCATCAGCGAAACGGTCTAGGTGTGACTTGAGATCAGCTGAAGAGGTGGTAAGCGCAGCACCTTTAACATTCCATGTCCAGATTTTTAAACAGTGACGAACGCTCATTTCTCAATATCACCACCCTTGCTGGTGGTTTTTTTTTTTTTTTTTTTTTTTTTTTTTTTTAAATTATCCTTGTACTACCATTACTGATAGCCAAGGTGTAGAGCTTGATATTACCCTACAGTTCGTGTTTATTTATTATTTGAGCAGTTCAGCCACAGGCCGGCTGAGATGGCCATCATTTTGAGTAAGGATGATGTTCCCATTGATTTGGTTTGGTTTGGCAGACGGAGTAATTAAGCCACTTAGAATTCTAAGCGGGTACGTGTGTAAACCACTCGGTGTTCACCTGTGATAAGCCTGCTAGTTACTGTCGGTGTCAACTTCATGGGGTCCAAGATAGTATTTAAGATACTAGATTAGTACGTGGCGCGCTCCTTTCAAGTCGGGAAAATTTTTGTAAAAACCCGGGATCGATCCCACGACCCAAGTCCTCTAAGGCTTACTAATGGACCAACTTGGCCAAAGAGTCTTGGACTGGTTTTACTGGCATCAGGTGCTCTGGTCGACTAGTTTCCAGAGCGATTTTGATTTTTTTTTTTATTTTTTATTTTTTTTTTTTTTTTTTTACCCCTTACCGCAGGCGGGTAGGATATTTTCTAAAGTATTGGGGCTCCACCGGGAATCGAACCCAGACCACTACCACCCAAAGGTAGTATTGTACCATTCAACTATGGAGCCGATGATGAAATGTGAAAAAAATATTCTATTTTTGAGAGTTAAATTTTATAAAATTGTTTTCTATTTTTTAATCAAATGAATTAATTGTTTCAAAGGTTCCAAAGTTAACCATTTCAATTTCCTCTCTTTTGAATATCATAATTTATAATATTATTAAATAGATCTTTTAAATGATGATCACCAAATTCAATCAAAAATAGTTTTTTCATTTTTATTTAAATTGTTTGCTTTCACTTACCTTATCATTAATTAAAGTTTATTTATAAGATTGTAATTGTACAAAAAAAGATATTTCTAGATAGGTTTTGAATATATATATTAGCTAATACTTTAATAATATGGAAGAGGGTAAAGCCATACAAGTTGGCACTCGAGTGACGATCTCTGGTAAACCAGAGTTTGGTGAAGGTACCGTTCGTTATGTCGGTATGACCAAGTTCAACAGTGGTCGTTGGGTCGGTATCGAGTTGGATCAACCCGTTGGAAAGAACGATGGTTCAGTGCAAGGTGTCAAATACTTTGATTGTAAAGCACCACATGGTATCTTTGTAAAGATCAATGTTGTAGTGCCGTCACCAAACAGTGTTGCACCTGCTACAGCCACAACATCAGCAGTGGAAGTTGACGACTCTAAGCTAATGCCACCACCACCTTCACCATCTACAACAACAACAACAACAGCTGCACCATCTTCAGGACTAAGAGCACCTGCATCCTCTGGAATTAGACCGCCATCTTCCACTGGAATAAGACCACCAAGTTCACTTGGAAAGCGTCCATCTATTACACCTACTTCCGCTGCCAAACCATCCGCTGCAACAACATCAACTCCATCCGCTTCAACCACTACAACATCTGGTATTTCTAAACCATCTAGCACTCTTAAGAAATCTGTAGATGAAACTGCTACTTCAACACCAACTACAACTACAACAGCAGCGGCAACAGAAGAAGCTACACCTACTCCTGCAGTAACTACTCCCACACCTACACCTACTCCTGCACCTGTAACAACAACAAGTGGAAGTGGATTGAGAAGACCGTCGGAATCAGGTTTGAAGAAACCATCGACAACTGCTACACCATCGACTACAACACCAACAACTTCAAAGTTATCAGCACCATCTAGATTATCTTTGAAACCATCTTCATCATCTAGTACAACAACTACAAAATCAACTACTAGTTCTACAACTTCACCAGCAGCAGCAACTACTACTACTACTACCTCAGCAGCTCCACCAACACAAACAACTACATCACCAGAACCAGAACCTGTAGCAGCACCAGAAGTAACAGATGTAGATATATCATCAGTAAATGAATCACCAAGAGTACCAGCTACAACTGCAACAACTGCAGAAGTTGATACAACAACCACTACTACCACTTCAACAACTAGTACTAGTGTTCCAGCAGTTACATCACCAACTATCGATAGAAAATCTAAAGTGGTTGCAGGTGAAGATGACGATGAGGAAGAGGAAGATGATGAAGAGGATGTTGTCATCAAAGAAATCATGGCAAAGAAGGCACAGCCAACAATGCAAATGAATGAAAATCTAGAAAAGATGCTTACTGCAATCAATGAATTGACTGAATATAAAACAAAAGCACAAGGTAATAATAACTATAATCATTATTATTATTATATTTAAACTATCATATATATAAATATTTTACTAATAATAATAATAATCTATTTATAATTATTAGCACAAATTGCTGATTTACAAGTTAGTGTTAAAGAAGTTACATCATCTAAAGATAAGGTTATCAAGGATTTAGAGAGACAGATTCAACAACTTGAGAAATCAATCAAAGAAAAAGAAAAAGAAAGTGAGCATGCAGCGAAATCACAACAGAAATTAGATGTAAGTTTGGTTTGTTTAAATATATGATATTGATATTTAGTAGATGTAGATGTAGATTATTAATTGATGATTGCTTTGTTTTAGGAATCAATTGAAAAACACTTATCAAAGGAAAAGAATGAATGGGAGAAAGAGAAACAAGATTTGTTGGATCAAATCAATTCTTTGAATGAGAATATCGAGATGTTGACGTTGGATAAGGAGTTTGCAGAGGAGAAGGCAGAGGTTGCAGAGACAGAGTTGGAGATGTTGAAGGAGGAGATGGAGCTGTTGAAATCCACTGTGGAAGCAGAGCAACTCGAACGTGAACAAGCTGCAGAGTCTGCCGGTAACGACGACAGCGGTGAGAGTGCAGCGGTTCTTCGTGCACAAAACGAGAAGCTCAAGGAGACACTCGTGAAGCTACGTGATGTCGCTGTCAACGAGAAGCACGAATTCTCCAAGAAAACAAAGGAGTTGGAGTCGTCGACCAAGCAAGTCGCTCAACTCTTGGATAAGGTGTCGAAGCTGGAGACTGAAGTCGCCGCCAAGAAGTCAGAGAATGAAGAGCTACGTGAAGCGTTGGAAGATGCTTCCACCAGTGAATCGTTGGTCACTGACTTGTCCGAGAAGAACATGGAACTGAGTGAGAAGGTCGAGGAGTTGACAACGATGGTTGCCGATCTCGAGGATATGCGTGACCTGTCGGCGGAACTCGAGGAGAACCAAGCGGCGGTCGAGAAAGCACTGCGCTCCGACATTCACCAACACGAAATCGAGAATCTCAACTTGAACGGTCAGCTTGCCAACCTGCGATTGAAGCTGCAAGAGAACGATTCCACTATCACTCAGTTCCGTTCGTTGGTTTCCAAGTTGCAGTCCAAGATCGAGGAGATGCGTCGTGCCGAGGAGAAACACGCCGAGCAAAACTCACTCTGGGCAATGGTGCAACAGGAGCTGCTCAGTAAGAACATCCAACTTCAGAACCAGGTAACCAAAGCAACGGCAATGGAGATTGACCATCAACTCGAGAAGTATCGTTCGAAGGAAGCGGAACTCCATTTGAGCTATGTCAGTGAATTCCTTCCGGAGCAATCGTTCTCTGCCGACAATGATTCCATCAAGATGTTGCTGCTTCTCAAGCGTATCGTTTTGAAGTGTCAGTTGGCACAGAGATATCTGAATAGAACCTACAAGGTCGAAGAGATTGGAATGGAGAAGGAAGGTGAGACAACTTTGACTGCCGACGATGTAAGTCACTCGCTTCAAATCATTCATATTCTCGATCACTTGTCGATCTCTGCCAACTGGTTGATTGAGACACTCCAACGTTGTCCAGTGGAGCAGTGGTTGCGTGCCGGTCGTTCCGCTCGTGACATGGAATACCAGGAGCGTGTGCTCGACCAACTCCTCAACCTCATCAAACAGGAGCAGTATGGCTCGAGCTATGCCAGTGCCGACCTCGAGAAGATGACTGCCAAGATCGACGCTATTCTCGCCAACGTATTTGGTAACTCGATCTACAAGTCCGAGTGGTCGATCCTTCTCAACTTGATTCTCAACATCCAGTACAACATCAAGCAGATCATGTTGAACGACTTGAATGTCTGTACGATGGCAACACACGCCGGTCGTAAATACTACTTCCCACAGCAAACTCTGAGCAAAGCACTGTCAATGTGTCGTAAGGTCGTCAAGAATCTCATGCTCCAACCACTCCTCCGTCAATCATCGATTGTCCGCGATGTCCTAACCAGCTCTGAATCCACTTGCAATGGATTGCTCGTATTGTTAGTCGAGGGTGCTCCAAGAGTTCGCGATGATTCCGCATACTTTGACTCGTTGGTAGCTGGAATCGACACCAAGGCAGAGATGCTCGCCGCTTCCGCCAAGTCGGCTGCAGCCGACTCCGGTATGGACGACGACGACCAACTCGACAGCAGTCTTTCCGCGCTCGAACAGGTATTCGCTAGAATGTCGTCGCAAATGAAGGATGTAGTAGAGACAATCTTGGCCGGTGACTTGGAACTCTCGGACCACGAGAAATCCGAGTTCTTGGCAGCCGCTCACCCATGGGTGACTCGTGCGCAACAACTGAAACTCTCGCTCGGTGAAGCCGGCACTCTAAGAGACAACATTAGCAACAAAGAGCATGAGTTACTCGAGAATCTCAAGATGATAAAGACAAGAGATGCCGAACTCCTCGAGGAGAAGAGAAAGGAAGAAGCGCTGAACAAACGTATCAAGACGTTGTTGAAGAATGAGACAGACTTGACCGAGTCGTTGGCCAAAGAACAGCAATCGCGTAGCGAGAATGAAAACACCTACCGACAGGCTATCAATAGATTGCAAAAGGATAAATCCGTGTTGGAACAAGATTACAAATCGCTGCAAACACGTTATGTTGCGTTGGAGCGTGAGCAGACAAAGAAGTCAACAGCGACACCGGCACTCGAGCAACGCGTCGACAACATCGACACAGCATCGTTCCGCAAGGCAATCAAGCATCTTAGATCGGAGAACACTCGTTTGAAATCACAGAAATCAATGCAACAACTACAAGAACTGAATCAACCATTCAAGTTATTCAATGTTAATAATATTCAACTTGATAACAGCAACAATAATAACAATAATGATGCTGCTGCCGCAGAGTTGTCAGTCGCCAGCAACAAGTCAACAGTTGTCAGTAACAAACCAAGATTCAATGAGATTATCGATTTCAATAAGGAATTGGATTGTGCTATTGGTGAATTGGTAGAGTCAATGGTTACTCCAAAGGTTTTGGATATTACCGCAAGTAAATCTGCCATTACCGCCGCTGAGGGTAGTGTGTTGGCCGATAATGGTAGAAGACAAATGATTCAGAAACGACTACAATTGAAACAGTTGGAGAACAAGTTTAATCATTTCGTGCATTCCTCTATGACCTCTGTGCCAGGTACCATTCAAAGTCAACATCAATTCGGTAGATTCACAGATATTGCATCGATCAAGGTCAGAAAGGAAGTTAAACCAACACTCATTGGTTCAGTAACCATCCCACAGACAACAAGCTCGCCAGTGACAACCAACAGCATTAGACATTCTAGTTTGCAAGACCCTGAAATTATGAAAGCACTCAACAACACCGACTTACCATTCACAACTCAATTAGATAGCTTGACATCATTCAAGAAATTGCATATGACATTTGTAAATTAATGTATTAATTATAAAAAAAAATGATAATAATAATAGGCGATAATAATATTAAATTTAATGATAAAATAAATAAAATATATATATTTATAACTTTAATGAATTTGTTAAATTTAAACCTTTGTTTGTTTGTTTAATCAATCGAACTAGTTATATGTATAAGAAAGTAAGATAAACAATAATGAAAAGTGCATGCATAATATAAAAGGATTGTTTTATAAACACAGATAGTGATCAAATTTATTTAAAAATTCTCTTTCTAATTGATTCGCATGTTTGACTATGCTTAATCGAAGAGACCCATACCCATATCTTCGTCGGAGGCTTCCTCTGGCTCTTCCTTCTTGGCAGCAGCTGGAGCAGCGGCGGTTGAGGCGGCAGCAACTGGGGCAGCTGAGGCAACTGGGGCGGCAGAGAGGGCAGCTTTGAACTTGTCGGCGGCTGGGAAAGAGTACTCGGTCTCCAAGGAGATGGCCAAGAGATTCTTGTAGGCGTTCAACAAGCTGTGTGGGATGGAAGCAACGGTTGGGTAACCGATCTCCAAAGAGATGGCAGCAATGTTGGCAACACCAGTCTTGAACTTGGCGATCAAGTCTTCTTCAGTGATGGATGGTGAATAGCATGCACCTTGATCGTAGACGATCTTCATCTCCAAACCATAGGTGAATGGCTTGATGTTCAACTTTTGAAGAAGGGTAGCTTCGGAGGCACCGACCTTTTGACCGACCTTGATCAAATGGACTTCCTTTTCAATATCGATTTGACCCTTGTTGATCTTGGTGGCAATCTTGAGATCTTGAAGGAAAGAAGTTTGGGTTGGCTCCAAACCGGTTGGACCGGCTGGAACGATGACGTCGACTGGAGCGAAGACACCAACCTTGGCTGGTGCACCAACACGTTGACCCTTGACGATTGACTTGATTTCAGTCAAATTGTCCTTGGCGAAAATGATGGCAGTGTTGGACTTCAAGTGTGGGAGCAAAGCTTCCAACTCTGGCTTGGTTTCCAACAAGTCACGGACGACCTTACGGATCATAGTCTTCTTACCCATAAGAACACCACCCTTACCACGGAGAGCAATACGGATCTTTTGCAATTGGTTGGAACCGACGAAATCGGCTTGGGCGATGATCATTCTATCGTAAGTGGTGAAAAGCTTGGTGGCCTTCTCAATGAAGGTAGTCTTTCTCTTGTTTCCTCCTCCTGACATCTTGTGCTTGTGTTAGAAGTTCTTTCGATTTAAAGTTGAAATCTAAACATTTGTGTAGGTAGTAGAGGTGGATTGTTGATAACATGTTAGAATCTAATAGGATACATCATTTCTATTACAAATAAAGATAGATTTATTACATACAAGATCAAACAGCGGATAAAGGATACGATCATTTCAACTGGCTGATATAGGCGAGCGCAGCAACCGAGTCAGTCATTCACCACACACACTTGAAAAAAAACCAAATTTGAGAAATTTATTTTAATTTATTTTATTTTTATTTTTCAAATTTTGTTTCACATTTTCATTTTTTTTAATTTTTTTTTTTTGTAGTATTATGCAAATGAAATGGAAAAAACACAATTTTTTAATGAAATTTCCCAACATAATAACACAAACAAACAACAACGATATTACGATCTAATAATAATAATCATATTGTTAATTTGTTAATTAGTTAAATTAGTTAATTAGTTAAATTAGTTAGTTTTTAAAGTTTAGATTTTAAATAATGACATCTACAACTACAACATCAACAACCACTACAAATGCTTCGATTCCGACATCGTCGGAACAAGTTGTCGATAGACCTTTGAAGATAGATTTACATACACATATCTTACCAAAGAATTGGCCAGATTTAAAGCAAAAGTATGGATATGGTGGTTGGGTTTCTTTAGATCATCATTGTTCGTGTAAAGCAAAGATGGTTATCGATGGAAAGTTCTTTAGAGAGATCGATTCCAATTGTTGGGACCCAGAGGTTAGAATCAAGGAAGCCGATCGTGATGCCTGTGACATCCAGGTACTCTCTACTGTACCGGTGATGTTCTCATACTGGGCAAAGGCTGCCGACGCTCTCGATCTCGCGCAATATCTCAACGATCACATCGCTCAAGTGGTTAGCGAGAATCCAAAGCGTTTCGTCGGTCTTGGCACTCTGCCAATGCAAGACATCGACGCATCGATCCAAGAGTTGAGACGGTGCAAGCTTGAGTTGGGTCTGTCGGGTGTTCAGATCGGTACAAACATCAACGGTACCAATCTCGACGATCCAAAGTTTTTCCCGCTCTTTGAGGAAGCCGAGAAGTTGGGTGCAGCCATTTTCATTCATCCATGGGAGATGATTGGTCGTGATCGTATGCCAAAGTACTGGTTACCGTGGCTTGTCGGTATGCCAGCAGAGACCTGTCTAGCGATGTGTTCAATGATTTTCAGTGGTATCTTTGAGAAACTTCCGAAACTCAAAGTTTGTTTTGCACATGGTGGTGGATCATTCCCATTCACAATCGGTAGAATCGAACATGGTTTCAATGCCAGACCAGATTTGTAAGTGTGAATTATAATAGTTACAATACTTTCCACTTTTAATCAATCAATTAGTTATAAGCTAACTTTGTTTTATTATTTTTTTTATTTTACAGATGTGCAGTTGATAATCCAATTAACCCAAGAGATTATATTGGTAAATTCTGGGTTGATTCGTTGGTACATGATGAAGAAGCATTAAAGTTTTTAGTTAAATTAATGGGTGAAACCAAAGTTTGTTTAGGTACTGATTATCCATTCCCACGTAAGTATAATATTATTAAGCATAGCAGTGTAGATAAATTTAATAAGTTTGATATTAACAATCATTTTTCATTTTCAAGTTGGTGAATTAGTACCTGGAGAACTTATTCAATCAGTTAAAGATTTCAGTGAAGATACAAAGAATAAATTATTAGGTGACAATGCTTTAGAGTTTTTAGGTTTGACAAAGGATCGTTTCCTGTAGATTAACCAATACAAATCAATCAATTAATCAATCAATTAATGTATATGGCTAACTATGCTGCTTTACTACCTCGACTCCTTAGTTAATTATTTATAAATAATCCCAATTTCCAATTTCTTTTTTAAATAAAAGTATATTTATTAAAATCATTTAGATTAGATTTGTTTATAAATTAAAGTTAAATATATATATTTTATTTTAAAGTTCGTTTTAATTAAAGCTTTTTCTGTTTGTTTTTTTTGTTGTATAGAAAAAGTTAAGATTATTATTATTATTATTTTTAAGTATACTACAAGTGTTGAGCGTTTCCATCACTTCCTAAGTTCTCACCAGGATGAGAGAATGCATATCCAGTATTCTTCTTTGATACTTTATTCGATTTGATCCATGTGAAGAAAGGAATTCTTGATTTCTTCTTCTTACCACTAGAGCTGAGATCGGTAACTTTGAATTCTTCGATTGCACCTTGTGGGTTTGGACCGAGACCCTTCTCGACAAACACCATTGGATCTGGTTTGCCACGGAACTTCTCAATCTCTTGTACGATTTGGAATGGATAGGGTCTGATATCTCTTTGTAGGATTTTGTACAAACTGTCCAACAGTAGACAGATAACAGGTATGCAGAGGAGACACAACCAAAAGTCGGCAGTTGCAAATGTATGGTAGGCGATCTGATAGACTTCACCAGACGCTGGAGAACCGGCAGCTCTGATGCTTGCGAGAATCGCTTGCCACAGGAACCAAATAAGAATACTTCCCCAAATAGAGAAATGTGTGAGCCATGTCCAGTAGCGGGTTTCAAGTGCCAGCTTCAAGTTGACAGTGATTACGACGAGAATGAAAACGAATTGACCCATGCACCAGAAGTCCAGAGTCTGACCATTTGAGAATAGAACAGCACCCTTGGCAAATATAGCGTAAACCGAGAAGAAAATAACTACAGAGTGAACCAATGCCTCACATAACCACATCCAGAGAATCTTTAGATTGAACTCTGAATCTTTCTGACCGGATTTGTAGAGCTGTGGATATTTCATGGAGCTGGCGGCACCGACATCCTGATCAAAGATTGCATATATAATAATTGGAAGACCAGTAAAGATAACGTTGAAAACAGCGATAGACAGTGAATCGAATAGAGTTTGCACCGAGTAAAGATTGAATATACCAAACCAGAACTGTGTCATGGCGAACACCATGTTCTTGTAGAAACAGTAGAGCATCAGACGACTGTTACGCTTGTAGTTCCAACGACCATGTACGACAACCAGTTTGTAGAGGAAACGGAATTGCGCAATCGAGTAATCCGATGCCATCACAGCTTGCATACCTTCGTTACCAGAGATACCGACACCGATGTGTGCAGCTTGGATCATACTGACGTCGTTGGCACCGTCACCAATGGCAAGTGTGACTGCACGCAATGTGTCACGAACCAACTTTACAACCTGTGCCTTTTGGAGTGGAGTGGTACGACAACAAATAACTGCCTTACAGTTACTGGCAAGAGTGAGGAACGGATCTCTGAGAACACCTTCGAGCGCGTAGTTAAGACAACTACCTTCGACGACCAGCGCGAAACCATTGTGAGGGAAGTCTTGAATGTTATCAGAGAAGTAGGCATCCATTGCACCACGAATCTGCTCGTGTACATCCTCTTGTGTCTTACCATTGAGAATGATAATCTTCATATCGGATGTTAGTAATTGACATGAGAAACCAATGTTGATCGCTGTTTCTTGTTTGTCACCGGTGAGTACCCAAATCTTGATGTTGGCTTTGGCAAGACTGGCAATGGCTTGTGGAACACCAACTTGAAGCTTGTCTTCGATAGCAGTTGAACCGAGAAGTGTTAGATTTCTCTCTATCAACTCGGCAACACGATCCATCTTTTCATCGTGATCTTGAATTGAGACCGCTGCCTCTTTGTATTGTTCGTTCCAAGCATGGTATTCCTCTTCTGGTATAACGGCATATGCCAGGCAGAGTGTACGAAGACCATCCGCTGCAAAGTCTTGTAGGAATTCCAAAGTGATTGCATGAAGTTCATCTTGGTCCTTTCTCAACAATGGTAGAACGGTTGAATCGGCACCCTTTGTATAGATGATAATACGACCTTGTGGATCACGAACAATAATTGACATACGCTTACGATCACTGTTGAACTCTAGGATATTTAGGAATTCGAAACGTTCCAGCTTTCCACGAGCGTTGATTGTGATAACTGTTGGTTCACGACTGTAGAATGCGTAACCTATGTTCTTGGCGGCCGTAACCAATGCAGCTTCGTCGGGCGATGATGCTTCGTACTCGATGACAGAGTCATCCTTGTTGGGACGATCGGCAATAACTGTGTGACAGACGGCCAACAGTGTAAGGAATTGATTGATAATCTCTGACTGTTCACTGGCTTCGTCGAGATGATCTAGAATACGACGATCTCTGAAACCAAAGTTGGGATCGGCACCTGGAATACCTTCGTTGGCGGATTGACTGATCTTTTGGAACTCGACACGATCCTTTGATGGATCGATAGCACTACCGTAGACCATCTTACCGACTGAACATCTGATAAAGTCCATCTGATTTCTTGTTAGAGTACCGGTCTTATCGGAGAAGATGTACTCGATCTGACCGAGTTCCTCACTGAGATTGGAGGTACGTGAACGAGCTGGTGTGTCTGATTCCGGATGGTACATATCTAAATCCCATGAAATATAGACTGCCTGTGCTACTTTTACCAACTCCAACGAGACATACAGTGAAATGGGAATCATAACGGCAAACGTAATCATAAACGAGAGGAAGTTCTTTGCAGAGTCACGAACAGAGCTAGAATCGAATGCTAAATACCAAGTGTCTTTGTTGTTACTGGTCTGTACGACACTGACCACCGTCGAGATGACACAAACAATAAACATAATGGAGAACAAGTTGATGAGAGCACGATTCACTAGTTTCTCGAGTGTGGAACGCTTCGATGGTGCATCTGTAGAGTTTTGCATGATCTTTGTATCCTCGCCAGAGTAGACAACGACACCGTAGATCCAATCGGTATTTCTAAGTACACAACCTCTGAGAAGTGTTTGTTGGTTGGTCAATGGGTATTTAATATCGGTTGGACTGTTACCAAGTGCAATTGAACCACGGAATGTATAGATAACATTGTTTGGATGTTCACACTCTACGAAACCCTTAAACATTGACAGATCCTCTTCGTTTCTGAGAAATTCATAGGTTTGTGGAAGTGCTTGACGCTGCTTCAGATTGGTCTCACCGTCGAGATTCGATGTTTCAATATAACAAATACCATGTTGCTCCGATGAATTCAACAGAACCATATCCGCTGGGAATCTTTCACCCTTATTCACTTTAACTATATCTCCAACCGAAACTTTTCTCCATGCTTCCTCTCCAAATGCCTGTCCTTTTAATACCTTTGCTGGTAAATTATTAATTTTATTATCTGATTGTCTACGTTTCTATAATTATATAAAAGTAATAGTTATTGTTTTGTTAATATATATTAATGTTTTATATTATCTATTTAATAATGTTTACTTACCATATCTTCTACACCTTCTTTAACTGCTGTAACTGCAAGTACAAAGATTAAGGGTGCAATAGTTGTATATGGATTGATTGGTGAAAGACCGAATGGAATGACCTGTACGATGGCGATGATGAGGAAATAAAAGTTTGCTGCTCTTCTGAATTGTTCGTAGAGATTCTTTGGAATGAATGATATAATCGAGTATTTCGTTGTTTTAATCTTGTTATCTGTAAACTTGGAGGTGACGTTTCGAGCCGCATCGTTGATATATATATTTCTAGCTTCTCCAACGTACTTCTTCTTCTTGTGTTTCTTTAGTGGCTTGGCCGATTTCTTTGGCTTCGATGGACGCAGTGACGACGACTTCTTGGGCATACCCTGACGACCGCCTGGCGGTGAGCCTCCGGAGATCGACACCGATGAATTTCTGCCGAGTGTTCCCGAACTACCATGTTGACTGCCACCCATGCTAGACGACGAACCACCCACAACGTCCGCTGAGGGAAGTGGAATTGTATCTTTATCCATTGTTGGACTTGTATGTCCCTCTGGCGAATCTAAAATCCAACCTTTATTAAACTCTATAAAATATGAATGGTTTTATAAATATTTGTTGTTGTCGTTGTTAAGTTAATAAATAAATAAATATATAAAAATACAATATTATTGATTGATTGATTGATTGATTGATCAAAATGAAAAGAATAAACAATTTTTTTGTTTGTTAAACAGTGATGGCAAATAGAAAAAAAAAAATAGATGTGTTAGGAGATTTGTTTTTTGCAAAATTTTTTCTCTTTTTGAAATAAAATTTATAAATTATTTCAAAAAATTCAAAAAAAAAATAGATGAGGAGGTTTTTTTTTTTTTTGATTTTCAAAAAATGGTGTAACTGATAAAAATGATGGTTTTGGAATGTTTCAAAAAAAAAAAAAAAAAAAAGATTACCAGATGGTTCGATGATTTTTTTTTTGTTTTTTTTGATTTGGTTTTTGGTTTAAGTTTTTTTTTGTTTTTTATACATACGGTCAGAGTTATTTGATTGTACAGAATGATTCAAATTTGGATTATATTGTTGTTGCAGTAAGTTACTTTGACTCTGAATGCTGCTGCTATTGTAATTGGTTGTTGTTGTAGTTGTTGTTGTAGCTCCGTAACTACTACTGGTGCTGCTGTCACTACTAATACGACTACTATTACTATTACTACTCGTATTTAATGTTGGGTCTTCAAAGGGAATGTTACCCTCTCGCTTATCTGCTGACGGACTTTCCATCTTTTTTTGTTTTGTTTTTATTTTAATTTATATTATTATGTTGATCTTGATGATGATGATGATAGTTGGTTGGTTGGTTGATTTCGATCAAAATCACCTTTACACAACTAAACTAAAAAAAGTAGTACTTTTTATATGAATTGTTGTGAGGTTGAAGGTGGTTGGTTGTTAAACAAAAAAGAAAAAAATAAAACTTGGAGATGATATTTTTTGGATGTTGTTTTTTTTTTTGGTTTTTTGTTGTTATTAGGTGTTGTCGGTGAGTTGGATCTCTGTCTTTAAGTTCTGTTTTGTTCTGTTCTGACACAAAATTGTAAAGTGTGTGACTCTAAATTTAAATAGGTTGTGAGTGAGTGAGTGTGTGTTTGTTTGTTGTAATGTTGTTGGAGTCTCTGATTTTGGTGGCTATCAGACCTGTGTAACCATTTATAAGGTTGTGACGTCTCTTTCCTAAGTACGAAAGAATTTATTTGATTCGATTAAATTAAATCAAATAACACAATGGTTAGAGATTTTGTTGCTTACAATCAAACAATATCGATGTTGATTGACTGATTCGATGTTAATAAATTAAAGATGTTTATTTATAGTTTATTCTTTAATTTAATTAACTAACTATAAATAAATATAAAAATATGGTTTCTTTAAAGAATTATTATCATAATAATAAACATAAATTATAGAACAGTCGGGTATATCGATATAGTAGTTTAGTTTAGTCTAGTTTTGTTTTGCTTCAATTCAAATATAATAGTGTAGTATAATGATGATGATATTATTATTGATATAATATTGGAAATTAAGAGATTTAATAAATTTGATTTAAATATATATGTGTCAATTGTATTGTTAACAAATTAATTGATAATTGAATGAAAAAAACGATTGGTAGGTAGTAAAAAGTGTATGATAGGAGAGTTATAATTAAACGATTCAATTACCTTTTGTTCGTTTGTTATTGTTAATTTGATTATATTATTCTTTTTATTTTTGTTATTTTTATTATTTCTTATTATTTTTTATTATCTATTATTATTTTTACTGTTATTTATTTTGATGGTACTAAAATTAGACAACAATGGAGAATAAATAAATTATATATATATATATTGGTATTAATATTTATTAAATTATAATTATATTATATTATATTATATAGATGGTTATTGGTTTGAAATCTATTAGATTAAAAATTGGATTTTAAAATTTATAAAACTGATATGGTTACTACTAATAATATTATCGTGTTTCTTCTTTAAATTAAAATAGGGCGTAGTCAAAGTGTGAATGTTTGGGAAATAGATAGATAGATATAATATATAGATGGATGGATGGAAGGGCTGATTGGTGAATGAAGAGTGATTTGTGTAAAAATCAATCCAAACAAATCAAATCTTTTAAATACTAAATGATGATAATGCAGGATTGTCTTGTTGTTGTTGTTTGAAGGTTATAAAATTAACTTATCCAAATATATATGTATTTGTGAAAATAAATAATATAAATGTTTGTTTGTTTAAACTTAAGTTAGCCTGCCTGACAAAACACTGTAGTAATGATACACACAAATTCGTTTTTATTTTAATATAATTATTTCAATAAAAAATAAAAATACAACAAACAAATAATTATGTTTTAATACAATATATATATAAATTCTATTTTATTTTAAATTTTGAATTTGAAAGGAAAAAAAAAAGAAGCAAAGGTTAAAGAAAGTAAAAGAAAAAGAGTGTATAAAGTGATTTACAGAAGAAACAGTGTATACTTCTTGTTTTTTCTTTACAGTCGGTCAGTGTGGTGGTGGTGGTATTCGTTGGTGAAGATAGGTGGTTTGGTGTTGGAAACCAAAAACAAGGAAAGTAATAAAGAAATAAAAAAACCAAAAATTATTATGTGTCACGCTATCTACTAAAAAAGTGGGTGTGTGGAATTGAATTGAAATATAAATATGGTGGTAGTGTGTGTGAGTGAGTGTGTAGTGGTTATTTGCAACAAACATTCCATTCTAAACTATAATGTGAAGATGGAGTGGTTGTACTTTTTTCTTTTATTTTTTGATTTGAAATTTCAAGATTTCATTCCACAGACTATTTATTTTTTAATATTATTATTCATTGTAAACAATTATTATTATTATATTATTTGAATAATTCTTTCTATAGAAACCTAAATTTTTAATTTTGTTTTATTTTCTAATTTGTAAACATACCTTATTAAGTTGAATTTATACTAAAGTAGCTCCTACTTATTTTATTTAATTATAATTATAATTTACTTTCTTAGAGAGAGAGATTGACTTTCTGTACTGTTTAATAAATAAAATAAATAAATAAATAAATAAAATAAATATATATTGATATAAGTATGTAATAAATTGTGTTTTGGAATGAGTTAAGGTGTGGCTATGTTGTATTGTATGAGTGTTGAATATTGAGAAAACTATGTAACCTAAAGCTGAATAGATTGGTGAGCAAACAGTTTTGGGTAGTTGTTTGTTTCACTCAATTGTTCTCAGTATAACGCGCGTTGTGAAGTAACAATTGAAAGCGTAGAAAGAAGATAGAGCTCTATTGTTTTTATTTAATTAATAGATGCTATTGAGTGTGTTTGAGCATTGAAACTTTGAAGAGAATCTGATAAATTATAAGGTACCAATATAACAATAGACTAATTAGTGTGTGTGTGTGTGAAGTGGTGGGTGATAGACTAGTACTTATAGGTATAAAGTGTAGTGTTTTAGATTAAGGATGTTTTTGTTTTATTATTATTGTTGTTTTTTTAAAATTTACAAAAGATTGAAAAAGTAGTGTAGAGCAAACAGTGTGTGAAGTGTAAAGATGTATGAGTAGTGTGTGTAAATAAGTATAAAAGAACTTTTGACTGACTTGGCAAAATCTATTATTTATTATTATTATTATACAAAATATGTTGAATGTTTGTCAAAATTGGACTTTAATCGATTTAGTCAAGACGACCTTCTTCTTTTTAAGTTTCTATTCAAAAGTTACAAACAGATTTAAAAAGAAACCTTTTTAGTTTAGAAAAAAAATTGTAAAAAATCAAATTTTAATTAAATTAAAAATATAACCCTACTATTTTGGGTGAATGGTTGCCAAAAAAACCTAAAAAAAAAACTGCAAAACATTCTAGATCTTCAAAAAAAATAATTATATTACTTTATTAATGTTTACAAATTGGACAAATATTTTTCTACACCTAAATAAATAAATATTTTATTTGATATATATTTCTAAATAATAATAATAAATAAATATTAATATTTATTACAAAAATTAAAAAATAAATTGAAATACTTAAATTAATTATTAAGATGTTTGTCGTTCCAATTCGAAAAAAATTATTCATCATAAATTAAATAAATTTTGTTTTAAAAACTGATCATCATTAATTTAAATGTTGTCGTGAATTTTGTTTTAAAGGACCCCAAATATGGAAATTGTGATATATGATGTATGTTGTTGAATACAACCTACTAGTCGTTAAATTAATTAAAGAAAAAACAAAAAAAAAAAAGAAAAATTTGACAACACACGGTTTGTTGCTTTTAAAAAATTGTCTTGGATTGAACAACAAAATTTTTAAGATTAAAATTTTTTGTACTTTAATTAATCATTGTGAAATTTACAATTATTTAAAGAAAGATATTATTTGATATAGTTAGTTCTAAAAAGAAAATAACTATTGAAAAAATTTAATGAACTTAATAAAAACAAAAAAAAAAAAAAACAAAAAAAAGTCATTATTCAATATTGGTATTTTCAACTGCACGATTTATATTTTTGCACCCATAATCAAATGCTGACAATCAAGTTAATTTTTAAAGACATTGATAGAACATACAATTCATACTTACCTGATGACGATGATTTGGTGATCACCTCAGGCCAAATCGTCTCTTTTCGTCCTTCCTCTTGCACACCTGGGAGGTGTTAAGGCGACTATCCGTAAGGCTAGTCGGTTATCTAATTTCTGGTAGTGGTGGAGTTTGCGCTCGTCGCATCTCCACTGTACACAATTAAAAAAAAAGATAAAAACCATTAATACTTTAATTATTATTTGATAATCATATGCTGACTATCAAATTAATTTTTATTGATTTTGTATTTTTGTTAAGCTTCATCCCGTTATGTATCAATTCTTTAAATCATTATCTAACTCTATTTTTGATATTACCTATTGTTGTCATCTTGGTGACCAGGATCTAGTGAAAAAAAATTAATATTCTCTTTCCGATGTATTGCTCCGATGTCGAGAGAGTCATCATATTCAATTGCAATAAAACTAAATTTTTTTTTTTTTTTTGCGAATATTCAAGTATATTTGTTTGATGAAATTTCATTTAAAACAGAGTCAACAGTCGGAAATAATATAATAGGAATACACATGTGATAAGATTTAAAAATAACCATAACAAAGATACTTTGTTAAAAGACATAAAATAAACACGATTTAGATGATTAAAATTCATACTTACCTGATGACGATGATTTGATGATCAAAACAGGTCAAATCATCTCTCTTCAACTTTCCTCTTGCACCACTGGAAAGAGTTTAGGCGACTGTCCGTAAGGCTAGTCGGTTATCAAATTTCTGGTAGTGGTGGTGTATGCGCATGTCGCATCTCCACTATACATTAAAAAATATAAAGATAAATAAATAAATACTAAATATAGACAAGATTGCTAATTTACCATTACTATTCTCGTAAAGGTTTAAGTATCTAATAAGAATTGAATAGATATGATGATTGATACTACTGGTGACAACCGTTCATTCATCTATATTTAGTATTTATTTATTTATTTAACATTTTCAAGTTTGAAAGTATAGACTCCATGTGGAGGGTATTCAGTAGGTGTCAATGATGGAAGTTTAATGGTTAATCCATGTCCGGAAGAGGCAGAGAATTGGATTGGATGTCCATATCCCAACAATGTGACAATAGTATTCTTTGATGTGATCGGTGCATTCAAATAGAGAGTACTGTCAGTGTCCCAATTGTAAGAGAAGGCATAAACTGCTCCAGTTTCTAAATTTGTAGTATACCAAATGTCTTCGGCAATAGTATCATTCTGTACTCTCCAAAAAGTAGTATTATAAATGGCTTCACCATTTACTTCCAACCATTCACCTATCTCTATTAATCTTTCTTGCATAATCATTGGTATAACACCATCACTTGTCTAGAGATAGAAAGCGAAAAGTTAGCATAAACAAGATACATACTGTATGTCCAAATATTCAATTATTATTACTTACTGGTCCAACATCTAACAATAGATTTCCACCACAACTTACTGTGGAAACTAGTGTTTGAAGAAGTGTTGAGATATTCTGATATTCAGAGAGTGGCTCATTCTGATTGTATCCCCAACTAGTTCCAATGGTATAGCAGTTCTCCCATTTCCTCTTGATGAGATATCCAGGGTTGAATCTATCACTCGGTGTAATGAATCCACCATTCTTACCGTCACAATCCAATCCCCAACGGTCATTTACAACGACTGAATCTTTCACAGTGGAGTTATTGTAGAGCCAAGCCAGAAACTCTGCCGATTGCCAATAGGTACTATTCTCACCTTCGTCGCCATCCGCCCAGACAATCGATGGTTCGTAGCTATTGACAATATCATAGAGTTGTGGCATCAGTACCTGTGTCACATAGTTATTGGTTGTTGGTGGACTACCGGAATTAACATCGGCAATATACAGAGGATTGTACCATTCGAAAAGAGAGTGATACAGTCCCATGTGTAGTCCAGCATTCTTTACCGATTTACTAAGCGCTCCAACGATATCTAAACCTGGCCCAATGTTGACAGAGTTCCAACCCCACGATTGAGGAGATGGCCACATAGTGAATCCTTCATGATGTTTACTGGTGAAAACAACATATTTTGCACCAGACTTTACGAAAAGATCGGCCCATTCATCTGGATCGAAAAGCGCTGCCTTAAACATAGGTGCAAACTCTTGATATGTAAACGACGCTCCAAATGTCTTATTATGATATTCAGAGGTAGCACCACCATCTGTTTTATCACCATTATATAAAGTCCACCAATACCATTCTGCAGATGGCCATTGCTAATGATTTAAATTAATTATTATTAAATTCATTACAACCAGCCTAATATTACAAATACTATATTTTTAACTTACAGGTACAGCAAAAGCAGGTACAGAATAAACACCCCAATGAATAAAAATACCAAATTTAGATTGATCATACTACAAACAAATAAAAAAATTGATTATTAATAATTAAAGTAAAAATTTATTAAACTCTTATCATCTAAATATCATACCCATTTAGGTAAAGGTCTAGAGTTTATACTAGGCCAATTCGGTTGATATTGACTATATGCCAAAGATATAAATAAAATAACAATAAATAAAATAGACTTAATCATTCTATGATAATTGTGATAATTGTAAAACAAAACATACTAAAATAAATATTAGTGATTAACAGTTCTTCTTACCACCATTTTAATAATTTGGTTTGATTTATAAAATACCCCATTATTTAAAAATAACAACCAGATATTTTTATCTGAATGGAATTTCTGTTTGATTGATCACATAGATAAATTAAAAAAGTAATAATGTTTTTTGTTTGTTTAAGAAGTTTTAAGTTTAGTTTATTTAGTTTAGTTTAGTTTAACATGGTTTTGTTTTGTTTTGTTTGGTGAGTGATGGATTTGTTTTTTTTTTGATATTGCTAATTTTAATTAACTACTGGAATCTGTTTGTGGTGTTGATGGAACCACTGTTTGTGGTGTTGGTGTGGGTGTTGCTTGTTTCGATAGGAATCGTTGTACGGTGTCTTCCATCATTGGTTGGTAGTAGAACGACGAGTGACGTTCCTCTTCGAATCCGGTCGATGGCATCGATTTCGAAATCTGATAGTCTTTGATCTGTTGGTGGACGAGCTCACTGAGGAATCCGAGTGGATCCTCCGAGAGTTTCTCCATGAAGCCATGTTTACGCTTGTGATTGTGAATCTTGATGATCGATTGATTGATCTCCTCGTCGAGCGACTGAATCTCCTTTCTCGGGAGTGGTGTCTGTTGTGCGTAGATCTGGTCGTCCACCTCCACCTGAATATCGAACGCCTGCTCATAGTCTCTGGGATCGCCAGACAATCTCAACTGATAGTTAAACTCCAATGGATCCGACGGTCCCAAGTGTTCTCTCAACAACTGTGGAATCTGACTGAATTGTAAAACGTCTTGATTGAAAATCTAGTTGTTGTTGTTGTTCATTCATTCCATAACATTAATTAATACCAATATTCAATAGCTGCAGCAATATAATACAATATTTTACTTACATTCTTTAATGCTTCATCACAAATAATCTTTTTACTCTCGATGTCTAGGAGTTTGTTGATCTTTATGTAGTGCCAGAGCGATGCTATAATCTTTGGCTTGGTGTCTGTGTGTATGTTTAGGAGTTGTGAGAGTGGACCGAGTACTTTGCTCTTCTGTGGTGTATGATCCAGGTGCATAAGAATCTTAATGTCCAGCTCCTGATTGCCGTTTCTCTTGATTTCAAATCCGTCGGTCTCTGCGAACGATTGCGACTTGTCCCATTCGCAACTATCGCGATGTCCAATCTGTACGAATATCTTTTTAAAGAATGAGCTAAATTTACGTTTCTGTTGTTTTGTAGATGATCCAGACTGTTTGGAAACACTGCTACTACCTGAACTTCCTGCAACGACACTACTGACTCCACCGATACCACCGACTCCACCGATTCCACTTCCACCGCCACTACCGCCACCAAGCGAAAAAGGATCGTCTAGTAGACGACCTTCGATTCTGAGTGTCCACGACGGCTTCTCGGTGACCGACATCATTGCCTTGTTATCGAGATGATAGTATGCCGATTGACAAGCATAGGTATTGTAGATCGAGAGACGCAATGTACGAAACTGTTTGCTCGATCTCGATTTCTGTGCTTCTTGCATGTCGACCAGTCGCTTTGTGATGGCGCTATCGATCTTCTTCTCAAACTCGAGGAGCTGTGTGAATAGCAGACACTCTGGTGCGTAACGAACCAGTTGTTCGACGGGCAGCGTCTGTGAAGTCGGTAGTTGTTGACATCCATTGGGATTGATAATCGATCCACCGCTACCACCACCTTTCTGCTGTTGTTGTTGCTGTTGCTGTTGTTGTGCGCTCAGAGAAGACGACGATGAAGAAGACGATGAACTTGTCTTTTGTTTCTTCTTATCTTTTTTATCACCATTATGTTTCTTTGACATTGTTATTGTTGTTTGTTTTTATTTACTACTTTTATCGAACTAATCTATTTTTAATCTATTTAATTATTCTAAAATTGGAGGTTCGATTAGTCTACTCTGAAAATTTTACAAAAAAACTGATCCACACAACTAATAAATAAAAAATATTATCTTTAATTTAAACAATAAAAAAAAAAAGGTAGCACTCAATTTTTTGAATTTTTTTTTGAATTTTTTTAAAAAAAAAAAACAACCGTTAATTTTGAGTATGATAAATTTGTCATTCATTTATTTTTATTGAAACAAAACATGTAAATTGTTTGTTGTTGTTTGTTGATTTTTAAGATCGATCGATTGTATTGTCGAATAGCATTTAGTTGAATCTGCTGTTAGTAGGTATGGCAGAGTTTGTCTTTGATAGTTGCACTCTTACCACTGTGTAAGGTCATCCGAAACATGTTAAGTGTTGAATTTGGTGAAAGAAAGCAACATTAATAACTTGGTAGATGAGCGAATGAATCAATAGTGTATGTTTAGTTGAATCAATAGTGTATGTTCAGTTGAATCAAGATTAATTAAATTTATCAATTATAGAATGTATCTCATATTATTGAAAGTTTTAAAACTAATTGTGATCTTTTATAACAGATGCTATGAATAAATAGTCTAAGCGATATTATAAACAAAAATTGTAATCATAAAAATGAATGTAAAATAATTATTATTATTTTAAAATCCAAATCTTATTATATTTAAATCAATATAAATACTTAAGGTTCATTAAATGCAAATTAATTTATTTTTAAATTTAAAGTTTTTATAAAAAAACCGTTAGTTTAAACATTTGCTGTTTTTTGGTTGGTCAAAGTTAATTAATTTAATGACAAACATTGAGTTCATTTCAGTTTATTTTATGTATATTCCGATTTCTCAAACAATCTAATTTGGTAAACAGATAATTTTTTTTTTTTTCAAACAATTGTAAGTGTATGGGAATGGTTTAGGATCTTTGGCCAATTAAAAAAAAAAATCTTTTTTTTTTTTTTTTTTCTTTTCTGGAAGTAGTTTAGTTTTAAAATAAAAAAAAAAGAAGAATAATCACCTTCCCCCTAAGATCACTTTAAGTGCACCATCGATATCAAAGTTCACACAATTCTGGGAGTTCTCATTTTAAAAAACATTGTAACCACAAGTTTTCCCCCACCACAACAAACAAACACATTAAAAATTAATTTATAAAATTTCATTTTTTTTAACAAAGTAATCATATCATTTGAAACATCCAACAAACATATATTTGCAACTTTGTGTTGTTATAGTATAACAACAACAATCACACAACACTACAAGAAAACAACAAAAAATAAAAATAATAAAATAACAATTTTAACACCACACCTCATATATATATATATTTTTTATATTACTACAAACTTTAATATTATTACTCATTATACTCATTCATTTTATCAACATTAAGATTAAATAATAACAATAGTACATATGTAAGATCATCTCACTTTATTTACAACTAGATACATCTATTTATTTTATTTATAATAAAATTTGAGATTCACGAAAGCATACACCAAAAACAACATTTACTTAATTCAAATAACCACATCCAACTCAAATTTAATCTGAATTGGTTTACCAACTAGTTGAAGTGTCAACTATATATATATATTATTTTATTAAATTTAATCGATTTAAATTGTTACTTTCTTTTTATAATTATAATTTCGACAAAAACAAACTATTAATAGCAAAAACAATAACTATCATACGATTTTAAATAGAATAGAATAGAAAAGAAAAGAAAACTAAATTTTAAAATAAAACACACAAACTGTTGCAAAATCAACAACACACAAAACAGCAAAAGTAACAAGGACATGTTACTATAGAAAGTGTGTTGTTATATATTGTTTTTTGTGTTGTTGTCATTGTAGAGTGTAGTTGGTTGTTTATTGATTTATTTTTATTTATATATGATTTCCTCATTTGATGTTATTGTTGTAATATTAATCATCAGCTAACTCTCTTAAAGAACGTTTGAATTTCATTTCAAAACTCACATTAATATAACACCTTTTAGGAGAGTTTATAAAATTTATAACAACTATAACAATAACAACAATAACTATTTCAGTAGTTTCATAGTATAGATAAGGTAGGATTGGTATTTTATTAAGTACTTAAAACAAACCACACACACTGTTTTAAACAATTTTGTTGACCACCTCACCAGTGTTTTATTTTTTTTAAAAAAGTTTAGTATTTTTTATTTTTTATTTTTTTTTGCAGATGAAACCATCATTTTCGGTTGACAATTTTTGACTAATTTGATAAACTTTATTGTATAATCTTGTGATTAATAATAATATTGTGGTTATTGTTTAATTTATTTAATATTTTGTATATCTTATTTTTATATTTTACATATATATATTTTGATATTCTTAATCAATCAATCAAACAATTAGCCATACATTACATTTTATTAATATATTAAATTGTTGATAGATCTTTTTAAAGTATTATATAGTTTAGTTTAGCTTTAGTTAGTTTTTTTTATTTAGTTAGTACAAGAAAAGTTAAGTTTTTAAAAAACAATGGATATGGAAGAAGTACAACTCGATGGAAGCAACAACAACAACAACAACAATAATAATAATAACAGCGGCGGTGGAAACAGTGGAAATATAAATACGTCAATGAATACCACTCCGGTTTTGAGTAGCAGTAATGTCAACGAGCAATTCATTGGTCAGATGGAACAGGTGTTCAAAGCCATCGATAAAGGATCGACAGGTGTCATCTCGCTCAGTCAGTTGCGCTCAGAGATCGAGGAGCTCGGTGCCGATATCGATGACAATCCTCTAATTGGACAACTCATCCAATATCTCAGACATGTACACGCTGCCGCTGCTACAGATGCCGACGATGGCAATGAGTTGTCGTCGTCCACCAACGAAGAGGACATTCTCATTGATTTCGAATCGTTTGTCAGCTCGATGACTCACTTTGTCGAAGGTGTAGACCCGAAGGAATCGAGACGTCTGCGCGAGGAACGCTTGAAACTGCCACGCTTCAAAGTGCCGGTTGAGTTGCTCAAGAAATATAGTATCACCCCAAAGGGATCGCCTATCTTGATGGCGGGTGGCGGCTCCGGTGGACAAGCCGGCGGACAATATAGCCACACCGCCGGATTCAGTCCGGCCAAGGGCAACAAGTTCAACAAGATGTTCAGTGCTCAGAAGCCGGTGATTCCGTTCGACCAATTCCAAACGCTGTTCACCAAGTTGAACTACGGCAAAGAGATACCAAAGAACAAGCTGCTGATGTTTATCAACGATTTGCCAACCGATGCCGATGGCTGTGTCGACATGAACACCTTCTTGACTGCCTACGGTGGACTGAACCATCCGATGAGTCCAAAGCTCATCTACGAGGAATCCGACGTTGTTGAGCGCGTCGAACAAGTTCAAAAGTCGGCGCTCGAGTGGAACAAGAACAACGATATCGTTCAGCAACTCAGTGAGAGCTACAAGGTGTTGGAGAAGGAATGCGAGACTTTCCAATCGGAGATTCTCTTCCTCGAGAAATCAAAGTCGCAAATGGAAGCACAGCTAAGGAAGCGCGAACAAGAGATTGAAAAGTTGAAAAAGGAAACCAAGTTTATCGATGGCATGAGAGACACCAACAAAGAGCTCGTCGTTCAAAACACCACTCTCAAGACACAGATAACAAAGATGAACTCCAACGACGCAGCACTCAGAGACAACATTGAAAATGAAAAAGAAAGAGTCAGAAACATGGAGGAACAAATGATTCTCAAGGATTTGGAAATCAAGAAATTGAATCATCAAATTAAAACCCAACAAAATATTAATTCAAAACTATCGATGGTATGTTGGAATATATAAAACACTAGTAATCTAATAATAATATTAATACTTTTGATAAATAACAATACAAAAAATATTAGATGGTATCGTTTGTAAATGAACCGGAGAAAGAAAAAGATACAAAAACTGATAGTAGTAGTGGCTCCAAGTTTAACAAGTCAAAGACATTGAAGATTACTAATAGGGAGAAGGGTAAGCCAGCTTTGACCAAACAGAAATCAGACTTTTTCGATGCACCAGTCAATAGAATATCTTCACCAACACTAGAGTCTCATCAAAGTCACAATATTTCAGTAGAGAGTTTGCGTGCAAGTCTTCAAGCAGATTCACTTCAAAAGGAGTTTGAATTGTTAAAGCAAGATCAATCATTCTCAGAGTTGGACCAATTGAAACTACAAGTACAGTCGTTTGGTGAAGAACTCTCATTGAGTTCATTCCAACCAGAGCCAGAACCAATCGCCGATGTCATTAACGAACAAACAACAACAACAACAGCACCAACACCAACAATTACACCAAGTCTATCCAACTCAAATATCGCCGCTAACACAAGTACTTCATCTTTAAGTAATACACCAATGCAATCATCTGTAAATGTAACAACAACAGCAGCAACAACGGTAACAGTAACATCACCATCAACTTCCACACCATCAACTGCCACTCCAACATCACAAACAACTTCCAATTCGACACCAAACAGTGAGAAACCAACACCAATTGTAGAACCACCTTCACCCATTGCCATTCCAACACCAAATCAATCTGTACAAACTCCATTGCGTCTAAGTTCACCATTCATTCAAACACCACCAAGCGGTTCACCAAGAACCATCCTTACTTCACCCGGATACGTTAGACAGAGTAGTCCTGCCATTACCGATAGAGCCAATCTCAACTCATCCTCACACAGTCCAGTTGCATATGTAGCTACATCTTCACCAAGCTCAACAGGCACTTCCAACAATAACAATAATAATGTCAATAACAATCCACCAGCCATCAACACCTTGGAACTACCAACACTTTCACCCAACTTCCAATCCAATCCAAATGTCGGAAGCATCAAGAGAATGAAGAAATCAGACCTCATTCGTCTTCAAATGACCGAGTTGGAGGCACACAAAGAGAGTGCTCAGAATCTTATCGACGAAACAACCACTGCACTCTCGAATCTCTACAAGAACAAAGATAACGAATTACAAAGAATGCAAAAGATGTACAACGAAGAGAAACAAGCCAACAAGTACCTCGAAAAGCAATTGACAGCTCAACTCGAGAAGAACAAAGAGCTCATTGCCGGAAAGGAAAAAAACTCATGGGGTGGTATGCAGAGTTTTTTTTCGTTTGTTTCACACTTATTGCCATCGTCTCTTCTTTGCAATGTTTCTGGTACAAGTTAGCGTAGTCTTGTATAAATATATTAATAGATAGAGACAATATAATATAAAATAAAAAATCAATTGTATAGTATATAAATAAAAACCAAATCATATTGCTTAATTTATTATAATATCTTCATTCGATTTATCAAAAATTCCACAACAAACCTCTATTTTTAAAATTTAAAGTATTAATAATAATGTGTGAAAAAAAAAGCGATGATAGTTAAACTACACCAAGTACTTGGTGTGCATATGATAATGTAATCCCATTCTCAAGGTATCTGTACGTTCCTCCCAACGATGGAGATAGTTCCCATTGGGGATTCATGTCTCATAAAGGTACAAACATCCCAGGTTTTGCAGTATTTAGTCCACCACCTCCAAACTCTCCAAATGCAGTGAGACAAGGACAAGTCTTTGGAGATCCATATAAATCGATCACCAATGGAATCATTAAAGTGACAAGAGCTGCCAATCTTGAAACAAATATAACTTATTTGGGTATCGACGAACCAGATACTATTTTAATACCATCCTATCAAGGATTTTACAATACTGCAGTTTGGCAGACCTACTTTTATAGTCTTAGAGCCGATAGTTTCAGTGGTACCACTACTTACACCTATACAAAGAGTCCTTTTGGAGCAATTGGATCAATCGTAACCGACAACCTAACAATCCAAACTTTTTAATGGCAGTACCAGGAATGCCCGAATTTATGTTGGTCAACTCAAGAGGTTACATGGTGTGGAGTGCAACCAGAGATGGTTTTAAACAGGCTGTAACCTAAAGGAATAGGGTTGAGAAAAATCGATTATTCTGTAAAAACTTTATTTTTGTTTCGAAATTAATTAATTTTTAGAAATTTAAAATTTCTTACAAAATACAATTTTCTTTTATTGAAAGGTGTTGAGGTGAAAGGAATAGGACATTTCTTTTATTATTGTTTATTTTTATAAAAAAAATACATTAATGAATATGAATAGTTTGTGTCAAAAATTGTTGATCTCTCATTTCTTTGCAGGACCAAATCAAATTAATAAGAGGGGTGGGTTGTGTTATACCACACCAGTTATGCGATTTTTTTTTTAGTTTGAAAGACTCTAAAAGAATGCTTGACCTATTTGTTAGCACTTTTTTTAATTGAAATTTGTGTGGGAGTGGGCATTTCAAAACCAAGTGATGTTTGCCCAGAAAAGGTCAACCAATAGAATTTGCGAAAAATGATGTTTATTATTTTGTGATTTTTTTTGCAGCGAAAAAAACTCAATTATTCGATCATTTATCTTCTTTTGTATGGGTGATAGGCTCTGATTTAATCAAAGATATCAAAAAAAAAAAGGTGATTTAAAAAGGGAACAACACTTCCTTGATTTGTTTAGTGGGTGTTTTCGTTTGGAAATATGAGCCTATAACATAAATGGTCACTGTTTTGTTTCTCCTGCACATTAATTAGTTTTTAAATCTTTAATATAGATATATGAAATAAATATATACAGCGATAGAACACATGGGCCATATTATCTTACAATTCAAGTTGATGGGAATTTTTGTGCCAATGGATATTTTATAATATTCCTTGCTTGGGGATTGTTGATGAGTGAGGGAATAGGGCTAAGAAAATCGATCATTCTGTAAAAACTTTATTTTTGTTTCGAAATTAATTAATTTTTAGAAATTTAAAATTTTTTACAAAATATAAATAATATCTTCTTTTATTGAAAGGTATTGAGTGAAAGGAATATAACATTTCTTTTATTATTGTTTATTTTTATAAAAAAATACATTAATGAATATGAATAGTTTGTGTTCAAAAATTGTTGATCTCTCATTTCTTTGCAGGACCAAATCAAATTAATAAGAGGGGTGGGTTGTGTTATATCGACACCAGTTATGCGATTTGTTTTTAGTTTGAAAGACCCTAAAGAATGCTTGACCTATTTGCTAGCACTTTTTTTTTGAAATTTGTGTGGGAGTGGGCATTTCAAAGCTAAGTGATGTTTGCCCAGAAAAGGTCAACCAATAGAATTTGCGAAAAATGATTTGTGATTTTTTTTGCAGCGAAAAAAACTCAATTATTCGATCATTTATCTTCTTTTGTATGGGTGATAGGCTATGATTTAATCAAAGATATCAAAAAAAAAAAACGTTATTTAAAAAGGGAACAACACTTCCTTGATTTGTTTAGTGGGTGTTTTCGTTTGGAAATGATGAGCCTATAACTAAATGATCACATTTTTTTATTGAACAAAAGTTGTTTAAATCTTTAATATAGATATTATATCACTGTATTATAATATATTTATTTAAAATGAAAAATATTTATAATCCTATTTTTATTTCTATTTATTTATTTGTAGTATCAGTAATAGTAGTTAGAGGACAACAACCAGAAGCAGGAAAGTTCTATCGATTCTTTGATACAACTCTCGGTAGATGTATACAAAGTCCAGCGGTTAGAGGTCAACCGATAGAATTAGCGGTTTGCTCCTCCGAGAATCTCTATCAAAATTGGCTATATACATTTCAAGGTCAATTGTTCAATCCGCAATCAAGACTATGCTTGTCAATCGATGGTCAATCGACGCTTGCAATTGCCAAAGGTTGCACAGTAGCACCTGTTTTCGAATGGGAGATAATCAAGTTCCCTAACAACACAGATTTATTCCACATTTCAAATAGTTTTTTACAACCACAACAGTGTATGTCATCACTCTCTGATGGTGTTTCACTTGGGCTAGCCAATTGTGCAGCATTAAAACCTTCAACCAATTCATATGGAATGAATCAATTATATACAAATTATAATAGTAAGTTAACAAATAATAGAAAGTAGTTTCAAATAATTCAAAAAGAATTTAACAAATTAATTTATTTTTTCTTCAAAATTTTAAAGGTATCAATTTACCACCAGTTACAGATACAAATTCAATTCCATTGACAACAGGAGCAAGCCTGAAAGTTGGTACAATTATGAGTGCTGGTTTTACAATGACTGTAAACGATTATAGTTTTGTTCTAAAGTTTGATGGAATGTTTGTTTTATATGATCCCAAAGGACAGATTGTTTGGTCATCCGACATTTCAGGAAACTACAAGAATGATACTGGTGGTTATGGTACATTTGATGGTGATGGAAATCTTTGTAGTTATGATTCTATGCACTCAATAGAATTCTGTACATCATTAAATTTTCTAGGAGGTTACAATTTAAACCTTCTACCTGCAGGATCATATGGAAGACCTTGGGGTATTGTCATTCAAAATCAACTTGGAAAGATGATTTGGGGAAGATTTGGAACTAGTACAACCAGAGCTGGATTCTATTCATTGATTCCTGGAAGTTTCTTGGACAGTCAATCAAAGACAAACAACATTCTCCACCCAGGTCAATTCATTACCAATGGACATAATTATTTAACGATTACAGATAAGGCAGAAACTCAATTATGGGTTGGTAAAGTATCAAATTAATCACCTTATCAGTATCTCTCTATTTTTTTATTTACCAATTTTTATTAATATTGATTTCTTTTATAAAAATATTTATTTTATTATCAAGATAATCCATTTACTATTGGAAAAAAGTATGGTTTGAAATAAATATATACAGCGCTATAACACATGGACCATATTTTTTTACAATTCAAGCTGATGGTAATGTTTGTGCAAATGGATATTATTCATATGGACTTGCAGGTGTTTGGTGCGTATATGGAGCTGATGTCACATTCTCAAGATATGTCTTCGTTACTCCCCATGACGGAGATAGTTCTCATTGGGGATTCATGTCTCATAACGGTACAATCCCAGGTTTTGCAGTATTTAGTCCACCACCTCCAAACTCTCCAAATGCAGTGAGACAAGGACAAGTCTTTGGAAATCCATATAAATCGATCACCAATGGAATCATTAAAGTAACAAGAGCTGCCAATCTTGAAACAAAGATAACTTATTTGAGTATCGACGAACCAGATACTATTTTAATACCATCTTATCAAGGATTTTACAATACTGCAATCTGGCAGACCTATTTTTATTATATTAGAGCCGACAGTTTCAATGGTACCATATCCTACATCTATACAACAGAGTCATACTGTGCCGATTGGTTTAATCGTCTACAACCACCCAACAGTCTAAACTTTTTAGTTGCAATGCCTGGAATGCCTGAATTTATGTTGATCAATTCAAGAGGTTACATGATATGGAGTGCAACCAGAGATGGTTTTAAAGAAGTAATTACCATTTAGAGAATTATATAATAAAAAGAAAGAAAACATTATTTATTTAAGAAACAATATTACCATTGAGTTGGTAGAAAATGTTTATATAATATTCCGTGTTTGGTTTGGTGATTATTAATGTGTGAGTAAATAGGGTCGAGTATTCTTGCTGCACCATCTTGTGCGGATAGCGGTGCTTCTGTGCCATTTGGTTTGGCGTTGGTTGTCATCTTGGTGATCCATCCAGGATCCACTGCACAAACAAAGATTCTCTTCTTGATGTATTGTTCCGAAGTCGAGAGTGTCATCATATTCAATGAAGCTTTGGCCATGTTGGTGTGCACATGATAGCCAGAAGATAGATTGAATGAATCCTTCTGGAATGAACCTTCTGGCGATGAAACATTGATTATATATGACCAATCTTCTATTTGTTTCACTGTATTCTTGGCGCTGACAGTTGGCGTTGTCATGAGTGGAGCCAATTGCGACATCAGCATAAAAGGAACGGTAACATTGATGAGTTGAACCTCCAACATCTCCTCCATCGATATCTCTTCAATGGAGTTGTTCCAAGTTGTTTTCGATCGCATATCCAGTTGGTCACCATGTTCATCTACCATATCCTCTGGGAAGAGTTTACGATTCTCTTGTTCTTCATCGTCTTTATGCACAATGATTTGCGACATCTCTGAACTATCCAATAGTCTGTTGTTTACCGGTACCAAAGACAGATGATTTACATTCTCCTTTGAAGAGACAACAATATATTTATAAACTTCTTTTTTCAATCTACTTTCCTCCTCAACAATAGTTTGATAGTAAGCTCTTGGTCGTCTGATTGTCTGTGCGGCATTGTTGATTAAAATATGCAGTCTCGGAATGTTCTTCAAAACGTACTGGATAAACTTGTTTACCGATGGCAAGTGTCTAAAGTCGATTCCATAGATTTGAAGACGGCCAATCCATCTACAATTGTCGGTCTCTGATATATAGTTTTGATAGGCAGTATGAGGGAATCGGGTTGTAACCAACACATGGTATCCAGAGCGCAACAATCTCAAAGCAGTTTGGAAGCCAATCTTGTTTCTTGCACCAGTAACAATTGCATATTTTCCAGCTTTATAAATAGTATCTTCATCGTCAAAATAACTGATTGAATCCCATTGATTTAGCTTTGCTAGATTGGTATACTCGCATGCCTGACACAAAGGATGAGGAATATCTTCCAACGCCTGCTCACACTGATAGCATCGCTTTTTTAACTTTTTATCTTGGAATCTCCATTGAAAAGTGGATGGCATTGATAGCTTGCTTACTAAATCATCTAGTCCGTCAATGGGTTTATACAGATCCATTTTGCTTTCAATTATATCGTCAACCAGCTGTATATCTTGTATCTCTTGTCCATATGGTTTTCCCTCGAGCGAATCATATAAATCATCGCTGGCAGAAGAAGTTCGCATTGAATCTTCTGATCGTCTTTGATTTCTTGCATCGGCAACCGCTTTGACATCGCACCTTGGATAATGTTTACACGATTCAAAACAAACGGCAGTGAAACCTCTTTCCACATACTTCTTAACTCTAGCTCTCTTGATAAACTCTGGACTTATATAGTTAACAGAGTATTGAATCGACTTCAAACCTCTGATAGAGGTATAGATATTGTTTGCAGATGGATCGTAAACAAGGGTATTGCAATCCAAGTCGGAAAACAACGCTTGATCGGATACCGCTCTGAGTAGTGAAGTGACAATCTGCACAGGACGATAAGGATACAGTGGAAGAATGGTTACTGAGAAATCGGTCTTTATCAAACGATATGCCACCGGAATACAATCGGTAATCTCCTTGACCAGTCGTTTGATTCTCTGAGGCAGCATTGCAATGGATTCAGCACTTTCCTTACACACCAAAAACAAATCGATATCAGAGTTTATCCATTCCTTTGACCGGTATTTATTGGCTGCCCAATGATTGTAAGTATCATCCATATCCTCTAGGTAAGAGCGAATCTTTTGACGAATGACATAGGGAAGTGATTGTATCGCTTCTTCACTTGCAATATATTGTTTATAGGCAAACTTGTCGAGTTCCACATCGCTTTGTGCTCTTCTCTCAAATCTATAGAGTGGACGCGAATTTGCTGATCTATTTGTAAACAAACTTCCAATAACAGAACCACCAACAACAACAACTTTAAATCCACTGTTTGACGACTCTGACGAATCCTCTTCTTTCCAAGTAACATTCCTAAGCATACCTTTTACAAAGAAATCGTGAAAATTAACTTTGAATTGGTCGAAACTGGAAACAACTTCGGGCAACTCATAGTGTATTCTCCTCAGGTTTGGCAGGATGTTCTTCCTTTCTTCATAGTCAATCGACTTTCTCTTGAGGAACAGCGAGTTGGTATCGCCAGTGGACGCAAGAAACACCGGTATCAACTGGTCGGTTTCCAGTGGCGACAGTCTGGCGGCACGCTGTTGACTCTTCACTTTCCGTGCATCTATAGTATTATAGACCACACTCGTAAAGATAGTCGGTGTCACCGGAGAATAATACGTTGTGTCACTCCACAACCGGTAGACATATCTACATTGTTCGGAACTAAGAAATCCCAATACATGTTGAATGAAATTCGCTGGGTAATTCTCAACCAAACCGTCAATCCAATGTGAGATTATGGTTTCGTCATCTCTTTTCTCCACCGACTCTGCAATCCCATTGGCAATCGATAGCGCACGTGTACTATCCAACTCTCCACTTGAACAAGGTATTAAACGACAGTAACCTTGATTTTTATTTCTTTTGTTCTGTCTATTATTATCATCACAATCATTACTATATTTTTCAATATTAATTATTATTAGTATTTTGTTATCTTATGCATTCCACCATTTTTTTTTTATTTACTCTTCAGAATTTCTTTTTGACATTTAAACTTAAATGTTAATTATATTATTATATAGTAATAGTATTATTACTAATTAATTAACAAGCTTCTTAATTTCTCAATACATAAATATGTTTTGTTATTCAGGACACGTGTCAAGTTAACAATCTTGATTAAAATTCGTGGAAATTTTACATATTCCTTCCCTAACTCGAAATTTCAGTTAAAGCTAAGTATTATTGAATTATGTTTCAATGTATTGTAAATTTTTTATACCTTTTTGTTTTTCTTTGACATCTACTTGATTAATTGCAATCATTTCGAATTTCTGAAATTAGATGTGATCATAAATTAATATATATTATTAATATTTAAAATATATATATTCCACAAGGATATTTTTTGCTTTATTTCTTGATTTTATTTTTCATTTTTAAACTTGGGTTACAAGTCAATTCATATTACAAATGAAAACACTTCTATGATTAAAATTAGCAATTAAGAGTAATATATTAATAGAGCTTGTTTATAAATGTTCTTTATGAAAAAAAAAAAAAAAAAAAAGTTTTAAGTTTTATTTTTTTTTTTTGTTTTTTTTATATTAAAACTTTGTTTGATCGTTTTTCAGAATGGATATGAATCAATCAACATATATAAAATGTTTAGACTGATCAGTAGTAGTTGTAGTAGAAATTTAAATAGAAATGTTGTATTTAACAACAACAACAATGTTAGAGGATCATATTTATTGAATGGTAATAATAATAGCAATAATATTGTAAGAAAAGGATGTAGTTTTTATAGTTCAGGCAATTCCATTGAGCAGAATGATGATGATGATAGTGTAAGACATCAACTATGGATGTTTGGTTCGTGTAACGATGCAAAGCTAGGATTGGCAACTGATCACGATAAGTTATTACCAACGAAAGTAACACATTTACCACATCGTCTGCGTATTAAATCTGCACAATCCACTTGGCAAACCAGTTGTATCCTGACGGAAGACAACCAATTGTTTATGTGGGGAACAAACTCTGCCGGTCAGATGGGTCTACCTCAGAATCAGATATTCAAATTCCCAACACTCTCTGACATGTTTAAAATGATTGATATAGATCAAGTACATCTCGGTAGATCATTTACACTAATATTAACAAGTAAGTAAATTGAAACAGTGTTTGTTAATTAATTACTCTTTAAGCAAATTACTAAACAATTCATTTAATAAATCTGAAGAACAAGGTAAATTACTATCTGTAGGTTCGAATGACTTTGGACAATTGGGATTGGGAGAAGGAATGAGAGGATCTTCTACACCTCGGGTTGTCGAGAAACTTAATAATCAAGAACTTGTATCGATTGGTGCTGGATTCGATCATTCAATGGCTGTAACAAGTATGTTGTTTAAAGTTAAAGATTAATATTTAGTTGTATTGTTTATTAACACATTGGTTGTTTTGTTTTGTTTTGTTTTGTTTTTGTTTATAGAGTCAGGTCACACTTTTGGTTGGGGATATAATGTTGAAGGACAAATAGGACAAAGGATTGTGGAGTATAAGAGAGTTGAATCGGCAGGTGAAAATGTTGATAGTATGGAGAATTCAATGACACCCGATGCAGAGTACAACATTCCGACGTTGGTGCCAGAGATGGAGTCGATCAAGGTTGCCAAGGTCTATTGTGGATACGATTGTAGTTTCTTGGTTTCTGCACGTGGCAATGTCTATGCCATGGGAAACAATGAAACTGGAACGCTGGGTGTTGGCGATGACAAACTGGGTCGTGTTACCAAGCCAACGAAAGTAGCGATGCCCGAGAAAGTTAAGCAACTGTCGTGTGGTGCAACTCATACGCTGTTCCTTGCAGAGTCGGGTCGTGTCTATTCTTGTGGCTGGGGATCCGAAGGTAGACTTGGACTGGGTGACAACACAACCAATCGCTACGTTCCAACGTTGATACCGTTCTTCCACGAGAATGGAATCAGAGTGACACAGGTGTCAGCGGGTGGCGCACACTCTATGGTTTTGACCGATGAAGGACAAGTCTATACCTGGGGATGCGGAGAGAATGGAAAGCTCGGACATAACAGTGAAACCAATTCGAATATACCGCAATTAGTAAAATCATTGGCCAAGAGAAACGCAATATTAATCGCAGCAGGAATTGATACATCTATGGTAGTAACAGAGGAATAACTTTATATTCAATAAACTATTATTTTTTAAATGCGATAGTGTTCAATAGTAAATAATATTTTTTATTCATTCATTAGATTTGCAGTAACTTTAAAATAAGTAATTTCTCAAATTTTTTATTATTTAATTATATCATTATTAAATGTATTTAATGCATCTCTATTTTAATTCAAATAATGCATTATTATTTCCTGTACATATACTTATATTCATTAAATTAACAGCCCACGACTTCATATCTATTCATTTATCTCCTAGTCATCAATTAAGGTCTTATCATAAAAAAAAAAACTTCACAAAGTCGCCATATACCTCCAGATACTAGAATAGAAATTTCTTTCGGTAATGCATCCCCATTTCAACCAAATGACAATAGTGACTTTGAAACTGGTTTCGCCATTGAGAATACTAATATAAATAATTAAATATTAAATCAAATCAACAAATTATGTATTTATCTATTAAAGAATTCTCTTAGTTTAAAAATCAAAGGATATATAAGTACCGGTTATTTTATTATTATTATTTATTCATATGTTTGCTCTTCTAGATTTATACTCAGTGCCGCTTATTTGCACAAAAGAGGTGCTCTATTGCAACTACGTCAAGTCTGATCGATGTGGGTCTCGCTGTTACCGCACCTACGTGGAAATGCATTGACCTACCAACATTCCAAAGATTGGATAGAACATTGTTAAGGTTGTTGCTGGCATCTTTGTCACTCTTCTCTGGCACAACAACTCCAGAACGCTGTCCATACGCCCAACTACACCGATGGGTCCACATGGACATTGTTGCTGATTGATACTCTAGGTGCCACAAGCCAAGCATTGCATAGTTGATCTTATCATCAAGAGGAGTGGTGGGTGGCGTTTCATGCTGACAACCAATTACACCATGCAACCCTCTAGGCATGTTGGTCAGAGCCAGGGATAATCAACAACTCTATCAAGCACCCTACTTTCCATATTCAGTTGCTCTATTCGATAAATACAATTAGTCTAATAAACGCTCTAATTAGACCTGATGGTAAAACCGTCGCGCTTTACATTCAGTTTACTGATACTGTCGAACCTTAGACTCATTTACTTGTTTCAGTCGATTACAATTATTCCTACAACAGATCATAAATGAATACATCATCGACGAAACCGTTTTTATATTCACCAGCGTTTGACTTGTGGCCATTGCTTGTGTTAAGAGCGCTCGTGAATGTCAGTATACACAGAAACTATGTCAAAGGTTTTTGACTAAACAAAATCAAATTAGTCTAAAGAATAATATAAATAATATATAGTGAAGTTGTTTGTAAAAAACTTACCTGATCAGACTGAAATGGTCGGATTATCTATCAATAAAGATTGTTTTTTTTATTTAGAATTATTATCTCTACACCATTGAATGTGCTATGGTATAAAAAAAAATGAAAAAGTTGTTGATTACAAACACTGAAAGTTGTTGTTGGGAAACTGACTTGTGGTGAGGCGACAGTGTTGACTATTAATTCTGATTTGTGTAAATCAAAAAGTCATCCTGAGTAGTTTAAAATTAATAATAAAAATGGATTATTATGCCATAAATTTTTTATTTTTAATTTTTTGTGTTTTTATTTTTTTCACTTTTCTTGTCAGAGCTTCCCGCCTTAAATCAGAGGCAACACCAAAAAATCAAAAAAAAAAAGAAATATAAAAATTTTTTTCTTTATAATTTTAATAAAATAATAATAATTCTAAATTAAATTAATTCTTTCAAAATGAATTCATTTATCATTAATAACATACAATACCATTCAAAATCAAGATTTCCAAACAGTAATTCATCCAATGATGTATATTTAGTGTCTGGTATAAATAACGGTTTGGTAAGATCATTTTGATATCAAATAAATCAATTGATAATCGTAAAACTAACAAATCAATTCAAAAGTATGTTTATAAAAAGATAAACTATAAAAATAAACAACAAATTTATGAAAGAGTTGAGAATGAAATCAAAGCAATGAAATTACTCCAAGATAATCCAAGATTTGTACAACTTGTTGACTATCATGATGATAAAGACAATCAAATCTTTCATATCATCACTGAATATTGCAAAGGTGGTGATCTTGAACAAGAGTATAAGAGTTTAATTGATCAAAATCAGTATGTAATAAATATTAATTGACAGTTATCTATAGATAATATCTTAGAACTAACCACTTTTATATTGAATATAAAAATAGAATCATGGAAGAATCAGAAATTTGTAATTATATTTCACAACTTTTCAATATTCTTTTGGATCTTGATGAGCTTGAAATTGTTCATTGTGATATCAAACCATTAAACATATTCATTGGCTTCGATATATATTATAATATTAAATTGATACTTGGTGATTTTGGATGTTGTAAATTCATTGATAAATCAACAATCATTAAATATCAAGATACAAAAAATCACAATCTTGAGTCAACTGTTGTGACAACAACAGGTGTTTCTAATTTGAAATCTATCGATACAGTCATGGATGATCCAAATGCAACTCGTGGAACTCATGGTTTTATTTCACCAGTAAGTAAATTAAATTATTTTACTATAATATAAATTTTTAATTAAATTCAAATAATAATAACAATTAGGAAGCAATGAATCGACAATATGCTCAATCATCTGACATCTTTTCAATAGGATCAACGATACTCAAATTATTATGTTGGTAAATACAAAATAATCATTTTTAAAATATTATTATCAATTGATATTAACTAGTTCTTTTGAATATTTAAATTGATCAGCCACCAAGAAGATCAAAATAATCATACTCTATTCCAACATACTGGCGAAATTAAGATTTCTGAATCCAGATATTCAAAACAATTGATTGACTTAATTCATCAATTGTTGGATCAGAGTCCAAAGAATAGAGAATCGATCAATCAATTATTGAACAAGTATATTAAAACTATCACCGATCGTCAAACAATTAGATTCAATTTAAATATTAAATTCCGAAATACCTCAGAACATATCACCAGAATTGAATTTGGTGACGATTTTAATCAACCAATTCATTCTAATTCACTCCCTCCAAATCTAACATCATTATCAATTGGAGATTTTTTCAATCAACCAATATCTATTGATGCACTTCCAAAATCACTCAAACATTTATCATTAGGATGGTCTTTCAACCAAAATTTTGAACTAGGAACTTTACCATCCTCTCTTAAATCATTAATTTTGTTAGGATTCAACCAAATATTATCAAAAGATGTGTTCCCTAAATCACTAAAATTATTGGTGTTTGGGGACGAATTCAATCAAGTATTATCAAAAGGTGTGTTACCTAAATCACTAAAATCATTGGTGTTTGGAGATGAATTCAATCAAATATTATCAAAAGATGTGTTACCTAAATCACTGGAATCAATGCAGTTTGGAGTTGAATTCAATCAAACATTATCAAAAGATGTGCTACCTAAATCACTAAAATCATTGGAGTTTGGGGATGAATTCAACCAAACATTAGCAGTCGGTGTGTTACCTAAATCACTGGAATCATTAAAGTTTGGAGATGAATTCAATCAAATATTATCGAAAGGTGAATTACCTGAATCACTAAAAACATTAGAATTGCAGGTCTACAAACATAAAATTGAGAGAGAAGTTCTGCCACAACATCTTAGAGAGTTAAATTTTAATTTACTTGATCAACCATTGGATAAGGGAGTATTACCACGATTTCTCCAAAATTTATGTCTTGGCTCTTATAAACATATGATTGGAGTAGGTGTTCTTCCATCTTCACTTCAAAGATTATCAATTTTTGATCAATGTTTAACAAAAACCAATTTTGGAACACCTTTACCGAAATCAATGGAATCACTCTTTATTGGTAGATATCAACCAGACTCGAGCAAAGAAGACAACATGAACTTCCATTCTCCACTAGATGATCTGATAGAGGCTAACAGAACAGAACTAACCTCAACCTCATCTTCTCATTATTCATACAAATTCCTTTCCAATCTAAAAATCCTTGGAATTTATCTTGGTGGTTTTTTTGATGATCTTCACGAAAAATTCGAAGGATTGATATTAACTTCTTCTGATGATTCACTTTCATTTATCAAAGAATTCTATCCAGAATATTATTCAACACACAATTTATCCAATTTCAGAGATTGCTCCACTGATTCTCAAAACCATCAAATCAAAGGAGAATACATCACCGCTCTACTTTTAACGACACACATAACACTGGAAAACAAAAAATCTAAATATTTCGAATAAAATTTCTTACTCAACTATTTTTAAAAATAATGATCCAAAATTATTAGTTTTCTTTAAAAGAGTATCCAAATTTCATATTATTTTTAAAATTCAATAGATTTCTCTAAATCTATTACTTTGCCAAACTTCGGAAGTTTCTCCAATAGGTATTAGTATATTAGAGATGATGATAATGGTTTGGTATCTCTGCTCCTACTTTGAGGTTACCTATATCTCTATCATTTCTAGGTGGCCATAAAACATTAAGATTAAACTTTCAGATTCTCTCGATCATCTTGAAGGATTCTTCAGTTCTGGTCTGTTGTTTGTCTATCTTGGTGTTGATGATATCCAGAAAATCTATCTAGAAGCACCAAACCAATCAATTGCTAACATGTTGTAGAAACCAGGCTATTAAAAGAGAAAGGTAATACTTTTTGTGGGTATTTTTATTTTGTCATGAATAACCCTCTTTAAATAAACAGAAGTGTTTCTTGAACTTGAAAGTAATTCCCCAACGATAAATACATAGAATACTTTTCCAAAGTTATCCCTTATTAATCAAATAATGTCTATTTGAATATTGGAGCTCAATTGGATTTGTTAGATCTTCAAGATATTGATATGGTCCTTCTTTTTATTGGAAATCAACTCTCGATGGAAACCATCAGTGGAACATAACAAGATAAATAATTATGTAAACTACGCCAAGGAGACCAAACTAATATACAACAAAACGAAAGTATTATTCGTCATTGTTTCAAATCTCTCTAGAGATAAGGAAACCTCGAGTGATAAATTGCCTCCAAATACTATAATCATAGATACTGAGTGTTCTCTCTCTTTCTTTGGTCCTATCTTTTCTTACTTTGTAGAAAACTATCCAACCAAAAGATAAACTTTTATTTTTGGACCATAAATAAACCTAAGATTACACACTTAATTTGTTTATCTTTAAACCATAATTATTTATTTATTTGAAAGATCATTCACTTGTTGGCGAAGTAATTTAATCTCATCGATAAGCAATGCAATTGTGGTGTTTACTTGTGATGAAACGTTGGTGGCAATCTTGGCTTCCATGTCTTGAATGGCTTGGATCATAGAGTCACTCTTTTGGTGTTCACCTTGGAGTGAAATCGAAGCCTCCACTGGGAAGAGCGATAGAGATTTGTTTGTTTCAATCTTTCGAAGTGCATGCAACTCAGAGTCAGAGAATTGGTTCTGTTGTTTGTTGATGACACGCTCCTTCAGGTAGGCAAAGAAGTAGAGATAGTACCACTTGTTGTGATCATCTTCGACATGCTTGTTGAAATCGATACCTTTCTTCTGGAAGGTTTCTCTATCGATAGAGCAAATGAAACAGATGTTTGCTTTGTAGTCTTCAGTGAGAGCACGTTGATCACGGAGCTGACCAAACGTATCTACGATGATACCAAGAATTACATTCAACAAGAAAATGGATGTCACCACATAGAAAACAACACAAAAGACTGTCCAGGCCAATACAAATGCTGTTCCATTATTTGAATAGGCTTGATCAAATTTGAAAATAACAAATTGTACTAATTGACCAGATGTTGGAACACTATAAATATTATTTTAAAAATTATATTTTAATATTAACCTTTATAAAATAAACAATAGATTCTCTTATTCACTTACCCATAGAAAATATTTCCAAGGAAACATTGGTATAATGTAGAACAGAAATTTCCTTCACCATTTACATAGAATTCAGCAAAGAATGCATAAGAGAAAATAGAAAGTACATAGGTAGCTTGGATCATGAATGCACCCATCAATATTAAAGTTCCTTTATTAATATTGATTGCCTAATAAATTATAAAAAGTTATTGATTAATAATTTTTTGTATAAATATGAATCTTATGTTTAATACATACTCTAATTACAATACTAAGTGCTTTTGTTTTCAAAGTTATTTGGAATATATGGAATGAGTAGAACAAAGGATTATATAGACCAAGGAATGAGAATATTACAGAGAAAATAAAATATACTGATTTGGCATCCGTCATTATATGTCTTATATTAATGAATAGATACCTCCAAAATGAGAAATTAGATCTAACATAATGCTATTTATGGAAAATAAAATGATTATTAGAAAAATATTAAAATAAATTAGATGTAATTATAATTACCATTCTTTCTGCGTTAGTTCTTAACATGAATGACTTTTGATTCTCTAAATATTTAATCCAACCTTTATAAACTGTTACGGCTGCATTTCCAATGAAATAAGATACACTCGTAAGCAGACTGAATATGGTTTGGAGAATGGAGAGTGGTAAGATGGTTGCTCGGAAGAGGGTGGCACCAAAGTTTGAGGAATCCTGGAAACTGGTGGTTCCAGAGGTACCATAGATAATCAGTAGAATATTTATGACTATTGCCAAAGCAAAGTTGATATACGCCCACTTGTTATAATGATTCGATATGAAGTAGGAGATTGGCGCTTGTTTCAATTGGTGTCGGTGCTCCAGCTCGATCAGCTTGATCTCTGACCAAACCATAAAGGCGTCGAGTTTCTCTGCCGATTTGTTCCAGTTGATTTCATTGTTGATCATGTAGTCCTCCATGTCTTTCTGTAGTTCATTTTCATCGTTTTTGATCTTTGATTGCTCCTTGGCCTGAAGAATCAAACGACGACTGTACGAAGGAATCGGGAAGTAGATACGCTCCAGCTTGGAATTGTGGAACATTTCGACACGACCGATACGAGATCGACAATGCTCACCACACGCCTGGAGACAATCGGCCAACTGGCGATTCTGGGAGGTGTCGTTGTCCGCGAGGATCTTGATCAGACGGAACGACATCGCTGCCAGTTTGATGGCTTTTTCATTGTCGGTCTTGCTGCCACCACCCGATCCACCGAGCATATTGGTGTTCTCTTCGATCACTGAGTAATCTAGTTCTTCAATCATGCGACTGACCACTCGCTGATCTTCACGATCGACCACATGCAACAGGAAATCCATAATCTCAATCTTGAGATCCAAGTACTTTTCATTCTTGACTGGATCACCACCGATATCACTCTTTCGCAAGATGTTACAAATGGCCTTGCACATCTGAACGTTGGTAACGGCAATCTGATTCTCAGGCGTATGCTTTACAATCTCCTTGAGACAAGAGAAGAATCGCGATGCCAAATTAATGGAATCCAAATCGATGTTGACAATGGTTTCCAAAATCTTTAGGAATTGGCACAATTCACGCAGGAGATCGTATGACTTGTAGTTGTCCGGTTGGCAACGAATGTAAGATTTGAAAAGACTGCTCGATCCCTGACACAACAGCTGCAACACCCTGAAGATATTCGACATAATCAAAAACTCTGTGGCATACGGGTTGGTATCGACTACCTGGTCGATATCGGTGTGTTTGTGAACCAACCCGAGAATTGTGTTGCCACGTTCAAACACCAGACCACCAGAGATATTGTGCTTGATGTTCTCCATTCGGAGATTTCTCTTGGTGTCACGCAGTGAGAGTTTGGCACGCTCCATCATGCCGTAGATATGCTTGAAAAACTGGATGTCCGGAGACGATGAGAAATAGGTTTGGATCGACTCCTTCACATATTCATTGGGAACAGGGTTGGTCGGGTCTGACTGCTCCTCGAGTAGCGCCAACAGCAGATTCAGCGCTTCCAGAGCAACGTCGTGAGATTTCGAACCGATCAAACCGATACACGCGGAATGACAATACATCTCTGTCAGTTGATTCTGCATGATCCTCTTCTTCTGCGGGTGTGATTCCAACACCGACAGTAGAATCCTAATGCAATGTAGCTTCAGAGAGTTGTTCTCATAGAGAGTGTTACGGAGTTGGAACACCAGGATCTCGAGGAATGTGTTGACAGCTACTTTTCCACCTGCCGAGTCAGTACCAGAGAGTAAAGCATTGAGTGCTTTGTCATCTTTCTCGAGGACGATCAACGCCAGTTGTTGATATCCACGCTCTCTGAATAGCTTTAGCATTGGATGTTCCTTCTGGTCGTAGAGATAGGTCGATGATTGCTTGGAGATCAGCGTGACAGAGTCGTCTGTGGTCTCTGAGCGTTGACGTGCCCACTTTGAATTCTGACGGTCGAGTCTAGCAATGATTTCCTCGCAACCCTTGATAACCTCAGAGACGGACGACACTGAAATGCCAGGCGTGGAAGTCGGTGAGATGGCAGAACGATCCATCGACTTTAAGCATTTGACGAGCGATACCAACAAATTGATCTTCTCATCCAAATCCAAATTCATAAGAATCGGATGAATTCCACCTGAACTCGGTAGATCTTCATCGCTTTGAGTTTGTTGAAGTAGAGTCTTCTTGTTGTTCGATAGTGATCCGTTGATACTATTACCGTTGGCTGCTGCTTGTTGTTGACTCGCTCTCATTGGAACACGAATGGATTCATCGACACTGTAGAATTTCAATAGATTTCCCATGAGTACACTGCTGTAGAGCAGATGTTTCTGTGTTGCTTTGTCAAAGTAGAAACACTGTGAGTAGAAACGCTCCAGTATGGAGATCATCGGGAGAATGATGGAACGCGACATCATCAGGAAGTAATCGGACGACAATCGATCGGTGCTATAGCAAGTGTAGAGGAATTTCAATTGGTTGGTGAACTGGTCGATAAGATTCCAGAGATTCTCATTGAGTTGCAGTGCCAGTAGATCACCCTTCAACGTATCGGAATTGAAGTAAACTTCGTGCAAGAATGAAACGTAGGCACTCTTGAAACGGAATTGAAGATTCTGTTCGAGATACTCTTTGGTATCGTGAATCATCAGGGAGCTTGCTTCTCTTCCTGTTCCATCGGTTCTCACCACCAACACTTCGAAACAGTCGTGCATCGTAATGAAATCACGACAAATAATTTCGGTTGGAGTGTTTCTTCCGTAGCTACAAACAGAGAGTAACCAAACCAGTTCCAAATTGATAACAAATTCTCTTGGTAGAACTTCTTCCATCGATGTTACCAACATATGTTTGGCAGTGGATCTCATCAATTTCGGTTGAGTCGACTGTGACATATTTGTTGTCTTTACAGAACTAACTGAAATAGAACTACTATTATTGTTGTTACTATTGTTGTTGTTATTATTATTATTTCCACCAGCACCATCTTGTTGATGTTCTTGAAGAGATTGTAATAGAATTTCTTGTAGACATGCATGTAGTTTGTAGGTTGAACTGTTGTTGGATTTATGGAATTTGGAGATGGTTGCACCTTTTGGTTCTTTCATTACCTCCTTGACGGTGGAGAATGGAAGTAGCCATTTGGCAATGACCGGACGATACTCCTTGAGAAGATTGGAAATCGATATTTGAATCTCTGTCACTGCGCTGTAGCCACTTGGCTTCATAATCATGTTGAGGAATCGGAGGAATACTGGATCGACATCCTTGACATCCTGATGAATAATGAATTCAATCAACAGTTTCATATAGGGCGACTCTCCAAACGATACACAAAGCTTGATGTTGTTCTTGAAGATCTCCATCAGCGTCTCGATAGTACCGAAAATATTGCCATAGCGAATCAAATGACCGATGAGAAACTCTATGTATCCATAGAGTAGCTGTTGAATCGATGGATTATTCTTGCAGAATGCACGGAAGAATTCGTAGCACGAGCGGAATATCTTGGCGGCAAAACAAGATTGTTGAATTCGCTGAGTTTCCAGGGTTGGTGTGTTGCTCGACGACGAATGGATACTACTGAATGAACTATCCATCGAGAGTTTACCACCTTGAATTCCACTCGATCCTATTCCTCCAGAGTTGTTGGCGGTTGTGCTCAACAGCGAACAGACTTCACCTCGCTCATCGACGAGATTCTCCAGAGTACATCCCATCTTTAAGATACCGATGATTCTCTTGTGAATTCCAATCACCTTGAGCATATTCTGATTCTTTTGCGCTTTGGCATCACCAGCTTCACACATATGAATGAAATACGCGAGAATCTTTAGCACCTCTTCCGTCTCGTTGTTGGTCAGTAGATTCGAACAACACTTGGTGATCTCCTCCATTTTCTTGATGGATTGCGAGTAGATGTTGTTGCTGACGTTCGCCGCTGGTAGAATCATCAATTTACGAATGGGATGATAGAGTTGAGCGTATCCATTCTGATACTTATAGATTCTATTCAAAAAGGAGAGAACCAACGACGTCAGAATATTGTTCTCGTGTTTCAACTGGGCGAACAGTGTTGAAATGAATGGATTTCGATGATTTGGCATTGGTTTCTGTGAGTTTAGTGCAGTACCATCGAGTTTGTTGATCAGCAGCCGCTTTATCTGCTCCTCGGAATCGGTGACGTCCAGACTGCTACTACGGTTGTTGGCTGTCTGCTGCACCTGTTCGTTGAGCGACATCTCATTGAGGAACTGTTCGAATATCGCTTTCTTCTGAAGACTCAGCATCTGGTGTAGGATCTGAAGAATCTCGATTTTTATGGCAACCAATATCGATGAATCGTCTTCGAGCAGACGCGAACCACCCATCGTACGACCCAAGTCAGTGGATTGCACCTCACCGCCCGACGCATCACTCGATTGTACCTCCAAAATATCTTTCAACCGATTCAGCAGAATACGTTCCTTTCGCTTGAAGAATCCAAATTTGAAAGCATAGTTGGCAGCTATCAAGATCTTATGGAAGAATCCCCATTGTGGCCGTTGCAGCGAGATGTTCGAGGAATACATCAATCCCCAGCTGAAATTCTCTGGTCTGAGGACATAGTTCATTAGGAACTGTGAGATATTCGATGGATCCGAAACATGGAGAGGTTCGGTCATTGGCGGAAACATTGTGAAGATATCGTCTTCGCCACCGCCACCGGACGACGCCAGCGCCATATTGGAACCATTGATATTGTTATTATAATAGCCAAATCCGTTCATACTTGCTAAACTATTGTTATTATTATTATAACTACCGAAATTACTATTATTATTGCTATTGTTACTATTGTTGTTGTTGTTATTGCTGTTGCTGTTGTTTCCAGTTAGATTATTGGTTCCGTTGACAGATCCATGCTGACGAATGGTATCCGATGATTTGGTGTTTCTTCCGAGTGTACTCTGACGTTGCTGTTCGATAGCGTTGGTTTGATCGAGTGGATTCCAAAAGTAGGTGATCTTTGCGTATGGTTTCTGTGGGTCGCAATCCATGTCCTTGTGGATGACGACGTTGGTGTAGCTGCCACGAAGTGTATACGGCAGATTCTCGTCCTTCAGACAGAGGAAGCATTCTTTGTACGATGCAAACTGTCCAACCAGTCTGATACCATTGTAGTTACGTCCACGTGAAACATTGGCATAGAGCGACAACGATTGCTCAAAGTAGCGTTGTGTCTTCTCGTCGCCCTTACTCATAAAGTCGGCCATCGACATCCATTGTCCCGGCTTCACTTCGATCTCCACCTGCGAAGTGACACGTGTTTTCAGCAGCAGATCTGTATTCTTCTCGAGTAGATGGTCACAAAGATACTGTTGGTTCTTTACAATCGGTTTGTTGTTACACACACAGATCTCACTGAGTAGCTCCATGTACTTGGGATCGCGTGTCTGTCGTATCGCGTCGACAAACTCAATGACTTTCTCCTCACTCAAATTCTCTAAGAGAATATGATTGTTCTTATAGATATCCAGTAGGACTGCACCCAATCCAAATGAAACAGCTCGTTCACGTAGTTCCAGTGGTCCAGAGATTGCCTTGACATGTCGATTGACTGTGATACCAATCTTCACATTTGATTTCGAAATCTGTTTGAAAATACGATAGACATAGCTTATGGTGAGAGGATCGAGAGGATTGAAGAACTTATTGAGCAAATCCAACAGTATTTTCAGATTATGTGAAGTCGCCAGTAGTGATTGATGTGTTTTTATCGGTGTACCCTCACGTTCCAGTGGATCCTCCACATCGGATTGCGTACAAAACTTGATCAACTCTATCAGAATAAACCGCAGCTCTTGTAACGATATCTTCTTCCGCAACTCCTGAGGCGATACGAAATGTCCAATCTTTGTCATCCTACTACTAACAAACTTGTAATCTTCCATCTGTGATTTCGGTATCGGTTTAATTTGGAAATCATCATATTTAAAGAATTTCTTTGTTCCAACAAGCTGATAGAGTTTTAATTAGAAATTATTAGTTTTTGTTATTATTAATTATGAAATTAATCAAAATTAATCTACTTACATCACCATTATGAAAGAATGTTTCATCATTGATAAAATGTAACCAATATTTGGAGAGTGATTGTATTCTTACGAATGATCCATATGTTACGTGTTCGATTGTATTTTGTTCTTTGGGAACGAAATAAAAGGTGGAATTTGGCGAGTATTTCTCGGATTCCGGAACGAGTATCAGTGGAATGTCTTCTTTGAAATTGTTGGAATCGGAAGATGAAATTTCATTGCTACTGGAACCAATTGGAATTCCACCAGACATATTGATACTTGTATTGTTAATGCTAATACTTGGTACACTATTATTATTATTACTGTTGCTGCTGCTGCCGCTGTTGCCGCCAATGCTAATTCCCAACATTCCGCCTACGGTCTGTGAGGACGCTGCAGTTGGGTGTCCCAACGACAGATAACTCTTGGTTCCAAGCAGTCTGATTCTAAAATGTTGTCCAAAGAACACGTCGTTAACATTGCTATGCGAGGACAGCAAGTTCTTCGAGGAAACGAATATGTTCTTGGCGTTGACGGCCGAGCTGGTATCGAGTTCGATTTCGAATAGCGATTTTATAGAGGTTGGCGTCTTGGTGTTGTAAGTGAATGTCGTGTAGCTGTCGTCTTGTGTCGCCTTGATGAATCCACCTTCACGATGGAAGAATCGCAGCGGTTCGTTCGCCTTGACTACGTTCAGGCCGAGTTTGCCCTCGACATCCGACAGCTGTATTTTCCAAAGAGTTCCCTGCTCGTTCAGTCCAATCTCAAAGAATCCTTTCTCGTTGAAAAAGTTTGTTTCCCGCAGGAACAGACCTGTCTTCTCGTGACGCAGCAGCACCAAGTCCGACTGCTGGACTTTGGCGCCGTCCTGGCGATTCTGTGTGCGCGCTGGCGCGATCTTGAAATAACACTTTTGGTTACCGTCGCCACGGAATCCAACTATACTATGCTTGGCATTGTAGTGTTTGGCAAACAAGAATTGATTGGTTTTCGGGTGGAACAACTGGATGATTTGTCCGTACACCAAATCTCTTCCCTCCAACTGGATGAGAGCAGTCTCGTTTGTGGTATCTTCAATGTCTTGATATTCCTCGAGTTGTTTCAACTCTTGGTCACGATCTTGGTCGGCAGGATCACCACCACCCATTCCACCGAGACCCAACGTTCCAATGGGACTGTTGGTTCCACCGCCACCCTGTCTCTTTTTCTTTTTCAAAGCTTTCCTCGCGGTGTATTGTGTCATTGGATGTATCTTGAATACACATTCCTTCGATTTGTTCGGTTGAAGTACAGCGGAATCGTGTGCTTTACTAAAGAATCCTTCTTCCTCTTCTTGCTCCGAGTAGAACGTCACCAAATCACCTGTTTTCAGATTCTTTCCAACTTCATCCTCGTCGATTCCTATACCCATATGATGATCCATCATCATCATTTTACTTGATTTCTATCGATATAAATAAATACTATAATACTAAATAAATATAAATCAATTCTTAACTTTAAAAAACTATCTAAAAATTGACTGCTATGTTTGTGTTTTTCTAATTATTTCTGAAAAATTGAAATTTGATTTGTTCGGTTGATTGGTTTGATTGATTTGATTGTTTGTTTGTTTGTTTAAAATGTGTGGTGGTTGTTTCGATATGATAATACATAAATAAATAAATAATAATACTATTATAAGTGTAATTAGTTTAATCTAAGATATATAAATGAAAAAGAAAATACTTTAGATTTAAAATTAATACTAACTTATTTAAAGAAATATAGAAAAGTTTCATTCACTACATACTTAAAATAAATAAACGATCATTAAATATGATTGATAATTGAGTGTAGCCAGTGTCTATAGTTTTGTTTTATATCTGATAAAACAAAAAACTATCTATCTATTATCTATCTAAATTGTTTTATAAAATTATATGAAATCAATTTAATTAGTAAATCTTATCTTTTTTTATTTTATTTTCTTATGATAAAAGTTAGTGCTGCACTGCAGTTGATGTTTTTTTTTTTTTTTTTATTATTTGGGTGAGTGATAATAAATTGATGACCTGTGTCTTTTAAAGTTGGTTGTTAAACTGTGTGTGTGAATGTGTGAATTTGTATGGATTACTTTTAATCAATGAAAATGTTAACAAAAAAAAACAAAACACTAAAAATAATAATAAAATTTACTAGTGTTTACTGTTTTGTGGTTGTATGTTGCAGTATATTGTAGTGAAGAATTGTGGTGTTTTGATTTTAAATCGATTTGAATTGGAGTACTTACTTTCCAATGTAAATAAAATACAAGATAAATATTAAGATAAAGAGTAATTATAAAATGGATATATAAATCTGATCTTATTAATAATTCTAAATAAATAGATCTTCTCTAATAATGGTATCTTATTACTTTTACAATTAGTATCTTTTATAGTATCCCTCGCCACAAAAATAAATGATTAGTTTTTTTTTTTGGTCGGATCAAAAAAATCTCTGAAAAAAAAATTAAAAAAAAATTAATGATGAATAAATCTTTGGCACAGATCATCAACCTACCGCCCAACAAAAGACAATTTTTTCTTTTTTTAGATTTTTTAAGTCAAAAATCTTCTTATTTTTTTCAGTTTTGGGATTTTTATTTTTGTTTTTTGTTTTTTTATTTTTGAACAGTTTTTTTTTTTTTAATAGTGTTGTTCGAAATGATCATTGTCTTTAAAGAATTTCCTTCACACTTTCATATTCAACCATATCAAATACACATACTAGTATTGGAATGAATTCTTATAAATATAGTTATATATCATACACAACTTTGTTAGAATGTAATATCAGTGCATCTAACAATGATAATGATAATGAGAAAAAAAATGATAATAATAATAATAACATAAAGATCAAGAATAACATTGATAGTGATCTTTTTGTCATTATATCAGGTTCGAAACAAGGATTAAAATATCCTGATACTTTAGAATGTGTGCATATTCCAGTCGGTCAAGAAACAAATCTTCGTTTGGATACTCAGACTTTTGAAGATTTAACTTTTAAAATCTTTAGAACATTTGATAACACACTAGTTTTCGAACCAATCACACTTCAACACCGTTTGTATTCAATCGAAATACGATCAAATCCAAACGATGATCCGAATCAAATAGTTCCAACACCATTCACCGCTATAGCCGAGAATAAATCATATAAGCTCTACCATCTATCCAATGTAGATTACTATTATTATGTTTCCCATTATAAAACAATAGAAAACACTAAATATTTTCTTGTTATAAATGGTAAAGACAACACACTTGTATGTTTTATTATATATATTTTTATTTATTTCATTTTAATTTCTAACTTATTAAATTATTCATAGTATTTACTCAAGAAGTATAATTATAAAGATTCACCTTCACTTGAAGTTAGTGTGAAGAATGAACTAAAGTATTGGGAGCAAGCAAAAAATTATTTGAAATCCCAAGAGATTGATTCGTTTATGGGTTTTTACCACGATGAAAGAAAATCCAAATACATAATCATAACCGAGTTTGAAAATATGAATATATTACAATTTTACGAGTTTTATCAAAGCTATAATAATTTCAGATTTGTTCACAAGTCAATTTGTTGTTACTTATTCTTTCATTTTTTGTATTTGCTCTAGAAAAAATGAATATATACCAGAACCAACTGTTTGGAGTTTGATTGAACAATTTTTAAATATTCTCCATGCTTTGGAATCTCTTAATATTGCACATTGCAATATAAATGAATCAACTGTTTTTGTTAAAAGAAACAACCAGATCAGTATTCAAAACTTTGAATATTCTGTCGACACCTCTGTTAAAACCAAATCATTGTTTGATCTTGGTTCTGATGATGATTTCTCTAATCAAAACAATGATAATAGTACTGATGTATGTAATTTAATCGTATGAAAATAAGAAAAAATTCTTACTTTAACATTTTTTTTGTTTTTTAGCAAATTAACATTAAAGTATCTGATGGAAAAGTTGATATTTTGGGTTTTTGGAAAATTTTTAAAAAGTTGTTCTCATTGTAAGTATAATTAATTTGAATAACTCAAGCTTTTATGTTATTTACATATTTTTTATATTAGGATTTATCTTGATAAAGAGAGCTACTCTAGTGAATTATTAGTTTTGGTTGAAGGCATTCAGAGTGGTAAAACCGAACCAAAGATTACTGATCTCCAATCCATTGTAAAAAAGCAAATTGAAAACCCTCAATTCACCTTGTGGTATAACAAGCCTCTACCATTTACATTCGACAAGTCCTTACAGATCACCAAACTTAAATTTGGAAGTCTTTTCAATCACTCATTACAGGTATTACCGGAAACACTCCAATCAATCAGTTTGGGATATAGTTTCGATCAACCTATTGAGCCGAAAACATTACCTAATAGTCTCTCAAGTATAGTTTTTGGTCATCGCTACAACCAGCCTATTGAACCAAACACATTACCAAATGGTATCTTAGATGTTGTTTTTGGATATTTCTACAACCAGCCTATTGAACCAAACACATTACCAGATGGTATCTTAGATGTTGTTTTTGGATATCTCTACAACCAACCATTTAAATTGGGAGCGCTACCTAATTCAATTACATCGATCAAGTTTGGTGAAGATTTCAATCAGCCATTACCAGAGGGTGTATTGCCAGTCAGTTTAGAGAATCTGGTTTTCGGTGATAATTTCAATCAACCATTGAAACCACGTGAGCTCCCACCATTTGTACAGAATTTGAAATTCGGTCGAAATTTCAATCAACCTATTGTTGAAAAAAACACTCTACCACAATCATTGCGGTCTTTGAAATTTGGAGAGAATTTTAGTCAACGACTGGCCAATTTACCAGAGGATCTGAATCAGCTCGAACTTGGAGAGGAATACAATTTGCAAATGGCTGAATTACCAGAGAGTATTAAAACATTAAGAGGTGTCAGTGGTCAATTAAACGAGTGGGTTAGAATTCCAGATTCCGTTACAAGTTTAACATTTGGAAGACATTTCAATCAACCAATATTGAAAGGAATGTTACCCGTATCACTTATTTATCTTGAATTTGGCTATCATTTCAATAGTACAATTCACCCACACTCATTACCTGATCGTTTGGAGGTATTGAATTTCGGTTATTGTTTCAACCAACCAATAGACATCTTACCAGCCAATCTTGTTAAAATGAAATTAGGTGATTCATTCAATCAGCATATAACTGAAGTTCTTCCAAATACAATTAAATCATTATCATTTGGATCGAAATATGTCAAAACTCTTCCCACCCTTCCAGATTCACTTCAAAGACTTCATCTTGGAAATAAATATCCTCATCAAATTAAATCCTCGGTGCTTCCGCAAAATCTTAATTCTCTGACAAAAGGGGATAAAGAATATAGCAAATATATTCAAGCGTTTAAGAAAAATGATATCGATTATCATTTCCCAGTAGATAATTCAGAAGAAGAATTTAAAGTTTTGGAATTGTCAAGTAGTTTTGAAGCGATTTCTAAGGATTCACCTATTTATATAGTCAATAACACTGATTACGATCTAATCATTTTTATTAAATCACATATCAAAAAGAATCGAATTACATCAACCAATCTTTATCTATTTAATCGAAATTCACTTCATAATATCTACATACTCGACCCAGCAGGAGACGGATTCATCAGTCAAATCTCAATCATCAAATTCACAGACAAAATTTTAATATCCAATATATTTGATTTTCCCAAGTTGGAGCCATGTCGAATTACACTTTCAGTTAAAGATTCATTCTCATTCGGCATTTACAACCAAAACAAAACTCATTTAAAGTTTCCAGTTGACCAAATTTTGAGTTCCGACGAACTTAAATATTTAACTAAATTATATTGGAATGAAAAGAATTTTTATAATGTATTTCAATTCAGAGCAGGTTCTAACACTTCTCATCTCTTAATGGATGTGAACTCTCATCAATTGGTAAGTCTAGTAATAGTATTTTATTTCATCCAACAGAAATATTTTTTAACTAATATTGTGAATATCTAAATTTAATATAGTTTGTCTGTAAATCATTAAAACTTCAGCCAAACACCTCAATTCAACAGTTCCTATTAGAAATCAAAGCTCTACAATCATTAAAAGGAAACAGTCATTTCGTACAATATGAATCACATGTACATATTCCGGAAAAGAATAAATTAATTATAATGACAAAGTATTGTAATGGAGGTGATCTTTCACTTATACACAAATCAATGTCCAATTGGTAGGTTTCAATCGCTTCAAATTCTAAAGATTATAGTTTTAATTAATATTATTTTTTTAAATTTATTAGGAATATGATGGTATCAAATCAGGTTTTGAAGAATAAAAGATCCTTCTATTTTTCTGAGGAAAATCTATGGTCTTACGCAAAACAATTAGCTATAATTCTTTATCACATGAGAGCTGCCAATGGTGGAATACTTCATAACGATATCAAACTTGCGAACCTCCTTTTAGAGAACAATAAATTGGTAGTGGCTGATTTTGGGTGCAGTAAATTCCTTCAACCTGTTGATTTGAGCGATTTGTATAACGATAACCACATTTCATTTGAAAACCTATCAACATTAGAAGAGAATACCACTCCCACTTCCAATACAAGTTGCGAGAGGAAAACATTACCGTCAGTTGAGAGCATATCAAAAGCGAATGGATGTTCAAGAGGAACAATCTATTATCAAGCACCTGTATGTTTTTTATTATTTTTTTTTTTAAAAACAAAAATGTATTTTTAACATTTTATTTTTTTCTTTTCTATTTTAAAAGGAAACAATAAACAGAATCAGAGAAATGAGACAATATGGAATTGCAAGTGAATTGTATTCAATTGGTTCAGTATTACATAACCTAACATCTTTGTAAGAATTTTCATAATATTTAAAGAATAATTAGTATTAAAATTTGTTTTTTTTAAATATTATTATTTAGGCAGAATAAATCTTATAGAACTATGTTTGAAACTGATAAAACCGATGTCCATATTTCAAAAATTGTTTACTCTGGGCAATTAATTCGACTAATTAAGAGATTACTTTCAATCAAACCTGAAGAAAGAGGAACTCTTGAAGAGTTTTATAATTCAAGTCAGACCAATTTAGCCACTCCACCCATGAATCAAAAATCCAAGAAAAAAAGAAATAATTTTAAGTTTGATAAATATCTAATGTTGTTAGTAACAAAAATTAAAAAATATAAAACAATTAAAAGAGAAAGAGAAAAAAAATAAAATAAAAAAAAATAATTACTAAAATGCCTTCGCAATTTAGATTATAATTGCAATCAATGATTATTTTTATTTTTTTATGTTTTAAATTAAATAGAATGAAAAAACAAATAGGAGATACACAAATAGGACCATATCATATACAACTTTGTTAGAATGTATTATCAGTGCAGACAATGATAACAGAAACAGGTAGTTTACCTTTAATCGTAAACCTATTTGCTTCTTAAATGTTGTTTCTCTTCATTATTTTAAAAATAATAATTTAAACTTTACTTTTAATCTACACCGTGATAAATGATCATATGTCCAACCCTCCCTTACAACATGGTGTCTGAGGCAATCAATTTATAGTAACTATTTGACACTTTTTCCTTCTTCATACTATTACTACCTATTTCTTTTTCTCTGGTGATAACAATATTCTCGATATTGTTGTTGTTTACCATACTCAATTTGTTATGATCTTTACTTTTGATTTTCTTTAATCTGAACTGATAACACTCTGTATAGATATCAAATCTCTTCTTTAATTGATTATTATCTATTTCGATTTGCTTTAAGTATGCAATAAATAATAAAATAGAATTAGTATAAATACAATGATCAGATGCAATAATTATTTGATTACAATATAATAAAATATGGATTAATAGTTACTCTTATATCATTGGTTATTCGATTGGAAATATCTTTGATTAATGATTTAATATTAAAAAAGATTTAAATGGTAACATTTTGTTGATTGACGGATCAAAGAATACATCTACGATGAACTTGGTATAACCTTCAACATCGATATTATGTAAAAACTTCCATTTGTGATATTGAACAAAGAAACTAACACATTGTGATCTCGTTTTATCATCTCTATTCTCCAAACATTGATAATAAAGATGATAAACTCTATTAAATTTTATCAATGAGTTTAAATCATCGAAATCAATATCTTCAATTATGATAGGTATTCTATCTTTATCTTTTGATTGCTCTTCTAAAAAAACAAATATTTCATTTGACTCTTGATATGATCTCTTTCTTGATTGATCGATGGAAGGTTCTATATAATTTAAATTAAAATTGTTGAGCAATAATGAATGAGGAGGGATATATATGAAATTACACTTATTTATTTTATAATTTATACAAATTGTTGTCTAATTATATTGCTAGAGATTTTGTTGTTCTTTAAATTCAACTAGTAAGCCTAGATATAATTTTAACAATATCACCACCACGAGTGATAGCACTTGCAATTTTCCAATTTCGGAAATCAAATTGTGTTGAGGCCATCAGACTATAATGATTGAATATAAAAGTTACAGAATCAACTCGGGAACAAATTTCTTCTTTTTCTGGTCCAAAGGAAACTCTATGAAAGACAAGGTTATGCCAGCTATTTGTTTTCAAAGGAGGTAGAACGTATTTCTCTGTTTTTATCAAGTTCTTAACTTCGTACCTACTGAATTTAATCTTGGTAATTGGAACTTTAACTACTTCACTTCCAGCATGTTGATCAACAATGCAATTTTTAATTTTCATATTGGTACCATCTAGTGAATAAATAAAAGCAAATATTAGAAACTATACCCAAATTAAATGTAGATATCAATTGCTTACCTTTAAAACGGTTGAAGTGTGTAATTAATAGATCGTATTCAATTGTTGCGATTGGAAGACTTCTAGTTTTACCAACTAATTTTCCATTGTTTGCCAAACGGTCATTGATAACCTTTTCAGCTAAAAATAAGAATGTGTCCAGAACCATTTTCTTATGATAAAAGAGTATTTCTTCAACGCCAATTGTGAACCGCTCTGGTACACCTTCTTGTTTATGGTATTCAACTGAAGATCTCATTATTAGATTTTCTTTGGGTTGTGTCAGTGGAATGTTAATGATGGATTTTTTCATTGAATATCCTGATAAGGGTGGACAAGATGGAGCCTGTCCACGGACTATATCTACTATAATGGGTGATTTGAATGAATAAAGATCTGGGCAAACAAAACTGGAAACCTTTAGATTTTTGGGAAAATACATAGGAGCTATACTTGGAATTCCACCAAATAAAATGCGATAGGATTCCATGGGAATGATATTAAAACTATTACTTTCTATTACTGGTAAGTTAGATGGTGTAGATAAGTTTGTTGGTTGTATGTTGGATGGTGGTATGTTGGTCATTGCGCTGTGGGTATGTTGAATGGTGGGTTGGACGGTAGGTTGGATGGTAGGTTGTGCATTGAAAAATAACATGTTTGTTGTTGGTATGTTGAATGGTGGCAAATTTGATGGTGGTATGTTGGATGGTTGTATATTGGATGGTTGTATATTGGATGGTGGTATATTGGATGGTTTCAAGTTGGATGGCTGAAGGCTATTCGAAGGTCTCTCGCAGTGGTTGTACTGAGGTGAAATCAAAGGTGTACCCCCAGAAACTATGGATGTCTTTAAATCAATTTGATTGTTGGCCAACATAGAAGGTTTTTAGTCTTATACATGTACTCTATTTAATAAAAAGTGAATAAAGATTTTTAAATAAAATGAATGAAAGAATCATGTTTTGTGCTCCTGTTAAGCCCATTAATTTGTATTTTTTTTACAAAAAAAAATTATCAAACAAATTATTTAAAAATGATCAAAGAGTGTTTGGTAAAGTGTCAGAACTATTTGAATTAATAAAGTCTATTCCTGATTTATTCAGAATGAAATTAAATTAAACATATATACTGTAGATGTTAGAATATGACATTCAATGAAAAATGTAACTATCACAATTATCACGATTATTATTTAATCTTTGCTCTAACCAAGCTATCATTATTAGCTCCCAAAGAATGGTCTATTGTTGAGACAAAGGCATGGTTAGAAGATATCAAGTCGAACTTCAAAGATGGCACGGTGTTTGATTTCAGTCTTAGACTTCACATCAAAGGTTCCCTGCTTGTTAAGTTCACAAAGGAACACTTTCGCGTGGAGTCTCCGACCTATGGTGGTGTCTTGTATCTTGATCTGCAAGATCGTATCAAACAGCATGGTACGTAAAACAATAACAAACAACATCAAGCAATCTTTTTTGAGGGCTAACATTCTTTTCTCAACCTATTGGTTGTACATTCACCACAATCAGAACAACAACCTCCATCTCCAGGTAAGTCATTCAAACGTTATCACAATTCTATCAACAAGCACATCAAGAACGATATTCAAACTCTTCAACCTTTTTATTTGACCAAAATCATCGATAGTCACTCTTTTATCTATATTCAATGTTTCTATCTCTATTGCCACAACATAAACGTTTATATTCAATTTGATAGGTTATCATATCATTGTGCTTCTTCACCAATTGAATGTCTGTCATCTCTTATTTCTCATTAATATATTTCATGAAAATCAGATAAAGTTATTGGTCTCATCGAAATTAATAATTGGAGTTACTTTTTGCTACAAAAGGTTTATATTACTTTCATTTTAATAGTTCTTGTTTATTATTATGTCACACTCTGTCATAACACATTATATTATATATTATCTATTGTTATCTTAGTGTTAGCTTTGTCACATCACATTTGGTTAAAAATTGTATTTATATCTTAATATATCTCAGTAGTAACGACATTCATAATAAATAATATTATAATAAAAGAGTAACATTCCACATTTTCTCCATTGTGTCAATCAAAAGTAGGCCTTTTTGTTTTACTTCTATATTGTTTGTCTTTTACTTTGTCAAACACAATACATGATTAAAAGCTATCTAATACTTTTGACTATTTATATCTACATTTCTCTATTTTACTGATACACTTTTCTCAATCTTTCAGATGATCAGCACTATAAGAAGAACAAAAGAAAGTTCCAAACTTTAGAAAATAAAATTGAAAAGATTGTAGAAGAAATTCTGAAGGCAAAGGAATTCAACATTTCATCTCCACCCACGAGATCTACTTCTTTTGTAGACTTTTATAATGTAAGTATAAATATCTATTGGCTTAATCTTACACTTACAAAAACCAATTCTAACTATTTTTCCCATCCAGATGCGAAAGGGAAATGAGACTGATGTTCATTACCTCGATCCACTTCCAAAGGATTTCAAGACACTCCATCCTAATCTTGCAAAGGAGTGCAAGTATGTTACAAATGGTTTACAATCGACAATATTTTCAACTTCGTTCAATGGCACCCAATCCATTATTAAGTTGTACAAAGATAATAGTGACAAGATCGTCGAATCCGTTTGCTTAGAACGTCTAAACAGTGTTGATGGGGTACCAAGAATCATTTTTCAAGGTGACTCATGGATTGTATTACAACCTCAAGGTGTTTTGATAGATAGTAATGCTCCATGGTCGGTATTTGTTGAGGTAAGTAAATATTATTTAAACTCACTTGCTCAAACTACATAACTATTAACTAACTAACAAACACCTATCAAGATTTTTAAAACAATTGAAAAGGCTCATCAACTTGGTTTGGTACATAGAGATATCCGTCCATCAAATATTATCATCTCAAATGCTGATAATACTCCAATTCTAATTGATTGGGCGGCAGCAGTACAAAAGGATACACAGGATCACTACGTTGGAACCTTGTACACAGCTTCTTTCTCTGTGCTCGATTCACTCGATATCAGAGAGCCACATTTCTCAACAATCATTGATGATCTCGTTGCTTTTGTCAAAACAATCATTATAATCAGGTTCAAATTCATAGACGATCTAATACATCAAATTCCAAGAACCAATCCCTCTCAGTTAAAATCTACATGGAAGAGAATAACAAAAACACTTCTGGATCCATACTATCGTAAACTATTATCAGCATCTCACGAGGGCAACTATGAAAAGATTTATCAATTGCTTTGTGATGGTTGTGATCACCAACATCATGATCAACAACATCATAAACATTAGCAACAAAATCAAAATAAACATTATAAAATCTATTTTTCATTTATAGTTGGTGGGATTCCAATAAGAGGAAATAAAGTTGTTTAAAATCCTGTTGTTGGATTTTTTCATTGAATATCCTGGTAAGGATAGACAAGATGGAGCCTGTTCACGGACTATATCAACTATATTGGGTGATTTTAAAGAATAAAGATCTGGGCAAACAACTAAAAAAAATAAAAAAAAATCAAATAATAAACCAACTCATAACAAATAAAAATAATTGAAAAAAAAATTAGAAACAAAAATAATAATCATTTATACCAAAAAATACCTATTTTGTTGAAAACACCACCAAATGTGGAATATCCATTGGAATTTTATTTTTATAGTTATTGGATTACCAAATTTGAAAATACCTTTTAGTTTATCAGTCAAACAACACAGTTGAAGTGCTAGGTTTAATTAAAAATATTATTAAATTGATATAAAACTTCTTATTAAATATTTTAAGTTATAATATTTTTGAAAATAAAAATATTATTTTATTTCGACATAAAAGAATCATAGTTATTAAAAAGACACTTTTATTTATATTGTTTTCGAAATAAAGAGATATACTGTAGATGTTAGAATATGACATTCAATGAAAAATGTAACTATCATAATTATACACACCTGACTGACTAAGACAAAGCGAAAATAGTGTTCTGCAGTCACCACAAACTTTTTTTCATGCAAAAATAAAACAATGTGTCTTTACATACCACATATTTCCTCTAATTTGTATTTAATTCTCTTTTTCTCTACCTACATTTGCTTATTTCATCATCATTCTCAAACATCTTTCTTTATCCCTAACCTTCAACCATCAACATATTCATTCTTTCACTTCTATCTCTACCTTTCTTGAAATTATTCATCCCACAAACATTAACATTCTACTTTGTATTCTCTTATTACTTATTCCTTCTCACCCAAGTTGGTACCATCGCACCTCTGAGTCAGTTTTGGGACCAGTTGGCTTCCTCCGAATGCAACGAAGACACCAAAATAATGACCCTCAAAGAGCCCTTCCTTGGTCGTAACTCAATCCTCGTCAGACACTGTTATGAGTGGTTTAGTGATATGGTCCAGGATATGAAATCAAATGGCTTACACGGTGTCAACATCACAGGTGATACTGGTATTGGCAAATCCATGTGGGTGATCTACTTTATGTGGCAACAATCCCGACTCGGCAACTCGATTATCTATCACAGCATTCACATCAGTGGAAAGTCTGTTCTCTTTGACTTCGAAGCCAAAGACGGAAGCCCCCGGACAACATTAGGCAAAATTGACACACTTCTCTCAGCAACCATACCAGAAACAACTTGGTACATAGTTGATGGCGTTGTTCCGATTCTCGAAGCAATGCATTTCACAGTCCTGCTCTCCTCTCCATCCAATGAAGCCGTTCACAAGCAGTTCAGAAAGACAACCTTCAAGAATGATATCAAATATATGCCCGATTGGACGTTGGATGAGATCAATAGAGCTGCATCCACTGTCACACCTCCGCCGGACCCAAACACAATCAAACATGCTTTCTATAAATGGGGTGGCATCCCAAGATACGTTCTACAGATGCACGACCTCGAATCACAACAACAACTGTCTGCACAACTCCTCAACAGAGCTCTGGCGGTCGAATCAATGGTGGCAGTTCTTCTATCGTCGGTATCTGACGACACAGATGTCTCACAAAAGCTGGTTCACAATATAGTTGACGGTCAAGGACGGTTACTTGGCCTAAAGTGGGCCTCCAAGTATGTTTTGTCCAAGGTGCTGTATCATATTCGAGACATTTCACTGCGCATCGATCTCGCTACATTCTTCCAATCCCCAGAGCAACCTCGACACTCACTTGCTGGCTCCCTCTACGAAGCACATGTGCACCACACTCTTTCTAAAGGTGGTCTATTCAATCTCATATCGAAAGGGGACGGGACAAAGTCCACCATCGAAATTCCGACCAATGCAATGACAAAGCCATTCGACACACTTGGCGAGGTCACTTCGCTCAATACCTACTACTATCCAAATGCAAAGAACTTCGCAGCGATTGACAGCCTGTATTCTCCCAACAACCTCTTCCAGATTACAATATCAGAGAGCCATAGTTCGTTGAGCTCTGAGAGTCTTCAATCATACGTCAACAGTTTGAGAGGAAACTTCGATCAAACAATGCACATCAAATTGATTGCCGTCTGTCCATGGAATAGCGAGAACTATAGGAGACGGTTGTTCATTTCAATGCCAAAGGACAAACTCCAATCTAAAGAGGAGAGAGACATGGGCAACTCCAGGCCCGAGGAAGACATGATTCAGCAGCAAGTCAAATTCGAACTTATCAACAACATCTCACAACACCTGTTGGTGATCCAAACTCCTACTTTTACAGATGATTGGTACTCAAAGAAATTGATTCCCGATCCTTCTCAAAGTATCTGGGAACAGACTCCGATCTAACATTGGACATCTTCGGTGACGATAATTGATCTCTCACTTCTTGTCGTCAGGAACTCTCGTCGTCCGCTCTGCACCAATACCTTTCTCAAACAATAAATTTATATTTCAACCAACAATGGATGAAATTAATAGTTTTAATTTTCACTCTGATCCAGCATATCATCGAGATTACCAACGATCTTCTCTAACAACAAATGTGAAAGATTCACAAATGAGTTGTTTGAATTCGAAATAACATCAACATGATCATCATTATTATTTATATCTATAATCATCTCTATTAAAATTGATTTTGATCAAAAAAAAAAAAACAAATCTTCATTTTATTTTTTCTTTGAATTAAATTCTTATTGTTTCTCTGTTAAATAACGTATGAACATCTATTGTTTAATAACAAGATTATAATCAAGATTAAAAGATATATAGTCTATTGATATCAAATTTATCAAATAAAATAATAATAATTTATCAGTATTGATACTCGGCAATATCATCTAAAAAATCGGTTTCATCACTCCTTGAGAGGTATGACGGTAGTTGGCTGCAAAAACCAATGGAACCAAGCGGGTTGTCGAAAATATAATTGTTTTGATCGATCCTATGAAGTTGGAAAGTATGGCGACCAGTAATCTTAATTTTAGTGATGGTACTTTTCAATCTAGCTATTCCTTCAATTTTGATGAGCTGGAGAGCACATGTAAGCGATCTTAACGAGTCAGGAAGCATACTAAAGTCGAAATCTAAATTATATTTTCCAAGATCCAGTGTTTCAATGGAGTTGGGAATGCACTCGATTGGAAATCGTTGCTCTTGTTCATAAAGAAACAATGAAAGTTTCTTTACGGTGTTTGGAATCGTGCCAACCAAGAGTTTCTCTGAATCTATATATGGCAGTTTCAATACTTCAATTCCAACGGGAAGACTTCCTGGAACTAGCGGTTTATTGTATCTTGTCAGCTGTAGTTCTTTGATGTTGGGTGGAAGCTGATTCGGTAAGATTGGCGCGTGGAACTCTAAAGCACACAGATAATCATAGTGAGCGTCGAACGGAAGAACATTTAGAGCTAGATCTATAATACAACCACCAAGATTCAAATGCCGAACGGACGATGGTATAATAGATGCACCTGAGAGTCTAAATATTGATTCACCGAAATCCAAAGTTGTTAGCGTCGATGGTAGTGATCCAGGCTCCAAGACACCATCTCGACAATAACCATCGAAACTGAGATACCTTAGGTTTGGCAGATACTTGAGATATTTGATCCAACTGACCGGACAGTGTTTAATTTTGGTGAGGGATTGCGGTAACACTTTAGAATCACCACCACCAACTGCCAATTCGAATTGATATCCATCGGCAAATATAAGCTCGGTAAGAGTCGTTGGAAAGACACTGGCACTCATCGGTAGATAATAGCTATACTTAAACTTTAAGATCTTCAATCCATTCGGAAGTGATCCGTTCTCCAATGGAAGTAAATATCCAATCAATTCAAGCTTCTCCAAATTCTTTGGAAAACTGTTACTATTTAGCGGCTTTTGGTATTTCGCCAATGAAATGGATCTACAATTCGCGCAGTTTTCCAAAACATCTTTAAATAGTGAGATATCGATATCGACATATCTGTTTAACATTAGAGAATAAGTATTTGGTTTTAGAATGGTTGATGGATCTGCTGAATTTAAAATCTGTTCTGAAGGATAATTCAATTAGTTTATTTTAATAAATTATTGAATGTGTAAATTACTTTGATTGGTTAACGAGTTAATATTAATTACTTACTTGCTGTTTTATAATAGAGGTGGTATTCATCATGATAGTACCCGAAATCATCTTCACTAATGACAACCAATTGAAATCTATGTGATTCTGTGGTGACACATGTTGAAAAAGACTTTAAATGCACGAGATCATCTCTTTCATTTGATAATCCAACTTTAAGTACTAGATATTTATATCTCTCTTCATACCACTTTTTACACACCATCGTAAATAACATCTGTTGAAACATATCATCTAAGTAACCAACGATCTTTTTTAACAACAGATGTGATAGATTCACAAATGTGTTGTTCGAATTCGATAGATTTGCAAGTTTGTTATTTAAATTATTTACTATGTCATTATCTATGTTATCATAATTAACTGAATCTTTGTTCATTTGTCTACTATTTACTATCTTTAAAATTATGTTTTATATTATTTGACATTGTTATAAAACAAAGAGTTTAACATTTTAATAATACTGATAAAATTCTGAAAAAAAAAAATAATAGATCAATCAGAAGTTCACTGGTTTTGATTTATTCAGTAAAATTATGCAGTAAAAAAAAAAAAAAAAATTAAATTTTTAAGTATTGAGGCTTTTTCACTTTTTTTATTTTAATATTTTTACATATTAATTTTTGTCTTTTTCACTTTTTTTTCAAAAAACTACATACTAATTTTTTAAAATAAAAAAAGTGAAATAACCTCATTCTAATTTCTTTGCTAACAATTTTTAAAAAAAAAAATGTTGCTTTAATTCTATTTCTTCATTATTAGTAATGTAAAGAGAAAAACGAGTAGTTCAATAATAAGAATAAGAAGATAAAAGAGAGATGGCAATGTTTGGAGGTATTTATACTTCATTGGATGGTTATCTTCAATGCAGAGTTGATCCTGCGCGGAGTACAGGTAGAAAAGTAGTGATCACCATCAACATCAAAAACGATAGTTCACTTGACTTGTTTGTCATTATATCGGATGACGGTGTACAAGGTTACAACTGTCCGAGATTTACACAACTCAGACATACTCCAGCACATGAGAGTTTATCGATAGAGTTGGCCGATCGTCATTACCCACTTAGTATCTCAATATTGGAAGCCTCCAACAATCAATATCAATTCGAACCAATCTCACTTCCACTTCAGTCTTACTCACTGGTGATATCACCGAATTTCCCTACTGCATCCTATACTCCAAGAACAATCTACGAAACACTACCGAAAAAAAAGATAACCTTCACACTTTCAAATGTCACCTTTTATTTAGTTTCGAAATTACCAGATCCAGATAATAATAATAATAACCAAACATTGATTAAAAAATATATAGTATTAAATGACAAAACCAATGAGTTAGTATGTATATTATATTATTATTTAAATTTCAAACAATTGATTATTAATTTACGTTTCTTCAACAACATTATAATAGAATATCTATACACAATATAATTATGAAAAATCACCTTCAACAGAAAGAAGAGCATCAAATGAAATAGCGTCTTTGTTAGCATTGTCCGGGAGCAACATTCAATTATTAAAACTGTTATTCTATGACCACAACAAAAAGAAATCAAACTATTCTACGATAACAGAATTCGGAAATAAGAATATCTATCATTTGTGTGAATTATATCAAAGGTATGTTATCGATAAGGTTTTAATAATGACATATTTACTAACTTTAATATTTATCTAGGAACAATGATTATATACCTGAAGAGGTGATATTATCTTTTCTCCAAAAACTCTTGAACTACCAGAGAGAGTTAGAAAGTAAACACATTGCACATTGTAATATCGATGGATCCAATGTCTTTGTTAAGGATGGTCCCAATCTTGTTTTGAGTAACTTTGAATACTCTGTCTTCACTTCCAAGAACAACGTAACAGACTCATCATTTAATCTTGTCTCCGAAGGTTATGATAATACTGGAGATGACAAAAACAACAATGTAAGTTAAATTTGAATTCAAATAGTTCTTAAATTAATTATTTAGCTTAAAATAAAATAATAGAATGTTACAATGAAAGTTAAAGATGGCAAGTGTGATATTTTAGGAATTGGAATGGTTATTCTATTGTTATTATCATGGTATGTACAATTGATTATGAAAAGATAATTACAATAATTATATTAATTTATAAACCAAACAAACATACAGTCATAAAGAGGACCTAAATAATTTTACTACCTATCTCAATGACAAGAATAATATTATGATTTCTTCAGAGAGATACTCTCAAGAGTTGATTAGATATGTCAAAGAAAATCTGCTTTGTGCAACACCAACTGACATAGACACTCTTCAAACATTGTTGGATGAACATATTAGAAAACAACAATTCACAATAATCTATAACAAACCAACACCTTTTAGATTCGACAACAAATGTAGAATAACAGTTCTCGAGTTTGGTGATCAATTTAACCAAGAATTGGTAGAACTACCAACAACACTCCAATCCATCAACCTTGGAAATAGTTTCAACCAACATATTAAACCAAATACATTACCAAGAGGATTAAAGTCTGTTGTTTTCGGAAACAACTACAACCAACCTTTGGAAGTTGAAATTCTACCAGCATCAGTGACTTCAATCAAATTTGGAAAGGAGTTCAATCAGTTATTACCAGTCGGTGTATTACCAGTCGAATTGAAACAATTGACATTCGGTGATAATTTCAATCAACCATTGAAACCACATGAACTTCCATCAAAGTTGGAGAATCTCGAATTTGGCAAGAGTTTCGACAAGAGTATCCAGGCTGACACACTACCAGACTCTCTTCTGGCTTTAACATTTGGAGAGTATTTCAATCAACCGTTGCCAGAGGTACCAAAGAATTTGGTTAAACTTGAAGTAGGAAGTAAATTCACTCAAGAAATCGAAATTACCAAGTTACCAGAGTGTATTACAACATTAAAAGGTGTCGGTGGTAAAAAAGAATGGGTTAGAATTCCAGATTCCGTTACAAGTTTGACATTTGGAAGACATTTCAATCAACCAATATTGAAAGGAATGTTACCAAAATCTCTTGTTTATCTGGAATTTGGTTCGGATTTCAACAATACAATACATCCAGATTCATGGCCAGATGGTTTGGAGGTATTGGTATTTGGTAATTCATTCAATCAACCAATAGAACTCTTGCCATCAAAGATGAGTTTTCTGACATTCGGTAACTCATTCAATCAGCCAATTAGTACCAAAGTTCTTCCAAATATACAATATTTATCATTTGGATTGGGATATGACCATCCTATTCCTCCTCTCCCAACATCACTATATGTTCTCCACCTCGATGATGGATATCGTCATCAAATTCAATCATCAATTCTTCCTCCAAACCTTACTTCTCTGACAATTGGAAGTAAAGAACACATCGACTATATTCAAGCATTAAAGAAGAACAATATCAGCTATCATTTCCCAGACAGATCAGATCAACACTTTACTATTTTACAATTGAAATGTGACCAGGAAACCACACCAGGTAGTGAGGAATACACTTTTGTCAACAAAACCAACGAAGATCTTATCATTTATCTTCGATCCAAGAACAAAGACAAACAAGATAGATTATCGAATCATTTTATACACAAACTAAATTCACCTCCAGAACTCAAAAGTCGGAACATCATCAAGTTAAAATCAAATGATTATATTTCCATTTCCCAAATAATAATCATGAAGTTCACAAACAGAACCCTCATTTCCAAAATCTTGGATTTTTCAGAGGTGGGACCAGGTCAATTTACTTTTTCAATCGCAGATTCTTTCACATTTCTCAGCCATGATCAAAAACCTTTGATGTTTCCAGTTAACCATATATTAAATCCCAAGGAACTCCAACATTTGACAAAGGAACTACCTGTTAATTTAGATGACAAGAGTTACCACAACGTTTTTACATTCAGAAATGGAGCCAATACTTCACATCTCTTAATGGATGGAGAAACTCATGAATTGGTATGTTTTAAATTCATTGTATTTTATAAATATAGAAACATCAAATTACTAATTTCTTTTATTAAAACTTTTTTTTAGTTTGTATGTAAATATATTAATCGAAATATCCAAAATGAAATTTATGCACTCCAATCAGTTCGAGGTAAAAAGAATTTCGTTCAATATGTAACTCATGTATATGATCCTTTAAACAAAAAGGTACTCTTATTGACCAAGTATTGTAATGGAGGTGACCTTTCACTTATAAAAGAATCAATAATCAATTGGTATGTAAAGTTTTTTTTATTATTATTTTTAATTTTGAAATAAATTCTTATTTATTATTATGAATATCGAATATTTAGGAATGAGAATAACCCTCAACAGTTATATTATTTCCCAGAGGACACGTTATTCTCATATGCAAAACAACTGGGAAAATGTGTCGAAGAATTGAGCAAAATCAAAGGTGTAATTATACACTGTGATATTAAACTTGCCAATATCTTTTTGGAAAATAACCTATTGGTTCTGGCTGATATGGGTTGTTGCAAATGTCTTGATCCTATTAAACTGGCCAATTTAATTCCTGATGGTGCCGACTTGGCTTCACTTGATTCTGAGATGGAGAAGGAAACGATAACAGACAGTTCAGCAGCCACAGTAACAAGCCAAGAGCCAGAAGAGTTACCAACAATTCTAGAAATAAACGACAAGAGAAACATTGAAAATCAATGTGTAGAGCTAGTATCAAGAGGAACTGACGGTTACAGAGCACCCGTATGTATAAACAACAACAATAATATCAACAAATATTAATCTTTTATTTATTTATTTAGGAAACTCAAAATATTGATAAAGAAAAAAGAACCTATTCTATTGCAAGTGATTTATTTTCAATAGGTTCTGTTTTACATAACTTATCAACTTTGTAAGTAATAATAGCTTAAATCGGTATCAACAACAATCAAATACTTATTTAATTTCATTGTTTTTTTTTTTACATCAGACATCCAAAGGATAGACAATATCGCAAACAATTTATATCGACTAAATATAAAGAGGTTCATATATCAGATAATCGATACTCTCAACATTTTATTATAATTGTTCGAACGTTGCTATCAGTAGATCCAAAAGAGAGAGGAAGCCTTCCAACTTTTCAAAACACCATTGCCTTAGGTCAAATGTCCTATTTAATGTTTCTTACGTTATGTGCACGAAGGCTAATGATAGATATTATATCCAATTAAATAAACTATTAGCAACGTTAATTAAAGGTGCCAATTTAAACTTAATTACTAGGTGCATATTTTTAAATACTTTCCAATATTTAATAATGGTTTTAATAATTTAATTTTTTTAATTAACCTCAGGTCTAAGAATTTGATTTAATATAGTAATTAATATTCATATAAAGAGAAAATAGTAGAGAATCATTAAAAAGAAGATAAGACAAAAAAATATTCAGATTTCTTCATAGAGATACTCTCAAGAGTTGATTAGATATTTCAAAGAAAATCTCCTTATCGCATAATCAAAAGTTATTGATTATTCAATCAATTTAGCAAGAACTTATTAAAAAACTATAATTCACAATAATCTAAACAAACTGGAGTTGGGTGCAATTTTTAAAAAAATGCATTCAACGATATCGTTGGTTGGTGTTTAGAAGATTGGTTTATTAATGAAAGAAAATGAACCTTAAAAAAAGTTAAATTATTAAATAAAAAAAACAAAAAATTAATAAAAGTCCTTCAGATTTTATTATTTTATTGTCGACATATAAGAATCAAAGTTATTCAATAGACACTTTTATTTTTTATTTATATTTTGTTTTTACGAAAGTAAAGAAATATTATTTAGTAGCTCCCAAAGAATGGAGTATTGTTGAGACAAAGGCATGGTTGTAAATTTTTAGAGTTAAATCATAATATTATTGTATATAGTATATATCGTTTATTAAAAAGAAAAGAGTATGTTACAGAAAAAATTATACAAGATAAATTATATAAAGAAAAAGACATGTCTGATTATTTGGATATTCAAAAGGATTTGAAAGTAAAAAAGACAAAGTATGTATCTCTTATGAAAAAATTTAACAACAATATTCAATATTTTATTAAAGTTTAAAAGTAAAGTTAAAACATTTAATTGCACATCCTAATTTTATTTTTTATTTTTTACTACCTATAGACACCGAATTAAAAAAGATTTATGAAAAGTGACAAGATGGTCAAACACGGTGTTTGACTTCAGTCTTTCACTCTATTTTATATAGATATGAGAAGTTTAGGCCCAATTCAATTCCAGGTCTCCAACTCTCTGTTCACAAAACAGCCACCACCATCCGTTGGAATGTAGATGAGAACATTAAACCATTGGCAACATACTTGGGCTCCTTTGAAAGATTTGAATGTAATATCTTGAAATCCAGGATGGTGGTGGCTGTTTTGTGAACATGCTGACAAAAGTATACGATAGAATGGATCCAGTAGTGTTTTTGTTATTCTCTTCCAGATGCCCAGGTCCTCCAACTCTAGCATCTCCCGATGGCAACTAAAGATATATCAATTGCTTTGTGATCACCAACATCAACAAAATCAACAAAAACATTATAAAAATAAAGAATTTCGCCACTATTGATTTAACTGTATTACTTTTATTTTATTTTTTTTTACAAAATTTTCTTGTTTGCTACTTTGATTGCTGTGATTACTAAATATTTTTGTTAGTTAAATGAAATCTATTTGAACATTTTTCATTTATAATAAGAAATAATGAATTAAATAAATAAATATCAAAATTAAATTAAGATCGTTTATCAAAGGATATTTTATCTATTTGGGAATTCCCAAATATTTTCCCTGGGAAGGTGGTATCCAAAAACACGAAAATATCAAAATAAAAATAAAAATAAAATAAAAAAATTTTTGATTTTTTTTTAACAAACCCTAAGCACCATCCATACCCAGGCATAGTATTTATCTGATTGTGTTTACTTATTTTAATGTGTGTTGAGTTGTGTTGTTTTTTAAACAAAAAGAGAAATTTCATCAACATTAAAACATTTTATTATTTTTACAATTCACCATACTTATACAAATACCATTTATATTAATACAATATAATATTATTCTTATTTATATCTTCGATAAGATTAGATTAGATTAGCATAGAATAGAATAGAATAGAATAGATTAGTTGAAGTAAATAGTAATAATAATAAATAATAATATAATATAATAATAATGGCAGGAGGAGTTGATGATGGTACAACGTATACACGTTCAACTGCAGGTATCTATATTTTCAATTTGGTGGTTGGTATAGGTGCGCTTGCTTTACCCTATGGATTCCAACAGGCAGGTATAGTTTTAGGTGTTCTCTTTTTGGTGTGTTGTGGTATGTTGGCATTCATTACAACGACCTATATCATCGAGGCACAGTCTGCATCGAACTATCTGTTGGCATCGGAGTATCATGCCGATGACTCACCGCTGATCAACAGCAGCAGTAGCGACGACGATGGTGTGCGTAGCAGTCCCGACTCTGAGAGCTTACCGTTCATCTCACAACACGACCAACGATTCAACATCAAGAAACGTACAGAAGTCGGATTCATGACACAGCAATTCCTTGGTAATCTCGGAAATAAGATATTCTATGTTGTGCTAGTTGTAATGTATCGTTAATAATTAAAATAGAGACGGAATGGAAAGTATAATGTTAACATACTATTCTATTTTATTTTAGATTTATTTATTTGGAGATTTAGCTATTTATGCAGCGACAGTACCGACATCATTATCGGTTGTAACAGGAGGATTCAGTATGGGTAAATTGGATTTGTCAGCACATGATGTCTACTATTTCTACTTGGCATTGTTTGCACTTTTTGTTGGTCCGTTGTCGATGCTCAATTTCCAGAATACAAAATATCTTCAAATGTTAACACTACTCACAAGAAATTTGGCATTCTTTTTGTAAGAAAAAATGATCATCATCTTTATTTAGTAATAATATTAACATCATATAAACAATCGTTTAGGATGATTATTTTATCAATTATTTTCATTGCACAAGGTAAAGGAGCACCACCAAAAGATTTACCAATGTTTAACTTTGCAGGTTTGCCAGCAATGTTTGGTGTATCGATCTATGCGTTCATGTGTCATCATTCCTTACCATCGATCATTACACCCATCAGTACAAAGAAGCGTTTAACATTCTTGATGGGAATTGATTTTGGATCGATCTTTGTAGCCTATGCCTTACTTTGCATTACAGCTGTAATTGCTTTTGGTAATCAAACAAACCCAACTTGTGATTCATCGAATCACTCTGGTACTTTTATTCCATGTGAAATTCAATCTCTATATATTTATAATTTTTCATCTTACAGTAAGTAATCCTTATATATTTGATCATGATAACATTGTTATACTAATAACTATTATATTTAATATAATTATTTAGATATCAAAGTGTTTGCTATATTTTTATCATTATTCCCAGTATTTACATTATCGACCAATTATGTTTTGATTTCCATTACTTTAAGAAATAATTTATTAAATCTTATCACATATAAATGTAAGTTTGTTTTTAATAACTTGAAGATCATCTATAGGTATTAATTATTTATTTTTACAGCTGATCAAATGAATCCAAAAATTAGAAATATAGTATTCTCACTTGTATCATCATTGTTACCGGTTGGAATTGCATTTGCAACTAGAAATGTATCTTTTCTTGTTAATATTACTGGTGGATATGCAGGTCTTGGTATTATTTTCGTGATGCCAGTTGCATTGTCATATTACTCGAATAAGAAACTCAATTCATTAGGAGTGACAACACCATACCGATCAGTATTTGCCAAACTTCCCATTTATATATTAATTTTAACAGTTAGTTTTATCTCCCTCGGTTTAACTACATATAACATTGTCAAAAAATATTCTAAATAAGAGTATTTTCGAAAATACTATTAAAACAAAACAAAACAAATATTTATCTAATCATCTTTTCTTCTTAATTAAATCCTAATCACATTTTTTAAATTATTAAGTTAAAAACATTTAAATTGTGTACAATATTAAAGATGGTTACAAATAAAATTAATTATTTGATCCAAATAAAAGTTTATTTTTATTTGTTATTTTTGTTTTTCTATTTTTTTCAATTAAATAATAAACTATATATTTCTGGTGTTGATTTATTTTCTATTGACTTCGAATGAATCAACGAGGATCAAAGTATGTGGAGCTAAAGAAATAATGAGTTCACTAATGATGAATGGAAGTTCCATTGCCATTTCTTCGGAGATCAAGTGGTTGGCTACGATCCATCCCAAATCATCTTGAATCTTAACCAATGAGTCTAAGAGGATGATTTGTCTAATTACTGAATTTTGTTGGTTGTTGGAGGTCTCTTTCAACATGCTCGATTCCATGTGGGCAATGGCAGCCTTGACAGCAAAGTTACTGTTTTCATTGATAGCGGCGATCATTTGGTTTTCGTTGGAGAAGACGTGTTGACCGGCCTTGGCGATCATTTGCTTCAATTCGTTGCTCTTCTTGATGTCACGCATTTCAAAGAGCTTCACCAAGTTGTCAAAGTTGGTCAAGAACGAGGTTGGATCTTGGTTTGGAGTTTGGATGTTGAATGATTGTGATGGGGCGTTGGCGACGATGAACTTGGCCAATCTCAAGAGTTGACCGGTCTTGTCACCGTGGATGATGTCAATATCTTGTCTACCGAGGATGCTATTGCACTCCATCATGGTGAACAAAGAGTGACGGGTATATAATGCCTTGGCGGCGGCGCAGAGTGGACGTGCGAATTGTGGGACGGCTGGTTGTCTGAAGAACTTGGACAAACGTTGGTTGTAAAGATCAAACATGACGGTCTTTACGATGGATACCATCAACTTTGATTGAATGGATGGGTTCGATAGGATATTCTTTTCACGGAGGTTGTGAACGGTCTCCAAAAGACTCATCTTAACACTGAATGGGAAACTGTCCTTGAATTCCTTATATTGAACTGGCTTGATGGCTTGCTTGATCTCGACTGGGTCGACTCTTTGTACTGGACTCAATGGAGCGATTGGTGATTGGATGGCAGCAGCAACAGCGTTGGAGGACAAGTGATTTGGTAAGATATGACATTGAATTCTTTCGAAACGTTCAATGAATTTGGCATCGATCGAGGAATTGATACAGTTGGAATAAAAATCAGCTAACATTTTGTTTAATAATTTTGTTTTTAAAGAAAAGAGATTTTAAAGAGTGGATAATAATAGTTGTATGGAAAGTTTTAAAAGATTAAAAAGGAGATATTTAAAAATAATTCAGGTATTTTAAATATTTCAAAAAAATAGTATAAGATAAAAGTATTTCTGGATATTAGATATTTAAAGAAAAAATCTGTTGGTAAAAAAAAAAAAATATTTAAAGAGATAGATATAAAAAAAATCGGGTTTTAAAAAAAGAAATTTATGTATATAAATAAAAGAATCTGTTTGTTTGTTGAATTATTTGATCATTTCCATTTCTATTTAAACTATTCTTCTACACTACAAAAAATTACAAAAAAAAAACCTTAAATTATTTTAATTTAAAATTTTCATGTGATTTATTGATCACACCACCACAAAACCACATCACAACCCCACAATATTGGCACTTATAATAAATCAATTTAAATTTGATATATGTCTCTTTGAATCGATATATTAATTCAGATAGTGAGGCCAGATTCACTCTGAAACATATATTTTACTTTATATAGGATGCAGCAGAAAAAGAACAGATGATTTTTTGGAATAGTGTAAAACACTATTTATTTCTACACTATTTTTTTGTGAAACTCTTTTGATTGATGGTGTATTGCTATTATTTCAGTGGGTTGTAAGTTGGGTAGAAAAAGTTAGTTATAAGTAAATGAGAACTGTAACAATCAATCAATCAATAAAACACATTCGACACACAACACACACATTTTTAGTTCCAGAAATCAGCCATCCTAGATGTTATTCATCAAAAAAATAACATATATCTCAATCATATTTTTGGATATAATAAAACATAAAAGACTAGATTTAATAGTATATTGGTGTTTAATTTGAAACGATCGTTTTTGTTATTTTTGAAATAAACAAATACTCACTCTGAACGATGGCATGAAAGAAACACACACACACACACACACATATATAATCTGTGATCAAAATCACAACTAAAAACAACCACAAAAAACCTTCCTTCTTCAAATTTAAAATCTAATTAATTTATTTATAATATTTGTTGAACCAACGTTGTCAATCTCTTCTATCTACTTGTGTTTTGGTGATGTGTCTTTGTTTGAATTTATCTATCTTTTGGGTGGGTGAGTGTAATCTATCACATCATGTTGAAAGTGATGTGGTAAGATTTGAATGTAATACAATCAGAATTGTCATAATAAGTAAAAAGAAAAAAAACCAAACAAAAAAAAAAAGAGTAAGTTGGGTTGAAAGATAGGATAAAGAAACAAACAAACAAACATTAAATTTGAACAAGGTTGAGGTTCCAATATAAAAATAATTAATAAATTATTTGAATTCATTCTATCAAAATTTGATGTATTATTTTATCTATCCTTCCCTCCTTTTAAAATCGATTCTCTTTTGAAAGAGTAACAAACTAACTGTTAGTTACACCGTTGTTGTTTTTGATTGATTGATAGGTTGATTGATTGATTGGTTGGTTGAAAGAGAAGTGTCTTTCTTTGACAAACACTGAATGATATTATGTATGATCATCATCATCATCAATAATCTACTATAGAAGATATGATTTTGTGTATGTGATTAGATTAATTCGGATAGTTAAATAGTTAAACGTTATTTTTCAAAACATTAATTAACATAAAGATAGAGATTAACAAGGATACTATTCGATTTAAATGAAATTTGACCATTGCACATATTAATATAGATAGTAGATTGAATTGTAGATACAGATAATTTGTAACTATAAATGTATATTAATATTTGTAAAGACCAACACTACAATAAAAGCTGTGATTATATCTAACACTGAGTGATATATGTGATGTCATATACTCTTTCTGGAATGAATGAGTTGTAGTAAAAGTATAAGTAGATCATAAAACCTACAAAGAAACAAATATGATCTACATATTAATTATAAAAGAGTATAATTATTTGATTTAATATAAAAAAATAAAAACAATAAAAAAAGATCTGATCAAACCAATCAAATCAATTTTTGATCTACAAAATAATCATGTTATTATTTTAATTTATTTTATTTTTATTGTAACATAATTGTTGTTTTTTTAATGAGAAATAAAAGGAATAATATTATATTATAATGGTTATGATAATCTTTTTTCTTTTTTGTACAATATTTTTTTAAGGAAGAAGAAGCGTTTTAACCATTGACTTGATGTTTCGAGGCAACTGAGGTAGCTGTTGATGTTGGTGCGTCTACAAGTTGTGAACCGAGTTCTATACCGATTTCATCCAGCACTTGATTCAAAATCTCTTGTGATTGCTCTTCTTCACCGTCTTGCTGCATAACATCGTCCATTGTATCGTTCATCATCTCCTCCTTCATGTCCATCTTGTCAGACTGTTGTTCAAACTCCATCATAATCTTTGTAAACTGTGGTATATTCATCTGTTTATTCATAACCATCATTGCTTTAGTTACACCCTTCATTGCTTCTGCCATCGATTGTGTTGATTGCAATGTCTACAAATATATAAATAAAAAAATAGTATCATTAATATTCTAATTCTCTTCACACATTTCTTTGCTATACTAGTTAGTTAGTTAGTTAGTTACATACTTGAATTCTTAAACTAACAGCTTGTAATTGTGTCTTCATTTCATAAAACTTTTGAATATGGAATCTTGTTCGTACTAAATCTTTAGCCATGATCTTTGCTGAATTCTAAATTATAACATAACAATGTTGTGATTAAAGATTAGTTAACTCTTAATCTTTGTATTTTGTCTAGCTAAGTTTTATCGATAACCACTTACCATTTGACCTTGTTTAGCCATCTTCTTTATATCTATAATAATCTTTTTCTCTTGATTCTGTAAGTTTACTCTTTCTCTATCGAGTTCTCTCATTGATTTATTAAGAGCTCTTTGATTCTCTCTGAGCACCTCTAAAAGTAATAAAAAAATAACAGCAATACAACATTAGCATCACTATAGTGATTGAATTGTAAATTCATCAGTTGATTACTTACCTTTTGGTGTCTTTTGCTTTCCAAATAAAAACATGATTTATAATATATATATGTATGTATGTTTTGTAAAATATACAGAATACTAAAAAAGTTAACTTATATATTACTTATTTTTATATATAAAAGACTTTATAGATGTAAAATGAGATAATTATACAAAAATTAAAAAAAAGATATTAAAAAATAATAATTAATAACTAATTAACTACTTGTAGTATCTAACCTACCTTTTTTTTTCAACTTTAATTTTTAAATTAAATTTATTTTTAAATTTATTTATTTTTTAAAAAAATGAAATTTGAAACATGTTTTTCTCAACGAACAAAGAAATTTTCTTTGCATTATTGGAACTTATTGACAAAAAGTTCTGCAGAAATTAAGCTTTTGATAAGAAATTTGCAACAATATTAATATTTTTTTATCTTTATATTTTTTAATGTATAGTGGAGATGCGACAAGCGCATACACCACCACTACCAGAAATTTGATAACCGACTAGCCTTACGGACAGTCGCCTAAACTCTTTCCAGTGGTGCAAGAGGAAAGTTGAAGAGAGATGATTTGACCTGTTTTGATCATCAAATCATCGTCATCAGGTAAGTATGAATTTTAATGTTCTAATCGTGTTTGTTATATGTTTTTTAAAAGTATCTTTGTTATGGTTTTTAAATCTTATCACATGTGTATTCCTATTATATTATTTCCGACTGTTGACTCTGTTTTAAATGAAATTTCATCAAACAAATATTCGCAAAAAAAAAAAAAAAAAAAAAAAATTAAATGAGTGGGGGATTATAAAATTTAATTACTTAAGGTTAATTATCACTCTAAATATTCAATTGAGGTGGATCTGGTTATTAAATTTATATTGTTATGACAATAATTAGTTTTTATTAGGAAAATCTCCAAATTATATAAAAGAATATCACTACTAGTGATAGTTGTTTCTCTCTAAAAAATTGTCGAACACCTAAATTAGAACAAATAAAAAATAAGATTGGGATAATGATAAGTTATTAATTTTTTTTATTCATAAATATCTTCTTTTTGAGCCCAAAGAGTATGTTCAACCACAAAAAAAAAAAATCAAATAAATAAAATCATACTCATTTTTTGAGCTGATACAAACACACCATGTTTTATAATTAAGACTTTGTTAATCATGTTTAAAGTTTTAAAATTTAAGAATGACAGTTATAACTAGAAAGTTCTTTATTGGTGGTAATCATAAGCTTGTATGTTTGACTTTTCTTTTATGATTAATATTAATACTAACATTGCAGTTTTTACTATTTTGTTAGCATGGTAATAAAGAATCATTAACTACTTTAATAAAATCATTAAACAATGCTACCTTTCCATCCGAAGATATTGTTGGTAAGATTTAATTAAATTGCTTTAGTTTATAATATCAGATCGATCAAATCAATCTAACAATAGTATATTCTAGAACTTGTAATTTCACCACCAATAATCTACTTGGAAACAGCACAATCTTTGATTGGTCCAAGAATACAGGTTGCCGCTCAGAATTGCTATTCCGAGAGCAAAGGTGCTTTCACAGGAGAGATCTCTGCAGAGATGGTAAAGGATCTAGGTTGCCAATGGGTGATCTTGGGTCATTCCGAGCGTCGTCGTGTCTTTGGTGAATCGAGCGCGGTCATTGCCAAAAAGATTGAACACGCAATGCAAGTAGGTCTATCTGTTATCTTTTGTATTGGTGAACTGCTCGTTGATCGCGAAGCCAACAAAACGGAATCAATACTAGCAGAGCAACTCTCAGACATTGTAAAGTCAGTTCCCGATTGGCGAAGGTTGGTGATTGCATACGAACCGGTCTGGGCAATCGGTACCGGTGTAGTCGCCACACCGAAACAAACACAAGATGCACACCAATTCATAAGAAAATGGTTAGCAACGAATGTCTCGGAACAAGTAGCTAAAGAAACGCGTATTATCTATGGTGGCTCGGTGAACGCTACCAACTGTGTAGATCTATCAAAGGAAACTGATGTCGATGGTTTCCTCCTTGGATTCGCAGCGCTAGTAGCAGATGATTTCACAACGATTGTATCATATGCAAAACCAAAATCATCATCATAAAAACACTTTAAATTTTTTAAAAGAAATTTCATTTGTAAATCAATCAAAACACCTTGTTTTTCTCACCTTTTGGTTTTTGCAAAATAGTAAAAAAAAAGAAATCTTGATGAGTTCTTACTTTTTTACACATTTTAATTTGATCAAAGGTGACGATGCATGTTAATTTAATTTATTTGAGCGAGCATCGCTTAATTATTTTGGAATTCAGAGATTACCATTAAATTGATGACGAGGATGCAAAGAGAGATGAATGAATCAATTAATTTAATTTGTAATACCAAAGAAATTTCATGAAATCTATCCCTCACCCTGTTTTGGTTAAACCAAAGAGCTTAAATAGTAAACCAAGAATAAAACTTTATTTATTAATAGATATAGAAACTTTATAATTAGATATAGTCTTATTAAATAATAATGAATTATGGTGTATATATATTAAATGGAAAATGTTTTCCTCGAAATGAAAGAATGTAAGTTAAAATTTTTAAATATTTTAAAAACAGTTCAACAATTAACAATTTTCTAATAAATAATATTATTTAATAGTAAAAACTATAATAACAAAAGCAGAACAATACTTCGTAACCATTTGAAAAGTATCAAAAATCAAAAAGATAGGCTACGAGCCAAGATCAAAGCCAATGATGTTCTATCATCGAAAATATCAAAAGGCTTGATTCGTCCTAAATTTAAAAGAGGTGAAACCATTACCTATCTAAGAGATAAAGAGTAAGTTATATGTATTGTTTATGATTAATTAATTTTATAAACTAATTATTAATAAATTTGAAATAACCAATAGGAAAAGGAATGAAAAAAGAAAGTTTACTAGAATATTAAGAGAAACTCAATCACAGAGAACACAAAGATTGGAGGTATTCATTCCAAGCCAAGAGGGTGAATTGAATACTGATCGTGCAAAGTTTCTTGCCAAGCAAATGAGAGATCTTCTTCATGACGAAAAAGATCTAATGCCATTCATTTTGTCATCAATTGTTGGACAGCCATTGAATTTCATTCAAATGGTCCACAGTTATCTGACGTATGACGAATTGGAGGATGTTAGAAGTATATGGTTGAACGATAGGCAGTTGGCAGGTGCAAGTAATCGTACCATGTCTGGTATAGTTACCAATTCGATCCTCTTGAGAAAGTTTCTTGGCCAGCAAAAGAGTTCTGCAATGTCGGCCTTCCCAAATCAATCACTAATGAAACTATTCAACTCCAAAGGTACAATGATCTTTGATTTCGATCAAGTCGTCGCAATGGACAAAGAAGAGAGTAGAAACATTGTTTACCATTCGAAACCGGCCATTGTCATTTCCAAGATGGACGAATTCAAGGTGAATTTTCATTCATTTTTCACCAATGGTGTTTTGAGAAAAGTCACTTGGGAGTCGGACGATGTAAAGGTTGTTGTTGCCGGTGGATCTGTACTTGCTGCACTCACCGGTTCGACTGAAGATCCGGAGCTCTACAGATGTTACTTGGCATGCGAAGAAGCAATTCAATGTCTACCACATGTAGTCAAACAAAAGATAAGATCATACTTGGAAGAAGATGAAAATACTTTCAACTATCACACAACCAAACGATATCACTCCAAAGCTTGGGCGAAATCCGATATTGATTTATTCCTCGTTTGTAAAGATACATCATTGGTGCCAGCCAGGATTCAACAACTGGTAAAAGAGATTACCTCTTGTATACCAGTTGACTACAAGTTATTGAGAACTGAACACTCAATCACAATACTTCCACTGTATCCTTATCGCCCAATTCAAATTGTAACAACATTACTTAGAGAGATATCAGATCACGTTCTATTCAGTGATTTGGATTGTACATCGTTTGTTTACGATCCTACTATCGATAATATCTTCACACTGGAGAGAGGTCTAAAATCACTGTCGAATCGTGTCAACATTGTGCCACCCAACGCCAAGGGAATAAAGAGAGCTTTCAAGTATTTTACAAGAGGATTCTCACCGCTTTGTTTCGAACTGTGTAAACATCATCCAAGATGCGATACCAAAGAAGTGTCAAACCTCTTTTCCATTTGTAGCAAACTAAGATATAATTTGCAAGAAGATGAAGGTTTACCATACGGCCGGAAATACAATAGTATCGGTGATGTCGAGCTGAAACTAAATGAAAACGATGGTGTCAATTCTGTTTTGAAGAGTGTTGACGATATTCCAGAGGTTTTGACTAAGTTCCCAGTCGGTTGGAAATGTGATTTCCAAAAGAAATGCTACCAATGTGAAAGAACAATGGGATTCCAAAAGAAACAGGTTGTTGTTTGCTCAGCCTGCAGAAGAGAGAACCAAGTGAAATGGGATCAATGGGATTCCATTGGAAATATCAGCTCTGTGGAGAAACATGCTATTGTAACAGGTGCCAGAAACAAGATCGGTTATCAAGCTGCTTTGAGATTGTTGCGTTCTGGCTACAATGTTTTGGTCACAACAAGATTCCCTCATACTGCTTTGGTTAACTATAAGCAAGAGTCAGACTCTCAATTGTGGATAGATAAATTACAAATCTATGGAATAGACTTTAGACATTTGCCATCGGTAAACAAGTTTATCCAGTACGTATTGAAGACTATTCCTAGATTGGATATCTTAATCAACAATGCCGCCCAGACAATTAGACGACCAAGAGCTTACTATCAAACGATTTTCAAAGAGGAGAATAGATTGAAATCGTTAGATAATGCAAAGGAGAAATCTGATCAAATGATTATTTCACCAATGGAAAGAGTAGATAACTTGGCATTGATTGTTCCAATTTCACGGTATCGTTTGGATTGCTCTGATATGACACAGATCATTGTGAATAAAGACGATGAAGAACAAGAGAATCATCAACTCTTCCCAGTGGATATGTTAGATGAACATGGTGATCAGCTGGATATGAGATCGAAAACAACTTGGAACAACTCTATCGAAGAGATAACGATGGAAGAGATGTTGGAAGTTCAACTTATCAATGTAACCGTTCCATTTATGTTGATGTCACAGTTTATGCCGCTGATGGTTAAATCACGAACCGCCGCTTCTTCCTCTGAAGTAGTGAATAATAATAAGGAATGGGCATATGTTATCAATGTTACCTCTCAGGAAGGATCATTCCATAAAGAGTATCAAAACGGTTATCATGTGCACACCAACATGGCCAAAGCTTCATTGAATATGATGACACTCTCGACATCGGAGCAATACATCCGAAAGAGAATATTCATATGTTCAGTGGATCCTGGTTGGGTCACCAAGATGACAACCAACGCCAAACCAAACGGAGCAGAGGCACCACTATCCGCACAAGATGGTGCAGCAAGAATACTCGACCCCATTTACTCACACATCAAAGATTATCAAACCAAACATGGAATATTATATAAGCATTTTAAACCTTCTACTTGGTAAATAATTAATAATATTAACATTAATAATTATTAAAATAAAGATTCAATTCTACTGTATTTATTAAACAATCTTTTGTTTCTGAAAAAGTGTCTGCAAAACAAGATCAAAAAAAATCAAGATTTATTTTAATTTTTATAATATTTATCAAGATTCGAGAAAAGAATCATTACACCCTGTTAAATATTTTCAATAAATAAATAATAGTTTTTTTAATAAAACCATAAGATGTACAAAAAACAGCAGTTTTTATTTTGTTTATAAAATATCTGCAAATAATCTTTAAAACCCGAAGATTATTTAAAAACGGGTCTCATAATCACACCCAAAATCAATAAAAAAATCCAAGATCTTTGTTTATTTTTTTCATAGTTCCATCACATTAATACTGATTAACAAGAGAATGCAATGTTCATTACATCATCATCATAATTTAAATCTTTATTTTCTCTTTAAACTATTTATTATTATTTGTTATAATTAATTTCTTTAATAAATAATTATTTAGTTACATATAAATATACATATAATATATAAATTACAAAATGAAATCACAATTATCTTTTATTGCTTTGTTTGTACTTTTGTGTTGTTCAATTGTACAATCGGTTGTATATTTGGAAATGACACCATACGCTGACGATAATTGTACAAAGGAAAATGGAATTTCCGGAGTAGGTTATGCTTTCATCGCTAATCAATGCTTTGGTGTCGGTGATACTGCACCGGGTGCCAAGAACTTCTTTGTTACCATCGGTGGAAACAATGAGAATGCTACCATCACTACCTACAAGAACTACGATCCAACCTGTCAAGATGCCATCCCCGACGCCTATATCACCTATGAGAATGGTGGTTGCTACCGTGCACCAACCTATGCCAACCAATACTACTATGTCGTAAACAATTTCGTTCGTGTTACCATAGTAGAGAATCCACAAGCCATTCCATTGTACGGAAGGAGATTCACCACTTTCGGAGATTCACAATGCTCTTCCAACCCACAATGGTATTACTTCTACACCAACGGAACAACCTTCACCAACGGTCAAGAGACATCTACTTTTTACTGCACAGAAAATAATAGTAATTATCTACATTCCATTAATCAACATCTTTTGATTGATAAGTTTAACTAACACAATCAATCCTCTTTCTAAATTTTAATCTATTTTCCGACAATTCTAGGTTTCCTTGATGTTTGTAACAAAGGTGATCCATCAAGTTGTCAAACCTATATTCAAAACCAAGAATGTTACCGTGATGTTTGGAATTTACATGAACACAATTATTTCTTATCTTCATGTTAAATAAACAAACAAATAAATAAATAAACTAAAATTAATATAAAAATAATATAAATAATCTTTTTTTTTTTTTTTTTTCTAAATGGAAATCCAAAAAAAAGATAGAAACAATCTTTATTTATTTAAAATCTTCTACCCTTTTTATTTCTCTTCATTTCATCATAGTCTTTGAGTTCTTCTTGTAATTGTAGATCCTCTTCGTCGTCGAGTGTATCTTCACTGGTTTCATTCTCATCGTCTAGCTCCTTGTAGATATCTTCTCTGTTGATTCCCAAGAGTTCCGGTGTCACTTCCAAATTCTGTAGTCTCTTATTTTTTATTTGTGTCGCTAAATCTGGAGCACCTTGTCTCTGGTCTTCCAATGCTCTTCCCTGCAATCGCCAGCACTCTGCCAACACAATCGAGAGTGCCTGTGAAACGTTGAGACAATCGATCAATCCAGTCGATGGAATCACCAGAGTATTGGTAGACAACTTAACGATTCCCTTGGAAACACCATCGGATTCCGAACCGAAAACAATCATCAATGGATTGACTCCCAATAACTTTGTTGCACGATCTGAATACAATCTAATTGGTGATGGTAGTTTACTACTAACAACTTCGTCACCGCTATTCTTGTTGCTGCTACTGCTGCTGCTGTTGTCACCGGATGTAGAAATAACTTGCCAACCTTGTGCAACGAATTTCTTAATCATATTGATTGCCTCGGATCTAATGTCAATTGGAACGACATCAACATACTCCATAGCACCACGACTGGCACGATACGAAGAGGTAGAAAGTGGATTGATACGTCCACCGCTGTTGGCACCGAATTCATTGTAGGCAAACACAGTCTTTACACCAAACGATGCACAGGAACGTATGATTGCACCAATGTTATGTGGATTCTCAACGTTATCCAAAAGTACAACAATTGGACGACCAAATACTGTTGAATCTGTTTTGTTGTTACTACTATTATTATTATTGTTGTTGCTGCTACTATCCATAATCGAATGTTTTTTTGTTGGTGTTATGTTTGTCTTGGTTTTTTGGAACTCTTTTTGCATGGCGTCGTCAATGGTTAGTGGTGACTTTGGTCTAACTACCAAGCAGATTCCTTCGTGATGTTTGGATTGTGAGACTTTCTCCATTTGTTGATCGTCATCGGCAAACAAACGATAGGGTTTTCTGGCATCTGAGAAATACTTTACGATATCTTTCAACTCTGCTTTGTTCTTCTCGTAAATCGATTGATTGATATAGAGTCTTCGAAGATCGTTTCCCTTTCTATTCAAGAAACAACTCAATACACTTCTGAAACCAGTGATATTCATCTCTTCACCACCGTTACCACCACCTTCTTCTTCTTCCTTCATAAATTGATCTTGATCCAATTGAACTTCAGTTGGTTTCTCTCTCTTTTTAAATGATTGTTGTGGTTTTTGTGTTTCTTGTTGTTTTTGTTGTTTTAATTGTCTAACAGATTCTTCTACTCTTGAATCATCAAACTGGTTATCTTCCATATCTCTCTGTATTCCATATTTCCAACCTTTCTTTTCACCAATTGTCGATCTACTATTATTATCATTACTATATTCATCCATATCAACTGATGGTCTACTATTACCGCTATTCTTGTTATTTCTAAAACCTCTATTATTATTATTATTATTATTATCATCATTTATAGTAACTCTATCATCTCTTCTCTCTCTTGTATATTTAAATTCACGATCGTTATTATTATATCTATCATTTCTATCACCTCTATCTTCTCTATCTTCTCTATCATATGATCCTCTACTGCTATTTCTATTATCTCTATTATCTCTATAATCTCTATTATCTCTATATTTATTTTTATATTTATTAACAACCTTGTTTTCATTCAAAGTCTCTCTCAATGCTCTTCTTTTAGCAGTGAAGTTTGGACCTGAATAGAATCTTTGTTCAACCAAAGAACATTGATTTACAAACAATGTATTACTAAACAACTTTGTTATATATTGATTATTAAATATATTTGAATTTGTTAAATATCGTTGCATTTTTGTTTGAATAATAATATTTGAAATAAAAAATAAACAATAATATGTTATCAATGCATTCGGTTTTTTTCAAAAAAGGAAATAATATAATGATCACTGTCAATTTTATTATTTTTTTTTTAACACGACCCAATGAAGTAAGATTTAATTATTTGAAAAAAAGAATAAAAATTACAGTATCTCTGTATTGTTTATTTGTTTAAACATTTTCTATTAACTGTTATTATTCTTTCGCTAAATGATTTAATATCTATAAATATTATTAAAATTTAAAGAGAGAGAGTATTAGAAATATATGAAATATGATAAAGATTCATCAAATAATTTTATATAATATGACTTACATCTATTTAAAATATCTTGATCTTCTCTATCGATTGCAATCGAATAGAGATATTCTAAGAGCAATATACCGTCGGAGTAATATTGAAGTGCTTTGTTGTAGTCACTGTACATCTCTTCGACACCACCGTTTCTACCCATCTCCAGTGCACTCTCATAGATCAGTTTGTTCGGCGAGAACGATGCGTTCATCTCGAGGTTGTTGGTATACAATCGAACGGTCTTATTGAGATACTCTTTGAAGGTGTCACGCAACTTCTCCATCAGCTGATTGTATCGCGCGAGATGCGGTGATCCAAAACTGAAATTCTGTGCACTCTGTTGAAGTTTCGATTTGATCAACATCAACGCTTTCAAGTAAAGCGGAATACATTCGCTCGGTTCAAACTGTCTGAGATCTCCCAACTCTGCGATAGCCACCGCTCGTTTTCCCAATCGCTCCACACCATTAATAGCTTCTTCATCATCCAAAATAACACAATCCTTTTCAAAATCAATCGATGAAGATGAAGTTGTATTATTATTCTTTGTCGATACCACTTGTTGTTGTTGTTGCTGTTGTTGATTATATACATATTGATTATTCAATAATATTCTATCTGAATTTGATTTATTATTTCCACTCCCACTACTTATATTACTACTACTATTATTATTATTGTTTGTTGTATATTGTTGTTGTTGTTGTTGTTGATATGTTTGTTGTTGAAATATTTGTTGTTGTTGTTGCTGTTGCTGTTGCTGTTGCTGTTGTTGATTGTTTATAAATTGATATGGTTGATGTATGTTTGATAATGGAATGTTCTGGGAGAATCCAAGCCATGGATGAAGGAAGAAATCTTCCCATGAGATTCTGGTCATCTCATTGATTTGCAAGAGAGAATAGAGAAGATCTTGACACTCTTTACTGAGTTGAATGTTGTTAGGTATCTTGATTCGGTTGTTCTCCAGTTGCTTGAAGAGATCCACAACTGTGCCGCAGTTGTAGGGTGGTTCGCCGACCAGCATCTCATAGAGAATCACTCCTACCGACCAGAGATCGGCCTTCACAGTGTAGTTCTTACGGTACAATATCTCCGGTGCCATATAGAGTGGTGATCCACAGAAAGTATCGGAGAGCGACTGTACATCGATGAACCTGGCAAATCCGAAATCCGCTATCTTCAACGTCGGCAAATCAGAGTTGTCCGACAACAACAGGTTCTGCGGTTTCAAATCACGATGAATGATATCGTTCATTCTGAGGAATCGCAATCCATTCGCCAACTGTCTCATAAAGTACAACGCTTTCTCCTCTGTCAATCGTTTGTGTTTTCTAATAAAACTCGAAAAGTCACCACCTTCACAACACTCCATAATCATATATATATAACTATCTGATGGTGGTGGTGGCTAGTAGTTATAACAACAACAACAACAAGTAATTCAAAGTTAGTTTTGTTTGTTTTGTTGTCTTATTTATTACATAACTACTACATAATACTTACTTCTAATACATCATATAAAGTAACAATATTTGGATGACTAACAGATTTCAATATCTTTATCTCATAGTTTAGATTTTCTTTCAGTTTTGAATTGCGTTCGGTCAATCTGTAGACATCGATCATCTTTATAGCAACGACATTGCCACTTGTTCTGTGAACAGCTCTAAATACCTGTGCGAATGCACCAGACCCCAGTCTTGATTGCAATATATAATTCTCTATTTCGCCTTTCTCTATCATTATTCCTGCCATCTAAACTACTAACTTCACTATACTATTATACTATATATATATACCTTAACATAACCAAAACTAAACTAACCTAATAATACACTATATTTATAATAAATATATATTTACACAATTTACACAAAAAAAAATAAGAGTAGAAAAAAACTCTCAATCTAACTATCTATATATATATATATAATCTTAAAATAATAATATTAATAAAAAATGAAATTTTATTATTTGAGTACTTTAATTTAACAACTAGTAAATAAAAAATTAAATTATAAATAAAATAAATAGTTTTTTTTTCTTTTAAAAATATATTAAATAAAAATTGAAAAAACAAAAAAAAAAGTATATAAAAATAAACGAATAATAATTATAACCTTTATTCTATTCTTTTATTTTAATTTTAAAAAACTTAAGAAAAACACCATAACAAAATATTTATTTAAATTCAATTCATACATTTATTCTAAATAGACAGACAGACAGACAGACAGACACACAGACATACAGATAAAGTTCAAGTACACACACACATCATATGAAAAAACAAAACACTACACTATTTTTGTCTATACAATTTTCAGATACATCTTTGTGTGTTGTGTTTTGTGTGTTTGTTTGTTTGTTTGAGTGTGTATTGTATTAGATTTGTTTGTTTGATTTTAAATAATTGATATATGCAGATTTAAGTTTGTTATTTATTTATTTTTAAAACAAATCAATGATAATCTATAATATATATATTGAACACTTGGGATTAAACAAATAACCAAAATACCGAAATTTCTAAAACAGCTCTATGATTATAATCACTGATGAAACCATCAACTCGATAATTCATCGGAATACCTTGAAGATATTTTAATATAACCACCAAATTTACATCAAAAAGTATACTTTTATAAAAATTTAGACCAAAAAAAAGTAATCGGACTTTTATTTTTATAAGATTTATTTTTGATTTCTTTTCTATAAACAATGTTTTTAGTTGTTTAAGAGTTGCCAACAACTTCAATTCTTGAATTATCACCGATCAAACACCCTAAATAAATCAATCAATCAATCAATCAATGAAATACTTTAATATTATTTTAATATTTGTACCAATATTATGTTTTGCAACATATCAAACTTCTGCACGTAAAATAGTTGCACCAGAAGTTGGATGTTCTGTCTATATAGAAGAAATAGGATTAGCTATTGCCAAACAATATGAACCATCTGTTGTAAGTAACATATCTTTTTTGTCTTGTTTTGAAGTTTTATTAATTATTATCATTACCAATCACAATAGCCAAGTCAAAAGTTATCAGCTTGTACTTATAATCCAATCTACTTGGGTGACAACTGTTGCAATTACAATGAGAGTTTGCTTGTTAATGATACAATGATCTACTATGAGATGGTGTTTGGTGAGAATCTGTCGTGTATGCACTACATTTGGGATATGAGTTGTGCTTTCTCATGCAGTCCAAATCAAGTTCAGTATTTGGTGCCAGTCAATGTCGACAGTCAAAACGATCAGATATTATCGATCAAATTCAACATCAATCCAACCTATGCACAATCATTGTACGGAGCATGCAAGACTGTGAAGGCACCCAATGGTAAATCGTTTGGACAGTTGTATCCAACCTATCAACAATTCTTCCAAGGTGTCTTTGGTGACTCAAACAATCCAAACTTTAATGATGTAATTTATAATTATGATTCAACAATTGGATACAATGGAAATTAAAATAAATTTATTAAACCTTAAAAAGATATATATATAAACTATTATTTATGTTAATCTAACAAATTGATTATTTAAATTCTATTAAACAAGATCCACAAATTTGATCATTATTTACTTCGACCAATGGACTCCAACATTTTTCACCAATTGAATATTTATAATGTCTAAAAGTGTTGGGTTGGACTTGAAATGAGCACATTGCATAGATATAGCTCTCTTTTTCTGATACCCTGTGATAGACCAGATTGAACTTATTGGTTTTAATCCGAAAACCTGGTAGAATATTTATATTTCCAAACATGAGATTTCTACTATAAAAACATCCACAATTTAAATAGTAAATGTTTCCATTATCGTCGATACAATAGTTGACGTCCATACTCTTCAAATCAAGTGAAAGAGTGCTAATCTTGGATTCACCAGTCTCTGGTAATACAGAGAATAAATTATCTTTGTCACAATTATTAATAAAAACAAGTGATTTCCGGTGAAAGTATGAGAGTCTGGTTATCTGACATGGATGGACTACTGAATATTCAAACTTCTGTCTCTTTAAATCGAATCGGACTACTCTAACCTCCAAGTACCTATTCAATAAATATCCGTTGACCAAGTAAATGAATGATGTGCCATCATAAACTGCTATAGGGTCATTTTCAATCTCTACATTAATATCACCAATGAAATCAATTGTTTTGGTTCGAATTGAGAATCTACAATACTTTTTTGGATTAATACCTCCAAAAATGTAGACATATTCACCAACTCCAACAGTGGATTGTAATGTTCCATCAAATTCGAATTCATCAATCTTGATGGTTTCCAAATGATTATTTGATAGGTTGAGAAGTGATATCTCACCATTCGAATAGGCAGAGAATAGATATGCTATTGGTTCTCTATTATGATCATTCAACTGAATTGATTGTTTCAAAAAATCAACTAATTTGGTTTTATAATTTGAGTCAATTGAAATACTGTAATTAATATTATGATTTAATGAAGTTGGGGATGTTGAGGTTGATTTCATACCATTAAGGTATTTTGATAATAAAAGAATTAGTTTTTCTTCTGAATTGTTGTTATTATCTTTACTATTGTAATCAATATCTGAATATTTGTATTTCTCTATATACTCTTTTAATGATTGACTTTCTATATTATTCTCTGAACCCATGTCTATATCATTGCTACTATTATTATTCTGTGATTGATCACTAATATTACTGTGGTTTTGATCATTACTATTATTTAGAATATTATTGAATTTGATAATTAATGTTAATTGATTTAATTCTTTGATATTATCTTGAAGTTGGTTTTCAATGGTAACCTTATCATTGGTGAAAGGTTTTGTCAATCTAAGTTCTTCTGACATCAAGTAATCATGGATCTCTCCGAAATAACTTTTTATCTGATTCTCTGAAGCTTTTAATGATTTGGTAATCGATATAGATTGTTTAATGTTTGACCATAAGTTATTGATTCTATTTATTATAAAGTTTGTATTTGTTTCATTATTTTGATTGTTAATGTCTCTATTGTCTGTGTCATCATGATTATTATTATTTAATAATTGGTTGAATGATTGTTTAATATCAGTGATAAAGTCCCATTTATGATCCTTGAATACTTTTAAATGATTTAATAAACATCTTTGGCACAATAGTTTATAACATTCATAACAAATGCATTCAAATGAGATATTTTTATTATCACAACAATTTTCAATATTTTCTTTATCTATGTCCGTCATTATTAAAACTTGTTTACTGATATTATGTATTGGTTACAATTAAACTAGTTTAAAATTTTAAAATTTAGTTTTATGTGATTTTCAATGTAATTTTTCCAGTAATTCAGAACTACATAGTGAACTTAAATTGTCAATTTTTAATCAGTTGGGTGAAAATGGATTTAAAGCGGCTTAAAAATTAATGTAAGTTGTGTTATGAAAAAAAAAATTCGACTTAAATTGTCAATTTTTAAGCCACTCTACACCCATGAATCCAAAAGAAATTAAATATTTGAAGTATTTTTTATTCAAGGAAAAAAATAATTGAATTCTAAAATATCTAATGGTCGGATTTCCAATGAACACATTGCATAGATATATAGAGAATTATTTATAAATAAAAAATAACAATTAATAATAAAAACAAAAATATTAAATGTATTATTATTATTATTTTACACATATAAATTAAAATTGAAGATAAAGATGTGTGAGTGGGTGGTGTGGTGTGGTTGACCGTTTATATTATATAACTTCGAAGTTTAGCTTTGAATACTAAAACATAAATATATTTATTTAAAAGTGATTGGCATGACATATTGAACAAGCCTTTAGTTTATTTACAGAGTATTAATTATTTTGAATTACCAGCTAATATTGCCATATCACTACCATTTATAATATTTTTACTATAACCAGATGTTGAACATTTAATCATTGCATTACCTAATTCTTTTAATGAAATAAAACCATTCGAGGAAATTGATCTACCAATTGGATACAACCAACCAATGTATTTATAGATCTTGTAACTATTTCTTAGACCAGGCATTGGATGAACCCAACCAGGTCTGAATGCAAATGTTTTATTGAAATTCGATGCGAATATATGATTCTCTGCCTTTGCCTTTACTTGTGCCCAATTACTCCAACTCTTTTCATCGGTTCCAGCACCAGTTACGTAGATGAATGTTAAATCATTGTCTTGTTTCGATTTGATATTGTTGATACTGGCAACTGTATTCAACATCTCCATTGGCATCTCATAGGATATTCTATGATATGTCTCTTTATCCACACCAACTGAACTAGTACCAGCACAGAAATAAACAGAATCATAACCTTTCAACTGATCTTTGATATCGGTTAGATTAGTGAAGTCGGCATGTATTATTTCCCTTATCTTCTCATGTTTAAGTCCGGAGGGTTTTCTATTTATCAATAGAATCTTTTCTACACTATCGGATTCAATACAACACTGCACAACACCCTCACCAATCATACCAGATTGACCTGTAATAATTGCATTTATCTTTTTTACTTCATTACCACTACCACTAGCACTACTATTACCACTTGCTAAACTCTCCATTATTAAATGGTTATTATTATTATTAAATAAAAAAAGAAATAAAAAATAAGATATAAATAAATTTAATACTATAAATTTCTTTTTGTAAATAAATGAACAATTCATATCAATAATATTTATAACAAAAATGAATTCATCTTGATTAAGTATTTGTTAAATTTTCAAAAAATTAAAAAAATAGAACGTCATTCATGCATGTGGTATAAATTAGGTGTATGTGAATCCTAAAAAAAATCTATTGACTCAACACCAAAAATCAAAAAATAAAATAATATTTGTTTTTACCAAATTACGTAATAAACAAACAAACAAACAAACAAACAAGGTTTTTATTTGTGTTGGCAGTTGTAACCTATCACCAATTACTCTAAGAGATTACTTAAAAAAACATATGTTTTAATTAGATTTAACATATATTCTAAATTTTTAAATTTATTTAATTTTTAGATTAAATTAAATTGATTTATTAAAATTCTATTAAACAAGATCCACAAATATTATCATATTCTACGTCGACCAATGGATCCCATCCTTTAGCAAATGTATATCTAAAATGTCTAAAAGTGTTGGGTCGGACTTGAAATGAACACATTGCATAGATATAGCTCTCGCTTTCTGATACCTCGTGATAGATCAGATTGAACATATTGGTTTCTAACTGAAAACGTGTAAGAAACTGACTTGCTTTTGAGCCATGTTTTCTGTATAAATATCCACCTTGTAAATAATATATATATCCAACGCTATTTGTACCTATGCTGACTTCTGTATTCTTAAAATCGAGTGATTGAGAATATTTCCTGCCTACACCAGTCTTTGGTGATACACTAAAAGTATTATCTTTGTCACCTATTGTAATAAAAATAAGCTCTTCACGGTCAAAGTATGAGATTATTGTATTCGTAAATGGATGGAGAATTGAATACTCAAACTGTTCTTTATTGATGTCGAATCGAATTACTCTTTCACCAGAGTGAGATGTTTTTCCACTGACCAAATAGATGAATGATTTGCCATCATAAACAGCAATTAGTTCGTTATTGCAATCGAGATCTATATCTCCATAAATGATTGCTCTGGATCGAATCGAGAATACACAATACTTTTTTGGATTGCGACCTCCAAATATGTAAACATATTCACCAACTCTAACTGTAGATTTTGATGTTCCATCAAATTTGTAATCCTCATCCTTGAATGCCTCCAACTGATTATTTGATAAGTCGAGAAGTGTTATCTCACCACTTGCATAGGTAGAGAATAGATATGTTGTTGGTTGTCTAATTGTATAAAGTTGTTCATCCAATTTCAATTGAATAGATTGTTTTAAAAAATCAACTAATTTGATTTTATAATCTGGGTCAATTGAAATACTGTGATTAAATAATGACGATGTTGTTGTTGATTTAAAACTATTAAGATATTTAGATAATAAATATAATAGTTTTTCATCTGAATTGTTATTACTATTACCAATATCTAAAGATTTGTGATTCTCAACTATATACTCTGTCAATGATTCTGTTTGTTCTATTAATTCGATCTGACTATCAGTGTTGATTACTGAAGAGATATTATCATCGGAAACTATGTCTGTATTTCTATCATTATTCTCTGATAGACTAATATTACTACTACTATTAATATTGTTTTGATTATTACAGAATTTGATTATTCCTGATAAATGGTTTAATTCTTTGATACTATCTTGAAGTTGGTTGTGAATAGCATCCTTATCATTGACTACAGCTGATTTCAATCTATATTCTTCTGACATCAAGAAATCATAGATCTCTTGGAAATGACTAGTTATCTGATTCTCTATTGCTTCTAAAGATTTGATATCTGATACTGATTGTTTAATGTTTGACCATAAGTCATTAATTCTATTTATAATAAAGTTTGTATTGGCTTCATCATCATCACTATTATTATTACTATTGTTAATATCAGTGGATATAGGGTCTGTGCAATTATCATGATCATTATTATTATTATTATTTAATAACTGGTTGAATGATTGTTTGATATCAGTGATATAATCACATTTATCGATATGATCTTTGAATGTTTTGCAGTGATTTAACAGACATCTTTTGCACATCAACTTATTACATTCATAACAAATGCATTCAAATGTCTTATTTTTATTGTCACAGCAATTTTCAATATCTATATCTGTCATCATTATAACCTGTGGTATACAGTTTATTGATGTTTTGTATTAAAGACAAAGAAAAAATTTACTAAAAAACATTTATATGTTGAAAAAAAAAAAAAAAGGTAGTCCTTTTTAGAAGTTCGAAATCATGTAAAATTAATATTTAATTTTGAAAATGATATAGTTTTATTTATAATTGGATCAATACCTTCACTCAACGACAACTTACAACGTATGAAGAGTAGGGTAAAGATAAAGAAAAGAAAGAACTAATAGACTAGAAAATAAGAAAAGTAAACTTTAATTATTTTCAGTATTTTTAATTGAGAAAAAAGGGTTTCAAAAAAATGAGGTCTTTAGTAATTTACAAAATGATTTTGAAATTATAAAGTTTATTAACCAATAAATAAATTATAAGATTATTCAAAATTTAACTATGGCTGATCCACAGATTTGATCATTATTTACATCGACCAATGGATCCCAACAATCTTTACTAATTGAATATCTATAATGTCTGGAAGTTGGGTCGGATTTCAAATGAACACATTGCATAATATAGCTCTCTTCTTCTGATACCTTGTGATGGACCAGATTGAACTTATCAGTTTTCAATAGAAATTGTTTTGGTTCGAGTTGAGAATCTACAATACTTTTTTGTATCAAATATATATACATTTTCACCAATACAAACTGTAGATTGTGAGGTTCCTTCAAATTTGTAATCAATATTCTTGATTCTCTCCAACTGATTATTTGATAAGTCGAGAAGTGTTATCTCACCATTCGAGTAGGTAGAGAATAGATATGTTGTTGGTTGTCTAATTGTATAAAGTTGTTCATCCAATTTCAATTGAATAGACTGTTTTACAAAATCAACTAATTTGATTTTATAATCTGGGTCAATTGTAATACTGTTATTAAATAATGAAGCTGAGGTTGTTGAAGTTGATTTTATATCTTAAAGGTATTTCGATACTAAATATAATAGTTTTCATCTGAATTGTTATACTGTCGTAAATAATATCTAAAGATTTGATATTCTCTATATACTCTTTTAATGATTGATATTTTTCTATTTTTCGATCTGAGTGTTAGTGTTGTTAACTAGAATATCCTCTGAACCCAAGTCTTTATCATTATCAAATTCAATAATGATCAAAACAATAGTAACAGTAATAGTAATGTTAATATTAATGATCAATCAGATAATAATTGTAGAAATTCCTGATAAATCTATAACATTATTAGAAGAATAATAAAGGATTAAGGTATTACTTTCTGAAATAATACAAAAAAAAAACTTTTTAGACTCTTCTTCATATTCAAAATGTAAAGGTTTTTTTCTGATTTTACATAAACAATGATATTGTTTTTTTTAGAAAAGTAATTTAACTGATGAAACGAAAATAAAACAAGAAGAGTATAGTATAAAGAAAGGTTATTCTTTAAAGGAGTTCCCAATTATAGAACAACTAATATTCTATCAGTTAGTTGAAAGTGGTAGATTCAAATTCAATCTTTACTCGATTTAATTTAATATGAAACCAGATACTTGGACAAACAATCTTAAGCTCTAGATTCCCAGATTTTTTTGAATTCTAATAAATAATTTTGTTTAACTAATTTTAGTAAATTCGACAACTGTACAAGACATCTCACTTGTCATCAATATTCCAAAACACATAATATTGTTTTTACTTAAGATGAATACTAAACTAAATTTGATATACAAACAACCTGTAAGGACCTTAATGTTAAACCTTTAATTGGTTTCAAAAAAAAAAAAAAAAAAATGATATAAAACAAAAAATGGGTATAAATTAAATTTTTTTAAAGTCAAAAAAAAAAGAGATAAATTTGTAATATGCCACAATTTTTTTATTTTTGGTTTTTTTGTGAAGTCCGCCCACCACACAAATTCTTAACCACATTAATTTTTTAAAAAAAATCGTGGCATATTACAAATTTATCTGTAGTTGAGATAGGAAATTAAATTACTTAATAAAATTAAAAACTAATTAAATTAATTATAAAATAAGCCCAGAGTAGTTCAATGAACATAAATAAATTAATAAAATTTAATACCCTTTTCTGTCATTAACTGAAGATAAAAGTCAGATTTTCTAATCAACTACTTTGTTTTTTTTTTCAAAATCAAATGTTCTATCAATTTACAAATTTAACTTCACCCGATACATATCAAGAGAAAACTGTCCACCTGATTTTAGATAAAAATACCCATTAATAACTTACAAAAATTCATTTATAGAAATGGTTAGATTACAAAAAAAATCCTATCGAATATATTCCTAAGTAACTTTCAAACCATTGAACTACCAAAGGTGGTGGAGGTATTTGTTATTGATTGATGTGAAGCTTCAGCTGAAATAATCCAATCTTCGGGTTGTTGTGATGATGTTCCTTCCATTTCATATTCATACTCCTCTTCATAATTTGGATCATGAACATCCATTTCAACTTGATCATTATTATTATTGTCATTATTATTATTTTTATTGTTGCTATTATTGTTGTTATTGTTATTATTATTGTTGTTGTTATCATCGTCATCATCATCATCACCACAATCACCACTACCACCACTACTAACATTTGTTATTCTTGCTGAACTTTGTTTTTTAGTAATCTTACCTCCACTTGTTCGAATACCAGATATAGTTGTAGTGGTTGAAGTAGTTGTTTTTGGTTTCATGAACTTCTCCACCATCACTAGTGCTATAGTGATGTGTAATAGTTTCACCACTACCACTCATAGCCAAGTCAGAATGAAGGATGCTTTGAAGTGGGGAATCAATTTTTGGGAAGTAATAGTTTTTAGTGTAGTGGTAGTCTTTGAATCACTTCCACTCTTTTTCTTTCCTTTATGTTACACGAGTTCCGAACCCTTTTTAATGTTATTGTATGATTTTGTTTTTATGTGTTAATTAGTCACGATTAATGATGAGTCCACAAACCAAATTCAATTCATATTAAATCAAAATTCAGATTTCAAAATAAACCTCCAAACTAAAATTTTAATGTTACTGTGTAATGATGAACAACAACAACACATTCACACAATACTCAAAAATAGATCCATTTCAAATCTACACTAATAACTTCAAAAAAATATATGTTTTGTTGATATGTTAAAAGTCAATTAAAGCAAGTGAGAAAAACAAAAAAAAACCGACATAGCGAACCACTTGCTGTTCACACATTTTGCATAAAAAAAAGTTTGTGGCGACTGCAGAAAACTATTTTCGCTATGTCTGGTCAGGTGTGGGGTTTTAAATGATTTTTAACATATACTAACAAATAAATAAATAAAAATGGGCGAATTTTGTTTGCTTCATCCATAATGGGCAAAAAAACACTGATGTTTGAAGTTAAACTCAAATTGGTAGACCATTTTAATATGAGAACAATTAGGTCCGTTTTCTCTTGCTGTTGAAAGAAATTTAATTTCAACTTTCCTTGTGGACAATTTACAAAAATAAATCATTAGATTTTTGATTTTATTTTATTTTAAATTAAAAATGTTTTTGAAAATTGATTATAAATTGAGACACTTAATTAATTTTTAAATTTTAAAATATAAAATTATTTTATTCTAATTATTATTAAATGGATCAAGATATAAATACAAAACTAAATCAATTTATTGCAAAGCAAAGTGAACAACTTAAACAATTGTTCCCAGATTTCAAAGGTTTTTCAGAGGAAGAAACCAAAACGTTAGAAGATTCATTCAAGAAATCTTATGATAATCCAGAAATTGAATCTATCTTTGATGATTGGCCACTCATTGATATGGCATTAATCCTTGGAAATGTATTTTCATTTATTCCAGGTGGAGGTCCATTCGGTGCTGCTTTCAACATTCTATTTGGCGCTTTAGGTTTATTCAGCAAAGGTCAAGATATGTAAGTATTTAAATATATAAATTGAATTTTGTAAAAATATTAATAGATTTCAATAAATTTTATACATTTAGAATGAAACAAATAATGGAGGCAGTCGAAAAGTTGGTTAATCAAAGGATTGGTGAATTTGCTAGAAATCAAGCTCTATTAAGATTCCAAGCATTACAAACCACTGGTGATAGATACTTTAGATTATCGCAACAATGGTATGATAATAACTCTGTTCAAACAACACTCGATCCATCAAAGAAAGTAATTTTTGAAGATGATGGATTCAATATGCCATTGAGTGCTCTTGAAATGGTATATTTTGATTATGTAAGAGATCTTGAAACTGCTTTAGTCTTCTTTGGTGGAGATGAATATCTTGTAAGTTCAAATTATTTTGATTTTGTATTTGTTTTCAAAAACAATTATATTAATTTAATTATTAAACAGGCATATACAATTCCTTTTTACTACCTAACTGGTGGACTCTACATTTCACTTCAAAGAGATGTTATCTTTAAAGGAAAAGAAATGGGTTTTGATCCAAGCTATATCGATGGTACTCCCAATACCAAATCATTAAAGGTCCTTTTGCATGAGAAAATTGAGGAAATGATGTCAATTTCTCTCAAAGGTGTTTATCCATTTCAAGAATTGAAGGGTTGGGGAGGACATTTTAATTTTCCACCGTATGTATTCTAATACTTCTTTTCAAGATGAAAATTATTTGAGTATTAATCAATCTTATTTCGTATAGATATTTCGATACAGCAATGGGATTTATTAATGGAGATCTTGTTGTTTATCCAAATGGTGTAACTGTCTTACATCCAAATTCTAATCATGAAATTGAGTTCCCAGATGCCAAAGGTGTTTACAAGTTTGGAGGATTTCCTGATCAGTTTAGATACGGTTCAGTCTACCATCCTAATAGATCACTGAGATCAGGAGTTTGGGGTTTATCCTGTAGTATTAATATATTAGGGGATATCTCAATTTCCTATAAACTAAATTGTAAAACCAGCCATTCAAGAAGGTTCAAAATTCGAGTATACCATATGATTAAAGGTAAAGCAAGTTTTTCATTAATCAATTCAAATGGTGGTCAAGGAGAACAACTAATGGAATGGACAACACCTTCTACCAGAGCTAATCTCTACCAGTACATGGCAGGAGAAAATGAAGGTTACAATGAATCCCAAGTATTTAATGTTCCAAACTTCAAAAACATGATAATTCGACTTAATCGTAAACAAAATGTCGGATATACAAATTTGTCTTTTTTTGGAGGAATTGAATTCATTGATGAATAGACAATCTGCTATATATTCGTGAAGAATTTCAATTTTATATACATGGTTAACCATTATTTCAGCTTAATTTTAAAAAATATTAATAAAAATCAAATCTTTATCATTCTTAATAAAAATTACATGAAATAAATTGATCTCTATTCTGAATATTTAGAATATATTCAAATCTAGGTTTAGAATTTCAATAGATATACAATTTATGTGTTAAAAAAAAAAAAAACTCACTAAAAATTAATAAAGGCCATTTTTTTTCCTCTAGAAAAAAACCAAGTTGATAACTATGTTTACTTCATATATGATCTACAACATAGAGAATAAGTTTCGACCATCTTAATTTTTAAAAATAAAATATGATAAAGACAAAGTGTCACATTTTTAAAATCCATCGAGAGATGGTCGAAACTTATTCTCTATGACCTAGATATCAGTTATGTAAAGATGATTATCAAATAGATTTTGATCTAGGTCAAAAAAAAAAGACCAGTTTTGTGTCCCTAAATGCGGACATGCGAAAATAACCATCAATATTGTAACATATATTTATAATATCAAATTATACTCTAAATATATAACTAATAGTTTAAATTATGCCAAATAACAACCGTATTAACGTTATATAGTTTAAATTTATATATATATAATATTTATATACCTAACTTTTATTTGTTTTATTACTGTTGTTATTTACATGATTATACATGTATTTTTCTTAATTGGTGGATGTACAACCGAGCGAACTGCTTCATCAAAAACATTTTTTAAACCTTCTTGAGTTAGAGCTGAACATTCCATATATTTATGTGCACGTATTTCCTTCAATTTAGCTAGACCCTGTTGATAAGTGATAGGTACCACGCCCTTTTCTTTCAAACAGTCAAGCACTTCTGTATCATCTCTAGTATCTATTTTCGTTCCAACCAATATGATTGGTACTTTTGGTGCATGACGCTTAAGTTCTTTGATCCACTTGGTAGAAACACTCTCAAATGTTGGAGGTGATATCGTTGAGAAACAAACCAAGAATACAGCTGTACCAGGATAACACAAGGGTCTTAGACGATCATACGTTTCGTTACCAGTGTATATAGTATCCCACAAATCGAAATGATACGGACGGCCATCAACAATAGTATTTGTAAAGTATTGAAAATCTTGATGTGTTAAGTCTTCACCTGTAGGGAAGAAGTTATTTGTATAAGCACTAAGTATTGATGTCTTTCCCACACTTTTATCACCAATAACGACACATTTTACTGATATCATTTCTTAATTAATAAATAACAATAAACTAATAAATTAAATCATTCTTTTTCTCTTTGTGCTAATAGAGAAACAACTAACTAAATTAAATAATAGTAATAAATCTAAAAATGGGTTTTTGTGATTAAATTGGTGAAATAAATTTTAAAAAATTTATTCCTTGAAAATTAAATTGAACTTTCCAACTTTTTTTTTGTTTTTTTTTTTGATCACATTATAACTTTACAACTTTAAAGATATATTACATATTTGTTATTTGTTAAAATTATTTAAACGTGTAGATCATTGAGACGTGATCTGTCAATCCTTCCGTTAAATAATATTCCATTGTATTCTATAATATATATTTATATACATTTAAATAACAATAAGAGTAATTAATTAGTAAAATGAGTACTCTATTTTAATTCTATAAAAAGAATCTAAAGCTTGGCAACAATGCGACCTTCATGCGCATTCATGTACGTTTATTCTTTCTTAAATCAAATTACGTTAGTAATAAGATCTTAAAAAAACCATATGAACTCTTTATCATGAGCACTGTATCAGATCCCTTCTTCCTTGAGATTCTTTTTATAGAGTACTCCTTTAAATAGTTGATATAAAAATATCACTGTCGATTGCTCTGCAATAACGCGTAAATTTAAATCTGATTGGAATCTAAATATGAATAGGACCGTCGAACTTGATGCACGAGTGCTTCCAATTGCGAAGTCTATAGTTACAGTACTTGTGGTATATATGTTTGATAAAGGAAAGGAACTGCTGTGAAACTACATTCCTGCATTTGAATAAGAAGTGCTCATGTGGGTTGCAGAGTTCAGTGAAGGTATCACTACAGAACTCACAGACATGACCAGTGCGCGAAAAGCCTCAACCCTATCACTGGTCGACTAGTTTGTAACATAAATATCACTTTTTCAAAATTCAATTTTAAAAACTCGACTATTCAAAAAAACCAACAATCAATTTTACTATTCAAAGTTCTTACACTAACTCTGAATAGGTATGATTAATTTATATTTAATAAACATTCAAAAGTTCTTACACTAACTCTGAATAGACTTTAGTCGTTTATTTATTTGAGTTGATTAATTAATAAATATATAATCAACTACCTACTTTTTTTTTTTTTTTTTTTTTTGCAAAAAAAAGATTTGTTAATTACTATAATTGTCATCATTATTAATATAATTTAATAACTGGTAGAATGATTCTTTCATATCATTGATATAGTCCCATTTATTGGTATGATATGTTAATGTTTTGAAATGATTTAATACACAACTTTTACACATCAATTTGTTACATTCAAAACAAATCCATTCAAAGATGAATCTTGATTATTACAACAACTTTTAATATCTTTACAATTCATTATAACTAGTTTACATCTACTTCTTTCGCACCAGTATATAAATTAAATTATAGAAAAAATTAAAGTATTTATAGTAAAAAAAAAGTAATATACAACCTTTTAAAGTTGTATTATTATCTCAATTTGAATTATTATTATTATTAAAAGATTGTTTGCTGAGTCATTTTTATTGATATGATCCTTGAATTCTTAACAATGATTTATTACATTCATAACAAATATATTCAAAAATGCTACAATTTTGTTTAATACCAATATCTTTCTTTATATTTTTTATTTGTTAACTGATATACTAATTTTTGAAGACAATGAAAAAAACAAAAATATTTTTTAACTTCTATTCAATTATTTTTTTCAAATCTTTTATTCTATTAAAAACACATATTAAATCAAAAAAGGAAAGAATAATCTTGTTTCCTAAAAGATTCTGGCAACCTATTGAAAATTTAAGTTCAAAAATAAATTTTTTTAAGTCTTTGCTACATGTAGAGGATAATGACCCTTTCAGCTATTTCTAGTTATTTTTTATTTAAAAATAATGGTTTGAAAAAAATTGCTTATAAAAAATAAGAATTTGATTGAATAACTTGGGAGATTTTAAAAATCCTATCTTATCTTTGGGTAAATCTAAATTTTATGTTTGTGATGTAAATTTATTTATTTTTGATGCTAAACATAGTAAACGAAACCTCCTTTAAAATCAAAAACACTTTTTGATGAAAAAACATAAACATGTTTCAGATTTAATAAAAAATTAATTATGCTTATCCATAAATAAAAAATAATTGTATAAATAAAAATAATGAATAAAGAAAGTATTCTTCTTTATAATTTAGAAATATAAATTATCTAGATAATAAATTATAATGAAATTCAATATTAGTATAATTACTTTTGTATTGGTTTTTTCAATAAACATTGTCAGTGGACAATTGGGTGGTAGCTGGGACATGTGTGCTTCTTGTAGATCCAATGATAAATGCTATATCGATACTTGTAATTTGGCAACTAGTTGCACTCATACTAAAATACAATGTAATTCCAATAACAAGTGTATAGTAGATGGATGTCATCCAACTCTGGGCTGTAATGCAACTCCCAGGAACTGTGATGATCAAAATCAGAATACCTACGATTTCTGTGATCAACTAGCTGGCTGTGTGAACTCTCCAATTATTTATGGATCTTTTCCACCCAACCAATGTCTAATTCCATTCACTGATGCCAACGGACAAGCTGCTGTTTATATGAATCCGTGTTTTGACAACAATCCATGTACAAACGACTCTTGTAATTCTACAGCTGGTGGTCTTTGTGTAAATACTCCAATCTTGTGTAATGACAACAATCCATGTACCGTCGACCAATGTTCTACGAAAAACGGCACCTGCCAATTCACTCCAAAGTCATGTGATGATAACAATCAATGTACATCCGACTCTTGTAACTCTGCCAATGGCCAATGTATCCATACTCCAGTAAGTTGCGATGACAACAACCCAAAGACAGTAGATCAATGTGTACCATCGATCGGGTGCATATACCATCCACAAACTTCCTGTAACGACAACAACTATTGTACAACCGAAACATTCAACTCCACAACAGGTCAATGTCAATACACTCCAGTTGTTTGTGAACCATCAGGTATCTTTTGTCAAGAATCCTTTTGTAACCCTGTTTTTGGATGCATGAGTAGACAACCTAACTGTGATGATGGTAACCCTTGTACCTATGATTATTGTAGTTCTTCATCACAATCATGTGTTCATTCCCCATACACTTGTTACGACGGTAATCGTTGTACTTTCGACCAATGCAATCCTCTCACCGGACAATGCATCAACACTCCAATTGAAAATTGTTTCTAATAAAAAGCAACAAAAAAAATCAATAAAATTATAACTTTGTTTTCTTTAAATGATTGATTAATTTTTTTGATCTTTTCTAGGTTGTTTTGAAACACATTTTATTTGAATTTTATTGCATAAAATCAAAATTTGTTTTGGGAGAAAGGAGGATCAAGTTTGTTTTAATGTTGCGCAGTAACAAGCAAAAACACCCTATCAAATAGTTGATAAAAAAATCACAATCCAAAGACCAAGATAAAAATATTGATAGAAAACAATTGGTAATAAAATATTTGATTTTATATTTTTGTAAAATTTTATTTTTTAACCTTTGGTTTGTTATAAAGTACTTCACAGTAACACAAAACAATGTATCTGACAACCACCAACAACCACCTCAAAAAATTGTTTACAATAAAACAATATACTTAATATAAAACAAACAAAATAAACAAATTTTTTTTTTTTTTCCAAACATAAACATTTAGGCGCCACAATTAATTGAAACTCAAAGCACTGATCAAATAAATATATTAATTACAATTATTATTTTTTGTTAATTATTTTTTTTTTTTTTTACAGTAAAATATATATAATATATTATTTATATATAAATATATTGTTATTATTTTTTGAAGTTTTATTATTTTGATATAACTGGTCTATTGAAAAATAGTTTATAGAGAATGTGATTATTATACAAACTTGGAATCGCAGCAGAATAGTTGTTGTTGTTGTTGTTGTTATTGTTATTGTTTTTAGGGTGTGTTCTTTTTGAATCTATAGATCGTTCAATGATTTTTTCTCGTCTGGCTGTGTAAAATTAAGGTACGCATCTTTTTCTATAAAATTGGGATCTATTTGTTTTGTTTTGTTAATGAGTTGTTGGGTAGGGGGACGAGAGGTGAAGGGTATTCTTATTAATATTGGATTCCAGTGTTACGTGTGTTTGTGAGAATAGTAGGTAGGTAAGGTAGGTAGGTTTGTTTGTTTTTTGAGAAAGCAAAGAGGAGCTCCTTCTTGATGATTGAGAGTCAATCAATTGATTGGTTGATCTTGAAACATACCGTCATTAAATAAATAGTTGATGTCATCAGGTGGTTGGTGTTGGTTGAGCATGTAGCTGCCGGCGTTGAGAGAGCCGGATTGTCCATTGGCCGATGGCGACGAAATGTGATACTTGTTGGGACGGATGCGTGGCGACGATCCATTGCTCTGTGAGTGTAGATCGCCACTCAGCGAGCCTGTGGTATCAAAGGTGGAGTTGAACTCAAAGGACGACAGTGACTGGGCATTGACCATCGGTGAGAAAGAATATTGATTGGTTGATGTTTGTGATTGTGGTGATTCCGGCAGTTGTGTTTGGCCGCTCATTTGTTGGCCTGGACTGTTGGTGAGATTGGCTTGACTGAATGTTCGATTACTATTGCTATTTAAATTGCCACTTGGACTTCCATTTACATTAATATTAAGTGAACCACTCAGTGATGACTCTGATGTTTGTGAAATCAATTGATTATTGCTATTATTGTTATTGTTGTTTGGACTGTTTGATGGTCCTTTGTTGTTGTTTGGATCGACATTACTGTTGGAACTATTACTACTGTTGTTATTGTTGTTGTTTGTGGTTGTTGTTGAAGATGGACTGTTACTCTTGGGTGGTGGTTGTTGTGGTGGTTGCATGCTGATGCCAGTGCTTCCTGACAGTCCAGTGTTGGGTGGAGATTGTAGTGGTGACTGAGGTGGTTGTGATGGTGTAAATGGAGAGTGTTGTTCAACGACAGTGGGTGATGCCATTTCTTGTGAGGGTGATGGTTGTGTTATCTGTGGCGATGAAGTTCCACTCTTGCTATTCATTCTCTTTAGCTGTGACTTTGAGGTGGTGGTGGAAGAGGAGGTCGATGATGCTGCCGCTGCTGCAGTGATGTTACTCTCGCCACCGTCTGTAATCGATGCTTTACGCTTCTTTGTTGCCTTTGGCTTGGTCTCTGCCGATACTCCATTCTCGTCAAAGTTGGTGGTCGATCCCTTTCTGTTGGAACGCGACTTTGACTTGGACGACGAGGTGGAGGTTGTAGTGGCTGCGGCGGCGACAGGCGGTGTCGGATTCAGGACGGCAGGAGTGTTTTGTGTAGGCAATCCCATGAGATGAGCGGGTGGATTCTGTTGTGTTGGTGCAGGTGGTGGTTGTACATTCATTTGGTGTGGAATCATTGGTTGTCCCATCTGATGCATTGGCGAGTGTCCGACCGCCATTGGCGGTGGATAGTAACCCATTTGGAATTGTCCGGATTGAGGGAATGGCATCATTGTGACCGGTGGTGGATAGTAACCCATCTGCATGTATTTACCCATTGGATTCTGTGCGTAGATGTGTTGTCCGACGGCGCCTGGTGGTGGCTGTGGTGGTTCGGGTCCGATGCCTCTTCTTGCATTGGCGGCATGCACGCCGACTGGCGCGACATGTGCAGGTGGTGGCTGCTGTTGTTGTTGCTGTTGTACAAGATGTTCCTGTGAGTTTTGTTTCTTCTTTGGCGATTGAATTGTTTTGTTTTGTTGATGTAGCTTTGAACCTGCTGAATTCTTGTCGCTCTCTTGTTCAGCAATGGATTTGTTGTTGGGATGATTCTGTGGCGACGCCGATTGTTGTGGCGGTGTTGCGATCGATTGAGGTGGAGGAGTTGGTCCTGACGAAGAAATACCGGTTGGTGAAATTGTATTAGACTGTTGTTGTTGGTTACTGTTGGTTGGCGAAGTTGTTGGTGGTTGTCCTATGGGTTGTTTTCCATGGAGACCGGTCGGTGTGAGTGCCTGTGGTTGCTGTGTCTGAGAAGATGTTAACTGAATACCCAATGGATTATTTGGCTGTGCAATGGTGTAGTATTGTGAGGGTGGTTGCTGTTGTTGTGGTGTCTGTTGTTGTTGCTGTTGGTGTGGCGAAGGTAGTGATTGTGGTGCCCTGCTGCCTGGTGGTGGCGGTGCCGACTTCATATCGACTGCCATCGGGTAGATTGCCGAGGAGTAGACGTTGACGGGCGATCCGATGCCAGCGCCAGTGTGTTGAGGCTGTAGATGTAAATGCGGTTGTGAAAGGTGTGAGGGGAAGGGTGCGCCAGCAGCTGGCGACGGCGACGACTGTGGCGCGCCTGAGCCGTTCGGGGCTTGCGGGATCTGAGGAGAATGAGGTGGCTGTTGCTGGTGAAGCATTGGGTTCTGTTGTACATTTGCCTGTGCATTACCTACGAGTGGTTGTGAATAGTGGGGATATCCCTGTGGTGGTGATGCTAGGGATGGATGAAAATACATTGCTTGTGGAGGGTGCTGCACAGCACCGGGATGTCCGGGTGGCAACTGCTGTTGCTGAGGATGTGGAGGGTATGGAGGTGGTTGTTGTGGATGTCCATGTGGTGGTTGTTGTTGTTGTTGATGCTGTTGCTGTTGTTGTTGTAGATGCTGTTGATGTTGTTGTTGTTGCTGCTGATGATGGTGTTGCTGCTGTTGCTGTTGTTGCTGTTGGTGTAGCTGCAACTGTGCATTGCGATGATTGTTCACAATCTCTGAAAAAAGCTTTGTATTCTCATCCTGTATATTCTGTTGCTGGGAGGTGTAGGTGTGCCAGAATACACACCACCACTCAAAGAGAAAACCATCTTTCGTATCTATAACATCGATGTCGGAAATCTTTACCTCTGACTTGAATGTCTCTTTACTGTTATTGAAATTTGATTTGTTTAAATAATCGAATATATATGCATGTAATCTGTTGGTACAATTGTATTGCTTGTTAGAACTTGATTGATTGCATTCTCCAATGAAACTAAACTAAACCTAACTACACTTACATTTGTGAATCCAAATCTGATCGTGACATTTCGAAAACAAAAAAAAAAATATAAAAGGATTGTTTTTTTTTTTTTTTTTTTTATAACTAACCTCCTAGGATTGAGGTTTGAAATCTAAATATTAATAATATTGAATTTAATATAAAAAAAAAGGTAAGTATATAAATATTAAATTATACACTTTTTATCTTAATAAAAGCTACTATTGTACAACAAAATTAATTATTTAATGTTTTTTTTAAAAAACTAAAAATAAAAATTAACAAACAAATAAATAAAAACTAATAATAAAAAAAGATTTAAAACCCAAACACGATACAACAAAATTAAAGGAGGACTTTGTTTTTTTTTTTCTCTTTTCCCTTGTGGTTTTTTTTTTTTTTTTTATGATTAAATTTTATAATCTGAGAAAAGATGGTCAAAAAAAAAAAAAAAAAAAAGTTAAAATTTTTTTTGGGAGGACAAGGGAAAGAAAAAGGGTAGCGATTTAAAGTTACCCTTTTTTTGACATGTCACGCGCTGTTTGTGTCTTGTTTGTGAAAGTGTTTATATTTAAAAAAAAAAATGACACCAATATAATACGATGTTGCCAACAAAAAACTGACGTATATGTTGACACTATTGTGATGTGATCGATCAATTACAACAATGACTGATTGATTTGTTTCGATGATATGATATGTATAATATGTCAATGAAATTGAATGGCTGTTACAATCGTCAAATTTGAATAAGTAAGATGTTACTGTTGATATGAAATTGATTTAATTTGCTATGTATTATCTGCTGCTGCTGCTGTTGTTGTTATTGTTGTTGTTGTTGTTGTATTTGATTTCTAAACATATCACTATAATTGCTGACATTTATGATTATAATTGCTGTGCTGTCAACTGTCATTAAACTTGAATTTTCAAATTTGAATAGAATCGATATTGAATTGAATCGAATTGAAACTGTTGATTGAAATTGAATTGAATTGAATCGAATCGAATTGACTGTATTTGAATTTGAATGTACAACAATATTAAATTATATTTTTAAAACATTTACCTAAAATTGGAATTATAAAAATTTTTAACAAACAAATATTAAAATCTAACTATATTTCCGTTAACTTTTTGTTTTTTAAAAGTAATAGTAGTATTATTAGTATTAGTTGATCAAGTTATTTATTTATTATATTGTTGTTGTTATTGTTGGTCTGTTGTTGTTTGTTTGGTTGCAATTATATTATAATGCTTAAAACTATTCATAAACAATAAAATAAAGTAGTAATAACTTAATGATGATGATGATGTGATGGTATGATGATACTAAATGTTGTGTATGATATGTATGTATGGACTATGACAATATAAGTTATGAATTATTATTATCTTCTTTTTGTTTTTTAATTTAAATTACTTTTTTCCTTTCTTGACAAAAAAAAAAAATAAAATTATTTGTTTAGTAGTGATTTGTTATCGATGCGCGCTCGTCCTAAATGAAATTTATTCAAATTCTAATATCTATATTAGAGATGCTGTTGTATTGTTTTAAATGTTATTGTTATTGTTGTTTCTACTTGTAATGACTGATTGATTTGATTTGATTTTTAATTTTTAAACTTATTGACTGTTTGATTGATTGATTGATTAGCTGATTTGATTTTGATTTGATTTGATTTAGTTTAGTTTTGTTTGAAATTTATAATCATAAATGTCAAAATCATATTTTTAATGTGTTGCTTGCTTGCTGCTTGTTGTTGTTGTTTTATGATTATTGAATGAATTCACAAACTGTTTGCTTTGCTTTGTTTTGCTTATAAATTTGGATATTCAACAAAGAACTAATTAGAACAAATATAACAGAACAATAATTTACACTACTATTCAATAGTGGCAGTGGTAGTGGTTTATTTAGTGTGTGAAGCAAAGTCAGTGTAGGATATTAATTTGTTTTGTTTTTTTTTTAAATTTTCAAAATTTATAAAATGAATGAAAAGATAAGAGAGTGAGAAACAAACAAAACAAACACATACACAAAAACAATTAATTAAATATAATATTACTGTTTTTTTGTTTTTTTTTTAATATTTATTTAATAATTATTTTGTTTTTAAAAGTAAAGTAATTGAGGTAAAGAAGATTAAAAAAAAACAATTAAAAAATAATAATTAGATTGTGTGTTGTTGTGTTGTGTTGTTGTTTTGTTTTGTTTTGTTTGTGTGTTAGTGGTTACTACCATTTATCAATAAAATATTTAAAAGTATTAAAATAGAAAGATAGATATAATAATATATCTGTTATTATTTTAATTTGTAATATGTTTGTAATATGTTAATCAATTTGAATATATATATTTGAATTTATAAAAATACAAAAATAGATAAATAAATAATTATGTTTGTAAATATTGAACATTACAAATGTAATTTGTATTTGTTTCAACTTTGCTTTTTTTGTAATTATAATATAAATATCTATCTAAGATCTATCTATCTTATCTTATATCTATTTATCTTCTTTAGATCTTATCTACTATCACATCATCATAAAAATTATCATCATATGCCGATTGATCGATTATTTATCGGTATTGACAACCGAATCCTAGTAAAAGACCTGCATATGATAAATGATGACTTTTTTTATTGCTTCTGATTCGATAATAATGTACATACTATAAGAGCTGAGATGATTCATAAGATCAATAGCAAACAGTTAAAGTTTTGGTATTAAGTGTTGGTGATGTTGGTGATGATGATGGTGATTGATTTAAGAACTGTAATAACTTTTACAATGCATGCAATAGTATTTAAAAATAGATTTGTTTTAATTTTTCTGACTTACAGGTTTTGGGATTTTTGATCAAAAAATTTAAAATTTTTTTTTTTTTTTAGATTTAAAGTCAGTAATTGTGACGGTTGGCTTTGAGAATGTGTGGAGTGATTTTGTTATGAATGAATAAATAAATAATTATGTATGTTGAGTGTTGATTTGATATTATTAATAAGAAAGTAGATATTAATACTAATTATTAAATAATAACACTTTTGTCTTAAAGTTTTGGAATATGAAAAAAAAAAAAAAAAACTTCTAAATAAGTTTGTTGTTATTACAAATTAATTTGTGCAAATTCTAGTGACTATGAAGAAGAATATATATTGATTGATCTTGTTGTTTTTATTATTATATATCTAAAAATAAATACTACATTTAAATTGATTATTTAATAATCTTATCATCTAATATGAAAAATTAAAGAAGGAAGCCCGATCCACACTTTAATTTTTGCAGCAAAAGAAAATAAAAAAATTTTAAATTAAAAAAAAACTTTAAAAAATAAAAAATTAATTTAAATAAAATCCAGTTAGGAATTTTCATAGGATCAAAAAAAAAAGTTAACTACTCATATTCGTTATAACTTTCTATTGGTTAGATCTTATCATATCTTATCATATCTTGTAATTGATTTTAAAGAAAATTTACATTTAAATACTATTTTCAAAAAAGATAAAGAAATAAAATTAAAGTGTAGGAAAAAAAAAAAAACTAACAATTTATTCATTCCCTAAAATCAAAGTAAAAAAGTATATGCTAGTAATTTGATATCATTTCAAATATCTAAAGTTATTAAGATTTTAACCTTTACATTATATTACTTTGAAATTAATTTTATATGACAGCTAACTTGGAGAAAAAAAAAAAAAAAAATCAATATTAATTTATATATTTATTTTTTATGTGGGACTTGACACAATAAAATCATGTAGTAACCCAAAGGTTTGAAAGAACTAAATTTTATTTATTTTTATTAACTGATAACATAAACAAAATAATCAATTATTTTATATAACTTATAAATGATTTATTCTCTTGAAAAACATATTTGACTCAAAAAAATTTAACAAATTATATTAATTTTAAAAAATTTCATTTATCTTTCGTTTCGTTTTTCTTTTAAAATTTTTTTTATTTTATGTTAAAAAAACACAAAGAAAAAAAATAAAATAAAATAGAAAAAAAGAAAGTTTTGTTTTATGTTGAATCAAACGCGTTCCCCCCAAATTCTTCAAATATCTTTATTTTTGTGTGACATCAACCAATCAATAAGTTTAGTGTTACTATAACAGTATTATTTAATTTAATTTTAAACATTTAAATTGCTTTAATTTATAATAGATTAAATAATTAATATATAATATATATTTATATATATATCTATAGAAATTTTTATTTATATATATACTTACTTTGTTAGAATATCAATAAGCAACTAGTTAGTTAATTTGTTTGTTTGTTGATATTTTATATTTCTATTTATTTATTTATTTATTTATAAAGTCTACAAACACAGAGAAGAGAGGAGAAGAAAGACAAACAGTTGTTGTTGTTGTTGGAAACCACATTGGAAAAATTTTAGAATAAGAAAAGAAAAGAAAAACGTTGAAGTGAAGTGAAGATAGTAGATATATACAAGTATATCATTGTTGTTCAAAGTTTAATAATATGAGTGGTACAGATGAAGATAAATTCTACAATGAGAGTGACAATAAACACAGAGTGAAAGACTACGAGGAAGACGAACACTCAGAGGACAACGAAGTTGATTTTAGCAATGAAGACGAAGTAGAACACTCTGAAGAAAAAGAAGAAGAAGAAGAAGAAGACAACAATAATAGTAATAATCAGCTGGAAATTGCCGGAAATGAAAATATAGATCAAATTAGTAGTGATCAAATTAGCAATAACAACAATCCGAACCAAATAATAAATCCGGATATTTTGCAAACCAGCAGTGGTTGTGTTGGTGGTGAAAATCAATCATCAACACCAACACAAATTCAATCAAACAACAACAACAACAACAACAACCAAAATAATAATAATGATAACAGTAGCAACAGCAGTAGCAGCAGCAATAACAATGATAACAATGGTGAGGATCCAGATTTGGATGCTCTCACCAATTTAATTATAAACAACATACCGAAACATTTCTCATCTGAAGATCTACGTGATATGTTTGCAAACTTTGGAGAGATCGTCTCTTACAAGGTGGTAACGAAGCGTGGTAACTCCAAGAATATGGGATACGGTTTTGTCAAGTATGCCACTCCCGAGGGTGCAACGGCTGCAATCGAGCAGATGAACGGTCACTCTATCGATCTCAAGTTCCTCAAGGTGAGCTACGCAACGGCTACATCGTCGCAGTCGACACATGCCAATCTCTACGTCAATCGACTGGAGCCACAAGTGACAAAAGAGGATTTGGCCGAGGCATTTTCAAAGTTTGGCGAGGTTGTCGAAACGAAAATTCTTGTCGATCCAAACACTGGATCCAGTCGATGTGTCGGTTTCGTTCATTTTTCAGCACGTCGCAATGCACTCACTGCATTGTCGGCTATGAACGGCGCCAACATACCTTGTCAAACCGGGCCAATATATGTGAAATTCGCAGATCAAAAAGATGAAAATAATAGTTTAAATAATAGTAGTAATAATATAAATAATAATAATAATAATAATAGTAGCAACAATAATAATGGTAATAATAATAATAGTATAAAGAATAAGTTTAATAAAAACAATAATAATAATAATAATAATAATAATAATCAAAATAATAGAAACTATAGAAATAATAATAATAATAATAATAATAGGAATAATAATAATAATCGAAATAATAATAATAATAATAATCAAAATAATTTTAATAATAATAATAATAATGAATTTAATGATAATATGAACAATGGATTCAATAATAATGGCAATGGAAATAATAGCTTCAATAATAATAATAATAATGGTTTCAACAATAATAATAGTGGCAATTTCAATAATCAAAATAACCACCACAATAGCAATTTTATGAACAATCAAAATATGAATAACTTTTCGAATAACAATAGCAATGCTTTTGGAATGTCCTATAATATGGGATACATGGGCAATGTCTATAGAAATACAGGAAATCAATCGAGATACGACCCGATCGGACGAAACTTTTCGTCGATGCAGCAACAAGCAGCAGCACAGCAACAAGCCGCAGCACAGCAATCACCTTATTTTTCATATTATACTCCTCAAATGGCTGCACTACAGTCACAAATGATGAACGGTATCTATCATTTACCTTCTTCTCACTCGATAATAACAACATCATCTTCACCTCATCTATCATCATCATCATCGACATCTACACCCTCATCATCTTCTTCATCATCATCCTATCAATCATCATCATCACCATCACCACAACAATATCACCACCAACTTTTACTCAACAATAATAATAATGGATGGATATAACTAACTCTTTATTATTTATTATTTATTATTATAAAAAAAAAAAACAAACAAACAAAACAATCTACTACTATAATTAATTGTTTATCCCCAAAATTTTTTATTTAATTATCCCTGTCGTCTGTTATGTCTTTTTGGTTGTCCTCACTGTCATATAAAATTGATGTTGATACTCTATTTGTTTTGTTGTGCGTGTGTGTTCGTAATGTTAATCAACAAACCACCCAATCAACAACAATCAAATAGCCTACAACCAATCTTATATTCAACCGAATTTTTCACTGCTGTTTACAGTTCACATTTCCAACTTGCCACTGAACTCGGACGAAGGCTTTCTCTACAAATTGTTTGGACCGTTTGGACCGATCTCCGGTGTCAAGATCATCGATAGTTACAACGCAATCGTCAACTACCTCAATTTCGACGCCGCTCACAATGCCATAGTGGCACTCAACGGAAAGATGTTCAGTGGAAAACAACTCAAGGTATATATAATTATTTCAAAACTTTATTTATTTTAGAATTGAATTTAACTTTAAAATTCATTTATTTATTTAAATTTTATAACTAAACAATATTTTTTCATTTTTCTATTTTTTTTTTCTTTATTTCTTATTTCTTTATTTCTCTTTCTTCATTTTTCCAACATGTATTTATTTATGTAAATAGGTTTACATGCAGAATTAACATACCTAGGCAGCAACTAATAATAATAAAACAAAACAAACAAAACATTATTTAATTAAAACAATAAAAAATCAAAACAAATAAACAACTAAAATAAAATAAAAATTATAAAACATCAATCAAACAACACTAACAATTCCAATCCTATAATTAAAAAAATATAAATCGACTTACTTTATGTTTGGTGTTACTTAAGTAATCATATATATCACATCTAGATGTTATAATTATCAATCTTTCTATTTTTAAAAGGTATGCTCAACACATTTGATAAAAATAATAAAAACCATCAGTATTTAAAAAGATAAATTTAAAACCCCTTAAAATTATTTCCATTGTGAGTGGATTAGTGCCAAAAAAAAAACAGTTAAATGTTTACCAGACTAAATTTAAGACGACACAACAATAAAAATGACCTGGTCGTTGAAGGAACATATCATTCCTTTTTATTTTTAAATTTTTATTTTGAGTTGTTTTGATGTTTTTTTTTTTTCATTTTTATTGTTTTTTTTTTTTTTTTTTTGGTTCCATCTTAATATTGTGTGTAACTAACTATCGATTAATTAATATCATTTTTATTTTTCGTCATCATACAAATTTCAATATATAATAAAATCAAACTTTTATTCTAAATACCAAATCAAATCAATATATGTTAAATAGAAACTAATAAATCAAAAAAAAACAGTAAGATCTTTATCTAAATAATCAATTCTTAAATCGAAATATCAATATTTATAAAGATCGGATACATTGCGAGAAAATTCAGTCACAACAAAAAAAAAAAAACAAAAAACAAAAAAACTCACCAAATTAATTTAGTTTTCCCTAATTTTTGGTGTAATTTTGTGTTTTTTTTTAATCATACATTTATAAACATTATTTTTTTCATACCATTACCAACAACATTTATACAATTTAAAATTATACACATATTTATATTATTTTGTACAATTGTGAAATATAGTCATATTTTAACATATAGTTTATAAAAACAAAAAAAACAAACAAAGACAAAAATCACATCACATGTTTGACTTTTAATTAATTATAATTCAATAACATTTAATTGCATTGTATTGTTTGTTGTTGTCGTTGTTTATTTTTTCTTAACAAACGACACAAACAAAACAAACAACAAACAACAAACACACACATTAGTTTGATGTAAACAAAATTAGAAATAATAGATTTTATTTAATTCTCTATATATCTATTTAAGTTAATTTATTTTTTATTATAATAATTATTATTATAATTCTAATTTATTTGTAATAGTTGTTGTTGTTAACTTTATTTAATAATTAAAAAATAATAATACTTTATTTTAAATATAGATTACACAAGTGTTGTTTGATATCATTATTAAAAAAATAGTTTAATAATAATAATAATATTATTATTATTAATAATAATTATATAAAAATGGAGATATTTGACCATTCACATCAAGTAAAGACATCACCTACATCGACATCATTCTCTGGCGCTCTCATTGTAGGAGGTGGTAATGGTGGCAGTGGAAATGGAAACAACAGCAATGGTGGTACTATCAATAGCAATAATAATAATAGTAAATATAAAAAAGATTCATTGTCATCACAGAGTTTGAATGTGGCACAACCAGAGGAACAGAAACAATTTATATCGACCATCAACAAAATTATCGAGACTGACAAGATCAATAATAACACACCTGCAGACGACGATGTAATCATCGACAAGAAACAACTACAGAAACAACAGAAACAACAACTAAAAGAACAACGTGAACGTGAAAAAGAATTACAAAGAGAAAGAGAAAGAGAAAAAGATAAAGATAATAATATAAATACATTAGATGATAACAACAATAATAATAATAATAATAGTTATAATAAATCAATAGATAATAATAACAATAATAATAATACAAGTAATTTAGAATCAAATAATGAATCAAGTTCAACAACAACTACAACATCGTCATCATCATCATCTTCTTCTCATACACATCCACATTTACATCAATTCAATGAAAGTATCAATCATTTGGTAGATACTATTCATGATAAGGGTGATATGGTTGTGAGTGAACTGAAGAAAAAGATTAGAAAGCAAATGTCGTTGGCAAGAGGCAGAAGGAAACGTAAGAATAAAGAACCGGCAGAACAACAGGATCCTCTGAAAGAGTCATTCTCTATCGATATCGGTATGATGTGGCTACTTCAATCGATTAAACGTCCTGCCATTCAAGAGCATGTCTGTGAGCGAATCACAAAACTACCTCATACCGATTTTCAATTGTTTTTACCTCAAATTGTGTATGTAACAAAACAAAATACAACAGGTATACGATATTTATTCATTCATCATTAACTAACTAATGAATATTATAATATTAATCATCTAATGTTAGTCATGTATGTGTTGAGCACAAACAAGAACCAATCATTGTAATGTTACTTGAAAAATGTAAATCATCTTTGGTCATTGCCGTTCAAACCTTTTTCCTCTTAAACTCTTTTGCTAGCGACCAACATCCAGAAACAATCGATAGTGCTAAATTACTTTGGAAGAGTATGTTGTTTACAATTTGTTTGTTCTTCTTTGTTTTATATATGTTTATATATGTTTTACTAAACTAATCGATTGATTATTGTTATGCTATTGTTTAGGATGTGAATTGGCATCTATAGGTATGATTGATGCCGCTTTGAAGTTATCACCAAAGTATAAACAACCGTTGTTGGAAGAGAGTCTATCTGATAAGACAGTGTTGATTATCGACGAAGGATACTTTGAATCGAATTCGGTGGAAGCAGCCAACGGACAGGATAAACATGTTGTCAATAACTTTGGTAGTCTATCTAGTTCGATGGCCGACCAGATTAAGAATATGGAAGAAGCAGAAGCAGCGCGTAACAACTTGAAACAAAGTAGTGGTAGTGGTATTAGTAGTAGTGGTAGTCACAGTAGTAGTAGTAATCGAGGAAGTAAAGTAGTTTCAGAGGTAGATTGGATTGGCGATCACGATTCAGAGTCACCGATTGAGACTGACGGTGTATCGGAAGCAGACAATCACAGTAGTATCAACGAGGACAATTACAATTCGACCAGCAACAGCAATACATCACTTCAACATAGCCATCATCTAGGATCCGATGTAACAACCAACAATGAACAAGAGGATTATTCACAGCTGTCGAATGGTGATATTTTTATCAATACTAAAATACAACAGAACTATCAACAACAACAACAACAAGAATGTAAACAGACATTCTCAAAGATAAAAGTTAATAGTTTTGATATTGATGATATCAGTGTGGAGTCTATTCAACAGAATATGAGTAGATTCCAAGCTAGCAAGTTGATCAATAGCAATGGCAATAGTTTGAAACAAATCAAGATTCAACCATCGATTCAACAGCAGATTGTCAATAACAAGTTGCTGACGAATTCTTTTGGCAGTTCATTGGCCTCCACTGCTATGAGTCCGTATGCATTCTGTTTTGATTTGCTCGATATATCGTCGGCCAAACAAAAGATATTCAACTACAGTCCGTTCTACTCGGAGATTCACTTTATCAATATACTCTCAAAGATTGGCAACTTCCTGTTGACCATCCCGATGTTGAATGGCGATCGCGCCAAACAACGGGAACTACGCAATGCAACGCTGCGTGTCATTCTGAAGCAGTTGAACGACCAGGTATTCGAGCGATCCAGCATCATCCTCCCCGTGTACCCGACATTCCAAGTGATGGGAATCGTCCACGAGGAAGCGGTTTGTTTGAACTCCAGGGAGCGTGTTCCCTATATGCTCTACCTGGAGGTAAAGATGAATAGCGACACCTACTTCTACACTGACTCTACAGACTCTGGCAAACTTGTCGATATTCCCGACGACGAGCTAACCGACGACGATGCGGACGACCCACAGGCGTCAGAGACGGAATGCGAAGACGAAGACGACTCTACACGCGCGCAAAACGAAGCGAGAAACGCGATTCTCAACACAATCTACGGCGAACAATGGAAAGAGAAGGAAAAGAAGATATGGAAGATCTCACCGTATCGCAGCATCAACGGTTGGCGACTGATATCGTTCATCGTAAAGAGTGGCGACGATCTCCGCCAGGAGCAACTGGCGATGCAACTGATCACTCAATTCTTTAGAATCTTTAAAAAGACGAATCTTCCACTCTGGCTGCGTCCATACCTCGTGATTGCAACTGGCCAGGATTCCGGGCTGATCGAAACCATCCCCGACTCTACGTCACTCGACACACTCAAGAAGAAATGTCCAAAGTACAGCACACTCACCGATTACTTTGTGCGTGCATACGGTGATCAGAAAACCAAATCGTTCCAAGACGCCCAGACCAACTTTATAGAGTCGTTGGCCGGCTACTCGCTGGTGTGCTACTTCCTACAGATCAAGGATCGTCACAACGGTAACATACTAATCGATCGCAAAGGTCATCTCATTCACATCGACTATGGATTCCTGCTATCGACCAGTCCCGGTTCGATCAACTTTGAGAGCGCGCCATTCAAGCTGACCGACGAAATCCTCGAACTCATGGGTGGGCGCAGTTCCGACCGATTTGTATATTTCAAGACACTGATACTCTGTGGATTCCTTCAAGTTAGAAAACACTACCAAGAGTTCCTTATGATGATAGAACTAATGATTCCACGTAACTATCAAAAAAACAACCAATCTATCTTTCATTCAACTTGAAAACTAACTATTTAACAAACTTTTATCAATACACATATATATATATAGATACAACATTGAGATGTCTAACAAAAGAAGGTGTTGTAGATAACTTTAGAAACAGATTCCGTCTTGATTTAACTAGCGACGCTCAATGTGAAGAATTCGTAGACAAAATGATTTCCGATAGTATTGGAAATTGGACAACCAAATCTTACGATTCCTATCAATATTATACTAATAATATTACTGTATAATCCATATAACAACTTCATTCAATCATTCAACTCCCAACCATTCAATCTTTCTTTTCTTTCACTCTTCTTTTCTTTTTCCCTCTAACTTTCAATTGCGATTTTACATATATTTCCAACACTTAATCAAAAGTACGATAAAGTACCTTACTTTACCTTACTTTCACTTTCACTTTCACACGCCATAATTAATCACCAAATACCTCAAAATGTATTTGTAACAAACAAACAAACAAAAACCCGCTATTCAACTCAATTCAATAATTAGATCACTTGATTACTTAATTGTACAACATTTGTTCTTATTGCTTTGAAAATCAATTGTCAATGACATCAATAATCTTATAAATAAACTGTTTGACAACAACATTTACAACGTATAAAAATTGAAGTACGTAAAAATAAAAAATAAATTACTTTTTTTTTTTTCAAAAACTTTTTTTTTTTCTCCACAGACGAGCGAATAAAACGGATTCACTGTGGACTGTTTGAAGACATTCTCTTTTGGTCAATGTATGTATATTTAATTAAATAGTCTATCTTTCTATCTATTCTCTTTCTATAAAATAAGGTTATGATGATAACATTTGCTACTACTGGAATCAAATTGATGACTCTATTTAATCATCAAGATCTCTGATGTCTTATTTTATGAATATTATATATACTCTTTATATTATTATATTATTTTTTTTGTTAAAAATAATCAAATTTATAAGTTATAAAAGTTAATACTAATTTACTTTTTTATTTATAAAAGTTTTGAACATTTAGATAATTGATAAGTGGTCTTGTCTTTCCCTCCCTCCTTTTTTTGATCTGTTAAAAAAAGATGAACAAAACAAACAACAATAATAAAAAATTTATTTATTCGCTTAAAAAAAAAAACTAAAATAGTCTATTTTATATTTATTTTTATCTTTTATTTAGTAACAAAAAATATTCAAGTTTACATATTTAATTATTCTTTTTATTTTTTAATCATTCAGATGTAAATTACAGATTTCACCTGAAATTCTTGTTGTTTTTTAACGAACTATGATTATTGTTGTATTTTTATGTTTTTTTTTTTAAAAAACAGCAATGGTTTGATGAAAAAAAACATCGATTCAGTGTTGTTTCTGTGTAGGTTTTAAATTTTCTTTGATTTTGTGTCATGTAAAAATCAAAATTTCTCAACATCTTTTTTTTTTTTACATTCAGGCGATCTAATGATCACATCAACCACAGTTGCGAAAAGTTACAAACAGAAAAAATGATTGTCTATCTAGGGTGCCCAAAGACCATTGCGAGCTCTCGATTAACTTTGAAATTTTACACAACAACAAATCTTTATTGAGCTCCAATTTTTTTTTTTAAAGATCTTTTTATTATTTTTTTTAATATTTTATTAAATCATCAAATCCATCCCTAAATTTAACAACTACCAAAAACAAACCTTTAAAGTCGATTAACTTTTGTCCAATTACAGACAAATCAAAAACAGTTTCAAAAAATCCCAACAAATATTCAGTCAGTTAGTTAGTCAACTAGAGTTATATTATCTGTATTCATAATATATATATATATAATTATAATATAAGTTAATAAGTTGAAGTTACTCTCTTTCAATATTCATATATATTATCTTTGTATTTTTAATAAAAATCTAAATCAATCTACTTGTATAACAGTAATAACCAATAATAAAGGAAATGAGTCCAGGTTTACCAGTTCCAAATTTTCAAGATGAAGCTTTAAATAATACAAGAAATGGTATGAATCCTTAATCATGAACATTAAAATAGATTATTTATTAATAAAATTCAATATAATATAGAGATTCTTGATATTTTAGAAAAAAACAAGATTAAATATGATATACATATTGTTGGAGTCAATTCTAATGTAAGTAAACAAACAACTAACTAATCAACAACAAAAACACTAATTTTATTCAAATATTATATATTTAAACTTTTTAGGTACCAATATTTGTTGATTTTGGATCGATTTTGACTTATTCAAAGAATGATCAAGTCAATATAATGCGTGCCATTAAAGCAAATCTTCCAAGTATTTTGAAACAAATTGGTTCTTCTTTGGATAAGGTAAAAGAAAATTTGAAAAAACAAAAAAAAGAGTTGGAAAATTTAAAAATATATATTAATTGCTTATTTATAATTATATATTTATAGGTTGATAATATTCATAAGGCAAATGTACAAAACTATTTAACTAGAGTTGTTATTACCAATGTTCCAGGAAAATCATCTACCTCAAAGAAGGCAACCTATTATGTCGATGGTACTTTGGAAGTGGGTACTGTTTTCGAGGACAGTTTGAATTGCTCCTACTATTTGGAGAAGAAGATTCTCACTGCTTGCAATGAGTTCCGTCCAGTTCAAGGTGCTGTCGTTCCAGACAAGATGGCCGCTTTCGAGGCTGTGCCAGCTGCCGCCGCGCCAGCCACACCAGAGCCAGTCGCACCAGCAGCTGCACTCGTCGGAACATTGGATTTCTCCATTCCAAACTACCCAAATGCAGCACAAGAAACATTGAAACTCGAAATTCTTGCACTTCTCAAACCAATTGTTATCGACCAATCGGTTTTCGGTCGTCCAGCTTTCGAAATGCCAGTTTACGTCGACTGGAACAGTCTGGCACAGAGTCCAGATCAAACCGTTGTGTTGAGAGCGGTCAAGACAAACTATGCCAATATTATCAAGCAAGTCGTTCCAGCCATTACCAAGGTCGACGAAGTCAGAAAGCCAGCGGTTGCCGACTACATTATTTCCGTCGTTCTCCAGAACGTCCCTGGAAAGACTTCCACATTAAAGAAAGCTATTCTCTCACACGAGGGAATGTTGATTATCAACACCACCTTTGAGGATTCAATCAATTGCTCTTACTATTTGGAGAAGAAAATCACTGCCGGTTTGAATGACTTCATTCCACAGAGTGGATATCAACCCCAACTCAGAGAACCAGTTGCCGCGCCAGTTGTTGCCGCTGCACCACAGCCAGCTCAACCAGCTCAGCCAGCTCAACCATCCAGACCATCCTACAACATTCCAGATAAATACAGTCAACCATCTGCACCAGTCTATCAATCTCCAGTTCAGCCAGTCTATCAACAACCAGCCGCAGTTGTCCAACCAGTTTACCAACAGCCAGCACCAGTTGCTCAACCAAGTTATCCACCACCAGTTGTTAGACAACCAATTGCTCAACCAGCACCAGTAGCAGTTGCTCCTCCTCCAGCTCCAGTCGTCCAAGAACCAAAGGAAAAGGGCAGACCAGAAATGGAGTTCAAACCAAATTTCACAGATCCAGCACAGATTTTCCAAATCAGAGAAATCGATGCCATCATCGACAGTTTCAAGGTGTTGGACGATAAGGATAAACCAATCGGTGCACCAATCTATTTGGACTGGAAATCAATTATGGTTTACCCAGCAGCAGTGAAGCAGGGAACAGTCATTAGAAATGTCAATTTGGCATTGTACCGTTTGTTGCGTGAGACTTTGAATGCTTTGAAATTGGCTTGTTCCGACTTTGCCATTGGTGACAACATTCGTGCTTACCTCAGATCGTTCACCGTTCAAAATATCGCTGGTACTTCAACCGGTGCCAAAAAGGTAGTTTACGAAGACGGTCACCTCACAATTCAAACCATTTTCGAAGACTTTGGAAATTGTGCACTCTATTTCGATTCCAAGGTTGTCCAAGCATTCTCTGCACGTCCATCACTACCAGCACCAAAGAAACCAGAAATGGTAACTTTGATCAAAGAGGAACTTGCCATTCGTTTGAATGCTCACAAAGATTTGACTACCACCGAAGGACATCCAATGGCACCAACCTGTCCAATTGAAATGGACTGGTCGTTCCTCACCACCAAAGGTTACGAATCGATGGGAATTGAAAACAACTTGATCGGTGCGTCCAATCCAATTCTAACTGATCTATTTGCAGCACTCGCCACCTTCTCCAATGAGGAAATCGATATCTTGAAGAAAGAAGTCATCAAGATCAATTTCGTTCAGGGAGCAGTCGGAAAGACTATGTTTGACAAGCGTACTGTCATCATGACAGATCCAGGTGTTTTGAATGTAACATCGATTTTCGAAGATCGTACTGAAGGTTCGAAAGGATTCAAAGAGAGATTCATCAACTCGTTCAAAGCACGTCTTTACAAGGTGGAGTTGCGTGATGTTTTAATCCCAGGTATCGTCAAGACAATCGACGCCGCCGTTCGTGCCAAGGTAAAAGCCAACTACTTGGACAAGATTGTCGTGCCATCCGACGCCAACTACAGCTCAACTGTACTCTTCAACTGGTCGTTCATCGAGAAGGAGACACCAGAGAATCAAGTGAACACCTATCGTGCAGTATGCGCCAACTTCAAGGCTGGAGTGGGATTCATTGAGAATATGAGACGTGCCATCGTCGACATTTGCAGTTACGACGTTGGAAAGACCGCGTTCTTGAACACCAACAAATTCATCTTTATCAACGACATGCGTAAGAAGGAGGAGAACGTCAAATTCACCGGTAACAACACCTGGGAATTCACTGGAACTTTCCACGATCCAGCAACACTCACTCACTCTGAGAGAAAGATGAACATCTTCTTCAAGGAGCAACTCAAGGTTGCATATCCATGCGCCATTCAAGATACATTCCCAGAGATTGACGATATCGTTGAGGATTTGTCGAGCGCCACCGGAAAGAATGTTCCAATCGTTATGAACTACGATTCCTGGAGAAACTACTCGAGATTCGCATCGGACCAATTTGCATACAAGGCAATCAAAGGAATTGCTGTCAGCGTTCCAAACAGAGGTCTACAAGCTATTGCAACTCTCACTAAAGATGCTATTGTCAAGCGTGAATACACTGCCAAAGTCAACACCATCGAGATTGAGTATGACACCTCCGACAGCGTCAAGGCACAACGTTCAAAGGATCCACACTGTATCGCCACACTCCGCGATGGAAAGTTGCATTTCAAGTTGAATTTCTCAGATGGTCAACACGATGCTAAAATTGCATCATGGGACTACCAGCTGGAGTTGGTTTTAGGTACAAGACCAATGAAGATCAACCGTGCCATCGACAAGGCAAAGTCAGATTTAGCTGCCGTCTCACAGGAAATGACTGCTTTGATTGGCAAGCCAATCACCGTGCAAGTCGAATACACTGGTTTCATTGAACAACGTAATTTCCTCCATGAACTTGAGGAGCCTGTTTACACTAAAGTCATTGCATCGTTTGCCAATTGGTTGAGAGCATGTTGGTTGAAGCACGAGCCATCGGCATCGCTTGCAACCTACGCCACCGTAAAGCAATCTCTCCAAACTCAGCTATCAGTTATCAACTTCCAAATCAACTGCCAAAACAATCAACGTGATCTCTATGAGTTCCAGCTGAGCGGAACACAGTTGAATGTATCACTCAACTTGACAACAGCTATTGCTGGCACAACCACTCCATGGAGAATCGAGTTGGAGCGTGTCTTCAAGTTGCGTGACCTCAAGATCAACGAAGAGATTGCCAAGCGTATCGATCTCGTCAAGAACAAGGCTGCCATTTCCAAGGTCATTGGAAAGCAAATCGATCTTCAAATCGATTGGAATTCATTGAAATCCGAGGCGTCATTCGCCGCCAACATGGACGACTACATTATGTTTATGCACAAGTTTGCCGAGGATATTCCAGCTGAACTACCAAAGATCACAGGTTTCGGAGAGTTGGTTGAATTCTCAGAGGTTCAACAAACCGTTCAATCCAATTTGGACACCATTAAATTGATTGCCGACAAAGCTGGATTCTACGCCGAACTCAAAGGTAAAGTTTTGGAGATTCGTGTAGGAATCAGAAATATCGTTAAATTCCTCAGAGATTCCGATGGAGATTTCGAGTCGTACGGTCGTGAGATTGAGGCAGCTATGAATCTACGTATGCAAATCGTCCGTGGATTCATCAAGCGTAAGGAAGTCGCACCACTCCAAGAAACAATGCAACGTTTGGCCGGTGCAGTCGAGCAGCCAGCCAAAGTTGTCATCGATTGGGAAGGAATTATCGAGCACCCCAAATTCGACAATCACGTCGACTTCAAGCCAATTCTCTCGAATATCTTACAGTTGCCAGCACAGCTGCATCCAGTCATCCAGTTGTGTCGTGAAAATCTCAGTGCTAAACGTGCATTGAAGGAAGTACACACCTACACAATCAGAATCGATGGTACCAGCAAGGTCAACGAATCGGAATTCACAGAGAATAAATTCGGTGTCGATTGGGCACGTGCCAGCTTCATGGCACCACCATCCAAGGATCACATCTTGATCTTGGTCAATTTGGACAGAATGATTATCTCACCATCCGATTTGGAGCTTGAAGACAAGATCGAGTTCCTCGTCACACCAGACTTGGCCGAAGAACGTTACCAAAAGAAATTGGCTCGTCAAGACAGACAAGAGGATCTCGACTATCGTCGTCGTTGTGACGCCAGAGACGAACGTTGGCAATCCGAACAACGTAGAATGGACCAAAGAATGTTGGACGCTCAAAACGAAAACAACAGAGAACTCAGAAATCTCAATCGTAAACTCAGATGGTAAATTTAAACAATCAATATATTTAAATAAATTTCCAAATAATTTTTGTAATATAATTTTTAATGGGTCAATCAAATCGGGAACTAAAAAATTGAGAAGATATTTATTGGTGCAATGCAAAAAAATTGTAAAAGAAGAAATTTCATACACAAAAAAAAAGTTTGATTGGTTTAGATTTTTTTAATTCTTTTGCTCATACCCCTTTAATTCTAAAAGAATGAATAAATTGTTATATTTATATTTTATATCTATTTTGTTGTTTTTAAATGTTTTTATTTATGGAGAGGTTATAGTTTATCAAGGAGTAGCAGATGATCCATCACTGGAGACAGCTTGGAAGAATGGTGCATTATTAAATCAAACATTGGCACAGTTACAACCGGGAGATGAATTGTTGTTCCCAAATGTAACAATCTATCTAGTTGGTGGAATCATTGCAAACAATCTACAATCGGTGACTCTTCGATTCGATGGTACTCTAATATTCACAGATAATACTCATAGCTGGCCAAAGACTGAAAATGGTCAGGTGCTTGAGTGTTTCCAATTCAACAATTTCGTTAATGTTACACTGACTTCGTCTCATCAAGGTTTGCTCGATGGCCAAGGTGAAGCGTGGTGGGGATTACTTGGTTACGTGGAATACCAGGAGAATCGACCAAGAATGCTATCAATGGGAAACTCTAAGGATATACTTTTAGAGAATCTTTATTTCAAGAACTCACCATACTGGACAGTTTGGATCTACAATGTAGATGGATTGGAAATAAGATACAGTCATATTTCTAATCGTAGAAATGATTATGATGGTCATGATGACTATAACATGGAGTAAGTAGTTAGTTAAAGTTGTTGTTTAACATTTTACCAATTTGCAAAAGTTTTATAAATTAACAATATTTCAAAATATAAAGAGCATTTAATACAGATGGATTTGATGTAACAGGAAAGAATGTTTGGATTCATGATTGTACAGGTATGTTATATATGTTAGAAATCTAAAGTTGAATAGATTTATTTTCTTATTATTTTTATATTTAGTTTGGAATCAAGATGATTGTATTGCTGTAAAAGATGGATCAGAGAATATGTTGATCGAAAGAGTGAATGCAAGTGGAGTCGGTTTGACAATTGGATCGATTGGAGGTTCAGATGTTAGAAATATTACATTTAGAGATTGCTATATGCATAAAACTTTTAAGGGTATCTATATGAAGTTCAGAGGTGATGGATTGATTACCGATGTGCTCTATGAGAACATTGTCATCTATCAGCCAGAGCAATGGGCAACCTGGATTGGACCGGCACAACAAGCAGACAACGTAGATATCTGTTTACCAGCACCCTGCAGTCTTTGCTGGCCAATGATACCGTTTGCAGAGTGCAACATGCCAAACAATGCAAGCTACATCGACATAACACTCCGAAACATCGAGATTATCGATCCCAAAAAGACTGGTGTGATCATTGGCAGTGAGACAAATCCAATGATCAACATCACATTTGATAATGTCGTAGTACAAAACGCCCCATCAAATTACTTTGAATGCAAAAATGTTCAGAGTGGTTTGGCAATAGGTGGAACCAATCCAATTCCATCATGTTTCAAAACGACAAAAAACTAACTAACTAATTAATAAATATTTTGTATAATTCTTAACTTTATAAATCTTGAATCAAACTATTATTATAAAAAACAGCTCATCTCAACGAAACCCCATTAATTAATTCAAGATCTATTAAATTTTGACAAAAATTAGTTTTTTTTTGTTTTTTGGCATCCATCAAAATTTTAAAAAACTAATTAATAGAATAAAAAAAAAGACCCACCTTTGATCAGTGTCAGCAATCATACCGATAAATCATTCATTTTTAATTATTTATTTCGTTGTATTATTATTCATTATTTGCTTGTTGATGTGCTAACTAACTAACAAGTGACAAAAGTTGCAATTAAAAAAAAAATAGAAAGAAAAGAAAAGAAAAAGGTAATTTGGTTCAAAAGAAAATTGGATGTTGTTGGCATCATCATTCACATCTCTTATAGTTATCAACATCAATTTTTATTCTATCTATTAAATTGCTCATCAATCATTGTTATTAGATTCAAACAGTGATAGTAAAATAATAGTATTTTAGCAATATAATACAAAAAAACATAACAGTTTTATTTATTTATTCATGCATCATCATTATTTATCATCTTAGATTAATCAACCATCATCATCATCATAATCACTATCATCATCTTCACTATAGATGATACTCACCACCTTACCTTTCAAATATTCTCAACAAAACAAAAAAATAACACCACATTTTAATTAAAAGTTAGATATTATAATTATTTGTTTATATGAAATATGTGTTGTTTTAATGGTTTGCTTTTGTGTGTTTATATAACAATGTTTTGAAGTGTTAAATGTTGTATTTTCTTAAATAGAAGAAATATTCAATGTTTTAATCATAAAACAATATATTATATAAGCTTTTTTGTATTTAACATCCATTTTTGATAAAGATGGTTTCCCTTCACTTTTTTTGCAATTGAATTGTTTATTCCACATACTTTTAACATCCAAATTGTTCCTACTACTATTCTCATTTACTAAATTACTTTCCTTTCCTTTATCTATTATTATAGTTAGTTAGTTAGTTATTTTATTAGCGCAGAATTAATTTTAGAGTTGTATTCATTTTCGATTCGATTGGATTGAATCGATTGTATATTAAACACAGTTGTAATAGTAATCAGGTCATAAAATATATTATATAATTAGAATAGTAATAATTCAATTTGTTGTTGTAATTTTAGTAAAAATATATATAATTATATAAAGTACATTAGAAAAAGTTAGGGATAGATAGTTTTTGGAAAAAATAATTATTTTTGGAAAAAGAATAAATAAAAGGTTTATTAGATTATATTATATTTATTTTGGATGAGAGATGGTGGGTGGATTACCACATTCAAAACTATGGGAGATCGAGTACAACGATTTGGTATTTAAGGAGATCATTGGCAAAGGTAATTTCGGACATGTCTATCGTGGAAGTTATTTGGGTGTGGAGGTGGCAATCAAGCAGATTCCAGCGTTTGACGACCCCGACTACTGCAAGTATACAGAGCGTGAAGTGAAGGCACTCCGCTATATCCGTCATCCTCACGTCGTCCATTTCTTTGGAACCTGTCATCACACCAGTGGATTCTATTTGATAACGGAGTTTGTCGATGGACCCGATCTCCGTTTGTTTGTCAAGGAGACACCGAAGCCACCTCGTTGGCAAGTGCGTGTACAGCTGGCTCTGTCGATTGCACGAACCTGCTTCTTCCTACACTCCAAAAATATATTGCATCGCGATTTGAAAACAAAGAACGTTTTGGTGTTGCCGAATCTACAGAATACCAAACTTTGTGATTTCGGATTTGCGCGTGTTGGATCGCAGTATTCGCCGGGCACCGACAGCAGCAGTAGCGATGAAGAATACTCTGACGACAATGCCAATGATAGCACACCGTATGGCGGCAACGGCAATGGAACTGCCGCCACTGGAAAGCTGAGACGTATGTCGATCTGTGGAACACCATCGTTTATGGCACCGGAGATTCTACTGCAAAAGAAATACGATTGGAGTGTCGATGTATTCTCCTATGGCATTATCTTGGCGGAACTCATTACATTCCGTAGACCTGGAAAAGACTTTTGGGTTCGTAATTCAACCAATGGATTCGATATCAATGTTGAGGAGCTCAAAGAGAATATTCCGGCACCCAACGATTGTCCGACTGTGTTTTTCGATCTTTGTTTGAAATGCTGCCAGTATTTGCCTCAGAATCGTCCACGATTCTCTGATATCATACATATTTTAGAGGCGTTGATGGAGACACTGGAAACCAGTGTAGGAACCAACCACTCCAACTCTAACGGTTTGATGACTAATGCCAATGGATTGTCGGCGAGCAACGATATGTCACTAAACTCAATGGATCCAGCAATTCAAAATGTCTATCCAATTACACTGTTCAAAGATCGAAAGAGACAGAGTCTCGGTGGTCAACTGGCAACCAAATTGAATGTACTCAGAACCTCAAACTCTCAGAATGTTACAAACAATGCATCCAATGGCAGCAACAACAGCAATATCTCTGGATTGAACCAACAACAAACCGAACGAGAAGGTGTACTCAAACTCTCAACAACTCAATATATAAATGGTTGGAAAGAGTTTGGAATTGAAGGATATGCTAAAGTTTGGATTGTTTATCAATCAAATATGATAAGAATATTACAGTATGTATGATTTAGATGTTTAATAATTAATAGTAACTAACAAATTGGTTATATTTAATAGTGATAAGAAATCAAGAAATATGACACAATTAATTGAAGTTACACCAGCTAAAGTTATAAAGATATCAAAGAACTCTTTGAGCATTATGTTTTCAGATCCAAACATTGTCAATGGTACACCTATTCTCAATGTTAAACCATATTATGAGATGTATCCTCATATCCAATATATTCCAACTTCAGAGATGAAACGATCCGCTTCTTTGATGACCGGTGGATTGAATATTTCGTTGGACGACAAGATGTTCTGGAAGGAGAATACCGATCTCGTAATCAGACTGCAATCGTATGCGAAACGCTGGATTTTCAGAACTAGATACAATCGATTCCGAAGTAGCTGGCGATTGCCATTGCAGTTGACTGGTGCACCGTCGTTGCCATCATCTCCGGCAGCCGACGAGAATCAACAACAGCTGCAGCTACTGACAACCAAGAAAACCTGGATCGGTATTGTCGATCAACTTATCAGCTCGGAGCATCAGTATCGTAAACAGCTGGATTGTCTTCTCAAGAATTATCTTGCACCGTTGCAATCGAAATTCCGTATGAACAAACCATTGTTGAACTACAAAGAGATTGCATCGATCTTTTCAAACATTGAAACAATCTCGGATCTCCACCAAATGCTTCTCTCCACTCTCAAATATTTCCAGACACTCTCACCCTTCTACACGACAGCATCGTCTCAACCATATAAAAACAGCTCATCCATATTATCACAAAGTCAATCTCAATCTCAAAATCAAATTCAAATTCAACCAAATTCAACCAGCAATAATAACAAAGGTAATAATAATAACAACAATAACAATAGCAAGAATAATAATGAATTAAATACAACATTGGCATCAAGACAATATCAATCTATATCACAATTTTTCATTGTGAATAATACACAGATGAAAACAATCTATGGTAAATATATGTATAACTTTAAGTATGCAATGAATACTCTTAGTTGGTGCAAGTTGAATCCAGATTTCTCCAAATTCACTGGACAGCAAGCTGCACTCTCCAATGAGATAGAGAATGACTTGACTTCACTGCTCTCAGTGCCAATCAATCGAATTCAAAAGTACCAATTGCTCTTTGAGAATCTCAACAAGTGTACACCATCGGATCATCCAGAGAGTCGTGACATTGCCTCTGCCTTTTCACTCATCAAAGACATCTCCAATTTCCTTCAGAATCAGCTGGAGATGTCCATTCACTACAGCAATTTGATGTCGATCGAAACGATGCTGCTCGACGACAACAAGCGAATCTCACTCATGAAGAGTGGACGTACCTTTGTCAAACAGGGTGCACTCGAAGAGACTGGAAACAAACAGAAATACTATTTGTTCTTGTTGTCCGATTTACTGCTACTGACAAAACCAGTAAAATCAAAGTGTAGCACAAAGTTGGATACAAATATTGGTGGTAGCGGTGTTGGTGTTGGTGGTGGTGTCAATGGAAACAATGAAAACTGCCAACAAACCAACATGAAGTATTACTATCGTGAGAAATACTCGCTATCGTTGAAGGATCCCGATGTCAGTGTGAAATTCAACTCTGACGTACCGAATGGATTGATAATCAATCTTGGCTCGCAGAACAACGGTAAGCTCTACAAGTTTGTGGCGGCCAGCGAAGAAGAAGCCAATGAATGGGTCGGTGAATTCGAGCGTGCAGCAACCAATCTCAGTAAATCTCCATTGGTACCTAATAATACTACAACCACAACCAACAATACAACTGCAACCAATTCATTCTCTGAGAGTGACGGTTATCCATCTCCCTACTCTTCATCACCCGCTTCACTCAATGGAATGGAAGCCACCTTTGATCCCAACTCCAATGCATTTGATCTTGGAAAAGATCAACAGCAGCCCGAGAAGAAAGATAACTTTATTAAACGTCTACGTCAAAAGAGTGTATCTTCAGGAACAAACAATAGTAATAATAATACCATTAACAATACACCAACTAGTAATAACAACAATTCACCAGATTCAAGAAGAGATTCATTTAGTTCACCTTATCCACCAAGTTTCAATCTCAATAGCAACGTTATGAATACACCAAATTCATCGTCATCGTTGATGCCACCTCCATCGACACCGTCCAGCGAGAAGAAGAGATTCTCCACCATCAAAAACAAACTCAAAAGAATCAGTGTAAATTTCACAGGTAGTGATAAATTAAAAATCAAAGAATACGATAGAGATAGTAGCATAGAGAATTAACCAAAAACTATTAATTTATTGCAATACAAATAAATACAATTCTTTTTGGTCGAAGATCGTACTCGCATAATACACAAAAAAAAAATTTTGATTCTTCGAGCATTGCAACATTGATTTCCAATTTGTTTTTTATCTTGTACATCTTAATTTAATAATATTATTTATTTATTATGTCAATGAGTAGTAATTTAGACAACTTCAATCGCTTATAAGTGGTTAATAAATATTTATTTAATAGTTAGTTAGCAGCTCAGTAATTTCAACTTCACACAACCACCACTTCAATTACATCATTAAAATCACCCGCTTGGCAAGAAGAATATGACGACTATTTAATTAAATATCCCTGAGAGAAAGAATAAAAGAAAAAAAAAACAAAGCTCTTTGTGGTATGTGTGTAGCTTTGAGTCAGTTGAAACTTGTGCTGGATAGAAAAACTCAATTATTTCTGATGGCAGATCTTTCTGTTCTATCCATTTGGTCTCGTAATCTGGATATCCTTCCCATTTGACCAAGAACATGCATGTTATTACCATAGTATGTCTTGTGATCCAACCAATGACTCAATCGTATGTTTGACTAGCCTTTCTTCATTGACATGTCTGACAGAGGTAGTTTCACCCTTCCTGGGAAAGTATGTATTTTTGATTATTATTTCTATGCAATTCTAATTTGGTTACCAAACATATTCTTTTCTAGGAGTATAGTGCCATTATATTACACAAGAATTCAACTATCGTAGTAACATGATGTTAAGACACAATTTTTAACTAGACTTTTTTCTAATTGATCTATCAATTCCAATACCGTTGATGTTGACATAAGAATCATCTGTACTGATGATTTAACAAATTAGATTCTCAACCAAATTCAATCAGAATTTAATAGTGGTAGATTGAAGTTGTCTAAATTACTACTCATTGGCATCATTAAATAATAATATAAAATAAATCATAAACTTTAAAGTGATCAATCACCATTGTAAAAAAATAAAAAACAAATAAAATTTTCAATTAAACACTTTACAAACACTCGGTCGTTTTGTCCAAAAAAAAAAAAAAACAAAAACAATTTATTTTATTTTTTCTCAATTTTTTTATCTTTATCTTTCTTTTCTTTTTTTAATTAATTAAACATAGATTATATATCTTTTTATAGAAAATGGTAAGGTTATTATTATATTTATTTATCGTTATAGAAACATCATCATTCTAATCAATCAATCTAATACATTTAAATATTTAAAAATCAATAAAGGCTAGAAAACCAAGTGCACCACCAAAGAAAATACCATTGATCAAAACATCAGGTGAACATTTGTATGTATAACAGAACTTTAATCAATCAACTCATTATAGATTAGAGCAACGTTGATCAATTATTAACACAAAAAACAAATAAACAAACGAAAAACAAACAAAATATATAATTATAGACAAAAAACAAACAAACAAAAACAAATAGAAAGATCAAAGAAACAAGCAGAGTTTAATAAGAAATTAGCAGCTATGTATGTATTATAAAGTTAATATACCACCATATTTTAAGTTTATAACAATATATATATATATTGACAACTGTATTAAAATATGATAATATATAGACCAGATGATACATCACATCATATGTTCTTTTCGTTTAATGAAGCGTTGGTACCACCCTATCATGTTATTATAGATACGAATTTCATAAATTTTTCAATCTCCAATAAGATCGATATAGTTCAAGGTTTGATGGATTGTCTCTATGCAAAGTGTATACCATGTATCACCGATTGCTGCGCAGCAGAGTTGGAGAGACTCGGACCAAAGTATAGAATTGCACTCAAAGTTTCAAAAGATCCACGTTTCCAACGTCTAACTTGTTTACATAAAGGAACTTACGCTGATGATTGTATTATCAATAGAATTACAATGGTACGAACGATCGTGTTAAATCTAATCATTTACAATTATTTAATCATAATAACAATTAACAATTATCATTTCTTTATTTTATTATTTAGCATCGTATATATATGGTTGCAACATGTGATGCTGATCTTAGAAGACGTATTCGTAAAGTACCTGGTGTTCCAATTTTATATCTTAAAGGAAAGAGATATACAATCGAGCGTATGCCAGATGCTCCTGGTGGTATGTATTAAACAATAATATCAAATAATTCATATTATTCAACATTTAAACTAATCAAATTTACTATCTTTTATCTAAAAACATAATAATAACTCATTGTATATATATATTTATTAATCTTTAGCACCTAAATAAATAAATAATCTTTTGTTTTTAAAAAAAGTTAATAGTAACCTTGTTCATTTGTTATGATTAAGATTACGATTAAGATGAACGATATTTAGATTTAGAAGTAGTTATTTTTTTAAAGTTTATTTTATTGTTGTTGTTCCAAAAGATCGATGGTTCTGGTCAAGATCTTAATGGCCTTCTTGAAATCACTCAATGAAGCGTATTCATTATCAGCATGATAAGTTTCCTCTTTACCAAAACTATATAGTTAAATAAATAAAATAGTGAATTATAATAAATTAGATATATAATCATGATTATTATTTCGATGATATGTTAATGGTTATAGTTACCCAGTAATTTGAAGATCGAATCCACTTGCTTGGAGATCCTTTACAAGTGGTAAGGTTCCACATGTTGAAACTGGTTTCAATTCACCAGTAACTTCTTTAGTGGCTTGTCCCAATGCTTGGTATCTAATATTAGAAATAAGAGTTGTTAAATAACTATTGTTTTCTAATATCTTGTTGTTTTAAAACTTACCCTTTGGAATCAATGTTACATGCAACACCTGGTGATGATTCACCGATCCATTCGATTTCGATCTTACCGGTGAGACCTTCCTCTGGGAGTGAGTACTTGCTGAATGGACCACGGTTACGGAGATCGGTGATGTTAGAGTTGATGTCGGCGACGTACGACTCTACTTTCTTACGCATCTCGGCCATGTCGTAGAATGGGGTGAGACGAATGTCACCGCAAATGACGGCTTCACCTGGAATCTGGTTGTAGGATCCATCGATCTTCTTCCAGAGTGTTGGTTTCATGGTGGATGATACTTCGTATCCGTAACGGTGTTCCTCTGGGTGTGCTGGGAAATCGGCATAGAATCGCTTTTGGACTTCGGCCAATGCTTCATTGGCGAGTTCAATGGTGTTGATTGCCTTGTTTGGAATGGCACTGTGGAAGATCTTTCCACAGGCTTTCAAATTCCAATTCTGAGCACCACCGGTACCGATGGTTGGTTGCATATCTGCTGAGTCTACCCAGTAGAGTGGACCGTATTTCAAATGATCGATCTTACCTTGCTTATCCAATTCATCAACACCTACACCCTATTATTATCATTGTTAACAATGTTATCAATTTGAATTGAAATATTATTAAAATTAGTTAACCACTATTCTCTTCTCTTTTTTTGGTTGAGTTTTTCATATAACAACACTAACTATCAAAAGTGTGTTGATAATGAAAGTTATGATAATTTTATACATACTGGAATTTCATCATTCTCTTCACTGGCAATGAATACAGCATTAATTGAGTGTTTCAAAGCTGGTTTCTTTGTTGCTAACTAGTTAGATTAATAAACAAAGTAAGGAAGTAAGTACGTAAGAATTTGTTTAATAACTAGTTATGAACTACTTACGGTGATGAAAAGATCTGTGAGGAGTGCAACGTGACCGAGACAATCGGTGGTACCACGTCCGTAGAGACGATCACCTTCGATGACGAGAGTGAATGGATCACGCTCCCAGTTGGCAGCGATGGCTGGTACGACGTCGAGATGAGAACCGACGAATGAGATACACTTGTTCTCGACGGTACCTGGGTATTGGATGAGAATATTACCACGTCCCTTGTGGAATGCGATGTGCTCGACCTTCAAGACACCACCCTTCTCGACGGTGTATGGCTCCAATGCAGCCAAGACATGACGACCGGCATTGTCTTCGACTGGGATCAATTCTGGTGGTTGATTCTGGAGGGTCTTACCTTCGGCGATCAACTTGGTCAGCAACTCCAAGAATCTAGCTTCATTCAATTCGTACTCTGCAACTGTCATTGTATTTTATTTATCTGCTTGAGTAAAAAAAAAAATAATATTTGAACAATGGTTTCAAGGTTAAATTAAATCATTAAAAAAATTCGAAAAAAACAAAAAAAAAAAAATCAAAAGATTTAAGCTTTCGGAATGTTGTTGATCATGCAAGAATGTTCACAACCAGGTTCTGAATGAATATTAAAATTAAAATGGGGGTGAAGGATTTATATTATTTTGGGATTCGCAAATTACAAAAATAGATATTTATTTGTTTGTGCTTCAGAATGTATTTTTTTTTTTAATTAATAAAAAAAAAAAATAAAGTCTAAATATTTACAAAAAAAGGATTCATTAGAGAATTAATTAATTAGTAATAAATAGTATATATTTGTTGTTTAAGTGTGAAATATAGATTCAAATTAGTTAGGTTGGTTTTCTAAAAATCAAAAATATCTCTTAAGTTCTTTTAACAGGTCATAGTTTCGTTCTCTCAAGTAAATATTTTTTTAAATTATCTGGGATATCGTTGGCAATTTCCCTTTAAAAAAAAAATATACGAAATTAGATTAATGATAAATATGAGTTAAAGATAGATAAATTTTTTATTGTTATATATATATATATATATATAGTCGAACGGATAAATGTATTGATATTGAATTTAGTTTTTTAATCTTCCTATATGAGTAAAACAAGTTCAGAGGCGTCCTTAATCTTTCCTTTTTGAATAAATTAATATTCACAGCATATCATTATATTTTATATAGTCGATCCGCACATTCATTGATTGTCATATCAATCAGAAAAAATTTCACTATCTCCAATCTAAAATAAAAATAGATGAGAAGACTTCAATCCAACCAGAGAAAATTTTTTTCCTTTCTTAGTATATATGGTTAAAAATATAAAAATTTGAGATAGGAATTAAGGTTGGTAAGAGTTCACCACGAGATTTAGATCGATTATATTTAATATTTGAATTCAATGCATAAATTCTATTTTTTTGGCATTGAAGTTCATTTCCAATAAAAAAGAATAAAAAAGTTAAAAAAATGTTGTTTAGTGTCCAAATGAATATTAAAACTAATTTGGGGTGAGTGATTTAAATCATTTTATTTTTTTGGGGATATATATTTGTTCTTTAGCCTTATTATTGAATATTGAAATTAAGAAAAATATTTACAAAAATTGATTTTATATACAGAATTAGATAATTAGAGATAAAAGAGGAAATATATAGCAGAAAATAGGTTGTAGGAGTGAAATTAGATTCAAGTTAGAGTAGTTATTATTGTGGTTTTTGTTTATTACACAAAATCAAGCCCATAGTATCGCTTTAGTTCTTCTAGGAGTTCATAGTTTGGTTGTCTAGGTAATAAATATTCTTTTAAATTTTCTGGTATTTCATGTGCAATGTCACTGTATTCTTGGGCCTATATTATTTTATTGGTAAAAAAAAAAAATATATTAATAAAATTCATAAGACAAAACTTCATCAATCGATATTTATAATTACATGAAAAGGATTAAAGTTTGGGATCATTTGTAACTCATTGCTATTTTGTGTTGCATCGGGTGGTATAGGTGTTGTTTGTGTATGATTTGGCCACACTGAAGAGCTGTCATTGCTATCATTGAATTGTGCATCCAACAATTGTTGTCTAATCTCATTTCGTATTGCATCCATGGTTGTATGTCTTTATTCTACCTTTTTTATACAACTTCATTATATGTTAAAGCAACAACAACTACTATAGTATCTGATAATAGTTTAATAAAAAAAACTAATAAAAAATTATTACAAAAAACTTAAGGTTGTGTCACCACTACTAGTCTTTCACTGAGAAATACTAATTTTATATATTTAAAAATATAATATTTATTTGATGATGATATATAAATACAATTGATCAAAAATTTTTAGGCTCTATAGTTATAGTAGACAGATAGAATTATAGTAGAGATATTTAATAAAATAATAGATTAAACAATAAATATATTGAATTATTTTTCCACACAAACACTATAAATGGGATAAGGTTAGCTCTGAACCCTATATTAGTACCGTATCACACAACACATGATCAAAGATTTAATCTCAATTTTAATAAAAAATAAAATACACAAAATACAATGTTCTAAAATTTTAATTTTTTTTCCTTGAGAAAATGGGAAAGTTGTTTGTTCACACACCATCCACTAAAACTATTTTGGAATTAAATGATGATTGATATTATTAATTTAATAATAAAATCATGTAGTTTTTTAACTATAACATGCCTAGATTCACTTCCAAATTTAATAGGAGTATGGCTAAATATTTTCTACACTAACCTAAAAGCTCTTAGTAAGTACAAAAGACTCTTTTTTTTATCATAATTAAATAAGTTTTTATTTACAAATTATATTTATTTATTGTTTTGATTTATATTTAACATTGACCAATAAATATTTCGTTTGAGTTAAAAGTTTGTGATATTTGAAATTCTCTATTATAAAGTACTGTTAACTGTGAACCTATTGCACTTGTAACATGTGAATCTTTAATCCGTAGTGCTTGACCTGTTTTTAGTAATCTATTCTTCATGATACTAATATAATTAAGTCCTTCTCCATCCATTATAAAAACTGATATGGAAACATAGTCTGCTAATATTTCATAATATTTATTTGAATAAGGTTTCAAGCTAGTTTGTTGAGATTTATGGTGGTCATTCAATTGATTTCCATCCAGATCACTGTTTTCTATCAAAATAAAGGCATTTCTATTGGTCATATTTATTATTTGAATTTTATTTTGATATTCATAAAAATATTCGCTAGGAATTTCTCTTATATTCATTTTATTTGTTATATATATTATTATTATATTATCTTATTATTTTTGTAGGTTGATATAATTAAAGTTACAACATCTCTACCAAAGTTTTTATACAACATTCTTTTCCAAACAAACTTAAAATATAAAGTGAAAGAAGCTGAAATTTTTAAATTTAAAAAAAGTCTCAAAGTTTCAAACTTTGAAATATCTTTATTTTAGACGATCGTTTATCCTATATTTAGCAGAATTTGGGTCAACCAACCATTGCATTTTATTAAATCAAAAATTAAGTTTTTTTTTTACAACTTTTTTCCCACCTATGAAATTTTGTGTTTTTTAATTTTGATGAAGATCAAAGAATTAAGAAAAGTGTTTTAAGATTAAAGATTTAAAATTTTTATTATTTCTAAGTCTTGGAACAGAAACAGAAATAGAACAGTAAAAGCAACAGCTACAACAACGTTTATATCTTCTTTTTGATTCTACAATCTTATTACAAAGTTGTATTTTATTGAAATAAGAACATTGAGGTTTGATTATATTTGTTTACTTTTTTTCACGAACTATATACTGGAGTACATTGAGGTGTTGTCTTGTTTGTATCTTCAGGTCAAATAAGAAGTTGATGATATCCATGTAATAAGTCTTATTCAGTGCGCCAGCGTGATAACTTAATTCGATCTTTTAATACTTAGCAGAACGGAAAAATAATCTAAAGTGTATCTTTGCTATGTGATCTACGCACATACGCATTTTTCATTCTTCTTTGTTGATAAGGCATGCTTCGTTTGAAGAAGATGATTCTTTTTATATTTGGTATAATCTATCGAATCAATACATATCTAAAATCTAGTTTGTTTAAAAAAAAAAATAGTGTATGTTCGTTTATGTGGGAGAAATCATAGATATTTATAACCAAATTCACTACATAGTACAATATATATCCAAATTCAGTATTTAGAGCTACGATATAATCTCTGTAGGTTTTGACAAATCAGTGTTTTAATCAAACTATCTCCTCTTGATATTCTCAAGACAGGCAGGGAAAGTGATGTTATTAGAGGCATTGTCGACAGTCATCGATACTAATTTATTGAAAAACGAGTACTTCTTCATTGTATCCTTAAAAACCACAGAAAGGGCCTTTCGCTAGTGTGTGAGTTGTAAATGAACCAGATCCAAAAGCAGCTTCTTCAACTAACTACTCTTGACCTCGGAACTAGTTAGTTCGTGTTGTTGATGTTGCTGTTACTGTTTCTATTTTTGTTGGAAAAATTAATGCTATGTTTTTTAAAAAAAAAAAAAAAATTAAATTATTATCGATGTTATTGGAAAATCTTTATTTTTATTTTATTTTATTTTTATTTTGCAACTTGACGATAGATAGCAGATCAGATAGATAGGTATCTAATGATAATAATCATTGATTGTCTTAATATCGATATGATTCACCCAGTTGTTTTTATTCCTGATGGTCGGATGTTTTTGGATAACACCATCAAGCTTTTCAATGAGATTATTTTTGTAGGCATCCTCTGGATCGCAATAGTCGTCGTATTCGTCATCACCTTCAAAAGTAGATCTCAATTGGATATAGATTCTCTGCAATGTCTTGTTGCTTTGGAGGTTTTTTACGAATTGATCCAGCGATTTAATCTTGTTTAGGGTTGGGTGAACGTGAACTACCACCCTGAGTATTTCCGTGATATCATTATCCTTCAAAAGCTCGGCAAGCTGTTGGAATGTTACTTCGAAATCGACTTGCAATGATTTGACTGATTTCGGAAGAACCATAGACTCCAGTGGTTCATCGCTATTTCGATGATGATGATCGATATTGTAAAGATGCAATCTATCCAAAACTCTGTCTAGCAATGGTAGATTGTAGTTGGCGATTATATCCAATTCGTTGATTGACGATCCTTTCTTGAATAGAGTCTCTAAATATTCGTGTCCTCTTGGAATATGACATTCACTACTGTAATCAAAGCATTCCAAAGTATTTTGTTGACCCAAGAACTTGACCAACTCCTTAACAAAGACACCGTTGAATTTACTTCTAAAATTGTGGTTCAACTTGAATCTCTTCAATTCTGTGAATTTCGACAATAACTTGAAGAATTTGCTTACAAAAGGCTGCTTAACTCGGTCAACGTCAAAGCCAGTGAGTTCCAAACTATTCAAACCAAGGAATGGCTCTGCAAAGATGAACGAAAACATATCATCCATCAGCTCATCACAACCATCTGTAATGAAATCAAGAGACAGGTGTTTAAGTGCTGATGTATCCAAACAAGCAAACTTCTCATAGTTGTAAGTGTTATTTGCAATATACATATCTCTAACTACTAGACTCTCCAATGATAATATGTTGTCGCTCTTAACTCCACTATCAACACTATCTTTGACAACTTCCTTTCTCTTGGTGTTTTTCTTTATTTTCTTTTCAACTCCTTCTTCTTTTTCTAAAAAGAACACCTCTTCATAGTGTAATGATAGTTTCTTGACGGAACCAAATATCGATTTGAAAGATCTGACTGATTTGAATGGTTCGAAATAATCGTCCTCTGCAATGAGATGGGTTGCAGTTCCATAGAACTCCAACTTGTTTTCCTCGTTGTCTTTGTCAATATAATCATAGTCATCCATAGTCAATCTTATTGCTGTCCTATTGGCAATCGATGTGCGAACACCAGTATGGAATAACTTTGATACTGTGGCCAACTCTATGATCCAATCTTGATAGTTTTGGCATAGTACATCTGGATTTGTATCACTGGTTAATCTAATTTCATCTCTCAGCGAAACACATTCTGCAACAAAATAATCTAATATTTTGAAAAGAATAATCTTTGGTAAACTCTTTTCAACTTTACTGTCTGACATTATTCTATTTTATCTATTATCCAACTTCAAAAACTAAAATGAATGATTTTAAATCATTTTAAACCAAAGTAAAGTTATTGATCGAACGATTACAAAAATTCGAAAGAAAAATCTCTGCTTCGAATAAAATCTTTAAATATCTTAAAATTTTTGTAACCATTGATTCTGACAAATCAGAGATTATTTTTTTTTTTTTTGCAAAAATAGATATGATCAGCAGAAAAATCAGAGAAAATAATCAATAGTGGTTTTTAAAACTTTTTTTTTTGGATATTTTATTTTCGCGGAAAAATGAATTTACAATTAAAGTTAGGCTCTGACAGAACCAGTTAGGTTAATGATATAATAATAGTGAGTGAATAAATAGACAAAATTGGTGACCGTTTACGATTATTATGAGTAAATAATCTGGTTTGGTAATCTCGATAGATGTTGTGTATCTCTTCTCTTGGTCTGTCGCGATGTTATTATCTTTTTTACCTTACCTGAATGCTCGACAACTTTAGACTTGTCAGTCTTTGCTTGTTATAACAATATACACATTAATAGATTCTAATCTGTAGGAAATCATGTTGAGCATTTCTGATTTTAAATATGTGAGTAACACTTTTGTTATAACTGTAACCGGGTAGCACATACTCTTGTCTTTGTAGGCATCTTTTGAAACACTAACTAAACTTCAATCATTATCTTATTTCATCGATCTAGATTATTTTATCTTGCCAAAAGTAAGTAAAGTAAGTAATATCTGGATAATAATCGTTTCGTTTTCGAAGGCAATAATGCTAAATAAACAAATAAGCATGCTATTCTCTCTTTCCACATAAAAATTAAATAGTTTTATTTTTAATATTACCATTGATTTTCAATGTGGTTGTTTGTTATCAAACGTGTGTGATTGATACAATTTTCTATCGGTTTATTATTATTATTATTATTACATGACATCTATGTAAATCAATGTCTTGAAATTACTGCTTGCTTATATATATTTATATATACTCTACTTTATATTATATGCTTATTAAATATTACTTTTACTATAATTTATATATTGTTATGATATTATGTTTCATTGCTTTTTTTTTTCAGCTTTAACCTTCTGCTCCGGTATTAACTTGGCTGACAGCATTGGTTTGTACCACCTGGAATAGGCCGTTGTAATAGACGGCCTGTGGATTCTCTTCGGCAAGAGTGATATGCGACTGTTTGATTCTTAGACACTGACCTCTGTTGATCTGTCGATTCTTAATGACCAAAAGATAGAATCCATTTTGAGCGATGACAAACACCGATACAAACGATTCAGGACTGTGTACTTCGTATGTTGTCGCCGTGTTGTTTCCTGCGACTGCACCATACTGTGCCAATTCATCTAATTGTTTGGGGAACTGTTCGTGTGCTGACCTCGGTCGAATGAGCACGTGTACGGGTCGATTGGTGGTGTTCAGTATTTGAAGTCGCATCACCTCACCAGGCACTATAGTAGGATCGGGAATCACCACGGCAGCTTGTAAATTATTCGCCATATTCTTTCCTGCTTCTGCTGTCTCTCTAACCACACTTTATATCTTTTACTGTTTACTTTTAATTGACTAAAATTAACAATATATAATAACAATTACAAAATATTTATTTATAGTACAGTTGGGTTGTGGAAGATCTTCTGATTGCTGAACACATTATCAATCAGGTGTTTTTCAAAAAAGGTCCTTTTTTTGAATTTTTTTTTTAATTTAATTTGCAAAATTATCTTATTTTTTACAAAAAAAGATTTATACCATCAGTATCTCTAATTTTGTATAAATTCAATTAATGTTAATTAATAATAACAATGTTGTTTTTAAAGTTAGATTTCGTTTATTATTAAATATTTGGAATATTGGTTTTATTTAATTTAATTTGGTTCAAACGATTTTGATTCACTTTTGTATTATTCTTTTTAATGTATTTTTTATACAGGTGTTCTACATTGTTTATATCTATCATTTAATAATATGTATCATTTAATATATTCTTTCCTTTTTTTAATAATTGATTAAGTTATGATTGAACCATTAGTTAAATATTTTATTGATTGTGAATATTTAGTATATATATTTAGAATTCTAAATAATCGATTATTGGTTTATTTTACATTTTTTTGATTGAATATTAATGGGTGTTGGTACTACTACAGTGTATCTATAAGGAATGTTACCATTACTATATAATTTGTTTACTATTCTATTCATTTAACCTTCTGCGCCAGTCTCTATATGATTGGCTGCAACAAAATTATTGACAGGTGGTGCAACATTATTGGCAGCAGGCACCGCTTCTATTATCTCTTCGAATTGTGCATTGAAATATCGTGGTAGTCGTTCTCTAGCGAGTTTGATGTGTGATTGTTTGAATCTGAGGCAGTTACCTTTGCTGACTTGCCTATCGAAAAGGACATTGTAATAGCGTTGATTTTCAGTGATGAACACCGATACATGGGAGTCGTCACTGCTCACCTCGAAGACGATTGTATCATTTGCTTCGACGCTGCCATACTGTGCATTCGCTGTTAGATTGTGTGGGTACTGCTTGAATGCTTTGTCCGATCGTATCAGCAAATGAATGGTTTGATCAAATGTATTCAGTACCTGCAGTCTATTATTTACACCAGGTATAATAGTAGGATCAGCAGCCACCACTGCATACGGTATAACATTATTATTTTGCATTATTCTTTGTTTTACACTATGCTATTTTTTTTACTATTACTATTACTATTACTCTTACTTTTTACTTTAATTGACTAAAATTAACAATTATATTTACAATTACAAAATATTTATTTATAGTACATTGGAGTGGTGGATGATCTTCTGATTGGTTTGACTGTTTCAACATGAAAACACATAATCAGGTGATATTTAAAATTTTTTTGCAAAATTTTTTTTAGTATCTTTTTTTTTTTAAAAATATTTTAATAGTATATCTATTTTGATACAAAAACAATGTATACAATCGCCGTAAACGATAATTTTTTAATATGGCGATTTTTACAAGTTTATAAAAGTTTATTTAAATTTTATTGTTTTTCATTTTGAAAGATAGATATTTTTGTTCAAAGAAATGTTAATTAAATCTTTGGTTGGATTGATTAATTAAATATTTGATTGATTTTTATTATATACTAAATCAATCGCTGGTTTATTTAATAGGTGTAGTAGTAGTACAGGTGTATTTATCTAAAACACATTACGATTACAATGTTACTTTACTATATTATTATTATTATGTTTACACTTGTTTGTTTAACCTAGTTCTGCACCTGTGTTTAAATTATTGTGAGGGGCGTCGATCTCTACATATCGTGCATTGAAATATCTAGGTAGTCCCTGTCTGGCGCGATTGATGTGTGATTGTTTGAATCTGAGGCATTGGCCTCGGTTGATAAGTCGGTCTATAAAGACGTTATAGTAGTGAGGATGGTCGGGGATGAACACCGATACATAGGAGATTTCGCTGCTCACCTCGTAGACGGTCGATTGATTGCCCTCGACACTGCCTTTCTGTGCTTTCGCTGCCAATTGATCTGGGTACTCTTCGAATGCACTCTCTGATCGTATCAGCAAATAAATAATTTGATTCGTGGTATTCATTATTTTTAGTCTATTTACTACACCTTGTACTATAGTATCATCACCAGCCACCACTGCATCTGGTATATTATTATTATTATTATTAATATTATTTTGCATATTATCACTACTATGTTACACTTTTAACTTTTACACTTAAAAAAAAAAAAATATATGTATAAATAGAATAAAATCAGATGTACATCGATGTTCAAAGCCAAGAAATATATTGATTGTGAAAAGTAAAAATAAAAAAAACTTTTCATATTTTAAATATCAACTTTTTTTTTTTGATTTATTTATTATTAATAGTTAAATGTGAAACTTTATAAACATAGTCATTTTATCTTTTATTTACAATATCTCTGGAAATCAAACCAATTTTCTCAATGTGAAAGTATCCCATTTTTAGGTAATTTTTTGAATTTGAAAAGGTTGGGTTGACATTGTAATTTCCCGAAGATTGTTAAGTAAATGTTTTCAATAAATATCTTAGAACTAATTAGTTAAATATTTGATTGATTGTCATATATATATATATAATCAATCTTGGTTTATTTTTACATTTTATTGAATACCTATAACATTACTATTATAATATGTCTACTGTTTTTTGTAACCTTCTGCGCCAGGATCTATTTGATTGTGAGCAGCATTATCGACGGGTGGTGGTGGTGGTGGTGGTTGTGTCTCTACGAATTTCGCATTGAAATATCTTGGTAGTCCCTGTCTAGCGCTATTGATGTGTGATTGTTTAAATCTGAGGCAGTTACCTTGACTGATTAGTCTATCCATAAAGACGTTGTAATAGAGTTGCTTGTCGATGATAAACACCGATACATAGGATTTTACGCTGCTCACCTCGTAGATGGTTGAAGATTTTCCATTGACACTGCCCTTCTGTGCGTTCATCGCCGGTTGATCTGGGTACTGATTGAATGCTGTGTCCGGTCGTATTAGAAAGAAAATAGTTAGATCCGTATCATTCATTACCTGTAGTTTACTTTCATCTGCACCAGGTACTATAGTTGGATCAGCAGCTACCACTGCATTCGGTATAACATTATTATTTTGCATTACACTACTATTTTTAATTTGTTACACAACTAATGTTACACCTTTTACTTTTACTTTTAATTTACTTTTACTTTTACTTTTTACTTTTTAATTGATAATATTTACAAAAATAACAAAATATGTATATAATATAAATAGAATCATAGGAGGAGTGTCTGTTGATTTACTGATGTTCAAGGCAAAGATATTTCTTTGGTTATGAAAATTTTAATTTTTAAAAAAAACTTTTTTTGTTTTTAATTTAAATAAATTTTTTGTACTTTTAAAACAACCAGAGATTCTCATTATAGATAATACATTAAATTAGTTTATATAATCGTGAGATAAATAATTTTATTATTTTATCCATAACTTAATATATAAATAATAAATAAGAATTCTGAAAAATGTGAAAATCCATGGATAAACTTTTTTTTATAATATAATTTATTAATTTAGAATCTAGTCAATCATAGTGATTGTTCTATTAATATTAAATATTCTATATTTATATCTTTACAATGTTTATTAATTTGATTGACTTTCTCAAAAAATGAGACAATCAAAAAATTTAATTTCAAAAAAATTAAAAAAAAAATTTTCAAAAAAAAAACGACCGACAAACATTTACTTTAGTTTTTTTTTTTGATTAATTACTCTTTGTTCGTCTCTTTTTTTTAATTTTGTTTATTTTATTTAATTTATTTATTTATTATTATAAAGATAATTAGATCAAAAAAAAAAAACAATATATATTTATTGATATAAAATAAGACAATAAATATGGGTAAAACAACAAAGAAATCAAAGACCTTGTCATCTTTGGAGGAAGAGCATCTTCGTATGGTTCGTGGTGGAGAATCGAAAGTTGAAGATGTCACCGAGTTTGAGAATCTCTTTGACGATAAGAGCAAGAAGAATCAACAACCAGTAGACGATGACGACGAAGAAGCATTATCCTATTTTAAGAACAACTCTGTTAGTTCTTTTGTAAAAGCTGATTTTGAAAATGAGTAAGATCAAATCATCCATAACTATCATTTATTAATTATAATTAATGTAAATATATTAATATAATCAATCATCTAAATATAATAGTAAGAATCTTGGAATGTCATTGACTAAACAAATGGAGAAAGAAGGAATCACTAAAGCATTTGGTAAAAAAGTTAGTTCCAAAGGATTGGATCAAGACAATGATGATGACGAAGATGAAGATGACGACGAAGATGAAGAAGATGAAGATGACGATTATGAAGATGACGATGAAGATGATCATTTAGAAGAGAATTTCTCAAAGTCAAGAGGTGGAAGATCATTTGAAACCGATGATATAGTTGTATGTATTATTATTATTATTATAAAATATTTGTGTTAGAGTTTGATTGTTAATATTTTGATTTTCTAGAAACATAGATTACCTGTTATCTCTGCGGATGGTAGTAAGAAGAGCAGAAAAGATGTCTATATCAATCAGGAGAAGAAACAAGAGGAGATAAAGGGTGTACAGAAGCATCCTAAACAGATTATCAAGGAGCGAGAAGAAGCTATGAAGTTGGAGAAACAAAAACAACAACAGGCAAACAAGAAACAAAAGTTGGAACAAGATAAGAAAAAGATGATTAATACCAAGCAACAACAAGATGATAGTGAAGAGGAAAGTGAATCTGATGATGAAGATGAAGAGGAAGTCAATGGTGAACAATTAAGTTATACTGCAATGGATTTAGATGAAGAGGAATCTGAACTATCAGAAGAAGAGGAAGAAGTAGATTCAAAAGGTGGAAAAAAGAAGAAACTTACAGAGGCAGAGTTATATTTACAGAAACAACAAAATATTGAACAATCGAAAATAAGAATCGCTCAAATATCAATGAAAATTACAGAGAATCCCGAAAATAATGTAAAGTATTAAAGATTATACTTAAGAATATAAGTAACTAACATAAATATTGTTGATTTAAACAAAAAAAGATTGGATTGTTAAATGATATTTTTGCGATTTGTTTGAAAAACATTGATATGGTGGTGAAGAGACTTGGTGTTTTGTCGTTGTGTGCCATCTTTAAGGATATTATTCCTGGCTACAAGATTAGTAGTCAGTTGCACAAGGAGGATAAAGATTCAAAGGGAGAGAAGACTGGTGCCGACGGTAAGGACAGAAAGAAAGAGACATTGAGCAAGGAGATCAAACAAACACGTATCTACGAAGCGAAACTACTGAAGTTCTATCAGAACTACTTGGTGTTGGTGGAGGGTACCGTCGATAATGTGCTGGCGTTGCAATCGAACCGCAAACCATCGCATCACAATGCATTCTTTACTAAACACCAGGTCGTCGAGGGTAGATATACTCCTAGAGATTTGACAGCTATTCTCGCTGTCGTTGTGAAAGCTGCGTCGTCGTTGTTGGTCAGCAAACCTCATTTCAATTTCCGTACTAATTTGGTTACGTTGACCGCTCGTTTCACTGTGTATCGTGATAAAGCGATTGCATCGGATTGCATCAAAGCGGTGCACGACTTGTTCCGTAACGATACAACCGGTGGACAGACTGCACTCGAAGTCGTGCGTTGCATGTCGAACGTCGCCAAAGCAACCAACTACATGTTGGATCCAACCGTGCTAAGAGTGTTCAGTTCGATCCACTTGACCGACGCCGTCGAGAAGGTGAATCCACTCGGTGCCGCCACCGACTCCACCAGTTTCCTCTCGTCCAAGAAACGTCGTCATTTCACACAGAAAGAAAAGAAGGAGCGTCGTGACGAGAAGAAGTTGGCCAAAGAGATGAACGAAGCCGAGGCAGAATACACCATGAAGGAGCAGCGCTATCTCCAAACCGAGATCCTCAAGAGCATCTTTATCACCTACTTCCGTATTATCAAACAGGCTCCCCACTCGCCGGCGCTGACAGCTGTGCTCGAAGGTCTAGTGAAATTCGCACATCTCATCTCTGTCGACTTCCTTCCCGACTTGTTGGCAGCACTCGCTTCGTTGATTGGACGTGACAACATCTCACTTGGCAACGCTCTCAACACCTCGATTACAGCATTCAAAACCGTGAAGCAACATGGACACACTTTGAACGTCGACTTGAAAGACTACTTCTCAAAGATCTACTCGTTGTTGCCGCAACTCGTACTGCCCCGAGAACAACAATTTTGCTTGCCAGCTATCGCAGCACTGCAATACATGTTGGGAGAACGTAAACATACTGCCGTCGACAGAGTCGCTTCTTTCATCAAGAGAATTCTGACACTCTCCACTGGACTGCCAACTAATGTCGCACTCGCACTCATTACATTCTGTAAGCAGCTGTTTGTTTCATTCCCAAGAGTTCAATCGCTGGTTGACACTGACAACTCCTACCGTTCCGGCGACTACAACGGCGAGACACCAGATCCCGACCACTGCAACGCGTTCTCCACATCGCTCTGGGAGTTGACACTGTTCTACAATCACTGGCATCCACAGTTTGAACCGATTGTCAAGCGTTTCCTCTCGTTCAATGAAACCACCGCCGCTCAGGTGAGTCGCGACAAGAACCCACTGGAGATCTACCAGTTGTTCGATAGTTCACTCGGTGGATTCAATCCACCCATTCAGCCACCGAAAGAACACATACTGGAAGTGAAACTCAAGAAGCAACGCGAAGCCGTTGCAGCAGCGGTAGGTTCCAAGAAGAAAGCCAAGAAGGAAGTACCATTGTTTATTCAGGTGTCACAGTCAGAGCCATCCAGCTTCCTACAGAGTATCACCGGTAAGATGAACAAGACAAACGACGCCGATATTTCATTCTCTGGTTACTTTAACGATATTGCCAACTATGAAAAGCAAATGCATCTAAAGAAACAATTGGATGCACTAAAGAGAAGTAAATTAAAGCTGCAAGAGATCGAATTACAAAGATATACCAAAACAAAGAAACCAACAACTACTCAAACAGCCACCGCCGCCAAACCAACTGCAAAAACAACAACAAAAGTAGCGCCACAATCTAAAACTCAACAACAAACTGCAAAACAACTAACAAATATCAACAACAATAACAACAACAATTCAAAACCAACAACAAAACAACCTTTAAATCAAAAAAAGAAAGTAAATTCTAAATAAAATAGATTTAAATAAATATATTATAATTATTAAAAATAAACTAAAGGTGTTAGTTGAATTTATATTTTAGAAATAGATTCAAACTATTTTTGTATATAAACAAACAAACAATATTAACAAACAAAAAAAAAAAGAAAAAGAATGAAAAGGAGTAATATTAAATGTTTTTGTTAAGATAAATATGATTTACAATCATTGTTTTATTTATTTAAATATTTGTATTCGGAAAGGGAAAAGTAATCAATCAAGAAAGGTTAATCTACTTTATATTGTTAAAAAAAGAAATATTAGTATGATGATATTAAATAATTATATTTTGTTAAAGTTTTGAATAAAGTAACTATTAAAGAGTCAGACTAAGAATATCTTCAATTATATACAGGTAATGTAGATAAGTGTGTTGTATGTCATCAGATCAATAAAGTTATTATTATTCTAAAACTATATTATTTTTTTGAAACTTACATGTTCATTATGCTTTGTACAAAATAATCAATGATTTCACCTTTTTAAAATAGGAAGCTTCGTTCGTTTTGAAAAAAAACAAAATAAAATAAAATAAAATGAAAAATAAAATAAAAGTAAAATGTTTGAAAAATATGAAGTTCGATTAATTTATGTAAGTATTTATTTATTTAATCAATATGATTGCATTTGTGAGAGTTAGACAGAAGAACTTCCGATCTTATGCAAACTTCTATCAACCTTCTACATCTAATCAATTCTCTATCTTCAACCATTAAACTATTATTCAAGTATATATATATTTAGTACATACAAGATTGAGTGTGCTTTTTGGATATGGTATGAGAACGCATCACTGTGATCTGCGCTAGGGTTTTGGTAGTTCCTCTTTGCCGCGATACGTAGGACCTTCTCCTGTTTGTTTAGACGAAGCTTTTCTTCTAATATATTCTCCTCTAAATATATATTATGAACAACTTAAACACAAACAATTCATTTTACATCACCTAGACTTTCATTCATAACTACCTCTTCAATACAATCATATTGATTAAATAAATATTAATTTATCTAGCTATTACATTCATCAGTTTATTAATTTATCAAAAGAGTATCTATCCATGATGGTCATCAGATTCAATAAATTTACACCTCTAAATCTAAAAAAATAAATAATAATTATGAGAATATTAAAGATTTATAAATATAAAAATATATCTATTATTGAACAAAAGTTAAGAGGTATAGATGTTGTTGTTAATAATATTACTGATGTGGTTAATTTGTGATTTTGATTATCTCAAGTAATTTAATAACCCTTTTTTATAATTAGCACAGATGACAAAAAAAAAAAGATTAAAGATTATTAACACCTTCAACTTGAAAATAAGAATATTAAACACTATGTATAAATCGGCCACTATTATAAGGGGTTTATATCCTCTTTTATTATCAATAAAATTGAGATTCAGTAGATTGTGGAGCCAATAACTAACAATCAATCAAGTTGAATTCTTTTTTAAATTAATTAATAACAAAATAATATTTCTAAAGAATGATTGCTTACACTTACCTTTAGCTTATAAAATAACATTGTTTATTTTAATTGATTATTTAAAATATTATTCTATATAACCAATAATAGTTAAGTTATATATTTATTTTCAAATAATAATTATAATATAATAGTATCATTAATAAAAAGAAGATGGAAGGTAAAGTAATTTTGGTAACTGGTGGTGGATCGGGAATTGGTAGAGCGATTTGCTTGGAGTTGGCAAAACAAAAGTGTAAGGTTGGTGTTGCCGATATCAATGTTAAAGGTGCGCTCGATACTATTGATTTGATGAAGGAAGTCAATAGCGATGTTGATACTGTTGCTATCAAGTGTGATATCTCCAACATTGTCGAAGTCGAGAAAATGATGGTCACTCTTATCGACAAATTCCAAAGAATCGATGGTGCTGTCAACAACGCTGGATATCTTGGTACACCTTCAAAGATTGGTGAAGCTGATATTTCAAATTTTGATAAAGTGGTATGTATACTCTGAATATAAATTTATTAGTACTTCAAATTTATTAACAATATTAAACAAACATTGTCATTAGATTGATATCAATTTGAAAGGTACATTCTATTGTATGATAGAAGAGATTAAACAAATGGAAAAACAAACCAGAGAAGAAAAAGATGATTTCTGTATTGTAAATATAAGTAGTGTTGCATCAATGCTTGGGTATGTATTTAATTTAATGCTTTTTAAATTAATTAAAATCAATCATTTGGAAATAAGTTAAAGTTTGAAAATATTAATATTCATTTGTGAAATTTAATAGCGTTCAATATTTTGCACCCTATGCATGTATTAAGAGTGGAATCAATGCATTCACAAAGACAGGAGCATTGGAATACGGAGAGAGAGGTATTAGAATCAATTCCGTTGCACCTGGAACTATCATGACTCCAATGCTGGGACAGTTGCTACCGACTGAAGATCACATGAAGATGTCAGCCAACAAATCAGCCATGAAAAGACACGGTAAGCCATCAGAGATTGCCGATGCAGTAACATTCCTATTGTCACCAAAAGCAACATTTATAACCGGACATACAATGGTAGTGGATGGTGGATTTACATTATTTTAAAAGAAATTAAGATAAATAATAAAAAGTCAGTTGAATAAATTCATTAATTTAAACTTAAGTTGGGGAGTGGAGTGTTTTTTATTTGATTTAATATACAACAAATTGTTTGGATTGACACATTGTTTTAGTTTAGTTCATGTGTAGTCTAATTTTGTTTTTAAATTCTTGTCTACATATTGGACAGAGATGACGACCGCCAACCCAAGAAAGACATTCGCCACAGAATAGATGTCCACAATCGATTGCCATATCTTTTCTTCTATCCATACAAATTGGACATAGTGTATTTTCTCTTTCTTCCTCCAGCTGTCTCATAGTCATTGTCAGTTGTTTATTAAGATTTTCATTCTGTACATCGAAAGGTCCTTCTACATCGACCAACTTTCCACTTTTATCTTCTTGTACCAATGCAACGTTTACAACAGTAGTTTCATGGTGTACAACAGCAGCGACACCACTACCAGCAGTCAATTCTTTACCTTGTTGTAACAGCTTCATTTGTTGTCTAACAATCTCAATATTTTTCTTTTTCTTTTTGTTTTTGTAATTGTTGAGGTGATGGTTGTTGTTGTTGTTGATTCATTGGTTGTTGGTTCAACTGATTCATCTGATTCAATTGCAGAAAAGATGGAGCAGTTGGAATTTGAGTGGTATTGATAAATGGCGAAGTTGTAAATCCAATGCTACCCATTGTACTCATATTGCCGAGTGTGTTCATTCCACTCATGGAATTGAGTTGATCGAGTTGCATCTGTGATTGCTGTTGGAGTTGTAGGAGCTGTTGATCCATTTGCTGTTGTACGAGATCCTGTTGAATGATGGTCTGACTGAACATGGCATTCGATTGCTCCAACTGAAGTGAAGCGGCTTGCATCTGGCTCTGTTGGAATAACGACATATTCGAAGACAGACCGCCCATTCCCGACGCACCACTAACAATACCCATAGGAACACCTATTGAATTATACATTATCTGAGAACCACCAACACCAACATCATTGCTATTTACACTATTTACACCCAAACCACCATTCATAGTAGTCATCTGACTCAAACTATTCAAATCATTATGCATCATATTTGTTGTTATAATCGATGATGTTGTTATATAATTATTACCAATACTATTATTGTTATTACTATCACTTTTGCTATTAATATTACTAATGTTGTTATTGAATAATGTATAAGTATTTGGATACATATGAGAATGATTTATGAGTTAAGTAATAGTTGTGTTTTTTTTTGTTTTTTTCTAATAGACTTGAGGTTTGCAAAGTAATTTTTCAATTCCTACAAATTTAAGCAAAAAATTAAAAATTAAAATAAAGATTTGTGCCCTTTGTTAAATTAGGTGATTAAATCAATTTTGTGTAAAAAAAATTAAAAATAGTGTATTTTTGTTTTAGCCTGGTAGTGTGTGGTCTTTTTTCATATTAATTAATTATACCCTGGTATTAATTTCATATTTGATTTTGAAATTTCGTGAGTTTAATAAATTTAGAGAGTATTAAATTTATTATTATTCTTAACTTTCTAAAATTTATTTTGGATTGATATTACCAAAAACAAACAAATTAAATTATAAAACTAACAAACTAGACAGATATAGGATTTAATCAAAAATACAAATATTAATAAATTTATAACTATCAAAATATTAAAAATGATTTACAAGTAATATATTTATTTTTAAAACCAAATTTATAAATGTACAACTTTTTCTTTTTTTTTTTTTGATTTATTAATGTTTATAAAAAGGTTACAACAAATAATGTACGTGGTTTTTTGAGGTTTTAGGTTCCTTGTCAGAGAAATTGGGTGTTGCAAAGTTTGAATAATAAAAATTTCACCCGAAAATTTATAATTAAATTAAATAAATTTTTTAATAAAGACAACATGTACAGTTTGATTTTTTCTTGGTTCCCTTATTGATATAATTCCTGACTCATCAATCAAACTATTAGTTAACTACATCACATTTTACTAGAGTTTTACTGTTTTTATTAATTTGATCAAACAACAACAACAATTATTATTATAGTAATAATAGGAATAATAAATAACAAACAATTAGGAAATCAAAAAGTAGGTTGAGAAATTTCATTATTTCGTTTTTATATTTATTTATTATAAAATATTGTACAATTACCTTATATTGTTTAGATTTTGAATTATTTATCTTTCATATTTACAATAATTATTATCACACACCATTCACATTATACGATACAAAAACAATAGAATATCTCATCGCAAAACAAAAAAACAACACAACCCTAAAAAAAAAACAACAACCAACAGACAGCAAAGCAGAACTCATAAAACAACAACAACAAATATCATCGATATTGCTATTTACAAATTTGTTTACACTCGGTTCACTACTACCATTTAGTTATCTCTATTTTTATGAAATATCTCTATTTGTTTGTTTTTTCTTAAAGTGATCAAATAAGAATAATCAATTGATTATTCTACATTAATTTCAACTTTCAATCATATTCCTATCATAACAACTGTCAATTGACAAACAAACAAACATAAAAGAAGAAGTTTACGAGTTAATTTAAAAAGAAAAGTCCAAATCTCTTTTTTTTAATTAAAAAAAAACCAAAAAAAAACAAACAATCAAAAAAACTAAAATTTCAACTTCCTCCTTTTAATTAGTTAAATTACTTTCATTTATTAACATTGATATCATTCATTTAAAATAATAAAAGATAGTTAGTTAAAAATATATAAAAATAGTAAAGTAAAAAGATAGAATTATAGATTAATCTAAAGAAAGTTAGAAAAGAAAAAAAGAAAATAGTGGATTAAAGATAAAAAAACAAAAAAAAAAAAAGATAGTATAATAATATTATTTTAGTTTCAGTTCTTTATAAACTATATATATAGTTCAACAACAATGAATTATGTTGAGAAGCTCTTTGATGAAGTACATTTCGTTTTCAATCTAAATGCAGCGACACTAAGTGGTGCCATCGATATCCTGGTGGTGCCACAACTCGATGGTTCATTAAAGTGCACACCGTTTCACGTTCGGTTCGGAAAGTTGCAGTTGATATCCTCCTCCGAAAAGGTGGTATCGATCTACGTCAACGCTGTCAAGACCGATCTTCAGATGAAACTAGGACATGCCGGTGAAGCGTTCTTTGTCGAAGAGACAGAAGAGCCCGTTCCCGACATCCTAGCGACCTCGCCAATAACTTCACCGAAACCAACACGTTCCAACCGATCATCGACAACATCTTCTTCCTCCTCCTCTTCTTCTCTCAATGGTAATAACAGCATTAATGCTGGGAATGGCAACAGTATTAATGGAAATGGTACACAAATTGTATGGAGTAGTACTACTCCTGGCAGCAGTAATAGCAACAACAATTCGACTTCTTTGTTGTCGTCGTCGTTGCTCCCGATGAGTGGAAATGTAAATACTCCTACGAATGCGAGAGCATCAAAGAAATCGACAGAGGAACTGGTGACAGAGTTTACCAATTCGCGATTCATTAGCAAGCCGATGCTGACTACGACAACGACGACAACAACGACAACCACCACTACCAAGTTGGAGTTGACACCGACACAGGTGGCGAATAAACACGAAATGAAACCACTCACTGCTGCACTCGAAGAGATTATCAAACAACAGAATGGACATAATATCAACAACAACAATTCATCAACCAGTCCACAACCACTTCAAATGACACCGACTGAGCATATGAGTACAAGTAATTCACCATTGAAATCTAATCCATTATCATCTTCAAAAGGTAATTTAGTAGATCGATATATTTTTATATATTTTATAACTGTTATTTTCTAACTCTATATGTTGCCCTTTTACTATAGATTCATCGCCAAATGGTGGAACTGTTGCGACTACATCGAAATCAAATGCAAAGAGAGCATCTTCACCAGTTTATTTCGAGGGTTATGAGGATATCACTTTGGATTCACCAATCAATAGTTATATTATCAATTGCGAATCGGAACCACAGACTCCAATTGAGTCGCCAATAGGATCACCACCAGATCTTACCAACAGCAATCATAATGGTAATCAAACAGTATCGATTATCGAAAACAAACAACATTTGGTTGTTAATGAATCTAGTGAAGTGTCATCCGATTCCGAATCGGAGCAGAAAGTTGGATTTTGGAGATGGGGAGGTTTGCCTAAATTCATTCGTAGGAATAAGAATGCAGCTGCTACCAATACTTCTACTGCACCTGCTACAACAACAGCAACAACAACTCAACAACAACATGTTATTGCAGCATCGACATCCTCTACAATGACAACATCAACATCCACTCTTATCGAACACACTACATCGACTACAACAACAAACATTGCCGCTGGAAGTCATAACTCTAATTCCACTTCTTCAACACCAACCGATAGTAGTAGTAATCATCATCATAATAATATAATCGATTCTTATGATAGCAATAATAATAGTCATATTCAACAACAGCAACAACAACAACAGATGGAATTATCTGAATCTGGTAATGGTATATCTATTTTGAATTCATCTACTGGATCGACATCGTCGTTGAATGGTGGTGAGTCTGGTGAAGGCGGTCAAGATTCATCGTCTTGGAGTAGAGTCGGTTCATCGTTTATGAAGATGTTCAACAAGAAAGAGTTGGAACCGACCTACTTGGTCAAACCACAATCGAGTCCACCTCCATCCGTACCAAACGATCTACGTTCCAGTTTGAATGCCAGTGCCGATGATAGAGAGATCTTCCTGTTGGAAGAAGAGGAAGAAGAACAAGAGAATCAAAAGAATAATAAGAATATTCAATTGAATGGTAGTAATGGTACAATAACATCATCAACAACATCAACAACATCAACAACACCACCACCACAAACATCCAACAACAGCAGCAATGGATTGGAACAATACAATACCAATCATCTACTTATGACAATGCCAACATCCAGTGAACACTCATATGCTTCGGTTGTCAAGCAAAACGTTGAAATTGGTGATCTCGTTGATGAATCTACATTGCCACCTTTGATACCGGTATCGTCTTCCGACTCACTGGTATCGATGGACAAGACTTCAGATGTAGAGTTTCCACCACTCAAACCAGTGGCTAATAGCAACAACAATAGTAACTCATCACCTAATAATCATTTTGCCAAATCCAATCATACCAATCATATCAATCATTTGAAGAACCAGAAACAAGTCATTCAAAACGGTATGCAATTGCTATCGAGTTCATTGCCAACGATTCGTCTTTCGCTTTGCGGTCATTTGATTCTCGATCGCAATCTCCAGTCGGAGCCAGAGGAACGCGAACGTTTCTTCCACGAACACATCGTTACCTATGAACAGCTGTGTACCGACATTGCAATGTTTAAGAATCCACATTTGGTTGCCAAAATTGGCGACGAGTACTATCCATGGTCGATTGCCGGCCATGTCATCATGTCGAATCTCGTATTCAACTTGCCTCTCACACCAGAGTCAATGGAACTCCTGAAGAAGCGTGACAAAGACGAGAGAATCGCAGTGAAATCCACTACCAACGGTAAAGCATCTTGGTCGAGCTGGTTGTGGAAATCATCAAATGAAAAGAATAAAGCAAATGCCAACCAACAAGCAAATCAACAGCATCCAAATCAACAACATCCAAATTTATCATCAACATCATCATCATCATCCTCTAAATCAACTTCATCACCTTCACAAGATCAACTCAATCATGTTGTATCATCACAATTACCAACACCATCAAATGTATCAACAGCAACATCAACTCATAGTCAAACAATTCCAACCAATACTTCTGGAGCAAAACAAGAACAGCAGCAACAATATATTAAGAAATCATTGAGACCAACATCAGAACAATTGAAATCACTTGGCTTGAAGAAAGGTATCAATAGAATTACTTTTGTTGTATCAAGCAAGCTACAGGGAACTCGTGAAGTATCGGCGTCAATCTATCTCTGGGAGAACACCTCAAAGATTGTAATCTCAGATATAGACGGTACCATCACTAAATCCGATGTTTTCGGTCAGGTTCTCCCATTCCTCGGCAAGGATTGGTCACATATCGGTGTCGCCGAGTTGTACTCCAACATCAAGGAGAACGGCTACAACATTATGTACTTGACATCGCGTGCCATCGGACAGGCCGGACTGACACGTACCTACATCAGCTCGGTGCGTCAGGCATCGTCGGCCAACGTGCTTAACACCGCCAACAACGCTACACCACCACTGCCATTCACATTGCCCGAGGGACCGGTGTTCATGTCACCCAATCGTTTGTTGACATCGTTCAATCGTGAGGTGATCAAGCGTAACCCTGAGGAATTCAAAATCGCATGTCTCCAAGACATCCAGAACATCTTCCCCGCCGGTTACTCGCCGTTCTACGCAGGCTTTGGTAATCGTTCCACAGATGTCGCCGCTTACAACTACGTTGGAATACCTGCTGGAAAGACCTTTACGATCAATGCCAACGGTGTTATCAATACCTCGAATACCACCTACAACAAGACCTACACCAAACTCAATGATCTCGTACAAGACATGTTCCCACACACCAGTGGTGGTAAGCACATCGAAGAACAATGGAATGAATATCACTATTGGAAGAAATCTGTTATTCCATTACATAAATTAGATCCAATATAAAACAATAACAATAACAATAACAACAAACAAATAATCATAATCATCATTATATCATAATATTAACTATTCCAAAAAACAAACATCTCTGTTGTACTTGTTGAACAAATAATTCACATAATAATAATAATAATATAATATATATCGTCACAATTTTCAAAATATTTTTTAATAAATAAGATACCATACCCATTTCTTTTCTTTTTTCTTGTATATATGTATGTATGTAGTTCACTTCTTATTACTTATTTGATTTGTGATTAAACCAAACAAACAAACAAACAAACAAACAAAATAAACTTTAATGTGTAAGGTTGTTGTGTTATGTATATTTACATTTTATTTCTTTTTGTTTATTAACTAACTAAACAACAATATCATTGATTTGATATAGTTAATTGTCATCGCAATGTTGTTGAATCGATTCAACAAATCTAACTTTGGTTTTATATCTTATTATTAATAATAAATATGTTTATGTTTTGATTCTGTTTTTTTTTAAAGTTTAATTATAGAGATGAGAATTTGGTGAGAAATAAGCCATTGCTAAACCAAGGAAACTCATTGATACCGATGAAGTCATTGCTCTTAATCCACCATCTGCAGACTTCATATTTGCCAACGATGCAATACAACAAACAACCGAAATCCAAAGTGCAATCTTATACTATTATTATTATTAATTTACAACATTCATTAGTAATCAATAATCAATAATCAATTGAACAAACATAATAATCATTGTATGTTTACATACTCTTGCGAAAATACCGATGAATGCAAATGCAAAACATAACATTGACCAATAATCTAGATTCTGAGCATCTTTCTCTTGTTGTGAGAGAGGTGGTCTCATTTCAAAGATAGCGGTTGCAGGTCTTCTTGGATCTCCTTTATTCATTATATATCTAGATATATTATATATATGTTTATATTGATTTAATTAAATAAAACGAGACTGAACTTTGTTTTTTTAATTTTTCACAATTCTCTAAAGAGTGAACAACTAACTCATACACCTGCCACACATCTAATTTTTTTGCAAAATTTTTATACGCATTAAGTTTAATACAAATTTGAGTTGATTTGGGAGTTTATTTTAGTAAAGTTAACTTTAGTTGTTAGCGACAATAATAAAACAAAAAGTAGTAGTAGTAGTAATACAATACATAAATATGGCAGAATTATCATTGGCAAGATTAACAGAGGAAAGAAAAACATGGAGAAAAGATCATCCTGTTGTATGTTAATTACCTTTTGTTTGTTTGTTATTAGTTACAACAACAACAACAACATCAACTAATTATATATCACTGTTATGTTATCTATCTTAGGGATTCTTTGCAAGACCAGAGAATAATCCCGATGGTTCAGCTAATCTATATAAATGGCTTTGTGGTATTCCTGGTAAAGAAGGTGTATGATATCATTTCATTCAATATAATAGATAACAGATAGACATTGTTGATTCTAATTAGCAATTACTTGATCATTTTCTAAATATATGTACAGACTCCATGGGAAGGAGGTGTCTACCCATTGTCGATTCAATTCAGTAGCGAATATCCAAGTAAACCACCAAGATGTTCTTTGCCACCAAACTTTTTCCATCCAAATGTATTCCCAAATGGAGATATCTGTCTCTCTATCATTAATGAGAGTGGTTGGAAGCCATCTATTAGTGTTAAACAAGTATGTAGTGGCAGTTAACTGCTGTTAAAAACAACATAATTAATCTATCAAAATATAATCTAACAAAACATCAAATCATCTCTTTTTACTATAATAAAGATTGTATTGGGTGTTCAAGAATTACTAGATACACCAAACACAAAGAGTCCAGCATCAAATGCATACAAGATTTACGAGTAAGTTTTCTATTTTTGTTTTAAATAAACTATATACTAATAGTTATTTTTCATTTATAAATCAATTACAGAAAAGACAGAGTTGATTATAATAAAAAAGTTAAAGAACAAGCAAAGAGATACCCTCCACAATTATAATTAACAGAAATCAAATGTAAATAATATAAAAGCAATAGATTTTATTTTGATGTCCTATTTATGACATCTAAACAAACAAACAATTAGTTAGTTTATCAATATCGTCATTAAGAATATATATCAATGAATGAATAATGAATTCAATATCTATTTAAAAGAAAGTAAAAAAAAAAGAAAAAAAAAAAGATAAATTACTGTACAAAAAAAAAAGTAATTTATCTTTTCTTTATATTTTATTATTATTACTATTATGTTCGTTCAGTTTCGTTTCGTTTCGATTTAATAATTTCTATCTATTCCTATGTTTTGATTTGGTTGACCGCCGTATGGCTGACCATAGGGTACAGCTGGAACACCTGCTTGCGGTTCGAAACCCGGTGGGTAGTAAGGTGTTGGTGCGGCTGCTGGTGGTACTGTTGGAATGTAGGCTTGAGGTGGTGGTTGTTGCGGCATCTGTGTGTTTGGTGGAATGTAAACGGGTGGCGGTGCTTGGCTGAATCCTGGTGGTTGGTATGGTGCTGGCGGTTGCGCGTAGACAACCTGTGGCGTGGTGACCATCACTACGGCCGGTGCCGCTGCGCACTTATTTCGCTCGAATCGTCTTCTTCTCATCCAGTACTTGATGAGCGACATCACCAGTGCAAATCCTACGCAACACGCTATAACGACCACTGCAATGCCGACACCGGTCAGTTTCGATGAGCAGGTATCGCACACCGCTATATACTGGTTATAGTAGCTGGGTGAAAAGACACCCGAGAATCCTTCACACTTGAATTCGGTGAGTGACTGATTTCTCTTGGGCGATGAATCGCATGACTGATAGAATGTTACTCTACTACCTTCACAACAACCTTGCCAAGTAGACATTATTATAATGATGATAATAACAATAGTAGTTGTTATATAAATAAAATTAAAATTACAAAGTTATCTATCTATAAAGAAGAAAATTAATTAAATCGATTATCAAATTAAATTAATTTATTTTTACCACAAGCAAAAACGTCATCCAAAGTCATTAAATCACCAAAATTTAGCAAAAAAAAAAAAAAACAAAATTCTTTTTATAACTTTTAGACTCGCACAAAAATGTGAAAAGTGTGATTCTTTGAATTTGAAGAGGTTATAGAGTGCTTGATTTTTTGGTAAATCAAATTGCTGATTTTTATTTTTTAGTTCACTGTTGCGGAATAAATGATATCTGAAAATCTTCGATGTGTAGATTCACCAGGGCAATTCGAAATATTCAATTCTCCCAAACTTTATTTCAATCCAATTGTGGATAAAAGAGACTTACATTTTCAAACATTCATCCTATGTTTCATCTAGGAATTTACTAAATATAACAATACCTATAGTTTTTTAATAAATAATCAAAACAAAAATTTTAAATTATTTTAGGCATTAGGTTGACAACTGCAATAAAAATTTCATCTAAATTTATTTATTTTTTTTGGAGGTGAAAAGGTATTGGAAAGGAGAAGATTGTATTAAGCATAAATATCTTTAATGTACTAATACTTAGAGTAAACCAAAATAATAATAATAATTGAAATGTGTCTTTTTCTAATTGCATTACTTTTTATTCAAAGCATAGAGTATTATTTCATTAAAAATAGTTGATTTGATTATTTATTCAACAATTAATTTGACTGATTTAGTTCTGGCATTGATCTCTGGCTCGTAAACTTCTTCAATGGTAGCTGGTGGAATTAAGAATTCACCTTTGCTTGTGGCTCTTAGGTTGTATTTGAATTCATGAGTTCCTGGTGCCATTGTCGATGAGAAAATTTCTGTTCTTTCATCTCTAAAGTTTATCTGTAGATTTTGTTTTAAAAAAAAAAAGTTAAATAATTTACACAATTTATAGGATTTCTATATATATATATATGTGAAAACTTACAAATTCCCAAAGTTCAGTGATTTTAACATCCTTAATATCAACAGACTGGTAAGAACCAGCTAGTTTATCAACCAATGCTGTATTGTATCTTGTAGACTCTGTGACAACAGTGAGTGTAACAGTGAATTGAGTACCAACTTTCATCTTTAATGTTGATTCTACTGGATCGAAATCGATATGATCATCTTCGGTTCTTGGAGCGAAACCTCTGTATACTTCGAATCCATTCGATTCTTGGTCGACCTTCAATTCAGTTGGAGCATATTTGATATTCAATCTGTAATATAATCTTCCTTTACCTTCCTTCTGAATCCAAATCTCACCCTCTGGATGTGATACTGTTGATGTTTGTGTTGGTGGTACGTCAAATGAAACACTTGGTGCAACAACTGCAGTTGTAGTTGTAGCAGCATTTTCAGAAGTAGTAGTGGTTGTGGTAGTTGTTGATTCAGCAGTAGCAGTAGTAGTTGTTGGAGCAGCATCAGTAGTTGTAGTGGTTGTGGTAGTTGTTGATTCAGCAGTGGAGTTGGTGGTATCATTTGTTGTTGGAGCGGCATCAGTGGTTGTAGTGGTGGTAGTTGTTTCAGTAACTGGTGCAACAGCTGGAGTTGTATTAGTTTCAGTTGTAGTTGTTGTTGGAGCAGCAGTGTTAGTTGATTCAGCAGTGGTGGTAGTTGTTGTTGGTGGTGCGGTAGTAGTGGTTGTTGGAGCAGTAGTAGTATTGTTCTCTGCGGCAAGTGCAGCGGCAACAGATTGACCTTTTCCTTTACCAATACTTCTAACATCTTCTTTGGTCTTTGATCTTGACTTGGTGGAGGTTGGTTTTCCTTCTGGAACGGTATGCTTGAATCCGAGATCCTTCTTGAAGAGAGCAGCAACTGGGACTTCCATTGAGTAGGAAATGGTTGATCTACCTTCAAACAATGGGGTTTGACCACAGTAGACACCATTTACTTCATTGCCTACAACGCTCTTGATCAACCATGCACGAGCCAACGATTTAGGTGTACTCTTTTCAAAGACCGATGAATACTCTGCGATGGCAGTGATAGCCCAACAATTCGATTGAATATTAGTCCACACACCATTGGATTTTCTATCCAACAAACCGATGAGAATCTTTGGAATCATATCGCTGTTCGACTTGCAAGCGACCATCGATCTGAGAATCACTGAATTGGTTCTGATTGGATCGTGGAACAGCTGAGTCTTGATAATCTTATCGTAGTAACTGATAAATGTGATGGAGTTCTCTTCGATCGTGGCATTCTTGGTGAGGTAAGCAACGATTTCATCACGCTTCTTTGAGAATTGTGATTCCACCAGAGTACCAAGAATCCATGCCAAACTCTCGAGTGTCAACTCACTGAAGGAATGCGCTTGGTAGAAACGAACGGCAAGATCGGATATCTTGGTTCTGTTCTTCTTGTTGCTTGTGAGCTGGTAGAGTGTGTAGATGGCATAGGAAACGGTTGCCAACTCGGCGTCGTTCTTTGATGTGAGATGCTTGTCAACGTAGGATTGACAGAATTGTGTGCATTTGGTGATCACTTCACCCTTGACAGTGTATCCACAGTCGTTCATCAACGCCAGGGCGTGAGCGGCATGGACCGACTCGAAATCACATTTACCAAAGTATTTGGAGCTCCAAGTGTGGAAGTCACCTTGTTCAGTCTGACGATTGGCAAGAGTTACACTGAGTTGACCAATCTTCTTCTTCACCTCACGATGCGAGGGTAGCTGTTGGAGTTTCTGGTCACCCATGATCTGGTAGAGAGAAACGATACCGATTGCTTGTGATGCAAGATTCTCGGTTCTCTCGTATGGGTAGTTGATCAGCGACAATGCAGCATCCGAGAGATGTTGCAACAGAGTTGAACTGATATCCAATTGGAATGAACCAAAGTATGGAAGTGAATCGTGTGGCATCTTGACTTCTTGGATTGCACCGACTTGTTCATCGATGGTTCCATAGATGGAAGAAGTCAAAGTGGTGGGAGGTTGATTGACTGGAATGAGAACTTCCATTGCATCACCATACTTTCCGCTGACACAACTGAAATGAATAGATGATTCACCGACATTGACAGATTTAATACGGAAAGTGAATGATCTTCTTTGTTTCTTCTTGACCAATGCGAATTGTCCATAGGATCTGAGAGTGTTCTCTGTGTTGTTGCTGTTGTTGACATCGAATACAAGATGATCAGATACCTTTGAACCAAGTTTAACAATTCTATCTTGATTGGAAAGATTCGATACGACTACAGTGATTTCACAGCTATCGTTGAGACTGAGGAATCTTGGTGGTACACATCTGGTGGACAACATGATCTTGGCGTTGACCAATGATTCTGACTTACCGAACTTTTGTTCCTGATTGGAAACAACACCCCAGATACGATAACGAGTAAGATTGTCTGGAAGAGTCACTGGAATTCTTACTTTACCTTCTTGATCGGTGGTAACTGATGGTGTAAAGTTGGCGAGTGCATCGAAATTGACTCTCATCAAAGAGATCATATCCAACTCTTCTTCTTCCTCATCCAAATCCTCCTCGGATTCATAGATTTCCGGTTCACCGGCAGCTAAATCCATCTTATCCTTCTCGTTGTATGATTCTCCCCAATCATCGCCTTCCAGTGCTTGGTCAAGGCCAGCGGATCTCAAAATACCATCATCCAAATTATGCTTTCTCAGTGCAGAACCTTGGGAGATTGCACTTAGTAGCGCACCAGCTTCCGAAGGAGCTGCAGCAGTCTTTGATCTTAATCTACTGCTACTACTTGTCGTTGCTGATGAGCTTCTGGATTCTTCATATTCCTTTGACTTCTTCTTTTTCTCTTTGTCCGCGTGATGAGTTTCTCTCTTGAGAGTTGGGAATTTAGGAAGACCGAATCCCATTGACATTTTCTTGGCGGATTTAGAGGGACGACCGTATGATTTCGCGGAATAGGAGTAGTCTTCATCGTCTTCGAGTGAGATTTGCTTACGGTAGGAATCTTCAATGGTTGGATCGTACTCGTCGACAAACATACCTTGAGTGAACTGTACGGTCATCGCTGACTTTCCGACACCGCCGTCACCAATCACTGCCAGTTTGACCTCGGGATCACCACCGGTTCTTCTTCTGATGATTTTGGCAATCGTGGTGAATGCCTCTTCGATGTTCAACCTGGTCTTGGCGGATGTCTCCAAATAGGTCATTCCAAGTGATCTTGCCAGCTCAGTTGCCTCTGTAAAAGTAACTTGAATGTCTTCAACCAAATCACATTTATTACCGATGAGCAATGCTGGAATTTCATCTTCATCACGATCTCTTGCCAGTTGTTGATAGTGAGAGGTAACGGAATCGAATGACTGACGATTGTTCAGAGCGAATACAATGAGGAAACCTTTGGATGATTTCGCATAGAGTGATCTCATTGCAGAGAATTCTTCACAACCTGCAGTATCCAAGATATCGAAAATAACACTTGAAGATTTACCTGATCCTCCACTTGATCCTGGTTTGGAGACACCTCTTGGAGGTGGTGGTGCTGATGACAATGAAGCAGATGGCAACACTGAATCCAATGAGCACAAAGTAAGTGGTGATGATTCTTCGTCTGAAACTTCAATGAATTTGATAGTCTTGGCAGGAACAACTGGTTGTTCGACGCCTGTGGTGTTGTTAGATGAAGATGGTTCGTTGTCATCAACTTCCGATTTCACTGGAGTGGTGGTTGTAGTAACTGGTGCAACAACAACCTTTGGTCTGAGAATTGCACTCTCTTTGAATGTTGGTTGAAGAACAACACTGGTGTTGGATACACCATGGAAGTGTTCGGACAATGGGTATGGATTACCTTTGGCTGGATAGAAAGAAGTTAATGGATCGGGAATGGAGTAGTTTGTCAAGGAGAGAATGGATTCATCGACTACCAACAAACAGACTTCGGCACCATTCACTGGAGTACCAGTGGAATCACGTACAATCACATCGATATTGGTGGTTGCACCTGGTTCTACATCTTCGTCTTCCGGTGTGATGTTTACAGTGAGTTGCTTGGTGGACATGTTGATGTTGATGTCACGCTTGGCATGGTAACGATCCAAACGATCGGAATACCAAAGATCACACTGAATGGTTACACAAGGTGCCCATTCTTCAATCATTGTCAAAGTTGCAATTGGTTTGGCATTCTCATCTTTGGTTGGATCAAAGTTGAATGATTTCGTTGCGACAACACCACCTGACATCACAGTGAAGACGGCATTGAAAGCACCGGGATATGGTGAGTCAATGTTAAGCTTTGCTTCTTGTCCAATCTCATAGAGATCCTTATCGAAAGTGAACAAATTATCCAATTTCACGAGATTGGCAAATTGTTGAGTTGGTTCACCTGCAATTGTAAAGATGAATGGTTCACTTGTTGCTTTGGCAGATTCACTACTAACTGGTTTGGCAGAGGAAGTAGTAGTGGTAGTTGTGGTTTTAGTTGATTCAATTGGTTTCGGTTCGAATTGAGAGAGTTTCCATTGAATGTTGAATGAAACATTGGTTTGATTCTCTTTGTTTTCAGCGTCGAATATTGATGCAGAGAATTTGTAGATCACCGCTTCCAACTCTGGTTTCATCGATGGTGATTGAAGTTTGATCGGGTGTTTGAATGGTTGTGATTTAGATACCAACGATTCGGTTTGTTTATGCTGTGGCTCGGAGGTGTTCAATCCAGTGGTGGTTTCCAATGTCAAGTTAATTGGCACGTCGGCAATGTAGTTTCCATTGATATCGGTAACGACAACATCGAAAATCAATGGTTCGTTAGCAGAGGCATCGGTAATGGTGAGTGATTTTCCTGTGGCCGATGAGTAGACACCGACGTAGTAGTTCGATGGATGCAAGATGATTCTGGCTGTCGAGTTGATCACCTGGTTGTTGAGGTCGTGGATATCGACATTGGCGTCGACAAACACCGGTTGAGGTGGCGATGGAACCACTCCGTTGTAGGAGATCTTCACAGCGTGAGTACCGTCATCCGATGTTCTACCCTTGAGTGTCTTTGATTTCTTGGTGGCGTTGGCATCAATGAACTCTGTGGCGACACCGAATTGATACTTAGAGAAGTGATCACCTGGAGGACGGTATGTTCCACTCGACGATTGTACACGCCAGTTTGTATCGGTGCCAGAGAGTGCTGCACCCTCAAAGTAGGTGGATTTCACCTGAACGATGGTGTGTCCACTGAAGTGGTCGGCTTCGTTAGCGAGTAGCTCTGTGGCAGCAAGGAATTCAGGACGTTTGAACTCTTGAACATTGAAAGAATGCTTGAATTGCATCAATGCGATGTTGGATTCAGAGATTTTGAATTTGGTTGGCTTGGTTTGGCCGCCGACTGGCAGTGTCACCAACTCCTTCTCAGAGTCATCGACACTAAGATTCAAGATGGCAGTTCCCAAGTTAACGTTGTCTGGCAACTTAATTCCAAAGTTGAATTGACCGAATGCATTTAGCTTCACTTCACCCTTGGTGACTTGTGATCCGGCACCGTCTTGCAATTGATATTTGATTTGGAATGGCGACATTGTGTGAATGGCAACCTTTGATTCCGACGCCTCACGATTCAACAGACGAAGATAACCCTTGATTTGAATGGTTCCTTTTGGTCTGTAGAGTGACTGGTCGTCGAATACATGCCATGCCAAACTACGGTAGGCAGTGTTTGGCTTGACAAACACCTGTTGGAGAAGACAACAGTCACCTTCCTTCTCAGCAATCAAATGCATCTGTGAGTATTCCTTTTGGGTGGTCATGTAGACTACACCCTCTTCGTTGGTTGTACCCTCAACGAATGTACCGGCAGCGCGTTGTACGGTGGTGGAAGATGCTTGTTTCTTGAGTGTTTTGAATGCCGATTGATGATGTGAGACATTGACATTGGAGACACTGGTGATCTTGACACCTGGAACAACCGAACCGTCTGCAACATTCGATGCCCATGCAGTGATGTGATTCTGGTCGACGATTGCACCAATCGAGAGACGAGTACATTGAATCCATGTCTTTACACCGGTACGCGAATTTGGTTTGTTTGGATAGATTGCCGATTGAGTTGGGAGAATGACAACACCGACATGTCCAACCTTCAATTCCGCTGCAAGAGCTGGTGTAACATCTATGAAACTTTCGATAATCTTATCCTTCTCTGGTTCGTTGATGTCAAGAACTTCATTGAATACCAATTCTCCTGTCTTCAACTTGTATTCCTCACCAACAATGGTTGTAGGTAACTGTTCCTGTTGGAATACATGGTAGTCCAAGTGAGGATTCAAACGATACAATTGAACACGTACTTGATTGAGATTGAGTGTCTTCAAACTGATCGATGGAGTTTGAAGAGATGGATCGATGGTCACCACCGATTGATCTAACATTTGATGTGTCCAACCCAATGACAAGTCATAGGCGAATGGCGATGGAACAGCACGATAGTTCAACTCGATATCTTCACTCAACGACTGACCATAGATGTCAGAGATCTCTTTGGAGATGGTGATCTTGAATTGATAATCGATATTCTTCATTATCTTTGGGAAGAGATTCTCGATGGTGATGGTTCTTCCAGAGACTTGAATGTCGTAGTTCTCACAGGGAGCAGGCTCGACAACAATCGAATTGACATCGATCAACTTTGAGATGTTGTGATTGAAGATGAAACTAATGATATCGTTGTGACGAATCTCAATGGTTTTCTTAATGGGCAACACTGGGTAGGTCATTTGGAGTGGTAGTACACACGTGATGTAACGTGGATAGACCTTATCGTTGGTCAGAGGTCCTTCTTCAGATGTTACTTTATCCACTTCAATGGTGATCGATTCCTTGGTTGGCAGTGGAGTGACAGGTACATAGATCAACAATTTCTCTGCGGATGTTCTATTGAGCAGCTCCAATCTTGCACCGGAAGTCAACTTGACTTCCTTGGCAATCTCTTCCTCGGTTGCCAAACGCAACTTGTGAGAATGCTTGAACTTGAAGATACCACGATGTGAAGTGAATTTGACATGTTCGATCTGTTTGATTGGATCGATTCGTTGTTGGAACAACATCCAATAGATTCCTTGTACACGACTTGGATATCCAGAGTTTTCTGAGATGCTGTTGACACTGGTTTGATAGGTCAACTCGTTTCGCTCCAACAAGAATCCGTTTCTCGACGCCAAGTTCTCTGGAAGTTTGAAAGTGTAGAGTGTCGACAATGGGAAGTCGGTAATTGGCTGACCACAGGCAACGGTGTAGTTGTTTCTGACTGTCCAAGTGACGGTGAATCCAGGATCCGGTCGGACGACAATGTCTGGAATCTCATCGGCGTTGAACACGTTGTGGTCGAAACGAATCTCAACATGTTGATTGACAATCGAGAGATAGACATGAGTTGTATTGGATACAAAAGTAAAGTCATGGCTATCGGTTGATTCAACTGCTCCTTCCGACGATTTGATACCCTCCTTGAGAGTGACGTGATAGGTTGAGTTAGCAACCAACGGCTTTCCACCGGCCGGCTTCAAAGCGACCCAATATGCAACGTCAGGATTTTCATCCACATAGATATTGGAGTAGTCATCAGAGAGTTCAATGCTGACCTTCTTCTTCTTGAGTTTACCGCTACCGATGTGAAGTTGAGTGTGTTTCAAAACCGATTGTTTATCGACTTTCTGGTTGAACAACAAGAGAATCGGACGATTCAAATGGAATGTCTGAGAGGAATTGCTTGGTACAGTACGAACGATAGAAGCAATAGGTGTAGTGAATGTCTTTGAATCACTATCACGACTCTGATATAACTCATTAAACTCTGACACCATTGCCGATGAGACATTAACAGTGAAAACGGTTGAACCTGGGAAACTTCCCTCTGGAACACCAAAGATTTCATCGTGCTTCTCCTTTCTGTAAACCATCCAACGAGTGATTGTTTGTGGATCCGGTGTTAACAATGGACACCATCCAACTGGTAATGGAATTGGTTGGGAATCAGCAACTGTTGAATTTGAAGTTGATGTAGTAGTTGTTGTAGTTGTAGTTGTTGAAGTTGTTGGAATATCATCATTGGTTGATCCCTCTGTAACTTCGGTTGCTGGAGTTGTTGTTGGAACAGTTGTTGAATTGGATGTTGGGAAATCCAATTTCAAACGTTGATTCAAAACAATTTCAATTGCACCTGAAACAGAACCTAATTTGATGGATTGAATTCTGAGATTATCAGAAACATTAAAGTTGGTTTTTACGAGGAAATCACCAGTGGATGGACCCTCGGCAGATGGGATGTTTGGTCCAACCACAACATTGATAGTGGAGTTGGTGTGAACCAATGGGTTCTTAAAGATGATGAACTTTCTTGGTGAGGTGGCTACGATTAATTTAATGGCCTCCTCAGTGATACCGGCAATCTCTTCCTCAGTGGCAAGTGACAACGATGGCGATTTCTTTAGACGCTTTCCGTTGCTGTCCAAGATCTCGAGATCGACCACCGACTTCAAGAGTTGAGCGGTGTTCACCTCTTGATCGAATTCGAAACAGAGGAATTTCGCACGGTCAACCGATACAGTTGTAGATTTGCTTGGGAATTGACTGACAACGGTAATGGTTGGAGTGGTATACTTGATGACCACCTCCTTTTCAAGAGTCTCTGAGAAACTGGATTGAATCGACTTGGAAACAGTGACAGTGTAAACATGAGAATTCAACCATTGCTCGGTTGGTTCAAACACCAAAGTATTGGAACCTGAATGGTTGGTGATGAAACTCCACTTTCCTGGTACGGCAGGTTGAATGCTAACGAATTGACTCCATTCGATATCAACGTATTCTTCTGGTTCTGCAACTGCGACTGACGATGAAGATGATGCACTAACAGCAACAGTTGTAGCTGCTGCTGCAGTGGTGGTAGTTGTTGTAGAAGATGATGAAGCTTCATCCTTCTCAACTGTGGCTGCACTCACTTCCTCTGCAACAGTTTCAACCTTCTTTTCTTCAGCACCTTCAACCTTTGGTGATTCAACAACCTCAGACTTTTGTTCTTCTGATTTTGGTTGTTCTTCAACTGGTTTATCCTCAACCTTTGGTTGCTCTTCAACTGGTTTCTCCTCAACCTTTGGTTGCTCATCAACTGGTTTTGGTTCTTCAACCTTTGGTTGTTGTTCTTCAGTTGATTTTGGCTGTTCTTCAACTGGTTTCTCCTCAACCTTTGGTTGCTCTTCAACTGGCTTCTCCTCAACCTTTGGTTGTTCTTCATCCTTCTTCTTGTCCTCTTCAGCGACAGACTTTGCTGGCTCTTCAACTTTGGATACCTCTGAAACGGGTGGAATAGATTCACTTGGTTTTTCAGTGGAAGTTGATCTTACCTTTGATGATTGCTTCTTTGTTTCGCTGACTTGTTTCTTAATGGTAGTTCTCAACTCTCTGTTGAATGGAATTGAAATGTTGATTTGTCCACTCAACTCTGTACTTGGAATCAACTTGGACAAAACTTGGAATTTCTCATCTACGTTGTAGTGATATGGACCAAATTCATTGATAGTTGGAAGAGCACCTTGTTTTGATAAAATCTATAACAATAATAATATATTTGTTAATATCATCATATTTGATTAATATAAAGTAATGTTAGTTATTACTTACACCTGGTGATAAAACAATTTTGATTGAAGAATTATGTGGCAAGTATTTTGGTACACGGAAAGATACAACCTTGTCAAAGACGGACTCTGGTGCAACTGCTGGGAAGAGTGTGAGTAGCTCTTCGTTCGAGTGATAAACAGCTTCCACTTCGAATTTGTTTTTGAAGAGTTTGAGTTTGTCATCGGTAACGATCTTGATCGATTGAATGACACTGTCGACGTCGACCAACTGACTGAAACGAATGGAGAATACCTGATCGATACGCACTGTTGAGTGAGCTTTTGGAAGGAAATCCAAAACCGATTGACGCTCCGTAGAGAATGTGGCGACGAATGGCTTTTCCAATGCTGCTCCACACCATGTCTTCAAAGAGGTCGGTACTTCCACTCGGAACTGAGTGGACAACGCCAATGTCTCTGAAACATGATAGCAGAGAGTGAGATGATCCTGGATAGTCCAGTGTCCTTCGACCTCTGGTTTGATGGTTGGCAGTGGACCGAGAGCATCGAGAGACTCTATTTGCAGTGTGAACGGTTGGTTGAATGTAACTTTGAAGAGGTTGGGGATGATTAGACTGGCGTCCACAGAGATGGTTGGCACGGTTTCAAAGTTTTGCTTGTAGGAGAGCTGAGTTTTGAGTGGTCCTTCGTTGGAGATGGTGTCACCGTGGATTTCAAGACGGAGGGTCTGTGCCTCTGGGAATCCTTTGGCTGCACCAATAGCAAGCCAACGACCTTCCTCCAAAGGATCGGAAGTATAGGCTGGATATGGCGAGGTTTCAATCTTTCTAGTCACCAAGTCTTCAGGTTTCAACACGACCAACTCGATATTCTTTGCCATGAGACGGTTTGTCGCTGTCTTGACAGTGATTACCTCTTTCATGAATTGCTCGACATTGACCAACTGATTGAATTTCACGAAAATGATTGAATTCGGTTGGTAGAGTCGCTCGAATCTCGAGAGATCGACAAAGATGGTTGGATCGTTGAATACACCGTGGAGGCTAGCAGCTGCGCTCGAGGGAGCAGCATTGAAACCACCCCACAAAGTTGTAGTCATCTCAATCAGAGCGGTGGTGAATGTCAGTGTTTGTTTCTCGAGTGGTTGTCTGTGGTGATCGCACGGTCCATTCTCAATAACAACATGATAGGTTGTCGATCCATTCCACTTCTCAGTCGCCTTGTAAGTCATTGATTGAGTATCAACTTCCCATTCTCCAGCAGGTGGATTAGGTGTAATTGTTGGTCTCCACTAAAAATATAAGCATATATAGATTAGAAGTTTGTTTCAAATCATTATCATTATCAACTATCATTATATCAATATGTTCAACTTACTGTTATTGGTTTTGAATTATCTAATGTGTTGGTAAAGTTAATTTTAACATTTGGATTGGAGAATTCAATGTTGGATTTGAATAGCATGACGGTGTTGAAGGAAAAGGTGATAGGGATGGTAGTTTTCAATGGACCTTCGGTGGATGAAAGTCCGGGGATAATGGTGACGCTAATCTCGCGATATGGTTGGACACCAAACAGTGGTTTGATACCATAGCATTTACCTGGATGAGCAGCGACCAATGCGGAAAGCGATGGATCATCTTTCATTTCATCCTCGGTAACTAGTTGAAGAGTATTCTCACCGTGACCTTCACGCAATCCCGAGATCTTTACGTGGGGAATGAGATCACCTGGTACAATCGGTTGACTGAATGCCATGAATATAGTTTGAGTGGTTGGATAACGAGTTGATGTGGTTATCTTTTCGAGGGTGGCAACAAGTTCTACGAGCTGTGTGGAGAACTCATGAGTGACTTCCTTCAGAGCAATCGTTTGATTGTTTGAGAGCTTGGCTGTCGCTGGAATCTTCACAGTGTATTTGGTACTACGCGACCACGGTTGTTGTGGAGTGTATGTCAGCTTCTTTTCTTCGGCGTTATAAGTCCATCCGTCGGTTGGAGAATCCGCAGTGAATCCAGCGTTGGCAGGAACGATTTCCGGTGCCCAGAACAACTTGCTAGACTCTTGACAAGTAATGGCGAGTGGATGACTGAAAGTGATTTCAATCGGTGCGTCAACTTCCTTCTGATGTCCAGAGGAGAACGATGTTACCGTTATCAATTCTTCCTTGGCTTTGTCTTCCTCACGTTTCTTGGCGATCTTATCAACACCGGCGGTAACCGATTTCTTTGCTCTCGATTCCTTGTCCTTTTCGGATTTGGAACGTGGTGAAACCGGTGCTGGTTGATCAGTTGTTGTTAGTACATCGGCAGTTGATCCAGCTCTTTGTAGAGTTGTTGGTAGTTCCGATGTTGAAGTTGTTGAAGTTGAGGTTGTTGGAGCGTTTGCAATGACACGACGACGTTCCTCTTCAGCTGCTTTCGCCTTCTCCTCTTGTTTGCGACGTTCTGCCTCGGTTCTTGGTGGGATTGGTGCGGGTGGGAATGCCAGTTTGGCATGCTCACCAGTATTCAAGATGGAGTCGAACGGCTTGCTAGTGGCCGGTCTCAACTCCTCCGAGAAACCCTTAATATCATTGGTGATAGTTGTCAGCACATAATTCGATGGAATCTTTGCCAACAGTTCATTCAAATCATCACCTTCAATTATACCTTGTTCTGGCTGTTGTTGAACTTGTTGTTGTGGTTGTTGCTGCTGATTGTTTGATGAAGTTGCTTGTTCATCATTATTTTGTTGTTCAGGTTGTTGCTGCAGTGGAGATTCATCTTCAATAACAGATGTTGAAACAGAGGTAGTTGTAGAAGTAGTTGTTGTTGTAGTACTAGTTGAGACTACATCACCAACTTGCTGTTGTTTTGACGATGCATCGTCTGGACCATTTTGTCCAGTTGGTTGACCTGTTACTTGTTCAACATTTTGTTGCTCTTGTTGTTGTTGTTGTTCATGCTCCTCCTGTTGTTGTTGTTGTTGTTCTTCCTCTTTCTCCCTTCTCTCTTTTTCCTCTTGTTCTTTGATTAACTTTTCCTCTTTTTGTTGATTAATCAAATCGATCTCCTCCTTCTTGACTTCAACCAAATCGAAATCAAAGTTTGACATTCTTTTGTTCAAAAAAAAATGTTTGGTTGACTGTTATTACAATACAACTAAATGAAATGAAATCTTATCAAAACTTTTTTTGATCTTAAAAAAATATATTTAAAAATAACTTTTTTTTGGTTAAAGGTTTTTTTTTTGTTTTTTTTTTTTGATCAAACAAACTTGTAGATCTGATCGATATGATATAAATAGATTTAATTTGATTTGATTTGAATATTCAAAATAAATATTTTAAATAAAGAATAATAATAATACAAATATATGAAGTTTATGTAAATAAATAAATATTCGAAATATTACTATAGTAAAGAAAGATAGATTGTGACTTGTTTAAAAAAATATACAAAATAATACTATCTTTTTTTTTTTTTGTTTTGTTGTTTTCTTTCTTTTTGAAGTTAAACTAATTTGATCTGAAATATGTAAACTAGTTTTTTTAAATATAACTGTTCTGTTTTGATTATTATTATTGTTATAGTTTAATTAATTAACCTATAATAATATATACTATATATATATGGTAGAGTAGTAGATTATTAGTAACTAAGTTAACATTTGGTTTGGTTAATAAAATAATGGGAAATACAAGAAAAAACAAACAAAAATTAATAAGAAACAAACAACTAAACTAAATTGGCAAAACAAAGAAAAACAAATTATTAGAGGATATCAATTCAATTCAAATCAATCACTGTAATCTGAATTCATCTATCATCAAGTAATAGTAGAAAGTGAAATCTATCTTATAAAAGTAAATATTTATCTAAAATGGGTTGGGTTGATTGATTGGTGGCGGCAAAATTAAAGTGAAAAAAAATATCAATTGAAATATATACCAACCACTCACTCCTTTAATTAATGTTTTACTTGAGTGATTTATGGTTGGTGGTTTTAAATGTGTGTGTGCGAAGTGAGTTGTGGGGTGGTTGAAGAGAGTGAGTGTGTGAAGTGAAGTTGTATCACTATTAAGTATGAGTTTTTCTTTTTTAATTAATTAATTACTTTTTTCGATATAAAATAAAATAATAAATTAGATTTTTCTTTTTGTTATTTAATTAATTAGTAATATTTATTTTGATTGGTAATAATAATTATTTGTTGCCAATTAAATAAATATAATAAAATACAATAAGTAGTTAACTAAGCAAATGAAAAATGATGATTGAAAATTAATATGATAATTATAGATTACTACACACCTTTATTACTTTGAACTGTTTTCAAAAAAATATTTTTATAATAAAAAAATATGAATGAATGAAGCAACACCCCAATTGTAGTTTTTGTTAGTTTGTTGTGTGGTAGAGAATAAAGGTGTGTTAGGTTGTCTTGAAATGCTTGATCAATAAAAACAAAAAAATATTTATTTAAATAAAAATAAAAAAAAGATATTTAACTTTTATTTTTTGTTGATGGTTTTTTCAATGATTCTCATTGATTGGGCACGTCAAAAACTAAAAAAAAAACTGTTTGATTTTTTGAATCATCTTTTTAATGTGTGGTGGGTGATCTTTTAAAAACAATGAATTCAAATTATTTCCAAATTTGAATTCATTGAAAATCAACCGTTATTTTTATTTTTAAAAATCGATTGCATTATTTTAAAAACCTCTTTTTTTTGTTTATTCAAATGGGCTGGGCAATAATACTATTAAAAACATACACGAAACAACTATCTATCTTTTCTTTATTTTTTATTTTCAAACCTTTAAAGTTTTTATTGGTTTTTTTTTTTTAAATAATAAAAAACATTATTTAATAATTAGTTGTTTTAAAAACATTTAAGTTTCTTGTTTATTTATTAATCATAATTAATTTATTAGAGTTTGGGAAGTTCAGTTCTGAAATGTTTTATTATTTTTTTAAAGCATTTCTTTGCCATCTCATAAACTTGATAATCCATTTCCGGAATCTTATGCTCCAGGATGTGGTAATCAATTTCTTCGATCTTCCTCTTAAGTGCTTCTATGATGTCCTTTAATTTGATCGGTTGTTCAAATTGACTCACGTCTAATGATATGGTAACTGATCTCTTCCTTATTATTATTGTTATTATTATCTAGTTGATCGACATTTACATTATCAAGCGGTGGTATTGTTTCTAAAATTTCTATATCGACATGACCAATCGGTGGTGTTACTGTTTCTAAATGTTCTTTCACATGATTATCGGCTGGTGGTGGTGGCGGTGGTTGTGGTGGTAATTGAGGATTTCTTATGATTTGATTATTATTATTGACATTGTTTATAAGATGACTGTCATCTTTCATTATATTATATAGTTGTTAGCTGTTGGTGGGTGAGTGTGAACAATTTCTCCAAAACTATGTCTTTCTTCTAAAACGATAGCTGTGTTGTTCTTAACTTTTCCTTTGGAGTGCCTTAAGTAGTACCTTTGGTAGTACTTTTCATTTCCTCTATTGCTCTTGCAATTTCTGGAATATGACTAGGATGATGGCTAGGATAATTGAACCAATTGATACATTGAATATTTTTTCATATTTCTGGGTGACTACTTCGTTTACCTATACCTGAGTGACAATATTCAGATTAGGCTATGTTTTTTTTATATCGGATAATAAATTATTAGACCTGATAATTTGAAAAATATTATATATGTGACATTTTTAACCTACTTCTCTTAATTTATTAAAACAATGGACAGGAATGCCTTTTTAGTTCATTGAGATTATGTTGGATAATTTCTTCAGTAGTGCGCATTTTGTTCAATATTAATGAGTTTTTCTTTAATTGTTAAAGTTATAATCTCTTCCTACTAAATCTTATAGAAGGGTTTCTCATATATAGTAACTTTTTTTTTTTTTTTTTTAATTTAAAATAGTCGCCTTAATTCTACTTTATAATTATATTAAAAATTTTGTTAAACTCATAACGAAATATTATATTGTGTTTAATATATTTTAAAAAAAAAAATAATATATAAAAAAAAAAAAAAGGTTTGGGAAGTTCGATACTTATTGAGATTGTTTTTTAAAGCAATGTTTTGCCAACTCATACAGTTGATAATCCATTTCCGGAATTTTATGCTCCAGGATGTGGTAGTCAATTTCTTCGATCTTCCTCTTAAGTGCTTCTTTTATGTCTTTTAATTTGATTGGTTGTCGTTCATTTTGCCTCAGATCTAATGATATGGTAACTGATCTCTCTTCCTTATTATTATTATTATTATTATCTTGTTGATCGACATTTACATTATCAAGCGGTGGTATTGTTTCTAAAATTTCTGTCACATGAAGATCATCGTCTGCCGGTGGTGGTGGTGATGATTGAAGACCTCTTACTATTTGATTATTGGTATTGTTAAGATTGTGCACAACATGATGTTGTTGTTGTTCTTCAATGAGAGGTTGTTCTTCTATCTCGCTGTCTGTCTCGTTATCTGTGTCTTGTTGGGTAGTTGCAGTGCGTTCAATCTCCTTTATTGCTCTTGCAATTTGTGGAATATGACTAGGATGATGGCTTGGACAGTTGAACCAATTGATACATTGTCTACTTGTGCATGGTATTGAGTGCTTACTTCGTTTGCCTGAACCTGAATGACAATTCTCACACCTTGGCTAACAATTGTTGTTGATTCATTTTAGAAAATCGTGTTAGATTAATCTACTACTAATAATAGATCTGATAATTGATTGATTGATTTGATGTGCAATAATAATATGTCTGTCACTATACACGTGATTAATTATAAAAAGCAAAAGAATATAAATGTATATAATAGCTTACTGTTTTTGATTTTGATTTTCTTTTTATTGTTTTATATCTTTCTTCAAGCATATATAACGAGCAGGTACTCTTTTGGCTGTACTTAATATTATGCTTAATGATTTCTTCGGTTGAACGCATTTTAGCTGAATATAAATATTTTTGTGTTTTAATGATCTTCATAATCAAAAAAAAAATTCTGACCAGAATGCAATTTCGACGATTTCTTTTACGATATTACCTATAATCTTATTATATATTCCTTCAGAATCACATTTAAATGAACAGTGTATCAACCATTTACCGTGGTAGCTTACAAAGTTATTAAAATACATCATTCAAAGTATGTAAATTACTAATTGTTGAAATCATCATCTAAATTATACATTTAATAAAAAATATTTCAACTTTGTTGTTGTTGTAATACTGAATTGTTTTTTTTTACAATATGATAATTTGAATGATTAGCACACACAATAGTTTATTATTATATTCTCATTATTGATTGTTGATTGCTGATTGTTTAATTAAAATAAATAAACATAACAAAACTTTGCCAAATTTTGTAATTCAACATAAATTTGTTTCGTTTTTTTTGTTTTGTTTTGCTTTGTTTATTGTTTGTTGTTTGTTGTTGTTTTCAAACCTATTGCTTGATTACTACTATATAAAACTAACTATATTATTCCGTTATTGGATCTACATTGACATTGTAATAGTATTGAATGATTCCAGTGATTACAAATACACCAAAGAGTAGACCACCATGATACTGTTGTAGTTTGTTGAAAAAGTATCCGATGGCACCTGCCAACATCGAACAAATAATAACCAATGCTAAACATAATGAATAAGTAGGTGATTCCCATTCAAATTGATTGATCGATCCATAAAATGAAAATATCTATAAACAAACAAATATTTGAATAAGTAACTAAATCCAATCTAAACATTAACATTGTATATATATATATATATATATAGACAGACTACTTACACCCATCAATAATGTTGTTTTTGAAATAGTTCCACCTATCAGATTGGAATAGGCGATGTTGATCGATTGTGAATTGCCTTTGCGCGACAGTGAGATACTCTCGAGAATCTCTGGCATCTCACTGGCGATCGGCGCCAAGAAGAATGCCAGCAGGATTGGGTTGACGTTGAATGTCGATGCCAGCTCAACGATCGATCCAATGAATGGCTTGCTAAAGAAGCAGATCAGTGCACCACCGATCACCAACATCATTACACCCTTGGAGACAGGTTCGTCATGCTCGTCCTCCGCCTTATCCTCGTCGGCCGCCTCGAGGTCGTCTTCCTTCTCGACGTCTGGCAGCCTGTTAAAGAGCGAGTTGACCACGAACAACAAGTAGAATCCAACACCTGCAAATCCGAAAATCATATTGTATCCAACGACCGCCAACGACAGTGGAATCACCAGTGAAATCAGTAATATCAAACATTGTCGTTTGACGGGTGGTTGCAACTGAATCAATCCACCCTTTCTATTCTTTGAGCCAATCCAAATACAAAATCCAAGCGCAATAGTACATACTACAATAGAACTTCCACTGACCGCACCAACTGCAAATCTAACATTACTACTTGATAACGCTGTTAAAAAGAATATTGCTTCTGGTGCTAAAAATAGTGATTGATAATAATAATAATGATATTTTAGAATTGATTGATTGATTGATTGTGTTTATAACATGTTAATATGATTCTGATTTTAACCAGGATATATGTTTTCAATATTGACATACCAGTATTTAACCAGGCAATGATCAAACCACCTATAATAGATGCATCGTATTTCTTCCCTAGAATTTCACCACCTTCTCCCACGCACCACGATGCAAACGCCAAACAGAAAAAGGTTGAAAAAGAAACAATGATAGGATGTAACATTGTTATCTATCTGTATATCTATGTATCTATATTTATTTATAAACGGTAATAATATAATTTGTTTTTAAATGGATAACAATAATATATAATTATTTAAGTGAAATGTTTCAATAAAAATAATAAAATGATAAAAAAAGTAAAGAAATAAAATCAATCTAAATTTTTAATTAAAACAACAACAACAGCAACATTTAAAAATAGTATTAATATATATATATAGATATAATTAAAAATAATTAATTAATATTACAAAAAAAAGTTTAAATAAATATGAATATGAATATGTGAAGAAACAGGTAAGTAAGTGAGATATGTAAGTAAATGTAAGTTGAGGGGAATGATAAATCGACTGAAAATAATATAAATAAACTGTCACTTTTTTTTACAAAATTTCATTTTTCAGTTTTTTTCAGTTTTTTTTTTTTTTTTTTTGATTACTTTTTCCAAAAGATATTAATTTTTTAATTTAAATTAATTAATTTTTATTTTTTTTTTTTTGACACATTTGCAAGCAAAGATGATTAGCAGTGCTGGCTCTTTTACACTCACCACTTCACAACATATCTAAACAAATCATTTATGTTTTCTTTTTCTTTTTTCTTTTTCTTTTTTTTTTTTTTGTTTAATAATAATCATTCGATCACCATATATTTGGTTTTAGATATTTATGTCTTTTTTGTTTATTTCAATCTGGTTGTCCAAATCCTAATTCCGCCCTCATTGAATAATATTATGAAAAATAAAAATTTTCGTTGTAACTCCGAGAAAAATGTTGTGATCCAATACAGGGATGAAAGTGCGTGCGTCACCGTTTTTATTTGCAAAAGGTATTACGAAAACCAAAAATATTTATAATTAATTAATATTTGGTTTAAAAGTTATTGAAAAAATATCGTCATCATTATTCTTTTATTTATTTCTTAAAATAAAATAAAAAAAGATATATATTTATTGATATTATTTATAGTTAAAATATATTTTAAATTATTATTAATTAATTACAATTCCATTCTCTGACTTTCTTTAGTGACTGAGGATGGATGATGCTTTTGTTTTTCATTGAACAACAGACCATGTTGCTGTGACTTTTTCTTTAGCGATTTTTGTTGTTGTTGTTTGTTTGATTGTTGGTGTTGAATATGTTGATGATGATGATGATGAATTTGTTGATTCTCATCTGGTAAATTAAAAAAACTTGAACTACTATCAAGTCGACTACTACTACTATTGTTACTGTTTAGAAATGGTGATGAATTGGATGGTGATGAATTTAATGAATTGGATGCCGATGACGATGCCGATGCCAGCGGAATATTGTTTAGAAAAGATTGTGGTGATATCGATGATGCTATGTTACTACTGTTGCTGTTGTGTTGACTGAAAAATGCGTTGTTAATCGATATCGAATTGATCGATTGCTGTGGTGGCGATGGTGGCGACGGTGATGCTGGCGACGGCACCGTAATGGCACCGACAATCTGTGGGAAGTCTTTCATGATGAAATTTCGGAGTTGCTCCTCCACCAGTTTCTTGACGAAATTGGCAGCGGCCGGGAATTCATCGAACGACGTCTTGATGTTGACTTGTCGCAGTGGATCGGTGGCAAAGAACGCCTGGATCGACTTGTTGTTGATGAATGAAAACTCGAGTTCTCCGTCGAAAACGATGTCGGTGATAACGATGGAGAGTGGCATGATATGCGGATTCATTGCCGAGCCCATATTCATGTGTCGCAACAGTTTGCGTTCGGTTCGCGACGGTGTGATAGATGTACCGAGAAACACAGGATTCGCTTGCACTCGTGTTCTCAACTCCAACAAACCGTTGCCCTGATAGGAAACGTGGAATATAAATTTGAATTTCTCTTTTGATGCATCTGCAACCTGTAGTAATTCTAATGCTGGTGGCTAAAATGATGATTGTTTGTTGTTTGTTTGTTTGTTAATTTGTTTGTTAATTTCATTGTTTTTGTTTTTGTTTTGTTTGTGTTGTAAAGTTTCAATAATTGTACATACTTTATCACCTAAACAGAATTCGTGAACTAATAGTTTATCTACAATGTTTGGAATGGGTGGACCAGAGTTCAATGTTTGATTTAAACCTTTCTTTATTGTCTCGTAGAAAGATTCGTCAAATGGTCCCCAAGTTAATTTGAATGACATTCTTTATTTTATAACTTTTATATATTTATATTATGTTTGATTGATATTATATTGTGTTTTATCTATGTTTATAATTTATCTATCTATCGTAATGAAAAATATAGATATATGAAAATAATACGACCAATTTTGGTTGTTGAAACATTAAAGATTAAAAAAAAAAAAAAAAGATTATGTATTGATACTAGTATTAGAGTTTTGTATTGTTATAAGTTGAGTAATATCGTGAAATAACAAGAAGTTGTAAGATCTTGCTATGTATGTTTTTCTAACAATGAAAATGAAAATGAAACAATATATAAACTTTGATAAATTTATATGATAATGATATCGAAAAAATAAAAAGTGTTTAAAAAATGACAAATATTCGCGCCGTCTTTGTTTGTGATGTCGCTTTGTTTTCGTCCTACACAAAAAAAACAAAAATTAAAAAAAATTAAAATTTTACAATTTTTTTTGCAAAAATAATAATGATGTAATTAATTAACCAAAATAGTTAAGCCAAATTAAGATTGTTTTGATTGGCACAGATATTTTCTAGTTATAAATATATATATATATAATAAAATAAAATAAAAAGTATGAAACTAAACAATAGAAAACTATTTATATTTATAATTAAAAGTTTAGTTTAATTTTTTTTTTTTTTTTTTTTTAGTCAGATTATTAACCTAAACTGATTTACTTTTGTTGGTTTTTATATTTTAAATTTATATAAATTGGTTGTTGTTGTTGTTGTTGTTTGCTGTAGTTATAGTTTGGTTATTAATTTATTTAGTTGGTCGATGCTTTTTCACATCTATTAATAAAAATAAAAATAACAACACGACTGAATTACGATTTTAATATAATGTATACTATATAATTATATTTCTGTTTTGTTTCTTGCTTGATAATTTGGTTTTTTTTAGTTTTATAAATCTTTCTCAATGACGAATTTAATTATCACTTTTGATGATGGTGAACGAAATGAAATGATTGATAGTAATTTAAAAGTTGTAGTTGTTGTTAATTTATTTTTTGTTTATCAAAAAAAAAACTTAATCACAAAAAAAACAATCAAACAAATAAAACACCCAATTGTTAATGATTACCCAAAAACAACAATTTTCACAATTTTTTGTTTTTTTTTATTGTGGGTTAAAATCAAAAAGACACCTAAAGATAGCAATAAATGGTGATGATTAGATTCTTATAAACAAATCTATCTTTATTGTTGTTTTGTTCGATGATTATCATGATTGTTGATCTTTTTAAAATCAATTAATTAGTTATTATTTCATTAAATTATAGAGTCAACTTTACTTATATATTAATCTTCTTTAGTTTTAGTTTTATTATTAGTAGCTAGATTAAATATAATCTCGATTGATTTGTTTTATTTATTAATTAATTTACCACACATTACTGAATGCATTGAGAGATTTGTAAGAGGTGTTGATTGAATATCTTCTAACATTTAAAATATATTTGCAGTGTTTTGTTAATGATTTGTCTTTATCTTGATGATGATGCCGATATCTTAATCTTAGGGATCTATCAGTTCATGTGTATTTTCAAAGTTTGAAATCTGATCATTACAAACTTTGATTGGGTGATCTGTAATATAACCATCTTCATTGAAATATATAATAATGGAGTCGGCGTGTAGGTTGAAATCATGATTACACACGATATCTATAAACTCTTCTAGTGTTGGTTGATATTTATAGTTGTACCATGATTGATATTCAAAGGAGATCTTACTATTGTTTTCAATGTGAGAACACCGAGAACCACCACCAGTGAAATGATGGACAAGACCATGGATTGAGTAGCTATCGATGGCAGTCCACATGTCACGACTATAAAACGTTGTCTCCTCATCGGAGTAATGATAGAGCAGATAGCCTGCTTTTAATGGTTTATCTCGATATTCAAATTTGGATAACAACTTTATTTGAATATTGGATTAGAAAAGATCAGTGACAAAAGAAGAACATACCGTTATTAATTTAGAGTTGAAATTTAATGATGATGATTCATCAACTTTTGCATTGACATCGATATTGAATGTACCACTGACTATATTATCAATGAAGCTATTTACTTGAAAAGTGTCGGTCAATACTGATATTCTGTAAGGTGTAGGTGTCATTTTTAAAATGATCAATCAACTTTCACAAACTTTATGATTAATTTAAAAAAATCTTTAAAAAAAAAATGTTAAACTTTAGTTTTTTATTATCAATAAACTAAATTACTTATTAAGACCTGTTTTCATAGCTATGGGGTGTGTTGACTGAAAATCTAGTTGTGTTTAAAATATATGACGTTTTTATCTTTTTCATAATCGTTGTTTTTGTTTCATAATTACATTCCAAATCTATCCAATGTTTATATCCTAATTGGATTAAATCTATCAGTTTGTGTGTGTCGAAATCATCGGTATCGTTAGCTAGTACTGTGAGTTTGTGATCGCTGCCACCATTTTGATCAGTATAGTAAAGGATAATGTAATCGGATTGTAATCTCAAAGCATGATGACACACGATATCTGCAAAATGTTCGAGATTCAAATGGACACCCGATGAATTGAATCCATATAATTTACTTCCGTCATCTCTTGTTGAAGAGCTAGAACCATGACCAAAGTAAAATCTGGTCAGATTCTCCACTGAATAGCTGTTGATCGCTGTCCAATGGCCGTAGTATACATTCTTATCCGAGTATCGATAGATACTACCACCAAGTGGTTCCAATCGTTTCATTCGATCGTAGTCAGTTTCCAATTGTGGTTGACCATCATGTTTGATGTAGAGTCCCATATCTTGCTCACAATATGAAGAATATCGACTTATTCTCACACGAATCACAGTGTCATCGTTAACTGGTGCTGTGAATGGTACGATTATTTTCTGCATTTGACCATTATCGAATTTCAATGAATGATTGAATATTATTTCTGATTTGGTGAATTGATCTATTTTCAACAATACACTCAAAGGAAATTCTTCTGATCTGAACCATTCATGAATTTTCACATTGACATCGAATGTACCACTGACTATATTATCAATGAAACTATTTACTTGTAAAGTGTCGGTCAATACTTTCATATTAAAAGGTGAAGTTGGTGGTGTCATTTTTAATTAATCAATCTATTATAACATTGTTTAAACACCATTCTTAAATAATATTAAAAATTAAATGAGGGAATACTTCAGAAAAGAAGAAAAAAAATTTCTTTCTCCCTCATTTTAAAAAAAAAATCAATTAATGGAGATGATTAGATTCTTATTATCAAATCTATCTTTATTTTTGATTTAATCTTTTTACAATTCAATAAATTAAATATTAAAACACCTGTACCTAAGAGGAGTGTTGACTGAATATCTTTTTGTGTTTATAATATAAGTAATTTTAGCGTCTTCCATGATTGTTTCATTATTATATTCCAAATCTATCCGATGTTCAAAACGTATCGTTTTGAATCTCGAACATTTTGCAGATATTGTCTTTTATCAAGTTTTGAGATTACAAGCCGATTACATTACACTTTATTATACCGATCAAAATGGCAGCGATAACAAACTAAAAGTAAGTACTTACTAAAGATATTGCTGGTTTCGACGCAAACAAGCTGATGGATTTCATCAAATTTAGATTACAATTGAAATGATACATAGTGCTTCCATCATCTCCAGTTGAATTGCTATAGCTAAGACCAAAGTAAAATCTGGTTAGATTCTCGACTGAATAGCTGTTGATGGCAGGCCATTTTCCAGAGTATTCATTCTTATCGAATCTCAATGACTGATCTAAAATCATTTCTTCTTTGTTGAATTGATCTATTTTCAACAAATACACTCAAATGAAATGATTCGGATCAGCAGAATTCATGAACTTTAACTTTGACATCGAATGTACCACTGACTATATTATCGATGAAACTATTTACTTGTAAAGTGTCTATCAATACTGATATACTAAAAGGTATCATATTTAAAAGATCAACTAATCTTTTCTATTTCTATTAATCTTTGTTATATTTAAAGTTTAAATGAATTCGTGAAGTATTAATACTTTAAATCATTAATATAAAAATTTAAAATTAAAATGAGAGATAACATAAAAATAAAAAAAAAATGATATATGTCACAACTATTGGATATCAAAACATGTTATTTAGCTCGTACGAACAAAGTAGATTCATCGATTTGAATTTAAGATTCGGACGAATCAATGATTTCTGCACTCGATCGATTCCTTGGTACCAAGTAAATACATGTCTCGTAATGACCAAGCAACCTCTCTTTGCTTGACATGGGTTTCTTGTACATTACTGAATGCATTGAGAGATTTGTAAGAGGTGTTGATTGAATATCTTCTAACATTTAAAATATATTTACAGTGTTTTGTTAATGATTTGTCTTTATCTTGATGATGATGCCGATATCCTAATCTTAGGAAATCTATCAGTTCATGTGTATTATCAAAGTTTGAAATCTGATCATTACAAACTTTGATTGGGTGATCTGTAATATAACCATCTTCATTGAAATATATGATAATGGAGTCGGTGTGTAGGTTGAAAGCATGATTACACACGATATATGCAAACTCTTCTAGTGTTGGTTGATATTTATAGTTGTACCATGATTGATATTCAAAGGAGATCTTACTATTGTTTTCAATGTGAGAACACCGAGAACCACCACCAGTGGAATGACGGACAAGACCATGGATCGAATAGCTATCGATGGCAGCCCACAAGTCACGACTATAAAACGTTGTCTCCTCATCGGAGTAATGATAGAGCAGATAGCCTGCTTTTAATGGTTTATCTCGATATTCACTTCGAAGTTCAAGCGTTGGCAGACCACCATATGCCCCTGGTAGAGATAAACCGTAATCCTGCTGAAAGTCAGTTGGAGCAGTACATGTTGGCGCGAAGGACTGTGATCGACCTATTCTCACACGAATCACAGTGTCATTGGTGACTGGTGCCGTTAACGGTACATTGGTCTGCAATATTTCATCATCATTAAATTTCAACTCTAAATTAATAACGGTATGTTCTTCTTTTGTCAACTGATCTTTTCTAATCCACATTTTAAAATAAAGTTGTTCTTCCAAATTTGAAGATTCATCAACTTTTGCATTGACATCGATATTGAATGTACCACTGACTATATTATCAATGAAGCTATTTACTTGAAAAGTGTCGGTCAATACTGATATTCTGTAAGGTGTAGGTGTCATTTTTAAAATGATCAATCAACTTTCACAAACTTTATGATTAATTTAAAAAAATCTTTAAAAAAAATGTTAAACTTTAGTTTTTTATTATCAATTTATTAAAGACCAGTTTCTATAGCTTGGGTGTGTTGACTGAATATCTAGTTGTGTTTAAAATATATGACGTTTTTATCTTTTTCATAATCGTTGTTTTTGTTTCATAATTACATTCCAAATCTATCCAATGTCTGTATCCTAATTGGATTAAATCTATCAGTTTGTGTGTGTCGAAATCATCGGTATCGTTAGCAAGTACTCTGAGTTTGTGATCGCTGCCACCATATTGATCAGTATAATAAAGGATAATGTAATCGGCTTGTAATCTCAAAGCATGATCACACACGATATCTGCAAAGAGTCCGAGACTGAAATGGACACCCGATGAATTGAATTCATATAATTTACTTCCGTAATCTCTTGTTGAAGGTGAGCCATGTTCAAAGTAAAATCTGGTCAGATTCTCCACTGAATAGCTGTCGATACCTGTCCAATGGCCGTAGCAATCATTCTTATCCGAGTATCGATAGATACTACCACCAAGTAGTTCCCATCGTTTCACTCGATCGTAGTCAGTTTCCAATTGTGGTTGACCATCATCTTTGATGTAGAGTCCCATATCTTGCTCACAATATGAAGAATATCGACTTATTCTCACACGAATCACAGTGTCATCGTTAACTGGTGCTGTGAATGGTACGATTATTTTCTGCATTTTACCATTATCGAATTTCAATGAATGATTGAATATTATTTCTGATTTGGTGAATTGATCTATTTTCAACAATACTATCAAAGGAATTTCTTCTGATCTGAACCATTCACGAGTTTTCACATTGACATGGAATGTACCACTGACTATATTATCAATGAAACTATTTACTTGTAAAGTGTCGGTCAATACTTCGATAATAAAAGGTGAAGTTGGTAATCGTCTCATTTTTAATTGATCAATCACCATGTTAAAAATTAAATGAGGGAAATGCTACACCCCTCAACTTTTTTTTTGAATTAAAAAGCATTTAATTTGGATTATTGTTTGGGGTAGAGCTTGTGAAAACTAATATTAACATTTCATTTTAAGCATCAATTTATATATTGAGCCTCTGTTTATATTTGTTTTTGATAGAAATAAATTAAATAATTTTGATAATTTTCATCTCTAAAATGTATGGATTTCAATCATTCTTTCATTATAAATGTTCGTACCAATTCTTATCTAAATCGTTAATCTTATCGTCTAATAATAACTTTCTTAAAGTATTTTTAATAGCTCTAATAACAATCTCAGCTTGACCGTTTGCTTGTTGATGGTCAGCGGAAGTGAAATTTAACTTCACCTTCATCTTGTCGGCGAAAGTACGCCAAACTTTTGATGTAAGTTTACTATCTCTATCACTAGTAATTTCACGCGGTACACAAAAATATTTAACATAATTTGACATAAATAAATTATACAAATCTTCAGATTTATAGGTATTATGAGTCGGAATCAATGTGACATATTTAGAGAAACGATCGACAATTACCCAAATTTGATTATATACATTTCCATTGTCGTCTTCAACTTCTTTTAAATTGGTTATAAAGTCACATGATATAGCAACAAACTTGTCACTCATTACAGGTAAAGGCTTTAGCAAACCTCTTCTCTTGTGGTAATAATCGTTACATCTACAACACACAATACATCTATTGCAATACTTGGTTATGTCTGCTTTCATTGTATCCCAAACGTACTAGCTGGATATCAATTCTGTCATAGTGAAAGCATTGGCATGTGCCGAGGTGGTGGAGCTATGATACAAGCTCAATATGGAGTTGACAATATGTTTAACATTGGGAACGATTATTTTACCATTTATATATTTAATACCATCAATAAAAATAATCTTTTAACTATTGTATAACTTTTATAATTTAATTTCGTTATTCTCTATCATTTTAGATTCTAAATCATAACCGTATCGGATATCATCTAACAAGTCGTTATCATACGAAACTCTAAGAGTGTTTACATTAACACCAACAGTGTATCGAGATAATCCGTCTGGTACAACATTAGTTTCACCTTTAATGTAATGCAATGTAGGATCAAATAACTCGATAAACTGCAACCAACGGTTAATTCTTGAATTGATACCGATAGCATACTGTTCGCGAAGGAATTTAATATTTTTATGGTCTGTATTAATAATAACTTTATGACGGACTACCAAAAGGAGATCTAGATCTTCTGATCCATCCCTTCTGTAATCTATCATTAATTTGTTTCTTTAACTCATCCAAATGAGCAATAGGAACAGGATATAACTTAGCTTTAGGTACTTCTGTTTTTAATTTAATTGTCATATCCTTTTCAGTCATCAATATTTTCAATTGGGAGTTAATAAAAAAAATTGAAGTCGATGATTTAATTAAAAAAAACATGACATTTTTACCACGTTTTTTGAAATTTTTCAAAAAGGTAGTCTGCGTGACTGAGAAAGATTACGATATCGTAATCTTTACCCCGAGACGGTGGTAAATCATCAAATGGTATAAACACATTTGGAAACATTTTCTGTAAAATATCGACAACTTTCTTTTCATTTTAGAGAGAGGTATCACCAACTTATCTTTATCCTTATTATCGTCAACTTGGACATCTTTTGAAACATCATCGTATAATTCATTAATGTTAACCTAAGCAATATTGTGGAAAAAAATTATTTTCATTTCCAATTTTATTTTCATTTTTATTCTCGTTTTTACTTATACCCCATCATTATGTTTGACAATTCACTTTTCAATATCTTTTAATTCATGTAGATTTTTAATTTTTTTTCGAACATATGTTTTTGAATGATATTAATGTTTTTATCGATACTATGAGTTCGATTTGACTTCAAATAAAATAATTTTTCATTGATAAGATCTTTATTTGAAATAATAATATCATTTTTATTTTTATTAAAAATTTTAAAGAATTTATTATTGAAATATACAGCTACGTTAAGAGTACCTCCGTCTCCGTAGACCATAACATTGTTTGACTTTAGAAAATCTACACCTAAAATTAAGAATTCTGAGTAAGTATCAATTATGTAAAATTTGTTTTTATATTTAATATTTATATTATCAATTGTTTTAATAGTGAACTCTAAATTAACAAAAGAATTGCCGCTTAAGCTACCATTTAGGGAATGGTGTACAATCTTCGACACTTACTTTCCAGAATGATGATGCCGCTCTTTCCAACGTTAACTATGAAGATGGTCTCCGTGGCGGTGCTACTGACGGCCGTTGGAAAAGACGGTACGGTTGTTTACAACGTGGACACTGCAGTAGCCCAGTGTCAACAGGCAGTTGCCTCTCAGAAGCGATTTTCTAAAGTCAAACAATGTTATGGTCTACGGAGACGGAGGTACTCTTAACGTAGCTGTATATTTCAATAATAAATTCTTTAAAATTTTTAATAAAAATAAAAATGATATTATTATTTCAAATAAAGATCTTATCAATGAAAAATTATTTGATTTGAAGTCAAATCGAACTCATAGTATCGATAAAAGATATTAAAATTAAATAATAAATAAAAGTTAAATTTAAATTATATAAAAATATATAATTAGAAACATTATTTTATATTATTGTTAATTTTAAAACACATGAGAGATGGCAGATCCAAATGCACAATCATCAGATACAACAACAACAACAACAACCACAACAACTAGTAATTCAACGGCATCTACGGATCCAACAACTACTACAAATGATCTCAGAATAAGAGATCTAGAAAATAATAATAACGATGATCAAAATCAATCAACCCCCACTTTATTTCCGGATGTCACTCCTACCAGCGCTCGCCCAGATCCACTCTCAACTTATTTGTTCAAATCCAGCCTGGCCGCTTCTAAGCTCCCGATCTCCTCTACCATTGTTCCAGGTCAACCTGATAGTAAAAAATTATCCATTAAAGCAACAGAAAAGATTTTTTTGATCAAATATTCAATAATTTAATGAGATTAGATCGTTAGTTGTTGTGGTTGTTGTGGTTATTTCATTTGTTTGATCAATTGGATCTGTCATTTTTCTTATTTAATTAATAATCAATACTAGTATAAAATAATGTTCTAATAATCTTTTATATAATCTATTTTTAAATTTTTATTTAATATCTTTTCTTATCTCTTAATTTTAATAAATTTTTATATCTTGAATAATTGAATAATCTGAATGATCGAATAATCATTGAATGAATTCTTTTACGTCGCGTTAAACTCAATGTATTGATTATTGAGAAGCTTGACGACTGAATGTTGAATAACTTAATTTAGATACAACAGATTTTAATTTAATTTAAACTATTACTTATTTAGTTATTTTAAATTAAATATAATTGACTATTCCTATATGTTGGCTGGTGTATTTTATTGATATTGTTTGATTGGTACTAGCATTGCCTTGGCGGCCACTCTATTGTCCTTAGACGGACAACACCTCCTCAATATTTTTATAATTAATATAATAGAAAAAGTCATTAAAAATTTATTGCAAAAGAATTAAATTATGACACAAATGCAAAAAATAACAAAATTAAATAATGACACAAATGCAAAAAATAACAAAATTTTGAACTTCTGTCAATTCTAAGAAATGAGTTGTGTTTAAAACATATGTTGTTTTCCTCTCTTCCAATGTTGTTCATAATCATTAATTAAATGTTTATCACCTAGTTTGATGATATCAATAAGTTTGTGTGTGTCGAAGCTATCGGTATCTTCATCTAGTAATGTTAATTGGTAGTCTTTGCCTTTTTGATTGGTATAAAAAAGGATTATGGAGTCGGCTTGTAATCTTAAAGCTTTATGGCACACGATATCTGCAAAGTGTTCGAGATTCAAACAGGCACGCGACGATTGGTAATTATTTTGAATTAAACCGTCATCACCAGTTGAATAGCTATGTTCATATCCAAAGTAATATGAGTTGATTTTCTCGACTGAATTGCCGCTGTTGATGGCTGTCCAATTTCCAAGGTATTCATTTTTATCAAAGTAACTATAGATACTATATGAAATTTTGAATAAAGTATAGATATCAAAATTAACTTAGGTAAAAATTTTGTTTTTTTTGTCACGTGGGTACATTTTCACTCGTTATGTTGTGTTTATTTATAAATTATATTTGTTTGTTTGTTAAATTTACTTAAAATTTTATGAAGAAACATTGATTCGTGGAAGATTGTTGCAATGAAACCAAATTGGTATGGTTGACCAACCATCAAGTAATATTGATCGTTTAGTTTCCTAATATGACAATCACGACTGTTTGGTTGTTCGTCTGTATTTGCTCTGATGTAAATGTTGGTGATACTCTTTGGTAAAGAAGCTATAGCGTCATCCTCTGGTAAACAGTCTGCTATAATTGATGTCACTGAATCTGGTACAACAACGGGAATTTTACCACCATTGGTGAGATGACCTCCAATGTCCAATGATTCAACACCCTGGGGAATGTCACATTTGAGTGTATCGCAGTGTGAAAGACGAATGTGCTTTATACCGCTTGGAAGTGGACAATGGATCTCCTTTCTGTAGTATCCACCGAAATTCAGTGATTCAATGCACTCTGGTAACATGTTGTTTAGCTCGTACGAACAAAGTAGGTTCATCGATTTGAATGTAAGATTCGGACGAATCAATGATTTCTCTGGTGCCTTTTGGATTGATAGCCTATCGAAATGATAGGTCGAATTCTCTGGGAATAATTCATCGACATCGAATATACATTCACCAAGATTAAGTCGCTTCAACAATGGAGATACTGCTGATTGCAACCTGTAAGTCGAAAATAAACTTAACTTGGTCAGCGTTGTTGGAATATCTTTTAGGTTGAGTAAAGGTAGTTCTTCTTCTTCACCTCTAGATATTTCATCGAGAATCAATAACTTCAAGTTGGGTAGTTGTGACAAGTGAGGAATGCAAGCCATTGGAACGAATTTTAGTGAGGTCAGGGTTGATGGTAATACCATGCTACCCGTGAGAGTATCGCCGGCGTTATTATAACTGATAAACCGCAGAGTTAAAAGATTGGGTGGTAGTGAACCATCTACAAACTCTTCGCGATAGTTACTTATTAATAACAGGTGTTGAAGAGTCGAAGGAAGTACGCCCGGTACGAATTGCTCGCCATAGTTTGGACCAAGTGTCAATCTTGTTAGACCTTCATTCAGTACACCCACTCCCAATGGCCTACAGTATTCGAATCCCAAACTAAGATTCGTGAGAGAGCTGGGGAACACATTTGGCTGTATTGGGTGGTCGTATTCGTTGTTTAAGGTCAGCTCTTCCAACGTCGGTGGAAAACATCCAGGTTTCAACTGTTCGCTAAAAACATTTTTAAACTTAAGCACCTTGAGGTTTCGAGGTAATCCATATTGCACTGTGATACAATCAACTATTATCGTCACATTGGAATCCACCAACAATTTGTAAAGGTATTCAACATTTGAATCTAATTGATCGATATGAAATGTCACCTTTGTTACATCGCTATCCAATTTATCTATTTTCAATATATCATCTTGTTTTTTTTTTAAAGAATTTAGTTTAGATTAGATTCGATTTGATTCTAATGTCAATATATAAAAACTACTTTAACTATTAGTAATAACTTACCTATGTTTAAATAGAAATGAGTATGAGTTTGAAAACGATCCAATAAATAACTATTGATAATATGTAAGTGATAATTCTTCTTGATATTCAGTAATGATTGATTATAAACTGATTTATATGATTGTAAATGAAAGTTATCGATACCGGGTTCACCATAGCCTTGGTTTGTACTTAAACAAAGATAACTTTCTCTTTCTTGGTAGAATCTTTTACAGATTAAACTTAGACAAATTCTATCGATATCATCTGATAAATAATTTACTATTTTTAAAAGTAATAAATGTGATAGATTTTCCATTTTTGAAAAGCATGATTTGATTTGTGTTGTGTAAAAGGTTAAACTAACTGAATTTAAAAAGGATCACTATTTTAAATTTTAAAGAATTCCTGCTTTTTGTATATGATTTTTTTTTTTCGACCTTTCCCATATCCATATTCATCTCTCGTTTTTAAGATTTTGATATCTTTAAGAAAATATACATATTAACTTTCATTTTATGAATAATAACAGAAATCTTAATAATAGATTAAATGAACTTCATGTTTCAATGTCGTTTAAGATCTGATTAAGGTCTCTTAAACTATTTAAAAGTTTAAAAGATCTGTACCTTGAAAATGAATTTCATGTGATTCACTTCCAATGATGATCTGTTATTGCTTTTCAAATCGATACAATGCCGGTATCCTAATCTGATAAGTGTAAGATACACTTTGATTGAGTTTTCACCACAACTGTTATTTGTAAATAAATGATAATGGAATAAGCATGTAGCTTCAAAGCGGTATGACAAAGAATATCTGCAAATTGTTCGATATTCTCTTTATCGAACCTTTCCTATAAATTGAATCTAGAGTTTAAATTGCAATAAAATGAAAACTCATTGGTTTGTTTGCTGAAAAACCTACTGGAATACATAGATGTCTTTTTAAGTGGTAGCTTTCCAAAAGAAAATGAAATAAATGTGTGGGTAAAAGAGAATCTGATGAATAAAGAGGAAATCATTATGAATGTATCGATGAAACCACTAAAGAACAACCGACAGTTTACATCAAAGTGCCATTCAGTGCACCAGTTACCGATGACACTAATATCAGAGTGACAACCAAACATCAAACCTCATCTACGCAACTGGATATATTTTTGATTCTGGAGGATGGCGTTCCGAAAATAGAGACATATAGGGAGCTGGTGTATCGCTTAAAGTCACACGGCCACAGATTCTACAGCACTACCTATGACAAACTACAACAACAAGATCAAAACGTTGGTGGTGGTGGCAATTGGCTTGACTACGATAGCTATTCAATCGAACACATCTGATCGACATGTATTCATATTCTCTAAATTTTCCTTTTTAAAAAAATAAGGATTTTTAATTTTATTTTTTTGTTTATTCAATAAATAAACTAGAATAAGGATTTTTTTAAAGACACTAATTAAGATTTAATTTTTTGGTTGGATAAAAATCCTAATTTTAAAATGAAAGAATTAACTTTATTGGATTAACTCAGGTAATTTAAATAAAACAAGATAATAAGAGGAGTAAAAAGGATATTGAAATTTTTTATATAAATTTTGGTTTTTGAGATTTGTAAAATAAAAAGATTAGAACAATACAGAATATATAAAAATATAAATAATTAATGTTTTTAATATTCTAAAAAATATATATATATTGAAGTTTAAAATCCAACTACTAAATCTACACAATCTGCAATTTCTGTTGGAATCTTGAATGAACCTTCTCTCTTGAAGATAGTATCATCAATTTTACCCTCTGGTTGGGCAAACTTATGGATTTGTGTATGGAACAACTCCTCTGTTTTATCAATGGATGTTCTGATCTATAAGAAATTGATATAATAAATTAAAATTAGAAACAAAACACAGAAAAATTAAAACCTTTTAATTAATAAAAATAACAAACCTTTAATCCTTCGCCTTCTCTAGTACATTGGATACCCTTGGAACCCAAGAAATCGGCAACTCTATCAAAGTGCTCTTGTGATGGTTTGGTCATTCCTTCGACTTCATTTTTGTCCAAATGCTTTCCATATCTCTCAGACTTTGGATCACTAGTTTCTTGCAACTAGTAAAGTAAATTTAAATAAAAATAATGAATTATTAGTATGATTGTAAAAGATTTAATATTTATAATCAAAAATATTTACTTGTTTCTTTAACCACTCTTCATTTCTGAGTTTAAGTACAATAGTAAATGTGATTTCAGATTTTGGGTCTGCTGTACCAAGATCCTACAATTATTTTCACGTTTAAATGTAACCATACACATAAATTTGAAAGTAAAAGAAATTTAAGAAAAAAAAAGTAGAGAAAGTTGGTTAATAATCTAAAAGATTTTTTGAATTCATCAAAATTTTAATAGATAAATAATTTTTTTAAAAAACATTGTTCAGTATTGAAATAATAAGTATGTCCTTTGAATATTATTTAATTTCGAAACAACAAACTATAAAACATTTTGAACAATAATTGAAATTCTTTAGAATACTGATTTCCACAATTTCTCAATGTTTAAATACTAGTATACACTTCCTTGTTTCTATCTCACAGATAAGATACAACAATAACAACAACACCATACATCTAATCAACCAACTAACCAATCAACCAATCAACTAACATACTAACCGACAAACATTATTAATTAAACAAATAATAACAATAACAAAACAAACAATATAAAAACCATACAAACATACCTTTGTATATCTAGCAAAATAAGGGACTCTATGTTGTGGAACTGCCATTCTTTATTATTGTTGGAGTAGTGTATAACTTTTAAAGTTTATTTAGTTGATGATATATAATTTTAAAATATTTGTAGTTTGAAAATAATAAAATTTAGTTCATTGATTTTGTTAACAATATTTTTATAAAAATTATATTTAAAAATTAAGTAAATACTTATCGGAAATAATTCCCACTAATTTAATTAATTATATAAATATGGATTGAGACAAACCATCCATATTTAAAAAACAAACACTCACACACACACTATCTTCTCACTGATAAAAGTGGATGTATGTCACTTGTCTAGAAGAAAAATACCCCCCATTCGAATTTTAATTTAAAACAAACAACAACAACAATTGTTCACACCCACAAACACACACGACACTTTAATGTACATACACCATATATAAAATATCATTATTATAAAATATCTGTTTTCCATTTTTATATGTTTATTTTATACATATAGATAATAATAAATTGAGTTGATAATTTGATTTAATTTATTTTTTTAAGAATGATCATTATTGATAAATTAAAATTAATTCTATTTAATCTTTTAATTTTTGAAAAATGAATGGGTCAATAATTTCATTTCTATTATTGTAAATATTGTATTGTATTTTTGTATTAAAGAGAAGAAGCAAATCTTGATCAGGTTGTATTAATTTTTTGAATATTTTTGTGTTTTTAGTGAATGTTCAACAAACCACTCAACTAATATTATTTTTAACCAACTTTAGAAATAGAGTAAACAACACACCCAAAAATATAAAATTCTAATGACTAATGGATTATCAATAACAATGAGACGGCAACTGTGCAAGGTCATACCATGGTATTCTAACCACTGACTAGTATCGAGTAAGTATATATATATTATATACTTTATGAAAGAAACCACACACAAATAGCTAATGAAAGATCAAAAATCATTGGGATTTACAATAATATTTAAATTTTATTGGATAACCATTGGTTTCAGAAGAAATGAAAAACATACATACATATATATCAAATTTAAACCACATCTTGTATTGATAATGATTAAAGTCTTGTCTATTTCCAATAATAATATATATTACTAGTAATAATTATTTTATATTGGAAGTCAAATAAATCGAATGTTCGATCGATTTCGGGTGATTTAATAAAATATTTACTGATTTAAAAAAAAATAAATTAACTTTTAAATTAAAATAACCAATAACCAATCAAAATTTTATTGTTTTAACAAGTTATAAAAATGTGATAAATGGGTATTACATAATGAAACATCAAATATATGTTGGTGTTGTTGGTGGTAGTGGTGATTGATGTGTTTTATTATCTAATAATGATGGTGATGTTGACAATAAAAAAGTAGTAGAATAGAAATTTTATCATTTTTCTATTAAATTTTGATTTAATTGATGAGAATGAACAACTCAAAGATTATCTTTGTTTTAACAATTCTGAAAAAAGAATAAACTTTGCAAAAAAAGTGGTGTTTTGATTATTTAGTGGTAAGTGGTGGTCGTGTTAGTGTGACTTCAGATTTATCAAAAACTAACAATATGATTGGTTATTTTAAAGTAATAATGTAGAGCAAGTAGTGTTTAGTTGATTTTGATAATGATCGTGATACTGATATAAAAAATGTTAATGTTGTTAGGTGTGTTTGCGTGTTGTGTGAAACTTCAAATAAAACTAAAGTTAATATTGGTTTGATGCATCGAGGTAGGTGCAAAATGTGGATCAAACCATACAATCAGAAATATAGGTTTTTTTAACTTGATGTTTTGTTTGTTGATTTCCAATGGTTGGTCGTCCAATAGCCACAAAATGATAAAGCAAGAGTTGTTTTTGATGATGATCAACAATTTCAAAAAAAAAGGGTGAAATGATTGATTGGTTTGATTTAATTTGATTTGATTTGATTGATTTAAAAATCATTCGAATGATGTGTTTGTGATATACCTATTTTCACATTATACAGTCCTTTTTAATAAATCTTATTTTTTTGATGAACAATAAAAACAAAAACACCACAACCAAATTTATCTAATAGCTAATCACAAGATAAAACACACACACTCTCTCACACACACCAGGTTGATTGCAGCTCTCGTTTCTCCTCCTCTTTCACTCTTACTCTATTCTGACCGTACAGTCAGTCAGCGGCTGATCCAACAACAGTAGTAACAAACATCACCTCCACATAAAAGCTATAATCAATCATATGATTTAGCATAAACACATAAAACCACTAAACAATAAACAATCAATCAATAAATAAATCAACATTATTATTCTTACTCTTACACTCCACACTTCAAAATCGATCAATAAGTAAAACAATTTTTAGTTTAAACTAGTCTCCTAAGTTTAATCGCATCTCTTATCACCCTCAGTATCAAACATGCTCTGTTTAGTTTAAATACGCGCTCTGATTGACTATTTGATAGTATCTCTTGTCTACTCTGCACACCACACACTACATTTCAAAGAGGGGTTGTTGATTTAGAGGAGTGATGGCTGCGATTTAAAACAAAATATTATAAAATATTTGGAATGCTGTCACACTCTTTGATATATCCAACCGCCGACATCATCAGTCTCTGTCTCTTTGCAGCTCTGTAGACAGCTGTCGGTATTGAGTTTGCTCCTGCTGGTGATTGTGGTGTGCGGGGTTAACTTTTGAAAGAGCTTTTTTGTATTTGTGGTGGTGAATAATTATTGGTTTGTTGTTGTTGTTGAGTTTTGAGCTGTGTGTTGTTTTAAGATGGTGGTAGTGTTCTTGTGTGTGTGGAAATGTGCATTGGTAATAGGTATTGTTGTTAGGTGTGAGGTGGTGTTTCTCTATCAGTAAATGAATTTAAGTGGATCAAGTATTACTAATACTGATTCTGATTCTTCTGATATATAGTAGTCGTATTGACAACAACAACAACAACAGCAACAACAACAAACAACATATATAAAACATTTTCAATAAGGAATAATAATTTAGTAGTAGAAGTAATATAAGAGTAGTACAGTTACTATTAGTATATGATTTCAAAAATTATATGTGATTACTGGGTTTTGTTTTTCTTGATGTTGAAATAAATGGCAATGTATGTCTTATTTCAAATAAGGGGCTGTGGAAGATGGTGATTTTAAGTTAAAGATATTGTAAAAGTTTGTATTAATTTTAAAATAATTTATTATTAATTTTATTTAACCAGCCATTAACACAGATGAATCGATTTATAAAGGTTCAAAGCTTTTTACATTTTAAATTGGTTCACCATTCCTACCTAATCAAATATTTTCCAAATTTATATATTATATTAATAAATAAATAATAAATAATTTAAATAATATTTATTTAATAAAATATAAATCTAATATTTTAAAATTAACAAACCCTTAAAATTAAAATTTATAAACACCTGTCCAATCATCCATCTTTAATTAATAAAAGATATCTTGTACATTTTTAAAACTAAACCTTATTTATTAATTTATCTGTAATATTATATTTAAACTTTTATTTATTTTTTAAAATAAATCTAAAATAAAAAATGTAAATAAATTATAAATATTTAAAATCTATTTCTTCATAACTAATCTTTTTTTAATATTTATTTCTAAATCAGGGAACAACAAGAAGTATATTGTGATCCAATTAATTATTTTCACCAATTGCCAAAATATTCATTTGTTGATCAATCTTTTCAATCTCCTCCCAATCAAATTACTTTCTTTAATAATATGAATCCAATTTGTAATAATCCTCCTAATACAATGAATAATACTTTAAACAATAATATGAATAATACAAATATTCCAATAACAAATCAAATCACCAATAATAATAATAACAATCAAAATAATTTTTCCTTAAACAATAACTATCAATATAATAATTATGCTCAAAGCCCTCCCACTATTATTTTTCAAGATACTTCTTATTGTGTGAGTGGAATAAATGTTGTCTCACCAAATACACCAAATCTTACACCAAATCTCACACCAATTCCAACACCTAATCACTCTACTCCGTCCCTTACTCCAACCCCTACTCCACCATTAACACCCACATCCATGCCTTCTAATAATTTCCAACTTATTGATCCTTCTTTTCATTCTGAAACATTTTCACATGAAAATTTCTTAAATAGGTAAGTTTTATTTATAAAAATAAATAACTTTTTTAATTCATCTAATATTTATCTTTTATTTAAAAAAAAAAAAAGAAATGTTGAAATGCCATGGTTTTGTGTTGTAAATAATAACTCACCTAAATCTGGTTCAATTCCATTGCCAAATGTATTCTCTTCATTCTCGACACCACTGTTTAGAAACTTTTATCACAATATCGAATTCTTTATTCCAGACTTGGAAATGCAAAGAAAATACCATAATCAAAGAGTATATATATCTGATGTCGTTGGCTACAGTGGTAACGCCAAAAAGTTTATCAACACTCCACAACCCAATGAAGTTGCTCTCTTTCTGGAAGCCCAAGTGTTGGATACCGAGTTTAATCCACTACCACAATGTACATTCTGCAAAGAGTACTTCCAATCGAGATTCTACTTTGCCAACAACCCTCAATGCAAAGAGAAACTGGTACTGGTCAAGAGTAACGTTGCATGTTTCATAAAGAATGGAATGTTTTCCGTACAAATCAAGATTATGTGTTGCTCCAAACATCACAACAACAATAGTCTGGTGATTCACCTTTGGCTTAGAGATGCCCATACCAATGAAATCGTCATGTCATCGGTTTTGTCGTCTTTCATCAAGCAATGGAAGAGAAGCAAGACTCCATAATTCTATCTATCTGGAAGCGTGACAACAGATCTCCAATCTTTTAAACTTAATAGCAAACTCAAACCCAACTTCACAAATCCATTGTAACGATTTAATTCGAATTAAATTAAATATATATATATACCACTGTTCATCATCAAACATGTAAATAACTAGCCATAAAAAGTTTCAGAAACTTTTTAATATAAAAAAATATATAATTTGTAAAAAAAAAACAAAACAAAACAAATACAAAAACTAATAAAATTCATAATATATACTTATATTGTACATAAATAAATAGTTCTAATATTTAAAAAATACTATTTAAAGTCTGATTGATTTTATACAAAGAAAAAGTTTTTCTTTTAATTAATTATAGTTTTACAATAAATAAAACAAAAATGAAACATTGCATTTCATTTTAAGAAAAGTAGGTAATTTTATCGTCTAGAGTCTTTCCTTCTTGAATAGAGTGGAGAGAATAGTCCATACCGTTCAAAGCTCTATGGATTCGAAGATGAATATAACCATTTGGGGTACGTGCCTTAATAAAGAAGTTGGTACCTGCAACAACCTATTAAATTTAAACACAAACACCTAATTAGAGTCAAATAACAAACTTTACTTAAACTACACTACATACTTGAGTTGTATATGTAATTGCTTCAAGGTTTCCTGGAATATGAGCTAACTTTGGGTCGTGTCGAACCGCATTGAGAGCTGTTACGGCAGCAGCATCAGCTGGTTGAGATGGCTTTAGTCCACCTGGAATCATTCTTTACTAACTTTTATAGATATATATATTATATATATTTAACTAATTTACTAACTTTTTAATTATTATATAAATAAATAAATGAACAAATAATAATCTAATCTATAGTTATTTATTATTATCTTTATAAATATAATTATAATGCTGAAAAATGAAAATGAAAAAAAAAAAAAGAAAAAACAGCAAATTTCAAAAATAAATTTCATAGTTTATTTCTTGGTGACAAAATAAAACACCCCCCCACCCACACAACACATCATCTAATAAATAATTGTTAATTATTATTATTTTGATTTTTTTTTATAAATAAAACAAAGATGATATTTATTATTTTTTAGTTTTGATACAATTTAATAAATTATTATTTTTTTTTTAATAAAATTATTATTAATAATAATTGATTTAGAAGTAGGTGATTGGTTCTTCGAGGGTCTTTCCTTCTTGGATGGAGTGGAGTGAGTATTCACCGTTCAAAGCCTTGAAAATACGAAGATGAACGAATCCACCATTAACCTCAACCTTGACAAAGTAGTTGGTACCAGCAACAACCTATTTATTTATTTGTAAATTAAATGATTTTAATTTGTTAGTTAACAATGTTGTTTGTTTTATAAAAAATGAAAACATAAATTAATTATGATCATCAGTTTGTTATCTATACATACTTGGCTACCAGCTTGGACTGGAACGAATGAACCTTGGATGGCGGCCAACTTTGAGTCAGCTCTGACGGCGTTGACAGCGGCGATGACTTCAGCATCGACTTCGTGTGGCTTGATTGATCCCAACATTATATAATTGATTTGTGTAGAGTTTTATTTAAAAATAAAAAAAAAGTTGTATGATGATTGTTTGATAATTTAAATGATGATGAAATTCAAAAATGAACAAGATGATTTATATAAAAAAAAATGGTGAACAAACAGAAAAATCATAAAAAAAAGTCAAAAAAATAAAAAAATTGAAAATAATAAAAAAATAATTGAACAAAATATCTTTTTTTTATTAATAATAGTCATTGATATTGGATAAATGGTGGTGTTGGGGGTTTCATTGTCATTTTTTTATTTTTTTGTTTTTAATTTTCATTTAGCTTGGGGTTTTGACCTTCATTGTCTGGGTTTTTTGAAGTGAAAAAGAAAGATGAGGAAAAAGCACAGATTCTTCATTCATAAAGTGTAAATTTGCATCCTGTTTTGTGTAATCAGATCAAATTTAATGCATTAAAGTTTCGCATTAATGATTTCACCGAAACATTTTTATTTTACAAAGAAACATAAACATAAACTTAAAATTTTAGTTTGCATTTATATATAATTATTATTTTTATCTCTAATAATAAAGATATAGGTATGATTCATTGATGAATCATCAAAATAACCAAAACACGTATTTTATTAATAAAAATAGTAAAATAATCATTATTTGGAGAAATATAGATATTAAATAAAAGATTTGATTGATTGATTGATTGACTGATTTATTTTTTATTAACTTTATCCATTTTAACTCTCATGTCTTTCATTTCTCTTCTGTGAATGAATCGTTTTCTTTGGAGTATGAAGAAAGTAGTTGCCGCTGCTACTACTACCACTCCACCTACAACGGAGCCGGTGACGATCTTCCAGAGGTTGTCGTCTTTTGCGGTGGATTGATTGCATTGATCATCGCTATTGTCTTTGACCTTTAGGAATACAGAGTAGTCAGGATCGAACAGAACACTCTCTTCAAAGTAAGGAACACTCATGCTGTACTCGATGAAATCGTTGGCCAGTTGCTCTTGGATATTTGCGACAATAGAACGACCATCAACTATTGCTTGATTGACGATTCTCGCTATCATCCCGTTGTCTTGGCCACTGAGTGTTGTCCACTGATATTGATTCTTGGTGGAGTCGGTAGTGGTCGAGTTGTTACTACCGGTTCCAACTGACTTACCAGTACATCCATTGGGATTCAATGATTCCGATAGCATATTACTTTTGATTACCACTCTGAGAGTGTTTACTCGTGATGCGAACGGCCAAAGTGCAATGCTAATCGATAGTTTCAGAGTTTTCTCTGCCATGTGTAGAAGTTGATCACCAAACTGGACATCTGTATCATTGATAAAGTATTGGAATGTGCTGTTGATTGTTGCATTGTTTGGAAGCGTCAAGTAGAAGTCCCATCGATTGGCCACGTCGTTTTCAAGATTCCATTTTGCTCCAGTCAAATTGTAGCCATCAGCGACCGTATCTAAATCCATTTCGGAAACAGAGACAATTGAAATAGTGAAATTTGTATTCTTGTCAACAGTTACTGTTATTTCTCCACCATCTCCAGGTAAAATGATGATCGGTGATGACTCTTGTTCACATCTACTTCCGATATAGCCGGTTTCGCATATACAACTACTGTTGACACAGCTACCTCTATTACTACAGGTATTGTTTGAGCAGAATTCAACGGTTGGCAATGGTAGAGTTGTGAAATAGAATTTGTTGGCAGGCACTGTACTGACATTCATTTGGAGTAGATAGGAGATGGGTGGTGTTGCACCGATATCACATGATATCTGTGTGTGTGGCTGTAACATAGTGATATTCTTACAAATACTTGGACCAATTTGTACTGTGATAACCGATGGATCATCACCAAAGTTCGTTCCATTAATAAACACTTTTCCACCGGTTTCCAATATTGAATTGGTTTGAGTGATGTTTGGTGCTGCGTATTTGAATAGTAAGGTATCAGTATTCTCGATTGTATCATTAAATAGTCGAAGAGTTCTCACACCAGTTCCGGGAGGTGCAATGAATCTCACTTGGTTGCTATTGGTATTGGAAAGAGTAACCAAAATATCACCCAAAATTAGTCTTGGAAATTTCGGTAGGTTTACGCCATTCACAATCACCAGTCCACCTTGAGTAGGAGGTGCACCGATTTTAGTGATAAACGGTAGCGGGTATCTGAGTTCGTTCGATACTTTATCATAGTCTAACCAAACTTCCCAAAAACCTGAAACCTGATATGGGCCGGTGGAGCACTGCAACGATACATTTGGTTCTGTAATAGTTATGTTTGTACAATATCTAACTCTTGATCCAGATTCATACATGACAAATACTCTATTTGCATCACCACCAAACCTATCCGATGTTATGTTTATACGTTGTTTTCCAATTTGTGTCACACTGAAAAGTGTCATTGCTGGCTCACATACAGTATCATTGATACGAACATAACCTCTGTAACATTGGCAATAGTATGTACCATTTCTATTATCGGTGCAGTCAACTCCACTCCCAGTAGCACAGGTATTGTTTTCATAATTACAATAGTTGATAGCGTTGCAACCATTCGATCCATTCGGTGTGTATCCAGGTGGACACTGACAAACATAACTACCCGGTAGATTCACACAAGTTGCTATACGACTACATGGTTTATTAACTACACATTCATCAATATCTAAAATAAAGTAATATAAAAAATTTAGTAAATAAAATAATTATCTAAATTGTTATTTTTCCAAAAATTAATTACCTGTATCACATGTAACATTTGTATATCCAGATTTACAATCACATTGTCTAGTGTATTTACTGCAAGTACCATTGACTGAACATATTGGACATTGAGTAACTTGATAATCTTTATCAGTTTTGAATGATTCCGAGGCTTCAACACGGCCAGGTGAATTTGTTGATAAACACATCATAGATGCAGAGTTTGGCCCTAACACTTGCTCTATTGCCATTGTTCTTTTTCCATTTATACTATTCTTACAAACGGATATCTGTGTGTATATATAATTGGTAGAAAGAGGTTCATACATATTTATAGTTGAGGTTGTTGTGTTTTTATCATTATCCCTACAGCTAGCCGTTTTGGAAGTGTCACTAAGCATTAAATAAGGAATACCTGATCCATTGACGCAGAGAATTGAATAGAATATAGTTGGTACAGGTGATAGGATGTTTGATGAAATTCCAGGTCCAGTTTCATTTAAACAACTAAGAATGGTAGTAGGCTCTAAATAAATTACTGGTTTTACTAATTGAGCTGTAACACACTATATAAAAAATAATAACATTTATATTTAAATTATTATTATTATTATTAATATAAAAAAAACTTTTATTTCTATTATTGTAATTACTTACAGTATAAACTTGGAGTTGAGTATAATTGGAATATTGAATTCTACATGTTCTACCATCTACAATGTATCCTGGATTACATTGTGAATTTACTCCCAAAATTAAACATAAAAAAATAATAAATATTGGAAACATTAATTAAAACAATTAAATTTATAAATACAAAGAAATAAATAAATAAATAAAATAAATAAATAAAATTAAATTTTAATTTTTAATAATAGTAATAGTTTTAGATGATGATCAACAAAATCAAGCAACAAATAAAGGATGATGTTGATGTTTGTAAAGTTTAAAATCATCTTAGCAAAAAAAAAAAAAGGTGGAATCATCCCTGCTTAGCTACTTCTCCAATGAGATGTTTGGCACATGATAAGATATCATCATCCTGGCTAAATAATTACCTCAAATGACATGTTTGGTACATTATTCGATAAAAATATCTATCATTTGACAAAAAGGTGTAATCTTCAACTTTTAATGTTTATTTAAAAATCTTTTTGTTTTTGTTTTTGTTGTTCATCACCAACTTTAAAAAATATCAATGTTTTTGGGTCCGATCCTAAATTTTTTTGAATATCTAGATAGTATTTTTTCAACCATTTATTCATTTTTAATGTTTGAGATATAAAAAATCCCACCTTTATTAATAGATTTACTTATTTGTTTATTTTAACAGTGGAAATATGTTTTGAGAAGTCTGTGTAATCATGGGAATTCTAGATTTCGCTACATTTTTACAACTATGACACTTTACTTTTAAGAGTAAGAGAGTAAGTAAAATTCGAGCTTTGCAAATCAATTATTCTGATCATTTGCAAACTAATACTATAAATCTCTTTTAAAAAGGTAAGAAACTTTGATCGGTCAAAGTTTAACAAAAATAAAGTCAAAGATTTCCTTAAACAAAAGTTGATCAGCTATTTATATTTCTTTCATTTTTTTATTTTTTATTGTTGACCGACAAAGTTAATTGTAAACTACTAGTTTAGATATTGATTGTACAATAGAAATGAATTGAATCATCTTTATTAAAGATTTACTTTTAAAATAATTAATTATTAAATTGTTTCAAAATAATTAGTTATTGCTTTAGAAAAACTTTTAAACAGAATTGATTGAAATTATTTATTTCCGCAACTTTTAAAGATAACTAATAATTGATTAGTGTTTATTGAATAAACTGTGACTTTAAATCACTAGAAAAAAAAAAAAAACAAATTCAAAAAAATGATTTTTTAAAAATTAAAAAAAAAAAAACGAACGAAGAATTTGATTAATTCACAGCGTTGCTGATAATAAAATTTGATTGTTTTATTTATTTACGCACACCTCAATATATATAAATTTTTCTATTTTTAAATAGAGAATGACTAATAAATCTACTCTTATTAAAAAGAGACCATTCGAAACAAATGGTACTCAAAAGAATAATAATAATAAGATCGTTCAAAATAAAAATATCAACGTCAAACAAACAACACAACCAACAACCACCACAATCAATAAGAAATTGAAAACAGATACAAACAAATCAAAAGTAAAACAGGTTCAACAAGAGGCAGAGGAAGAAGAAGAAATTGAAGAGGAAGAAGTAGATGAAGAAGTAGATGAACAAGAAGATGTATCAGCTGATGAAGAAGTAGAAGAAGAAGAAGAAGAAGAAGAAGAGGAAGAATATATAGAAGAACAAGAGATACAATATAAACATAAAGGATCAGAATCAGATTCAGAGGAAGAAGAAGAAGAAGACGGATCAGAAGAAGATGATAATGATGAAGAGGCAGAGGGAAATGGTACAGTTGACAAAATTAAAGATATCGAATATACAAATAAAAACAATAAACAAGAGAATGGTCATCAAACAGAGAAACCTACCAATGGAAGTGCATGGGTTGACGATGATGACGATGAAACCAATGAAGATAATAAAATAAATAATGTGTATGTTATTTTATTTTATTTTTTGCTATTATTTATTATAAAAGTTATTATCAATCTAACAATATTCAAATTCTTTCTATAGGTTGTCAGGTAGTTTATTACCGAAATGGGCAAAGAAAGAAGAGCAAGAGAAACAAGACGATCAAGACGAAGATGATATCGATATTCAATTGGAGAATAAAGTGTTCCATTCCGATAGAAAGATTACATCGTTCAAAGGAGAGGGTCATATCAACACTAAAATTACTGTAAAGAGAGGAATTGCTGTATGTTTAACTTTAATTAACCAAATAATTGTTTGAATAGAATATATTTTAACTAACAAAACATAATCAAATTACTATATATGTATAGCAACATGTTAGTAGAATTGAATATAGTGGTGTATCAAATATGATTTTATTAGTTCATACTGCTGGTATTACTTTATTCTCTGTATGTTTATTTATTTCAATCAAAATTGTAGTATACATAAATGCATTATTAACTAACATGTGTATATATATATATATATATATATATATAGTCATACAATCTTGATAAACCATTATATAGTTCTATTTTGAAAGGATTTGGATGTTCAAGTGCAATGCCACTACCAAACAGTAATGAATGTATTATCATTGGACACAAATCACATTACTATGTTTATAATATGAAAACTGTTGCATTAAAGAAATATACACTTAGAGGTATGATAAGCATATTATTACATTTGTTAAATAATATATAATTGTAGTTAACTAATTGTTGTTGTTTGTTTACTTTTTAGTTGGAGATAACTATCTTAGATTATTATGTGTTTCTAATGATTATTATGCAATCTGCGATTCATTGGGTAAGATTTCGATTCTCTCGTGTAAATCAAAGACATTGGTGAAGGAAGTACAGCTGTCACAGAAAGATGTTTCACTTATGAGATTCTCGGCCGATGGCGAACATCTCTATGTGGTGTCGCAAGGTTGGATCACCGTGTACGACAGCAAGAAAGACTGGCGTATCGTTCACCGTTTCAAAGACCACGGTAACGTCACATCGAAATCGATTCTCTCGATTGCTTTCTCACCGAACAACAGTTACTTTGCCACCGGTTCCGAGTCGGGTATTGTCAATGTGTATGAGCGTGTCGCCTGCTTGGCCAGCGAGTCACCACAGCCACTGCACGTCATCAGCTCACTCGTCAGTCCAGTGACAGACCTCCAGTTCTCACCGAACAACGCGATGCTACTGATGAGCTCGTCGACGGACAAGGGTATCGTTCGTATTCTCTCGGTGCCAGACTTTAAGGTTGTCAGCTGGTGCGATGCCAACACCATGAAGCTCAAACTCGGTGCAGTCACATCTTCGTCGTTCACCAACGACTGTCGTGTTTTATATCTTACAAACGACAAGGGTGCTATCATCAAAGTTCGTGGTTTCAAATGATCGATCATCTTTACAAAACAATGCATTGAAAACACACATAATAAAAAACAACTTTTAAAAAGAATTATAATTATCATTTTAAATATATTTGATAAATTTTATTTATTGATATCAAATAAAACAAAGATATCTTTAACAAAGAAATATTACAAATGGAAGAAAGTATGTTGTTTGAATTTATTAAATTTGTGAATATTGAATACCAAAGTATCTATATTGATAATAAAAGTTGATTTGTCTGTTACCATAATAAAAATGATAGATTATGAATCATCTTCACTATTACTTGTTATGAAGCTGTTGTCTGGAATCGATGACAAATTAAACATTCATTATCAAAATAGCTACTATAGTATTCAATCCAAAATTTTAATTTAAATTTATAAAGTCAAATCAAAATTTGAACTTAAAGGTTACAACTTAAAATTGTCTTTGTTATTTTTTTTTTTTAATATTCTATGAAGTATTTGAGATGGAGTCTTAATCAAATGAAAAGAGAATAGATAATTTTTTAAATAAATAAAAAAGGGTACATATTTATATTTTATTCCTCGTATAATATCTGATTTGAAATTAATGTTTTTTATAATATTTTTTATTTAATAATAGTTGAGATCAACACCGATTCCACAGTCACTAACAGATCCTTCATATTGTTTGGCATGTGGTTTCTTCCAACCTCCAAATGGCACGAAATCACTGAATGAAGGATTGTTATCGTAGTGAGCATACCATAGTGGGTAGTCAGCACCTCCAGTCCATGAACCCATGATTGGTTCCCATTGTGATTCACTAGTATAGACTCCAACCTTTACACCTGCACTCTTGGCACCTGCCAACATAGAGTTAAAGAAATCACGATTCTTGGATTGGTCGCTACTCCAGTAGACACCAGGTCCTTCAATGTCAAACCATACCATGTCAACATTAGTCTTGTATGAGTGAATGTATTTAACCATTGCCTCTACTTGACCAGCTCCATTACCACAAGAAAAACAGGGAAAGATATATGCATCGATTATACTGAATTTACCATCTAAAATGTAAAATAACAATTTAAATTTGTAAGTTTTTTTTACAAATTTCAAATTGAATACTCTATCCATACCTATAGCATTGTAAATGGAGTGAGGACAGTTGGTATCAACACTTCCAATGGATTCATAACACTATTGTAATAAACTTATTAATTAGAAATTATAAATGATAAACTGAAATAAAAATAGATTATTTACATACTCTAATGACTGCCCAATCATATCCTTTTGATTTCAAACATTGGAAAGCAGCAATGGTGGAGGCTTGAGAGATATCGACACCTCTTGAAGAGAATACCAAGCTAACTTGGAATAAAAATACAAATATAGATACAACTAATAAATATGATCTAAACATTTTACAAATTACAATATTGATAAGAGTTTGGAGATCTCCTCTTTTTATACTTGCATTATCGCTCTTTAAAATTTAAAAGAATAAAAAAAACTAAAAAAAAATCTTAAAAATAAAAATTGGATATTTTTTGGTACCAACGATCAAAAAAAAAAATCTTTAAAACTTGTAAAGGTCCATCTTTTTTTTATCCTGGTTGAATAAAAATCTATGAAAATTTCTGATTTTGGGAATTGAACTTAAACCAAGAACCAAATTTCTTCTATTTATAAAAATTTTAACAATCTTTAAAAAATTTAAACTATTAAAAATAATATTAGTTTAAACTCTCTTCTTTTAAATATTCCTCATCGAATAATATTATTTAAAATTGGATATGGGTATCTCCTATGCTCAACTTTATTTAATTTTCTACAATCGATTTTTTACTTCATCTTGAATAATTTAAATTTGTATCCGTTCAAAGTTTAGACAATATTGTTAAAAATCTTTGAAACAAGATTTATTTCGGGATGACACGCTTCCAACTCATACTTCTACTACCTTCAGATAATAACCAATTGATTTAAAAGTACCATTTGGGGATTGCGGGTGTTTTATCACTATTATTTTTATTTTTTTGACAGTTCTTGCTTGTTTGATCGTCAAAACAAACATGATATAAAAATGGGTTTCGCAAATTAAAGGGTTAGAATAAAAACAGAGCATCAACATTGAATCCACAAGCAAATCATCAAACTTTTGAACTTTAAGGGTGTGCCAGAAGAGAATTGGAATACCACCTTTATCAATTTTTCAAAAAAATAGAAATCAACATTGTGACAAAAAAAAAAAAAAAAAACTTCTACAAAAAAAAATAATTAAAAAAAAACTAAAAATCAAATCTGAATTTTTGGAAATTTTTGGTGCGAATGACATCGATGATTATGGTTTAAAAAAAATTAATTGTACTACCACCAAAGCATAAACAAAAAAAACAGACTTACAACTAGAGAAAATAATAATAATAAACAATAAGTTGTCAGGAATGCAAATAAATACATATTGATTTATATTAATCAATTTATAACTAGTTCATTTATTTAGTGTAATTACACTTTATATAAAATAATAATATCGAGATAATACAAACAAATAAATAATAATAACACATACAATCAATCAACCAACCAACCAATCACATCACATCAACTCAACTCTTTTTTTTTTTTTTTTTTTTTTTCACATAGTATACAAACACTTTTTAGATTTTAGTCTATCAATGTAAGTATTTCAGAATTTTCAATGTACTATCTACGTTTAGCAATCAAATTGAAGTAGTGATCTATACATATAACTATTTTATATATGTGTGTGAGAGTTTCTTAACAAATGAAAGGACCTATCTACCTATCATTATCATTAGCAATAACAACATCAAACACCAAAAGGGAAACACATATTACACAACCCAACCCAACCCAACAACAATCAACATCATAATAATAATAATAATCATAATATAATTCGCACGTACACATATACACAAATAATCATTTTTCGAATATATACATACATGTAAATAATGATACTGTAACATAATATTTCCCTCGAGAGAGACAATAACAAACAAACTGATCACCAATCAAACAACAGTTTTCTCAATCTATTACTCACTTCACCACAACTCAAAGCTATTAAAAATAGTGTTTGTTATCACTGATCCTCCAATACAACGTGTTCATCATTATTTATTTATGTTCATTGCAATTATCAATCTGTTGTCGATAATAATATGAAAGAATAGATGATTTTCATCCACAGTCGTAAATACCAATACCAATAAAAACTACCACTACCACCACCCATCGATCAAACCCATCAACTCGACGACCCACAAACACACAAATAAATCAACCACCAACATAAAAAAATAAAAAATAAAAATAAAAATAAAAACAAATACAACAAGGACAATAATATCTTATTGTATATTATATATGTATGTGTCAAGCAAATCAAAACATATCGTTAAATAATAATAATTTATAATGTGTAGAGTATCATATTGTTTTTTGTATGATTGGTCGGTGTGTGCGGGTGGTGTTTATTGTTCTGTCCAATAATAATTCGTGATGAGAATTTAATTAAATATTGGTATTTATACCGGGTCTATTTTTATAATGAACATATGAATAACACATCAAACACACCCACAATTCGATTTCATTTACCACGCAACAATAACTACAGAAGTAAACAGATCAAGTATATATAGATTATTATTGTTTTAGAGGACGATGACTTGACTTGGATGATGTTCCATCCTTTCACTAGTGATATCAAGACATAGAGAGAGAGCGATGTTTGTGATATCATTTAAATATCTAGGTTGGATTTGAGTGTTGGTGGTGTTATATTATATTATATTATGTGTTGTTGTTGTTGTCGCTGCTCTGTATATTATTTGTTTATTGTTTGGAGGTATTATTATTATAAATTTGAAATTAATTTCGAGTAGTCGTTGTAGTCGCGATACAGGAGGTATTTCCAAAATTTCTTGTTCTTTTCAAATATGTTGTTTATTTGTTTGGTTTGGATTGGTATTTGAGCAACTCCCTTTTATTACACGAATTTGCCCTATATATCTATCAATCTGCTCCTATCGAATAAAATCACAAAAAGCAGAGCACTTCTTAGTTTTTTGGTATTCATTTAACTTCATACACCAGCCAGACAAAACTAATAATATCTCACACTGTCTGTTGTCTATAATTTTATATTTTTAATTATATTTTAATTAGTTCCACAAACAAACCAAATCAGAGATCAAACAATTATAAAAATTAGGAATTCAAGCAGAGACTAGTAGTCTACTCACCAACAACATTTATTTTAAATTTTATATACATATTTATTTCTCTAAATCTCAGTTGGATCAATCATCAATCAATCAATCATAACAACAATATTTTAATTATACAATTGGTATTGTTTGTTTGTTTGTTTGTTTGTTGGAAAAAAAGAATTTTCTTCAAAAATAAAAATATCCTAAATATAACAAATTCATATATATTTATTATACTATACTATACTACTACAATAATATTTAGTATCTAACTGACGGCAACCAATATCCAATAAAAAAACATATTACCCACTCATATTCACCCAATAACATTTAAAAACCAATCAAATAATTGCGTATCTAGAGTTATTAAATCATGATTTATTTCATTTGAAAAAGGAGTCAATAACAATCAATAAAATAAACAAATCATAAAACAAAAAGCAATCAATCTGTTTAAATTATCAATCGACACTTTTTAATATTTTCCATATATATTTAATAGTTTTATTACTTAAACTTGTATCATTTAAAACTAATAGTTACAACAAATAATTCACATATTTCCTTTTAGCAGAACCTTTTATTTATTTAAATATTCAATTTGCGTAAGATTATTTTCTATCTTGATCCACAAATCCAAATTTAAACAATCAAATCAAAATCCAATTCAATCTAAAACAAAACAAAACAACAACCATCCACACCACCACATCCCCACCACCACCACACACAAATACATTTCAAATGAAACATCTTTGATTTGAATCACGATTTTGTCAATTTTTAAATCACAGTGTTAAAACAGGATGGAAAAACGACGATAGACTACCATTACCCTGATTAGATGTAGTTTTACTTATTGAAATCGAAAACTCTTTGACAATCGAATTTTATGTAAATCAAAAAGTTATGGTCGACAGATCCATTCAAATAACATTAGGATTAGAATTACCTGTTGTAAACATTAATGTTTCTGAATTCGAAATGGATTGGCTTGGATTACAATTTAGAATGTTTTTTTTTTGTTTTACAAAGATATTTAGCCATCCATCAAATATACAAATATATTTACAACAATAATAATAACAACATCAGAAACTTAAGCCATTTTATTCATTCATTTTCAAAGCTATTTGAAAACACTACTTCAATTTACTTTTAATATTCATTTATTTTTAAAAATTGTGATTGGGCAATGCTTAATGATAACCTACTAACATACGAATTCAAATACCCATTCACCAATATAGAAAGTTAAAAAAGAATAAGAACCTTTGAAATTCAAGAGTACAGAATTATATCACCAGTATCACCCCACAACCATCAAACTTAATTAATAACCAACAATCTCGGTTATCCATTTAATATATATAACTATTTATTATTCATATATATATAATTATTTATTTATTAATTTTCACACACCTACACTTATACACACCATACACATACCAGTACATTAGCATAGCAAAAAAAAAAAAAAAAAAAAACAAATATTTAACAGTAGCAACCAACCAACCAACTATTTGTTTAAGAACTTTTACATTTCTTAAAAGGTAAGTTCAATTTGATGATCATGTGAGAGAACCTTCTTGATCAAAGAATTTAAAAGAAACAACAAACATTCATCATCACAATTATCATCATCATCATAAGCATCATTTATCGAAATCCTGTTGTTGTACCATCAACCAATCAATCTTATCAGAGTATTATACCACCCGATCTACAGCGGTATAACCTCAACAAACCAAAAAACAAAACCTAGCACCAAAAAAAAAACTTATAAACCATTTTAGAACACCATATCTTTACACTTTTAAAATATTGGAGGGAAGTGTTTCACCCACAGTCATCTACTGTGATCAACATCATTCTACATTCTCTATTCTGTAATTCCACACTTTAATTTGGAGTGCTAAGAGATTATCATTCAAGAATCTGATTTGATTGGTACCAACATACATTCATTCTAAAGCACTGTAATTACATTGACATCGACAACAAATTATTACCTAACAACAATAACAATAACAACAGCAACAACACTATCCATAAATCTTAACATCCATTCATTCATCCAGTTTTTAAAAGAAATTACAATAAGAGGTAACCTCTGAGTGACACCCATCTTCCCATTTAGTTCATCTAAATTTCACAAACTCACATCCACAAATTTCAATTGGAGTTGCATCTAAACAACCAGTTTTATTGTGTGTTAGTGTGTATCGGTGGTAACTACCCCCTACACCTCGCTCTTTTATCTAGAGTACCTGCTCCGGTAACACAACAAAACATATCCATTCATTTGTATTCCAACAGCAAGTATTGCTTTTATACTCACTCATTTACCCACAAGTTTTAATAGCAAGAACACCAACACAACAACACAATTAATAATAACCATAAAACATAAAAAGGAAACCTATGAATATTTGAAACAAAAAAAAAAGTAGCTTTTGATCAAATGAGAGATATCTCTCAATTCGCTACATCATCTTGTTTGCAATTATTTACCATCTACTTTTATACTACTATGTTTTAAAACAACCAGAATTAAATAATGTTGAATATCAAGCTGATCACATGCCATTATTTTATTATTATTATTATTATATTGAAACCCCCACTTTATCAAAAACCAAAACCATCACCACCCTAACCCACCAAACCACCACCACCACTACCACATTATCTCTCTCTATGTAATAATAATCAATCAACAAAACAAGTAGACATATTTGATCAAAAAGTTTATATATGTTCTCTTATTAAAATGTGTATGAACATAAATATATATTAAAATGTAAACATCCTATATAAGTTGTATTGAATTATCATCACTCTAGATGGTTTATTAATGTATGTTCCCAAATGTTGGTGGTGGTAATGTATTAGTGTGTTTGTTTGATGGATGATGATGGTACCTATTATATTCTACTCAATATAAATTAGGGAGGTGGTCGTAATGAAAACGAGAGAAGTGTGAGGATCAATGCATGATTGATCCTATTATCAACTCTTTTTCTTTCTTCTCTTATTTTCCTGCTATATAACAACTTTAAATAGTCACCTACAAAAATCAAATTTATTCCTATAAGTAAAATAATAATTGTTTACTTATAAAAATAATAAATATTTTAACAACAAACAAACAACAACAACAACATCCTCATCTTCAATAACAATATCACATAATTATTGGTTGTTTTTACCTTCCACATTCAATCTGATAATTTATTACAATACTACACTCATCTAATCAATCATATACCAAAAGAAAAACAAAACATAAACAAAAACAAATATAAATAGTTACTAGATTCTTATAATTGATGAATGATTAAAAACAAATATTATTCAAAACTACTTTAATAATCAATCATTAACTTCAAAAACAATCAATTTAAACATTCTATTCATTCATTTTCAATAATAATAATAATAATAATATAGATAGTTGTTATTTTAATAGGAAATCATTGTTTCTATTAATTTTTGATTCGAATTGAAGTGCAATAATAATAGTTTCAATTAACTAATTGTATTTTAAAAATAGCATCAAATTTATATATTAGTATTAGTCAATTTCGATAGTTTTAATTCAACGGTATAACGGTATGTACCAAAACAAACAATAGATTCAAATATTTAAATTGTTATAACAATAACAACAGCAACAACAACAACAATAATTTAAATATAAAAAAAATGTTATCTGTATCTATAAACAATGTGTTTGGAGTGCAGTGTTTTGTTTTGCTAGTTGCTGTCATAAAGTGATATTTATAGATATTCATAAAGATAATAATAACAATAATAAGGATCATATGATTTAGAGAATTTCGCTCTCTTTAAAGAGTTGTATTCTTTTTGTTTTTATTGTAGTTGACTGTCTAGCAACGTATGAATATGGTATACCCTCTCGCTCTCATTCATCATTTTACCATTTTCACAAAACCACTCTTAACATAATACTCTTTTCGACGTTTGTCCAACCACCACCAAATAATAATCATAAATTAAAAGTGGACATCTATAACCAATATAATATGTATATTCTAAAATTGTTTTAAAATTAAAAACAACACTCACATAATCAAAACTCACACCCACTCACACTTCTTTACCAATCTTATTTATGATTTATCTAAATGGTTTTTATATGGAATTTGCAAATATAACCCACCTACCACCAATACCACACTTAAGATTGTTATATATAAAAATTTCAAGTTGTTGAGCCAATCAAGTGGTCAGTGGTTTTTTTTTTTGGTAAATTCCATATAAAATCTTTTTTGATATATATGAAGTGTTGATCTATTCTATACCTTTAATATTAGAGATGTTACTCACTCAAATAGAGTAGTAGAAGCACACACAGTGTCAACTTTTTATTTTATGGCACGTTCTCACTTAATCTGTCCAATTAATTTAATTATATATATAAATTATAACAATACATTTGCAGTGAGTTGTTGTTATTGTTTCTCTTGTGTGGAATCAAATTCCAATTTAACTATCAAGAATAATATTAAGCCAAACCAAATGTTGTTGTCAGCAAGAACCACCACCACCACCACTACTCACAAGTACTTGTACTACTACTTCTATTTTCAACATACACTACACAATGGTCCTAATAATAATAATAATAATAATAATAATAATAATAATAATAATAATAATAATATATGATGATAAATATATTTATATAAATAATAATCCTTTGGTTGTGAAGCACAACACAAATAATTCCATCCACCATCTAAACAAAAATATATAAACACCAACACCACCATCTCAACACCAGCATCAGTAGTAGTACCATCGATCAACAAACAAACAATGTTTATGAAATTCGTTATAAAGTTTAATCTTAATATTATATATTATTTTTAATTTAAAATAATATTTTATTTGTTGATAGTCCAAAGGTGTATTGTACTTTTTTATTATATCCAATTGTTGTACTATTAAGATTTACAATTTTATTTTGGAGAAGATATAATAACGAATTATCAAAATCCCTCTCATACCATCAGCTTGTGATAAAATAAATTATAATCATAATCATAATTATATCAACAACACAAAATCATCAAAACAAAAAATAATAACAATTAAATTAATTTAAATTAATCATTTTATTAATATTAGTATATAATTAGGTTAAATTAAAAAAAAAAAAAAAAAAACAAATTAAAGGATTGTAAGTATTATTATTATCAGTTAAAACACCACCAAAAAATCAATCAAAACAAAACAAAACTCAATTCAATTCAAAAACCATCAATCAATCATCAAACACAAACCAACTTTTGTTGTACTATATCGACTTGGAATTAGAATACAAATTTTTATGGTTGGACATTGATGTTTGTTTTGTACCTATCATTAAAATATAAAATATATATGTAGTTGAATGTATTGTTGTTAAAGTTATTGTCAATGTCAACAAAACATAAAACAAAACTTGTTTATTTTATTAAAATTTTGTAAGAATTACTTAAAGTTTATTGTTATTGTTGTTTGTTGTTATTGCTACTGTAAATCAAAGTCTATAATTAAAATTCATATCGCCAAAACGAACAATAGCAGGGAGGAAGTAAGTTCTCAAATTTATACATATTTATCCATTAATAAAAATAATACCATATTTTTATAAAATCAACAATACCAATATCATAATCAATCAAATCATATCAAACAATCAAACAATCAGCCAATACCAATACCAAAACCAACATCAACATCATCAATCATAACGAAAACATCATCAATATCAACATCATCATCATCATCATACTACATTGGACCTCAACAGAACAGCAAGTCTATTCCCTCCCCCAACTCTATTAATAAAATTTCCATCACCAACAAATCACAAACACGAGAACACACAAACCACACATAATATAAAAACAAAACAAAACTCACAACACACACACCACAGAAATCAAATATGACAATATTAAAATCAACTCGATATTCGAATACCTGTTTTTGAATTTACTCAAATAATTATAATTTCGCTCAACAACATCAAAACACATATACACATATTGACAAACACAAAACAATAAAATATAAAAATAATATTATTATCTATCACAACACACACGCACATAGATATTTATTTATATAATTTCCAAAAACAAGTAATACAACAAACACACCAACAACAATCAATAAAATAAACAAATAAATAATAAGAATATAATCTATATCTATACGTAGAAATCATATATACAGATAATTATAATTATCAATTTATAAAGTAGTATTGATAAAATTCCAAAATATTGGACAACTGTTGATTTAATAATAAATCTCTGTCTATGTATTGATTTATTTCAGTCCAACTCAATCCATTATCAGTCGGACGCATTCAATCTAAAATTGGGTCATCGAAATAACCTGAAAAACCCTCTACAAACAATTGTTGTGATGATGAAGAAAGAACCAACCAATCATCATCCGTTAACAAAACAACAACCATATATGTTAATTCATAAATAATTATTTTTGCGCAACAACAACAACACTTTATCAAAATTGATTTTCCTGTTTGAAAATCCAATCAACATTATCATTTTATTTATTTATATTTATTTTCATTTATCTTTTAATTTTAATATTTTTGATTTTAGTAATTCTGTCATCATTTATTATTATTATTATTAATAAAAACAATAACAACAACCAACATCATCATCATCATCATCATCAACATCACAATTTCAAAATCCCTATCTTTTATTCAACCAGTATTATTATAATAATTTATTAACCTTAATCAATCTTTCTTCAAACATTATCTAGATTTGATAAGGAATTTCCTTTATTTTATTTTTTTCTTTTTATAAATATAATTATTCATATAAACAACAATGGAACCTGTTGATAGCCGTCATCTGTATCATCTTAATGCTGGTAAGTATTTGAAAACAAAAAAAAAAAAAAAAAAAAAAGTATACAATTTTTTTAAGAATTTTTATTAATATTATAATTATTTTAATAGATACTGAAGGTTTACCAGATGGTTCTAATGCTTTTAGAATTAATATAGATGATTTGGAATTTGGACCTGAAATTGGAAAAGGTGCATATGGAAAAATTTTTAAAGGAGAATATTTTGGGTAAATTTTTTTTAAAATAATAATAATTTTAAATTTAAAGTTAAATATTAATTTGATTATTTATATTATTATAGTACACCAGTTGGAATTAAAGAAATAACATTATCACCAAACAATTCACAATATAAAGATTTAGTTAAATTCATTCAGAGAGAGGTGGCAATGCTGAGATTCTCTCATCCAAATCTTGTACAATTTATTGGTGTCGCAGAGAGAGGTCAGAATTTATATATTGTAACAGAGTTTGTTTCCGGTGGCGATTTAGCATACTATTTATTTAAGAATAAGAATGACGATACCGATACCTTTATGAGTAAGAAGGTGAATATCGGTAGTAGTAGCACACCCGACTTGGACACCTCCAGCGAGCGACTGATAGCTATGAGTTGGCCGTTGCGCATCAAGATTGCCTACGACGTTGCCTGTGCCATGGCGTATCTGCATTCGCGTCATGTCATCCATCGTGACTTGAAATCGACAAACCTGCTGGTCTGTGAGAGTTGGAAGATCAAGGTGTGCGACTTTGGATTCGCGCGAACCTCCTACACCGGACTGAGTGGTCGCGCCAAGCGAACCATGACCATTTGCGGTACCAACAACTGGATGGCACCGGAAGTAATCTTGGGCGAGGAATATAATGAGACATGCGATGTATTCTCCTATGGCATTGTGTTGTCTGAGATCATCACCCGTTTGGAAACCACCAGTTTGTTGCGTCCATGCTCTCTCAAATACGGATTGGATGTCGACGTGCTGTTGCCACTCGTTCCCAAAGATTGTCCACCACCTTTTCTCAAGCTTGCACTGGATTGCACAGAATACGATCCAGACAATCGTCCCACTTTCAAAGAGATTACTGAGCGTCTCAAGTCGCTGACTAGACGTCTCGTTGTTTCATCTATTCTCCCACCACTCCGAGTGCTCGCTCCATCGCCCATCACATCGCCACTGACGTCGCCACAAGTAAGTCGTCGCATTCCACGTCACGAAGAAACTCCATCGCCACTATCGATCTGCGATGACAGTGATATTGAATCCGACGATGAAACAGAAGATAGTTTAGATGAATATAATAGTAATAATAGTAATAATATAAATAGAAATAGAAATTCAAAAAATAACAGTAGTAGTAATAATAGCAATAACCGAAAGATGGGATACATTATTAAACATACACACACAGCGGATCTCGAAGTTTCGGCAATCACTCCGATCTCTTGCAGTCCAAACAACAGATTATCTCCAATTCCTTTTTCACCTCCATCGTCGGCCACCACCTCCAAGTCACCGTCACCATCCGAGCTGTCACCCTCACTTCTCAACCTCAATGCTCTTTCCTCGACCTCCACCGTTAGCTGTGGTCCGAAATCACCGAAACCTCACTCGCCACTGCGACACAGCACTCTGCCATCAGACTTTTTACCGATTCCAGCAAAGTCGTTGGATGGTATCAGCAACAACTGCTCGCAGCAGCAGCAACAACAAGATAAACAACAGATATCACCTCGTACTCACCAACCAATATCACCTCGTGTCCATCCTACATCTCCTCGAATACATCATCATCATCATCACCACCACCATCATCACCATATAAAAACATTTGTAAACGAAGACGACGACGATGAAGACGATGACGATGAAGACGATGACGTTGCCAAAGAAATACAACAACTCTCTAATAATTTACATCATCATATATGGACACCAGTATCTATATCACCAAACAACTTGACATCAGTGTCACCGAATCACAAACTTATAACTCCAACTGTACATTTAACAAGTAATAATAATTTGACAAGAGCAGTTCATAGCTAACAAACAAACAAACAACAAAAAAAAAAAAAAACAAACAAACAAAACAGCAAATCATCAACAATATATAAATCTAGAAAACCCAATCAAACTGTATGTTTTTTTTATACATACTATTATATACACAACAAACAGATAAATAGAATAAAATTCAGTTTGCAAATAGTTGTTCTTTTGAATTTCTATATTTACAATTATTTTATTAAACTGATTAATTATAAATTTAAAGAAAATTTGAGTATGAAACTACTCCACATAAAATAATGAAATCATTTCTACATTTTTGATTTTTTATTTGTTTTAATCGGAATTGATGAATACAAAATCATCCAATGATATTGGACTTAGAAGAAATGGCTCCACTCTATCTCTGGTTTCCTTCTCTCCACCATTTGACCAATCTTCATATAGGTAGTCTACGAAATCTGCAACTTCGAGGTAGATACCATCGACACCCAATTTATGTTTTCGACAATTTTGGTTGCATTCTGGGCAAACGCTACAAGTCGTTTATAGTCATCCAATAGTGAATTTCTACAACCTTCAGTGCAACCATTTTGTAAAAGTAGATAGCTCTCATCCCTATCCCTATTTAATGGTACCCAACCTGGAAAAATTACTTGACCATTCCAATGTTTATCGTTTTTACGTTTATAATCGCTTGTGACGCGATGACAAGGACACTCTTTACCTGAAATTTCTTTTTTTAATCTAAATTATATATGATTGTTAGTAAAGAGATATGTTTTTAAAAAAAAAAGTTGGTAAATTGTGAATAATAATGATTAAAATTACTGTCACTTAAAATTTAGAAAAGAATTAAATATATATAGTAGTTGTTTTTTTTTGGAATTAATAACATAATTTAATTTTTTTTGAGTAAGAGGTTTATTTTCAGTTCACACAGATGCTTCTATAATAAAAAGAAGATCTAGTATTCATTTATTTTAGTTGTGAGTTAGTATTTTTAAATAAAAATGTACTTTCAATTTTAAATTTTGTTTTGTTTTGAATTAATGAATTCAAAATCTTTTAATGATATCGGATTTATAAGATATGACTCCACATATTCTCTGGTTTCCTTCTCTCCATTTGATCAATCTTCATATAGGTAGGATACAAAATCAGAAACTACAGAGTAGGTACGATAGACACCCAATTTATTGTTTTCAAGTATTTATGGAAAACAATTAAGTTTGGATACTATAGTATCCAAAATCAAATTTCTTCAACCTTCTTGTAAAAGGAGATAGCTCTCAATCGTATTCCTATCGAATGGTACCCAACATGGAAAAGAAACATTATAACTTGCTAGATCTTAAAAGTACATCTCAGTTGATTGCAAAGTTTAAGGAATTCAAACAGCTAAATTTGATTGAGTCCAACAAAAAGATCCAGGTTTACAATAATAATAAATTTTAAAATAAAAATTATTATTATTTTTTCACTTATTTAATTTTGTTTGATTTTTTTTTATTTTTCTTGACAATGAATCATGATATTCAGCATTCATTGGAAACAGATCTGATCATAAAATTTAATTTTTTTAAAAACTTTGTTTTTTATTTTTATTTTTATTTTTGGATGTTGAACAACAAACTTTTTTTGATTGTTAAAATAATCAATTATTATAAAATATATCAAAATAGTAATTAGTAAATTATTTGGTTAATTAGTTAGTTAGTTTTTATTTAATGTATAAGTCAATCACTACCTTACTTAAACAACAACCTCAGTCTATCCTTAGAAACTATTCAACAGACAAGGTAAGCAGGATATTCGACTGTTGTGTTGTTGTCGTTCAAACAACAATGCTTAAATCATGCTTTGTTTTGTTTTTACTCTATACATTTATTTACAACTAAAACTAAACTAAACTAAAATCATATTGATTTAATTTTATCTTTACTATTTTCTTCTTTTTTTTTACTTTAACATTTTAAACTTCTCCTTTATTTTTTTTTTCTATTTTTTTTTGATTTACTTTTATTATTTATTCTATGTTTTGTTCTGTTCTACTACCCTTCCTATTATGATCTTTAATGTTATGTTATGAATTCATAAATGATGATTAAAAATATTTATAACCAATTCAAATTTTTATTATTTCTTATCTATTATTATAATAATGACTAGTTTCCAAGAGGATTCAAGACTGGTACTGCTGCATGTGGACTAAAGAAAACAGGTAATAAGGATATTTGTATTATTCACTCGAGTGCACCATGTAACGTTGCAGCGGTGTTCACCGAGAACAAAGTGAAAGCTGCACCAGTCTTGCTTAGCAAACAACTCCTCGAAACCAACAACTACAAGGGTTTCAACTCATTGGTTATCAACAGTGGTGGTGCCAATGCATGTACCGGTGAACAAGGTTTGAAAAACGCCAAAACAATGTCCAACTTGACTTCATCGCTATTGAAAGCACCACAAGCTTCACTCGTCATGGTACGATAAATAGATATTGATAGCTATCAATATATATATTATTAATCTTTTCATATCATTCAGTCTACAGGTATCATCGGTCAACAACTCGATATGTCAAAAGTTGAAAAAGGTATTGCCGATGCCGTAACCACTCTAAATGAATCAGATTGGATTTCCGTAAGTTTTTGTTTATATTTGTCTGAATGTTTCGCTCATCCCAAAAGTTGACACATATATTCGTTTGTTTGTAGGCTGCAAGAGCAATTATGACAACAGATAAAGTACCAAAATTAGCACAAAAGAGTGTCAGTTTGAATGGTGGTGAAGTACATATCGTCGGTATTTGTAAGGGTGCCGGAATGATTCATCCAAATATGGCTACGATGTTGTGTACTGTCTGTACGGATGCATCGATCAGTGAGGATTGTCTTCGTGCTCTCTTGAAACACTCGGTTCACTACTCATTCAATTCGATCAATGTAGACGGTGACATGTCGACCAATGACACCGTGGCGATATTCGCCAATGGTTCCGCCGGCAACAAACACATCACCGATACAACATCGTCGGATTTCCTCCAGCTCCAGGAGGCGGTGCGTGAAGTAACCACTCGTCTCGCACAGATGATCGTTCGTGACGCCGAGGGTGCATCAAAGTTTGTCACCATCAAAATTCACGGTGCCGACACCGAGCAGAACGGACACATCGTTGCCAACAGCATTTCGACATCGTCGTTGGTCAAGAGTGCGTTGTACGGTGAGGATGCCAATTGGGGTCGTGTGTTGGCTGCCGTCGGATACAGTGGTGTCGACATCGATCCACTCAAGGTGTGCATGTGGTTCGCCAAGGGCGACGGAAAGGATGTCGGATTGGGCAAGAAGAACGATCCAGAGACTTCAATGCAATTCCTCGAGAAAGGAACACCACTCGCCAAAGATGAAAACAAAGCTGCTCAATTGCTGAGCAACAACGACGTTGCTATCGTCGTCGAACTTGGAATGGGTAAAGCATCGTCCACCATGTGGACTTGTGATTTAACTGAGGAATACGTTAGAGCCAACTCTCATTACAGAACATAATTTAATTAATACCGCTTTAAACATACAATATCAACCATATCAATCCAATAATAACAACAATTTTAATATAATATCTAATAATAATAGTAGTAGTTATATTTTTAATATATATCAAACAATCAAACTATTCAAACAAATAATGTAAACATTATAATCTACAAACCAAGTAATACCAACAAACAAACAAACCAACCATAATGATAATCAATATCAATCAATATACAATGATTTAAGATCAAAATCACTTTTAAAATATATAAATTTGCAATTAAATTTTTAAATACAGTATAAAATCTTGATCTACAAAATGTGTTATTACCAATTTTCATAATTATCTATAGATATTTATTAAACAATAAATATGATAATAATATAATCAATATCATATTTATTAAAGAAAGATGATTAAATAATATTAGATATACAGAAAGAAAGAAAGATAGATAGAGATAATGACAAAACAAACTCAATATATTCTGGTGCCTTTAGCTTACAATTTGAAAGTTAAAAGTTTCATTAATAATATAGTTACAGGTACATTCAGAGTATTAGTTAATGATCATGAACCATTAAAAACCAAAAGAATTTAAATTTAATGTGTGGCTTAAAAAAGATCAGATGACCAAGGCAGAAAAGATTGTAGACGAATCTTTGAAATTCGATAATCAACAATCACTTATCATCAATTGTGCAATCACAGCACCAGTTGACGATGACACTGTTATACGAATCATTGTTAGTATACTAGACTCTACAATTAGTGAACTCAATATCGGTTTGTATCTTGACAGTGATGATGTGCCCAAACTTGAAGATCACTACAATCAAGAGAAACGATTACAATCACAAGTTGGCACAAGAGCATATAGATACCATTTGGATGTTGATAAAGTGATGGAGATGGCGAGTCATGTCTTGGTGATTGGCCTGCCTACGATAGCTATTCAATTGAAACTCTTACCTTTCGCAACTTTGAAAGCTTTGGACAAAGCAGATCAATATTGCAACAACTTCGAAAGAATCACTGTGAATCGAAAAGATATTGCAGACTTTGATACACATGCGCTACTGGATAACATCAAGTTATCCTACTGGATATCACCATTTGATAAATATGAATTGTGATAACGAAAAAAACTGTATTCACAATCATAATGAAATGATTAAATTTGTTTTGGATACTGAAAGTTATTCAATCAACACTTCTCATAGAATAACTTTAGATGATACTATTTAGGAAGAACAAGAACAACTATTTTAACTCACCAAATTAAATGATGTAATAGAGAAAATGATAAAAATTATTTTAATACACATTATCGATTGTTAATTTGTTAAATAAAAACAATAAATTTTGATAATTATCCCTTAATATCTATTTATTAATTTACAAATGTTTAACTTAGGGTTTAAAAAAGAAATCAATGATATAATTATTAGATCGGGATTAGTTTTGATTTATGCTTAACAAGTGAATTATTTCAAAGTTATTTTATCGAAAGACCACGCATAGTTTGTTTAATTGTATTGGTAATGTTTATAGTCGAAGGACGTAGTTAGTGAAATGGTTCATTCGTGGACCTTCACTACTTCGACCCGGGTTCGAGGGTCGGTAATGACTAAGTTTCCCCGCTACCGGAACGTATATAATAAAACTGATGTCCTAAGAGCCCATGGGGCAATACATTGACACCAACTCGTGAGGAGGTGATAAAAAACACCTCCTTAGTGCAATGGACCTAAAAAAAAAAAAAAAAAAAGTAATGTTTATTATGTCTTTGAACTTGAGCCTGATATTAACCAAACTGATTATTTCATTATTTCATATTCAATCCTTAATGGTGAGGAAAGTGTTAGTACCCCGATGATAAATGGTGAATTATCTATTACTTTTCAAATTTTATCTTCGAGGTTCTTTTAAATAGCTTTGTATATAGTAGTGGTCAGCCGTGAACGGTAGATTGGATTCCAATACCTTGGAAAAATGATTCCAACAGAATATGTAATATATATGAGAAATAAAAAGTTGTTGATTATATGATTTTATTAATTAATTAATAGCATTTTCATGTTTTAAAACTGTTCATTAATAGTGGAAAATATAATGTAATGTGTTACTTTTTGGTATAAAGTAAGTTTATTGAACTCTGGTGAAATTCATGGGAATTGCAGAATTGATAGTATAGGCAAAGTCATAATGAGATCCCTTTGGCATAAATTGAGTGGTGCTACCAGCTGGAGAGAGACGCCAGTTAATCTTTCCATTGGAGGCAGTAGTCGATGAGAGACCAAACATACTAATTGGAATAATGTTTGGAGTAGAAATAAAAACAGGATCGAGGATATCGATTTGACCATTGTTAGTGAATCTACCAACAATATTGGAGTAAGTTACTCCTGCTGATACCCACTGAGAGGTAATGTTTTGTGTGAGAATTGGGAAAGTCAACGGGTTCGGGGTTGGTGATTGGGTAATGGTTGGAGTTGGGGTTGGAGAAGGAGTCATACTTGGGAGCCAACTATCACAAAAAGTGGTTAAGTTGAAACCAAAGTATGATCTGTGGTCATACATAAAATCATTAATCGAATTGAAAATATTCCATGGCACAGATTCACCATCACTACAGTATTTTGAATCTGGTTTGTAGCATTCAGACACTGTTCCCATAGGAGGAGGATATATTGAGGTGGAACCATTTATAAAGATTTCGGCTCCAACATGGATGTAATTCATCGAAAATATACTTCTGAAAAGAATATGAGGGATCGGGTCGATATTATAAACAAACCTAATTGTGTTAGGTAAGATACTATCGTAGTGCTGTTCAAATTCAATATTTCCAACTCGGGGTGAACCGAAATTTTGAACTTGAATATTGTATGTACCTATGTTAATTAAATCTACCGCTGCCAAAGCTACACATATAGTAGAAATAAATTAGAAATTTTTTTTCATTTTTAAATTAATAGATTAAATACTGACTTGCTAGAGCTGCACCTAGACTGTGACCAGTTATCATGAGATTACACTTTCTTGAGGGAATACATCCCTGTAGATTTTGAAACCAATCCATAATTTTTTGACGAACTTCCATATACGCTCCAAGGAACCCATAAGATACTTTAGAACCAGTATACCAAATTGGAAATAAAGATTGAGCAAATAAAGATTCGAAATCATCTATTCCATTTGGAATATTAGCTGTTCCTCTAAATGTTAAGAAGTCTAAATAAAAAATAAAAAAAAAAAAAAAAAACTTATAAATATTCATATTTTAAGAAATTTCAAAGATTGCCGTCACTTACAGTTTGTTCCATTACTGGCGATGAAGTATTGTATATCATCTCCAAATAACTCAACTATTTCGGAGTCGATGACTATGTGATTTTCTACCAAAAGAATCTTAAAGTTGGAATTGAAAAAATCTTCTGAAGCTGGTAAACTACAAATTGAGGAAGGGCATTCCCAATTTTTTATTTGATCCACTTTACAATAAGATGCATAAGACATAATTAAGTTATTATATGGAATTGAATCTAAAGAAAAAGATAATACTAAAGGTAAAAGTATATAAAGAAAGAATAATAATTTCATTTTTTTTTTTTTTAATTTTAAGATAGATAGATAGATAAAATTCTATTGATAACTAAAAACATTCTACTTTATAAAGGCTCCTATTTTAAAAAAAAAAATATATGGAACTGACCTAGAAAATTCCTATGAGATATTTCGGAATGAAACCAGTATTACCTAACTTTTGGATGACGCTTTTCTGTACTAGACCTATCGGCAATATGGGGCAAAACTATTTTTTTTTTTTAAAAAAAAGAATTAGATATGAGATTGCAAACAGAAAAAAAATTTTAATTTCAAATAATGGCTTCTTTCCAGCCAGAAATGTAAAACAAAGGAAAATGATTGGAGTAATAAGAGAAATGATACCAAATTTTTTACTTTGGATTTTGGAAGATATTTTTTTAATAATAAGAGTATGTATTTTTTTTTTGAATTTTATTGAAAAACACACGTGTTTTTTGAAAAGGTGTTTATTCTTTTTTTTTTGCCCTTTTGGCCAAACTTTTTATCGTCTTTTTTTGATAAAACCCAATATTGGGAATTGGTGGTGATTTTTTATGTAAATATCTCTTTTTTTGCAAAATTTTTTTTTCATGTTCAATAATTTCATTCGAGGTTTCAGAAAAAATAAAAATCTGTTTCTCCAAACATAAAGCAATCAATTTAAAAACACAAAATTATTCAATTGATGAACACATAATTTAATATTAAATTATATTTTATTTAAAAATGGGTCTTTCTTTTTCATTTTTAATAATATTATTGTTATCTATATTTCTATCTTTGAGAATAGATTCTACAGGTGCGCAACCAACTATACTGAGTTGTACTGAAATCAACTTCACATCAATTAGCCTGACCACTGGTGAATTATTTCAAAGTTATTTTATCGAAAGACCACATATTGTGCATAGTTTGTATAATTGTATTGGAAATGACTATTATGTCTTAGAGCGTGGACCTGATAATTATCAAACTGGTTATTTCAATATTTCAATCCTTAATGGTGAGGTAAGTGTTATTATCGTAATGATAACAAAATAAAAATACTAATCTCTATTCAATGATAACAATTTGAACTCATATAGACAGGTACATTTACAACCAAAGCAAGATTCTATTTACCTGAAGATCCAGACTTTGTATATCAATACAACAGTATAGATCTTCCAAATGGATTAGCATTCGCAACTTATTGTCCTTCTAATATGTCAATACTAACAATATTTGATATGAACTCTCAAACTGCGTAAGATAGATCGAAATACAATCACCTTAAATCAAATCCATTTTATTAATATTAACTTATTACACAGTGAAACAATAACAACAGAAAATAGTTGTGAATTATATGCTTTTGGAGCATATGATACTACAAATCAACTTTATTATCTGTATGGTTTTCAAACAGGAACACTTTCATCTTTATCATTTGGAGTGTATTCCATGATCACCAAAAAATTCACATATTATGAGATACCATTCCAAATGCAGCATTGGTCATATGTTCAAAACATTTTCGTCTATCAATCAACAGTGTATGTTGGTCTCTTCCAGAACACATACTACCAAGTTCTCATTGTTGATTTTAATACAAATTCAACACGTAGCATCTTCAAAAATGATATTGTTAACGACGACACATATATTCAGTTTGTTTTTGATCCATCTGGATATATAGTAGTAATTGTGCCCTATGAAGAAATTTTTACGACCTATACAATCGATCTCCAGACAGAACTATACACCACTAAAACAATCCCAAACAATGCAAGAAAACTAGGACTCTTTTTCGGCGGTAATATGTTTTGTGCTCAATAAAAATTATTATTTGTTTATTATCATTATTATTTAAATAAAAGTATTTTTAAAATATCATATTTATTATCAGAATATTTATAGAGAAGCTCGATTGTTTAGAATATTCAATGAGTCTAAACATAATGTTTGGAGTAGAAATGAAATCTGGACCTAATCATATCGATTTTGTGGTAAAAAAACTACTGATCACTCACTAAGTGTTGGAATCGTAGTTCCAAGATATCAGTCAACCGACTACTGCTAACCGATCAACATGTATTGTGTTGTGATGTATTGATCGGTTAGCAGTAGTCGGTTGACTGATATCTTGGCATGTATTTAAGTGCAAACAAATCAATAAACAATTCATTATATATATTATAGATATTATATTTTACCATCATCTTTAAACACATAACTATTTATTTATTATAACATCTCTATACTACTACACTATGTGGTTACTACCACGATTTAACAGTGTTTCTAACACTAAGTCCAAATATTCGAAAGGTAATTGAGAAAATTTTTAAAGATGCAAAAACATCAAGGTCAAAAAAAAAAAAATATAAATATATAAACTATTGAATTAAAAAGAAATCAATGATATAACGGAATAGATTGGTTCTTTATTTTTATCTTTACAAGTTTTATTTTTTATCCACTTTTGTTTTTTGTTTTTATAATTTTTTTTTTTTTTTTCATACAATTAATGGGCAATCAAACTATTTCAAAGTAACTTTCAAAAGTACTCAATAATGATTGTTAAATCAATTAATAACATATGAATATTATATTTAAAAAATGAATCTTTCTTATTCCTTTATAATAGTATTATTGTTATCTATATTTCTTTCTTTGAGAATAGATTCTACAAATGCTCAACCAACAATCCTAAGCTGTGCCAAAATCAACTTCACATCGATAAGTCTGGTAACTGGTGAATTATTTCAAAGTTATTTTATCGATAGACAACATATAGTAAATTCTTTGTTTTATCGAAAGACCACATGTTGTTCTTAGTTTGTATAATTGTATTGGAAATGACTATTATGTCTTAGAAAATGGAGGTTTTACTGATCAAACTGGTTATTTCAATCCTCAATGGTGAGGTAATTAAGTGTTATTATCTCCGATTTGGAGTGTTTTCGATGATCACCAAAAACTTCACATATTATGAGATTCCGTTTGACATGCAGCATTGGGCATATGTTGAAACTGTTTTCGTCTATCAATCAACAGTATGTTGGTCTTTTCCAGAACACATACTATCAATTTATCACTCTTGATTTTAATACAAATTCAACACGTAGCATCTTCAAAATGATTATGTAAATGGGTATAAAGCAATAGAGTTTGTTTTTGATCAGTCTGGATATATCGTGGTAGTTACACCCAGTCGACAAGATTTTACTATCTATACAATCGATCTCAAGACGGAACAATACACCACCCAATCAATTCCAAATCAAGCAAGAACCATTGGATTCTATTTACCTGGTAATATGTTTTGTGCTCAATGAAAACAATAATTAAAATAAATAAATAAAACAATAATGAATTAACAAAAATATAAATATGTGTGAATATTATTAAACTCTAAAACGAGATAATAATACCACATCACATGATCAATATGTGGTAAACAAATTTTTTGCAAGTACATAAAATTTTATGATCATAAAATTTTATCTTTTTTTTGGAACATCATCATTTTAAAACAGAAACAAAAATGACAACTATAAGAAGATTCGTTTGTGATGATTTATTTAGATTCAATAACATCAATTTAGATTACTTGACAGAAACAGTAACTAATCGATTCAATTAAATGTTTTTTTGATTCATTAAATGAATAATATGATCATTAATTAACATAATCATTATAAACTATATAGTATTATTTACCTTTTTATCTTCAATATATTTCACATTGGCCAAGTTTATTATCGATTGCAGAAGATGTAAATGGAAGACCAATGGGATACAGTAACTATCATCTTATGATTACTACCAATTTAGACATCTAACTAACTAATTAACTACCTATTACATTTAAACACCTATAACAATTGAATGACCAACTACTTATTAGTGTTGGGTAAAGCAGAAGGTGAAAAAGAGAACTGGCATGGTCATGTCACAGCTGTCACTGTAGCACCTGAATACAGAAGAATTGGTTTAGCCGATCGTTTAATGAATACTCTTGAAGAGGTATCAGAGAAAGTGTAAGTAATTTTAATCTACTTTATTATTTATTTTCAAAAAAATAGTAAATTAGTTTATTAATGATATTAACGAAACTACTATAACTTTACTATAGTCATGATGCATATTTTGTAGATTTATTCGTTAGAAAATCAAATACTCTGGCAATCAATATGTATACAAAGTTTGGATATACAGTGTATAGAACGGTGTTAGGATATTACTCTGGTGAAGAGGATGCATTGGATATGAGAAAAGCGCTGGCGAGAGACGTAGATAAGAAATCTATAATACCACTGCCTCATCCTGTGCTTCCCTCAGAAATAGATCAATAGCAATTAATAACAACAACAATACTAATAACGATATTAGTATTGATAATAAGTTATTGGATACAAGCATTTTATTTAAAATAAAATAATAATTCATTTACGATATAGTTTTGTTTGTTTGTTGGTTTGAATATACTTGAATGAAAGCGATTAAGCAAAGTCTGAAATCAGTAAAATATTGAAACTTCAGGTTTGTGGTACATATCCTGAGCTCCACTAAACTTTATAGTTAATCCTCTGTTGGTTGTAATAGCTCTATCTTGAAGAGTACTCGAGAATTCAAAATCAAATGTTACATTATGTTTCACTAAACTCTTTTGGAGCTACGAACAATACAACAAGAATCAAATGTTAACAATACAAAGTGCGACAATATACAAATAAAAGTATATGATAAATTTATTTTACAAATATCCTGGTGCAATGTAAAAGTTAATCTATTTTAAACTTCAGTTGCGATCAGCGTAAGTTCAAAGCGTGTTTTTTTATTGCTTAACATATCCATTAATGGTGTGTTTGATAGGTCTTAAATCATCGTTGTAACCTCCAATACTAACTAAACTGTCAGGTTTATAATACATGTCCAGACCTCTACTAATCTTTATAGTTAATCCTCTGTTGGTTGTAATAACAGATGTATCCTTAATAGTACTCGTTGTAATGAATTCAAAATCAAATGATACATTATATTTCATCATACTCTTTGTGCTACAAAATAAATTAACAAAACTATATATATCTGTGGTGTGAATATTAAGAATCTTAAAATGAGATAATGAATACAACCGCGCGAATTTCAAATCTATTTTTTTTTTATAATTATTCTTCCGAAATAGAGCAACAAGTTATATGGACACAATCATTTTATTTAAAATAAAAACAATAATTAATAATTAATAACAAAATAATAAATTTTACAATATATTGTATTGTTTGTTTGTTAGTTAGTTCTTAAATATATCGATGGTAGTCTCTAAGCAAGGTCTTAAATCGGGGTCATGACTTCCAATACTGAATTTAGTGATAGGTTTCTGGTATATGTCCAGACCTCTACCGATCTTTATCGTTGTTCCATTGTTGACTATAATAGATCGATCGTGAAGAGTACTCGAGAATGCGAAATCAAATAATACATTATGTTCCATTAAACTTTCTTTGAGCTACAAAATACAACAACACCAAAGATTGTTAACAACATGTTGTGTTACTTCACAATAACAACTCTACTTACCATTATGAAATTAAGTTTAACTTCATCTTCTTGTGTGGTAGATTCAGAGGTTGTCACCAGTTTAACTTGTATAGGTCTACCAGAGTTTTGTGAATTCGAGCGTTTAACAATCAACTCGCAAAGCCGAATGAGATTATCGATTTGATGTCTTGCTCTGATGTATGGATCCTCTATCATATAGATGGTAGCCGAAGCTAAATACTGTCCAAATAATGAATCGTAACTACATCCTGTCTGTCCAAACTCTATTCTTCTCGATTGCACCAATTGACCTGCTCCACCTCCTGCACTTCCTCTTTTCGGTTGTTGATGATGTTGCTGTACATTAGGTACATAGGGTGTTTCAATAATTGGTGCTGTTGGTTGAACTACATAATCAACTATATTACAACATTAATGATTAATAACGGCTAACCAAGCAAATTGGATTAAAAATAACAAACCTGACTTACCACCACCTGGTAATGTATTTGGTACACTTGGTAATGATAATGAAGTGGTTGGAACACTCGGTAATACTAAATCACTATTTGAATTTACACAACATCTATAATTGATATAAATAAACTATTTAGATTAGATTTCATGAATTGAATAGATAACAAACAAACAAGAGACTAATCATGATTGATACAATACGGTTCAGAATGTATACCACCCTTTCGTTTCTCTATAATCTCTTTCAATGTCTCTGCTCTATCCATATATTCATTCATCTTTTGTTTTAAAGTTGCTCTAACCTTTTCATTCTTTTCAACTAGAATATAATATAACGAAATAAATAAAGAGTTAATCAATCAATCAATCAATCTGATTAATCTGTAACTAGTTATTATAAATATATTGTTACTCTTTAATGCAGAGACAAAACCCTCTAAACTTGTTAAATATAATCTTAAGGCTTCTTGATAGTTCCCAGTTCTATCGTGTGCAGTTGCTTGTTGCACTAACTGATATGAATGTCTTAGAAGATTCGATGCATCTCCCATCTTTCTTTTTTTTTCTTTTTTACAATATTAATATAATTAAAATAAAAATAATAAAAATAATAAATATATAAAACTAGTTAAACAATATTATAATATACAATAATAAATAAATAAAAATGTAGAATGAATGTTTAATTAATTATTAATAATCTCTTGAAAACGCAAGAAGAAGGGGCAATCAAAATATTTAAAATTACAATTTTTTTGTTTTTTTTTTTTATTATTTTTTAATAATTATCGCATTAACATGATGGTAATTGTTTGGTTTGATTATTTTTCTTGATTATTGAGTGTGCTGCTATCATAAGGTTGGTAACTTGTGCACATTGTCAATTGATAAACTGATCTCTTTTCATTTCCATTTAGATATGATCATATTGAAAGAGAGAGGAGTTTTGATAGATTCTGTATCTGTCATAGCTATTGCTTATATTCATATATAACTGACATTATATAATTGATTGATTTTTAACACTCTACTCTCTATGTCCATATTCTCTTTACATTATGAATGGTTGGTTGGTTGGTTGGTTGGTTGGTTGGTTGTTTGAGTTTTAATTTGATTTGTCAATTATTAGATTAGATTATTGTTGTGAAAGTGATTTAAATGAAAATGGTTGAATTGTTGATGATGATGTTAAATGTTGTTGTTGTTGTTGATCTTGATTTAATGTTGAATCTACCACTACCGGTGGTGGTAATTTATAATCTGAATTATAATATTCATTCTCCAACTCTGCTATAGACCTTGAGATCTCTTCGGATATTGACTTTATCATCTTGTTGGTCTTTTCATTCTGTCTTTGATAGACCATGTTCTGAAGTCTGACCTCCTCGGTCATCGTAGAGAAATCATTCAATATTATATTCTGTTTCAACTCTTCAATGATCTTTAATAATCCTTCTGCACTATTTAACTAAAAAAATAAACAACAGAGTTAGGGTTTATTCGTGTAATTTATTTTGATTAGAGTTTAATCATCTTATTATTTAAATACCTACAATATTTGTTGTACGTGTTTCCATTTCATACATTTCACTAAAGTTCTGACTGTTTTCGTTGACCTTTGAGATCTTGATTATCGAATGAAAGTTATCCAACATTTGATTGGTCTTTGTATCGATTTGCTTTTGGAAGTACTGTTGATTTCTAAACAGTATTTCACCTCTGGTCTGTGGTTGTTGCATCTGCTGTTGTTGTTGTTGTTGTTGCTGCTGTTGTTGTTGCTGTTGCTGTTGCTGCTGCTGAGGAGCAGACATTGCACCTTTATTCATCATCCTTTAGACTATCAATTTAATTTGATCAAATCACAAATATGTCTGAATACAGGCAATTTAATTTAAAAAGGTTAAATGAAGTAAGCAGATGATAAAAACATCATAAAAATTCTTTTTTTGAAATTTGGTCAAAAAAAAATAAAAATAAAAACAATCTTCGGAAATTTTGAAAAAAAAAAAAGCAACACACAAAACTTTTGAGGGAGTGAACGATAAAATACTTTCAGACTTTTATATAGCTAAAATGGTCCATGTCGTTGTCAACAAATCAATCAATCAAACATATCAATCAATCATACCAACAACTGTCAGTCATCATTAAAATAAAATTTTTATTTTAAGTAAACTATTTTTATAATACTTTTTTTTTTTTTTTTTTTTTTTTTTTTTTTACACCTGTACAGATTTGTGTAGTGTATCGTTGTGTTTTGTTGTTGCACTGGTGTTCAACTTGGTTTAGATTTAAGTTTAGGTTTTGGTTTATATTAACTATATCATATTGTTCGTTCATTCATTCATCATTCTATATGTAAATATATATTTATACCCACATTTCTGTTGTTTATGTTTAATTCATTAAGTATTATTGATTGGAATAATGTTGAATATAATAGTAGTAGCGTTGGGGAGACTTGTGGTAGCAGTGGTACCGCTATAGACAACTTGACAATTAGTGATAGTTCAAGTTCAAAGTATTTATATTTCTTAATTGGTCCAACTTTATTAATATATAAAAGAAGTTTTATAATGTAAGAAGATTTATGATTTTAGAAAACTAAAGAATAAATATTTATAATAATAATATTTTATTATATTTAACTATAGTTGTCAGATATATGATGAAAGTGGGGGAATTTATTTTTGTTTTTATTCAGTTAGGATCAATAGATTGTTTACAGATGAACCAAAGCTAATTAGAGTTAATAGATTCGAAATTATAGATGGTCAATGGATTTATATAAAACAATACGAATACAACTCAACTCATTATTATAAAAAAGAAATAGAATTCAACATCAATATAGAAATACCAAATTCATTAATATCATATATAAATTCGATTTTATCAAATAATATAATATCCAAATATAATAATAATAATAATAATAATAGAAATAGAATAATTTTAAATGATGAAATTGTTGAAAGTTGGAAAGTAAATGTTTCATTTGGATCAACTGTTGGAAGTTATACAAATGGAAATGGAGAGAATAATAATAGTACAGGTAGTAGTAATTCATTGACATTACCAATACAAAAGAAGATTCTATGCTTGATTTTAAGTAATCATCAATCAACTTTTAGATGGCAGTTGAATCCAATGACTATTTTCAATCTCTGTTTGGTTTGTAAGCGTTGGTTTTATATTATATCCAGGGAGATCTTTGTAACGATAAAAGTTCAGGAGGATTCCAATTTTTTCAATTGTCTCATTGCCAAACAACATCTGGTGCGTAACGTCAAGAAACTTGTACTCGACTCTGACTGCGATGAACTCGATCCAAGTTCCAACGCCACCTACATGAAAAGTCTGTACCAGTCGTTCTCACTGGATCACATTCGCGTGAGAGAACTGGCGCTGTTGAACACGGCAGATCGCTGGCTGATGGATTTAATTAACGAACAATCGTTTCCCTATCTACAGAAACTGACGGTTGAAGACGTTCCATACGATTACGACGTGGGACCGTTTATCAAACGATTTCCAACGCTTCGTTCGCTCGGACTGAGGTTTGAGTATGGCGATCACCAAGTCACTCTGCTGCTGCACGACCTCGTTACGAATCACCGGAGCATCGAGAACTACAATGTCTACAGTTTCGAAGTGGAAGTGGATTCACAGAAGAAAACACATCAGCTGTTTGAGGCGATGATCGACGGAACACACATCAGGAAGATACGCACGAATTTCGGTGTCTACAATATTGAACTTTACAATCGGTTGTTGGATTCCAATCATATTGTTAAGTTGTCGGTTCCATTCTTGGTGCATGACGACATCTCACTTTCACTGGTGGATTTCCAGCGACTTTCGAAATCGACTTGCTCCGTGCGAAAACTTCATCTGTGGGCGGACAACATTCCCGACACCTACAACACAACGATTCACCATTTTTCGAAAATACCCAACTTTTGCATGTCTCTGACGAAGCTGTCGCTGATGCATTTCAAGTACTTGCTGAGCCGAGAGTTCTTTGTGGCGCTCGGTCACAACAGCAGTATCATCAGCTTCAAAATCGAGAGTTCACTGACACCAGAGACAACGGTGTATCTCCAAGAGATGCTTGCAGCAAACCAATCGACCATCAGATATCTTACACTTGGCAGCAATGAAATCAAGGACGACAGTAACAACTCTTTCTACAAAGCATTGATGTCCAATCACAAGCTAATTTCACTTACACTCTATGGTGATTTCAATGAGAGTGAACTTATACAAAATATAAAACATATAAATATTAAACAATGATAAATTTATATATTGAAAAAAATAGTAAATCATTTTCACAAACAAATTTTTACTTGGAAAGAAGATTTGTAATTTTTGATTGATTTGCTTATTCAAAAAAATTAAATAGAATTTTCTTTTCTTGTTCGATCATTTGTACCACTTCACCGGTGTTTTTATCTCTTATCTTGAAGGCGTTGTATTTCCATGCAACAAAGATGTTACAGCACAACAACTTGGTTATTGATTCGCTTGCAAAGTGATTGCTACATTTGGTGCACCATCTTCGATTGTCTCTGATCAGATCCTAAGTTCACCTCGGAACTGAGATTGAAAAGATCTATCTTGGATCATCTACGCAAATGGTCAGACATCATGAAGAACTGGGCACACGACATTAGATTCGTGGTATTAACAGAGTGTTTTGTATTAGTATGATAATATTAATATAATAGCTATATATATTTAGTTAAGTTTACAAATAATCTACAAATCAACACAAAGACTATAGACGGTCCGCAATATTGTTAATAAATTAAGCAATGAGTTATCAAATCATCGTCATCAGGTAATTAATTAAATTGAAATAAATAAATTTGTCTGTTTAGTTTTCCTTGAAATATATTTAAATATTTTTACCTTATGTAACCTGGATGACATTAACGATAGAATAGAATGTAGTGTGATTATCGATAACAAAATGGATAAGTATTCAAAGAGTGGGATTTGATTTGATTTTAGCTATGATATTATAATTAAATTTCTAATTTTTATTGTTTATTTTGATGGAAAGTACCAAACTTGTTTTCCATTTCTTGTACTTTCTCTACTGGAGTCGAAGCTCTACGTAGGGTGTTCCAATCTCTTTCGGAAATTGGAGCAGAGGTTGGTGGCTTTGGTGGGGCGTGTGGCAACAAGTGCTTTTGCAACATTTCGTAGGAGAGCAAAGTGACACCGAACTGTGGTGACGATCTGAATACACGGGCAACACAACCCTTAAAGAATGCACGGAAACCTTCTTCACGCCAGATCTTTTGAGCGCAGTCACGAATACCATCGTAGGTTTGTTCACCACTCTTTGCCTTTACCTGGAGACGTGTCTTGATGACGTCTGCAGGTGTAACCAACGATGCAGCTGGAATACCAGCAACCATACCAGAGATAAAGAGATCCTTTGGTGCGATGTTACCGTCTTTGTCGGCGAGAAGAGTCTTCATCTTGGCGTACGCTGGGAAGTAGATGGCGGAGAATGGAATGTCACGGAGCAAACAGGCACCGGCACCCTTGTAGAGACCGGAGAATCCGAGTTCACGCACAATCTGCATGGCAGTGGCACCACCCTTACCTTGTACCTGGAGACGAATCTTTACGATCTCGAGTGGGTTGGTGAACATGACCTGTGAGGCACCAGCACCGGCACCGGCCAAGATCTCCAATGGCAAGTAGATTTCACCCTTTGATTTGTCACCAAAGAGGTTACGGAGCAAATCGTTCACTGTCAACTTGATGGCTTTCTCGGGAGCGACACCGACCAACTGTGGACCAAGTCCTCTATATAATCCAACGAATCCTTCGTTTTTCAGCACCTTTCTGAAGCAATCCCAACTGTTGTTGTAGATACGTTGCGATGGGTCGACAGCACGTTGATTTTGCATTCTGGTCTTGACCAAATCGATTGGATAGACGGCGGTCGCTCCGATGGCACCGGCCACCGAACCGAGTGCAAAGTTCTCGATCGACTCCCAAACCTGCTTGACGAATCCCTTACCCATGGTGCTCTTGGCAGAGGCATCGGCTGCTCTCAAGATTGGCACTATGGTTGCGGGTGTGGTCGACAATCCGGTGGCTTTCTCAAACTCCTCCACATTCAACTTGCCGTCCTTGTTGTAGTCGAGCAAGTGGTAGATCAACTCCACCTCCATCGGTGTGATTTCAATCGAGGTTGTCTTTCTGGCTTCCTGGAGGAACTCTTCCTTGTTGATGTCGCTCTTGCTGTTTCTGAGAGCAGCAGCCTTCAAAACTCTACCGTACGATGGAATGTGCAACAACAAATCGTTGCATGCAACAAACTGTGAGTAACTGACTTCCTCTGGGTGACCAGAAGCAGCATTCAATTCAGAGACCGACTCTAATTTACTACGAATATTCTCTGGAATTCTTCTGAGTTTGACTGAACTTAAAATCTTTGCAAATTGTTCTTTTGGAATATATCCAGTTTTCTTTGAATCGTGATGTCTAAATTCTTGTCTAAAAATAAATAAACAAAGTAACAAATATTTGTCAATAAAAAGATGATCTCATTTGTTATTTAACTAACTGTTAACATACTTGACACGTTCTTGTTGGAAATCCTTTAAAAGTTGAGTGAATTGACTGTAATTTAATTCGGATGCTCCATCTCCAAAATATAATTTCACCAATTCACAGTTAAAGTCGAATGGGATTGTTGGATCTAAACTTGCAGATACAACGTTTTGGAAATCATCTAAAGAAATAGATATGAACATTTTACTGTATGTTAATAAATGGTTGATTCATATCGATATGGCTTGATTGATTGATTGATTGATTGATAGATTGTAACAACTTACTCTTGGAGACAGTTCCATTTCCATCACGATCAAACAATTTGAAAGCCAAAAAGTATTCAGCTTCTGGCTTTGACATCAATTCGTCAAACATTGCGTACTCGTTGAAACTGATGTAACCAGTGTGATCGACATCTGCCATCTGGAAGAGAATCTTGAATTTATCGGCGTCGAGAGTTGCCTTTAGGAGTTGATCTCCTCTACCCTCAGTCTCTGGTGTAGTCAAAGCATTCAAGAAATCATCTGCTGTCATATATCTTTCACCTTCAATTGACTGTCATTATAATTATTATAGTTTTCAATGTTTATAAATATATAAGTTTCATTTTCTTTCTCTTCTTCTTTTGTTGTTGTTTATGTTACTACTTACGGCAGTGGCAAACTTGTTAAAGTTATCCTTTTGCTTTTGGAGAATGATTTGCTTTGTCTTTTGATCGTCTTCAGCTAGCATTGATCCACCAAACAAGGCAGCGAGTGAAACAGCTGCAGCAACACCTTTACCAAACATATCTATTTGTTTTTGTTGATTCAAATTAATAAAAAATGATAAATATGAGTGATCGATTAATTTGTGATTGATTGAATTTGAGTTGTGTGATTTAAGATATATAAATTAATTAATTTTTTAATAAATATTCTTATAAGGTGGTTTTTTTTTTTTTTGTTTAAGTGTGTGGTTTGTAAAGTTATCTATAACAGGCTTTTTTTTTATCAAAAAAATGGTGAAAAAATAAAAATTTGAACTCTGAACTTAAAAAAAAATGATGATCATTTCATGATGTGTGTGTTTAATGACACCGAAATTGATTGATCTATTGATATTATAAGATAGGATATGTTTTGTTATACATACTTTTCTTTTGTTGTTGTTGGTTCTTTGAATTGAATTTCTTGCTGTTGGAAACGAATGATCTTCTACTGTTGTTAACAACTGATTTTGAAACAGAACGAACTGATTGACTAAACATTATAATAATCTTGTTGTTGTTGGCGTTTAAGTGAAAATGTTAAATAATGATACAAAGTTTGAAGAAAAAAAAATAGTAGTAGCTAATAATTGAAAAACAAGTAATAGAATAAATAGAAAAAATAATAGCTATTTAACCTAAAACTATAAAACTACCAATAAATAATTATTTATTAATTAATTATACACGTTGTAATTGAAAAGGAAAACAAAAAGAAAAAGTAAGAAAGAATCTAAGGTTTGATGTTGATTGTGCAGAAAACAAACTACTTTTTTTTTTTTTTTTTTTGTTCATTTATTTTTTTTTTTTCAAACTCTGGTTTACTTTTTTTTTTTTAAATCCAAAAATTTAGGGGTACATACTAGTGGAGGTAGGTGCACGATAATGTCCCTTCAAAATTTTTGCATATTCAAAAATTCAAGCCGAGTGAAAAATAAAATTTTACATGGTAGCGATTCAAACTTCCTTTTCTGGAAATTTAATACTCTTTCTCATTTAAATTTCAATATCAAGTAGTAACCATCATATATATCACCACCACTTCTATATTTGTTGTTGAATTGTGATTGAAAATGAAGAGTCATTGTCGTTTCCGTTACCGACACATTGTGCACTACTGGCACCACAAGATTTCTAAATTGAATAAAAAAGATTTTTTTTCAATTTACTATCTTATTATCAATATTTAATGTTATTTTATTTTATAATAGAGTTTTCAAACCTATTACTTTTTTCTAAAAGAACATATGGAATGGAATAATAAAATATTTATATAACATAAAATAAATGTTATTATTATTACTATGAATATAAATATTATACCGAAGAATTGGAGCAAAGATTTGAATTTTTATTTAAATTAGATAAACCGAAATAAATTTATACAGGTGTCAACAACCTAAATTCCAAGTATTTTTTGAACTTGTTATTTTCGGTCTTTTGAATAAGTTTTTTTTTTTAAATTTTTGTGCAAATTTAAAGAATGAATTAATCTTTGTTCATCTAGATGTCAACTTCAACTACAACTAGCAGCACCACTACTACTACAACAAATAACAATCGCAATAGGAGTAGGTTTAAAGAAAGAAATTACTATCATATCAGAGTTGGAAAGAGTCATGTCGTACCTTTTCTATTGATCTTACATGATCATAGCTCATTCAATGAGTTACAATTTCAAGTATTTTATCTATCTATTTAACTATCTATCTATCTACTATTATAAGATACTTCAATGAGGCCAACTAAAAAACTAATTAACTTAACTTAGGAATTGATGTTAGCAATTCAGAGTATACTGTCGAATCACCTTACTAGTTATGGAATGGGATCAATATCTGTAGAGTACACACCGTTGATTCATCAAAGACCGAAATTATATTGTCTAACTCAATTAAGCTATACTTATAAATTTACACCTACATTTCCAAGATATACTGTTGTAACAAGGGTATGTTGATTGTATACATATATATAATATCGAAAAATAGTCAATAGTCATCGCTTATTAATAATATTAAATCATTAAAATAGACTGATCTTCATATCGATAAAAAGGTTGCACCTAGAGAGAGAAGAGTATTGTACTTTGCTGGCAATCAGATGGTAGATAAAGTTGATATAGATATACCCGATGAAAACAACAATAACAAACATAATGATAAAGATGATGATAAAGATGATGATGATAAAGATAAGAAAAATAATAAGAATAAGAAAGAAAAGAAGAGTAGAAGTACTAGTAATAGTAAAAAGAGTGATGAAATAGATGTAGATATTAGTAGTAGTGATGATGAGGTTATTGTTGACGATGTCGATGATGATGATGATAATGATGCTAGTGAAGATGATGATCATGAAGATAATGAAGATATCGATTTAGAAGATGAGGACTATCAAGAAAAGATAAAGAAAGGGAAGAAGAGAACAAGTACAGGTAGTACAAAGAAGAGTAATAACAATAGTAATAATAGTAATAGTAAAAGTAATAATAAGAAGAATTATGATGATCATAATAATGGTTATAGTCCAAAGAAATTGATACCAGAGGAAATCATTGATTTAGATATAAAAGAGGATAAAGAATCAACGATAGTGGTTGAAAATGAAGAGATCATAGACTTGGATGAAAATAATGATAGTAATGGTAATGGCGAAGATGAGGAAGAAGAAGAACAAAAGCTTGAAAGTTTAAAGGAATACGACGGTGGATTGTACCAAGGTCTTTCGATTACAGGTCACACTTTGATCGTTGAGACATTTCCAAGGAGAAACTATGTCGCTATTTCATCAGATCTCGGTGAGTCGCAACAATCAGTAAACAGCGAAGCATCATCGTCATCAATGAGTAGTACAACAAGCAGTTCATCAAACAAAAGTAAATCAACAACAGCAAAGAAATCAAAAAAGTCATCAAATGCTCAGTCAAACAATATCAGTTCTTATTTTGGTCCTTCTAGCTCAAATAAATCAAAGAAATAAAAGAAACTCTTGTTTTTGTTAATGTAATGTTATCTTATTATTTAAATTTTATAAAGTAGACCAACAACGATGGTCATCTTAATTATTTATTTGTGATGATTTGATTTGATATAATTGATTGGTTGGTTTGATTGATTTCCCTTACTATCGATGAAGAGATGATGATCCGCAGGAATAGTTTTCGATCTGATAGTTTGTGTTGAATGCTACTGATAGATGGCTAACTATGACTTGTTTCTTTTTAACCAAGTAATAAACTGATTATTGTTCTAATCTTTTTTTTTTTGTTTTTGTTCTATTTTCTGATTGTTTTTGACTGTTTTTCTTTGTTTTTCTAAAAAAATTCACCATTGAAATATTTGGAATCGGATTGAAACATTAATTTTCTATGTATATTTGAATGCTTTTCCGAAAGTGTTTCTTCTTCTGTATTCCTAAAATAATTTATTAGAAAAAGAAAATTAAATTATAAAATAAAATAATTATAATATTTACTTTAATAGCCATTGGTGATGGATTTATAACTATATTTGATTTATCTTCTTCATATACAGGCTTCAGTCTAATCTTTAACGGATTATTAGTTGCAATTGATACAAATTTTAAGGGATTTAAATTCTTCATTTTGATAATAGAAACAAATAGAAATAAATAGAAATAATATTTGAAAAATAAGTGAAATAAAATAAATAATATTTACAAAATATTTATTGTAAAAACAATAACCTTAAACAAATTAAATTATAATTATAAGTAAATGAATAGAATAATAATTTAAATTATTGTAAAAATGACGTTGGTAATGATTCACTTAATTAAAAATCTTTGACATTGTTTGAAAAAATGTTTACGAGTTTAAAAAAAAATTCAAATTTAAATTTGTTGTTATTGGATGTGTGTTACAGGAAAGGAAAGATGTGAACCACACACTCTCTATGAATCAACAAACTGTGTGTTCAAATTTTTAAATTTATTTTTGTTTAATTTTTTTTTTTTTTTCATTTTTTTTTTTTTCATTTATTTTGTAAAAAAAATGCTTTCGTTCGATTTTTTTTTTTCAATTTAATTTAATTTTTTAATCATTCCCATTTTTATTAAATAAAGATTTGTTTTTGTTTATTTTTTAATTCAAAAAAAATATATATATATGGCTGTAAAAGATAAGAAGATCATTAAAGATGAGGAGTCATCAGATTCTTCAGATTCATCATCTTCGTCATCATCATCAGAAAGTGAGAATGAATCGAAATCAAATAAGAAATCAGTATTAAAGAGAAAGAAAGGATCACCATCAAAGGACTCAAAGAGATCAGATTCATCATCAGATTCGTCATCAGATTCTTCTTCTTCATCATCATCATCATCATCATCAGAGTCTGAGGCAGAGAAACCATCAAAAGCAAAACAACAAAAGGTAGAAGAAAAGAAATCAGATTCAGATTCAAGCAGTGAATCAGAGTCCGAGTCAGAATCAAGCAAATCAAGTGAATCGGAATCGGAATCATCAGATGTAGATATGAAAAAGGTTAATTCTGACAGTGAATCAGAATCAGATTCAGATTCAGAGTCAAGCAGTGAATCAGAAACAGAAATAAAGAATAAATCAAAAGAGTCTAAAGAATCAAAATCAGAATCATATTCAGAGTCAGAAGATGAGAAAATGAAAGAAGATGACAGTAGTAGTAGTAGCAGAAGTAGCAGCGATGAGTCAGATAATGAAAATAGTGGCGATGAAGAAGAAAATAGAGAAACACTAGATAAACTATCGGATTCAGAAGATGAAACAGAGTACTCATTGAAGCAACTTCAACAAGAAGAACAGGAAAGAATAAAAGAACAAAAACAAAAACAACAACAGAAGCAGAAATTCAATGCAAATCAACTTATTTCGGAATTGGAAGGATTGACTTCATTGACCAGTGTAGAATCATTAGATTATCGTATGTATAATATAAAAGCTCATTATTGATATAAATTAATTGAAGGATATTAATTAAATTTTTATATTTACTTTATCAATCAAATAAAGCAAACAAGAGTAGAATAAATAAAAAGAATAAAGATGAGAAGAATATGTTTTTTGATAGATCTGCATCGTTGTCAACAAAGATACTGTTACTCTTGAGAAGAACATTGGCGCATCAGAACAACGAGAGACTGCCACTCTCACAACTTTTACAGCAACTTTCATTCGGTGGACTATCATACAGTGATTTGACACTCTGGAAAGATATTTCAAAGTTTAATCATCAAACACTCTCACAAATCGATAAAATTGAATCTGTAAGTTTGAATATAATATATAAAAGATGTTACTGTTTACTAATACTAAATATTCAATATTAGAAATCAACAAATAGTAATAATAATAATAATAATAATAGAAATAGTACAAAACAACAAAATCAACAAGTTACAAAGACATTCCACGACTTTTTCATTGAGAGACTGACGGATGAGTTTGGTGATGATATCGACAAGATGAGAGGTGACACTGTTTACGATGATAAGATGTTATCGACCATTCTAGAGGGTATGGAAGTTGGTATAGATTTATATTCACTACAAGATAAACATATGATAACAGATACACTGAAGATTAATAATAATAATAAAAAGTAAAATAAATTAAAATAAACATATCATTATTTATGATAAAAAAGTTATTCTTTCTTCTTTTTTTTTTTTTATAGGATCATCATACATGTTGGTTAAATTAAAGATGTGAGTTGTAAGTTGTGAGGTTAATTATGTCACTTCTCATTCTTTTACTTTCACATGATTGTTCAATTTAAATCTTCACCACACTCATCATCAATTCTTTTTCCCAAATAATAATTTAATCTTATTTGATAAATCTAAAGAAAAAGTTTTGTTTTTTGTAAAATCTGTTTTTGAGAGAATGATTGTTTTTTCATTGCGATGCCCGACCATAAAACATGGTTGGTTGCAAAAAAAAACAGTGTCAACTGGCAATGAACGACCTTGTGTGGACCTTTTTTAGTTTTTCACTTATTGTCAAGCCTCCAAAACCACACACCCACAAAGTTATATAAAATTCTCAAAAATCATGATTCTTTTTAGTGGGCGAATGAATAAATAAAAAAAAAATCAATTTAAAAAAAAAAATCATTCAAAAATTAAATAAAAAAAAAAAACATATTTAAGATTAATAAGTTTATTTAGATATCAATGATTTTGTTTTAGGTCACATTACATTACCAATATTTATCAAAATAAATATCATATTTTTTTTTAATTAAACCAACAAGAAAAATAAATTGACAAATCAAAATATTGAAATTAAATAACAATTTTTAGTTAAAGATTAACTTTTTAATAATAAAAATAATAATAATAAAAAATACTTAAAGTAAGATTTAGATAGTAGGAATACAGATACAGATATAGAAAAAGAAAGATAGAAAAATATAAACAATCAATAGTTAGATAGATATAGGGAATTGGTTTTCCCTTAGAGAGAGTCAGTCAGTCAGTCAGAGTTTGGAAATGGATTCACCAACACCGTCCTTGTCAAAGGGTGTATTAAGAGCATATCTTTGTAAAAAAGGACATGGTAATGTTATTCTATTCAAAAAATAAAAAGTTATAAATAATTCATATTACTAATATAAACTATATTGTAATACATACTTAAAACATAAAACCAGTTGTAAAAAATTGGAAATTACGATTATTCGTATTAAAAGTTGGTGGTACACATATAGAATATTTCGTTGATGAAACTGTTTGTATTCGAAAAAAAAAAAATTGTTTTTTTTTACTTTTATTTTAGTTATAACTCTTCACACACATTCATACTCCTTGAAAAATTATAATGGGAGAGTGAGGAATGTGTTGAGTTTTAAAAACCCTATTGTCATGACTAACCTATATTTGTGAATTTAACATGGTTGTTGTATTAACAGAAAGAGAATCAACATCAACCACAAGGAAGAATTCCATTATATAATTGTAAGGTACAGGAGTATGTACATAATAAAAACAATAATCCAAGAGAATTCTGTTTCATAGTGGAAACGAGTGAATCAAAGTCATGGATTATCTCGGCAAGCTCAAAGTCACAGCAACTTTTGTGGATCGACTCGATTCGCGAAGCCGCCAAATTCGCCGAGGAATCGGAAGAGTCGAAACAGATAAAACATCGACAGATCGAACGATCGATTCTCACCGACTCGAAGAATAGACAGCGTCTTACCATTATCAAGCTGCTGTTGCTTGGCACCGGTGAATCGGGAAAGTCGACGGTGGTCAAGCAAATGAAGATTCTTCACTCCAATGGATTCTCGGCGGAGGAGAAAGAGTTCTACAGACAACTGGTACAGCGAAACCTGCTCGATGGTGTAACGATTCTCGCGCGGATCATCATGGAGAGCGGTAATATCGAGGTGGCTGCCGAGACACGGCTGGCGATCACCCACTTTCTCACATGGCAACAGGTTTATGAGCAGCGACGTCCCACCACTCTCCGTCTGAAAGGTGTCACCTCCGCTTCGAACTCGCCATCAATGAGTTCACCACCCAACACTCCTCCCACCGCAGGCATCACTCTTAGTGATAGTTTCGATCTCAATCTATCGAATAATAGTATTAGATCATCTGCCAACTATGAAAGCAGTTATAATAATAATAACAACTATAATAATAGTCACTATAATAATAATAATAATCTTACATCATCGACAAGTTCAACAAATTCTTTATATTTATCAACTGAAAGTAATATTAGTCTTAGTAATAGTTACAATCCAAACAATAATAGCAACAACCACAACAACAATAATAATAATCAAACCGATAATGATCAACAAATTAAATTACAACAACCAGATAATATCAACTTTAGTAGCATCAACATTAGTAACAACAGTATTTATTTATCATCACCTATCAACACAAAAGGACACAGCAGAAACAACAGTGACTCAAAGAATATATATCATGTAGAGGAGAATGGAATACCACCTATCATTTCAAACTATATCACCAGTATATGGGCAGATCCAATAGTTCAAACCGAAGTATTGGCTAAAGCACAACAATATCATTTCCATGAATCAACTACATAGTATGTAAAATGTTATTATCGGTATTGATATTTTAAATAATTACTAATAATAATGTTTGTGATTAAAAAGTTATTTAAATGAAGTTAAAAGAATTGGAAAAGCAGGATATTCACCATCGAGTCTAGATATTCTAAAGTCTAGATCACAGACCAACGGTGTGGTAGAAACCGACTTTAAGGTGATGGAAGTACTGTTTAGGATTGTTGATGTCGGTGGTCAGCGTGGAGAGCGCAAAAAGTGGATTTCATTCTTTGACGACGTCACTGCAATCGTTTTTGTGGCGGCTATCAATGAGTACGACCAAGTATTGGCTGAAGACAACTGTACAAACCGTCTTCAAGAGTCACTCAACCTTTTCGATCAAGTCTGTAACGATCCTATCTATCCAAAGACATCTGTAATTCTATTCCTAAACAAAATCGATTTGTTCCGTGAGAAACTAAAGAGAACACCTTTACAAGTTTGTTTTCCAGATTATAATGGTAAGTTATTATTATTATTATTATTATTATTATTTTGTTTGTAATTAACTAACCAACTAAATATAATTAATAATTTATTATCATTATTATCATTATTATAGATGATCAAACCTATGATAAGGCATCTAATTATATAAAGAATAACTTTTTAAGTAAAAAGAGAGCACACGATCATTCAAGACATATATATTATCATTTCACATGTGCAACAGATACCAAATCTTTTGAAACCGTATTCAACTCTGTACAAGACATTATTCTATCGAAAACATTGGATCTAGCTGTCAATTAATAAAATCAATAGAAAATTAATTTATATCTAAAAAAAAAAAAAAACTATAGAGTTAAATAGTTTAGATTAAGTGTATAAATAAGTCAATATTTCGAATAATGACTTAAATTTATTGTTTATTTGTTATATATTACATTGCTTAAAAAAATATTGATTAAACTTTCTTTTTTTTTTTAATTAATCAACTACAAAAGTATCGATATTATTTTTATTAAATATAAATATTTAATCATAATTATATATTAGATTAATATTAAATATTTAATAATATATATTTGTAGAGTTGATTGGTTGATCTAATTCGATTTGAATGTTTGGTCAATTATTTGAATTTTTTTAAAACAACAAGTTTAAGTTTGGGGTGTTGTGTAGCTGATGTTGTTTGGTATATATATATATGTATTGATAGGTATATTAAAAAAATATTATTATTATTATTACTATTATTATTTCTTAAGGTCTTCTATTGTTATTGAAGGATGGTTGCTTAATTAAGTTGAGTTCCTTATGAACCAAATCTCTACCAACGATATCAAGTTGTCTTTCAAACATTTTCAAAGCTTCTTGATACAATAGGATATCCATCCAATTGTATTCTCTAATGAGATCGATAACATCTTGGGGGATTGATGATAAATTGGTGGTAGCCTTTCTCTTATTGGATTTAACCTCTGTTAAATCTGTTAATCCACAATAATATTTCATCAATACAATTGATTCTGTAAATCTCTCTGTAATTCCAACAAATTTCATCCTAATAAACATAAATATTTAAAAGAAACAATTAATAAACAATAATAACAAATATAATAAACAAATACTACCTACTTTCTTAAATGATATAAAGCTTGTCTAAATGATTCATTTGTTACAAGTGGTTCGGCCTCAACAGAGATACCAGCCAATACTCTAGTTTGTTCATTTTGTCCTCTTGGTGATTTTTTAATCCATTCCTAATAAAATAATTAATAAACAAATTAAATTAAAAATACAAATTATCTTTTTAAACAACTTACTTTAAAATCTAATTGCATTGCCAATTGATGACCTTCATCATTGATTTGTTCTCTATGATAATAGTAATGAGAGATAACTCTATCAATTGGATCTCTCAACATTGTCATATATGAATAGGTTTGTTGTTCTTCTTTATTCAAATAGGAATGAATACCATAATTGTAATGACCCACTACTGCTTTCCTTCCACTCACTACATTTCTATCAATATAACCTAATAGTAGAAATTAAAGTTAGAATATTATTACTTAATGTTCTTTTAATAGTTAACTACTTACTTGGATGAATCCACTGTTGATAAGCTTTGACACTACCAAATGTCTTTCTAAAGAGATATATAATAGAGTTTCCACCTGTCTTTGGTACATGAAGATATAGATATGGTGCAGAGATCAATGGTTTGGGATAGATCGATTTCAGTGGCATCTCCAGCATTGGTCTTGGCAATATGTTGAGATCCAGAGATTTCTTGGCCTTTTCAATACGATCTAAATTCTCTTCATACTCGTAGAAATCATTGGTGATCTCTGCTTCCAGTCTTCTTCTCTCGACGAAATTGATTCTGTCAGTGATTTTGCTATCTCTTTCACCTTGCATTAGATGATCGATTTCACGAGCCAACAAATCCATGGATCCAACCGAGGGATTGGAAAAACCACGTGCAGGAATCTCCTTAAAATCGGTTTGGTTATATTTGAAAAATGATGGTGACTCGATTGTTACATTCGAATATAAATGATAATAATATAAATAGTTGATAAACACTGGATATTGATCTTCATTATTGACTGGTGCTTGTGTTACCTCTTTTACTTCAAGCGGTTTCATATAATTTACATTATTTTCATTGTTATCATTTTTATTATTTATATTATGATTATCATTATTAATATTATTATTATTATTATTATTGTTATTATTATTTTGAGATAAAGGTACAAGATTATTATTTTCTAAATTATTATTATTACTATTACTATTAAAATTATTGTTTTTTAAACTATTGGAATTACTATTATCTAAACAAGATGTATTTTCTATTCTAAATAAAAATACTATACTCAAACACAAGGCCATCACCATTATGAAAACTACTTTTCCAAATGAGACCCTAGAAATTTTACCACTATTGTACTTCATTTTTATAAATATATATGTATATATTATTAAATTACAAAAACATAAAATGTAAAGTATTTATATAAATTCTCTACTTCTTTGAATTTTCTTTTTAAAAAATTATAAAAAAAATATTATTATTTATAAGAAATATCTCTATGAACTTGTAAATGAAATTAAATGGTTTATGATTAGAGTTAAGTAAGAATTAATGAAATAATAAGTGAACTGATCTCTAGTCTATTTTCTGTCTTTGGTTGGTTGTAGGTATGAATTTGACTTGTATGTTCGAAAAATAAAGTTTCGTTAATTGTACAATTATTACTAATAAAGCTGAATCAGCCAATATGAAATATTGGAGTTGTTGGTGATGTCGTACTTGTGGATGGCGGTCTAAATTTACATTTTGTCTCCAAAGTACTATCATTCACCAAATTTCATTATTAACATAAAAGAGTATTCAAACTACAACAGCAACATCAATAACAATATTTCTGTTTATTGAGAAAAACAGTAATTCTACCCCTCTTAATGATATTCATCAATTTCATTTTTATGAGAATCATATGATGGTAGCAACTGAGACAAACTTTACAAAAAAAAATTAAAATACAAACTCCTATGTACCAAATTGAAAGTCATTCAATTAAATACAACAAACGCATCTGGCAACATGCAAAATTGGTGCTTGCCAGAAAAAAAAACATGTTTTTTTCGGCAGATACCTTATGAAATGAATAATGTTCTTTCTCAATAACAATACCAAAGGGGTTGTACAAATTGAGGAAAACACCAAAAATTAAAGTTCGTCATCTAAAATTGAAAAAATGTCAAAAAAAAAAATCAGATTTTTCATTTTATTTTTGATTTATTTTTTAAATATTTTTAATTTTTTTTGATAGTGGTTCAAAATTAATTACATCTTTAAAAAAATCACAAGGTAAGAATTTTTGTGAGTGATCGAAAACGCAAAGTTTCTTTTCAAAAACGAAAAAAAAACAAAAAAAAAAAATCGTACCAACCCTACATGGCAACATTGAACAAAAAATTTGTAATTCATTTTATTTATGGCTTTTTCAAAAGGTAACGATTCATGTCTATTTATAATTTTAGACTTTGTTTTTTTTTTTTTTTTTTTTTTTTTTTTTTTTTGGACTAAAAAGTTAATTATATGTAATATCTAACTGGTTGGTTGTGGTCGAAAAGTGCGAGATTAATTCAGAGTAGTGATAACATTTGCATGGTGTCACAATTGTTGACAGTGGTCAACAATAATGACACATCAGTTCCAAAACTTTTATTTATTTGTTACTGATTTAGATAATACTACTTTTTTGTGCACATCATCAAGTGATCTTATATCTGTATCTGTGTGTTTGTTTAATCAAAAAGTCAAAATCAGACTATTACATATTTCTTCCCATTGCATTACTTAAACTAATAATAAATAGACTTTGAATTAAAAATAATGACCCCAACATTTTTAAACACATTTTTATTTTTTTGTTTTTAACAAATTAGACAAACTGATTGTTTTAATTGTATTAAAGTATCATAATTTTTTTCATTGGTGCACTATTATACTAAAAAAAAACAACTTCCCAATGCAATATAATTACAACAATAAGATAATTATGAAGAAACAATAAGGGAGTAATACTAAAAAAAAAAATTTTCAATAATTAAATGTTTTATCTTGATATTCTGTAAATTGATATTCCTAATATTTATTGATTGTATTATTTGTTTTATCAGTAAGTTGTAAAAATATGCGCTATTATGAGGCTTATAGTAATAGAAAATACTTGAATTTGTTTAAATTACTCTGAAAGATCGAGCTAAAGAATACAAATGTTAAATATTGTGTATTTGGTAAAGTATAATCCCTAACTGCATTCATGATGATGTTTTGCTTTTTTTATTGTATGATCAATAGAAAATTCTATGACCAGAAAAATTTTTCTGATTATCAAAAAATGATCTTTTAGTTTTGCAATCAAAATTTTTTTGTTTCATTAATTAAAGTAAAATTTATTATTTTTAAAGTTATATAGATTCATATAAAGATGATTATTGTGTTAGATTCACATCATACAGAGGATCTACAATTCCTCAAAACAGTTGAAAACGATGGTTAGTATTTTATATTTATCAGAGTTAACAGGTCAAACAACAAACAAATGAAAACTAAACTTATCATCTCATCTTCATTATCAATTTGATTTACAGTTATTAGAGAGTTCTGTAATATTTCATTAGAGTTTATAAGAAAAGGTGACAATAAGAAGTTATATATTGCTGCATCGAGTATGTATTCTAGAAATGCTTATTGCAATCAAGTTTATTTCGATTAAAATTAATCAATTTCATCTTTTATTTCATTTATTTAAAGAGAAACTAAATGTATCACCAGATGTCATTGAAAATGTAGTCAAAGGTTTATCACATCTATTTGTAGAATGTTCTAGATTCATGTTGAACGATGCTGATTTTAAAGATTCTCTATCGATTTTAAAGTTTGAAAATGAATTGGTTGATTTATTAAAAGAGGTAACTAACATTATTCATTATTCACAATCAGTGAGATATCAATAGAGCAATTTTACTAATAAAACAACTAATCAATAAAAAAAAAACAAATAATATTATAGGTTTATTTAGAACAAAGAAATGAAATTAGAATTATCTTACAGGAATTATACCCTCATTTCGATCATTATTCAAACTTGGAGTGGAGATTGGATGTACAGGTTGCCAATAGAAGTTTGCGTGGACAAACAATCAACCCAATCTATTTGTTAAAGTTGACCACACAATCTGGTGGAACTCAAGAAAAGAAAGAACATATACTTCAAACCGATCCAAATAATCTTAAACATCTTTGCAATGAATTGGAGGCTGCATTAATGGAGATTCGTTCAAACGATTGTCGTCGTATCATGAGAAATATTAAATAGAATCAAAATTATTCTCATTTAAAATAACTTAACATAACACTTTTTCAAAATTAACAAATAAATTAATAATACATGTAAAATAAATTAAAAAATATGACAAAAATTGTATTTGATATTTTCATACCAGTACTGGTATTTTTATACTGACAAAAACCAATTCGGAATTACACCAATCAGTGTAAGTGTGTGGTTTTTAAAAAAAAAAAAATTTTACAAAAAAAAAAAAAAAAAAAAAACTGGCTTATCATTTTTAATATTAAAGAAAGTAGCTCCTATAACCCACATGATGTGAAATTTCATTTAATCAAATATTTATATACTACTATTTTTGGTTATTATAATTGTAATAAAAATGATTGAAAATAATGTATATGGTATAGACGAAGATGATAATCTAAATTCTTCACCTACTAGTAGCAGCAGCAGTAATAATAATAATGGAAGTAGTAGTAGAAAGAATCACATTCCCGATAGATATTTAAATGATAGTCAGATGTTAATGTCGTCTATCGATGGTTTGGTTAAAGATAAAAAGTTGACGGAAGCTGAAAATAACGATGGCTACGATGAGGATGTAATGGCCGACGACGCCGATGCTCATCAAGAGGAAAGCAAAAAGTTTTATAGACCTCCACTACCAAGTTTTCTAGACAACAACGATGACCTCATGAGAAAGATCACTTTGGTGCTGGGTGTCCTAACAATGTTAGTCTCTGGTACACTCTATGGTTTCGCAGTGATTTCAGTAGATGTCAAAGAAATATTGGATTTCGATCAAACTGAAATTAGTAATGCAATTTCAATTGGTGATGTTGGAATGTATGTATTTTTACAATAGTTATTAATATAGATGTTAATATTAATATTTTCTTATTAATTTAATTGATAATTAGATATTTTGGATTGACAGTCGGATATATATATGATTTGTATGGACCGTTCATTACCAGTTTGATATCAACATGCTTTTATTTGCTTGGCTATTTCGGATTCTATGGAATGATTAAAGGTAGTTTGCCAGCCAATGCTTATCTGCTGAGTTTCTTTTTGTTCTTGGTTGGACAGGCATCACATGCATCGTTTACAGCATCGATTATCTCGAATATCCATAACTTCTCACTGAAGCATCGTGGTAAAGTTAGTGGTGCACTCGTTGGTTTATTTGCAACATCATCTGGTGTCTTTGGTATCATCTATAGACATACATTCAGCAAGACACACGACGTACAAGGTTATCTTTTATTCTTGGCAATCCTTTGTTCGACCATTGCATTCATTGGTGCATTTTTAATTAGATTCATTGTAAATATTAAGTTAGTTAATCATATCTATACTCTATATTAATATTTTCAATTTTATTATTTTATTATATATTTTTAGGGACCAAAAGTACCAGATAGTGTAATAAAACAATCTGGTTCTGGAAGTGAATTGGAAGAGGTTTCAGATACAGTTAAAGTCGATGAAAAAGAAAAGCAATATAATCTATTGGAAAAAGATAACACTGACGAAGAAACAAAAGAATATAGTTTAGAATCGAGAAGTAATCCAAACTATCTTGATGGTAAAAGAGATATTACTGGATTACAATTATTGAAAACAGAAGAGTTTTGGTTATTATTTATTATTTATTTCTTTGTTGCTGGTGTATGTATCAATATTATTAATATTTTCATTTTTAATATGAATATTAATCTTTTCTATTGTATTTATAAAAAATAGACATGTTTAATGTTTTTAAATAATATAGGATCAGTTGGAAAAGCAAATGGAAAATCATCTGATCTTCGTACTGATTTGGTAATTGTATTTGCTGCTTGCAATTTAACAGGAAGATCATCCTTTGGATTATTATCAGATTTATTGTATGTTGACTTTTTTCAGAATATTATAGCAATTAGTTATATTTACATTTACCATTTATCTTATTAAAAAACTTTTAGTTCAAGAAAGATTTCAAGATTTTGGTTTTTGGCTATTTCAGCTACCATTATCTCTATTACACATTTATTATATGCATTCTTTACATCAGATTTTTATATTCTTGCAACCATTTTGACAGGTGTTGGATATGGTGGTTTAGTTAGTACGATGGTACTTTTAACTAGTGTTAGATTCGGTGTTAGAAGATTTGGTTTAAATTTTGGAATGGTATGTAATTATTAGTATACAGATATTTATTTTAATACTTATATATTTTTAATTAAAATAACTAGCTTGCTATTGCATCAGCAGCAGGATCATTATCATTTGGATTCTTAAGTGGAAAACTCTATGATGACCATGCAGATGAAGAGGATGAATGCTATGGTGAAAAGTGTTTCCGAACCGCTTTTATTTTAAGTGCGGTTTTCAATGCAATGTGTATAGGTGTCATTCTTTTCTTGATCCACAGATCAAAAAGACATACATATTAAAATAAAATATTAAATTATTTTATATTTTTTTCAGGAAATTAAATTATATAAACTATGTGTAGATGATTTTTAATACTTTTTTTCCAAAATATTTATATTATTGTTTGTTAGAGATAAAATAAAATGATAATGAAAGAGAATGTATTATATATTATATTATCGATCTTTATTTATTTACAAAGTTTAATAACCTTTAATAGTTATTCTTATCTCTGAACTCTTGGTATGATTCACCAGTCCATTTGGTGGTTTCAAGGAATTGTCTCCAATTCAATTGTTTTGGATTGATCTCGTTGGAGAGATTAGTGTTACGGTGTTTGTAGTAGTAACCATACTTTGCAGTGGAATCCCAGATCTCAAAGAGACGATTACCCAACAATTCCAACTCTGGTGCTGCGTTTAAACCACCGGCTTCAATATAAGCTTGACGATCCAATGATCTGAAAGTGGTTTTAATTCCAGTGACCTCTTGGAAGATCTCTGCCAACTGGATACCAGTCAAATACTCGGCAACCACTGGTACTACAGCACGGTTGTATTGGTATGGATGTTTGAGAAACTCTGAAACAATAGGGCCGGTTGCAGTGTAGGTATCGATGTATGGCAACGAGTCATTCGGTTGCAATGGCAATGCCAACTCGGCTGAACCATCTTCGTTTCTAATGAGTGGAATGAATTCGATTTGATTGGAGTAGAAAAAGGCGAGATTGAAAGTGCTGACATACTTGAATGGCAGTGATTCAATGTATTGTTGAACGATGGTTCTGCAAGTGAGAATATCGAATTTGAATTCGGCACGGTGAGCATCGGTCAAGACTGGAGAGTCGACCGACGAGAAGATGACATGCTCCAATTTCTCTTCGAGAGCGGCATCGGCTTGGTACTTGACGTATTCAATTTCCTTTTTGAAGTAGTCTGGATCGGTGTAGCTGATGGCTGGTGTCATTAAGAATGCTGATTGGGCACCCTTGAAAACCCTATTGAAATCCGATTTCTTAGTGGAATCCACTTGGAAAACTTCAACACCCCTCTCCTTCAACTTTAAAGCTGCTGGGGTATCTACAGGACGAGTGGTAGTAGCACGGATATGATAGTTACCTTCTTCAACCAAAGTATTAATAATACTGATACCTTGTTTGGAGAAAGCATTTACAACAACGAAAATTGGTTTGGATGACATGATTGAATTTGAATAATATTAATAAAATTTTGAATTTGAAAGTTTACAAATAATAATAGATTTGTTTATATATATTTAAGAGTTGGTTGATTGTTTATTTTAATAATGATTTTTCCTAACCATGAATCATTTATATTTATAGTTGGTAGATTTCATTAATTTAACGATAGATTAGATATTAATTTAAAAATAAACTTTGGTGTGACATGTTTGGTTGTTGTGTTATGCTCGAATTGCCATTCGAATACATTCGTATGTTCTTCACAGGACAAGTCATTCGAATGACCTGTGGTTATACTAAACTCATCTTGTTTATTAAAGTATTTAAAAATCTTGTAAATTAATTTGTTGATTATGCAAATATATAACCTTCGTTAAATTAATAACAAACCCCAAAGAACACCCACATCTTTAAATATATAACCCAGATAGGGATTTGTGTGTTTTTTTTTGGGTCATGATGTTTGTGTTCTTCTCCAAAAACATTCTTTTAAAATGAAATTTTCACTAATTTTCATTTGATTTTTTCAAAACCAAAAAAACAGACTGGTAACGTTTTTGATTCTTTCGATATTTTTTTTACAAAAGAACCTTTTTTGACTTTTTTTTTTTTTTTCTACCAGAGATGTCGATTCAATAATAATATATTACATACAATAAAAAAATAAAATAAACTTAACAAAAAAAATGAATGATAATTACAGTGATTTGCAGTATAGAGATGAATTAGATTTAATAAACAGATTCATTCATAAATTAAAATGTCTATATCATCAAATGACACCTTTGACAAAACTGTTGGAGTTACTTAGATCTGAATTTCCTCAGATGTTCAATCTAAACAATGATTTAATACTCAACCAAAATTTACAACAATTGATTTATGCAAATGTAGATATACATAAATGATTTATATTCTTTATTAAAAAAAGATTAAATTTTTATTCAATATCTAACTTTTTTCTTTTTTTTTTTTTTTTTTTAAATCTTTTATTAATATTATTGTGAAATTAATAAATATTAGGTTGTAAAAGATAGAGATAGACCAACAAAACAATATTGTTCTAAATTTATAAAGTTACTCATTGAAATATTGGAGAGATATGATAAGGAGATAAATGAAGAACTATTGGATCTATTGATGTCCGATTATGTCGGTGGTGGAGCATCAGAACACAATGATGATGACGACGATGATAATGATAAAAAAGAATATATATACAAGTCATACTATATCGACAATCAAAAGTGGGTAACTCTTAAGAATGAAGCAATCTACAACTTGGTTGGAATGACCACATGGGGTGCTGCTTATCTACTTTCCGATTTCATATTGGCAAACAAACAACTATTTAATGAAAAGACTATTTTGGAGTTGGGTGCTGGAACCGGTTTGATTGGACTTGTGTTGGATCAAGTCAATTCAAAATCTGTACTTCTAACTGACTACTCTCCAGTTGTTTTAGATAATTTAAAATATAATATTGAAAATAGTATGTATATTTAATAATTATGATAATAATATTTATTTCTAATTAATTTTTTTATTGTTATTATTGTTATTAATAAAAAAGATGGAATTAAAATTCAAGATTTAATTAATGTTGAATATGGAGATGAACAACTACAACAAAATCTGGAAAATGGAGATGATACTAAATTTAAAGTTATGACATTCGATTGGGAAGCAAATTTGGATGATAAACAATGTGAAGCATTTCAATCCGATATTATATTGGGTGCGGATATTGTCTATGATCCATCGCTGTGTAAATATTTGGTAGCAGTACTTCACCGATTGTGTATGAAGAATCCGTCGACCGTCGCCTACATTGCATCTACAATTAGAAATCAACAAACATTCAGCACTTTCCAACAGGAGCTACAATCACACAACTTCAACATCACAGAAATCAATTATACACCCGACAATTTCGTTCATCCATCACCATATATCTACGATTATACACAAATAGTTTTATATAAAATAACATTAAAATAACAATACTAGATACATTATTATATATTTAATCAAATTTGAAGTTCAATACACTTCAGATCCAAAAAAAGCAAAAGGTTAATCGATTTTTAAATTTTGAATTTAAAAAAATTCTGCACAATCAGTGTATGGTTTTTGGTTTGGCGCCAATTTCCAATAATCAAAAAAATGTGATTATTTTTTTTTTTTTATAATTTTTTTCACCAATTTTTTTTACTAGTTTGAACTTGAGCCAAAACAGTTCAATTTTTTAAAAAAAAAAAACAAGATTCTACTTTTTGGTATTTTTTTTTTTTTACTAGTTTGTTTTTCTTCTTTAACTGTTAAAGTTCTATTTAAATTTCAAGATATTTATTTATATTCAAACAACAATTGTTAAAAACAACCACTATTTTAGTAGTATTTTAACAAGTAAGTATTAAAATTATTTTTTTTTAACACAGATTTATATGTGTTTGTTTTTATATTTTTATTATTATTTTTTCTTTCGTGTTCATATTTTTTAATCAACAACATTTATCAAAATAAAACAAATTATTAACTCAACTCTCAAACAAGTTCAAAAAAGTCAATAGTTTTCAAAAAAAAACAAAAAAAAATTTTGGAACAGCCGAACGAATTATTAATTTAGAAAGATTCATAATTAAAGATTTGTTTTATTTAAAGAGTTAGCAACACACACAAACATTTCAGGATTTGAACTTGCATGCAGCATTTTTGGGTGTGATACATTAATTAAAACAAAACAATAATAGCAACAATAGAATTAGATAAACAGAAATAGATAAATATAGTAGATAGAATAATAATGAGTGAAACAACATCAGCATCAAAGAAGAAATCTTCTTCAAAGTCAAAGCGTTCCTCGGAGAAGGAGAAGGAGAAGGAATTGAGCAGTAGCGTTATCAACACCAGCAACGACGGTGACGAAGAAATGAGCGAACCATCCACTCCAACCATCGAAAAGAAAGAAAAGGAGAGAAAGAAAAAGAGCAGCAGCAGCAGCAGCAGCAGCTCCAAGACTAGAGCCGAGCGTGGAGATAAAAGTGGTGCTGACAAGTCGACCACCGTCACCAGCAGCACATCGAGTACAACCACCTCTGAAAAGGATACCGGCGCTGGACATATCTCCAGTATGCAAGTCGAAGAGTCAACTCAATCCGTCACCACATCCTCAAACCTCAACAACAATAATGTCAGTAAAACACCAACACACTCCAATGCCAATGGTAGTGGTATCACTGCTTCATCATTGCCAATGACCCCACTCACCAAGATGTTTGGACTTGGAAGCATTGGAACTCCATTGCAGTCACCATCGCGTCTATCTATCAATCGTATGAAGGAGAAGGAGGAGTTGACAGAGGTAACAAAGAAACTCTCAAAGATCCTCACCATTTTGGAGGAGCGTAACAATGAGATCGTGCGTTTAAAGGCTGAGCTCAACGACTCGAACAAGAGCTCCAGTGTCGAAGTGTCGGCATTGCGTACACGTCTCGATGAGACCGAAAATCGTCTCACTCAGGAGATCAAGCAACGTGCCGAAGCAGCATCGACCCTCGAACTGACCTTGGCCGACCTCAAGAATAAAGAGGATCTCTACATGCACGACCGTAACACCTTTGACGCACGTCTCGAAGATACGATCTCCTCGATCACCAAAGAGCACTCTGCCCAGCTGACAGTGCTCAGAACCGACCTCAACAAACGTCTCCACGAGATCGAACAACTCAAGGGTGACATTAAGCTCTTGAACGCCGACCTCCTCACAAAGTCAAAGGAACAAGACGAGAGAACCCACAGATTATTGGATGCCGAGTACAAGAGAATGAAACAAAAGGAAGACGAACTATTAAATCTCATTTCACAAAAGGATGATGATATTAAAAAAGTTAAACTTACTCTTAAAGAAAAGGTAAATAGCTAATCAAAATGATATCAAACTAACTAAGTTTTTATAATCAATATATATTAATCATTCCATCTTTTTTTTTTTTTCCAATCTTTTTTTTCTAATCTTATTATAGGAGAAAATTATTATTGCCAATCAAAGAAAAGAAGCAGAATTAAATCAAACTGTTGAAGCATTTGAAAGACAAGTCGAAGACATTAGAGATAGTATTAATAGAGAATGGGAGATTAAGGTTGCCGAAGCTATCGAGGAACAAACATCAAAGTATGCATCGTTGGAGATGACCGCCAAGTCATTCGACTTTGAGAGAGAGACTTTCCGTAATCAGATCGCTGTCATTCAACAACAGACCGAAGATCTCAATGTAAAGAACCACGAGTTGAGCGATCGTATCCTCGATCTCAGTAATGAACTTCGCAATAAGGAGCAACAGATCATCACCCTCACCGCCGAGCAAGAGGAACTCAAGAAGAACCTACGTCGTTCACAGGCAGAGCTCAAGAGTAAAGACGGCAAGCTTTCGTTGCTCCAAGACGAGATCAGCTCCAAGGAGATCAAGTTCCAGCAGTACCAATCGGAGATGCACACTCTCAAGAAAGAGTTGCACTCGGCTAACAATCAGAGCATGGACCCAGAGATCCCAATCGGTGACGAGATCAGACGTATAAAGGAACTGGTCAACACATTGACTCATCAATCCCGACCACACAAGAGACAAAGATCAGGAGAATACAGCGGTGAAAACAACAACAACAACGGCAACGAGTTGGCTGCCAACCACGAAGAGGAAATGTCAGATGCCGAACAACAATCACCATCGTCAACATCCAACTCTGTAGAGCCAGCCGCTTCCACTCTTAAATTAAATACAATGTGCATCCTGAGCATCGACACCACCAAGGAGACCATTCGTCTCAATGCCAGCGGTGACCATGTCAACGGAATGACCATCACCGATTGGAAGATCATCGTTAACAAGCCCGATGGATTCAAGTACGGTTTCCAATTCCCAGCCAATATCACCCCACTCAAGGGTATCAATGTTATCACTTTACACACCGGTCGTTCAAGAGCCTTGAACACCACCGCCGCCGAAAACGAGTTTTATTGGTCGAGAACCGGAATTTGGGATTCGCCAGAGGGTACCACCATCCAATTAGTTTCACCAAAAGAAGTTCTTCAAGAGTCTGTTAGTTTAACCAATGGTGCCTATGTTAGAGAGGAAAGCAACCCCAAAGAACAAGGTAATTGTTTGATTATGTAATTAAAAAAAATAAAACTAAAAAAAACCTTAAAAACCTTAAACAAAATAAAAAATAAATATTTCTTATATTAAAATTCTTAATGTGTCAACACTTCTACATTCAATCAATGCATTCCATTACTAATTTTGGAGATGAACATCAAAATGGAACAATTTCATATTATAACCCCACCCCCCAATTTTTGACACCTAAACATTTAATTAAATCAAAAATGAAGAATGAAGAATGAAGATGGTTATTCTTATTATCAAGTTTATTAAATAATATACATATAAATATCATTTAATAATTATTCTTTATTTCTACAAATATATATATTGTAAATAAATGACTAAACCAATTTTTGTTGTTATCTCTGCATTTTCTAAACAAGGATATAGTATTATTAATACTTTGGTTGCAGAAGGTAACTATCATATCCGTGCTACTACCACTCGTGCTGTTGATAATACCCCAGCAGCTTTAAAGTTGAAGGAGAGAGGTGTTGAAGTTGTTAGAGCAGATCCAACCAAGAAAGAGGATTTACACAAGGTATTCAAGGGTGCAAAAGCAGCGTTTCTACTCACTCCAAACATTGACTTGTCCGATCCAAATTTTAATCAGAGGGAAGCGGAATATGTCAGTCTACAAGCAGATATTGCTTTGGAGGAGAAGGTCGAACATGTCATCTTCTCATCGGTCGATGTTCCCACTGCAGAACAACTAAAAGAATTCAAACACGATATTCTATCCGGTAAGAACAAAGCTCAGAAGTACATTGAGTCACTGCCATTAAAGTATGTCAGTACTTTCAATCTAGCATATTTCTACTCCAATCAAATCGAGTTTTTCCCGCTGATTAAGAACTCCGATGGATCGTTTGAGCTTTCAATGCCTTTGGGTGCCGATGTAGAGCAACCGTATGTCGATACCTACACTGCCACCGGTCCGATTGTTTCAGAGTTTCTCGCACATCCAGAGAAATATAACCGTGCGGTCGTGCCGGTTGTCTCTGAGTTCTTGACAGGCAGACAAATGGCTCAAACCTTCCAAGAGGTCACAGGAATCAAGACTACCTACAAAGAGTTGAGTCGTGAACAATATCTGGAACAATATAGTTTCAATGGTTCGCCGGAGCAACAACTGGTTGGCAATAGATTGTTTGAAGTATGGGATGAAACATCGAAATGTGGATACTACAATCATGATAGAGATGTTACACTCTCAAAGAAAATCAATCCAAAACAATTGACTTGGAGACAATTCCTAGAGACCACCAAGTGGAGAGGTGAATCATTCCAAGAGTTTAGAGATAAAAATGGTTATTAAAATAATAATAATAAACTATCATTCATATATATAATAAAAAAACATATAAAATAAAAGTAAAAAAAACATTCAATGTTATTTTCAAATTTTTGTTTTTTTTTTTTAAGATTAAATTAGTGTTGTACTAATCAACAAAATATAAATAGATACACAGAATTTGAAGAATAAATGGATGAAATAAACAATAATCAACAACAGCAACAACAACAAAATGATGTTGTAATGCCAGGCATACCAGACGATAGTACAAAGAATAACCCACAAGAACTTATGTTAACTGTTGAGGAGTTAGTAGAGGAATTGAGAAAGACAATCATTGTTGTAGAAGAGTTTCAAACACAGAGTCAATCTTTATTGTTTGAGAAGTTGTAAGTAGTTGATTGCTACTAAAAACTAATCAACTATCTAACTGATCATCGATTTATTTTTTTAAAGAGGTAAAATCATTTCATTATATAGAAAGGTAGAGAATCAAAAGAATCTATTCGATAATTTAGAGATACCACTAGAGATATTTAGAGTTATAGATCAAAGCAAAAATCCTGATTTATATGTTAAAGAGACTTTACAAAATTGTTTAGCTGCAAATGAAAGAACTAAAGGAAAAATTGAATCTATAAAAGTTTGTATTAGTTATTATTATATTTTATTGACGTTTTTATTAATACTAATAGTACTACTCTTCACTCTATTGTTATTATTATTGTTGTTGTTGTTGTGTTTGTCAAATTAATTCGATCAAATAGAGTTTTAAAGATGAATTGGATGGTCATATTGCAAATGCTTATCCGGATGAATATAAAGTGTATTTAGAACAAAAGAATAAAAATCCATAAGTTTAAACATTGTGATTTGTACATATATAATACATAACATTACAATCAATCAAAGTCTCACTTTTATTATTAGATAAATGATTCAATTACAATTCAATTACAACTGTAATTGATCGATTTATTGATTAATCAGTTTTATTTATTCCTTCTTTTGTTTCTTCTTTGATTTCTTCTCTGCTTCAGATTCCTCTTCTTCCTCTTCATCAGATGATCTAATAATAAATAATAAACAATAATAATTAGTAAGATTTAATATCTTTCTATATCTTTCTATATACATACTCATCCTCTGAAGATGGTTCATAATCTTCATCGTCAGAATCATCATCCTGAGCATCCATCATACGCATATTTGAAACCTATAACATATTAAAAATATAATTAGTAATCAACAAACAAATAACAGTTGCATTATGTTCGAATTACTTACATTCTGTTCTGGTGTAGCGATCTTAATTTGCTTGTTTTGAATAAAGTTAAACAATAAACTGTATTCTTCCCTGTTTGTTTGTTTGTTTTTTATTAGATTAATGATGGTTAGTTTATCAACATTGTCGTTATCATATATGAATGATTACTTACTTTAATATATTTGTAAATTGAATGGTAGTTGAATCTTTCAATGTGATGTTCAAATCGAAAGTACGACTGTTTGATGTATTTCTCGAACCAAAGGCAACCGGAGCACGAGAGAATTCGACAATCTGGATATCAGTGTATTTAATAAGAGTTGGTGGTTTGTGAATGAAAAAGAACGATCTGTCCAATGGGTAAAGATATCCCTCGTTCGCTTTCAGTGAGCATTTAATAGAGTTTGATTGATTACATGATTGGAAGTTTCCTGGTACAATGATCTTGTTCTCAGTCAACGATGTTAGAATTCTACGAACAATAACATACAATGTACCCTCCATAGTTGGTGATAGTTTTTCTTTATATTTCTCTTCTGCCTCGCTATTCATCGATAAAGAATTGTTGTAACAACTCTAATTAGTACCTACCGATACTAGTAATAAAAAGTAAACTATTATTATTGTACTTACGGTGATAAATTGAGATGCAAGACATTGTTATTTTCTTTTGATAGTTGAGTGTCTTTGGAGAGTTGAATGACGAGATGATTGTATTTGGTTTTACCTTGACGAACGGGTGGATCGAGTGAGATGACAAAGAACATGTGACTCTGGTCTTGTCTTGGTAGCTGGAAGAGCTTGGAGATGGTGTCGTACGACACCTTGTAGTCGTGAGTCTTACCGTGAAGACGCAGGAATGTTGGATACATCTCGATATCGAAACGACCTCTCGGTGTGAGGAAGTGAATGTCGTTGAGCACAACAATGCTCTTTCCGACGTTGGAGATGTCCGATTTACGCAGTAGAGTGTCTTGGAAGTCCTGAATGGGATCGTCTGTCTCTTCGTGTTCGTCTCCCTCCTTGGTCTGACGAGTCGGTGCAAAGAAACGAAGCTCCACAATCGATTCGTCGACTTCGTCCAGAGTGGAATCATGAAGAAACTCGATGGTCAACTCGTTCTTGTTGTTCGCATTGATGATCGATTGACTGACATCAGAGATTGGGAATTCGAATGCTGTCTTCTTATCGATTTGGAATGATACCATCGAACTGGTAACTTTTGCAATTCCAAAATTCGATCCTTTAGTCGAGAGCTCTTTAACTGCCAATTCAATCTTGTAATTCTCTGAAATGAATTTCTTTAAGAAATCATAATCCTGTTATTGTTATTGTTATTGTTATTGTTAATCAAAGTTTTTTGATTAGTTTCAATGTCAATTCGTTATCATACTAATAAATTGCTTGTCAATTACAAACCTGTTCTCTGAATCCATCGAATTTAACTTGAGTACCACCTTTAACAGCAAGATTGAGTTGATACAACTTTGGAGTTACTCTAATCCAACTTGCATTTTGAATGTCTTCAGAGGTAACTGTTTCACTTCTACCTGCTTCCGATTTCCATGCCAAACCAGATACGTTTATCTTTAATACACCTCTTGTCTAAAAAAATCAAAAAGTTAATATTGTTACTACTAATACTTTGAAAATCAATTAAAATCTAAAAGTTTTTTGTTCAAATACATACACCACCAATTCTACCACCAAGAGATATATGATTGAATTGATGTATTGCAGAGTTTGTTGTAGTAGTTGTAGTTGTGGCTGTTGCAACTGACATTGTTTTCAATATATATATAATTTATCTATCTATCTTTAAATATTTATCTATTTAAATGATTTTATTTGAACAAAACTAACAAAACTAATAAACTAGTAATAAATATGTAATAACAAGTAAAAAATAAGATAAATATTTAGATTATAGATTTTAACAATAATGAATTAAAATTATGAACAAATGGTAGTTTAATTGAGGATCGCGCCGTTTTTTTAGAATTTCCAAACATTAAAAAGTGAACTTTCAAAAAAAAAAAAAAACAATTTAATTAATTATTTTTAAAATGGTTTTGATCGACAAACAACAAACAAAATTATTTTTAATTTATTATAATATTATTTTTAATTTAATAAAAAAATTATTGTTGATTGATTCAAATATAGTTTAATCTTCAAAGCTATAAGAGATAGATATTGAAGAAAAACAATATAAATCTAATGTTTGTTAGAGTAGTTTCTCAAGGTTGTGAGTAACATTCTTTGATTAAAACATTAACATATGCTCAGTATGTGGTGGGTGTTTGTGTTTTGTGAGAAGCGTGGAAAGTGGGATCAACAAAAAACCAAAAGAAATTTGAATATTTTTAAAATCTTTGCTAACAATTTTTTTTTTAAATTAAAAATTCTGATTATTTTTTATAAAGACCTGTTTTTTTTTTGTCTATTTTTAAAAGATTTCTTTAACAAAAACACAGATATTCCGGCTACAAAAAAATATACAAATAACACAATAAATATATTATAATATAAAAATAAAATAAAATTACAAAAAAAAAGTAATATTTCAAATTTGCAAATATTTACATTTTAAAGTAGTAGTGTGATAACTCTTATATCAGCTGTTTAAAGGAGAAGTTGTGTGTTCTACCGAAGAGAGAATGAGTGAGCAATGTGTTACATCATCATCAGCATCATCATCAGAGAGTGAACAAGTCACTACTAATCATAATCATCAACAACCTACTGTCGATGACCAACATCTCAAAGAGTTAGTGACCGATCAACAACTTCCAGATAAAGAAGAAGAAGAAGTATTAGAAGAGGTAGAAGTATTAAAAGAAGAAGTAGAAGTATTAGAAGAAGATGATAATAACAAGTTAGAAAAACTTAAAATAGTAGAAGATGAAGAGAAAGTGGTAGACGAAATCAAGGTAGTAGATGAAGAGAAAGTAGTGGAAGAAATCAAGGTAATAAATGAAGTGGTAGATGAGGAGAAAGCAGAGGAAGAAGAAGAAAAAGTAGTAGAGAAACAACAAAAGCAGATGGAAGAATCGTCTCCAGTGATTTCATTGAGATCGAAAACCAATAATTTAGCTACCACTCTTGGAAAGTGTAACCTTGATGATCCAATAGAGAAATCACCCCCACCCTTGATTCATAATTCACATTCAGCACCAAACACTACCAATAACAGTCTACAGTGTTCACCTACATCCATAGCAGAGAATGCACCGCTCAAATCAAACAACAACAACGACAATAACAACAACAACAATGATATTCCATTGTTTTCAGTAACACCATCAACACCTCCTTCCACTTCACCAACACCGACCTCACCATCACCATCACCACTGAAAACCAGTAAATCCAACGAAAACGATACACATCCACCGATGCTACCGATCTCACTCTCAAGATCTGCACCGAATCTCTCAATGCTCTTATCTGAATCACAACGTCAAAATCTTAATAATAGAGTTATAAGTAGTAATCTAAATAGCAATAATAATAACAATAATAATAATAATAATGCAGGTGTATTAGATCCATTAAAACAACATCAATTACAACAACAACAGCAACAACAAAATGAACAAAAACAAATGTTGGAAGCAGTGCAGTTGCAGATGAAACAACAGGAAGAGAAGAAATCGAGTTTGAGAGACGCTCTAAGGGAGTCGGTACCACCGATCACTCTTGGCAATGTCACTGGTGAGTTGAAGAATGAACACGAGAGTAACGGTGCTGGTCCGTTGGTTGGTGGAGTCAGACCTTCGCGAGTCGGTGCAGTCTTTGATCATTTCATCGTGGTTGGACTGCCCTCGACCATCGATATCAAGTGCAGTGCACACGACGAACGACAGAAACACCAGCCACAAATACTCTACACCTATCCAGAGGGTCAATCACTGCCCAACGACATGATCGTCGATTTCTGCTTCCCAAATGGCATCGAATCGCGATCCTCTCAACGATCTTCATCCTATTCATCATTGAATCAAATTGCATTCTGTAACCTTTCGCATCTACTGAATCCGGATCACTCTTTCGTATTTCTACTAAACACAGCCTCAACTTTATATTATGGTGTTTGTATTGTCAAAGAGGAGGAAGTTAGTGTAAGTATTATTATTATTATCACTAGTTAATTTGAGTCAATTGACATAAACTAACAAATTTGAATCATAATTATTAATGTTGTAATATAAAGACACTTCCAACATTTATGCCAGAGCCAAAAATTGTAAAAACTTCAGAAGCAAATCCAACTGAAAGAAAGAAATTGAATAGAGATCAATATGATGTAAATATTTAATATATCCATTTGTTAGAAACAACATTGATTATATTAACAAAATTATAATTATTTATTAATATATTTTTAGTTTATTGCACCAAGAGTATATTGTTTGTTAACAAGATTCCCATTTTTCCAATTACATTTCCAAGTTTTACATTCAGTTTTAGAACGTGAGAGAATGTTAATGTTGTTTGCAATGACTCAATCACAAGATCCTACAAATGTTGCTACAATGGTAAGATAGTTAAGAGATGACAGTTGTAGAATATAAGATTAAACTAAGAATATTGTTATTTTTTATTTGTTTTTAGGATATAATAAATATGTATTATAATATTAATATGGAAACGATTCGAGAAAAGATTCAATTTAAAATACCTGGTCAAGATTTAAAGACTGATTTCCACTGTCCGAATGGCAATGAAGATCGATTGATTGCCGATTGGTCGTTGTTTACAGCATTCGAATCGATTAATTTAGAAGATATAGTAACTATTTTTGCATATGCCTTGATGGAAAGATCCATTTTAGTTTTATCAAAGAATTTAGGAAATTGTTCAGCTTTTATGTATGTATAGATCTATTTTATTTTTATACAACTATTTAATTAATTTCTTTATATATTCTTTAGATATTCATTCATACCATTATTAAAACCATTTACTTGGCAATGTTGCTTTATACCTATATTACCAGAATCTTTAATTGAATCTTTAGATGCACCTTGTAAGATTATTATTGATTGATTTAACAACAACAACAAATCACATTTTAATTAATAATACTTTTGTTTGTTTTATTTGTAGTCCCATTTTTAATTGGAATAAAAGAGATTCCAGCAGATATATTATCAATGAAAAAGGATTATTTAATTGTAGATATCGATAATAAGAAATTAATATTACCATACAATCATGGAAGTGTACCACCTCTGCCTGGTTCAAAGAAATTGTTGGACACTTTGATTATGCGAAGAAAAGAAACGTTCAAGTTGCAATCGATCATTCCATACGACCATCTGAAGAATCGATATGTACAAGAGGTGTTATCGGCGTTTCGTGACTATCACAGCTGGATGGTCGAACAAATCAGTAGTGGTGTCATCACTTGTATCAATAACATGTATACCAACCAAACAAATTCGACATCGATCGACGCACCCTCCTCGATTGAGCTGCTAAACAAGCAGAGCATTCACTTCCTCGAGGATCATCACAAACAGGTGGTTGAGTGTCTCCATGAGAACTACCAGAATTTCTTCCAACAGTTTTTTCAATCGCAGATGTTTGCTGTCAATGCTGTGAGAATGATGTTGTCCGTACAGGAAAGACACAGAACCAATATCAGCCAGATTGAAAAGCTGGAATCACTCATTCAGATGGAGGAGAAATCCAAGGAGTTTCTTATGGAGTATCAACGGCTGGCTAGTAAGCGTGAGAGTAAAGTCAATGTCGATATGAATATTATCAAACAGCAGTTGAAGGATAGTGAGGGTGTCATATCGGAACTGAGAGAATCAAAGAAGAAGCTGGAGATGGAAGCACTCGCTGTCAGTCCGAGCAAGAGCAACGGTACACTCACCTCATTCCTCGGTCTCTCGGAGATTAGAAAGAAGAAGCTAGAGTTTGGTCATCGTAGAAGTCGAAGTGTTAGCGATCAAGTCGAGAAGAACATACTAAAGAAATCTGTAAAAGGACCATCATTATCATTCTTTGATTTCTCAGGTAGCAACAGCAACAACAATAGTAGTGGTAATCTTAAATCGAATCTATCAAGATCACAATCACCACTTTCAATTTCACATAATCCAATTATGGAAATGTTGGAAAAGGAAGATCAACAACAACAGCAACAACATCAACAGAGTCTCCATCCAAACAACAACAATAATAATTCAAATTCAAATTCAAACTCTGGTGATGAATCATCTCAAGATGGTAATTCACCTAGAAATCTATTATTAATATAAATAACAATCAGCCAATTAACACATATATAATATATAATATATAAAAATATTCATAAAGATATCATAAATTAATAAAATATGATTATTTGTTTTTAGTACCACCAGATAGTGTTTTTATTCTTTCTCAAAACCAATACCTACACTAAAAACTACAATAAAAAAATTTTCATTTTTTCTTTGGAGCCTTAACATTATTGATATCTAATCTTAAGAATTTTGATGTACACCTTATTTTTCAAATTCTTGATCAAGTAGTCAGTGAACTACATGGAACTATAATATCAATGAAACTATTTACTTTTAAAGTAATAATGACTAGATAAAAAGTTCTGACATTTTTTAATCTACTTGTTTAATATATCAACTTGTCACCAATTAATGTTCTATTATTATTTCAAAAAAATTCATCAAAAGAGGCTCCAAACTATTTTATTAGTTGAAAATTTGATCTATCAGCAATCTTTAGAAATTTTTGACCTTCATTGTCTTCCTCAGGTGTAAACTGAATTTTATTGAACCAAAAGTGTTCAGCCTGTGGCGATATCTTACTTTCAATAAAAATCACTTTTGGTCTAGGCTGTAAACTCTCTACCACTGAACAAAAAAGGTTTGCTCCTATTTGTTTGCCTTGAGTCGAACAGACAAACACATAGTCAATATAAATATCTTGGGTTGGGTATCGTGTGATGAAACAAAATGCAACAACTTTTTCATTTGTATCTATAACCACAAATCCATGAGTTGGTTTTACACCTTGGTCACTTTGATAGTACGGATTTCCTAAAAAGAACAAAACAATGTTAATGTTTTAAATATATTGTTAAATAGAAGAAAATTTATATTACCATTTAAAATATTGTGAATCTTTTCAAAATAAAAGTTGTTCTCTTTTGAAAGTTTCAATATCTGATTTGTGAAGTACTGGTTACCAATGTCAAATGAATATAGTTCTAAACCTGTTTTTTGTCCATATACTTCATCTACCCACGGCGATGCTTCCATGAATATCATCCAATCTTCACATAACTTTGATAGTGATACAACATTTATTTGATCAGTGTCACCAGTATCACTACTGCAAAGAGAGTTGACCAAATGTGCTAAATCGATAAAGTAAAATGAACTGCTGGGCTTATCGAGTGTACAAACAATACAAATGATAATATATGGCTTATTCGAAATGTACTTTAATGAATTGTTGGACTTCTTTGTTGTTTTGTTTTGGAAGTGTAGAAAAAATAGTGCTACATTCATTCCAATCGGAATCACAGTTATCTCCAAGATCAAAAACAATTATAAAGGGCTCATTCTACACATTTGTATAATGATTATGGGCATTCAAGACAACTTATATGTTTCTTCTGACGATAGTTGCATATTGGGATACATTTTCGGATTACTAATATTGACTTTGATTAAAAAAATCTAAAAATATTCAAATTAAAATAAATTATTCTTCTTTGTAACTGTTATCATAAGAATTTTTTCCAATTTTTTTAATATATATTAAAATCATAAATTAATAACTATGATTATACGTTTTTCAGCACGTCGACTTAGATAATGATTTTATTGTTTCACGTGTTCTCTATTGATTTAATTTAAAGTTTAAATATTTTTATTTGCATATCTTCAAAAATGTTTAAATAAATTTACATTTAATCGTGGGGTTGTTTAAGTGTGACTGATTGAATGGTCATTGTACTCAATTGATAAGTGTAGGTATAAGTGTGGGTATAAGTGTTGCCACCACCCAAGTCTATAGTGAGGTCATAATCGTAGTCATAGGTGTCGTCATCGTTGTTAAAATCATTGTCATAGATGTCGTCATCATCGTCGTTAAAATTATTGTCATACTCGTTGTCATCATATACAGGATCACTTTGAGGGGAGATAACTCTAAATCTAGTAAGGTCTAACACTTGTTTCATCTTTGTCACTTCCAAAGACGATCTATTATAAGCCAAATGTCTCCAATGTTGATAACCTAGTCTAATGCTTTCTAATAGTTCGTGTGTATCGAAATCTGAAATCTCATCTCTATACACTCTAATCGGGTAGTCTTTGTTATCCTGATCGGTATAGTACATGATAATGTAGAAGGCATTCATTTTCAAAGCTGTATTGCATATTATATCTGCAAATTGTTCTAAATTCTTAACTTCTCTTGAAGTATAAAAACTATAGGATCTTCTATTGTCCCCAATGTAACTTGAGGTCTGAGGAACAAAGTAGTGTGTAGTCAGACTATCAATTGAATAGCTATCGATCGCTGGCCACTCAGTATTGTGGTTGTTCTCTTTATCTGAGTAGTTGTAGAATCTATATCCGGGGTGTTCAAATTCGATCTCTTGCTCGTAGTGACGAACCAGTGTTGGGTGTCCACCGACCATACTCAATCCGATTTCATGTTGATTGTACTCAGTGGATTGATTGACTTTAACTCTAATTACAGTGTCATCGGTAAGTGGTGCTGTGAATGGTACATTGATCCTCGAAGATCGTTCATTATTGAATTTCAATAGTGAATGCATTATCGTTTCTTCCTTTGTCACTTGATCTTTTCTGACGTAAACAGACTTCTAAAGATTGTGACATACATTGTCTGTGAACTGTAACCTTTACATCAAAAGTACCTGTAACTATATTATCAATGAAACTTTTTACTTTTAAAGTATTCATCAATACTGAGACATCAAAAAATTCTGACATGACAGAAATTTTCCAATGATGGAATGCGTATTTGGGTTAAATATTGATTAGAAAAAAATTCATTGATGATCAAAGAGCATTTTATTTTATTAGTGAGCAAAAATATTTTCTTTTTTTTTTTGAAAATTAAATTTTTAATTCTTTTTGAAAAATTAAAAATATTATGAGGGGAACACCTCCCCTCCGAACTTCTTTTGATTTTTGTTTAGAATTTTTATATTTATTTATTAATAATATTAAAAACTTTAAGAATAATAATGTTGATTTATTTATTGATTGATTGTTTATTGTTTAGTGGTTTTATGTGTTTATGCTAAATCATATGATTGATTATAGCTTTTATGTGGAGGTGGTGTTTGTTACTACTGTTGTTGGATCAGCCGCTGACTGACTGATCAAGTAACTAAGAAAAAAATTTACTATTCTCATTAAAAGAAATCTTCTTTGATACAATTTATTCTTGTAAAATTTTTTATTATAACATCTTTCTATTTGAAAATTTTTTATTTATTTATTTCTTAACTCCAAACCAAAAAAAATATATTTTATATCTTTACTTACAAGTACTTATGTATATATTCTATTTCCACCACAGAAGAACAGAATCAGAATATAAATTATAAGAATCATAAAATGATTCCAATATCTCTTATGTAAAATAGTAGTATCTGGTTTTGCGAATAAATTATTTATTTAATAAAAATCACATATATATAATCACATATATTTTAATATTCACTTTAGGAGTTAATTTAATTTCTTTGAAATCTATTTATACTATTTTTTATGCTTTTAGATCCAAACAAAGAACTTTGAATATTATGTTATCAATTCTTGAATAATTGGTAAGGGTTAACATATTTTGATATCAATATTATTTTGTTTTAAAAGTAGAAATATTTGTATCAAAAAAAAAAAAAAAAGAATGTTTTTTGCAAAAACGGAAAGGAATTTTCCAAAATAACAACCCCTTTTTTATTAATTTTTTAAGTTGTGTATTTAATATTATTTATTTCATTGTTATTTATTAGTTTATTAATCTATCTATAAAAGGATAGATAGAGAGAGAGAGAGAGATAATGAATTCACATAAACAACCATCGGTTCAAAGTCCACAACAATCAAAGAAAGATATGAAGAGTAAAATGGAGGAGGAAGAGACACCACCAATGATGCTTAACAGTCAGTCGGTGATCTTCAGTATATTCGACGCATTCGATCCAGCTGAGGAATCCGATCAGACCAATGCAACGCTGTTCTTCTATCCCGATCAGGTGCAATCTAACAAGGCATTATATGGTGGTATGCTCTCACAGGTAACGAACAGTATCAACGATTACTTTGCGAGTGCCACACGTAACATCTTTGTCGACTACGTAGTGATGAATCACCATACCATAGCCTATAAATTCGTCAATACCTACACACTCTACCTGACTGCACCGAACGCGCTGCCACCAACCACCATTCAGATGCTACTCGACTACTTTTACAAATCGTTTTGTTTCTACTGTCGATCGTTCCAAGACATCAGATCGTCACCTGACAACCACAAAGAAATGAAACACATACTCTCACTCGTTGCACAATCAATGACTGACAACATCCTAACCAATAGAACTAAATCTTTTCAACCAATGCCATACATACCTTTACCATCTGTAAGTAGTTATTGTTGTTATTGTTGTTGTTGTTGTTGTTGTTATTGTTTAACTATTGATATTAATATATGATAATCAACTATTGTCTGTTGTAGGGATCAAATAAAACATTTGTAAAAGCATCGGAATTGATTCATAATATAATATTTCCAGATCATTTGGGTGGTGCTATTTTTGTAAAGGAGAATCTGTTGTATACTAATATCGAGCTTGGTCCAACCAAGTTGATTTTGGATCGTATAAAGATGTTGCGTGAGAAACAACCGATTGGAAAGGATCCACTAGAGGATTCACTCACTGTCTATATTTCACCGGAGGACTACAACAAGATGGCCAACTACAAATCGGATTACACCGGTGTCTTGGAACAGCCTGTGGTGCCCGGTGACAACTCTGCCGAGTACTCTACCAATTTCATTCCGGTCGATCTGTTGTTGGTTGTTTGGTCGTCGATCTCGATCGCCGTTATCTCGAAAGAGATTCAACAGCTATCGACCCGCTACCTCAATAAGATCAAATATCACACTGGCACCGTTGAGACGCTCGAGAAAGACCCGTCGCTACAGAATCCACAGATCACCAGTGACACCACCATCTCACCGTCCAACAACTATATGTATCACTATTTCAGTTATAACGCACTGAATGGTCAGGCGATCAGCTCTGGTATGTCGACAGACGTCGAGAACATTTTCATCTCGACATGCTCTTCCATCCACGATACATTTGAAAAGAATCCAAACATCACACAGATGTTCCTCAAGAATGCACACAGTGAAATATTTTGCAAGAAACAAAATGGACATGAGATTTACTATCAACCAAAGAACAGTCAGCAATTCGTTGAACAATGTGAAACCATCGTTCAAAAATCATTAAGAGAGAATCATAATATTAATATCATGTAAATTTGAATATTTTTAATTAAATTAATTATTTTTTTTATCAATTAATTACACATCTCCTCTTAAGTATCCTTTAAGTTACTTTTTAACTGTTATTATCACATTAATTCATATGAATTTGATCAAATAATTTATTATTATCACTATGATGTTGTTAGAGCTTGAAACCCAACTGAAAAAAAAACAAAAACACCCACTCACTAAATCAATCAATCATATATTTATTCAAAAGGTATTATCATCAAAAAAATAATTTGATTGTATTGTGTGTATATGTGTTGTTCTGATATCAATTAATATTTTTGTAATTATTTGTAGGAATGAGTGTAAGTAAGTGCATTTGAAAATTTGGTATGAACTGTTAGTGGTGATTTTTTGATTATGATGATTGAATATCATTTTATTCATTTGGTTATTTAAATCATTTTCTCAATGTAGTTCTATCAATAATTAATAATTTCTAAATAATAAAAGATAATAATAATAAAAATAGAAATAAATAGAAATAATATTTAAAATAATTAATAGATAGAAATAATCAAAGAAAAAAAGAACCTCTAGTCCTACTGGCAAAGAGCAAAAAACAACTAATTATAGAAATATTAAAGAAATAAAGAAATATGATAAAAATAATAAATTTAAAAAATAGTATATTGGCACTATTGTTACTATTTTTGTTGGTTTCGAATTATGTGCCGGTTGTATTTTCTATTTTTACACAGGAGGAAATAGATAGAGCCAACAGTTTGTTTTCACAAAATGTAAAGGAAGGAAATCTATTTAGTATGGGAGTTGATTCTGTTGACCCTGTTCCAAAACCGGACTTGCCGCCAGTGAAACCCTTTAAAGATAGCTGTCTTAGTATGTGCGCGGACAGCAGTGAATCATTCCTAGAGTTTTGTAAGAGTTTGCCTCATGCCAATATGATTGAACATTGCAAACATAATGTTGCTTCTTACAATCCTGCAATCTGTGAGTTAGTTTGTGAAACTTTGAAAGTATCTGCCACTGTACTCTACCCAGCTGCATTCACCCCCACAACTACACCTGCAACAACCGGTACACCTGATTCAACTACACCTGCTACAACCGGTGCTCCTGCTACAACTGCATCCGCAACAACCGGTGCTCCTGCTACAACTGGCGAACATGCAACAACTGCTCCTGCTACCACCGCTCCTGCTACAACTGGCGAACATGCAACAACTGCTCCTGCTACAACTGGAGAACATGCTACAACTGCTCCTGCTACCACCGCTCCTGCTACAACTGCTCCTGCTACAACTGTCCATGAATCAACTACAGACACTGGGTTTGCGACGTCCCATCGTGGAACAACATCAAGCATAGATATCCATACTGAACATGCAACAACAATAGCAGAATCTACAACAGCTGCTAGTACTTCTACTGGTAAAGCCAATTCCACCACTGTACATGAGACCCCAACAATTGGACCATTAACAAATAGTATAACAAGCAAATCCGATTCCACTGTTGGTCAAGGCATTTCAACAACAGGTTTAGAAATCGGTAATAATTCACCGATAGATTTCCCAATACCAACAACATCACCTCCTAGACATCCACGAACAACAACAGCAGCATCTCAACCAAGTAGAACACCTGAACCAACAATGCCATCTAGACCACCAAAAACAACATCAACAACATCGTCAACAACAAAATCATCATTCAATTTCTTTGACAGTCTTAGAGAAGGTTTTGATTCACTCAGAAAGAATACCCTTGCAGCTTGATATTTTTGATAAAAAAAAATTGAAAAAATAAAATTTAAAATTGAATTATATTTCTTTTTTTTTTTTTTTTTTTTATTCAAATGAATTTTGTTTATTTTTAAATATATTTTTCTATTGGTATTAGATATCTTCATTGATAATAATAATAATAATAATTAATAATAAATAGATTAGATTAAATTACTTACTTATGAATGAATGAGTATTAGTATTATAAGTAATAATAGTATAAACAATAACAACAGCAATATTATTGTTTGTTGTTCAACTAATCTATTACAAAATAACATTAACATTAACAACACCAATAATATCAATAATAGTTGTGATAGTAGTGGTAATAATATTAGTTCAAAGTTAAATCATACTACTATTATTAATAACAACAACAACACAATCATCACAACGAATATAAACATACCTCCACAGTATGTGGAGGGTGAAGTATACACAGCTACTTACGGAGAGTGGGGTAATTGGCCCATTAGGATAGCTCGAACAACAGAAGTCAGTCCTTCTACATTAAAAGGATTAAAGAAAGGTCAATTCTTGGTTTATTTCTTTGGCTCAAGAGATTAGTATGTTTGATATAATTGTTTATCCTATTATTATTATATTAATAATGTAATGTTATTAGCGGATTTATAACAGATAAACAAATAAAGAGATATAATACAAAAGACCTTATGTCTCAGAAACTAAAGGCGGGCGATATAAAGAAAATGAATAAGGCTATCGAAGAGGCCAATGAGTGGGCTGACAACAACAACAGCAGAGACTACCCTGTTTTCATACCGGAAACAAAGAAGGCAAAGAAAACACAGACACAAGACAGAGACTACACTCCCACCAAGAAGAAACCTGTAGCTGCAAGAGGTGGTAGAAGAGGAAGGATAACTGTAAAGAAAGAACCTCAATATCAACAAAACTCTGAAGAGATATTCGATAGTATAAACTATGATCAGCAATCAATAAATTCAACACCATCTACCAATAAGAAACGTTCACCATTACCATTTATAAAAGATATTAATAATAATAGTAATATTAATAATAGTAATAATAATATTAATATTAATGGTAATAATAATAATGGTAATAAATTATTTGGTACACCACAACAATCACAACAACAAGCAGCTATTACACCACTTTCACATAGAAGAAAACAATTAGAGTTTCCTTTATCACCTTTTAAACCGACGACAATGAACTCACCGATGGTAAAGAAGGAGAAGGATATAGTGTTGGACTTTAACCTGATACAACCAGATCAAATCGAGCTGGAGCTAATTCATCTGCTTGGCTTGTATGGTCCGATTTCACTCGAAGATCTCAAATTAAGATCATACCTACTTGAAGACTTGGTAATGAGAGACTATCTAGAGGTCGTCTCAACCTACGAGTCTACAAATGATCAATGGACTTTGAAGAACGAAAAGTATAGCTTGATCAATGAGACATGGCATGGATATAACAATGAACAAGATAAGATAATCATTAGAGATCGTAAGAGAATTGCTCTTTCCATATTAGAAAACAATAGTAATAATAACAATGATGATAATAATAATAGTAATGATATTAGTAATAATAATAATGATATTAGTAATAATAATAATGATAATAGTAATAATAGTAATGATATTAGTAATAATAATAATGATGATGATAATAATGAGAATGATACAAGTCATGATTTAGATAGAACACAAAAAGAATTAATTTATAAAGCGACATCAACGACAACAACGACTACAACTACATCACCAACGCAACCTACTTTAATGATTTCTAAAAAACCTCAACCACAAATAATGAATACACCAAAGAAAAATAAATCAGCACCACCAACCACCACCACTTCAACAGCTTTTAAAGATACACTCGATATTATTACACCAATCAAATCGAAATCTGCACTTTCATTTTCAAGTTACTCGACGATCTCTGCTTTGGATGGTCAACACGAGAACAACACCTCTACAGAGTCTGGTGCAAGCGATTTCAAGTCACACGACCTACTTCAACCAAACTCTGAGATGGACACAACCATACCTCTGCTCGATGACAATCCATCGTCACTGCCAGACTACAACGACTTTGAAGAGGAAATAGAATGTACACAATCCAACACCGTTGTAGTCAACAGTGGTAGTGCTAATGCTAGTGGAAGTAGTCAACCCGGTAGTAACAACAGTAGTAATAATAGCAGTAGTAGCAATAATAATAATAATACATTAGCAACATCAACAACTACGACTACAACAACTATCAATAATATATATTTCAATAATAATTTTTCAAATAACAATATCATACCTATTAATAGTCAAGCGACACAAGTCACTCAAACACCACCAACACCACCCTCTTCACACAACAACAGCTTTAAGATTTCCTCGACACCCTACTCCTCACCTGGCATTCCAGCAACCCTGATAGTGTCGCCTTCAAGTTCACACAAGAAAAAACCAAACAACTTTTACAACTCATCTCCTGATGATTCTTCGGATGGCGATTATATAGCACCGACCATTCCAATCAATTTTGGAAGTCCAATGGAAAATGATAATAATAACAACAATAACAATAACAAGAATAATAATAATAATAATCATAATCATAATCATCAAAATACATCAACTATCATCATTGATCAAGCACATCTCAAAGAGATTGTCAATGATTCCGAACAATTAAAATCGGTAATCAAAGATTCGATTACCGATCTATTTTCAACACATTTCAAACAACATGCTTTTAAAGATATTAAATCGCTTGTAGAGAAGGAACTTAACAACAAAGTCAATGACATGAAAGAGAGTATAGTGGAAGAGTTGCAAGAACAAATCGGTAAAGAATCAAAGAAAAGAAAGAAATCGATTCAAACAATCATTCATACGCTTACCGATTTGGAACAAACCATTTGTACATTAAAACAAAATCTAGAGAAATTGGTTGATTAATTATTAATTCGACCAAATATATCTATCTTTTTTTAAAAAACAAAAATAATTTAATCTAATTTTATTAGTGTCTCATTAGTGGTCAACAATAATTTAAACCCCCTTTTTTGTTAAAGTTTAAAATCAAAACAGTGATTGTTAAAAATAAGTAAAGAATACTTTGTTTTTTTTTTTTTTGGATATAAGATAATTGTTATTAATAAATATCTTATGTTTATATTTTGATTTATAAATTGTAATAAATAAGTGAATATTTGGTTGTCTGGCTTTGTTATCAAATATAAAGACATTGTAGTTGTTGTTTTTGTTGTTATATATATACAAGTATTCAAGTTGAGTTATATTATAATCACCATATTTGGATTGACTGGTGTTTAGATAATTGTTTGATTTGGTTGTTTTTTTGTTGTTGTGAATATTTATAAAAAAAAAAAATTATTACTTTGTTATTGCAGGGTGTGTCTTTAAAAACTCTTCCATTTCGCAAATTGTAACACTTCTATCTCTTTCGGTAGATGATAACTCTATTTCAATTAATTCATTCTCTGTTTAATATAAAATAAAATAACAATTATGTTAGAATAAAATTAATGATTGAACTATTATTTTAATTTAACTAGTTACCTTTAAACTTTTTATATGATTCTGATTTTACAAACAAAGGAATTGCATCCATCTCCATTAATTTTCTGATGGTCAGTTGGATCGGAATGAAAAGGTCGTTTGTAGGTGTTCCGAGTTGACCCTCCAAATCCTTTCTCTGTATATGGTCAACATTGAGTTCATATTTACTCTCAGTGTTAAAGTATTTCTCGTAGATCTCCTTGGAGCGACGCGATCTTAGATCGTCGGAACTAATATGCTTATAATTCTCAGCTTCCAACCAAAACGAAAAATTTTCATTGTTATAACGTTCGTACAGGAATTTTCTAAATAAGAGTGCCAAACTCTTATTTTGTACTATTTGATCTAGTCCTAACATGTTATTGAACATTTTGACAACCTTTTAAAAATAATAAATGAAAAATGATAGGTATATATTTATATTTATATTAAAGAGGAATTTGTTTTTTTAAAAAATTATAAAAACTATTATATTTAAAAAAAAAAAGTTAAATATAATTGGGTCGTGAGTGAATAAAGAAAATATAATTATAAAGGAAAGAAATTGTAATAATATAATAATTAAATATTTAAAACTATATGGTATTAGATTCCTTGTTGTGAAAAAAATTATTAAAATTGTAGTAAATCTAACTGCTGTTGTTGTTGTTGTTGATTGTGTATAAGAAATAATAAAGTGTTTTGATTGTTGTGTTTTGTTTATTGATTTGATTGATTGATTGAGTGTTTTTTGTTTATTGATTTGTTTGATTGGTTTATTAGTGGTGTGTGCGTGTGTTTAAACTTAACTTTATTGCAAAAAATAAAATTAAAAAAAAAATTAAAATAAACAAAAACAAAAAATTATATATCTTGTTTTGTTTAGTGATGTAAAATGAAATAGAATTATATATGTTTGAGGTTCTCTTTGTTTAAACAAAAAAAAAATAAAATAAAAATAAAATAAAACAATTTTAAGAAACTGGTTTCTATTAGTATTGTGATCACACAACAATTTTGAACGATGTTTTTATAGATGAATATAAGGCTTTTTTGCAATTTTTTTTAAATTTGGCATTTTATTGATGATAATCTATTTTTATAAACATAGGGTGTGTTTTTCATTGAATCACAACTTTCGAGATGGCAACAATTGGGCAGTTAATTTTCGAATAGTTTGGGTTTTTAGCACAATTAATAAAATTGATAAATCTAAAAATTAATTGAATTTAGGTGGTTTTCAAAAGAAAAAGTAAAAATATGTTTTTGGGTTTTTGAGGCGGTTAGTAATACTACGCTATATTAGGTAATAATTTAAAGAATCTCTTTCGCATCTTGTAAATTAATTGTTTAAAAGAGAGGTGTGATTTAAAAATAGTTATTATGATTGTATTGTTTTTGTTTGTTGTGGTGTGGTTGGTGAACAGGTGTCAAATTAAGCTTAATCTAATTAAATTGGTTATGATGGTCGGTACTTACTGAAAAAGAGGAACTTCAAAACGGTGTACTTTGATGCACTTTCCAAGTACTTATCTGTGATGATGGGTTCAGCATTAAGTTGTTCCTCCAACACATGGTAGATGTAATAGTTCTCGAGCCAATCGAATATCATATAGAGGAAAGGCACTATATAAACCGGCGATGTTGAAGTGTAGTAGAATGACATCCCAACAACCATATCTAAAAACAACAGAGCAGGGAATGTGATGTCTAAGCCACTGTACATATTCATGCACACCTTTATTTCATCATCGGTCAGCTTACTCAAGAGCTCCTTTGCATAGTTGATTTCGTAGCCTGTAAAGTGTTGATCATACAACTAGAGGGAGGTGAAGTGAAAATAAAGTAAACTATTTCATTAATAATTGAGCTAATGGATTGGTTGATCACTCACACTATCTAACATAGACAACACGTGGCATTGCTATTTTACAAAAAAGATTGGTTGAAGATCTTACAGTTTGAGATACTTGCAAAACACCAAAAAACTGAAGTAATACAAAATTTATTCCAGTTAAACCCAACAATATACCTAACAGTTTAGCTTTTGGTTTTAAATTATTTATATCTTTAATCAATCTTTTAACTTTTATATCCATTTTCAAAGAGTAGCTACTACTACTATTAGTTGTAAAAATAAATTAAATGTTTTTTTTTTTTTTTAATCTGATTATTTTGTTTTTTATTTTTTGTAATCACCAATCAATAATTTATATTTATTTAATATTTACAATTTGATTTTATTTCTTGTTTTAAAGCAATAGTATATCTATATGTTAAAGCTTGATTACAAAAAATCAACATCAGGAACAGGAAAAGGTTTCGATTTCTCTAATCTAATTTCCTCTAATCTTTGTTGTAGTGTTATTTGTTTTAATGGTGGTGCTTCTTTATAATATTGATTTATCTTTTGTTCTTCATCATCTAGTTTAGTCTATGTGAAAGAATGATTGAATGTGAATGTCAGTTTCCATATAATATCATGTCAAGTAATGATTATATAATAAGCTAATAATACAATACCTTGGCAGACTTGCATTTTGCAGCAGCTTCGAAAAAAGGTTTACATTGACTTTTATGATGAGTTTCTGTACATTTCAAAGATGCAATTCTAACACCATCACACATCGATGGTGGTGGTGTATTTCTCTTTACCTTACTCTGTTCTTCTTTTGTTACCCATCTGTGAACTTTTGACTTGCTATCATTCTCTCCTTCTGTTGTTGTCATTTCTCTATAAATCAATGTCTTAAATAAATGGCTAGAAGATCTTCACCAATAATGCAATGACATTCACTGATATTAAAACTTAAACAAAATATTGTTTTTTTTTTAAAAAAAAAAAAAAAAAAATTCAAATAATTTTTGTAAAATCATAAAAAATAAATAAAACAATAAGGTAAATTAAACAAAACCAAAAACAGTTAACTGTTCTTATATTTCTATTATGATTTTATTTGATTTGATTGTATATTTATATTCTCTCAATGCTCGAAAAGAATTGTGTGAGGTTGATTGATTGATATTTATTGTTGATCAAATTTACAGAGGAGAGGAAAAGGAAATTTGTGTTGTTTCCATAATGGTGATTGTTTGTTTAATTGGTTGATGATGGGTGTGTGTGTGGAGATGTTATTGAAATATATATTATATTTGGTCAGAGAGTTTGCGGTGGGAATTATCTATAGGATTGGTTGTTTATTTCTTGCCTCTGTTCTTGGCAGCGCTTGGAACAACAGGTGGCTTTGATACTGGAGCGAGTTTTGAAATGAATGGAATATCGCTCTTCTCGGTTGACGAGGTGTAGTAGATGTACAATGTAATCAAAGCAACCAACAAAGTCACTGGGTGGAAGATCAATGTAACGATCCACCATACCAAACAAAGTGGTGTCTTAATAAGATAGTAGATTAATGATCCAATGAAACTGAAAAAACCCATTTTCTTTTAAATTTATAGCTATAAGTATTATAATAAGTCTAGACTAGTTCTATTATTAAATTAATTGTTAAAGAAATAATTAAAATTAATATTAATATTTTGTGAAATCACTAAAATATACGTGTAATTTTTTACTTACTAATATATATAAAATTTTTTGATTGCTAAAAAAATAAATAAATATTTTTTAATGCTGTTATAAATCAAAACACAATTGTGAAATTGTTGAAAAAAAAAAAACAAATAAATTATGATGAACTTCAAAGTGAATAGGAGGTGGTTGATTTTAAATATTTTTATTTTTATTTTTATTTTTATTTTTTTGTCATCAAAAGCGTAGAATTAGATAATATTATTGTTATATTTAATTGAAACTTTAGATTAATTGAATTTACTATTTTAATTACATAAGTTTGATCAATCAATACTCAACTTTTAAAAATATATATTTTAATTGAAAAAAAAAAAAAAAAAAAAAGATTCATTCTATGTATTCAAAGTTACTATTATTCCCATTGTTCATACTACTACGACTACTATTAAAAAGTAATAGTAAAGATTATTATGGTTGAACGTTACAAAAAAAATAAAAAATTTAAATTAAAAAGGAAAAAATTAAAAAAATTAAAAAATTATCACTCGTTTTGACGATAAACTATTAAGATAATTAAATTTATTTCGATAATTTAAAATTTAATTTAATTAATTAAATTATATAATAATAGTAAATCGAATCGATCAATAGAGAATAAAAGATGAGTAGTTATTCATCGGATGATTTGACAGATCAGGCACCAAATGATATTTCATTTGAAACCAATTTGTTCTCTGTAAACTTTCATCCTACCGATGATTTGGTAGTGGTCTCTGATGCAGAGGGTAGAGTTAAATTGTATGAACAATCAATCAATCAATCAATCAACATTCATTAATTCATTAATCAATCAGCTAATCATCAGAAAAGAATAACAATGATCTCATCTCACTTTCAAACTAAAGATTAAACAAACTTATCTAATTTTTTTTATTTATTTTATAAACATAATAATTGGTTTCAATTGTAGATTTAAATATGGATTAGAAGAGAATAAGAGCATGTTTGCATTAAGACCACATAAGTCTGGTTGTAGAGAAGCTTGTTTCTCAACAGATGGAAAATGTATGTATATCAATCATTGAATCGTTTTATTTAAATATTCGAATTGCGATCAATTAATAAATATTGTTAATATTTATATAAATATAGATATATTTACAGCATCATCAGATTGCTCAATGAAAGTAATCGATGTAAATACAGGATCTGTTTTATATACAAGAGAAGAAGCACATGAGTATGTTAAAGATCTACTATAGATTAACAATCACACTGTATAAATCAGTACTAATATTTTTTTATTAACTTATCAATAGTGATGCAATTAACACATTAATAAGTAAAGATTTTATGGTATTCACTGGTGATGATGAAGGTACTGTCAAGGTTTGGGATATGAGACAACAGAATATTGTTTGTGAATTTCAAGAGCATGCCGATTATATATCTGATATCATAACAATCAATGATAGACATGTAGTTGCAACTTCGTATGTATTAAAATTATTATTATTATTATTAAACAAACTATAGTAATAAGTAATGATTGATTAACAAAATGTTGATATCTATATATATATAGGGGTGACGGTGGACTTTCAATATATAATTTCGTTAGAAGATCATTAGATGATATATCAGAAAAGACAGACAATGAGTTACTTTCAGTGGCATCATTAGAGAACGACCAAACTTTGGTATGCGGAACACAAGACGGAACTATTTTAATATTTGACATTCACAACTTGGAAACACCAAAAAAGTTTGTTGGTCATCCCCAATCAGTAGATTCAATCGTAAAGGTTTCAAACGACAGTTTTCTCTCTGGTTCAAGTGATGGTATGATTAGGTATGTTATTTTACTACAAATATATCATTAATGAGTGTTCACTAACTTTGAATGTATTATCTATTATCTATATATTATTATTATTATTATTATAGATATGTAGGTATTAAACCAAGAAAACTATTAGGTGTAATTGGAGAACATTCAACATTCCCAGTAGAACGTATTGCTATTTCAAGAGATAATAGATATTTAGGTTCAATTTCACACGACTTGTCTTTAAAGTTTTGGAATGTTTCTAATCTCTATGACGATGAAGTCGATGAGGATGACGAACAGATGGATCAAGACGAGAGTAACGATGCCGACAGTGTAGACTATGAAAACGAAGGTCAGGACAATGAAGATGAAGAGTTGACCGATGACAGCGACGATAACATGGATGACAGTGATAACGATGATGATAAAGACAGTGACGATAGCGATAGTGATGACAGCGACGATGACTCTTCAGATGACAATAAAAAAGTTCGTAAATCACGTGCCGCCAGAAAGAAGGAAGCTAAAAAAGAATGGACAAACGCACCAAATAAAGAAAAGAAAAAGAAAAAGAATTTCTTTAATGACCTTTAAAAATCATAAATATAAAATCAAAAAAAAAACAATTAAAAAAAACCAAGAAAATAATAGATATTTTAATCTAGATTTTTTATTTTTTTTATTTGATTAAATTTAACTTTTTCCCAATAATTTTTTAGATGTTACCACCCGAATGATATTTATTTTTTAACCAGGTCACAAGATTTGTCTAATTCTTTTTTGGGGCTAAGCTTCCTTTGATTGATTTTTTTTTTTGATTTTTGATTTTTGATTTTTTTTTTTACAATGTTTCATTTTTTTTTTTCTTCCTTTGATAGGAATTATAATCATTCTCAAATATTTTTAATATATTGTTATAATTAAACATATAGATTTATAGTAGTTGTTATGATTGTATTGGTACCTATGCTGCTAGTCTAATAAGAACAATGACAATCATCACGGAAGAATATTCAATAAAGGAATGGGGTAGGGTTGGTTTGCATAGACACTATTATGAAGCACATTCAATAGATTTATTGAATAAACAACCTTCTAGAGTATTTTCAGGTTCATCTCATTCGATTATGATTACAGGTATGTTGTTTATTTTTTTTAATAATGCGAAAATTGGTAAAATCAAATCATATTAATTTTTAATTTTATTATTTCTAGTTGGAGGTGATTTATAGTTTGTATTATTTATTAAAAAAAGCTTTATTATCATTTTTATTAATTTATATATGTGATCATAGTTCATTTGGATCGAATTCATGTGGTCAATTGGGACATGGAGATTTGGAGAATCATGATTTTCAACCGATTAGAAAATTCTCAATGTTAAAGGCATACGCCTCAGACGTTCCTATACAAGTGGAGATTGGTAAAGATTTTACATTGGTACTGACAAAGAATGGTAATGTATATAGTTGGGGATTGGGTGATCAAGGTCAGCTCGGTAATATTGTCGATGATGAACAAGCAGTTGCCATCTCCAAGCTAAATGGTGGTGGTTTGTTTCTTGATGTACTGTTATCGACCAGTCAAGATGGATCGTCTCCTTGGAACATGATGAATGCATTCCCCAAACGTGTAATACTACAACAGCAAATAACAATGATTGCCTGCGGATCTGCCCACTCCATTGCACTGACAAACTCTGGTGAACTATATTCATGGGGTTCCAACAGTTTCGGTCAGCTAGGAATCGGAGATACCTCATTCAACATGTATTCTCCCACCAAAGTAAATAACATTGGAACTGTATCTTTAATTGCTGCTGGTTATTCACACACACTTGCTTTGCTTTCTAATCGTTCTCAACTCTATAGGTAAGTAGTAGAAATATTGAGAATTTTTTCATTTTTAATATTAATTAAAATTTTTTTTTTTTTTTTTTTTGGTAGTTGGGGGAAAGGATCAGATGGACAATTAGGTCATGGAAATACAAGAGATTATTCAACACCCAAAGAAATACAACCAACTTTTATTAAACCACTGGATTCAATTAAATCGATATCGTGTGGACAATTCACATCATATGCAATTACATCGTTTAAAGAGATATTCTCGTGGGGTCAAGGTATTTCATTGGGTCACTCTGATTATATCGATCAACTATCACCGAAATTAGTAACCGATTTACTTGGTAAAAATGTTGAATATATAACTGCTGGATTTTCACATTGTCTGGCACATACAAGCGATGGATTGTGTTATGCTTTTGGTCAAGGTGACTACGGACAGCTTGGTCTAGGTGAACAAGCCAGCATTTCACTCACACCAACCTTGGTGACACAGTTGGAGCCATACTTTATCGAACATATTTCAAGTGGATGGTGGAACTCAGTCGCTATCATCACACCAAGAACCGAACGATCAAAAGATACAATCAAAAGAAACAGTAGTAACAGCGCATTTAAAAAGAGTTTTAGTATTTCAAATTTTAATCTAAGTGATTCGATGTTAAACGTAAGATATTAAAATAATAGAATGATCATAACGATGTTTTAATTTATATTAATATATCTCAACATCAATTTATTAGTTAGAGAAATTATTAATTGAATACGATGTAGAGCAATCATTGGAGATGATTCATCAATTGGATAGTGAAATCAATTCAGACAATTCAAGTGAGTCTGATGATTTATTGGCATCGATTGAGATCATTGACCCTGCAGCACTCGAAGAACATGTAGATTTAAAACAAAAACGTATTGTACATTCTATTGGTTCTATTTTTGATAAATTGTATGTTGTTGGTTTGTTTATTTCTAGAAAAGTTGACTAGTTTTATTAATCATTCAATTTCATTCTAAAAAGTGTAAATATATTTAAAGATAAAAGATCTATTAATTTAACGTTGGACATTGATAAAGATCTACTGTCAAAGATATGGACTGATCGGTTCTTACCGGTATGGGATCGATGTGTTTCCAGTAAAGAGTGGACACGATCTAAAATCTGGAGAAAAGGTATTCCTCCTGATATTAGACCACTGGTTTGGAGCCTGTCGATTGGCAACAAACTGGGAATCACTCGAGAGATGTACGAAGAGTACAGCGATACCGTCCAACAGTTTCTCACTTACCAACAGGACAAAAAGAATGAAAAGAATCTAAAGGATTTCGAAGATTCATCGGACGAGGAGTATGACGACGACACTAGTAATATTATGTTTTCAAACGATAAACAACATATGTTTAATAATGCACCACCGGTCTATAAGCAACTGTACCAAACGTACTCGATGTTGATGATCGATCTTCCGCGAACATTCCCACATCTGCACATGTTCAACAAGAGCGGACCTTACCACAAGCAGATGACTAACCTCCTATTGATATGGACACTGCATCGACCGGCCATCGGATATGTTCAAGGTATGACATATCTTGCCGGTCTGTTTTGTTTGCATTGGAAGCCATACGAATGCTTCGTTGCTTTTGCCAACATGGTCCACACTCACTATTTCACATCATTGTTCATGATGGACGTCAATCAAATTGTAAAACACATAAAGATATTCGATATACTCTATCAAAGATATCTACCTGAATTACATTCACAATTCAGAAAACTTGGTTTTTGTATGTATATTAATTATTATAAACCAACTATTTAATTGTTTATAAAAAACTAATATAATTATCTATTCTTAATATTATTATTATTATTATAGCATCGGAACACTATTTATTAGAATGGTTTTTAACACTATTTACTAAGCAACTTCCACTTGATGTTGTAGCAAGAATATGGGATTGTATGTTAATTATGATATTATTCTATCTATATCGTTTGCTAATGAAATCAATTTAAAATTTAGGTTATGTTTTTGAAGGTGAATCTTTTATTTATGCAACAGCAATTGCTATTTTAAAGTGTTGTCAAAAACTAATTATATCTTCAAGCTTTGATGAAGCAGCACTTCTTCTAAGAACACTCCCACAGGATATCAAGGAGGAAGCACTTTTCTCTGCTATCAACACAATACACATCCCCAAATACTTTAAGAAACTTGTCGAGAATCTCAATAAAGAATCATATATACATAATAGTAATACTAATTCTTTGTGATAGTAGCAAAGTAACCAACAAACACATCCACCTTTTTCAGGGTGAGAATAATCGTTTTTCATTCATAGGATCTATGTAGGATTCTAAAATTGAAATAATGAGAAGTGTTTGAAGGTTATTTGTTAATTATTACAAGGAATCAAGAGATTTACAAAGTTATGTATAGATGAGTTTACTTAATGTTTATCCTTCCACCTAAAGCAAAACGAATCAAACTATCAAATATTTCTTCTTTATTGTGAATTGGTTTTATGTTTAATTTGATTGAAAACTTATAGTTTAAATAGTAATAGAAACATATCCTACATTAAAAGATTTTGTGGTCAATACACCAAAAAAAAAAAAAAACAAATACAAAAAAAATAATTATCTCTTTAAAAAAATTCTTAAACAAGACAAACAATTAACTTCCTTTGGTTTCAGGTATTTGAATAAAAATAATAATAAAAAAAATTAATTTAAAATGTTTCTGAAAATAACAAACATATGTTTATATTTTTTTTGTACAATGTAGATGTTTGTTTACATTTACTCAAAAATCTTACATAGATCCGAGTAAATAAATTTAAATTAATGATTCTTGATTGTTCAGAGGTACACGGGTAATAGGAAGTATACTGTTAACTACCAAATTATTACGTTCATCTTGGTCACTGTCTTCAGAATCATCATCGTCAAGAACTATATATTCATATTTGTGTTTCTTCTTTCCACTACCAAATATCTTTTTGTACAAATAGTTATCCATGTATATATTTCTATAGGTAAAGCAGGCAAAACCACAGATACCAATGAATCCAACCAATACGAAAATGATAGCTACGATTGTTTCCGTTGTAATAATATATCCATCATTCACTTAAAAACAAATAATAACAATTAGTTTGATTATAGATCGATATTTAGTGTTCTTTGTTCACTGGTTTACTTACAAATAATGGTGATATCTTGAGAATGAGTTGCTTGACCATCATTTAGAGCAATCAATTGTATATTATAATCTTGATATTCAGTGATGTTGGTTATAGTACAGCTTTTATCGGGTGAATTATTGCATGCAGGTACAACGGTGCCATTCAGTAAAATGGTGTAGGTGGTCTGCTTGTCTGGTAATCCACCTTTAGAGTCGTAGTAAATCGAAAAGCTATTGGATGTAAACTCCAAATCGAATTTGGTGATTGTAACTGGGTCGTGTAGTAGCTGCTGATACTCCAATGCCGCCGATTGTTTACCATTGTTAATAGCTACAACACTGATGTTCACTGTCGATCCACTCGGCAACGAATCGATGGTACAATTGATTGTGTCGGCACATCTGTCTATGGTCTGACCGTTGATCGTTACCAAGTAGGTATTTGGTATGTTGGGGAATCCACCAGCGGAAAAGTAGATGATATCGAGCGACGTTAGACTTTGAGAGATTGAGGTGAGTGATGTCATTTGTGGAGGTGCTGGTAAGTTGATGGGTGCTGTGAAAATCGATGGAACTACACCAAAGTAGCTGACACCATCGACCTTTATCAATAATCTTGTTGCTGCACCGCTCGACAGTTTATCTATTGTACAGGTGTTGTTGGTCTTGCAACCGAGTTGATATTGATTGGTAGATGCATCGTAGTAGTAAACCAGGTAGTTGAGATTCACTCCGTTCCAACCGACCGATGAAATCGATTCAAGTGTAAATGAATTGTAATCGTTGAGCACAATGAGACCGGCCGATATGGAGAGTTGATTTACCACTGGGAATGCATTCGCTATATGGTAATTATTGTTGCCGGCTGAGCAAGATGCAGTGTAGGTTCGGGTTGATAATACATTGGAGCAGCTTTTGTCATTTCCACTCTGACTGATATTCAATGAGAGTAGCGATTCGGTAACTACTTTTTGATAGTCTCTGATCTGTCCATCGAAAATTAATTCATCTTGGATACAAACACCGTCTGCCAAAGAATATCTAATTCTTGAATCATTGGAATCATCACAATCACTAGATCATATTTAAATATTTATCAGTTTATTTAATGAATATAAACAAAATAGTAATTAAGAATCTAGTTACCTAATATATCTTTCATAGTAAAGAGTATTTGTTTGAGGAATAATTGGTTGACTTGACAACTGTAAAACCATTGAATAATTTGGATCACATTGTCCAGAGATGAATGTTATTGTCGAGTTGATAGTCTGACATTGGTTGTCATTATAAATCTGATAAATAATATTTTGGTTATCATTGCTTAGATTGGTGACCTTTATTGAGTATTGATTATCACTCCAAGGATAACATTGTGATAGTTTATATGAAATACTCTTTAATAATAATTGATTACACTCTGAATAGAATAATAAATGAACGAAATTGTTATTATTATTATTATCATCAACTAGATCTATTTTAAAAGAATAGGTAATATTGATTAATAAAACAAATAAAATAAATATATATTTCATTTTAATATATTTAAAATAAATGTTGCAAAAAACCCTTTAAAGGTTAAATCAAATGCATATAATTGTTTTTGGGTATGGTTATTTTTTGCACCCTTTTAAATTTATTAAATAAACAGATATTTTGTTTATTTTTTTTTGCAACAAAAATATCTTTAAAAAGGAATTAAAAAAAATTATTATTATCATGATTTTTAAAAATAGATTATTATTTATTTATTTGATCTTCTAGAATAGATATAATAATTTTCAATTCATTTACTAAATTGATAGGTTCGAGATCGATGACCATTTTTAAGTGGACTAATAAAATGTATATGCTCCAACAGAGCAAACTCTTGAACAAGTGGTGGTGAAAAGTAGCTTTCTACTGCAATTGAAAACGTATTGATCGAGTGATGATTCGATTGAAAAAGATTAATGAAATCAACATTGATACAAGCAAGATTCTCACAGATCGTAAGAGATGTCAATCGACTATTAAATAGATTGTCAAACAATTGTTTGGCGTTGGTGATTGGAATGGCATTTGTTTTTTGAAGTTAATTTCAAATTGAATAGTTGTGTCTGGTTGAGTGACTGTATCCATTGATCATGTTGTTGGTTGGTTTGTAGTGGAATCTCTAGATGTTGTAAACCAACCAAATATCGCGTGGGATTAAAAAGTATCGAATGCCTATCTCTTTCGGATTGGTCTGGAGATAGCTGTTGGTCTTCAAGAATAACAAGTTTTCTAATCGATCTATTGATTGGTCGAGCTTGAAACTGTAGATAGTATTTATCTAAGCTTTCAGCCAAGCTCTTAGAAAGTGGGTAATTAAAGTAAGTTACAACTAGTTTCCAGATATTGGTGTTCAAAAGGATCGGAGATAAGGTCTTGTCCTCCATATTGAGATGTAGGTGTACAGTGTGTAAAGTTTGTGATTGATTAATGAATTCCAAGACCGGTAGAATGTCGAAACGAGTGCCTAGCATTGTGAATTTTACTTTGGTAAGAAGAGTGCATTGCTGAAAGTGTTGGAGTACCGTCTTTGGAAGTCCTAGGTCATATAATGTAATAGAAATGGCGCGTAATGATCGTGTTGAGTCCGAAGGTATATCGATTTCGTACAAAGACCCACATTCGATTTCTTGAATTAGCGAATTCCTCCAAATCTTGCAGAGGAAAGATTGAACATCTTCTTGCGATATATATGCAGGTTCGAAAAATGAAAATGATTTGATCGGTACATTGATTTTTTGAATAAAGTATAATCCGTTCGATGGATTCATTATTATTCCGATTGGTTTATTTCTATTATTAATTGCATTTGCTATCATATCATCATGTCGATTGCTAGCTGTTATATTTCTATTGAATATTACATTCTCATAGACTCCCAGTACTTGTTGGAATAATAATATATGTTGGTTGAGATTGAATCTGTTGATGGATTTTAGTGAATAGGATAGTCGAATGATGATTGTTTTACAAAATCTTAAAATATTGTATTTATTGTTTATCAAACGATAGAGATCACTTGATTCTATTGGGTCTGATGGTTGGCCAACAAAACCACAACTTATTTTTCGACTCGATGTGATGATGCTCAATTTCATGAATTCAAACCATTTCTTTGAGACAAGATTAAGTGATAGTCTCCATTTAAAACTATAGTAACGATCGTTAAATAAATTTAAAAATATTATTCTTTGTATTATATGATTCATGAATATATCTTAACTGTCTGTCAATAATAATTGTCTCGGCTACCAATTTTAAACCAAACAAGAACTTTGTTTATTCTTTGAAAATTTTTATATTTTGAACAGCTTTAAAAAAAAAGTTAACATTTTTGGGTTTAAATAAATAAATCTATTTTTTTTTTCATTATTTGTTAATAATAATAATAATAATAATAGTAGTAGTTCAACATTGCCAAAAACAATTATGGCATTTTATGATGTTTTAACGATCTTAATTTGTAGAAACTATTTAAATTTATCTGATTTAAAGCCATTGTTTCAATCATGTAGATCAATCTATCAACAAAATCATAATGATCAGACTAGTGACATTGAAATCATTAAATATTTATATATACACTACTTGGATTTATATTCAAAGTTACTTATTAAACTAAAAATATTTAATTCTATCAATAGTAGTAGTAATAATGTAGACAACATAAATCAAATACAAAATACATTATATAATAATTATATTAATAACATTATAACAGTTAACAATTTAATAAAACCAATTCAAATATTTAAAAAGTTAAATCTAGATATTGGAATATTGGTTGATACAAATAATATATTGAATCAACTCTATTTAGATCAGAGTTTAGAACAAAATGAGATTTTTCAAAGTATTCACCAACAGTTACAATTACAACAACCAAACCATCTAATCGATAAGCTATTGTGTTATTCAATTATCAATAATAATGATACACTGCTTTTATTGCTCATCAGAGTCATCTTATTGTTACAATCCAATCAATTAACCAATAGCTATATAAAATCAAGTACATCAGCAACATCATCAACAACAACAACACAATTAAGTGTAAATCAACCAGTTAATTCACTTAGAGTTTCAACATCGCATCAAAAACAACTACAACAAGTACCAATATTAAATATAGATGAATTATCATTTTTATTAAAGTTTTATAATAGTAATAATAGTAATAATAGCAATAGTAATAGTAATAAGATATATAAAACACAAATTATAATAACAGTGTTACCATTATTTATTGCAGCAAATCAAAAGAGTTCACAATGTTTAAAATTAATAGTAGATAGTTTATTAGTGTCGATCTATTCAAATAATATCAATGTAAAGCTAACAGCAACCAATAGAACAGCATTATTCTATTCGACAAGTAGAGATACTACATTAGCACTTTTACAGTACAATGCAAAGATCGATGCTAAAGACACCACTGGAATGCTGCCTATTCACTATCATTCACTGGTTGGTAATCTTGATGTAATTAAATGTCTTTTAGATGATACGACCATCAATGCGCAGGATCTATCTCAAAATACACCATTACATTGGTCATCTTTAAAAGTAAGCGATAAACAAAACTAATTCCACTTTCTATTATTATTATTAATAAGATAGAACAAACATATTAACAAACTATTAATTATTTAAGGGTCATTTACCAATTGTAAAATATTTAATTAGTTCAGGTGCAAAATTGAATATTGCCAATCATCAAGGTAGATATCCAATACATAATGCAGCACTCGAAGGTCATATCGATATTATAAAGTATTTGGTCGATCTCTATGCCAAGGCATCGTTACGTGGTAGCATTCGGTCATCTAGTGGAAGTGCATCCATTCAGATTCCAGATCGTGAGAATAACACTCCAATCGATTTAGCAATACTAAAGAATCATTTCTATTGTACATTTGAATTATTAAGATATGAAGGAGGTATGTAATATAATTATACTAGTTATCATCCATCAAATAATATTTCTTTAGTTATCATATTAATTTAAACATAATGCATCATTTTCAGTATTGTTAGCTTCAAGTGAATTTGATTTCACTAATGGTCGAAAGATTGGATCTGGTGCTTTTGCAGACGTATATTTATTAGAGTGGCGAAAGAAACAGGTTGCTGTTAAACGTGTAAAGTATGAAAGATTATTGGAATCTGGAAAAACTGATGAGTGGATCAAAGGAAAGTTTCTACTAGAGGTTGTTTTGATGGTGTATGTATTATTATTATTAAAAGAGATTGTCATCTAACTAATAATTACCAAATTTTAGAAAACTATCACATCTACCTAGTTTTGTAAAGTTATATGGTACTGTAATTGAACAAAATGAATTATTATTAAGTATGAAATGTTTTAATAGTAAAAGTTGTTTAAAAGTAACAAATTATTAATGTTATTTAATGTCATCATCATTTTAGTATTGGAGTTTTGTTCATATGGAAGTCTATATAATATATTAAATACAGTTGGAAACGATGAAATGATTACCAATCTACCGTCGATCAATCTATTGTCGCAGAGTATGGCAAATGGTATGGCCTATTTACATGGCTTGACACCACAGATCATACACAGAGATCTTACATCACAGAATATATTGTTGGATGCCAATGGCTCTGCCAAGATTGCCGATTTCGGTATATCGAGATTCAAGAATGACATTGGTGATAAGACGATGACTGCGATTGGAAACCCTCGTTGGAGAGCTCCCGAGGTCACCAAAGGCGAAAAGTACAGTGAGAAAGTGGATGTCTTTGGCTTTGGAATGATCTTGTATGAACTGTTCACAAGGCGTGTGCCATTCCACGACTATGAACCGGTGCAGGCTTCATTCAAGGTGGTAAGTGGTGAGAGACCCATCATTCCACCGACAGTAGATTCACGCTGGGCCAAACTCATTCAGCGATGCTGGGATCACCTTCCTGCAAACAGACCATCATTCCAAGAGATCATTCAAATCATTCAACAACTCCCAATAGTAAACATCAAAGTATTCACACCGAATGATATTATAATGCATCCATTCAACCAACAACATCTGAATTCAGATTCAACATCAAACGATGTCTCCATGTCTTCTTATGAAGGTTCATATGAAATATCATAACAAATAAAAATAAATAATAAATAATACTATATCATTGTTTGTTTAGATTTACTGAAAAAAAAAAAAAAACTTATCAGTTAAATTAATTTGATCATCACCAATCAACTGATTCTTTATTTTTGTAAAATTAAATTTAAAATATATTTATATATCAATCTATAAAGAATGGTTATAGTAATGGGATTCGAAGGTAGTGCCAATAAACTTGGTATTGGCATTGTGAAAGAGGATGGAACTATTCTATCGAATATTAGACATACCTATATAACACCACCCGGTGAAGGATTTCTTCCAAAGGATACCGCTAAGCATCATCGGTCATTCATTATACAGTTGGTACAGAAGTCGCTGAAGGAATCTAATCTTACACCTAAAGACATCGATTGTTTGGCGTACACAAAAGGACCGGGTATGGGTCCACCTCTGAGATCGGTTGCAGTCGTTGTAAGAATGTTATCACAACTCTGGTCGAAACCAATAGTGGCAGTCAATCATTGTATTGCGCACATAGAGATGGGTAGATTGATTACCGGTGCCGTAGATCCAACCGTACTATACGTCAGTGGTGGAAACACTCAAGTCATTTCATATTCTCTCAAGAAATATCGTATCTTTGGTGAAACTATCGATATCGCCGTCGGTAATTGTCTCGATAGATTCGCAAGAGTCATATCTATACCAAACGATCCATCACCAGGATACAACATTGAACAATTAGCTAAAAAGTATGTAATCTTAACATTATATATTAAAAGAAATAGTGACTAACAAAGTAAATGATTGCTTATAGAGGAAAACAATTTATAGAATTACCTTATGTTACAAAAGGAATGGATGTATCGTTCTCTGGAATATTGTCGGCAGTAGAGAGTATAGCAAAGAATGGTTTCAAGTATGATAGTACCGATAGTAGCAAGGTTTGCACTATGGAAGATCTCTGCTATTCATTGCAAGAGACGGTGTTCTCTATGTTGGTGGAGACAGCGGAGCGTGCCATGGCACATTGTGGTCAAACCGAGGTATTGGCAGTGGGTGGTGTCGGTTGCAACGAACGTTTGCAACGTATGATCAATGAGATGGTAGAGCAACGTAACGGTAAATCATTCGCTATAGACGAACGTTACTGTATTGACAATGGTGCAATGATTGCATGGGCAGGCTATCTCATCTTTAAAAACGGTGAAACAACACCTCTATCTGAAACATCAACAACTCAAAGGTTTAGAACTGACCAAGTAGATGTAACATGGAGAGATTAATCTTAAAAACAACAACAAATAAAAATATAATAATAAAAAGAAATATAAACAATATTATTATTATTATAATCTAGTAGATTCATTTCTATCACTTCTATCATCAGCTTGACTTGATGAACGTGTTCTATTTTATCTATAATTTAACATTTTTTATTTTATCTATTTAATTTATAATATAATATTGTAATAAAGGATCGATCCACCTTTTTAATGATGGTGGTGTCCATGCTTTTTAACAAAACGAATACCACAGTAACCACAAGCTTGTGGTTCTGCATTATCCAAATTTATATATACCATTGGGTGTCCTAATGGTCCATTACCTGTTAAATGGATAGATAGATATATGATATATTGTTTGATTAATCAATTTGTTTCACTTTTATATAACTGCTGCTTCTAACGTTAATAGAATGAAAGATCTAATACATACCACCATCACAACCAATCTTATCAGCAGAAATCTCTACAGGTTTAACTTGGTGAATCAAATGTTCAGCTGTTTGTCTTGGCTATATTGAGTAGTAGTTTAATGTGTTTGTTTGTTTGCAGATGTTAGATATATTTGTCATTTTGTATTGCTGGTTAACAATACGTACCATAACATCATATTTATCAGGAACGATTGGGCTCTTGACTGTAGATGGTGCACCACTTCTTAAAACAACAGCTAATCTTTGTGAAAAATTTCTAAATAATGACATTATACTATATTAAATGTTATGAATGAATCAATCGATTTACTAATCAAATCAATAAAGAAAGATGAAAATGATGAAAAAAAAAATTTCAAAAAAAAAAAAAAAAAAAAAAACTTTTGTATCTTTGATTATGTTTGGACTGTTTTTATGTAACTATACAGTACACATTGTTAAATAAATGGGTATATTATTAGCAAAGTTTTCACCAGAATATATTATAAGAATTATTGGTTTAGATAATTCTGGAAAAACAACGATATTATATAGACTTAAAGGTGATCAAAGTTCAATTTCAACGGTTTCAACCAATGGATTTAATTTAGAGACAAGTAATATTTATTATTTAATTATATAATACATAAATATATAAATCAAGAGTTGACTTATAAAAGTGAAATTCTATTTTTAGTTCAATGTATGAATAAAAATTTAGTTATTTGGGATATAGGTGGACATAGAAATGTACGTAACCTCTACAGACACTACTATCCACAGAGTCATGCATTGATATTCGTTGTTGATGCTTCGGATCATCAGAGAATCGATGAAATGAAGGATGAATTTGCAGAGGTATTAAAGTGTTCTGAAGGTGTACCAACCGTTTTAATACTAAACAAACAAGATAAAGAGAATGCAATGACAGAATCTTTCATTAAAGAGCAATTGAAACTCGACGATATCAAAGATAGAAAGTGGTTTGTTCAACTTACCTCTGCATTGAATTCTGAGAGTAACAGTAGTCTTTTACAATGGTTATCCAATAATATTTAATAATAATCTAGATTTTATTTTTATTGTCTTTAATTATATTTACATAGTTACAATTATAGATCATAATTGTTTATTCTTAATTATTTAGTACTACTTTCAGCATCAAGAAAATGTACTGGTTTTGATAAATTCCAAGCATTATAATATCTTTGGGTATCGTCAATGATCGATGGTTGTTGAGGATTCCAACCTAATGTCAACATCGCCTTCTTTCCCACTGTGACGCTCGATACTGCCAAAAGATTGGCGAGAAAATCTTCTTTTGGTGGTTCTGTAAAGACAACGCTTTTTACTTCGACATTTGCAGCTCTGGCCATTGCTCTTATAACTTCTTCTGTTTTGAAGTAATTGACCGATGCAATATAGGTCTGACCTCTGGAGATCGATGACTTTAGTGCAGCCAGTAAATAGAGCTGGGCTAGGTCGTAGGAGTGAACAAACGAACGATATTGGTCAGAGGTACCAAAGACACTGACAACACCATCTTTTGGTTTAGTTGCCAATCTAAAGTACAATCCAGATCCAGATCCAGCTCTTCCATAGACAAACGACGGTTGGATCACAACACCACCAATAGCGCGGTATTTCTCCTCCAACTTGATTCTCTCAAGCAACACGTCTAAAGTTGGTTTGTAGGTAGTGTTTTCATCGATGAATTCACCAGCGTCAGTTGCGCCATAAACCAAAGTACCAGAGGTGTAGATAGGAAGCAATGATGGTCTTTTGGCAGTGATTTCTTTCAATTTATTAAAAATAGTTTGTGCTGTTTGTGGATTACTGAAATCAGCAATAGCTTCAATAACAACATCAACCTTTTCAACAATTGGTCCCCATACATCTACATCAGATGCACTTCCAATGACAGGTATTACTAAAAATTAAATAAATAATTAATTAATTGTTGTTATTTTAATTCGATGTTGGAAAAGGATATTTACTTTCTTTGGAGATCAAATAATCAGCTTTCTCTTGATTTCTTGCCAAACCATAAACCTTGAATCCATGGTTCAAAAAAGACAAACTGACATCAATACCAATTGAACCAGTTGCTCCTAATACAAAGACAGATGACATTTTATTTTATTTTTTATTTTGTTTTAGATATTAATTATTATTATTTTCTTTAGATAATTGTTTTTAATTATATTTGGTTTGTTGATTAAACTTGAGTTCTCAGACTCTATTTATATTGATTTTAGTAAAATCCATATATAAAACTTGGTGAAATCTCAGGTGTTTTTTGGTTTTGGAAAGGTCGGGGTAATCGTATAAACCATTTTCGAATCTTTTGACGTTTTTCATTAACTTCCATTTTTGGATTAATTTTTTCAATGGAACGTCACACACAAAAATTCTATCACCAAAAGGTAATGGATTTATACAGAGTTCTAAGAACGTTATTTTTTATATTAACAGGTATTGAAATGGAATAACAAATACAAATATAAATAATAATTCGATACCTATTGAGCAATCAAGAATCTATTTGAAAGTAATCTTTCATTTATTAACCAAAAATAAGTTTGATAAATATCACCCATATACCTTGCCGTTGATGACATTGATTTAGCATTGTTTTTATACTACTTGTGTTCATTGCCTGCATAGTTTTGCTATTGTATTTACATGTATTCTATTTAAAATAGATCTTTTTTATTTATTAATTTAAATTAATAATTGAAATGAACAACTATGATCATTTAAAAAAAAGTCATGTTTAAAAATAAAAAGGTTGTAAATACTGCTATCTTTCATAATTTTTTGCAGTTGGTCAAAAAATTAGATTTTTGTCGAAATAAAAAGTTTTTTTTCTAAAAAAGGAATTTTTGAAAATTTGATTAACTATTTTTCTAGAAAATTAAAGGTTTCCATTCCCTCATTAGTAATTTTTTTTTTAAAAAACATTTAAATGTCAAAAATTTTCTATTAAATATTAATTTTAATATCAATTACTATATCTCAAATTATATAAATGAATACTAGAATAGATCCCAACTATGATCTCTTAAAGAAAGAGTTTTATAATCTATCCAACTATGCCACAAATCTTTCTTTGTTTATAAACGATGTTTATATTAATAATATTAAAGGTATTTTTCAAAAAACAATTGATTTAAAACTATACTAAATTATTTATTTTATTTTTTATTTCTCAAAAACACAGATTTATATAATAATACAAAAAATTTGTTTGGTGTCTTAATCAACAAGCAATCATTGGATAGCAATCAGTTGAATATACACTACAGTGATGTATTGACAAGAATTGAAGGTACCATCGATCTGTGGGTCAAAGAGAGAGAAGCATCGGAAATAGCTAGTATTTCTACTTTTTGTCAACACCTTCAAGTGATTCAGGAGAATATTGAATATTTAGATTCTTTACAGCCAAACCATAACGAATACAACAATCTGAAAGTACAGATATTTAATGATGTCAAATCGATTTATGAACACAAGGCAACTCTCATTGATCAGCCGGTAATCAATCTAAGATTCTCATTCAATTACATCCTCCAAGAACTCAGTACCATTCACTTTGAAACTGCAACTGCAATCCAACAACTTACATTTTCAAATCCAGTTGCAAATCTAAATCCATCTGCAAACGTTCCATTAAATCAGAATACATTAAACAAACAACCAGCTGTTCAACAACAACAACCACCAGCTGTTCAAACACAACCAACTATTCCAGTACAACCAACACCAGCACCACTAAAGAAGAGACCTATTTCAACGTATGGTGGTGGCGGTGGAAATAACTTTGCAAAACCACCACCAAACCAACAACCACCATCTCTCAACCAACAGAACCAACAACAACAACCACCACCATTAAATACACCACCTGTATCATCATTAACATCAAATCCACTATTTAATAGACAACAACAACAAGGTGTGCCTTCACAAAATTCAAATGTAACACCGGTACCTACTACTACAGCACCACCCAGAGCAAGACCAGTCTCTGCTTATCCAGGAATGATTCCACAACAACAATTTAACAATGCAACTACACCTCCACCAACAGCACAACCACTCAAAAAAGGACCATTCTTCAAACCACCACCAGGTCAAGCTACTCCACAACCACCACCACCACAAGTAAATGGTAACAGTTCAACACCTGTATCCAACCAAAATGTATCAACACCACCACCAACTAAATTCCCAGTTGTTGGTATTCCTTTACCATCACTTGCCAAACCAATGCCTAACAACAACTATAACAATAGTAGTAATAATAATGAATCTCCTCCAGTGTTACCAGCAAGACCACAGAGATCAATGTCGGTAACCACACCTCCATCTCAAATGCAAACAAATCAATTCGTATCTCCTCCAACTTCACCACCCCATACTTACTCTCCCCCACTATCCAACGCTCAACCACCAATGAAATCATCATATAATCAAGCATTCCAACAAACACCACAACATCAACCACAACAACAACCATCATATGTTGCGAATCAATCAATAGCACCACCAGCAAGATCAACTACACCTCCACAACCACCACAGATGACACCCCAATACAACGCTTTTGCTAAGCCAAGCTCTATTATGTCAATGTTCAGCCAACTTGGTGTTGGTCAAACAACCTATCAATATCAAGTAATAACAAATCCTTATGGCTATCCTGAGACAACCATAGATGAATTGATGTTCAATCATGAACAACACAAAAAGATGTGGCACAAGAGATTCATGATGACCAGAGAATACGTGATAACACTTCGTTGTGTACGTGATGTTATAAAAGAGATTGAAAGTGGACCGTACACTCATATCAAGCTATTTGTATGCGCACCAATTTCATTCCAAGGTCAAGATATCAAGGCGTGGTCATATAAAGTGGTTTGTCATACATCCGGTAGAGTAATGGACCAACCAAAATTGCTGCCAGCTCCAGGTTTACATCCAATCTACATGATCGACTATGCCAATACCACTGTAAAAGGAAAGTTCACTGTTTCCACAGTCACCGATGTCGATATGTATCGCAATGCCCTAAAGGAAGTAGGTCCTGACGATCACGTAGAATACTATCAGCTTAGTGACGAAGAGCGATACTACTATACACAACCGAATGAACAGTGCAATTTCAATGAACCGGCATTCACAGCATTCATTCAAGAGCATCTATTGTATCCAATACAATTCCAAGATGGAACCACTGAGAGTATAATATGTTTCTGCTATCGTGTATCATTGTTTATCAAGAAGCATATTAGCTATGAAATCAACTCTGGTGGACAGAAACCGTTGGAAACCTTCAAAAAGAAATTGGCCAACTGTGGAAGGTAAATATTTATTTATTTATTTTAATTTGTTTTCACGATCTTTTATTTACTAATTGTATAATTCTAGCTATGCAGCACTTTTCACAAGTATCACACGTTACCATGGTATTCCTACTAGATCGTATTCCGGTATCTCAGTGTACCCAGATAAGACAAGTCGTTCATCGGATGGCAGAGAAATCGTTGAGTCAGGTCGACATGCACAAACCGAATTCTTCTATGAAGGTCTTTGGATACCCTATTGTGGATCGGTCATCACCAATGATGTTTACAACTCAAAGGCATTTGGAGAAACTGGTATATTAACATTCGCACAAGAGTTGAATGCACCAAATGCACATCTTGAAGGAATAGAACATTTTGGAAAGCAATATCCTCATTCTCTCATCTCTCCTGCAACCTCTTATAAGATGTCTGTAAAAGGCTGCAAAATGAGTCCAAATATGGAAAAAATTGAGACAATAGAGAAATTAAATTAAATAAAAAAAAAGCAGTTAAAAATGTTATAACAACAAAATATTAATATGCCATTTCAAATATGTTTTATAAAGAGTGATTTATAAAATTTTAAAACTATAATCACTCGATTTAATTAAATATAGAAAGACTAATTCGAGGGAATAAATAGAGATCTCTATGAAATCAAAATTTATTTAAATTGAATGGTTGCTATTTTGAGTGTTCATAATAATCTAAACAACTACACAACGAGCATTTATACATCTACCAGTTGGACCACATTCAGAGTCGTATACGCATGCAATAGCGCTATATTCATAAAAATTAATTATATTAGTATTAAATATAAAACAAAATAAACGAATAAATGTTTATTACCTTTGAGATACTGATAAAAGTACAACAACTACGATTAAAATAGAGGTTTTGAAATTCATTGTTAAATATATTTGTGTGTTTAAATAATAATTATTAAAATAATAGTGATTATGATTACAATCAAAAGAAAAAAAAGAAAACTTTTAAGTAAACCCAAACCAAATTTAAAAAATAAATATAATTAAATTGAACATTCAAAGAACGAATGTGAATCAATCTCAAACTTGGGTCAACATAACACATGCCTTAGAATTCCCTATTTTTTGATAGATCCCTTGTTTGTGTGTTCACAATATTTTTGAAATTATTTTGGTGTTGGATTTTTTTTTTTTTTGAATTCTGCAAATATAATGAAATTTTCTGACAACTTTTTTATCATATTTTTTTTTATTATCAATTTTGTTTAATTCCGACACGTGTAAATATTATTTTACATAGGAACAAAATGGGTCAAGTACCTAGTAAGAATGAAAATCAACAACAACCACAACAACAGCAACTACAAAATGCAACAATTAACAATCAATCAGGTTTTGATCTGAACAACAACAACAACAACAACAACAACGCTGATGATGATGATAACAACGGTAAGATGGCATCTGGTGATCAGATTAGTCATTACTTGAATAATGATATTCCATATACATCGTTTGGTTATGAGAAACCACAGAGTCAGTCTGCATTACCAACTAGTTCTGTTAGACCAACAACTACCACCATCAACAAAACTAATAGCAATAGTAGTAACAACAATAATATGAGTGATAGTATAACGAAAGTTGTTGAATCGATCGTACCACAAGTAGAGTTGGAACCTGAAGAGATAATGTTGTCGAAACTACCCGTAATGTTACCTTATATTCCAACAGCAATCAAGCATGACCTCTATCTAGATAAGATTACAGGTGCACCGCTTACTGACTTTGATACATTCGACGTTAACTCAATCTCCAGAATGATGGCTACTTTTAAAATATATTTACAAGATATAAATAAAGATCTTGATAAAAGACAGGTATGTCTACAATCCTAGAATGCTATTAATTTTTAAAATACTAATCGATCATATTATGATTATCATTCACGGAATAGGATACAACCAATAGAAAAGTTAAAGAAATGGAAGTACTATGTACGAAAGCAAATCAATTAATGATTAAGCATGTTACTATAGTCAAGAAAACAATGTCTACATTACCAGATGGTAAGTTTAAACTATTTCTTTAGATATTAATAAATAATCAATCTATTAATTAATATCACTTATCTCTCTCTGTGTTCATTCATTAACCAGTTAATAAAATGGTTCAGAATTTAAAAGAAACACAACTGACGATGGATAATGTTTTACTTTCAATTGACAAGTTAACAAAGTTGTTACCTGAGAATCTGCAACAAGAAGAAGCCATTGAATTCTCTGAAACATTAAAAAAATCACCAATTTCCACACCATCATTCACCTACTCCCACACACCAGAATCAAATGTATGTATTTTAAAGAGTACTATATATATATATATAGAGATCTATATTGTTACTAATAATAATTCAATTTATATAATGATAGTTGTCATTGAAATCAATAACAAATATGATTCAAAGAGTTAGCGATAAGAAAGCAGTTTGGATTGATGATATTCTACCAAAGATGTCGACAATGAGACACACTGGAAAAGTAAAGGAACTGACTAGGCGTGGAATAGACAAGGATATCCGTGGCTTAGTTTGGCAGACTGCTCTCGATAATCAACTAAACATTGAGCCGTCACTGTATCAGAGTTTTCTTGAGAAATGGGGCGATAAGATTGAAACAAATATCAGCTTGATCGACTCGCCACCATCAACCAACAGTAGTACGAGCAGCTCATTGAATTCATCGTCGATCATCTCTAGCTCACTACCTTCGAATGCAACACAATCGCCACCACCATCGCCACCCAACGGATTCAATACAACCGAGGAAGCAATCCTCTATAGTTTTTCAATGATTGATATTGACTTGCCAAGGACATTCGCTTCATTCTCGTTGCTGAATCACGAATCCTCACAATTTAGAAAGCAACTGCAGCGTATCTTGAAAGGCTATGTTAACTTGTCGCCAACACTCGGTTACGTCCAAGGAATGTCTTATCTTGCTGCGATGCTACTGTTACACATGGACGAGTATCAATCGTTTGTTTGTTTTTGTAATCTTTTGAATAATCGATTCCTCCAGTCACTCTATCAGCTAAAGATGAAGGAGGTCGATAACTATATGAATGCATTCGAGATGATGCTTCAATTCAATATGCCAAAGCTGGCGGAACACTTTAAGGAACTACAGATGCTGCCGCATCACTATCTAATTCAATGGTGGATGACAGTTTTCTGCCAGTCGCTACCACTCCCAGTGTGCATACGTGTCTGGGACTGTTTTATCATCGAGGGAAATCTCTTCCTCTTTGTGACTGCACTCGGTATCCTTTTCCACTACAAGAAGCAACTGGAGGAAGGCTCGCTTGAGTTTTGTAAGAATTTCTTGGCTAATCTACCAAACGATCTCGATGCAGACAGTCTCTTTAGGTCGATCGACAATATCAATATCTCCTATTGCTCGCAGATCTACAAAGAGATTGAGAGAGTGTTGGCCGACGACATGGAGTTACAATCGATAGAACAAGAACCAAACAATTTCAATAGCAATTCGACCAACAACAACAGCAACTATCATTCGTTTGATTTAAGACATACAACCAACTCACCAAACAATCAATCACCAGAGGTACTTTCATCGTATGACTACGAAGAGGAAGAGGAATACAGTCAGCACAGCGACAACATTAATGATCAATTGAGATTTAGCGCAAACTCAATTGTTAACTTATCACCTAGAAATCATTGAATAAACAAAAACAATATTAATGATGATCAGACAGTAAACATTGGTATTATTAATTAATAAGTGATTTTATTACTAGACTTTGAGATGAACCAACACAAAACAGATGATGTGCACTGATATCGAATGAATCGATCGATGACGCTGTCAAACCCGATGCAACTACTGGTGTAACTGCCTTGTCATAGAGATCGAATATATTGGTAGATGTCATATTGTTATCTCTGTTGTAGTCATATAAATATACTGATCCATCTTGTGAACATGAAAATAATTGATTCGATTTCGATTTACTAAATTCAACTTCCCAAACTAAAAATAAATGATAATAACCGTTCGTTAGATTAAATAATAATAATAATATAAACAATAATTAGATTAACTTACCATGAGATTTATGATTTTGATTCTGATCGATTGCAAATGAATTTCTAAAATCGAATAATGAAACATAACCATCGGCATTTCCAGTTGCAATTATATGTGTTTGATCATGATGTACTGCTATAGAATGTGTTGGTGATGTCTGTGTTTGTTGAACTCTAAAAAAAAAAAAAAGAGCAATTAGGAAATTCAATTGATTTTGTTATGAGTGTATAAACAATTGACATATCAAACTTACTGTCTTATTGTTTTGATTGGTTGATGTGTACTACTTCTGATATCCCAAAACTTTAAAACAGAATTGACACCCGAAGTTATAATCTCATTGTTTGTCATATATCTAACTGTATGTACTGATAACCCATCAATCTTTTCTAGAGAGTATGAATCAATAACAATATTGTTAGTCAAGATCTAGATCGTTGTTGTTTGCTATTTTAATATACTCACTGTTTGTATATATTGGTATTGGAGAATCAATTGATAAAACATTTAAAACACCATCATTTCCAACAGTGACGATATGTTCATTGTCGTAGGTTGTGTCGATTGCAGTGATTCCACCTTTGTGCAAGTTTTCCCAGCGCTTTACTTTCTCTAGTTTGCAAGATGGCTCTTCTGGCATATCTAATGAGGTATTATTTTGTTGAGAGTGTCTACCTCTGTGTTGCACCTCTGTATATTTCTTTGGTATGCTATTAGGTTTGATTACGGTAAGCGATCCCTTTGAATCCGATGCAACTATAGCTGGTTGAGATCTCATCTCTACGAATCTAAGATCACTGATCACACCACCACCACCATTTGGAAAGTAAGAGATCTCCAATGGTTCATCGGTTTGTCCTTTAATATCTACACCCCATAACGATATTCTATTATTCTAAAAATATAGAATTATAATTTGCAAAAAAAAAAAAAGAAGAAATGTTAATCATTCATTATTCATTTAAATAATCGTATGTATGTAGATTATGATTCAATTCTTAACTACTTACACTTTGATTTGAACCAGTTGCAAATAATACAAAATCATTATGATATGATTTGTTGAGACATTTCAAACGTGATACTCTCTGTGATATATAATGTAGTCTACACTGATTCGTAGTTATTGATGTATCCATTGTTTGATTTTTAATGCTGTATAGAACTGATTAGTTTAGTTTACACACCAAAGCTTGATTAACTACCAAACAATGAACTTCTAAGATTTTTTTTTTTTTTTTTCGTAAATTTTTGTTTGTTTTTTTTACTTTTTTTTTAACTTTTTTTTTAAAGTTTATTAAAAATGAAGAAAGTTAATGTTTTTTTTTTTTGGTTCAAAAAAACTGACAAGTATTAAAAAATATAATAATAACTGAACCATTATAGTATATCTATTTTTATTATTATTGTTTAATATCCCCGTTTTTAGAAGAAATATATTAAAAAAAAAAAATCAAAAAAAAAAAAAAAAAAATCAGTAACAATAGCAATCAAAGTTTGTGACAAAATATTTTATTTTTATATATTATAATCACCAACCCAACAACCTAACATTTTCACTGTTGTATAACATTCCATCAAAGTTAGTCATTCTATTTATTCCATTTTCTAGAACGGCAAATCAACTCTTTTCAATCTTTTTTTTTATTAATTTTTTAAAAAAGAATCAAAAACAAAAAACATTCATCATTCAAACTTTTTATTTAATTTAGGTATGTTTAGTTTATGAGTGTTACGATTTAAAATTATTTAAATTAACAATCAATCAACAATCGAAAATATAGAAATAGTTTGAAAACATCGATATATAATTATTTATTTTTCAACAATCAACAACCCAACCAACTTATCGAATTTTAAAACACACCCACACGCATATTTCAACAACAAAGTTATACAAAAGTCAAATCACAGTAATGGATTCAAAGAGTAATTCGATCGGTCTTCTCTTCCTTGTTAGGTATTACACTGTTTTGTCTCAAAGCCCAGAGACATTAAAGAATTTCTATCATGACAAATCTGTCTTTACCAGAAGACAAGATAATCATACTACCTCTTCAGTTGTTGGTGTAGATGTATGTACTGTGAATGATTATTTTTACTTTTTGATATATTCATATTGATGATCTTTGATATTAATTACTTGTAATCTACAACTCTTTACTTTTCCTTTTAAAAACAAAAGAACATTCACAATGAAGTGATGAATCTAGGACTTGGTACTCAAGTTTCGATTCAGGCAGTAGATTGTCAACCATCTTTGAATGGTGGTTTATTTATTACTTGCACTGGTATTATGAGAAAGGATATGGAGAATCGTAGCTTCTTCCATTCTTTCTTTTTGGAAAAGTCTCAGACCACTGAGAGCTACTATGTTCTCAACGATGTTTTAGTTTACGTAGGAAGAGAACAAGTTGAGAATATTCCAGACGAAGCAAATGCTGCTGACGATCAACATCATATTGGTTCCGACTCATCGGTTGATCTCTCTGAACAGATTGCTGTTACTAGTGATGTCGTTGATCCGTCGTCTGCCAGCGAATCATTCAACCAGGTCGTTCCAATCACAGAGAACGACTATGTTCAATCAAACGGTGCTTCTGAACACTCAACAACCACTACCACCACCGCCACTACCATTGATCAAGAGACTACTGCTGCTACTGCTGCTGCTGTCATCGAGCAAGAGAAGGAAAAGGAGAAAGAAAAGGAAGAGGAGACCACTCCTTCTGTTGCCGCTGCTGTCAGTGCAGGTAATGCTGGTACACCAAACGGTGTCACCAAGCCCGCCTCCAATGTCCCTGCCGCTGCTACTGCTGCTCCAAGCCAAGCACCAACTCCATCAAACACACCAAAAACCTATGCTGATATTTTATTATCATCGGGTGTTACCTCCGCTGTCACAACTCCCGTTGTCGTCGCCGCCGCCGCCGCTCAACAACAACCAACAGTAGTTCCAGCACAAGTCGCATCGACAATAACAGTGGCCCAACCAACATCATCAAACTCAAAAGAGAGTCACAAAGAAGGTTGCACTCTCTTTGTCAGTTTTGTAAACAGTAAATTCCTATTGGAATCGGCTCAACTCAAACAGGTTTTCTCACAATTCGGTAATGTTTCACATGTTCGTGTGTTGACCAACTATGCATTTGTCGAATTTGAAAAGCCAGAGTTTGTACAAAATGTACTTGCCTACATCAAGAGTGGTCGTCATCTCATGATCGGTGATAACCAACTTAAAGTCGAAGAAAAGAGAGCAGGTGCAAATAAATTTAATAACAACAATAGTAACAATAATAATAATAATAATAATAATAATAGTAAACATAATAATAACAACAACAACAACAACAGTAATAATAGTAAAAGAGATAGTAACAAACAACAATCACCACAACAACAAGATAAACACGATAAATTAAATAATAAACCAAAGTTTCAACAAAGACCAAGTCAAGGAGGTGCTGCTCCAAAGCAACAAGGTGATGCCAATAAGCCAGCCCCTAAAAAACCTGCTAACAAATAAATAATTTATATAATCAAACTTAAGTCCATAAATAGTCAAAACAAAAATTTCTTGTAAAAAAACAAAAAAAAAAAACAATAAAATTTAAAGTTACAAAAAATTTTTGTTATTGCAACAGTCACATTTTTTTTTATTATCAACAACACACAAAAGATATTTTATTTTTAATTATATATTTCTATAGATGTCAAATAATACATATAAGATTGAGTATGCAAAGTCGGGTAGATCATCATGTAAAGCAAAGCAATGTAAGGGTAACATACCAAAGGAAACAATAAGAATTGCAAAGGTGTACCCTTCTGCAAGGTTCGAGGATGATGGAACTGCAGTCGACTATTTCCACCCGCAATGTCTTTTTGATTCTCAAGTTAGAGCAAGAAAGACAACGAAAAAGGTTGAGGAAATCGAAGATTTAGAGGGTTTCGAAGAGCTTTCTAAAAAGGATCAGGCTGCTATCAAACAAATGTTACAAGGTAAATAATAATGATCAACCACCACCACCACCACCACACACAATTGGTTTGTTTTAGCAATGCCAAATCACTAACATATACAACAAACAGATCATTTAGATCTGAAATCAGGTAAAGGCAAAAAGAAAACAACGACAAAGAAACCTAAAAAAGATAAAGAGCCTAAACAAAAGAAGTTTGAAGATTTTATGTTTCATGGAAGCGATAATGAGGGTGAAAAGAAATCATCTTCTTCTCACACCGCTTCGGCGAATACCTCTGGAGACACAGGTATTACAACACAACCCAAGCAAATCGATGTCAAGCATGCATTGTCTTCAAGATGGAGTAAATCATTCGACCCAGAATTTTTATCTAAAGTAAATATAGCTTTGTGTGTTGCTAATTGTAATTTAATTAATTAATAATCATTTTGATATAGTTTGGATTCGATCAATTTTTAGGAAAGAAAAGAAATAGCAGTCACCTTCCAAATAATAATATGGTTTTCTCAGCATTGAATTCGGTGCCAACACCAAGCGATGTGTCTGTTGTGATATTGGGACAATCGCCTATTCCAAAGCGAGAGAGTGCCAGTGGATTTTCATATTGTGATGGCGCCGCACAATCTTGGCGATTAGACAAGTGTAAGGCCACTACACGTAATTTTATAAAGGCAGCATTGCTCTCGAAAGGTTGGATATCAAAGAGCGACGATGTTGAAACTGTTCAAGAGGCACTCAAAGAAATCGATCTGCCATCCGATGCCGCTAAAGATTGGTTCAAGGCAACTGCCAGACAAGGTGTACTTTGGCTCAACACCACCATGACATGCACAGAAGACAAAGAAGACGATAGAAAACCACACGAACAAATCTGGTCTCCATTCATCGAGGAGGTCATCAGAGTGATATTCAATTCCAAGGTTAATGACTCAACATCGGACATTAAAGGAATTGTATTTCTGCTACTTGGAAAACATTTCAATGGTTGGAAACAAACTGTAAGTTTTATTTTAATCTGGTTTTATAGCGGTGCTTGACAAACACTAACCAATAGATAACAGATTGAAAAGGTGCATTCCGAAATCATGGGTATCGTTCCAATTGAATTTATTGAAGGAAACAGTCCAGTTTTAGAAACATTCCACAATACCAATTATCTTGTCCAAACAAACAGCATGTTGAGCAAAATGTCAACACCGGAAATCGATTGGTTCCCATCTTCTCAGACCGATGACGATTACGAAGACGAAGACGAAGAGGAAGAAGAAGAAGAAGAGGAGTCGGCCACTGCCGCATCGTCAGCCACCGACCGATCAAAGACAACATCCTCACCTCCACCAAAGAAATCAAGTGTTTTAGCATTTGACGAGGATGATATGTTTGATACCAAGGATACCAGAGATGAGGGTAACAGTGGTAGTATTGGCACCAATACAGAGATTGGAGATGACTTTGCCTTGCTTGTTCAAGAAGATGGTACGAAAATCAAGATGTCAGATGGCGAAGATCTCACCCTTGGTCGACAATCTTTACAGATTAGAGATTTATTGGTCAGTCGAACTCAAGCATCTATCATTGCAAAGCGAGTGGGAGGCAAGATTGAAGTTGAGCTGACTCCCCTTGGCACAAACCCAATGACACTCATCAAGAATGGATCCGAAGACCACACACCGCTTGATCAGAAAAAGACATATCAACTAAACCATGGTGATACATTCTTATTGTGTTCACAAAAGTATCCTTTTAAATTAGTTATTCCGTCACAGGCTCATATGAACACCAGCAAACCAGTCAATAAGAAATCCACCTCCACTACCACCACACCATCCACATCAACAAAAAAATCAAAGTCGCCACCAGCTGATGATTCATTTGATGCCATTGAGAAGAAAGATTTAGAGTTTGCCAAAAAGCTACAGGAAGAAGAAGAAAAGATGTTCCAATCGAAAGGAAACAGTGATGATGAATCCAGTAAAAAAAGAAAGAAACCAACAAAGAAAGAGACCAAACCAAAACCAAAGAAGAAAGTAAAGAAGAATGAAGACGACTATGATGATGAGGATATATATGGCTTTGATGATGACGATGATGAGGATTATGTTCCAGATGAACAAGATGACGATGATGATTATGTGCCACCAAAAACACGTTCACAATCAAAACCCAAGTGCAAAGTATGTTTATTTATTTATTTATTTTTTCATAAAGTTTACTAATTTGTGTTTTTTTTTTATAGTATTGGGATACTTGCTACAGAACAAATCCTCAACATTTGGCAGAATTCTTACACCCCAAATAATAATAATGATAATAATATATGTTACAAATTGTAGATTATGATATACATAAATAATAATAGCAAATTGCTTATTTGAAAACTATATAATTGATTTATTTACATTTGTTTTACGATTAGAGCTTAATTTAAATTTTTTGTCTCTTTCTTGTGTCATTGCTAGAGTTTCTTCTCGCAATAAATGGCATTTGAGCAAAACTTGTTTGGATCTATAGATCGATAATGAATATATTAATTAATATTGAATTTGATTATCTTTGAATAAGTAGATATTTTTTTTTACTTACTGAAGAGATTGGATCGATAACAGGAGTTGGGTTTTGTTTGATACCAAGTGGCTCAGCAAATACGACTTTGAGAGAGTAACCTGGTGGGTATTTGATTCCATTCAATTCATTTTTAGCCAATAGAGCTGCCTGTGGAGTGCTGTAGTTGACATAGGCAAAACCTTTGGATTTGTTTGACACTTTATCTTTTTTAAGATCACAATATTCCATTCCTGGATATCTTGAAAAAAGTTTATATAATCCCTCTTGGGTTACCGATTTATGGCAAACAACAAACAAACGTTGTCTTGTGAGAGTTGGGAAGAGGCCATAGGGATTTGAAAATTCCGTTTGGAATGGATATGGATTGGGTCCCATCTAAAATAAATAAAGATAAAATGATTAATAAAAAATGGTTTTTTTTTCTTTTTGTTGAAATATATTATTACCATTGGGAATTGAACCATATGTATTGATTCATTTTGTTTGTGATATTTAACTTTTGGTTGAGCAATGATTGCTTTTGTTGATTTATCTAATTTATAAAATTAATAAATAAATGAATTAGTATTATAATTGGTTATTATTTACTAAAATTTTATATAAATTTTTACCATCGGATTCGTTAATTGATTCCATGGCCAATGCAGCAGTGGAACTCTTTGAGAATTTTACAAAGGCACACCCTTTTGACTCGTTGGTATCTCTTTCTCTCACGATTTTTACATGTTCGAGGTTACCAAATTGCTTGAAACGATTGGTCAGATCGGCTTCACTAGTATCTTTTCTGCAAATGACAAAGAGACGAGAGTTTGGTGGGAAATCTTCTGGGTCAGTGGATACAGGCGTCTTTGTTTTCTGTCCCTTGGCCTCAGCAATCATTACCTTGAGTGGTGTCGATTCATTTTCGGGAATAGTTGTTCCATTCATGCTCTCGATGGCCAGTGCAGCTGAAGATGCCTTTTGGTATTTGATGTATGCTAATCCTTTAGATTCATTGGTTTCTTTGTCAATGACCAACTTACAACTCTCGATAGTTCCAAATTTTTTGAAAACCTTGGTTAATTGTGCTTCGCTAATGTCTTTACCGCAAATAATAAAGATTCTCGACAATGGAACATCGATGTTGTTTGTGTTGTTGGCTGAATTGCTATGATTATTGTGAGTATGGGATAATGGTGGAGTTGTAGTTGTGGTGGTGGTGGTGGTAGTAGTTGAACCAGATCTATTATGTTTTGTTGAAGGGGTGCTGCTGTTACTGCTGTTATTGTTACGATTCAAGGTTTGGTTGTGAATTGACTTGTTTTTGCCTTTGTCATGATCCAAAGGTGAGGAATCGACACTCTCGTCTTCATCTTCATCGTCACTGTGAGCTTCACCATCGCTTTCATCTACATCTTTTGAAAGACCGTGCAAATGAAATGCTGAATTCTTCTCCAATTCATTGTCAGACGATGAATTATTATCTCCACTTCCACCACCGTTTGTGGTATTATTACTTGCGCTGCTCTCATTAACTGTAAATTGATCCATTTTTATTATACTATTTAATTAATGATACTATATAAATTAAGTTATCAATGTGATTTAGTTATAGTTGTGTTGTAGTTAATTGTTTGTATGTTTGTTTGTTTGTGTGTATGTAATGTAGTAAAAAGTCAAGTAAGGTTAATAGTTGGATCTAAAAAATCAATATGTAAATGTTAATAAGTCATTTTTAAATAAAAGATAAATTGGTTATTATGTGTCGTACTTGTACTGTTTGTTTGTAAAGTTAAGTAAAGTTTGTAAAAGTCAAAGTATAATTAAAGCAATACAAAAAAAAAATGGTTTTGTGTGTAATTAATGTTCACAAAAAAATGGAAAAAAAGCAAAAAAAAAAAAATTAAAAAACTTGATTGTGTGAATTTTTTTTTTAAAAGATAAGATTCATCTGAAAAATTTGATATTATATTATTATTTTATTTTATTGTGAAATTACTTGTTGTTGTTGTTGTTGTTGTTGTTCTTGTTGTTGTGCTTCTTGTTTTAATAATAATGGATGTACTTTTAATGGTAATTCCTTTGTAGAGACATCGAGAGCACCGTTTCTTTCGGTTGGAACGGTGTTTGTGATTGTGAGTTCGACATCGAGATCGCCAGGTTGTGACATGTGGGTTGGAAATGGTGGTGACTTTGTCCATTTATTGGAACGAGAGTCAATGATACGAATATAACTACCCTTCTTTCCTGGTACGGCACCCTTCAACATGATGGTACCGAGTTCGGTGTTGCATTGAATGACTTGCAAGTTGAGTACGGTGGTACTCTCTGAACCCAAGTGACCGGGCATCTTCTTTCCCTTGAATACACGACCTGGGGTCTGTCTGCAACCAGTGGAACCAATCGAACGATGTGATACAGAGACACCGTGAGTAGCTGCGAGACCAGAGAAATTCCAACGCTTCATACCACCTTGGAATCCTTTACCTGTCGATACACCTTTAATTGTTACCAATTGACCTGGTACGAAATGACGTGGTGTAATCTGAGTACCAACTGGTAGGAATGCGTTTCTAGTTACTGGAAACTCCATCAATATTCTTTTTGGTGGAACATCTGCTTTGGCAAAGTGACCCTTCATTGTTCCTTTTACATTCTTTAATCTAATTTCATCTGCACCAACTTGAAGTGCATCTACACCATCATTTACTTTATGTTTAACTTGTACTACTTGATTGTTTGGTAACTAAAATAAAATAATATAATAGTAATAATGATTAATGATTTGAATCAAATGAATGATGATTTTCTTGAGATATCTCTTGATTTTGACTTCTTACATGAACAACAGTAACTGGTATGGCAACGTGATCAACCCAAACGGTAGTCATACCAACTTTCTTTCCAATTGCACCGACTCTATGTGTTTGTTTTGTCCAACCATTCTCTTTATCACGCAAGAAGGGTGGTTCAGGTGGCTTCTGTCCGAAAGCTGGTTTTGGTATATAAAATGATCCTGCTAATCCTCTGGTTTGTGCAACCAATGTAATCTTTTGACTACCTGTGAATATACTTAATCTACTTAAAAATGACATCTTTGATCCTGTGATTCACTTTTATATAACTAACTACTACAACTTATATATACACAAATAAAAATCTATCAAATATCTAAAAAATAATTGATATATTTCTTTCTGATTAATAATATTTAACTTGATGTTATTAAAAACAAAATAGTAAACAAAGATATAAACTGTTGATCAATGATCATACAAAGACAATGAAATTTTCGTTTTTTTTAAAAAAACATCAAAATCGGGCATTTTTTTTTAGTAATGCAAAATGATTATCTAAAGTTTAGTTGATGTTTGGCCAAGCTTTTAAAAAAAGAAACATAACTAATAGAATTATTAATAATATTAACGAAAAAAAAAAAAAAAAGTAAGTGTTTTATCATCAAATAAATATAACATTGTATTTTATTGTTTTTCTACAACACCAGCATCCTCCAACATCTTTGAGAGTTCACCTGTTTTGTACATGTTCATCATGATATCAGCACCTCCTACAAATTCACCTTTGATATAAACCTGTGGAATAGTTGGCCAATTACTATAGTATTTGTTATTTACTAGTTAGTGATGGTTGTTGTTTATTTGATTTGATAAGCAATTGCTGTTATCATTTGATACTTACGAAAAACTCTTGATATTTTCACGGAGATCGTCATCCTCCAAAACGTTGTGTGATTTAAAAGTTGCACCTTCAGCCTCTAAGATACGAATGACTGTATTTGAGAAACCGCACATTGGTCTCTCTGGTGTACCTTTCATGTAGAGAACACATGGGAACTCTTTGACTTGATCTGCAATCTTCTTTTGATATTCATCCTTTACACTAGAGTAGTATCTACTGAATGATCTTACACCATTTTCTCTAACAATGTTGGTTGAATGTAATCCACCAACCAAAAATCTACCTGTATAACCAACACTCTTGATGAAATTCTAAACGATGATCATTGTTTATTAATATAAATTATATGTTAGACTATGTTTTTTAGTTGAACTGTTAAAAATAAACCACTGACCATACCATATTTGTAATGTAAAGTAATTTTAAGATAAAAATAAAAAAACTAATAAACGAAAGTTATTACAATGAATGTGGATCAAAAAAAAAATTCAAAAAATTCAAAAAAAAATTTGTGATGATGATATTATTAATAAGCGGAACTTATAGAATAAAAGAATAGAATTTATAATGATTTGCATTGAATGTGGTAGACCAGTCAATGACGTCTACAAAGAGTTTGGAAAGGCTGGTAGCGGTAATATTCGTCTAACTAGATGTGTATGTTTATCATAATTTTGTAGATTAACCTGATCATTATACAAAACAACTAATCATAAACTTTAGTCTCATTGCAATCAAATAGCAGATAAATATGTAGAGTTTGATTTCATTATAGTATTTTTAGATTTATTTTTACACAAAGCACAAGCATATAGACATTTGTTGTTCAACCGTCAAGAGTATAGAGATTTAGGTATATCTGTAGGTATTCTATGTTAACATTTCTCTCGTAACAATTGTATCAACAGCAACAACCCAGATTTCTAATTGCTCTAAATAGATTCAATATATTAAAGTTTTAATAGTTTATATATTTTTTGAATCATGTAAGTGTTCTAAAAAGATAACATATTCTAGTTCCACTTACTTATTGGGTTGACTATCAATAGATATAAAATGGTTGAGAATTAAAGAGTGTGAATACACACAGTCCAAGAGTGCGTTTTATTATTATGATTGGCAAGACGACGTACCCTACGATAGATATTGGTTTATATTCTTGACGGCGATAGCAGAGTTTGCAATATATGTACTGGTGATCAGTTTGTCTGTAAAATTAATATATTCATCAAGATATGCGATTATAAAGTAAACATTAATATCATCACCACTATTAAATATATATTCTAATCATCATCATCATCACATTGTTCTTTTGATTCAATAGATACAATTATTTAGTTATGGCGATCATTCTTTCGAGTTTTGGAAAGGGTTTCTTGATTTTAATGATGATTTGGGACTATCCATTTAGTTTTAGTACGATTCTAAGTATATTTGTATTGACATCCAATGTTGTTTCTATAAAGGGTAAGTTTAGTTGATTTTTTGAAACTGTGTAGCGATCGCAAACTAATCTAAATTCTACATAATCAAACACAATAGTATTCTTGGATACCAGCACTTTTAAAGCAATATGTTTTGTAACATTTGGTTTCTTGATCAAGTCGATATTTCAGTGGTGCACAGGTACTCTCTACATTTAGAAGCAATTCAAATAAAATACTAATATTTTAAGATCGGAAAAATGATAATCGTTTAATTAATATTATTTAATTAAATTAAAATGACGGCGTTATTTTAAAATCTATGAAAACCTTCGATTTTTGTGTGATTTGATATTATATTATTGTTGTTTGTTTTGACTTTGATTATTATATTATTATTATTATTGTTGTTGTTGTTGTTATTATTTTATTATTATTATTACTATTGATCTTTGTTTAAAAATAAAATAATTCAATTAAAATATTCATGAATGATCGTATAATTACTATAAATAAATATGTTGTTGTGTGTTGTGTTGTGATGGAGGTTGGGAGGGAGGGAAGGAGGATGTTGAATATAGGTTATATAATTTAAACAATAGGTACAGTTCTTGTGATAGTATTCTCTAGTATCCATTTTATAGAGTCTTCGATACCAATTTCCGACTCGACCGATGTTGGTATGCACTTCCATGGAACGTTCAATCTGTAAAGTTCGAGATAGTTTTCGAGTTGTACTGGTGCAATTCGCTTTTTTAGATCTTGTTTGTTGGCCAACACTAGAAATACACTGCTATTAATACAATTCTCAGAGAGGAGCAAATCGATCTGCTCCTTGGCTGCTGAGATTTGAAGATAATCCGATGAATCCACAACGAATATAACTACATCACACGACATTAGATATGGTTTGTATGACTTCCGAATGTAATTGGGATACAAAAGATCACCTGCAAAAACTTCCCAACCCTTATAATATATGGATTCAATGTTAACGCCCATTGAAACAATGATTGATTCTATCGATTTCTTTGCTGAGGAGTCTATAAATTTATTTAACAATGTAGTCTGTATACATTATAATTATATTAGAAATATATCTTGATATCAACAATTGTTGTTGTTGCTGCTGCTGCTGCTGCTGCTAGTTGTTTGTAAGATATTACCTTGCCAGAGTTTTCTAATCCTATTATACCTAGCTTAATCATGGAACCCTTAGGTAGCTCAGGGAGGTATCCCTTTGAAAATATACCGCCCATTTTGATATTTTTGATTCCACTCTACGATGATATATGTATATTAATCATTACAATATTATAGTTGTAACTATCTGTGTTTTATAAATAAATTGATATGTGGTTATGATTTTAGTTTATATAAATATTGGGTTTTTTTTTTTTTTTACAAATATGTTGTTGATATATTATATAATTTGTTTGAAATTAACTACACTTTGGTTTGTACAAGTAATTATTGTTACAAATATACATAAAATTGGTAATTTATTGAAAAATAATAAAATAGGTTTTTCAAACTATTTTAAGATGTGTTTCTGTTTGTTTTTTTGTTTTTTTTCGGATGCACAACAAAATTTTTTTTTTTCAACATTCAATTTGGATATTTTTTGGGAAAACTCTTTGACCGTTTTTTTATTTTATTTTTTATTTTCTTTCTTCCACTTGGCATGAGTGTTTAAGTGGGAGTGAAGTGATTTCGACAGAGACTGATCTATCTTGGCACCTCTCAAAGTATCAAATAGTGGATCCTCTGACTGGAGAACGACTAGCTCGGGATTAACAATACTTAAATCTCGAGTCAATCTTTTGTTAAAGTCTAATATAAAATGAATATAGTAGCGTATTGTTAGTATGTTAGTTTGTCAATAAAAGACAGGTGAATTCAAACTTACTTGGTATTTTAACAATTCCACCAGTTAAGACAACATTCTTGATATTTGGTTTCTCGGCTTCTGGAATCTCGGCGTAGGCGTTGACAATTGCCTCTACTATTCCGACAGACTGAATGTTGTCAAGTCCGGGGTTGAAGAAGAGCTCTGGTGCAGAGTAAAAGAGTGATTCACCAATCGATGACTTGGTTGCATCCTTTTGGTATTCCATCGAGACACTGACATGCTTATACCATTCGTCGATCAAATCTGCAGGTCTTGTGTCGTAGGTCGTTCGGTTGACGAATAAATGTTGAATTTCCTTTGGTTTTTGATAGGCCACATTTTTATCTTTGACATAGTTGACCACTGTGGTACCGTTGACAGCGAAATCCACGTGTGAGAGCATTTTACCCTTTGAGTAATTGATGATAAAGGTCGCAGATACACCAACCATTACGACAATACCAGATTCTATACCGTGTGATTGGAGAACACATAGACCTGCATCTTTGTAGAGTACCAACTCATTGTGTTGCTTTCTACGAAGATTTACAAGATGGTTTTGTTGATGTGCTTTGTTTATCATTGGTGGTGTCAGTGCAAGTACATATGGGTGTGTTGAGGATAGTCTCTTTGAGAATGAGTGAAAGCAATGCTTGATAATCTCAATGGTACATTGCACACGACCGACATCAAACTCACCCTTCTCGATTGGAATCTGGTGATTTGCCGATGCATTGTATCCTACATTCCAATACTCACGATCAAACGATGACATTGCATAGTGAGGTGCATATTCGTAATGGATACTGGCACGAGACGGTAAAACTTGATGACTGGAGTTCAAAAGACAGTACTTGGTAATGTTTCTACCGATATCGAGGAACACAAAATTGTTTCGAACATGCGCAGAGTGAATATTCTGTACAGTGATAAACCAACATCTAGGTTCGGTAGGTGTAACTTCCATACGTTGGAATTTCTTGGTGATGCTGCCAAGAAGTGATACTTTGGTTTTTGGTTTGTCGAGCAATTCGGCATTCGGCTCCTCAAAGATAAATGACTCGTACGAGTAGAGCTTGATATAAACCTTCTTCCAGAGTGCATTCTTTGTGAGTGTCTTGTACATTGATTTGCATGTGCTTCTAAAGTTAATGATATCCTTGAGTGAACAAGTTACCAAAATATTGAAAAGAATGATTTCCGGTAGAGCATAGATGGTAGCATCTTGCTTTGCTAATGTTTTAACGATAGCTGATGGTGACTTGTCGGTGGTGGTAGTGGTTGAAGTGGTAGAAGTGGATACTGGAGAGTCGACAGATGGTAGTTCAGCCAATAACATCTGAGCTTTTACATAGGTTTCGATGGCAGATACCAAATCACCTGTATCTTTCTCTAGGCTATCGGCCTTGAAGAACAATTCACGTGCACGTTGTAACTTTTCTTTTTGGTCTGCTGGCATGTCATTGCCTCTTTTGATACGCAAGAACATCATATCGACACGTAGAATGAACTTGACTCCGCTAGTTACCTCTGCACCCTCATGGAGAGTATCGTGATTGAAGATCAATGCTGTTCCACGCTTTGGTTGCACGGACTCTGTCATTACATGTTTGTCCAACTCGAGTGGATTGGCAGGTAAGTAAAAATTGGTCTTTCCACCGTTGTAGTCGTCGTTCAAGTAGATCTGCATGGTATAGATACTACGAGTATCTGGTGACTCTGCATAAGTCGCGTCTAAATGTGGCTTGAAACGACCACCTGGCTCATATCGACCAAAAGTAAAGCAGTCATCCAAACCCAAAGGAATCCAAATACCATCCTGATCGAAACCATATGGCTTAATATTCTCTACCTCTTCAGTCTTAAAATGATGTCTTTAAAAGGAAAAAAAAAAAAAAAAAAAAATCAATTTGATAAGCTACAAAATATTAAACTTTTGGTTTCATACTCAACTTACTGTAAACGTGTCCATAAAACATTTGATAAAGTTTTACATTTACCAAGATATCTTGTGTTGTTTCTGTATTCCTTTGGGAATTCTTTTTCTATTGTTCTATATCCTTTCTTTAATGACTCATCAATATAAAATCTAATAAATATAAAAAATTCTATTATTAAAATTTAAAATAAAAAAAAATAAAAAATCACCTAATGTGGTTTTTATTATTATTAATACATACTGACACTCCTCGGGTGACAATAAATTGTCGACCAAGAAACCATAGGAGGTTTGCAAGTTCAAGTCACGTCTAGATGGATTCACATTGATTTCGTGGTGATTTGGGAACTCTGTAAATGGTGCAATATCAGATCCTGTGTGTGTTCTGTTCTCTGGAATCGTCAAGGTAGAACCTTCTTTCTCAACTATTGTGTTGTTTTCCATATCCATTTTGAAAACAAATATAAATACAAATATTATAAAAATAAAAATAAAAAAGAAAATTAATATCAAAAAATACAAAAAAATTATTAAGATTCTGATTTTTTTCTTTAGAGAAAAAATTAAACTTTTTATTGAAACAATCTTTGAAAATTTTTTGTTGATTTTTTGATCGATCAAAAAAAAAAAAAAAACAACATTTACAAATATTTTTATTTTTGGAGCACATTTTGTTTTAATAAATTCAATAAAGACTCTTTGTTTTTTAAACTATGCTTTTCTTGGTCTGTGAAATCTATTGTGATCAATTTGTTTCTACTTTTGTGTCCTTGCTCTACTTGAATATGTCTTTTCTTGATAGACAGGATCTAAAGCATAAACATTAGTTTGTTGCTTGGGATACATACTGATAATAATTCTATACGTACCTCTGATAGATATTCAATAACCTCTTCATTTGCTCTACCCTCTGTGGGTGGTTGTGAAATTCTTATATCTACAGAATCTGCAAGCTCATTTACAGATACTACAGAAGATTGTTTTGCATTGGGATGAACATTAACTTTTAACTTTACAATAGTAGAGAGTGATGATGATGACATATATCTTATAAAATTATTATTTATTTTTAACATTTATATTTTAACATTTATACTTTAACTGATCAGTTAGCTAAGTAGAAAAATAAAAATAAGAAAAACAAAAGTTTTTTTAAAAATTTTTTTTTTGCTTTATATTTATTTATTGAGAGATGGGTTGGTCACTACCATGATCATTACCATTTTGACTATGATTGCTATTATTATTTACATCATTTTCGTTGGTATTTAAATTATTTTCGCAACCAGGACAATTGTGCAGTGATTCATGTATAAATTGATCACATTCAAAACAGAATGATTGTTTACATCTTGGACAACCAAAAAACAATGAAGAAGACTTTGGAACGGTTAGACATCCAAAACATGATATCTCTGTTTTCAACTCTCTGTTTTCATCATAAACTGGATGTTAGCGATCAATATGAATTTAAATAGCGCTTTGAGTTGGTACATACCTCCAATTGATCTCTGTGAAAAGAGGGACTTGGAATAGATGGTGATAGGATCTGGCGAGATGTGGTGACGAGACTAACGATAGATTACAAATTTGACAGTCGGTTGGAAGTTCACAGAATTTGCTGGAACAACGCGGACATGTGTACCCAACGTACCTTAGTTGCTCATGACACATGCACATCATTGGTATACTAGATGTATGTTGCTGTGGGAATCCCATCTCTACGAGTGCTGCTTCTGTCTTTCCGAATGTTGGTGGTGGCTGACAATGTAGCATCAGACACTCGTTGAAATGCTCTTCATTCAGTACCACTTTCATAGTGCCATGGGTCTGTTCGGAGATATGCTTGCAAATAAACAACTCTGCTGCCATATGAATAAAAGACACTCTAATCTGTTCGTTCTTTAGGATCTCTATAGTTTTTGTTAAATCTCCTGGGTCACAGGTTGTCAAACTAGAATAAATAACAATGATTTCTCTACTTCCATATTTTGGTACATGACTGTTTATTATAATAAATAAAATAAAAAAACAATTAGTTTGGAATATATAATAGTTTATATACTATTTAATTACCTTAATGTTGATATTGCAACTTCTAAACTATTTTGAATGGATGGATCACCTTCCATTGCAGAAGTATTTTTCAATGCTGTGATGTGTCTGTTTGGGTTGCCATTGAGTTCAGTTAGTTTCTCTGCTTTCGAGTTCTTTGTGACAATCAATGAGATCTGTGATATTGGATTTTGATCAAAGAATTCTTTGATGAACGATTCCGATGAATTTAAAAGGCATTGATGACGTGATGGTTTCATGTCTTGAGATGCCAAAGTCTTTGAAAGATCTACGATGAGACAGATATGACGCTGCATTCCTCTACGAACACGTTGAGCATCTATTCTCTGTCGTCTTGTCCTCATGATACGCTCTTCCTGCAGCGATGGTCTCAAACCAGATTCATCTTCTTCAATGTCATCCCATGTCCTCTCGAATTGACTCTCCCATTTGTACTTGTTGGTACCTTGATCATTTAATTGCAAAACATGATCTGGGTCTTGATCTTCATCCAAATTATATCCATCATCTTTATTATTTCCTCTTCTTCTTCTACCAATCATCATCTCTTTTGTAAACTAAAAAAAAAATAATAAATAATATTAAAATCTTTAACATAAATCATCTTTTCAATAAGTTTTTTAAAAATTTTGAAAAAAATAAAAATAACAAAGAATTGTTGTTCGTTTTTAATGGGAATTATTATTTAAAAGTAAGAAAATGGATGATGATGGTTTCAAATTGGTTTTAAAAGGTAGAAAGAATAAATTATATAAAGAAGATGCTAATAAACCATTAAATAATAAATTACTACCAAATAAAAATGATAATTTAAAGAATAAACAAATAAGAGATAATCATATAGCAAAACAACAACAACTTTTAAAGAGTAATAGCAAACTGAGTAGTTCTACAAGTGGTAACATCAATAAAAAGAAAGAAACATATGCTTTAAAAACAGATGAAGAATTATATCAACAATTACTTTCGAATATAAATAAATCAATGTATGTTTTTATAAAATACCGACGATCTTTTATTTAAATTCTAACATATTTGAATAACAAAAGTGAGACTATTAAAGATACACAATTCTTTAAAGATATAGTCGAGAATGAAAAGTTGATACCACTATTCAAGAATTTAGCTGAGATTATCTGTTATGGAATAGGTAGTTGTCAATCATCAAAGAAATGTCAAGAACAGTTTGCATTGATCATTGCTTTAAAGAATTATTTTAGTGTATGATATATCTATAATATTTTATTAATGAAATTTTAGTCTTACTAACAACTTTTATTATTTAGTTTGATAATGGTGATACTACAGTATATATATTTGACCCAGTGATGTCTGAATCCGATAAACGATTGGTTGAACATTTCCAAATTAAACTGATCACTATCAATGAAGAAGCAAAAAGACAGATCAACACAGATTTAATCGATCGATACACCTTGTTTTACATGCCTTTTTGTCCTCGTAAGCTATATGATAATGTATTGTGGGCAAACTTTTCGATTTCATCACTACGACAAACGATTATCCTTGGAAATAGCTTTGATCGTTACAACGAAATGCATCTGCCACCAGATCAAGAGTATCTTCCATATTGTTACACCAAGAAATTATACAAACAATATAAAGAAACACCACTACCAACCAACTATCCAACCAAATTTATATTTCACGATCTATCGTTCCACTACTTTGAACAAGCACATCTCAAAACTCTAGAACCAACATTTTGGATCGACAAACAAGAACCTCCTAAAATAATAGATGACCCTGAAGTCAACTGATCGCAGTGACAATAAATAGTTTTTTTTTTTATTTTTTTTTCTTTCGAAAGTTATTTGTCAAACCACTCCCATAAAAAAACGATGCAGATTTTTTTCATTTCTATGATCTCGTCCGAACATTTTCAACGAAGGATCAACGACCCAAAATTGACGTTAAAATCGATTTTGACAATGTATACTTTTATTATACGGAGAAGGTTGAAGATTCTAAGAAACAATTGGGATCCTAAACCTACAACCTTTTTATTCCTTCAATGATTAAAAAGACTACATTATTTAGGAACAACTAAAAACAAAACAAAAAAAAAAAAAAAAAAAAACGAGTTTCTAAAATAATTTTTTTGTTTTTGCATAAAAATCTTCAGATCATTTCCAGTGCACTTTGTATTTAAATAGTCATGGTAAATGTAAATAGGCAAAATCTGGTAAGAAGAAAGAATTTGTTTTTTTTTTTTTTTTTTGAAATCAACAACAAAAGATCAAAAACAAATAATTTTTTGTGATAGGCTTTTACAAATACTTATATCATAATAATTCACCAAGAAATGTCTCAAGAAAGGAAGAAAGATTCAGTTTTTATCTTCATAAAGGACTTTTTAATAGGGGGTACTGCTGGTAGTATATCAATGACAATGGGAACTCCATTGGAAAGGTTAAAGCTTTTGTTAATTGTTCCTGGTAAGAATTACAAGAGTCTCACTGATTGTTTTGTAAGAGTCGCAAAGGAAGAAGGTCTCTTGACTTTTTGGTAATTTTAGAAATATATATAAAAAGATTATATTTCAAAGAGTCTGAATGTTTTTTTTTATTGTAGGAAAGGTAATCTTAACCGTTGTATTGGATATTTCCCTTCTTCTTCTTTTAACTTTGCATTCAATGAATTTTATAAGAATTACTTTGTTCGTTACAAAGCAAAGCAAGACCCTCAAAAGTTTTTTATTGGTAATTTGATGTCTGGTGGTTTTGCTGGGTTCACCTCTTTGCTCATTACATATCCAGTGGACTATTCTCGTATACGTTTGGCTCAAGATAAAGGTTCTGGATTTACACGTCAATTCACTGGTTTAGGAAACTGTATATCTTCCATCTACAAGCGAGACGGTTTGAGTGGTTTGTATCGTGGTTTTGGTATATCAATCGGAGGTATCACGGTATACCGTTCAATATTCTTTGGTGGATATGCCACCGCAAAGGAATTCCTCCTCAAAGATCCAAAGAAGGCTAATTTATTTCAAAAATGGTTAACTGCTCAAGCTGTTGTCACTGCTGCTGGTATTCTTTATTACCCTTTCGGTACGGTAAGTCTACTCTTTTTTATATCTTTTAATATTATCTAAAATTTTTTTTTTTAGGTACGTAGAAGAATGATGATGCAACAAGGTCGAACTAACATGCTCTATTCAAGCTCTTTTGATTGTTGGAGGAAGGTTGCTCAAAGAGAAGGTCTATATGGTTTCTTCAAAGGCTCTTTCTCCAATTCAATTAGAAGTTTGGGAGGAGCTTTTGTTTTGGTATTTTACGAACAAATTCAACAGGTTGTAAAAAACTTATAATAATAATTTTTTTTTATTTCACTTTCACAGATTCTCGGTTTCTAATAAGTTTTTGGTTTTAGACTGCTAAATATACATTCAATAGTAGTTACGATTTACCCTAAGCTCTATATTGAAAAATTTTGTTTAAGAACTACTCTTACCAAATATTAAGAATTTATTGGTTTATAATTTATGGTTGGTTGTTCATTTTAATTCCAAATTAATTTATCGTTTCGTTATATCAAGCAATCAATCTAAAATAAATAAATATGTTGAGAAATAATGTACATAAATAATTTGTTTTTTTTTTTATTTGTTTTTTATTTTTATAATTTTCTGAACTTATCTAAAGATAGATAGTTAAACATTGATAAATATTGGTACCAATATTTAATTGGGACGTGGAATGTGCATTGATTTCCAACTTCCCATTGTTTCACCATGACCACCATCTGACGAACTTCCACTACCACTACCTCCACTACCACTACTACCACTACCTCCACTACCACTACTACCACTACCTCCACTACCACTGCTACCACCACTAGTATCTGCGCAACGGTTGACATGGTTTGATTTCCAGCTTCCCATTGTTTCACCATGGCCACCATCTGAGGAAGAAGTAGAGTCGGAACCAGAGCTGTATCCACTTGTGGGACAACCATCACCAGATGAAGCTGTAGCTGAACCTGAACCAGTGACACCAGTTCCAGTGATACCAGTGCCAGAAACTGAATCCGAAGAGGTATGTTTACGAGTGGTCGATGTATGATGTAAATCTTGGGCTGACTTTGTTCCTAAATTGCCATCATCATAAGTACCGTCATCGGTCTTTCTTACTCTAACTGATAATGAGAAAACTGCAGAGAAGAATAAAGTGCTAAGTAATAAAATTAAAATGAAATTCTTATTCATCTTGTTGATGTTTTAAATAATAGTTTTTGTGGAATATAAGAATTCTATTTATACTCGGCATTGTTGGTAATATTAATTAATTATTTTATTTTAAGAATAAGAATACGAAATTGAATTGAAATCTTTTTTTTCGATACATAAGAATCCTAAATTTTATCTGTTTTTACCAAATATCTAAAAATCATGATTTTATTTTTCTAGATTTTTTTTTCATTGTAAAATTTACCATTCGAATGTTATCAAATCCTTCTCGAGATAAGATTGAGAAGTTGATTAATATTCTAAGAGTATAATTATTCAATTTAAGAAATTTCGTATGAAAAAATTAAAATTTAATGTTGCAAAATGTTTTATTGGATTTCAGTTTCAATATCAAATTTGAATAATGGATTTGTAATCAATTTACAAATATATCAAATCATTGATATCGAATCTACTATGTCATTTGGTTCTTTTTATTAAAAGCACACTCGGCTCTCTATAAAACAGTTTGTCAAATGGTAGTAAAATTAATTGCCTTTGTTTCATATAATCATACAACCATTTGGATGCCACCAATTTAAACAATTAAATCAATTTGTCTTATACTTGAAAGATATACGTTTAGAGTTTCAGATTCACTACTTAAAATCTTTCCTTTGATTGGTGTTATAACCTCTACAGAAACACCTTGATAACCCTTGTCAGCAAAAATGATTTCATCTTTATCCAATTCGTTCAACAACTCCCCCATCCAAAAGAAAGTTGATGTCATGTTCACCTCCACGGTAAGGATCACCCAACCAACAGGCTAAACCAGAATCTGTACGAACTCCTATTTCATATTTTAATCCTTTCTTGTGTCATTTCTGAAAAAATATGAAATTATTAAAGGATGAAATGAAATCCAAATTCAAGTTGTTCTACTGTGAAAGATGTATTAAAAATTTTAGTTGGATTAATTAAATTTAAATGGACTTTTTTTTTTAAATGTACCAGTTCTTTAATTTAATACATCTAATGTATGTAAATTACTATATTTAGTAAATTTTCTTCGTTCCACATGTTAACTTGTATTAGTGTCTATCGATGTATTAATTTACTTTTAAATGTATTAGTTAACATTAAAATGTACCAGATTAAAGAAACTTCTCAAATAGTAATAAAAATTACTATATGATATTGTGAATGAATTTATTAATATTTGAGAAATTTCTTTAATGTGCAATGTCCGAGTAATTAGGTAAACATTATGTTCCCTTGCTTTAATGTTGTGATCGAATATATTTCTTCCACGAATATCTGCGCAGCTTGATAAGACACAATGAAAGATGTTGTTTTGCTTTCTTCTTAGAAACAACTGGATCCTCTTCTTCTACTTCACTTTCTTCTTCTTCTTCTGCTTCATCATCATCCTCTTGATGATCATTTGTATCATATCCATTATCTACAAGCACTGAAATAATAACTTTTAGTTATTTTAAACTATTCAAAATACATAAATATTTTATTTACCTTGTTCTGCTTGAACTATTTTTATTGCTTTTGATAGTTCAGTTTTTTCAATGTCAACTTTGAAAGTTCTATGGGTGGAAGGCTTATCTACACTTTTGAAACGGATACGGTTCTTAGCTCTGACCATACTTGTATGACCAATCTATTAAAAGTAGATCCTGACCACAAGGATATGCAATTGTTCAAGAAAAAAGTATATCCCATTACCATCGATTTCACTCTTCCAGATGGTACCGAAAAAGACAAAGAAAAAATAGAGTAACACAAAATTCAAAATGATAACTGAATAAAAAACAATTTTTTCAATCCAATTGTATTGCACGGAGACTGTGACCAGGAAGTGCTAGGATGTGAGTTGAATAAAAATTGAAAAATAATAGGGAATTTTGACTGATTTCAGTTAGGATAATATTTAAATTATTAAATATTTCTATATTTTTGCTTTGCCTACAAATTCCTAAGTACATCCTATAATGTGAGTTATTGTAAGTTATTGCTTTAAACGTCTTTCAATTACATAAATATTTATTCAAATAGTATTATATTATTATTTATATATCATGATTATGAGTACTGAGTCACAATGCCAAACACTGTTACGCTAACATCAATCAGCCTAACAGCCATAAGAAGAGACATTGTAAGTTGCCAGCCAATACATTGACCGTACTGTGGTTGTTACAAAGAGTTTTTTTAATATGTATCATCTTATAAGATACTTAGTCGCTCTCTCTGCTAGAGGTAAGTTTATAAATGACTTTGCATCACCAAAGAAGAAGAGAAAGACAACAAAGAATGTCAGCAAAGATGAAGATGGTGTGATGGTGATGATGATGACGATGATGGAGAGAATGATGATGAAAATAATAATAAAGGAAAGAAAAAATCAGCACCCAAACAGGTGAACTAAATCAAGACGTGGAAGAAGAAATAATAAATAAATCTAATTTTTTACCAACACATTAATCATTCATTTAAATACTTTGTCATTTATTTAACATTTAAAATAGAGGTTTATAGTAATAATAAGGTAGTTATAGAACTCTACAATTTACCAGATAAAAGATTCAAAATGTTAGTTGTTGTATTGTATCCATCACTTCTGGTACAATCTTATACATGTCAAAGGCCTTTCCTGGTAGAGTTAAAGATGATACCATTATTCATCTCACATACAATGAGTGGCGTCATATATATCTTGACATAGGAGATATCTTATTGGGTGACAATGGTTTTAGAGGAATGGAGGCTTTCAATATTATAAACACTGGTGGAATTGAAATGCCTTTATCGAATTTACATTCAAAGTATCGTGTGATTGTTGAGAATCTTCTTGGTAGAAGCAAAGTATTCAAATGTCTTTCTGAAATGTCTAGATACCCAGGTAGATTGAATGAAGATCAAATATGTAATCTAAATGACCACTATTGGAGAGCTGTTGTCTATGTTTATTTCGATATAGAAAGAACTTGTGTAAGAAATATATTCTCTTTATAATCATTTATAATAATAAGCAACAAAAAACCATTATTATTTAATAAAAACCATGTATTAATACTATTAATAAATCATAGAAACCTTTTGATATTATTATATATGAAATTTTATACATTATTAATAATTCTTTTTAAATATTGAAATACTGTTAAAATACTCTTTATTTATTTATATATTATTTTAAATAAATAAATAAATACTCTATAATTATCTGATAGGAAAAGCATAGGTGAATATAAAAAATCAAAATATTGGATTTAATTTATTCAAAAAAAATTTAAACTGATTGTATGAATAATAAAATATTAAGACATCTATATACCTTCAATCTAGATAAATATATCATAAAGCCTGTACTATAGTCGGTTTCACTTATTATTAACTAGAATGATGGTGATGTAGAAATAATGCTCTGAAAACAATATTTTAGGTCAAGAAGAGATGTACAAATAAAAAATCTATAAGAATTTATTTATTAAATAAGAACCATTAATTTATACAGTAAATTGTTTAAGTAAATCAAACATTCTGTTATTTGCTAATTCTGGAATGGTAATAAAGTATTGATTAATAAAGTGTTTCAGTTTATAGTCAAAATCATTCTTCACAATCCAAACAAAAATATCTTTAGTAAAGTGACAAGAGTTTTGGAATTGGGTTCTGAGACCGGATTCAGCCCATTTGCTAGCGTGTTTTGAACCAATAGTAACCTGGAAAGCAGACAGAGTCTTTGAGGAAGGATTCCAGAAGAACCAATCAGCCATCTTGTAGTTAGAGGCACGAGGAATGATAAGTGAGGGCTTAGACCAATCGATTTGTGATAAATCATTTTGAGCCACGATATATTGGACTATGTCCCATGCAAAGACGACTTGTGAACAAAGGGCATATTTATAGCAGGTAACACCTTTTCTGTCATCTGTTCCTGTCACCAGTGCGGGCTGCACTTGTAAGAGGTTGTGTTCCAACAATGTATCAATAAGATATTTCTCTAGGATTCTTCCAACAGCATCTTTGGTCAACGAGATCTTCTTGGAAAAGACAGATTGATAAAACTCTTGTACAACGAGATGGGTGGGTGTCATATAACGCATAATTAGAATATCTCTGACCAATGGGAAAAGAGGCAATATGAGGTCTTCCTGACTTTTGTACAATAGTTGTTTGTTGAGAAATATTGATTCGTCTGTTACAGATACATTGTGTTGCATAAATACAATTGCTCTTCTATATTCTTTGTGAAGAATGTCGGTTGTAAGGAACTCATTAGAAAAGTAATTGTCTTGTTGAGTGATCAGTGATTTTCGCCACGACTTATACGATGTGAGAACATTATTGAAAGTGGAGCCTTGTGTTTGTTCTTGTACTTGTGATTGTGATTGTGATTGTGATTGTTGATTCTGTTGTTTCTTTTGTTCGTCTAATATATATTTGAGTTCAATTCTAATATTTAGATTGATTAGTAATCTACTCTAATTTTTGGATTGAACTAAACTTACGGAATAAAATTGGTGAGATCTTTGATGGTCTGTATATCACTACTTGTGAGGTTACCGAGATCTTGTTTGTGAATTTCTACCCATTCCTTGAATTCATTGTCACAGAAACCATCAAAAAAGTAAAACACAGGCCATTCATTGTCCTTGGCAACTTTGAGATAGTAATTGTTGTTTGTAGAACCAGATACAACTACGAGATTGTTACACCAACCAATATTGTTGACAAGATAGCTCTCTACTATTGAAAAGGGACAACTTGTTCTTTGAGAGTTGGTGAGAGAGTTGTGTTGATCAAAGATAAAATATACACAGAGATCTTGATCATTGCAATAATCTGATAATTTATCCATAAACAAGTATAACTGTTCTTCATTTATGATTGAATTGTAAGTGTCTCTAATAAATGAATCTCCTGCCAGACCAAATCCAGTTTCCAGAGCCTGTACGAAAAAAAGATAGGGATCACCAGCTGCCCAATTTGCACAGTCTTGGATGTATATGACACGATTGTTTGGTGCTTCAACTCGGAGTTTGACAACTATTTGATAAATGGAATGTGATTTACCTACTCCCTGTGGTCCTTGAATGTAAACTCCTCTTGATTTGCGATAATTTGATTTGATGAACGTGTGTAATTTGTTTGTAATATCTCTGTTCACCAACTTTAGAGTGTTATCGTCGGTAAACTCAAACCTCTTACGAGATGATATCAGTGCACTGAGAGGATCACGTGGTAGAGATACAATAGGACCATCAAACTTGGACTTTTTCATAGATTCCATGACTTTCTCAATCTTAGACCCTAAACGTTTCCTTTCAACTTAAGAAAAAAAAGGAATATTAGCTAACCAGAGTGTTCTTTTTGTATGATGATGATGATGATGATGATGATGATGATGATGATGATGATGATGATGATGATGATGATGATGATGATGATGATGATGATGATGATGATGATGATGATGATGATGATGATGATGATGATGATGATGATGATTATTATTTAGTTTAAATTTTTCATGAAATACCTTATGATTCACAATGTATGTGTGATATTGTAAAGGATAAAGTGTTGTAGGTGATTGGTGTGCTTTCAGATGTGGCTTTAATCAAGCACAATATACAACCAAAAGATATGAGATTACAAAGTGTAACAACTAAAAGAGAAAGTAGATAAATAAGTGTTTGTTGTAATTACGAACTTTGAAATAACAATAGGTGAATGATGTTGTAGGATGTGACAATGATGTAAAAAAGAGGCGAGACTATGCATAATAATGATGATGATGTGTGATGGGTAATAGTGTATTGTGGTGAAGATATTACTACTACATACCTGATGATGTGGGAGGTTTGATCATCCCTTCAAGGTAGGATTTCAGATTATCTTCACCATCGGCTTCTGCATCAATAATGAATGCTGCTTTATTATTATCCTTTTCAAGGACAACTCTGGATGCTTTCTTATCATCTTCACTGATTTTTGACTTTCTTATTATTTCGAGAGCCCTCAAGAGCTCGGACATGGTGGGTATATATAAATAAGGAAAATCGTATAAATAAATTGTTATTTGTTGGAAAAGAGGAATTAAAAAAATGAATGAATGTTAATTCTAATTTATTTTTTTTTCTTGGTAAAATTTGGTGGTGGGAAAAAATAAAATATATCATTTATACATAGTCATACAAATCAATAAAAATGGAAGGAGACTCTACACAGAAAACCGCCGCCCCAGTACAATGTGCCAACAATTGTGGATTCTTTGGGTAGGTTGAATAATATAAAGATACAACAACAACAACAACAACAACAACAACAACAACAACAACCAAAAGTAGATAATAGAAAGTTACAACAAAAGCAACAAGTGAATAGTTTGATAGGTGAAATTTGTTGGTGTGTTCTTCAAAATATCGGATGAAGTGTGAATTGATTATAAATTATATATTCTTAATATGTTGATCCGATACATCTTTCTAATGATCTGTAAGTCTCCTTAACCGATTTCTTATCACTCTGTTGCTTCGATAGGTGTGATCACCACTTCCATTGTCAAATTGATATGACACCTCCAATAGAGTTGCTCTTAAAATTAATGAATAAATCATAAATCTTAGATGAATCGATGTTGATTGATTGGTTGAATGAGTGAATAGGTGTGTTGGATGGTTTTAATGATTAAATAGTTTTTAATAAAAATGAATATGGCCATCTACTTCAAATGGTGCAGCACCACCAAAACTTTCTTGAAAATCTAAATCGGTTGTTGACTTTGTTGTTATGTGAAACTATGATTAATTAGTTCAAGAAAAATAAATGTAGCTTCTTCATTAATGTTTTCTCTCTCTTTCACCATGAGTTCATCGATTCTCTTGTTAGCTATAGTTGGTTAGTTGGTTAGTTAGTTAGTTATTCATTTGTAATAAATAAATAATTTTAGCAATACATACCAAATAATAGAAGTTTTCAATGCTTCTAATTTGAGGTTTGAAAAGTAGATAGTAGAGGAATAGCATCACTGTCCAGAGTTTCTACAATGATTTAATCGATTAATTGTGGCCAAACTGTCATCTCTAGACTAGAAAAAGATTGTATTCGTGCCAACAAAAAGATCAAATATGTTCTTCAAGCACAGTAAGTGTTGTCAGTGGAGCAGATGTCTTATTCAAAGATCCCTTCAAAGAATTCAAAAATGTCTCGAATATTTGTTTGTATGATTAACATATTCTAATCATTAAAGTTTAAAAATATTAGTAAATCAATTAATAAATGATAGTACAGTATTTAATTTATTGAAATTTTATAGGACTTATAAATAAAAAATAAATATATGTCTATGAATGGGAAACTAATGAATGATTAAGCGAAATGTATAAATAAATGCATAAAATGAGCTATTTGAATTGAGAATCAACTTCCCATTGTAGATAAAGTGTGAATAATCGTGATGACATTCAGTAGCTTGAAATCATTAGTGTATAGGATTGTATAATCAAAGTATAGGTTTCTCTGTTATGTTACTTTTAATAATTGTGTAATTTATGCTTCATCGATAGTTGATATAATTTCTATTTTAATTTAATTATTATATATGATAATTTTGTCGGTGTGTATTTATATGTTAAAGTTTAAATATTTGGTAATCCAATTTGTATGAATCATTATTAATATTGTATTTTGTCTACGAACAAGTTAAATCGATATTATATTGAATAAAAAACAGTAAAGATAGAGTGTAGATTAAATAAGAATAAAAGTTAACTAACCTTTTAAATTATCTTTACAAGAGTTTGCATGATAATAGAGGTAAATAAAAATATGCTAATTTTTGTTTTATAAAGCTATAGTTAATTGATTGTAATTTGTTGTTAACAATTAAAATAAAAAAATAATACTTTTGATGTTCAGTGTTTATGATCAACAAATTGTTTTTTTTTTTTTTTTTTTTTTTTTTGTTTTTACTCTCATTTTAAAGATCTTAAGATATGGTTATCAATAGTAATAATAATATCAATATTTATTTATTTTTCATTTTTAAAAGATGTTACAGCTTTAGAATATAATAATTATTTAAAGAAAGTAATGAGTTATAATATTCAATTCAAATGTAAGCTCAGTCAATGATTTCAGTATTCACTCACTCTTCAAGTTTACTTTTTGTGTTCTAAAAAGATACATATTGAAGAGTAATATTGAGATAATGATCATTCCTATAATTCTAAACTAAACTAACAAACTAATTTTAATTTATTAATAGATACAGAGTATGCAACGTTAGATTAGATATCATTTGTTGACAGCAATGTCAATATATTGAGTGGTGGTTGGCTCTGATGAATGAAGATTAGATATTAGATTGACTATACTCTCAAAGATAGATACTTATTTTGGAAGATGTTGTGAAATAGGACAATAGCGGTAGTGGTCGACTCTTTGGCTAAATCATGACAATGATCAACGAGATTAAAGATACTATCAAAGTGAAAGCACTGTAGCAATAGTAATACATTTCAAGTACAACCAATTAATAGTATGCTCATCAACATTATCAAGACAGAGGGTTCAGCGATGCCAATGAAAGTACAGT